TTAATACTGCAAGAAAGAAAAGCACATTAGTAGGAGACCTGGTTCCATGGGAAAAATTGTCAGGACTCAGGACCTCCTCTGTATTCTTGTGAATTTAAAAACCAAGCTGCACATGGGTAGAAGATGCCCCTCAGAACCACCCCCCCATCATGCACCAAACTCAAATCCCTATATTATAGAAAAAGCATTAGCTACCTAGCTTAGTTGCTTTCATTTTCATTTGGATTTTGTTAGGAGGAATATGCAACTGTTTATGAAAGCAACACCATACCTACGCCTATGTTTATGCTCAACAAGTCTTTACAGTCATTACAAAAAAAAAAAAAAAAACACAAGTTTTTTTATAATTATGTATGCTGTAAGGCATTGTTAGATTCAGATTCAAGAAAGTTAAAGCAGGGAATTCAATAGTTTATATAGAAGTTTGTGCATAGCATCCTTTGCTGTTTAAATAACTAGTGCATTTTCAGATATCGAAACTGTTGATCCACATGATAACGAATAACTAACTTACTTTCTTCGGCATTGTGGCGGTTAAAGCCAAATTGGAGCATTGAACTGAATCAAGAAAGGAAATTTATGTAACATTTACCATTTCTGATACTTGTGGCCATTGATTTCAGCATATATTTTGTTCTAACAACCTGATTTGTAAATGAAGAGATCAATAAGTTAGAATACAAGTGAGTGCAGAAATCAAATGCCTTAGCAGAGATAGTCCTTACGGAACTTTTACAGGACATGGATTAGTTTATTGCACACATTTTTGGTGTAGCCATAAAGATTGGTATTGTTCATCAAGTCGTGTGTTCATAAAGTGTAAAGCAGATTTTGATCGGAAAATCTCGTTATAGTCAACATGTAATGGAAGAATCTAGCACTGAATCTGGATCAATTTTATGACATTATGTGCACGAAGCCAAGCCAATCATTGCTATAGCAACATGGGATAATTACACATCCTCCAGATTTCAAATAAGCACCAATTTTGCAGAGCATGAAAAGCATTTGATCGAAGAGCGAGAGTTAAAAACATCGCAGCAGAGCAGAGAAGAAAAAAAAAAAGTCATGTAAAATTCTCAAAAGAACACGTTAATCGAATGATTCGTTCAAACACTGCAGATTGCGCGAAAAGCAAACAGCGAAATGTAAATCAAAACCCATTGCAATTGATTCTCAAACATACACAAAATTCCACTCGATTGCATCGAATTCGAAGTCGGCGGAGTTGTACGGTTTTAATATTTGGAACAAGAAACCCTAATTTATGGCAGCATGTTGGGCCTAACAAATGTCCATCCAATTTGTGGGCTAAGAACACCACACCAAAATTATCCATTAAAGAAATGGGTCAAATTAAGTTCTATCATCTTCAACCGCGAAGCTCTGAAGAAACCGCTCCATGATCAATCATTTCACGAGGCACGGCAAGACACCATTTTTGCCCAAAGAAAGAGGGGAACAACAGGGCCAAGACAGTAGCTTTATTTCCTTGTAGTGGAAAACCGTAAAAGCCGATGCCCTTTCCAACATCGATCGGCCCACGTCTTTACAGAATGGACAAAATGGAGTTCTTTAACATGGAAGAACATGTCCCCTTCCATCCCTACATTGCAATCTGTTCTTGTGTTCCCCTCACGCCTAATTTTAGCTTCTTTCACTTTCAATCGCCATGCTTCAATTCTGGGCCCTACTCAAAAGTGCCCTGTTTTATCCTCCGTTTCTTCAACTGCTACTGCTGCTTTCGAATCCTAATCCTATTATCAAACATGATCATCTTAATCATTTCTGGTGTTCCTCATGTTTGACATAAATAGTCAGCATTAAGATTAGGGGTGATCACGCAGTTAGTGGTAACATTAAAGAACACCGTAAGTAGTAGTTTAACAATCTCCCTGAATAGTCATTTCATACATAGACTAGCCTTTAATCAATCTGTGGGCGTTGGTGTTCAAAGCATGCTTCATTTTCTTGATCATTGTTTGGATTAGAAATCTTCCACTAAGATTTACTTAAATATATTTATATTGCTGTGTTTGATGACAGTCAGCTGAATGTGATGATTAAAATCTAAAAAATTTTAGGAACAATTATTGAAATTGACTGCATCATGATCATTTTGCTTTCATTTATATTGCATTGACAGCGAAAATGTTGGCCTTAATTAAAGGGTACATTGATATAAAAAATTGTGCAACTTTATCAGGCGATAATGTGTGTGTATACACAGATGGATAGGAGGAGAGTGTGTGAGATATCATTAGGGTGAACCTCGTCCGTTGGATGATGAACACGTGTACGGCGATCGAGGGCACTTGGGGGAAAGCGGTGTTTGGGGAGTAGCGAGCAGAGGAATTATCTGCTGCGGTTGCGGCGAGTTTCAGTTCCCAAACCCAAATGCTATTATCGGTCAATGTGCTGCAGAGTTGCTTTTAGTATCCCGGCGTCGAATTAAGCTCCCATTACGGAGCTGCATCCTGGCCGTCCATCGCCCCAGATAACTCCTGGCCGTTCGATTGATTTGTGGGCCCTTCAGGTCCATGCACGCCTGATCCAAAGTGGGGCCCAATTGGAGAGATTCCTATTTCCTGCACTAATATATGCTTTTCAGGTGTTGTTGCGCATTGCACAGGACTATGGTACATTTTTATTTTTATTTTTATTTATTATTATTATTATTATTATTATTATTATTGGCCACAATCAATAATTATGGTAGTAATAATAATTATTATTATTGTTATGATAATGGCATTAGATATTTCTTCCAATTATTATTATTCCACACTTTTTCAAAAAAGTCCAAAAGCACATATGAATTTACAGCAGACCCTTTTGCTTGGGTCGCACTTATTTTTTAAATTTCGGTGCAATTGCTGCAGTGTGACGTCTTTGACTATTATTACTCACTCCACTTGTGAAATAAAAATGAAATAAATTGATTCTAATCTATATAGGAAAAAATAAAAATATAATTGTCGTCCACGGCTAAACCTAAACGCAACAAAAACAAAAAGGGCGATATAGGAATAAGTCATCCACGTGATGAATAATTTGTTAGAAGAGTTTTTGTTTTCCACGTATTAATTAATTATTATATGAATATGGCAAAATTAGTATTTCCTTTGTCACGTACATTGCATGCCCCTTTTATTGTGCACACAATCGGGAAATTCCATGCATGTTAGTTATCTTGAAATTATATTGCATTCAAAGATGCATCATGTAATTTTATTAAATAAATACACCTATATATATATATTTATTTTTTTTAAAAAAAAAATTTGTGGGGTATTATAAATTTACAATTCGAGTGGGATTTGATTTGATTTTAATTGATCGAGACAACGGTAAAATCCTTAAAGATGGCGCGTAGGTAAGTAATAAATAATAAATTAATAATGCATCTCGAGTCATTAATTAATTAGGGTTTCCGTGATAAAATTAATTAAAACACGGAGGAGCTATTCACTCACTATTGTTATGGTGTGGTTGATAATAAATTGCAATAAGTATATAGTGTTATTATTATTTCATTATTAAATTAGCAGATTAGGCTGCAGCACCAAATTAATTCGGATTCTCACAACAACTCCACACACCACCGAACAATTTTTATTTTTATTTTTATTTTTTAAATAAAAACCGAACGGAAATAGAGACAACGGCTTATCCGTGCTTAGGGATCCAATGCAACACGAACAATTAAAACAAATGCAATAAATAATAATAATAATCTTTAATTAATTATTGAAATTAAATTTGGTGGAGATGAGAGCATTAATTATTAAATTGGAGTTGGGAAGTGGGAAAACATTATAAAGAAAGAATGAAATAATAATAATAATAAAAAATAATAATAAAATTCTAAAGAGGGTTAGGGGAAAGGAGGTCTTTCCAATTACCTCGTAATCCACGTGCTAAAACACGCCACTCCGATCCCCACTTGTCTCTATATGCGTGTGTATATGTCTTGTATTCTATGCCTCCAACTACTCTTATTCAAATTTTCTAAGGGCCTGTTTGTTTGTTTTGTGGATTTGTTATTGGGTTTATATTATTCTTTTTTTTTTTTTCCTGCTAAAATTATATATACTTTTATTATAAAAAGACAAAAAAATAAATTATTATATCATTATATATATATATATTTTTGACGTATAAAAAATACAAAATAACAAAAATATCAAGCAAAATCCTCCCCTTATTAAAATTCGTGACAAAAATTTTGAAGTACAAATTTTAAGGAAATATTTTATTTTAGTTTTAATTAGTCACAATCCCAATTTCTATGTGTACAAACAAACACACCCAATAAATCTTGTACTTTGGGCCCCAATAATAAATATGAAATCTTGATAATTGAAAAAAGCAGTTCTTGATATTGATTTCCACGTTAAACAAATAAATTATAGTAAGTTAGACAGAGACAAGCCGATCATCCCTCTTCGAATTCCTAATAAATAAATACTTACTCTTACTATTATTAAATATTGAATTATATAAAGGGTGTGTTTGTTTGAAGGATTTTGGAGGATTTCCACTATTCATCCAATTTTTTTCTCCCAAAAACATCAAATCAAACACCTATTTTTTATTTTTTATATTATACTAAAAATCAATTTTACATTCAAAACATCACGTCAAACCCTATTTATATCACATCATACAACTATTCAAATTCAAAATTTTTACTATTCAAATCCCAATCCAAAATCCAAACCCCCAAACAAACACACCCAAAATGTATTTTGGGTTAGTTTATGGTAGTCAAGGAAAGGAATTTATTTAAGTAGGTTTAAAAAAAACAAGAGAAATCATTCCTGGGCACATATCTGTATTGTGTCCGTAGTGGGAAAGAGTTGTTTTATCTCACGCAACGACAGACCAAAGGAAGAAATAGTAAAGGAAAACTGCACCTTTTTACTAATTTATTTATTTATTTACCAGTAATTTCTATTTAATCAAATATAAATGTAAATTGGGTTGAAATTCTTCTTTCTCCTGCCTTCTCTCCTACTAAGAAAAAGCAAAAGCAAAAGGATGAAGAGTCGTTGAATGAATTGAGGTGAGATCAGAACAGATCAGATCAGATCAGTGGACGGTTTCGTGTGGGAACTGCACTGCACATTACAGCACTGCTGAGGCTGAGATATGTGCATTTTCTTTATTAATTTTCCTCAGCTCAGCCTAAAGCTGCAACAGAATCAACCATTTTCAGCAAAGTACGCAGGCCCTGCTTAAGGCCATCCCCAACCTCAACCCCAAATCCCATATCCAAAATCCTCCATATTAAAACCATACACTTGATTGTGTTTTGTGTGTTCATTCATTCATTCATTCATTCCAAGGCTGAGAGGATAGGAGATTCAAGAGAGAGAGAGAGGGAAAGGAGAAGAAAAAGATATTCAATCTTTTTGGAGTTATATCGTATCTATCATTATTGTCCATTGAGGAAAAGAAAAGAAGGGAATAGACTAGAAAAGGCGTTGTGTTTTTAGCTCAAGAGAAAGGGAAGGGAAGGAAAGGTCAATTTCAGTTGGAGAAGGAGAAGGAAGGAAGGAAGGAAGGAAGAATGAAGATAAAGAGAAAAAGGGCAGTGGAGATGATAGAGTAGAGCAAAATAAAATTAAAGCAGACCGACCACTCATGCTTGGCTTCGGCCCGCGTGCTTCGATGCAAAGAAATCGACCCCTCAACAAATTATTTCAAGCTGCTCCTGCTACTGCTACTGCTTCTGCTTTCTTGCCTCCCTCCCTCCCTCCCTCTCTCCCTGTTTCTTCTTCATGGAGATGATGATGATGGTTATGATGAGTTATCCATCCATAAAGTGAGAAAGTAAAGGGATACCCTCTCCTCCCCACCCCAGCCCCAGCCCCACATCCATTTTTCTTTTTCAATAAGTTTAATTTCTCCATTGTTTTTGGATTTTCCTACTTCACGCTTTGTTTGATTGGTTCCTCTCAATACTATTAGATTCTCTGAAATAACTGTCTTTCTTGGCTTTATTATTCCTCTGTACCACTCCAGTCCAGTCTAGCCCCTCTTTCAAATACTCATCTCTTTCCCTTCCCTTCAGAACAAGAATGGTACAGTAGTAATATATTAAGAGTTCAGCTTTGATGGCTGGTGGGTAATTAGATTGATTCCATGGAGGATTAAACCAAATCATTACAACAGCACCCTCCAATGGCTCCTGCTACTGAGGAGAAGGTTAGAACAGGAGCAGGTTTAGTCACTGGTCCACAAACTAATCTCCTTGAAGGGATCAAATTATTGAAGGAAATGCAGGATCATACTGGTTAGTTAAGTTACTTCATCTTGTCTTTCATTTTTATTTGAAATTTGATGGAAGTTGCCCAAATCTATGAATTACCACTTTTGAAGGGGCTAGGAAGCAAATAAATTCTGAGCTATGGCATGCCTGTGCTGGTCCATTGGTCACTTTGCCTCATGTTGGGAGCCTTGTCTACTATTTTCCACAGGGTCATAGTGAGCAGGTCTGTATTAATTAATTCAGACAGCATAAACTTTGATTTACGACAGCAGACACTTTCCAAGACAAAATATTTGTGTTCTTACAATGTAATCTTGATGTTCAAATGAAAATTGTTTACAAATTGCAGGTAGCTGTTTCGACAAATCGAACTGCAACTGCACAGATTCCGAATTACCCGAACTTACCCCCTCAGCTTCTATGCCAAGTTCACAATGTTACATTACATGTATGACCTTTTTTGACATAATTCGATTGTTCTTACCAGTCGTGGTAGTTAGTTAGTTAGTCTAACTGTCTTTGCTTCGTCGTTGTCCTAATCGAATAGGCCGACAAGGACACCGATGAAATTTACGCCCAGATGAGCCTGCAGCCTGTGAATTCTGTAAGTTCGTCGTAATTAAACAGCCGAGATAAACAATGCCAAGAATTTACCTTGTTTTGTCGATCTTTGTTCAGGAGAAGGATGTCATCCCGATGCCCGACTTCGGATTTAAGCCCAACAAACATCCGGCGGAGTTCTTCTGCAAAACCTTGACAGCCAGCGATACAAGTACTCACGGTGGCTTCTCGGTTCCTCGAAGAGCGGCGGAGAAACTATTCCCACAATTAGTACGACGATTTCGACCTTAGCGATAATTCAATATGTCAGACATTTACATATGAATTGATGAATTAACCTGTCGACTTAATTTTCGTGTCAAGGATTACTCGATGCAGCCTCCAAATCAGGAGCTCGTCGTCCGCGATTTGCATGACAATACATGGACTTTCCGTCATATTTACCGGGGTAACTTTGCCGCGACGTGTTCTTATTAGATTGTGCTGTAAAGTTGAGACCTTTTTATGACTTTCTCGACACTTTCGATCATTTTTAGGGCAGCCTAAGCGGCATCTTCTTACGACGGGTTGGAGTATGTTCGTCAGCGCTAAACGTCTTCGAGCTGGCGATGCAGTTCTCTTTATCAGGTACCTGTGCGAGTGTCTGTCTGTATACATTTGTTTCGGCAACATTTATTCGGTATCCATTTGTCGAACTGCAGAGATGAAAAGTCTCAGCTTCTGCTCGGAGTGCGGCGAGTTAACCGCCAGCAAACAACTCTGCCGTCTTCCGTACTCTCTGCCGACAGCATGCACATCGGAATCCTTGCTGCGGCTGCACATGCTGCTTCTAGCAGAAGTCCCTTTACGATCTTCTACAATCCGAGGTTCTTGCGATTTACTTAACCTTATGATCTTTCATTCCTCGCAGAGTGAAGCTCAATGGTTTCGTATGTTTTCGCAGAGCATGCCCCTCGGAATTCATCGTGCCATTTGCTAAGTATCGGAAAGCAATTTATGGTACTCAGCTCTCAATTGGGATGAGGTTTGGAATGATGTTTGAAACCGAAGAATCGAGCAAACGAAGGTAGGTTTGAGTTCTTCGTATTCTCTGTATCCTCTGGCTTTGCATTCCTTTAAGTATCTCTTTCGATCTTCAGATATATGGGGACAATTACCGGTATTAGCGACCTTGATCCATTGAGATGGCCGAATTCAAAGTGGCGTAGTCTTCAGGTATCTTTGATTGATCTCAGTTATAGATGTATCTCCGAATGCAATCGAATTTTCTTTCGATGAGGATTATCTTGGGGTCACAGGTGGAGTGGGATGAGCCCGGCTGTGGCGACAAGCAAAACCGAGTGAGTCCTTGGGAGATCGAAACACCCGAAAGCCTCTTCATATTTCCGTCTCTAGCTGCCAATTTCAAACGTCCTTTCAACTCTGCTTTCCTCGGTAATTTTCCCGAATCGTGCAAGGCTTTAGTGTCGTGTTCTTCGATCACTTCATCTAAGCTGCAGTAGTTTTCTTTCTCATCACAGGACAACAAACTGAATGGGAGACTATGATGAATAGGCCATTCCTTCGTGCACCGGACAATTCATATGGCGATCTTCCATGTGCCCCGGCATCAAGTTTGTGGTCGGATCAACTGCTGAAGCTCCTTGCAAAACCTCCGAGAATTCTCTCGCCTGCAAACACTGCGCCTTTCATGCAAGAAGTTAAAGAAGGTGCTCCAATAGAGTCCGAGGCTCTAATGCAGTCAGCAGTTGAGCATAAAGCCGAGGCCATTGGACAAGATGTATTCCCACAAGGCGAAACCAGTCACATATCGAACACGAATGCATCAGATCCAGGAAAACCAGTGCTTCCGGACAACAATACACACGTGACGGATCAGGGAGGAAGCCAGTTTCAGTCCCACGGACAGCGCGACGAGGATAAACTTCCTGTGAAATCAATGGATCAGCAAAATCTTGTAGGTGAGTTTTCAGCTATGGAGGAACCTGGTGGTGCTTTACCTTTGCAGACATCAATGTGGGCTGCGCAAGCGCCGCTCGACTCCCATGTTGTTCAAACTCAGAGTTCTTCTGCTGGCACAAATAACTTGGTTCAGTTTCCGGGACAGGTCGAATTTACCTCGTATCCTCCGATGTGTTTGTCTCCTTGTGGCTCTCTTAGGAACTCGGGATCTTTGCCCGTTTTTAAGAAATCTGATCAGCCTTCTTCGACTTCAAATGCTGCTGCTTACTCCGTGCTGCCTTCTATCGGCCAAGATTTGTGGGATCCGAATTATAACAGTACAAAGTGTGTTCCTGAGCCCAATCTGCCTACGCTGTTCCCTGTTCAAGACATGTCGAGCTTTCAGTATAGTTCGTGTGGCAACCATAATGACTTGTATAGCTGTTTCAACCTCGACGGTAGTAACAGTGGTAGCACAGTGATTGATCCGTCGGTTTCTAGTGTGGTTTTAGACGATTTCTGTGCACTCAAGAATGCAGACTTCCGGAGCCCGTCTGAATATCTTGTCGGAAACTTCTGTGTGAACCAAGATGTCCAATCCCAGATAACGTCGGCGAGCCTGGCAGATTCTCAGACATTCTCTCGGCAAGAATTTGCCGACAACTCAGGTGGGGCGTCTTCAAGCAATGTCGATTTTGAGGATAACAACATTCTGCAGCATGGCTCATGGAAGCAAGTCACTCCGAGATTCCGAACTTATACAAAGGTATTGTTTTCTTCCGGGCTCGACTTTGAAACTTTCCATCCTCACTACCTGAAAGAATGAATCATTGAAACGTTTTGTTACAGATTCAGAAGGCTGGTTCTGTTGGAAGGTCTATCGACGTGTCGAATTTCAAGAACTATGATGAGCTACGAGCTGAAATCGAGCGAATGTTTGGTCTCGAGGGACTGCTGAACGACTTAAGCTCGGGATGGAAACTGGTCTATGTGGATTTTGAGAGCGACGTCCTTCTTGTAGGCGATGATCCCTGGGCGTAAGTTCGCATTTCCTGTTTACATCAGAACACTTGTTTAAGTGACAGTATCGAACCTGATGCGACTCGTGTTATTGCAGGGAATTCGTGGGCTGCGTCAAATGCATCAGAATTCTGTCGCCGTCGGAAGTGAAGCAGATGGGCGAAGAGGGAATGCAGCTGTTGAACTCTGTTGGGGTGCAAGGCATCAATGGCGGATCAGCCTCCGCATGAATGACAAATGCATTCTCGTACTAGATCTTCAAATAAGCTGCCTCTCTCATCTCTAGTTTAGTGTATCTAACTATCTCCATCTATCTATCTATCAAATTTGCCTTGTTGCTGTCGTCAACGGTTCTTGAGACTGAAATTTCCATCGACTTTATCCACATAGTTTCCACTTTGGAGTGTATCTACCAGAAATCCCCACAAGAACAGATCCCATCTTTAAAATGATGCAATCGTGCAGAATCACTAATGTATACTTCACAGCCACTGTTCTTAGACACCAATTTTGCAAACCTATGGCAGTGATCACACATTCTCAGATTCTTGACAATTCTGATACTCCCAACTGGTCGGGAAGACTGATTAAGAACAAAACCAAGTGCAAGTTTCTCACTATGAACCCCTCCCGTCGCCTTGGCCTCCTCCTCTTCGATGCTAATCGTCTCTTTGATTTTCAATCCCTTATCTTTTGCCTCCATGCTTTTAATCCAAGAAGACACGGATTCAACGCCCATTTGTTGAATGTCGCCGGATATGAAAGTATAGACTACGTTCTTGTGTTCAATCCAGCTCTTCCCAATACGTTTCTTCACGATTGCTCGTGTTATTCCCCGTTTTTTCTTCACCGGGATCCCACACGAGTCGTAAAGCTTTGACAGCAGCCTTTGGATGGGAATGCTGTCCGGTTCAAGTTGAAGCAGATTCTCCGCAGCATGGATCGCCAACGTTACATGTTTATGCCTACAACAGGCGGTTAGGAAGGCAGACCAGATCGAGACATTTGGTTGAACACTCATACCTCGGATGAACTCAAATGCTTCGTCGACCTTACCCGAATAGCCATACAAATTCACCATAGCAACATAATGATCCAAGCATGGTACAATCTGCGACATGCTAGTCATATTGTTGAAAAAATCTATCCCTTCGTCAACCATTTTAGCTGCCCCATAAGCCGAAATCATACTGGCAAATGTACTTCTAATTGATCTAAACCCGAGCTTCCCCATACGATCGAAAATATCAATCGCCTCCAGCGAACGCCCGTGCAAAACATAAGCACTTAACATTGTGTTCCAAGTGATGATATCTGTGTGTGACATTCCACCAAATATGGTTGCCGAGAACGGTAGGTTCCCGGACTTGGCGTAAGCATCTATTAGAGCATTTGAAGTCGAAAGCTCAGACTCTAAATTTCTTCGCAACACATAGCAATGGATTTCTCGTACCTTTTTCGTTGCAATTAAATTTGCACAAGCAGGTAAGATGCTCAAAATAGTGACTGAATTAGCCTTGACCCCAGCGGATTGCATCTGCCGAAAGATCCCAAATGCTTTAGTTTTTTCGCCGTGATATACATAGCCAGCGATAAGAGCATTCCACGAAGCAGTGTCGGGTTTAACATCCCATTTCTTCTCCATGTTACGGAAAAGATCCATGGCCTGATCCTCCTCCTCATTTTGCATGTACCCTGTGATCATCACATTCAATGTGATGACATTTGGCAAGATTTCGGCTTCTTGCATCCGTTTGAAAAGTTCATGCGCAACGCTGCAATAGCCAGCTTGGTAATAACCACTGATCATTGAATTCCAAGTGTAAACATCTTTCGATGGGATTGAATCGAAGACCTGTCGGGCAGATTCAAGGCTCTCACACTTGGAATACATATCAACGAGCGAATTTGCTGCAAGTGTATCCTCACCATAACCCAATTTCATCGCTACTGAATGAACTTCCTTCCCTTTACCAATGTCTTTCAGAGATGAACATACAGAGACGGCACTCATCAGGGCGACCTCGTTCGGTTCAACCCCAGTCGAAAGCATCTCCTCAAACAATTTCAGAGCTTCTAACCTTCTGTTATTTTGAGCAAAACCCGCAATCATGCTCGACCATGTATACACATCAGGCTTGACTGTGGAGCTCTTCATCTCATTCAAAAGGCTCATTGCAATATCACATTTTCCGAACTGATTACACCCCGAAATCAATACATTCCAGGTGATCACATCAGGTTCAAGACCTTCTTGGCGCATCGAATCGAACAACCTCCTTGCATCCTCTATCTTTCCTTTGTGACAGTATCCCGAAATCATTGAATTCCAAGAAACTCTGTCGATCACCTGCATCCCTTTGAAAAACTTCTCGGCAGAGTTTAACCACTGGCATTTAGCATAAACTGCAAGTATCGCATTACTTACTCGAATCCCCCTCAACATCCCGGATTTAATAGCTATCCCATGTATGAGGCTCCCTGTCTCCACATCACCAGAATTCCCACAAGCCTGTAAGATTTTGGGGAGCAAGAAATCATCCGGAACAACACTATCCGCCATCATCCTATAGAATAGCTCGACCACATGATTCCATTTCTTCTCCCTCGAACAGGCCCCGATCATAGCGGACCAAGCCAATAAATCCTTCTCAGGCATTTCGTCGAACATCGCAAAGGCATCAACCAAGGAGCCGCATTTTGCATACATGCTCAGCAATTTGGTTTCGAGATACAGGCCTGGGGATTTGACCAAATTCCTGACGCGGGCATGGAGCTTAGAGCACAATTCGAGCGAATTGGCATGAATGCAGGATTCAATCAGGTGGGAGAGAGTGCTGTGCCTTACCCTGGAAGAACAAGTTTCTAAATACGAAATTGCTTCGGTGAGTCGACCTAGTTTACAGAGGCGCTTCAAATAGTCGTCCCCTGTGAGCTTCGGCGGCCCGTTTCTGGAAATGATTTTTGATTTTTCGAGTTTGTCTCGGGATTTTGTTGGGGTAGTCAAGGTTGTGCTGGGCAGCATCAAGCTCTCCATCCTCGGAATTTCTTGGTTGGAATAAGACAGAGAGACACAATCAGAGGTGGATATAGTTCGAGATAGGTTTGAATTACATTTACTACTGAATTTTTTATATACTCATCATTAAGTCATACGAAAAACAGTCTAAAAATTCCATCTTGGAGATGATGCGACGACATTGACAAGCTAGCGATTGAATGAATTCAATCCACACGATTTATCAGAAAGCTGATCTCTCCGAGCTATGGATATTGTAACGGGCCGGGCCTATGAAGGAGTTAGATTGACATTAAATAATGGGCCTATTTGGGCTTACCTTAAAAGCCTCGAACTTGTCAGCCCATTTTGGTAATTCGGGGCCCATATAGTCTATAATCATGGTATATTTTAAGAAATTAGTTCTTGATATATGATTCATGAGCTTGTTAAACCAGAATACCCATTGCACATTAGATTCAAGATATACCCATTGTAATATGTACTCCAGTTCTCGGGCAATTCTTGTCTACAACCGACCCACAAAGACGACAATGATCAAGTGAGACATAGAACAAGATTAATATCAACAATTTGGCGTTGTGTTAGAATGTGATTTTTGGTGTAAGAAACTTTGTTCTAAGGCAGATCATAGCTAATCATAGCTTGATTTTCATCACAAAGAGTTCAATTGGAACGCAGACCACACACTCGATAAAATTACCCACTGAAAAATCATCAAATTAACCAACAAGGGGAGAAACTGATTCGATTTCAACCAAAATCATACCGAAATTTACGGAACTCGCTGGCCCTGATTCCCAGATGCATACGGTTGTCGAAGCTCATCGTCGGGGATCAGAACCGGCCACTTCTCACCCGCTTCACGAAACATCTGCTCTGCTTCAAATACCTGAGCCTTCTCCAGAATCGTGTTCTGGATGTCCTCAGCAGCCATGGCCGCCGCATCGAAGGTCTCCTCAGATCCGTCGACGAAAGTCACAGCAATCCTCGGCGAGAACTCGTCTGTCCGGCGCCTGACTCCGACCGCGCAGCTTGGATTCGACTCCCTGGCCCTGCGGGAATTGCACAGCGCCAGGAACTCCATACACGACGCCGAGCGCGGATCCACCGCATTGAACTCCACTTTTATCTTCGATAAGAATCTCAACATTTTACTATTTGATTTTGGCAAAGAAATTTTTCTCAAAATATGTTTATATCATCATAATCAGAAGCCAGAAATATATCTTAAGGAAAAGACGAATAAATAAAAATTGCTTTGAATCTAAAAATAGTCGTAAGTATGAATAAACAAATTTGAATGATTCGTTCGACATTACAATTGGAGCAAACATTGAGAGTGGCTTGGGAATGAATTACACCCAACACTGTCAAATTAAAGAGTTGATTTCATTTCATGCACCATCAAGTTTCATTCTCTTGCTGCTTTGGAACTCCGGATTACTACCGCCGGCGGCGACCCTCTGCCGGGAGGGTGCATCGGCGGCATGGAGATACATGCAGTTATCGCCGTTCCGGCAGCCTCTCGGGCTGTTGTAAAACATGCACGGCTTCGTGATCCTATGTTTCGGCTTCTGGGACTCTTGGCTTGTCATCGAGGTGGGGAACGGGAGGTTGTTTTGATGAGTATGTTGCGGCATTGTCTCTTTTCTTTCTTCGCCATGTTGCTGAATCAAGCTTTTGAAATAGTTCATATCCTTAGCGATGGACGGGGTTGCTGCGGAGATCCCGTCAGGTGCGGATGGCCGGAGATTGGAGAAGGATGGAGGTCCGGTCCGGGGTGGAGGATAGTACGGTGTCGACATGGGAAGGGTTCCGAGTTCTTGTCTGGTTGATTGCATAGACGGCGGATCTCTCCTGGCAATGGGAATGTTGATGGGGCCGGGTGAGGCGTTTGGCGCTGATCTCGGGTAGGAAGAATATTGCGCGCTGGTGGATGGTGTATTCGGCGTATTGGAAGATGAAGGGATTTGCAAGTGCGGGCCGGTGGAGAATACAGCAGTTTGGAGTTGGATTGCTGGCGGACCGGATGGCTGGAAATTTTGGGGAACGGTGGATACAGTGGTTTGTGGTCTGGCAGGAAATGGCAGAGCGTGGTGGCTGGAGGTTGGAACGGCTGCTCGGCTTGCAAGCAGTTGCTCGACCATTTTCGGGTTGCTGAGAAGTTTGAGGAGTAAGGCAGGATCTAATAGGTTCCCCAGGTCCTTGTTGCTTGGCATGACTGATTTCAGTGCAGCTTGGGCAGCAATCACAATATTGGGATCCACTCCGGCCGCGCCACTGATCGGAGAAGAAGAGGTTGCCGGGGCAGAGGGCTGTCTGCCTGCTGCTGAGGATACAAGGGGTGTGTCTGTGGTACCATCTTCGTCTTCCTCTGGTGTGATGGGAACTACAGGCGTGAATTTGTCGTTCTTAACTGAGTCTTCGGCGCCAGGTAATGCAGAAGGACTGCACGATGATTAAGCAAATATGTTAATTAGCACCGAATAATGGAAAAGAAGGGAAGCAATTGTTGCGTTCCAGACTTGGTAAGAAGGAAGAACTGAAGAGAAATACAAGGCACATACTTTGGTGGAACTGCGGATGGGTGAGGATAGATAGCTTCGAACACTTTCATTTCCCGGTGATTCTGCACTTCAATTTCCCGGCTCTCTTCCCCGGAAACAACTAGCCATTCAGGATTGATTTGGAGCTGAAGAGATGATTGTGTAATAAAAGCATCAGATAACTTGATTTCATATCAAAATTTTTAAAAGTGTGGTAAGTGCTGTGTATTCAGGAAACAAAGCAAGCATTGCCCATTTAAGCTCCACAGGAATCAAAATATTTAATTCTTCTCTTATCTGCTATAACCTTCATGGCCACTAGTCTTGCTTGTATTTAGGATTTCACAACTTAGTTCAGGCATTCAATTCACTGTGTACACTCCACATATGCAACAGAAACTTTAGCACAACAATAGCATTGAAATTAATATGACGATCTCATATTTTGAATCGAAAGGGTATACAGAAGCCCGCGTCAAAGATCAAAGACCATATAAGATGCTTTAATTGAAATTGCAAACCTAAGAATATCAGTTACCGAATACTGCCTACTTCCAGTGAAACTCGAAAAGTTTGCGAAAAGTAAAAGGGTAACTTTATGCTTCAGATACTGTAGCTTGGGCATATGGAAAATAACAATCCACACACTTACCCGAGGAGGGCAACTCCATTTGACCAATGGTATCCGAGATGGCTTGGCTCTCCATGGATTTGCAGGCCGGATTCCATCAAAGCCTGGGGGCAAACTATCGTTGGAAACCATAACACCAGATTGCAATGGCCATAGTGGTTTTGCCTGTAGACTATCTTGAGTTCCCATCCCAACCCGTGAAGGAGATTCTTCGGTCAGAAAGAGCCTAACCTGTGGAATATATAATAAATACTTGAGTTAATTATTGTAGAGATTTTTGATCTTTCCGTCATGATCCAAGACATCCCTAAGAAATCTGGAAACTAAAACAGGTAAAAGCACAACACACTTAATCAGTGCAAGGCAAATGATATGCTCATACGTGCTTGAAGTAGCAAACAACATAAGAAAACAAAAGCAGTAACTCCAACTATAAATATGCTCAACCTTCAATCTCAAAGATATCGTTATACACGTTGACAAAAAATATGTACTTTCCACTCGCGTGTACAACAGAATATTGTCATGAATAGTCCACACATAACAGCAAAATCTAACTCCTTGTCAAGTTCATTGATATTCTCATCAGTCATATTAATTAAATTATGTAAAAAAAAATTATCTTCCATCCTCAAAAGAGACCTTGGAGCAGGATAGCCACCAATGCTCTATAACTAACCACTTATTTTCTAGTTAAAAGCTTCAGATATTGAAAAATAATGAAGTGAAATATCTGAAAATTTATCTGCCTACACAGCCATACAAAATAAAAGTCTCAACTCCATGTAATTAAATTGTTATACTTAAGCTATCCCGTCACAACACCTCAGCCAAATTTAGTCTCCTGGCCACTTATTAATATAAGCAAGAATGAGATAAGGTATCAGCTTTTCACATCTCTTCTAAAATCCCAACATTGGCAAGGATATTATAAACTAATTTTACATGTAAGTTACATTCAACCAACATTAGCACCCAAATCAATACACTCCGATCCAGAGATTCAACAACTCGTTCTTCCCAATTAAACAACATTGAACACAAATAGTACAAAGGGAATCATTCAACATTCATAAGAGAACCCCAAACTCATCTATACAAAGTTTGAATATCAACCATTGCAGCAGTTACAAAGAATGGCTAATTTGAGCAAGCATAAGGCGAGGTGGGCGAACCAGGGGTCTGTTTGTTTCGCACTTGGAGAGCAACGGTATGCTCCCAACCTTTTCATCTCAACTCTTACACCAAATTTTATTTCTATCTTTCTCTTAAATAAACAAATATGTCTATATACATTTAGAATTCACTATTTTTTATAAACTACTTAAAATTAAATGCGGATAAATATTTATTTATGTATATTGTATAGAATTTTATTATTTACAAAAAGAAATACATAGTGACTATACTTTAATTTAAAGCCTTCAAAATATATTTTAAAATTATTTTAAATCAAATATATATTACATTTTTAACGGTAACTTACAACTAAACAACATTTCATTAGTTAACGGAAAAACCAAACTTCTTAATACAACTTGTAGTTTACAACTAAACAACATTTCATTAATCAACAATAAAAATTGAACTTTTGACTACAATTTGTAACTTACAACTAAACAACATTTTGGTAATCAACAGTAAAACCTAACTTCTGACTACAACTTCCGACTCGCAACCAATTGCTCCCTAGATCATTTTAGTAGGCACAAGACGTGGGTAAAAAGCATTGTTTCAATCTCGGATAGTGTTAAATAGTGATCAACCTCTAAAATGCAATAACAGAATAGCAGGATGACCGCTATTAAAGAATTTTCTATAAACTAATCTCATAACTACAAGAAAAGTGCATAAAAACAAATAAATAAACTAATCTCATAATTATAATTCAAACCATTAAAATGTCACAAAAAATATATAATCATAGTTCATAGATAGTTGGTTTGGTTGGGGTTTTCGGCTTTTCGCCAAAATTTTCACTGTTCACCAAATTTTTCCCTCCAAAACATCGAACCAAACTCTTATGTTGTTTTTTTGTGGATTTTAACACAGATTTTTACTATTCAATTTTTTTTTCTCCAAAAATATCATATCAAACAATTACTTTTATTTTTTTATATTATACTGCAAGTTTATTTTACATTTAAAACATCACATTCATATCTACTTATATCACATCAACTAACTATTCAAATTCAACTTTTTACTGTTCAAAAATCCAAACCCAAAAACTAAAACCCACAAACAAACACACCTTTATTTTTTTAATTTTACTCCTTCCGTCCCACCTTTTCGGTCCACTGTTTCTATTTTCGTCCATCTTACCTAATTTGTCATTTCTTTTTTAAGAAATATAATTATATATTTTAATCACATTTTTAAATTTAATAATTTATACTCCCTCTATCATCCAATTGTGTGCTCATTTGATCGGGAACGGATTTAAAAAAAAAAAAATAGGTAAAAATAAAAATTTTTACTTTTTTGGGTAAAGAAAAGGTAGAAAAAGTTGTATTTTGTTACTAAAAAAGGAAACAGGAATAAAGTTGGATGACAACCAAAAAAAGGAAAGTGAAAATAGATTTGAATGATGGAGAGAGTAACTCTTTTAATCTTAATTATACTATTTAGTTATCTTAATCTAAAACTAAAATTAATTTTATTATAAAATAATTATTTTTATTAATATATATTTACTAATTATACTATACCCAAATTCGCGTATCTATTACTAAAAATTAATGTTACATTCAAAACATAATACTCCCTCAATCCTGCATAATTTGTCCACTCATTCTATTTCGGTCATTCTATTTCGGTCTGTCCCACATAATTTGTCATTTCTTTTATAGAAATATAATTATACACTTTCATCACATTTTAAAATTCATAATTTATAATTATTATTATTTTAATTAAATTATTTAGTTATTTTAATCTTAATTTATAATTATTTTTATTATATCATAATTATTTTTACAAATACACTTCTTAATTACTTACTAATTACCACATTACTAAAGTGGAAAAATTAGCTGGGACGGAGAGAGCAAATATTTTTCTTCCTCGTTATCAACTTCCCCACTACTACTATTGCGTAGATCATCTTTTTCTTCATGTTCATTCATTTTTTTCCAACTCTTGTATAAATACATAGTCTAAGTTTTATATGTAAAAACAGATCTAGAGCTTTTGCTGCTCCGAACCAATGCTAAATGGTGCTACAGCCGCTATTGCGTAAATGCAGCTCGCAGAGTGGAGGTAGCAACGGAATGCCGCTCGCTCCACAACTGCGCCATAAATGTGCTATTGACAACTATGGGAAAAAGGATTTATTTTTCAGTCAACTTCTTCAAAGCAAGTTTCAGTTGGCACTCCTTAAAAAACAAGATTAATGAGAACAAGAGGTTTCATTGAGTTAGACTTGAAATGGTAGAGAACCAGCCTTAATTTCTTAAGATTACAAGTTTACTAGAAAAACTCAGATAACTTTCAGGCAGGCAAGCCAGGGTGACTAAATTTCAGTTTCCAATGCTTCATCCAAAGCATAATACATAGCCACACAAGTTTTCTCTAACAACCTGAACAGCATTTTCGAAGCAAGCATAAATTTGCTTCAATTCATTTAAGGGACAGTTTTTCTGTTGGAGTTGTAGGGGTAAAGTGTGGCCATTCAACATCATCAAATGATATGCCAAGAATTAATCAAGATTCTTGAGAGTATCAGGATGACTTAGTGTATAATGAGCACAATAATTCTGGAGACTCTTTTTTCCTTTGTCTGATGAGGCTTGACAACAATATTTCCAATTTGATGCTTAAACAAAATTCATTTACTTCAGAATTATGGGGAAAAAAAAAAAAGAAAAGACAAACCAATTTAATATCTAAACAAGTAAACTTATATCAAAGTATCTAACCTTAAATCACAACCAGACACCTACTTCAGAATAAACCAGTATGTTCAAACTTTATCAATGAATAATCTGGTAAAAATGATGGACAATAACATTCTTTATTTTCTGAATTGCTTGATTGATTTGTTCATATGAGAAGAGTAGGTTATCCCCTTCCTACACCCAACATTGGCTACAAACATAGTTCCATTACATATTGTTTTCCTTTTATGGTTTTTCAATTTCTCTACTGTAATATTTCCTTTATTGTTTTCAATTTTATCTACGGGAGTCAATAGTATTGCCATAACCGTCTGAAATAAATGCAACTTTATAAAGAAACTTTATCCAGAAATTACACAGCCTCTAGTTTTTTTCTTCCAATTTTATCTACTGTAGAATTGCCATAACCTTCCGAAATAAATGTAACTTCATAAACAAACTTTATCCAGAAATTACACACCCCTCAGTTACTGCACAAGAACTTATTCTATCATATAAACCATACAGATGGATTCCTTAAATAGTATATTTTTAAACAACCAACAGAATCGATTATCCTTTTAGCATCTTGAATTTAACCCAAATTCATGGTCATTAATAGAGACTTTACAAAATAAAACCAAAATTACTGAAATAACACTCGATTAAGCTAGAGAACGATTCACTTCTGGAAGCGATTAATGAGTTCAACGAAACAATTCATCTTTTCTCGCCGTATTTTCCTTTTTCCATCGTCCATTGTGAAACAAAATTTTTCCATGTTAATCCGAAATCGACGATGACCAATTCGAAGGAGTTGCTTGATTAATCGAACAAATAATCCGATACGTTTCCAATTGAAGAATTCAAACCGACTAATTTACATCGTATTAATTTTGTTTTCCCAGTTTTTACGAATTCCAGAAAACAAAAAACGGAAAAATCATTCATGAAAGAGTAGTCGACATGAAAGAAGAAACATATAATTTTTATAGATATACCTGACAAAGATTAACATCTGAGGCCCACGTAACCATTTTTGATTTCCGCGATCCTCCCATATTAACAAATCAAATAATAATGTTGGTTTCGATTCTCAAATGTATAGCGATATATCTTATAAATGCAATCGCGTATATACCTAATTGCCGATTAAATTTTAAACCAATTGCTTATCAATTGAGCGATTCAATTGAGAGAATAAGAGATGGAATTGAATCGAAGAAGAAAAAAGGAGTAGGAGAGGGGAGCAGCCACGATTTCCTCCGTGAAACTGAAAGCCCTAAATGGAACCCTAGAACTTCTTCTGTTACTTATATAGAGAAATAGGGCGCCCTATTCCTATTCCTATTCCGCGACTATGTCGCGTGGAAGTTACGTTTTATCGGAGCGCGTCGCTATTTACGCGCGCACAGATTTGAATCTTACCTGTTCTCCCAATGATTTGCATTCTAATTTGAATTTTCAAATGATTTGTTAAAAGGTTTGTCTAGAATAATAATAGTAATATGTTAAAAATTTATTAAGGCTCAAATTAGAATTTGCTGGGTTTTGAATTTTTTAAAAAAATTATAAAATTAATTAATTGATTTAATATTCAAAATACTTTTTTTTTTTTTATAGAAATATGTAACTAGATCAACTTTTTAGTAATAATAACGAAATTGTTATAGTGATACTTATATTTAATGAGTATATTACTTTCTTCCTATTCAAATCTATGTTCACTTTTTTTTAGTTATCATCGAAAAATATTTTTATTTTTTTTAAGTATAAAATTATTCCAGTTTTGGACTTTTTTTACTATAAAAACAATTAATAATTATTACTTACTTTTATTAAAATCTCTGTCCTGTCAAATAAATATACATTTGCATGACAGATGGAGTATTATTTAATATGATGTGTGACAAGTAAAACTTGTCCACGACCACACCTCAAGTCATTCTTTACGGGATAATACATAACATGTTTATTTATTTATTGTTGACCTAATATGACAATGCTTTAAAATATTTGAGCGTGCAATTTAGTTTTTTTCAAAAAAATAAAATAAAATAAAATAAAATATAAATACTCAATATGAATTTTTAAAATAAAAAAAAAATCTAAATATTCAAAAACATGACTTTTAATACTTAATGAATTATATATATATATATATATGTTATTATATATTTTCTTCGTCCATCTGCCCACGTCACCCCGGCACTGTCCGCCCCCATCCCTCATGTGTTTCCATGGTGGCGTCTCCCCAACGTTATGTCTACCCATCATCACTTTCGATTTGAAGTTGTCATTTGTCTTCGCGGCTTTTATCCATCATCCCTCATGTGTACTAATTGAACAATGAGAAGTCTTTCAAAGGGTTATAGTTAATCTAGTATTTCTTTGCAAACGATTTTTCAATCTTTTCTAACAATTCCATCACCATCTATTTTTTTTATTTTTTTTAAGTGAATTTCTTTTCTATTTTTTTTTCCCTCTCCAATTAAATCATATTTCTTCCCAAATTCATCAACAAAAGAAAAAAAATAAATAAATTCAACCCTTCGGGGAACCATATTATGACTCTAAATCTCACATGATAATCGTTCCTAAAATGAGGTCCGCAGTAAAGTGGTATTGGATTAAATTGTAATAATCCCTGGAAACAACTGTCATTAATGAAATATTTATGAGAATCATCACTATTATGGAAATTTTCTCGATGTTTTAAATCACTTTTTTTTTTTTTAATGCACATAGGAGATTTGAACGAACTTAGATTTAAAAACTTTTGATTTCTCCTATAATGCCTACGGATAGACGATGACAGCGCACTGCATATGAATGATGACAGGAAAAGGTGTCGAAGTGACGACAGCATGCGGTGGCGGACGAAGTAGGCACCGACGAGCGATGAATGTAGCTAATAAAATATATGCAATATTATATAATATATGCAAACTTAGATATATTATTACATACTAATAAAATATATGCAAAATCACCCCCCTCACAATTCCTCCTATGACAATGTTGTTGTAAGAAAAATTGGAAGAAAACTTTAAACCCTATAGAAAAAATGATGGAGCTCGAGGGTAAACATATGCATATGTAAAAGCAATTAAAACACGATGTTAATTCAAATTTAGTGCTTGAATAACGTTGAATTAATTGAAAAAAATGAAACATGGTAGTGTACATGATATTTATTAGCCTAATTAGCATATAAAGTATACAGCAAGCAACGCAAATGCATTTTAATATAATACAAATTAATATTACGTTATAATATATAATTCAAACACATGCTACCCATTGATCTTAGTACAAGATATAAACTAATACAAACATACATGTATGATATTACATATCAAGAAGTAAATGCCGTTACGAAGCCAAAACACAGCAGTTAAAAATACAATCAATCTCCTTTAGGGAAAAAGCCACAGATCATATCCCAATAGATAGATGTTAAGAAAACAAAAGAAGGTGGGAATAACATAATAGGGTAATGTAATTACACGCAATCTCAACGCCTCTAAACTCCCTAAGATGGAAATAACACCACAACAGCAACACAATTCACTTTTAGCATCCAAACAACGTAAAAGGATTTTTCACATAAGAAGCCCAAGTGCAAAAGAATACTCACTCATCTAGAATCCAGCAAATATCATTAGCTTTGCGTGTTCAGCGCCGCCACATTCGTTCTACCAAGAAAAAATCCAAGAGATTATTGAATTTAGTACCAACTCATACAAAAGAACACCTACAGCACAAAATCAAAATATTGAATGACTTGGGAGGATGAAGATAGCACCTTGAGGAGAATGGGTGACATTTGCTTTTGCGTTCTGTTGTGCCTGAGAAAGTGATCGCTGAATATGAGGAGAACCTTGCCTTTCATTTGAGCTAGGTAGTGAATGTCTCTTCTTTATATGGATATCCTTTTCATGAACATCAGGACTAGATCTTGGCGAGCCATTTGCAATGGCTTTGGCCCGGGCAGATTCAGTCGCTTGCATGTAACTCGGCAGGGAGTTAGTGCTACTACTATCTCTTGTAACATGCTCTTTGTGATCAGGTTTAGCTGAGCCAAGGGAGTTTCTTCTCTTTCCAGTTTTATGCTCCTGTGAGTGCTCCAAGCTGCTTCTAGAAGCAGAATCTTGATTTTGATTGGAAAGAGATTTTTTATCAGCTGATGAGGACCTAGTTTTGTGATTGGACTCACTTTTTTTACCTTTGTTTTTCTTTGGTTTCACAGACGATTCAGTTGATGGTGTAGCTTGAGAGTCAGGGAAAGTTATATGGCTTCTTGGAGAAGCTTCTGGAGATGACTTGTTAATTGGGCAGCTTGCTTCAGTCGCTAGCTCCGGCTGCAGCTCATTGGGTTTAGTTTCTGTTTTTTCATCCTGCTGTGATGGATCTACAGCAATCAAAGAGTCTGAAGATTCACCAACTGAGTTGATGCTTTCAAATCTCTCCAGCTTATCTGATTTGCTGTCAGCCGAATCAGGCTCTAGTATTATTGTCTTCCCATTGGCCTCATGTTCCAAGCTCTCTTTGCTTCTATCACAATCAGTTTCTTCCTCTGGAACTTTTGTTTTCTGTTCAACTCCATTGATTCCAGTTTCTGACCTCGCTGGTGAATCAAGGGTGGAAGATATTGAAAGCTCAGTTCCACACTCGGAGTCGTCAATTTGAACGGTTGAAGGTTTGGAACCAGTATTTTCTGCTATACCAAAATCACTAGTCCTGAGAGGTTGATCAGTGGAAGAAGAGACCTTTTCCACACTAGAGTTATCTTCAGAATCAGGAATGGATGATTTGATTATTTTTGCACCAGGGGCAACCGAGCTCAGCTCTTCAAATTTCGACTGTGCAGCAATGAAAGCAGGGTTACTTGGCTTTCTAGAATTCTTTGTAGCCACAGCTTCATGTTGTTCAGCAGAAAATGTTGTAGAATCTGATCTGTCTTGTTCATTTGTTTCCTCCTCAGGAAGAGAATCAGCTTTTACTTTCTCAGTCAAGTTCATTTCTTCAATCTCAATGGACACAGGTTCTGTTGTTTCATACCTTGAATTTGACCCATCAATGCTTTCCATTTCAGAATGACTGGAAGAGGGTGATATAGGTTGGAACGAATGGATATCTGAGTTGCTTGGATCATCCATGATCATCTTGTCATCACTGTTCACCTTGTCATCTTTATTGGGTGCCTCAGCTGATGCAGTTGCAACAGAATGGAAGCCTGTTGGCTCAGAATCACATTCACTTGGAACTAATACTTCATCCTTGCCATTGTCATGTTCAAGATGTTCCTTACCCAGTTCCACATCCGAATCAGATTCGTGAGGCTGTTCACTGGTAATTGAAGAAACTGACATCCATCTTTCTAGCCATATCCAGGCTGAGTCAGATTTTGACGGGTCACACTTGATATTGATTGGTGTGGTCCTTGGTGTTGACTCCAAAAGCTAAATTATTCAATAAAATAAAAAATGTTGGAAATGAGTTATTTTCCGATTAAAATGAAGATATATTCTTCAGCCATATCCAGTTACCTGACGAGCAAAAGCATTAGAAAGTAGCTTGTCCATGGAAACATAATGGTGTGAGCCATTGAGTTTCTGTTTCCTCTTTCTCTGGAAATGAAAACATAATTCATTAGAACATCCAAACTATCTGGCTCAAATTCCACAGTATTTTAAACAATGAGGTTGTCATATAATTGAGGATGAAGTCTTCCGATTCCAAACTTGGAACATGATAAAGTACACTACTCATGCGATGAATGGTGTAGAGAATAATGGAAACTGAAATATTAATTAAGTAGACTGTGTGTACCAATAATGTTGAACCATTACTATTATTTCCACTGCCTTCACTCTGCTTAGTATAATCACCCAACCCTTCTTCAAGCACACGGCTAAGCCGTGCTCGAACAAGAGATTGCATTCTGACAATGGCTTGAACACATCGAAGAGTTCCAACAGCATATCTTCGAACTAAATGTCCTCGTATAACAGCTTGCAGCTTAACGATGTTCTTCTGCTTCAATAGCACTTGTTGAGCCTAGTACCAGTTGAGAAAAATGAACCATCACCTGAACAAGTAGATTCAAAGGCAACAAGGATTATATGATGTCAAGGCTTACCAGCAAACCTCTAATGGCTGCCTGAATTACAATTATACTGGGCTCATCGAGAGTTGCATCAGCTCCAGAGTCATCCTCTTTGGCACCACTTAGATTATCTGGCACCTTTATGTCCAGTTGAGTAGACAACACATTCTTCTCTTCAGTCAAGTGAACCACAGAGGGTTTTTCTGGGGTAGTCAAGTCAGGCTGCACCTGGAAATTGACAGCAGTAGAGTCTGGAATTTCCTTGTTCTCAGATGCTGGTACTTCTGTAGTCACACTGTTGCTCAATATACGTTGTCTAGCAGATCTCTTCCTAAAACTCCACCCACGACGATCACTTGAACTCTTGCTCTACAAATAATTATAAATCATTTTAAATGAGCAGGGTTCCTCCCTATTTCAAAATCATAGCTTTTGTTGGGATGCAGATGCATGTATACCTAACAAGTGCACGCTTCAATTCAAGGTACATAAGGAAGAGCATTGGTAGAAGCTCGAACCATATTTTCCTAGATTTTTTTTTTTAAGAAAAAACTATAGAAAGAAAACTTAGATTGGTAAAAATGTGACAATATGTTCAAAAAAAGAAAGCTGCCATTGTAAAATAAAAGTGTAAATCAATAAAACTAGAAAGATATCCAGCCTTCAATATATGGAACTCTAGGAAGATATGGTATGACATCAAAAGCTCTTTTCCCACTTTGTGTGATTACTATAGACAGAAAATACATCAAATCAACAAAGAGAAACGAAAACAAAGGGACATGCCACAGGATCAAAGCAACACAATTACAAAAAGAAATTTTTGGAGGAAGTTAAAGCACTTTCGAAACAACGGGCAAGAAACTTCCTCACCAAGTTTGTCGGAATCACTAGTTTGAGAGATGCTTGGATGAATAATCATTAAAAGATACATCTCTCCTTCATCCACAATTGTGAGACCCCTATCATGCAATTCAAGCAGCATATCCTAAATGCATAGACACACATCTCTATAAGGCACCAAACTTTGAGATTTTTTTTCCCTCAAATTTACTGACAACCTCCTAGTTTTGAACTGTCCATTTTTTTGTCGTTTCCTTTTACTATTCAATATGTTTTCCCATCTACCAAGTACCAATTGCACCCTGATTAACAAGAGAAGAACTCGTGATCATGCTATAACATAATGGCACCTGACGTTTGTTTCCTAGTATTATAACATAATGAAAATTTATAGGTATCAGCAATCAGCGCACAAAGCATGACTGGTCAGGCCAAAAGATCATAGGGAAAAAAGAAAAAAAAAACTATTCAAGGAAAACACATTCCGCAATTATAAACATTGTGTTAGAAATATGCTTATGAGTATCCACAGAAGAATTTTCAGAAACAAATTTAAAGGAACATTGATTTGCATCTGGTTGACCGGAGAAATTAACTAAATTGTAGCAAAAACAAAATTATTACCAAAACTGAAACGATATGGATTGCGTATCAACTACCCATTTACATATTCTTGTGCAACGACATTCCCATTAATTTAATAAGTGGATTGTAATACCAGGAAAAAAAAAGTCAAGAAAGCTGGAATCCGATCTTTTTGTAAGAATAGAAATTATGCGGATACTCCAGCACAGCAAAAAGCTCATCCGCATTATCCTATACACGATTTATCAAATCCAAAACAATTCAACATTCCATATAAACAGATCTAGTTTAACACCAACATCGGCAGTCACAGAAAAATCCATAACATTCAAAACACAAATAAAATCTACTCCCAATGATCCAGTAGTAAACTCTAGCGTCAGGCAGTTCGAAGATCAAGCAAAAGATACCGCACCAAAAACAAATTATCCAAAAAAACACACACGGATTAACAACAGGCGAATAAAAGACCAGATTGAAACACACTAGCTGGAACTCCAAACCACAAATGCATAGAAAAATCAAACTGCAGCTTCTCCATCCGCTCTCCATACAAGCTTAAAAAACTAAAAACCACACACTGAACACTAATCACCGCCACCAAAAAAAAAAAAAAGTAAACACGCAGACATTTACTTCAGCAGTTTGGAGATCATCATGTTCAACGGAATCGCCGCCGCAGGCGATCATCTTGAAGCACGACGCCGTCGATTTTCCCATAGCTTCTTTCTCTCCACAAAAAGCCGAAACGCCTCACTCACCCTCCGTTCCCCTCTCTCTCTAACAACGGTGCGTCCTCGTTTTCCACGCCTACCACTCTACACTACAGCCTGCCCCAACACAGAGCATATAGCGTGACTCACCGAGCGGTGTTTTTCCTCTTTTTTTTTAGTTATAAACTATAATATGCTGTTGGGAATTGAGCCAGATAAAAAAGGAGGTCAGTTTCGGGAAGGCGGACGTCAAATTCTCCGCTTAACCATATTTCATATTTGGTTTCGATTCCGCCTCTGTAGTCAGTGTGATGCTGTTGCCTCCCCTTTTTCAAACGCCTTTCATTATATCCGTTGGAGGATGACGTGGATTTTACCTTTTTCTATATTATTATTATAATAATTTTTTTAAGGTAAAAAAAGGGTATCATTAGGACCGAGGGTATAAATGTAATTCCAAAAATGTATGATAGTGATTAGTGAAGCATCATTAATATGTTAAGCAGGTGTCCAGTTCAGCATGCTGTCAATATTAATTTTGTTAATCACAATTATTACAGGATGATTAGTTACACCTGCAGCAGGAATCATTCAATGTTGTGGTTTTCTGCAGCTTGTAACGTCTATATTAATACTAATCTTCAAACTTAAGAATTGAATTTGAATTGTTTTTAAGTAGGATCCGACAGCTAATCTCTTGGGTTCAGGCACGTGGCGGGAATCACGACCGTCAGTGTGGCTGAAATCCGACGGCTAGGATAAAAGCATAATTCCGGGCAGTTTATAGTTATGTGAGTAATATGTTTGTCAGGAAATTTTCAGTTGGGCTGAGCACTCGAAAGTGAATAGTTAGTTCTATAAGACCAATTTATTAATTTTGTGTGATTATTTGCTACCCTTTTCAATTTATTGATGAATATAAATACATGAAAATTCGATCAAGACTTGCACGGTAGCTTAAAATGGAAACAAACAAAATTATGGTAATGAATGACAGACAGTATGATAAGGTTTCAGTAACTTATTAATTGTTTAAAGATGGGGGCAAGATTTTCATTAGTTGTATGATGGGTTTTTGTCTTTTGACCCTCACTTGTCTTGCTTCCTTTTGGTTGAGTAAATTATCAAATATGGGTGGCCTACCATTGCTACCCTCTTTTTTATTCTTATAATATTAATAAAATAAAAAAGAAATAAATCCATTCATTTCATTTAAAGTAGAATGTTAAAATCGAGTGGTTATGACATGTCTTAGGTACAACAGCAAGTTATTCTGTGACAATGAACCTTTTTGTAAAGGAGAGAGGTGGGAGCCTCAGGCACATGGAAATAATTAAAGAAGAAGAAATCCAATAACTACAGTAGATTAAGTGAAACCCAATAAATTGGAAAAGGAGAAACGACAAAAGTTGGCATAATTCTGATTTTTCTTGTAACTTGGGAAAAACCCAAATGGCCATGTTTACTATGCAAGTTAGTGGTAAGACCAAATCAAAAATTTGTAACAGTTAAAGACAGCTCTTTTTTTCAGGACAACATGGGCATAACATGGTATCCAATTATTTGATGAAGGGGGTATTCAGTCAAAAGGGATTTTTTTTTTTCTTTGCATTGCATGTGCCTCGCACATGCAATGGCTTTGTTGATTCTCGGACAGCAGAAGGTAAGAGATAATGGAAAAATAAGACAAACACACTCAACTCCTAATGACAACAAACATGCGTTCTAAATTAGGCAAAAAGGGAAAAACATTCAGAAGCAGTTGAAAGAATTAAACCAGTCCTAAATTACATGGGAAGCCTTTCGAATTTCTCGCACTTTTCCTGTCCGTCCGATGATGGCCGGATGTCGACGACGACTCAATTTGGGGCGAAATTTTACCCAGGGGTAGTCGGATATAAATACATCCCAGAAAATTGGAGAATCGCAAATGAAAAATGTAGGGGTTATGGCACACTTATAACCAAATTAAAATGATAAAAACATAAAGAAGATTGGATCACCATTCATGACTTCTTGGGTCGACCTCTCTTCCCCGACCCTTTTCCTTGGGTGGTCGGCAAGCTTTTCGGCGTTGATGGAGGGCGCCCCCTCCCACGACCGTTGCCCTTTTTAGCTGCAGAAGATTTTCCGGCACTTTTCCCTCTTCCCTTGCTTTTTCCGTATTCGGTTTCACCATTAATCATTTCATCACTATCATCACTGTCTTCATCATACTCGCTGCTTTGCTCATCCTCTGAAGAGCTTTTGACTTTCTTCCTCTTGGTTGACTTGGGAGATCTTTTTGCTGGTGCCTTTTTCGAGTTCTTCTCGGCTTTGGCAGGTGCAGGAGCAGTATCAGGAGTTTCAGCTACTGCAGAAGAGTAAATTCAGAACATATATTAATGCATCAAATGCACCCGAAAGATGAACCATCTTGACCAATCAAATATCTCCCATATGTGCAAGAACAATTTAAGAGGGAAGTGTTTTGCCAAGGTTTCGGAGGATTTCTTTAACACATATTATGTTAATATACCTTCATCGATAGCTTTGCCATCATAGACTTCGAGCTGTAAGGACAAGAGGAAACAAAATATACCATTTAGAAGTTCTATCAAATTGACAAACCGTAAGGTGATTTAAACATGAGGATATATCAATCACATACAAGTTCAGTATAATTGACTTTATGTTAAAATTAGAAAAGAATACCTGGTCGAGTCGATCGGCGACATTGGTTCTATCAACAATCACCAATGAATAGCCCATTCCACAGGCAACACTATAACAAAAAGTGTGACCCAAATAAATTTCCTGAAGAAACTTCATTGATAGAAATGTATGTAATTATAATTGGAAACAAACCTTGAAACATGCATCCCCTCCAATATGTCAACTTTTTTAGGATTCACAGAAGATCTACACAATTAGGGAGCAAAAGAAAAGGGTCAGAAATGTAAGTTCGCACACTTCCACACAATCCGTGGGTGGATCAAAAACAAGTTTGATTAGTAGCATATAAAGTTCACATATGAAATTAACAAATACTTTGGTCCAATATGTCCGTAGCCCAGTTCCCCAGATTGTGCATGTCCCCAGCTAATACATGAAGAATCAGCACCAACAAAGTGATGTGAATTGCCTGAATCCATGCAGCGTAGATTCCAGCCACTGTAGAAGGTGTCAACAACAAATCAATAAATAAATTAACAATATCCTGCTGTATGAGCCTCCCATTGCTTGGTATGCAGAAAACTATGTTGTTAAGCAATACTTAAGTTGAAGAATGCTTTGTAATAATAATGATGCACGGTGATATTAAATAAATTGATATAAAAACAAGCCAATTTTCTAGTATTTTTCAAAAATAGTTTCCCTAGAATATCAAGGCAAAGAGGGAAAAGGATACACATATGTACTCTCCTCCAAGCAAATATATACTAATATATCCTCCCTGCATAATGAAATTGATACATACTAATATCCTCAATTCATTCAAAAGACCATATAAATAAGGACACTAAACACAATCATGATGCAAGAACCACAACCTCAAATCCATAAGTGGTTTAGGGTACATCCAATCATCCCCAGAATTCTTTATCTTGCCCCACATATAAAGCTGACCACCTCCTGCAGAAACAACAAATTATCGGAGATTTTCCTTACAATGCCCGCAGATGAGGCTCATATAGAACATCTTCACAGAAATGTACCATACCAGCTGTACATGAAGAATTTGCAGCACCAGCTGAAACAACCGAATCTGGAGGAAGGATATTGTGCCTAGTGAAAACATCCACACATCGTGGAACCCACTCATCCTTCTGCTCTCTATGTCCAAGCCTGTAGTCAGCAGCTAAACCATGAGAAATGGTAAACGAAATGCATATAGCCAATCAGTACCAGTGAAATAACAGACAAACCTTCCATAGCCACCATAGCCCCAACTGGTCAATTGCAACAAAAGAAAAATATAAACAAACACAGAAAATCATCACATGTTACTCGTATTAATATCAATAAGAAAAATAAGTCAAAATTTCACCACACGAAATGCAGACTTACGTGTAAACATGGCCATTTTTAGTCACTGCCACTGAAATCAGCCAAGCAAATACGACTCATTGTTAACTACCTCACAGAACAGGGAATAAATAAACTTGGGGGAAAAGCTAAAAAATGAAACAGATGGTATGTCAAAGACCTGTATGATTGGTTCCACAAGCAACTTTTACTATAGTCTCTCCCGAAAGAGCAGCTATAGCCCTTGGGCGAGGCTGAGCTTCGTAAGCAAGCTTAACTGAGCTGTCTTTGGTATTATACTGCAACCAATCAAATGAAGTGACAATCTTGAGTATAGAAAGTATACGATCATTACCAAATATAGTAATTAATTTCATGGTTTGGACATCAGAAATTCCACCCAAATTTTATGGATAAAAATAGATTCGTATATATTTGATCAATGAATAAGTTTACTAGAGGGGTATCTACAGATTAATAGAAAGGAAAAGAAATAAGAAGTGAGATGAATCAAAATGTTGAGAGTTTCCAGGAGAAGATAGCTATACCCCATCCTGAAGATAGAAATTGGCTCAAGTGCATTAACAACAGTCAAAAGACAAAAACATCTAAATGAGCACAGGACTTGCATAATGTTTGGCTATGCCACATGAAGAAAACACACAAGCAGTGGTCCAATGTATATTCCAGTTTTAAAAATTGATTTTTTTTTCCTTTAAAATGTCCCAAACACCCTAATCCAAATACAACCATTACGCGCGTTCAAATTCAAGTCTGTACACTTTTTATATAAGACCTAGTTTTAATCAATATATTGGATACTAGATTCCAACTTAAAACCAATTGGTGTTAAATATATTAGCTCTTTACCCTTATAGGTAATAAGGAGTTCCCATAATATTCCAATGTGGGACAATATTCAACAATTATATAATCCATTTGCACATATTTATCCTGCACTTCTATTTTTATAACAAGAAAATCCTTCACTTGATTCCATTTATATATTTCTATTTATCCAGAACACCACATAACTAAACTCCAAAGTCCAAGCACATCTTCCTTTATATTCATCCAAAATCCCTACTTTCAATTTCCAAACAGTTAGCACAAAACACCTAAGCCCAGAACATCAAAACAAGTGAACCTAAAACAGTGGTTATATCTGTAATCCAAAACATACAGGTAAAGAACAATGCACAGTTACTTCTAAATGGTAGTCAATACTGACATCCACAGTTGTAGTTTGAAGACGTAAACAATAGAAATAGCAATCATCAAAGCATAAAGTTCCCATTAAGAGTTTAGACAAGTACATTAGTTTCTAAAGACTGTAAAGCCCATCAAACTCAAAGAGAATATCAACACTTTATGAGAAAACTAGTGTCTCATAGAAAATAACCTGACTAGGCATAAACAAGTTATATTAATAAATACGGACCAAGCACATTTTAATTCACTTAAGGATGAATGAATTCTACAGTGACCACAAGATGGAACCAAAATGAAAAAGCTAATTTCGGTATACACAGGAAACTTCCTGTGGGCATACCTCATTGTTAGTACCATGTCCAAGCTGACCATACTGAGGAAGACCAGCAGTTCTTCATGTGTGAAATTTGGAATGAATTGATGGGGAAGAAAACATATGTAAGATTAAAGAAAAGATCAGCAAGTTACTATAGAGACTATTTACATAATAAAGTGACAAATTATATTAGGGTGTGTTTGTTTGGAGGATTTTCCTGCAAATACACTATTCATCCAATTTTTTCTCCCCAAAAACATCAAAGCAAACACCTTTTCATTTTTTATATTATACTAAAAATCAATTTTACATTCAAAACATCACATCAACACTTTTTTATATCACATCATACAACTATTCAAATTCAAAATTTTTACTATTCAAATCCCAACTCAAAATCCAAACCCCCAAACAAACACACCCTAGTATGTAAGTGACAGAGTCTACAAACCATACAATATAGAAGATCCTTCAGCAGATGTCAACCACACAGTAAAATCACCACCACAAACAGCAGTTGTAACTTCAGATACCTGGCAACGAACTGGGGATGGCTCAATTTCTGCAATGGATAACCAACAATGATAAATCCATCAATGATATTCTAGTTTCTGAAGTAACACCCAGACAAGACAAATCTATGAGGTATATCGCATACTTCTATGACTTGGACAAACGTAAGCCTTCAAAATTACAGTCATACAGGAACGTGCGCTATAGCCGGTGTTGCGAATTGTGATTAAAGTATTACCACAAATCCACATTTTAAAATAACCTAAATCAAATATTGAATTCAAATTTCGAAAAAGCATGAATAGTTGACCACAAGAAAGTTATAACCTAAAATCTATATCAATATCCTAGATACGCGTGTATTTAGGTCTTATTAAGTCAGATGATACCAAGAAAACAGAATTTACATGGCCGGAAGTTATCTGAGTTGCTTGTCCCTTAAAGGAAACCCGATCGATCAGAAATAAGCAATTTATCATCCTGAATGCTGACTCAAAACATAAAACTATAATTTAAATGAAGTTCCTTAAAACAGTGTCGCTGCGCAGAGATAGAAATAATTGTTACCATAGAAAAGGGTTTCAATTCCCTTTAGTATCATATAGTAGCTTCCCAGTAGGATAGCATGATTCTTATTATAGTACAAGGAAAGAAATGGACAAAATGATAATATAAACACGACGGACAAATTATAGCAATTCAATGATAATTTCATATAAGTGCATTTTTTTTCTGACAATCCAACGATACAAGAAAACGGGTCCAAATTCCGAGAGTGTTTTGAAGGCAAAAATAAAATAAATGATAAACAGAATTTTACAGATAAATCTGAAAGTGAAACTAACCATTTTTTACAGAACCTGACCCCAACTGTCCGTGTTTATTCCAACCGAATGCAAAAGAGTGGCCCTCTTCCGTCACCACCACGGAATGACTTCTGCCAGCCCCTGCTCTAACAACTTTATACCTGAAGTGATTTATCCATAGCAGGAAAATATTTTTAATTCACCAGAATTCAAATCTTAAAAGCACTGATCGCTTAATGGGTGTTCTATCACATTTAAATAACTTAGCATTCACCAGAGCATCATACAAACTAATGGTCATGAATCCACAAAAACTATCATATTATTTGGGACTAACAAAGAAAAGACACCACCATGCCCCATAATCTCCAAAACACATTCAAACATAATCCGAAAGTAGCGAAAGAAACCAACTTGGACAATTCTGAAACCACAGTAGGCCGATCTCGCTGAACTTTATCCCCATGCCCAAGCTGTCCCTTCTGTTTCATTTAAGAATCCCAAACCCATGCCCTATTAGAAAACCATAAACGCTCAATTTAGATCATAACTCTAAGTAACAAATCAAAAACCATGCCTCGTTTCGCCCCCATGTGTAGCATCTTCCTTCGACGTCCACTGCAACACAATGACAAGACACTGCATACACAACAAAACTCCATCAAAATTCAATTCAATTGTAACTAAAACCACAGCATATCTAACATAGACGCTTCACTGCGTAAATCAACAAACTAAAAATTAAAACACCAAAATACGGAAAAAAAAAAAAAAGAATTGAAAATTTTCCATATTTTACCGCAACCAGCGGCGACGAAGCAAATGTCCACCCCCATAAGAGGGCGCAGCCTAGTCGGAGACACCAAATTTTCCGTCGGCAAAGCCTTCCGGCGACACATTGTATCCCATGTCGTTGTGCCGCAGAAAAGCAACTCCCCACCCTTGGCTTCCTCCACTTTCTTCCCCTCGTCCGCTAGCGCCATCTCCCGCCAAACTCAGCTCTAAATTAAATCAACAAACTATCCAAGCCGGAGATCCAAACCCCAACCCACGCCCAAAATGCTGGCACGAAGGAGCAGCAGCAACAGCAACTTGTAACCCGCAGAACAGCCGACGGCCGCAAGGGTTAGATGTTGAAGAAAAGAACAAATCCCTAAATTGAAGCAGCAGCGTCGAAAAGAAACATTTGAAAACTGAAAACCCTACTGCACCAAACACCGGCATTCGTTCGTCTTTATACATACATTTATATAAATATATATATATATTGTGTATTGTATACGATTTAATGGATAAATAACGGATTATTAATATTAATTTTATTATTATTTTCTTTATTTTCGGCGTTTCCCACGATGCTCGATCACTATCATTTTCTTTGGTTGATGCAACGTATAGTACCACTCTATACCACATTTTAATTTGCATAGGCTTCCCGCGAGTTTCATTTCCTTTTTCGGAAAATTGTGTGAGAGTTTTACCATAATCAGATTTCAGATGGATTTTTGTAAATAAATAAATAACATATATATATTTTTACTATTATTATTACTGAGTTGCTGTTTTGCTTATGGAAGAAATATTTTTGCCTTTATACAGAAACATATATTGTTTAGGGTGAAGTCCATCTGCTAAGGCCCTACAGAAAATAGTAATGGGCTTTAAAGTCGGTTTGGGCCTTACATGTAAAGTGGCCTTCATACAGTCCAAATGTCTTCCATTTGTTTGTAAGGGAAGTGGATCTGATATTATTAATTTTTTAAATATATAATATGAAGTTTTTTTTTTTTTTTTTGCCTAGCCCACATTCTTCTCAAAGATGTTGGGAACTAAATGTATTTCTTTTCATGTGACACGTGCGTAATGCAATGCATGCATGCAGATCAGAGAAGTTTTAATTGGTGATACTAAAATGAAATTCTGAAATTAATTAATTGTGTTGGCTGAAATTTAGATGGTGTACATAATGATGAAAAATTAAAGTTACTAATCGGATGCATGAAGGCATAATTGAACAAATTTAATACCGAGAAGGCGAGTCACATTATAGGTCGTGATACCGGTGCCTAGAATCTCCTCCCCCAATCCCAATAATATGTCTTCATGGACAATATATTACTTAAGTGGCTGTATAAGTTATTTTTTCTTTATAATTTATATGTTATTCAACCAAATATTATATGTTTATTATAATTATAAAATAAAAATAAAAATAAAAAATTCAAGCAAAAAGTGGGTAACTCAATTATCAACGTGTTTATTGCACACTTCCATCTTCTTTAAGTTGGTGGATAATGATTAACAACTTACGAATACATACAAGGTGTATATATGTATGTATATGGTATAACGCCTTTGCATTTCTTGTACAATTATAATTTATAAACACTTGCTTTTTGTTCAAGTAGTAAATATATTACCCGGATCCGTAATCCCTTCACTTGATTTGGATCCAAGTACCCGGACCCGGGATGCCCTTGTGAGAAACAAACAGGATATAAAATCCCGCCGGAGCAAGATTGGCGGAGCCCGGCGCCACCACGGGTACTTCATAAGTGGACTTTCCAACGGCTGCGACTTCGCCACGTGTCAGGATCAGCAGCCGTTGATTCATCGCAAAAGAGTGCGTAGTAAATGAGGGGGCAACCATTGTTACCATGATGTCTCCGGTCGCCACTTTCGATCTCTCAGGGACTGTGAACCGGACCGGGAACCGCCGCCCGTGCTGGACCGCCGTCGGCGACGGAGGGGACACTATCGTCGGACGTAGATATGCGAACGAACGGTCGAGATACGCCGGCGAGAATGCCTCGAGAGACAAATCCGTCGGAAACATAACGCCGGTGAAATTGTAATACTGGTGAGGATTGCTGCCCCCGACGAGGACACGGCCGTCCCGGAGCAGGACGGCGGAGGAATGGTACATCCGGGCCCGGGAGCTCGGGGCATGGACCTCAAACCTCGACCCGGCTGGATAATCGGGTTTGTATGTAACCGGGCGCAATGCCGGGTCACGGCCGAATTCCCAACCGGCTGTGCCCGAACCCGCCCCATTGAGTATAAGCACATCGGCGGTCGGAAGCAGCAGCATGTCGCTCATGACCCGACCCATGGGCATGGTTTCTATGTACCACTGCGGGTTCAAGTCGTTTATTCGGATCCTCCCGCACGTGTTGAGTGCCCCAATAAATTTGCCCTTGCGCACTTTGAGAAACGAACCGGTCGGTGCGCCGCCGCAGACCAGGACCTCGGGACCTGCATTGTCCTTCAATGGCAGCAGAACTGCGGATCCTGTGCTTGGATAGTTTCTCGGATCCCCGCCCGGAATTTTCGGGTAGGATCTTACTACCTTCTCTTTCCAGTAATCGAACAGTATCGCTTGATTATTAGCGTAGATGAATAGATTTCCGTCGGTGTTGAGGAAGACATATGGATACAAATTGTTTTCGATTTGGAAGTCTGTAGTCTGTTTTAGAAACGGGAGATAACGCGCACCGTCGCCGGAGCCGGATTTCGGGTGGAATTCGTAGGTGAAGGTCTGCCTTCCGCCGACGATTATCTGCCGGCCGTCCGGCAGAATTTGACTGGTGGCGTACCAGCGTTTCTCCGCCAGGGCGCCGTTAATCTCTTCCCAATCACAGGAATGGCTCCGGCAAGGTTTGTACAGTCGGACGGCACGCTCGCCGTCGTTGAATCCTCCGGCTTGGATTAGGGTTCCGTCCGGCGCGACGGCGCCGGAGGAGCACCAGACGTCGGTGAGGACGTTGAGTGGTCGGATTGAGTTGGAGAAGACGTCGTATTCGACGGAATGTGCAGTGCAGTCAGTTTTCAGCATAAGCTCTTTCGGATCGCGGCGGCATTTGCCGTCCGGCAGGGATATGTTGGACGGTCCGAAATCTGTTCGATCAAACATGGCGATGCGATCGGTGTGGAGGAGCTGCATGTGCATGGCGGATATTCCGATATTGGGCACCAGGACCTCCCACTTTCCGGCGGCGGACGCTAGATTGGTGCATTGGGAGAGAAAGACAGAAAGTATTAGAAAGAAATCGCGGCGGCGTAGATCGCCGGAGAATTTGGAGGCAGAAGCCATGGCGGTGGTGACTTAGTGCCCCGTTTGGTTGCCTTTAAATGGTTGAGGTCCGAATCCGTTGCTTTAGAGAAGTAGCTAGTGTGATTAGAGAGTTCCACACGTTTGGAACTTTCTATTAATTTATTTATTTATTTTTAAAACGTAACTAAAAACAAATTATTATTATAAAATTATTATCTAAAATATAGTCAATGTATATAGTGTCTCAAATATTAATTAATAAAATAATTACTTTTACCACTCTTATCTTCTTCACCCGTCCGTCATGGATTTTATTATTTTTTACATCTAATAAATAAATAATTAAACTTCAATAATAATTTATGATATATATATATATGTATGAAGAAGAAAAGGGAAAAGAGTTTGGTAACAAATACGTATGGAGATGACATATCTTTGTATGATTTTTCAAAATTTTCCTCATTTAATTAAATCTACCTCAAAACTACTTCATGCTTGGATATGTAAACCCATCAAAATATAGGCAATGAAAGCATTTACTAGTTACTACATCATCAAACCGAAATTTGCGTGTAATAATAATAGTGACATTAGTGGATAATTTTTCATGATTCTCGTGTTAAGTAACGATTAAATTAGTTAGAATCGAATAGATTGAGTGAGTGACTGAGTGAGACAGTCTCTAATGGAGTCAGTTTTTTTTTTTTTTTTTTAATTAAAGTAATGAACGGTCTATTCGCTTTGTGTTTTGATATTTTTTTATGTGAAGAATGATAATTGAGTAGGTAATATAAAAATAAAAATTGTGTGTAATATATTATTTTTTAAAAAAATAAATATTGAAAAAATTTGTTGAAAGAAACACAGGCGGAATTCTTTGGATCCGATCCTTCCTTCCTCAATTTCAAGGTTTTTTTTTTCATTTTTTCTACTATTTTTTTGTTCTTAAATACGTTGAATTGTCGATATAAAATAAATATACATTAAACTTTATATAAATAACAATAATATTATCAAGTTTGCCGAGTTTATGAGACTAAGTGGTGTAGCTAGGGTTAAGACTAATCTATAATTTCTTTTCCGAACAAACGAGTCTCGAATTTGTAATAATCACCTAATTGACATTTATATTTTCATATATAGTCTTTATAATTGCTTTAATTTCAAAAGATTCGCAAATTTTCAAAATAATAGTCTCATATGTATGCACAATTATTGAATTAAAATATGGTCAATAATGTTGACAAGAATCTCTCCAATATTTCTCCATCATTAAAATTTTATATTTAGGGTGTGTTCGTTTGTAGGATTTCATCCAAATTCTACTATTCATCCAAAATTTTCCCCCCAAAAACATCAAATCAAACCCCTATTTTTTATTTGTTATATTATACTAAAAATCAATTTTACATTCAAAACATCACATCAACACCTATTTATATCACATCATACAACTATTCAGATTCAAAATTTTTACTATTCAAATCCCAACGCAAAATCCAAAACCCCAAACAAACACACCCTTAAAAAATAAATAAATTATACATAATACGATGGATTTAGTTCATGTTATATGACGTACTTTTTTCCTAATTGGTAGAGACATTAAAATTAATTGAATAACTGAAGATTAAATGGACTTGATTTGTATTCTTTGTAATAATAATAATAATAATAATAATAATAATAATAATAATAATAAAGAGAATATTTGCTAGCTGTTTTTGTTTAGCTATTTTAGTTTTGTATGTTCTGATCTTCAATAATATTTTGGCCTAAATAAAATTGGTAACAGCAATCGAATCCAATGTGGTCACGTTTAAGCAATATTTGCTTGTTCCAGCCTATCTTATTGTGTCTTTTAATTGAATTTGGGCCACAACATATATAGGCCTGATTTCCAGGGTATTATGTTCGGCCGGGGTTTACTCAATGCGCACTTTCGGGTAATGGCTGCGGGTTCCCACGTCATCCTTTAGGTTTTGTATATATATTTGAAATAATTGAGGTTGATAATAACGTAAACCATCCATGCATGTTCTTATATATCATTTCCAACACATATGGATTCAACTTGTCTAATTTAGGGGACTTAAGGGTGTGGTTGCTTGGATATTGGAGTCTCGTCTTGTTATCATTATTATTGTTTTAAATTAATAGTAATTAGGAGGATGTCTAGGCTTTGTTCAACCAGTGTTCTTTTATGGATTGATTTTTCATGGAAGTATGAAAAATTATGTAAAAAATATATATATATATATTATTTTAAATTAAATATTTGATATTTTTGACTTTATTTATATTTGTATTACTATTATTTATGAAGAATCGCAATTCAAATTGGCTTTGGCGGACAAAGCCTTAGTTGTATTTTGTTGGGGTTTGTTTCATTTTTATTTGATTTTTAGTTTATATACTTTATCCATCAGTGAAATTTATTTTCGTTATTATTATCATCTATTTGTTAACTTTACCTTATAACTATATTTAGAAAAGTAAATAAAATAAAATAATTAATATTTAATTATTCCCCTAATTCTATACTTATTTACAAAAAATATCATTAAGTTTATTATATTGTCTTTATTCATTCTTTTTTATTACTAATTAAATTTAAAAAAATATCTTTAATTATCTTTTTACTTTGATTATTTTTTAAATTAATTTTTATTTTTTAAATTTTTGTGTCGGATTCCAATAGACTAAATATGAGACAAAGAAAATATACAGTATTTTATTATTATTATTATTATTATTATTATTATTATTATTTTCATGTCGGATCAAATAGACTAATATGAGAATGAGAGAGTAGTGTTATATTTGATGTTGTGTGTTATATATTTTTTTTATTGAGAATTGGATGAACTAAATTTTAATAGTGTATTTTTTATTTTTTGAAATAAAAACAAATTAAACTAAGTAATAGTAAAATTTTGAAGCAAAGTGGTAGTTAATATAGGTTTTTGATATCATACTTTGAATGAAAAAATAATTTTAAATGTAGCATATTAAATATAAAATAAATTACAGTTTATAACATAATTTGTAAAATACGAAATCATTTGATGATATGAATAATTTTGTCACGTAAAAACTTATTGACATTGACCACACAAAGAGAAACATCACCTTAATAACTACATACAGTATTTAGGAGTTAGGACAAATTGTTTGCTCTGACCTAATTAATTTAAATCCAAGCCGAATAATAATAATAATAATAATAATAGCTTATATTATTTTCAGGGTGGGTAACCAGCAATTCTACCTTAAACCAAGAATTTCGATGCAACTGGTAATCATTGCAAGAGAATTTAACAAATACTAGTTGATGAAATTATTTAAATTAATTAATTAAAAACACTTGAATGCATGCATATATGTGATATTCATCTGTGTCCAAGAACACCTAATCAACCAGTCATTTATATATATATATATATATACACACACAATTATTATATGTCCAACAAATTCATCCTTCTCAAAATATACCTTGTTTTACCAACAGACAAACACTACTACACTAATGTACCTTAAATTATAATTTATTTACAAAGGAATATAAATATAATGTGAATTTATATATGTTTATTGTTTGTCCCAAATAATACTTCTATGTCAATTAAAGCCAACATAAATTATAAGCACTCTAATTAAGGTAACAAAAATTATATGTAAACCCATAAATCGAATGTGCTTTGATGTGTTTTAGGTCATTCTATCGAAAATTTCCCCCAAAATTCGCCCGACACTCGAAGGAAAATTTGCACATATAAATGCAAAATGTATATTAGATTTTTCAAAAAAAAACCCTTTTTGCCAACAATTATTTATATCAAGTTATTGAATTTTGATGTAGTAATGAACTCACAAAAATTAAATAAATTTGTATATAAATTAAACATATATATACATAGATTATGAAAAATATTAATACATGAATATTGGCGCGGTCAAAATGAGCATCCACGTTTAAACCATATCTTAAGAATATACTTACAATTATACATATATATATATATATATTATAATATGCATGCATGAATGCACATGTTATATTCCAATGAGAGCAAAGTCAAGGGGTTCTTTAATTTATATTTACATAAAATCGACAAGTCGGATATCTTGTTGGGGAATATTTTGTGGGGAGTAATTTATTGTGATATAACACTACTCTCTAATTCTTGAATTTCATATGATTAGAGGAAAATATATAAAACACTTATTTAAAATATCAAAAAACATTGCTTCGGATATGATATATACCATTTTGGGGTACCTAATTAAATTTTAGAATGTTACAGGTACGTACAACTACACTAAAATAACCTATAAAACAGAGTGGCAGAATTATTTTCATATATTTAGAATGATCAAATAATAACACCACACCAAACTTTTAAATATTTACATCCTAAATAAAATATATATATATATATATCTTTCACGTACGTGGATATAATTTAGATTAATTATAACTGTAACGATATGCATGCAGTATTATTAAGGTAATTCCCCACGTAATTTTAAAAACAAATGTATACGCGCTATTATATCATCAAGTATCATTCTTCAACTGCCATAGCTGCCAAATATACATATATATTATATTCGATCGACGATAATATTCCTTAACCCTAATTAAATTAATTACAATGTCAGAATGTATACATCCTTAACAATGAACAAACCCTAGTCCCTCATTTCCCAACACTATATAAATCCCATAAATCCAACTTCTGAGATCAAATACCCAAATTAAGTTTCATCATCAGCACTACCAATGGCCGCCATCAATGCAGCTTTTCTCACACTGGCTTTAATTCTCCTCCTCCATCAAAATCCCGCCGGCGCCGGCGAGTGGAACCTCCTTAATCCAAACGCCGGCGTCCCCGCCATGCACATGCAGCTTCTCAACACCGACCGCGTCGTCATCTTGGACAGAACTGATTTCGGCGCCTCTAACATCTCCCTTCCCAACAACCGTTGCCGCGACGATCCCAGAGATCTCACTCTCAAGCACGACTGCACTGCCCACTCCGTCGAATACGACGTCGTTTCCAACACAGTTCGTCCTCTCAACGTCCTCACCAACACCTGGTGCTCCTCCGGCGCAGCCATGCCCGACGGCTCTCTTTTGCAGACCGGCGGCTACAACGACGGCGACCGCAATGTCAGGACCTACAAACCCTGCAAAGATGATTCCTGCGACTGGGAGGAATTTAATGCAGCTTTGACAGAGAGACGATGGTACGCTACCAATCAGATCCTCCCCGACGGCAGGCAGATAATCGTCGGCGGTCGCCGTCAATTTAATTTTGAATTTTACCCGAAAACACCCGGGTCGGATCTAGCATACAATTTGCCATTTCTTTGGGATACCGACGATCGTGGCATTGAAAACAATCTCTTCCCGTTTGTATTTTTGAATGTCGACGGAAACTTGTTCATTTTCGCCAACAACAGAGCCATTCTGTTCGACTACGTGAAAAAACAGGTTGTCAGAACCTACCCGACAATTCCGGGTGGGGATCCGAGGAATTACCCGAGTTCAGGATCCGCTGTTCTGCTTCCACTGACAAACCTTCAAGCCGCCGGGGGAAAAGGTCCCGCCGCCGAAGTCCTGGTCTGCGGCGGAGCACCAAACGGATCATTCACCAGTGCTAATAGCAACAACTTTGTCAAAGCGCTGAGCACCTGCGCCCGGATCCGGATAACCGACCCGAACCCGCAGTGGTCCATGGAAACCATGCCTTTGCCACGTGTCATGGGCGATATGGTCTTACTACCGAACGGAAATGTCCTGATCATCAACGGCGCCGCCTCCGGCACTGCCGGGTGGAACGTCGCTCGTGACCCGGTTCTTAAACCGGTCATCTATAGACCGGGAAACCGGTTCGGGTCAAGATTCGAGGTCCAGAAGTCGACCTCCACTCCTCGTATGTATCACTCGACTGCAATTCTGCTCCGCGACGGTCGGGTTCTTGTCGCCGGCAGCAATACTCATGCTTACGATACTTTCGCCGGCGTGCAATTCCCGACGGATTTGACCCTGGAGGCCTACTCGCCGGACTATTTGGATCCGAGACTCGCCAAAGTCCGACCCAGAATCACATCCCCGGCGTCGCACTCCGAAATCGGGTACGGACAGCCGCTCAACGTCACCTTCACCGCTCAAGGCGGGATTAACAGAAGCTTGATACGAGTGACAATGGCGGCGCCGCCGTATACGACGCATTCATTCTCGATGAACCAGAGAATGTTGGTTCTTACCAACGAGGTTCGGAGGAGTGCTGACGTCACGCCCATTGGGAGATCCAACTATCAGGTCCGGGTTGTTTCTCCGGGTTCAAGTATACTTGCCCCGCCGGGGTATTATCTTCTGTTTGTGGTTTATCGGGAGGTTCCGAGTCCGGGTATTTGGATCCGAATCAAGTAGTCAGTATTCCCTATTTGTTACCATTAATTAATAAGTATAATGTGTATCCACTGCTTCAGACATGGCTGCACGTTTTCGTACGTTGTCAATTTCTTAATTAGTATTTAATACGACGCGTTTTTTTTTTTTTTTTCTCATCCAGCGTTCTTTTTCTGATTGATTACACTTATAAACTAACAATCCAATATCGTGTAAAAATAAATTCATTAGGTCTAGGTACAAGTTTTAATATTATAATAGAGTATGTATTTTTATTTTTTATAGTAAAAAATAATTAAAAATTATATTGAACTTTTAGGTGAAACGATTATTTTGTATCCGATATAATATTCGAGTCATAATGTCCGTATTAAGTATTTATTATCATCTATGAAAAGTGTTAAATATTGTCTTACATTATTAAATATGTAAAAACTCTCATGGTTTATAAATGTGAATCACCATTTCATCCATTGTCAATTGATTTTAGGTTGAAAATTCGAATTTATTGTTAACTGAATAAATAATAATGTATACATCATATATTACATATTTTTAACCCTTTTTATGATGGTAAAAAAGTATTTTGAATTGACACGAATGAGTATTATTTATAGTATAATACAAATTTATAGCTATTTTTCTAAATTAACATGATAATCGAAAAGTAAATATGGTTTGATAAAAATATATTCCATGTTTCAATTCAAAAAGATCATTTTGAGTTTTTATAGTATCTATATAAAAAAAAATAAGGTTACTATTTAATTCTAATTTACACTATGTTATTACTTTTATATTAAATAATAGGGATATTTTTGTCTTTTACTATAATTCAATATAATTTAAATATTAAAAAATCTATTTGCAAAAATTAATGTCACCCACTGTTTCTTTTGACATCTAACTCCAATTTTTTATTCTTTATATTCCGTATTTTTTGAAAATGTATTCTTTTTTTATTTATAAATATCTCAATCATATATTCCATTCATCTAAGTTAAAAAATATACAAATTTATTTTGTGACGTCCAATTATTAAGTAAAATTTTATTAAATACTTAATTTTTTTTCACAAATATCCTTACTTTACGTCAGATCATTATTTTTCCATCAAAAAGTAAAGACAAAAATATTATTACATTACTTTTAACTAATACTGTGTGTGGACGGAGAGAATATTATTTTAATATTAAATTTAAATAATTTTTTTTAAAATAAATAAAAAAGACACTTGTGGTGATATATTAATATAATATTTTAAATATAAAAATAAATATTAATAAATATAAAAAGTTAAATATTTTATTTTATGAATATGGAAAATCCTATAAAATCATTCATACAAGCACAACGTTCAATTGTTTTTAAAGTTTACAAAACAAGGAGCAAATTGTACTTTTGCATCAACTCGGATTCTCATAAACAATCACGAATATAAAAAGAAAGAAAGAAACAAATCAATGGCCTCTATCGATCTATTGATTCAACTCCCAATCCCTTACTTCAGTAGATCGGATCTCTTCGAAACCCCAATACGTCAACCATGTCGTCGACCTTCAGCGGCGATGAAACGGCGCCCTTCTTCGGCTTTCTCGGCGCTGCTGCAGCTCTCGTATTCTCCTGTGAGTTATGCCTCTTCGATCGGTGCCTTATGTTAACACCAGGATTCAGGATGGCGCTTGTAGCGCAATTGAATGAATTCTGGTTTTGTAGGTATGGGCGCGGCTTATGGGACGGCTAAGAGTGGTGTTGGTGTGGCGTCAATGGGTGTGATGAGGCCGGAGCTTGTGATGAAGTCCATCGTGCCTGTGGTCATGGCTGGTGTTTTGGGTATTTATGGTTTAATTATTGCTGTAATTATTAGTACAGGTATTAACCCTAAGGCCAAGTCCTACTACTTGTTCGATGGCTATGCTCACTTATCTTCTGGACTCGCTTGTGGTCTCGCCGGCCTTGCCGCTGGTATGGCCATCGGAATCGTCGGAGATGCTGGTGTTAGGTATGTTTCTGATTTGAGTCCTCTTTTGCGCTGATTGCCATTAAACTTGGATCATAAGCATTTTGATCTAATTTTTCCATCTTCACATTGCTCTTCACTGGTGATCGGTGTGATGTATTTCTTAAATTTTTTTGGAGGTTATCTTCTTTGTTATATGAATTGTCATTTTGACTTTTTATCATCCTTGTGGTTTTCTGCTACTTGCTTACTTCGATATTCTTCAAATGCTTTGGACCTACATGGGGTTTTGAAGTTTGAACGTTCTTCAGCTTTATGTTAATAATCATCATTTCTTCCTGTATGATCCATGTGTTTTTAATCTAGTCAATCATTTGTTAGAGATTATGCCTGCAATTTTGAGGTGCATTGATTTCTGTTGTTTAGTGACAGTCAGAATCTTGATTTTCTTGTTCCTTGATCTTCTTCTGTGATATAATGTCCACTTCTTTGTGTATGTGATGAAAGATATAGAAAAACTCTTAGATTGCTCGAAAAATTTATGTTTCTTATATTGATTTTAGCAAGATATCACCAAGTACATACTCACTGCCTTTCTTCCTTGTCGATCATTATGGAACTTGGATAGAGAGAATCCAATGATACAATTTAGTACACATTATGTATTTCAACTTAGCACCTTTGCTCCTTGTTGCTACAATTGAATTCCCTTGTGACATGGTCCGAATTCTTGAATAATGGCTTGCAATTATACAACACTGGGAACTTCATTCATTCTTCTTCAATGACAGGGCCAACGCTCAACAACCCAAGCTCTTTGTCGGGATGATTCTTATTCTTATTTTCGCCGAGGCTTTGGCTCTGTATGGCCTCATCGTTGGTATCATCCTTTCCTCCCGCGCCGGCCAGTCTAGAGCAGACTAGAATGGCAGTTGGCTGCAGCACTGTTTTGGGTCCCTTCCAGCCAGGATTTGCAAGTCATGTTTGGAAATTGCTCGGAGAGAATGATAGCCCGGATGATGTTTGTGGGGTTAGATTGTGAAAGGGAAGCATTTTCCATGAATAAAGCTTCTGATATTTTATTGATTCAGGACAACCATTTGGACTCTTGCCTGTATTGTTTTGTTGAACCACGAATTTACGTTGAGCTACATATATGGCGACTTTGCCTGTTTATATATTTTTTTCGACTTGCTAGCAATTCACAATTCTCTTTCCATTCTTAAAAATGGGAGCTTTCACCTCCGCAGAATAATGGCGACGCGTGTATTAATATAACCATACATAGAATTTTCCATTGTACCAGAATTGTCCTGCAGGGATGGTCCAGATCAACTCGTCAAATCATCATTCAAAATGGCGGAGGAAGGAAGCTCATCCGCCGCCGCTGCCGAAAGGAAGAAACGCTTGCTATGGCCCAAGGTGTTGCGGTGGAAACCGACCTCTACCGACCACATCATCGCCTCCGAGAAGCGCCTGCTGTCTCTCCTCAAGTAATCCGAGTTTCGTAAGAACCCTAATTTGGCGTATCCGGCCTCTTAATTTTAGAAATTTAGTTTTGTATTGGTAAATTTTCAGGACTCCCTACCAGCAGGAGCGAGTTGATATCGGGTCGTGTCCGCCGGGATCGAATATCCGGTGGTTCCGGTCGTCTAGCAATGCTCCGAGATTCATAAATACTGTGACGTTTGATAGCAGAGAGGGGTCTCCGACTCTGGTTTTGGTGCATGGATATGGCGCTTCTCAAGGCTTCTTCTTCCGCAACTTTGACGCGCTTGCAAAACATTTCAAAGTGATAGCGATCGATCAGCTTGGGTAAGTGTGATTTTCCATTCATTCCAATCACAGAAAGATCATATTCTTTATCACAATTTTCCTCTTCGTTTTTGAATGATTTGCTTTATAGTTATACATAATTCGAAAAATAAGATCGCATATGTATGTATTACAGTAAATATAAGTTGAAGAGATTACTCCATTTTCCCTGCAAATCTTTCCTTCTTTGCTGTAGAAGAAATATGTGAAAGCAAAATAAATAATCCTTTATGGAGATGGAGTAACTGATAAGGACTCAACTCCATATTTCTTTGCAGTTGGGGTGGATCCAGTAGGCCTGATTTCAAATGTAAAAGCACTGAAGGTTAGTTGTTTTTGCAAATGAATTATTCTGCCAATTGGGTGGTGATACTCGATAGTGTTTGTCCGAGTGAAAATAATGGTTCTTGGTTTTCGATGTGCATATTTCTATGGCTTGGTAGGGCATAAATTTTACGGAAGGCATATTTTTATTTTATGTACATTATGTTGCAGAAACTGAGGCATGGTTTATTGACTCCTTTGAGGAATGGCGCAAGGCGAAAGGCCTTACGAACTTCATTTTACTCGGGCATTCTTTTGGAGGATATGTTGCTTCTAAATACGCACACAAGGCAAACCTCTATTATCGATTTTTCTCATATATGAACAAACCTAGTTCGATAATAGACCTGTTAGGTCAAATGATCCGTTATCCTATTATCGATGTGATCTATTATGCTTGTTGCAGCATCCCGAGCACATTCAGCACTTGATTTTAGTGGGACCTGCTGGATTTGCTTCAGAAACGGAACATCAGACTGAAGCTCTCACTCGATTTAGATCAACCTGGAAAGGTGTGATTATAAATCATCTATGGGAGTCGAATTTTACTCCGCAAAAGCTTATAAGGTGCTTGCTGTTTTCCTGAAACTCCCATCTTTCCTTGTTCTGCCATTGTTGTAATCTTTGAACTGTCTGTGATCATAACCATATTTTCTCCTAATTAAGGGGTTTAGGTCCTTGGGGTAAAGGCCTCGTTCGCAGATACACAAGTTCTAGGTTCGGCTCGTATTCAGAAGCAAGTTTGTTGAGCGAGGAAGAATCAAGATTACTTACAGGTGGGGATTGTTTGCTTTTCCTTTTAGACATCCATATGTACTGAAAGTACTCTGAACCATAGCCGTTCTACATCTCGAAGATTACATGTACCATACCCTGGCAGCTAAAGCCAGCGGCGAACTGTGCTTAAAGTATATATTCTCCTTCGGAGCCTTTCCTCGGGTGTCTCTGTTGCAATGGTGAGTATCAAATGTCCCAATCCGCTCACCCCCGTCACCCGTATCGTTTCACTGTGTTACATTGTGTGCAGTGCATCCAAATGGAAAGTGCCGACTACGTTCGTATACGGCGTCGGGGATTGGATGAACTACCAAGGAGCAGTGGCAGCTCGCAAGAAAATGAAGGTTCCTTGCGAGATCATCAGGGTTCCCCAGGTTGTAATTTTAATGTCCAGAGATTCAATGGTGCCTTCTTTTTCATGCTATATCGATTGTTTTTATATGCAGGCCGGTCATTTCGTGTTTATAGATTATCCCCTGGCTTTCCATTCAGCTGTGGTGTATGCTTGCCGGAAAATTTTGTTGCCCGAGTCCGGCCAAGACTCCGCCGGCAGCCTCCCGGAGGGCCTTATATCTGTATAACAATTAACTCAGGTTTTTTATCAGTTCGCTATTTGTACAGAACAATTGTTTAGATATGTTCAATTAATCAATTGTGTAATTCTATTATGGAGTGAGTGACAGTATTTTATTTTTATTTTAATTTATTTTTGAGTATTGGGTGTAAATTTGGAATCTTGTATAAATGGGATATTTCTGCGGCAATTCACACTGAAAAAACTCCGAAAAAGCAAAATGAAAGCATTGACGCAGCTGAGCGTCGGAATCTACACTCCTCGTTTACTGTCGCCTCCGCCGCCTTCGAAGAAACCGCATTTCAGTCCATACGCTGCCGTGAGCGGCGGCCCGGCCACCAGCAAATGGGCGGATCGCCTTATCGCGGACTTTCAATTCCTCCCCTCGACTTTGGATAATTCCGACGTCGCGACGTCTTCACCGCCGGCTCCTCTCCCTCCTCTTCCAGAGCGCCAGATGTCGATGCCGCTGGATTTCTATCGTATCCTTGGCGCCGAACCGCATTTCCTCGGCGACGGCATTCGACGAGCCTACGATGCTAGGGTTTCAAAGCCGCCGCAGTATGGATACAGCAACGAGGCGCTAATTAGTCGGCGGCAGATTCTTCAAGCTGCTTGTGAAACCCTAGCAAACCCTAGTTCTCGCAGGGAGTACAATCAGGGCCTCGCGGATGATGAATTTGATACGATTCTCACTCAAGTGCCCTGGGATAAGGTTTTCTTTCTCTTAAGAGTCACAACTCACAATAGATGTTATTTGAACAAAATTCATGGTAATTGTTATCTATACAACCATTTTCAGCAAATAATTGTATCTCCGAGACAGCTTTGTTGACATTATTGTCTTTGAAAGCAACTGACGCGTTTCTTTTAGGCTTCATGAACGAATTTTTGTTATAGAAACTTTATTTGTTCCCAAAATTATCAAATGAGAATGTTGTTAATGTTATATTATTCACTAGATTTAAGAACAGCATTTTCTGCTGTATCGGTTTCATAGGTTGCTGGAGCGCTGTGTGTTCTCCAAGAGTCTGGTGAGACAGAATTAGTTCTTCAAATTGGGGAAAACCTGTTGAAGGAAAGGCTGCCAAAGTCATTCAAGCAGGATGTGGTATTGTCAATGGCACTTGCTTATGTTGATTTATCCAGGGATGCCATGGCACTAACACCTCCAGATTTTGTAAGAGGTTGTGAAGTTCTTGAGATGGCCCTCAAGCTGCTGCAGGTTAGAGTATTAATCATGATGTCACTTGGCTTGCATCTTGTTATCAATTGGTTTTAAACATTGAAGTGGTTTTGTAACTCTCTATGCATTATGTTCCACTTCGTGACTGCTTGCATTATCACATGGTGATCTGAAATGCATCACATTAGTTGCTGCAAACATTTGTTCATTATGAATCCATGCTCAATGATGAGTATTATCTCTCTGCTGTTGATCATTCAACAATGGAATAAAAAGCATGGAATCTCTGTTTCTACTTTATTTCATCGTGCTTAGTGTTACTGATCCTCAGAATCCTAGCCTTGGCAATTTGAAGTATTAAAATGAAAATATAAACCTTTTGAGTGCAGGAAGAAGGTGCAAGCAACCTTGCCCCTCACTTGCAAGCACAGATTGATGAGACACTAGAAGAAATCACACCTCGCTGTGTCCTCGAGCTCTTATCTTTACCACTAGAGGCTGAGTACAAGTCGAGAAGAGATGAAGGTCTGCAAGGTGTGCGAAATATTTTATGGGCTGTGGGAGGAGGAGGTGCAGCGGCAGTCGCCGGTGGATTTACACGTGAAGATTTTATGAATGAGGCATTTCTGCGGATGACAGCTGCAGAGCAGGTAAGATATTATGTTGAGATTCTGTCTCCTCTTTCTTCGTAATGAACCAAAATTAGCTTTAGGAAGTATGTTTGAAGATTCCATTCTTTCCTTTTGAAGGTTGATCTGTTTGCCACAACCCCAAGTAACATACCTGCTGAAAGTTTTGAAGTTTATGGAGTGGCACTTGCTTTAGTTTCACAGGCCTTCCTAGGCAAAAAGCCTCATCTCATTAAGGATGCAGACAATTTATTTCAACAACTTCAGCAGACCAAGATTTCATCTGTGGGGAGCTCTCTACCTGCCCATAGTGTCCAAGAAAACCGAGAAATTGATTTTGCCCTTGAAAGGGGCCTTTGTTCTCTTCTGGTTGGTGAGGTTGATGAGCTCCGTTCCTGGTTGGGCTTGGACAGAGAAGACTCCCCTTACAGAGATCCATCCATTGTTAACTTTGTTGTAGAACACTCACTGGATGATGAAGAAAATGATCTCCTTCCTGGACTATGCAAACTATTGGAGACATGGCTGATGGAGGTTGTATTTCCTAGATTTAGAGAAACCCAAGATATCAATTTCAAGCTAGGAGATTATTATGATGATCCAACAGTCTTGAGATATTTAGAAAGGCTGGAAGGTGTTGGACGTTCTCCTTTGGCAGTGGCAGCAGCTATAGCTAGAATTGGAGCTGAAGCTACTGCTGCTCTTGATAATGTGAAGGTTAGCACACTTCAGGCACTGCAGAAAGTTTTTCCTCTTGGTAATGCAGAAAAGACTGTCAGACGTTTTGAGGAGAACGTGATAAAAGGTCCTGGTCTACCGGTTGAGATTGAGGAGCAAGGACTTAATTTCAATCAAGAGGATTATCACACTGATGGAGTTCCCGAAATGGTTCATTCTGATGGGCAAGAGATCAATACCGACTATATAAAAAATGCAACTGTAAAGATCACATGTGCGGGAGTAGCAGTAGGTTTACTGACTTTAGCTGGGTTGAAATTCCTTCCTATTCGCAATGGCTCCTCCAATCTACCTAAAGACTCCTCCAAAGTAGCTATGTCTTCCAGTGTCATCAATGTGGGTATGACTTGATTACTAAATGTTATTATACTTTACCTCAAAAAGAAAGAGAAAACAAGATTTGTTTATATAACCAAAGAAGGGACTTTTTTACTCCCATGTTTCGTGGTCCGTGGTTTTCCTTGTGCATAACTGCAAAATAAAATTTTCAGAACCCTCTCTGGTAGAAAGTCTTGAAGACGTACCTCGAATGGATGCAAGATTTGCCGAAGCCCTTGTGTGCAAGTGGCAAAATATCAAGTCCCTAGCTCTTGGCCCTGATCACAATCTTGAAACATTGTCTGAGGTAAGAATCTCTTATCCATTTTCACCTGTACTTATTAACTTTTACTAAACTTAACACTGAGAATGGAGTATATAACCCTTTTCGATGGTGTCAGTGGATCACCGCCCTACCCAACCTCCTGTTTTTTGTAATTAATGGCCCATATCTTCATTGCTTATTATTATGTTGTATATTGCTATTGCCTGACATTTATCATCTTCTTTTCGTTTCTGGTTTTACATACTTTTCATCCAACAGAACCTAAAATTTGTGCTTCGGCTTCTTTCTTCTTCCCTAAAACATTTTGCATTTCACTTGCATATATGGGACCATTACATGACATAGCTGTGATATGACTTGAGCGAACAAACGTATTCTGGCAGGTATTGGATGGCCAAATGCTTAAAATCTGGACTGATAGAGCTATGGAAATTGCACAACATGGCTGGTTCTGGGACTACAAACTTTTGAACCTTAACATCGACAATGTAACTGTATCAATGGACGGCCGGCGTGCTATTGTGGAAGCAACCCTGGAGGAGTCAGCACAGCTGACCGATGTTGCTCATCCTGAGAACAACGATTCATATAGTACGACTTACACGACCCGGTATGAGATGATGTGTGGTAATTCAGGTTGGAAAATTGTGGAGGGGGCTGTGCTTAAATCTTGATCCATATGTTGATACTCTGTGATCTTATAAATCCAAAGTTTTACATACCTCCATGCAAGCTGATTTATGTACTTCTTGGGATTAAGTCACCTTCATATATCTCTTAAGTCTTTTTTCAGAATTGCAGGAGGCATGGGTACCTAATAAGCCTGCCCAGAATCCACCCAATCGATTTTCTGGAGCTAATACAAAATTTGTCTCCATGGCAGCTACAGATCAAAACTGATTCAATAGCTTAATAAGTCATCTTCAATAGATTGGGTGTGGAAGCATTCTCAGTCACAAGCCTAGCCAGAATTTCAGTAGTAGCAATAATTCAGTACACAGTTTCCAGAAGGCCTTGCATCATGGAAGGCAAGCTGCTCCTCCAGCGAAAGGCTCCGGGCTTTGGTGTGAAGCTCAACCCAAACATTTCTTTGGTGACTTCCCCTGGTTCCTTGAAGCCCATCAATTTTGATACTAATGCGGCGCTTTCTTGGATGTGATCCATGTTTGTGGTATCAGTCCACAGCTTCTGGCACAGCTGAGCCCTCCTCTGCTTCGACTTTATGTCTACGCCCCACTTGGCGTACAGCTCCTCCCTTTCTTTGCTTGAGATCTTCCTAAGCATTCTTCTACTCAGCATATCCCTTTCCCGGTTGAGAGCCTTTGTGCTGCCATCGAGAGCCAAGATACATTAACAATGCAAGTAAGGTTTCATTGCCTCCTACTTAGCTTCATTTGCTGATAAAGAGAGTACCTCGATGGATCATCTTCCACAGCACTGTTAATCGAATTCTTGAGAAATGCGAGTCTCCTAAGCTCTACTTCGATGTAAATGGCATCTGAGGGATCTCCTTTGAAGAGGAGGAAAAAGTAGGTTCTGTGGATCAAAGGAATATGGCAAGCATCCCAAAGTTGGATTATTTCTTTGATCTTCCTCTCATATTCTGCTGACCATTCAGCAACAGATTCCTTATTGTTCACAGTTTCAACTAAGCCAACTTCTGCAGCTTCGACTGGTTCAGGTTTACTGGTTGTTCTTTCCTCCTCCATGCCCTGCTAAAAAGGTTCTCACAACAGTAAACACAAATTATAAACAAACACCTCAATGCAGCCGATGAATTAGTCCTTTGGTTACTGGTCCAACCATTCGAAAATCAATCTTGATGGAAAATGACTGCTCAAACAAGCAAAGGGTCCAATCTCACCATATCAGACTCAATTTGCTTCTCTGGATCTAGTGGGATTACTTCTTCTTCTTGCTCATCCCTACCATCGACGATGCTTTGTTCTTCCTCATCCATAGAATCCTTTCTGAATTCACTTTCAGTATCATCCACTGCTTCAACAATGGATGGTTCTGCTTGATTGCCAGCTTCATTTCCGTTGTCTTTCGGGCCTTCGAAACTTGTGGATTCAGTGACTGTCATGTGAACAACAACTGCACAGCTACTGCTTCTTGATTTGCTGAGATATGGATCGGATGCATTGTCGTCTGATGAACAAGAACCCAAGCCTTAAATGTAAAATATCAAGAAGAGTTATTATACAGGGAAGAAAACACCGAAAACCTGAGCTTTTCAGAAGAATTTAGAGATTTCATATCCAACCTGAAGCAAGATCTTCATCCTGCATTGGCAGCATGTTTGAAACTGGAACTGTATTGGTTGAATCAATCTCTGTGGATTGGACGTCCGTGCAGTTATCTTCAGATTTCTTTTTAGTTTCTTCAGCAATTTTTTCCCAATCACTGCACGGATCGGGACCAAAGTACTTATCAATGTATTGCGTCAGGGATGCGTTGTCGGAAAAAAATTGCTCCTCATTGTTCTCAGGGAACAGATCTTCACTCTTGTGGGGAATGAGGCCATCTACAGGGTTGGAAAGGGGAACTGTACTTGGTAAATTATCGAACCTATGGGGATCATATATCTCGGATGCTTCCGATACTGAATATTCGTCTGAATCTTTCTTAGAGTAATTCATATCACTCTGTAGGAAAAAAGCCAAGAGGAAACATGAAAATGACAGAGCATTTTACCAAACTTCATTCGATAACTCATCTTATTATGGAATGTAACAGACCGAAGATTTTGATGTTTGGGAGGATGATCCTGAACGTATCATACTCTCAACACGTGAGAGAGCCAAGTCCCGTTGATAAGCAATTTCTTTCATCTCTATTTCCATCTGCAAGATTTGGGATAGGCGAACAGTTCTTTGTTAGAATGCAAGTATTTAACTAAATAAAAAGTTACTAATTACCTTCTCAATAAGGAGTTCTTTCTCTTTCAGTGCTGATGCAGAAACAGAAGCAGCAGAAATCGAGCGTAGGTTCCTCAGCTCATTCTCCAGATTGGTTAGATTGGTTTGCAGCTGCTTCACTAGTGCTTTTTCAGACATTGACACATTGATTCGTGAATTCGTGCTAACTTGCTTGGCGCAGCTAGCGAACACAAGTGTGTTTTTTGATTGCTCAACCTGGGAGCGAGCCGCGCTCAAGGTGCAAATAATCATGGTCCTGGCATTGCCGCCCAACGCGTTTTGTAAAATTCGAGTCAGCTTGGAATCTCTGTATGGAATGTGTCCATTTCTTCCTTTGCTGCATCAGAACATGATTGGTAAGATGATTACACAGACATAGTTAAATAGATATGCCGTCTACTACTGATGTTAAAAATGGTCTGATCAATTCAATTCAATTCCTTGTTCTTCCTGGAAGAGAATGCTATTTCCAAAGATAACATGTGAGGAAACACACCTTAATTTACGCACAACTGTTCCAAGCGTTAGCAAACTTCGGTTTATGTGGGAACCTTCTTTTAGTCTTGTGCCGCGCGATAATGTCTGAGAAGCACGTTCACTGCCCGCAAGATCAACAAAATTCTGTTCCCAGAAAACATTTTATGAAATGTCCTGAGAATCGATATGCTGTGATACATGCACCTGCAACTAAGACATTCATACCACAGTAGCTGAAAGAGTGCTTATACTTTCCACACCGAAGTGTTGATGAGCTTTGCTTTCAATAGTCTGCAGGAACATCAATCAAATAGGAAGGAATTCAGCAAACTGTAATGAACTTTCCCAACCTCATAACAATCTAGTTTGAGAAGCATATTACCAGGCGAAGAATTTGATGAGATCTGGAGCTACGTTCGTTGAGATGAGTCTCTCCTGTTTGCCTTTGAGCTGGATCAAAACAATAATGCTAACGGTAATTCCAAGTGTTACTTAAAGAACAGTGATTGACTGATTGCTAAGTGTTCTAACCTTCACAATATGACAACAGCTCGAATAGATGGTCTGCATCTGCTGGAATCACTTCTGTAAGTTTATCGACAATAGTTCCTCTCTGTAACAGAAAATGTAATTAACATTACAAAATTACAGTTTTCTTCCAAGATTTCAGAAGCTCTTGTTATACCTCTGAATCATCTCGAAGTCTAAGTGGAGCTCCATCCGGGCAAAGGAGATCTTTGACTGTTTCATTGTAAATCTCCAAGGCAGAAAATTTCATAACGTATTTCCTCTCTGGATGCTTTAATTGTTCAAACAATAAGTTAGACAAACTCAGAACAGAGTATGATTCATATCAATACTCAAGTTTTCATGATTCTGACATACCTTGTTTATGTAGTCATATATATCAGCCACTGCACATTCGGTAATTCCACTCATGGTGTATGTCTTTCCACTACTCGTCTGCCCATATGCAAAAATAGTGGCTGGAGAGGAAATCTAGTCATGGATAAGCTTGAAATTATTATGAGAAAACAACAGGAACTGTGTTTCAAAGGCAAGATACTCACAATTGATTCCACTCAACACAGAGAGGGCGATCTTTTTCGCAGATTCCTCATACACTTGACTTGTGGAACAGTTGCCCCCAAATACTCTATCTGTCCTCAGTTTGATACCAATATAGACTCAAAAATAGTTCAAATAAACAAAAATGACATGCATCAGATGACCATAATATTGGAACTAGATAATTAGCACCCTACTTTTCTGATTCCACTCTACTTCTCTTGTTGTAACTTTCAGACTAAGTTAATACTAAATAAAATTGTTTTCCTGATAAAGTTCATGCACAATCAATTTCTGTACAAAAAGAAGATGCACCTCATGATCCAAGGCATTTTCTAATTCTGACAACGAATAACAAAGAATCTATTATCAAATCCCATACCAAAGGTGTAGGGCGTTGGAGCCAACGATCGATCTTGGAGGGAGTTCCTGAATAAGATGGTAGTGCTGTTGATACATTCCCAATCTGAGACTTCATTTTTTGCCAATTCTTTTGCATTCAGTGGCCTCAACCTAACAGCAACAAAGATTTTCTCCTCTTGTGCACCTGAATTTCGAGAGTTAGGTTCCCCTGGCCCTTCTCCAACAACTGACCTCATTCCCAATCCCTATCCTCTTTCTGTTCCAACCAAATGTGCTTGAAAAGAATCAACAAGGTATATATAAGTCCCTCTCTTTGTACGTAGCTTGTACAAAGAAGGGGACACAATGGTTTATGTCGAAGATTTACAGCCCTTTTCTTCTGCTGCAAAATAAGGTTATCGTATAAGCTATTTTCCCCTGGATGAGATAAACTAACCACATACTTATTTACGTTGTTAGCATATAAATTATGTACAACATCAAAATATAAGCTTCATAACCTTAAAAAATTCCACATGATTTTCACTACCAAAATGTGATATCTTCTTATATTTCTTAGCATCCGTTTCAACACGTAAAATCAATTGCAGTTTAAAAGCATCTCAACAAAATTAATCCTCCCCGATTCATAAAAAAAATCCAGTTCGGAAAGAATTGGAATATGGCCTGATTGGCTCACCTTGTATATTAAAACGATCTATAAAATTGCCCTAGATAATATTCTGAGAATTTATATTAAGAACAACAATCGAAATCTGAGATAACCCATTCTAGGTCAGCAGGAAAACGAGAGGAAATCGAAACAGGCAACAAATACAAAATGCAGATAGATGTTATACGGTGGCCATTGTTTCATGGATATTTGAAACCAGAGGCTAACCGCAATGCAATTACCTGCGATTCGGAGAATCCACAAAGGAATTCGGCGATTGTTGGACGAACTCCTTATACGACCCCTTGAAATCAACCGCCAAAACCAACCAACGGCTCAAACAGAATTTTGCTAAAAAGCAAAAGCGTGGTTACGGAAAAGCGATTCTTTTTAAACGCAGCGCTTTTAATGCATTTTTTCCTCCAATTTTTAACTATATATATATATAATGAAGAAAGTAATTTTATTTAATTATTGGAATTTTAAATTTATATAATGACCATATGCTACATTAATTAATATATTAAGAAAATGTGTTTTTTATTTTTATGTATAATATTTGTATAAAATTATTTCACTTCACATCCTGCTTTCAAAGTCATGAAAAAGTTAATAGTCCAATTAGAGTGACATTATTATGGATCCTTTTGGACCTGACGCAATTATTGATAGTTGCTCTTTTGGTAACAAAATTTTAAAAAATAAAATAAAACTGAAAAAGATAACAGAAGCTTAAATGGAAGGCAACAGGGACAGTACCAAAATCCGAAAGTTACGTGTATAATTAAAATAGCTATTAATAATTACAGTTAGTATAATAATTATTCAAAGTGAATAAATATATAAGTTCCAAATGCTGCTTATGTCTTCACTGTCAATTACCTGTCGCACTAGAAAAAAAAAAAATATATATATTTTAATTAATTAAATTCAATCAGGTGTAATCTTGAAAGTGCTTGGCCAGCCATAATTGTTATTTAGCTTATTATAAGCAAAGGTACATAAATTAATCGCTAAAGACAAACCAAATTTAGAAGTTACATTATTTATTAGTAAATTTATAAATTTATAAGTAAATATTGAGGTAAATGTATAATATGATCTGAAAATCTGGATATCTTTGGTGGTGAGTTTTGAAGCTCCAGGACCTTAAAACCACACGAATCTGCACCACTCATGGCTTATAATAAAGAAGCAGAAGGTTCCGAGATCCCAGAACCTCGTATGAGAACAGTCTAAATATGTTATCTGTCACCAGAACACATTTGCAGAAAATATTACACAGACCATCGCCTCCTTCGCTATTCATCCTGTCGTCTGACTATCACACCGTCGTCAGATTCCTTATCTGAATATAATTTTCAGAAAAAGCTTCTTTAAAGCGCTAATCTTATATCCTATTTATGCAATTTGGGTTTCAGATCAGTTGAATAGGAAACTCAAACCAGAAGTATTCTTAATTATATATAGGGTTTCTCCCACTCTCGATCTTGCTCTAAGATCAATCGAGCTTTAACTTTCCAGATTGGGAGTTGAATTCCACGGTTAGGGTGAGCTCTAAACTTTCCCCCAAATTTATTTGCCCCAATAGCAGTTTTTTTTCCCTTTCAGATACTTTGATTTGAATCCGCATTTACAGTCGAGTAAGCAAAATCGTCGGGAGAAACGGAAACATGACGAGTCGAGGGACGAGATCAGAGAAAGTTAAAAGGATATTCCAACAATTCGACGCGAATAGGGATGGCGGTTTGAGCCGGGAGGAGATGGCGTCTCTAGTGGTGGCTGTGAACCCTAGAGTTAAATTCAGTGGGGAGCAAATCAATGCTATTCTGGACGAGATATTCCGAACATACGGAGAATTCATCGACGTTGAAAAGGGGCTCAGCTTTGAAGGCCTCCTTCGAACATACGACGACGGAGCTGGAGATGTCGACCGTGACTTTGACGCCCTCGGTCTCGAGCTCAAACCAGATGACAAAATGGGGATTTCACAAGTATCTGAAGAGGCTGCTTCATCTTCATCCATAGCCGACGACCGCGTAATGGAGCCACACAAGAAACAGCGTACTGCTGCCTGGGCAGCTTCCCCAAACCATGGAATCGTGTTTGACGAGACCTGGAATTTGGTTGATGATCTCGAAATTTTGATCAAAAGGTTGAAAGCCAAACAGTCAAAGGATGGGAAGCTGAAGAATGACAATTCAGATGTATTTTCCGACGCTGGATGGTCGAGGGAGCTCGGGCAGTCGAGTGAGATTTCTGACAAGAGGGTGGTTTGGACTGAGTCAGGGCACGACTATGCAGTCTTTGTAAAGGAATTGGGAGCTCTACGGTCGAGAGCCGACAGGGCAAGGTCGAGAGCAGAGGCCTTTGATGGGCAGATGGCCATTGGCCGTGTGTTGTACGAGCATTATTTGATTAAGGAGGCCTTGGTGAGTTTCAAGAGGGCTTGTGAATTGACGCCGTTGGATGTAAAGCCACATTTTAGAGCTGGAAATTGCTTGTATGTTCTTGGTAGGTATAGCGAGGCGAAAGCCGAGTTCTTGCTTGCATTGGAGGCAGCTGAGGCTGGAGGAAATCAATGGGCGTATTTGTTGCCTCAGATTCATGTGAATTTGGGGATTGCACTCGAGGCCGAAGGAATGGTTCTGAGCGCCTGCGAGCATTATAGAGAGGCTGCGATTTTGTGTCCGACTCATTTTAGAGCTTTGAAGCTTTTGGGCAGTGCTCTTTTTGGTGTTGGAGAGTATAAGGCAGCAGTTAAGGCTTTGGAGGAGGCTATTTATATGAAAAACGATTATGCCGATGCGCATTGTGATTTGGCCTCTGCTTTGCATGCTATGGGCGATGATGATAATGCCATTAAAGAGTTTCAAAAGGCGATTGATTTAAAACCTGGTCATGTCGATGGTTTGTACAATTTGGGCGGGCTTTATATGGACATGGGTAGGTACCAAAGGGCTTCGGAGATGTATACGAGAGTTTTGGCTGTATGGCCGAATCATTGGAGGGCACAGTTGAATAAGGCTGTCTCTCTGTTGGGAGCTGGAGAAACTGACGAAGCTAAGAAGGCGTTAAAGGAAGCTTTGAAAATGACGAACCGTGTTGAATTGCATGATGCAATATCACACTTGAAACAGCTACAAAAACGAAGGTTGAGGGGAAATGGTAATGGCAGGAATGATCCAGTCTTCATTACCGTGGAACATTTGAAATTCAAAACTGTTGGTGAGAAAACCACATTACGGCCTGAACTGGCTACGGCGCTCGACATCAGAGCCTTTCAGAGAATCACCAGATTGAATCGGTGTGAGGTTGAGCTTATAAAGAAGCAAATGAGCGAAACTGATGTGCCTGTATCGTATTCTGGCGGTGGTGTCCCTGAGAAGTCGATACGCAAGGCCTCACTGGAAGGGATTCTTCGAAAATTGCTAGATTTTTTGAATCCAGAAACATTTGTAGGAGCTGTCAAAGCTATAAACCAGAAACTCCTTTCTATGTTGGATGAATCAGAGTCGGGCCGTGTGGATTTGGGCATGTTCTTTGCACTTATCGCCCCACTTTGTGGCGGTTCTGCAGACAAACGGAAGCAGATTGCATATGAATCACTTCTTTGGCGACCTGTGAACGAAGGCAATGCACATATAAAGAAGTCTGATGCCCAAAGATATATTAAACTGTTGAGGGCCATCTACATTCCTTCCCACGGTATTAGCGAAATGTTGGAAATCCACGGCGAAGCAGATAACTCATTGGTTTCTTTACAAGAATTTATCACGATGTTTGATGATCCAGAATGGGGATTTGGCATCTTGTCCACTTTACTGAAGCTCGAAATTGGGGACAGGAACCGTCATGGCAACCATATCTGTGCTGCTTGTCGCTATCCCATCATTGGTTCCCGATTCAAGGAGATGAAATCTCACTTCAGCTTGTGCGCGCAATGCTACAGCGAAGGGAAAGTCCCGGCAACGTGCAAGCAGGAAGAGTACAAGTTCAAGGAATATGTAACTGAGGGTGAAGCTGTTAAAGACAGATGCTTGTGCCTTCGTTCGAAGGACTCATCTCCTGAGGGATCCTAGCGTTGGTTTTTAAGCTAATCGTAACGCCCCCTGCATATAAGCATAATAATGTTTTCAAGAAGCTTTTGTGTAAGTAATGCTTTATAGTGTTGATCTTGGATTCACATTTTCTTTTCTTGTGCAGCATAATTACTCTAGAGTTTTCTCATGCTGTTATATTGTTTCATTGTTGCCTTTCTATGATTCTTTGACATGTTCATCGATTGCTTCTCTATCTTGCCATTGTGAAATTTGTAATGATTTTACAAGTTGTGTTGTATTGGTGGATTTGTTGAGGATCGATCATTTTTTGGCTTAGCCTGTGTCATTTCGTCCAATTTATCGATCTGATTACGGCATGCTTAGATAGATGTGCTTATTTGTCTATTTGATTGTTTGTGTTGTTTTGCATAGATTGTGCAGATGAAAATATGAGTGAACACAGGATGATGCATTTAATCGATGAGATTAACCAAAAGCATGTGTGATGAGCATAATTTGGTGAATCCAGGCAGATTTGCATTGAATCGAAAGCTCCTACATGTGCAATTCCATGGGGTCTCTAATTTCTTGAGCCCACAAGCATCGATATTTGAAAGTGACATTAGAAGACTTTATCAGTTGGCGTGATGGCTGACCTAGAATCAACAGCAGTTGTTGTTTCTCCATAGCTTGGGTATGTCCTAATCCTAATCCAAATTCCAATTTTTCTAGCTTTGCAGTGATGAACACACCTTTCCAGTAGACACATAGAATATACAATTCAACTAGCTAGGTTGTTGGGATTCGAACCAATCACTCTTTGCCTTTACTCTTTTGGTGCAAGGATTATTGCGTTTTAATCTTCCTCTATTGGTGTATTGTTGCCATAGTTTCATCACTGTTAATAATTGCGCCTCAGAAAGTTGGGATCTTTTAATCATTTCTGGTAATTCATTAGAGATGTTTTTCACTTCCATTCCACCCCATTTAGCTAGAAAGTATGCAATTTTTTTATGGAAATCATTGATTGGGGTAGCTGTTCCTTCGCATAATTAGGAGCTAAGCCTTGTACATGTTTGTGAAAATGCCTCGACAAGAAATCATTGTGCAAGACAAAAACAAGATCAAGTTGATCCCTCTCTGTAATAAAAACATTAATTTAGCTCCTTTTCTTGCAAGCATAAACTGTTGGCAACAGTTTTGCATGTTGGTGGGGACAAAAGTGAAGCCCAAGAAAGCTTTGTCCCTCTCACCCCGCCGAGCCCACTGTCAGAAATTATTTATCCTCTTGTTTAGTGTCTCGATTAGTTACGCCGCGATATACTAATCTATCAGTTGATGCAGAGTTTGGTTATAAATAGAGGACAGTGCAAATGCAATGGAGAGATACGCCTGCAGACAAATGGATAGTGCAACGGGAATCAAACTGACATTGCTGGTTGTGATCTTTGCTGCAGTGATCGTTAACCTGAGAGGTGAGCAAGTCAGCAATGGCACTATTGGGAATTTGGATAAGAGCAACAAAACGCGGAATGAAGTGGTGGTGAATGATAAGAGGAGGAATAATGGTGGCGGAGGCGGCGGTGGAGGTGGAGGTGGATTTGTTTGGGGATGGGGTGGAGGCGGTGGAGGAGGTGGAGGTGGAGGTGGAGGTGGTGGTGGCGGTGGTGGTAGAGGAGGAGGAGGCGGCAGCGGATGGGGGTGGGGAGGAGGAGGGGGTGGGTATTGGGGATGGGGGTGTAGGAGACAACCTAATAAACAAGGGCGGCACCATTGGAACCACAACAATGACAATGAGGACTACAAGATGGGAGAATATGCTCAGTGCATGGTGAGCGGGAGGTGTCGGGGAATGCGATTGGATTGCCCGTTGCATTGCGGAGGGCCGTGCTTCTATGACTGCAGGAAGATGTGCAAGGCTCACTGCAAGCGTTAATCCATCGGTTCGATGTTTCTTCTTGATCCCAACCTTATCATCGGAGAAAATATTGTGTTGAGAGTGTATTAGATAGGCCTAACTATAATCAAAATTTCATCTGATTTGTTGAGCAGGTAGAAGAGATGTGTGGGCTTGTTGTGAGCTTCTATTTTGTTGTCATTTCATGGGTTTTTTGGCAATGCATATATATGTATGTATGTATGTATTGGGAGTCTTCTTGCTTAAAGATTTGTTGCAGTGTAATGATGATGAATGTATGCTTCTGACTAACACTCTCCTTGTTACTGTAATGAATTTTATCAATGGGATGATCTTTTATTTGTTTAGAATTATATTAAATTAATACATTTTTTACAATATATAGTATTTCAATTTCATCGAGTTGGCGGTAGATTTACTTATAAATTCAAGAAAATCTGACCAAAATATAACCTTAAAAATGACGGAGAGTGAACATTTTGAGTTAATAAATGAAGTCGATGGAATGGGTTGTACGTGTTCTTCCTGTTCCATTACAGAGGCGTCGGTTTTCGACTGATGCAAATATAACGAAGCTGTTCAACAAATACGTCGACAGGACGGATGTCTTCTCTTGGAATTCCGTCATCGCCGAATTGGCTCGCGGCGGCGACTCGGTGGAGGCTCTCAGGGCTTTCTCCTCCATGCGAAAATCTGGCATTAAACCGAACCGTTCAACTTTTCCCTGCGCGATTAAATCCTGCTCGGCGCTGCGCGATCTCAGCTCGGGGAAGCAAGCGCACCAGCAGGCGTTGGGATTTGGTTACGGCTCCGACATTTTCATCACGTCCGCCCTGATCGATATGTACTCTAAATGCGGGCGATTGGAGGATGCACGCAATGTGTTCGACGAAATTCCTCTGAGAAATGTAGTTTCCTGGACCTCGATGGTTAACGGCTATGTTCAAAACGACTTTCCCCGAGAAGCATTACTGCTTTTCAAAGAATGGTTGGCCAAGGAAAGCGATGGCAATGTCGACGAGGAAGGGTTCATCGACGGGGCTGCCATGGTTTCAGTCTTGTCTGCCTGTTCAAGTGTCGGCGAGAAGAATGTCACGCGGGCTGTTCATGGATTCGTAGTTAAAAAAGTACTAGAAGAGGTTCTCAACGTCGGAAACACATTGATCGATGCGTATGCGAAGTCGGGTTTGGTGGAGATCTCGCGGGAAGTATTCGAACAAATGAGCAACAAGGATTTAGTTTCTTGGAATTCTATGATCGCCGTGTTTGCGCAGAGCGGATTCGCTGCCGAGGCGATAGGATTGTTCCGGTCGATGATTAGCTGCGCTGAGATCGATTACAACGATGTGACACTGTCGGCTGTGTTGTTAGCCTGCGCGCAGCATTCGGGAGTTCTTCGAATAGGCAAAGGCGTACACGTTCAGGTAAGGCAAATTCGCCAATATTTTCCTCGCCATCAAATAGACATTTGCTAATTTCTATCGTCTGTCGAGCTTTCAGGTTATAAAGATGAACCTCGAGCGAAATGTAGTCGTCGGAACTTCCATAATCGACATGTACTCCAAATGTGGGCGAGTTGTGACAGCGAGGAAAGCATTCGATCGAATGAACGTAAAAAATGTGAAGTCATGGTCGGCTATGATCGCCGGCTACGGAATGCACGGCGAAGCGAAAGAAGCCCTCGCCGTACTATCGGACATGATCGCGGCGGGAATAAAACCGAACACCGTAACTTTCGTCTCGGTCCTCTCCGCCTGTTGCCACGCCGGCCTGGTCGACGAGGGATGGCACTGGTTTCACGCAATGCAGCACAGATTCGACATCGAACCGATCGCGGAACATTACGGTTGCATGGTTGATCTCCTCGGCCGTGCCGGGTATCTTCAAAAGGCTTACGATCTGATCGCAGAGATAAAGATTAGGCCCGATCCGGTGATTTGGAATTCATTATTAGCGTCGTGCAGGATACACAAAAACGTCGAGCTCGGCGAGGTCGCTGCTGCGAAGCTGCTCGAGATGGATCCGAAGAACTCAGGATATTACACGTTGCTATCGAACATTTACGCGGACGCTGGAAAATGGGAGGACGTGAAGAGAATCCGAACACTTATGAAAAACCACGGCGTCGCGAAGGCCCCAGGATTCAGTGTTGTCGAGCTTAAAGGTCGGATGCATATATTTCTCGTCGGGGACAGGCAACATCCGCAGTATGAGAAAATCTACGCGTTCTTGGAAGAATTATCGATGAAACTTATGGAAGCTGGGTATGTGCCGAGTGTCGACTCGGCACTGCACGATGTCGACGAAGAGGAGAAGGGAATGTTGCTGCAGATTCATAGCGAGAAGCTCGCCGTCGCTTTCGGGATTATGAACTCGCCGGCCCGGACAGCCATCCAGGTGACGAAAAATCTTAGGACTTGTGAAGATTGTCATACGATGATTAAGCTGACATCGAAGATTGCAGAACGTGAAATTGTGATGAGGGATCCTAAAAGGTTTCACCATTTCAAGAAAGGGGAGTGTTCTTGTGGGGATTATTGGTAATATTTGTGAATATGTGTTTTTTGAGATAGTAATGTGATGAAGTTATCTATTTCAGTTTCTGAGACTTTTTAGTTTGTAGAATCTGGAAAAGATGCAGCATTCATGTTTTTGAGGTTTGTAGTTTGTAATAAGGAGTTAAATTTTTTGTTTTTTTATAACGAAGGGGTTAATTTAGTTCAACATTATAATCCTTGTAATCCCAAAAAATATCTAAAATATAGTACTATCTTATATTGAAAATAATTCACAATAATTAATTTTTCAAAAGATATTTAGACTGAGGAGATATTTGTTAGTGAGAACAGCCATGTTTGACTTAAATCAACAAGAGATGTGACAAAAATGTCACCAACAAAAATACGAGGATGCTTCAATATTCAACATGCATACACATTTATATACATTCACATTATCATCCTGCCACCTATATATGTATATATAATATTTTTTTCTTTTTTTTTTAGAGGAATTATATTACAATATAGTCATATGATGTTAATAAATTACAATTACATCAAGAATGGTTGAAGATAACTTTGATCAATTGGAATACGTCCGAAATTAATTCAGACTCGATCTATCTAATTTTCAGTTCTTCAACTACATTCAATTTATGACATACAATAATTAAGCTGGCCCAAATTTGCATCCAAAAGTTTGCAAAGCAACATAATTTTATTGACTGCAATAATTATATATATTCAAACCCGTTGACTTGACTTGATCCAATTCCATCCTATATTTGTTTTTTAAAGTTGCTGCAACTTTTGAACTCTGGTTCCCAATTAACATTTTCAATAAATACACTATCGGTGTGTTTGTTTGGGATTGGATTTTAAATATATTATTCATCTCATTTTTTCTTTATAAAAATATCAAATTAAATTCCTATTTTTTATTTTTTATATTATATTAAAAATTAATTTTACATTCAAAATATCACATCGAACACCTATTTATATCACATCGTACAACTATTCAAATTCAAAAATTTTACTATTAAAATCCTAACTCAAAATCCAAACCCCTGAACAAACACACCCATATATGTATATGTATCTATATAATTAAAGTTCTGTTTGTTTTATGACTAAGGTAAATAATTAAGTACTATGTTGATTTGCCTCAGTATTATAATCAATCTTTTCCAAACTTTTGACATTATTTATCAATGACAATTTTCTAAAAAAAATATTACATTAATACCTTTAATCCTATTTATTTTATTATTCTTCTAAGTTCCAACTTCCTGCAACCTCCAAAAACTTCTATCTAAATGACTCTTAGAATCATATTTTTTCGAATGGACGTAGATGATCATGATCGATGATGTCTCTAAGTCAGGACAAAGTTGGTGTTCTTTTTAATCTCTTGAAGGCAGCAATAGTGCTTGAATGTCGTGGGATCATATCTGGAACAGCTAAGGAGCTGATTTCTTGAGCCCTAGCTAATTGGTGCTGATAATTGATGATATCCATCCTCGTACAGTAATTGTGCTTGTGGTGTTTGTTGCATTGTAAGCAGCTGGTGCTGCTGATGATCATATTGTAATGGAGGTTGGGGAGCTTGCGGGACCCACAGCTCCATTTGCCCAATCGGGAAGCCACTCCTCGTACTATTATTGTTGTTGCCGCTGTCAAGATCACCACCATGACCAAGATCGTGTTCGTCCAAGAATGGCAGGCCCACTTCAGTCCCTCCACTCTGGTAAGAATCATTGCAATTATAAGTCGAAAATGGATCGAAGCTGGAATCAAGAAACTCGTCAAAATGCCATCCGGGTAATGTTTGTATGAAGTAGTCGGAAATTCTGCTCGACGACAATGAGCTGTCGGCCGCCGGAGAGGGCTTTTCCGGTGAAGTAGAGGAGGAGGAGGAGGAAGAAGAATAATTAACTGTGGGATTTTCGGACAGCGTTTGACCTGTAAGAAGGAATCTCGTGTGCTTCTGCGTGAGCTCATTGGCTGCGTGGATCGAAGAATCGCATTGTCTGCACAGAATGGCCCTGTCTTGATGGCAGAATAAGAAACCCTTTTTCTCCTGCAGCAACACCAGAATCAATTAAATTAGAACAAACACGAACACACTAGATTGAATATATTAAGGATTGATTAATTAATTAATTAATGATCTGATCTGACCTGACAGATGTCGCAGATGGGGGAGGCGGCGCGGTGGAGGGAGAAGCGGCGGTGCTTGACGGCGAGCTTGTTGGCGTGGTGGACGCGGCGGTCGCAGCCGCCGCAGAGGGCGGCATCGTCGGCAGCGCAGAAAACGGAAGCCTCGTCTGTCTGGCACACGTCGCACTGGATCTTCATTTCTGGACAGTTTTAATTCACCTATTCTTCGATCAAGAAATTTAACTTAGATTTAAATTAATTAAATGGGTTTTGGTGATCAATAGAGGGAAAGAAACGCTCTGGAATTTGGGAAGAGCAAGTGGAGGATGGCTTTATTGATTAATTGAGTCCGAATTAATTTTAATATTTCAGTTTTTTTTTTTTTTTTAAAATAGAAGGCGTTAAAGTTGACGCTTTGAAAATCTAAAAAGGTTGATAACTACAGCCCACAGAACCCTGGGGCTGGAGCTCGTATCCACCACTCACAGGATGAGAGGGATTAATACATGGGAACGGCGGGGATTAGGTTAGGATTCGGGATCCCGGGAGCTGCCAAGATTTCAACGAAAGATATACGGAGTAGAATATATACTTAACCCCTTCATCGTTTTCTTTTTATATTTAAAAAAAAAAAAACATTTTATTAAATATTTATTTTACTTAAAAGATTATATTAAAATTTTATTTATTATACAAATTATTACATCCAATATTTATATATTTAATTTTTTATTATAAAAAAATTAAATACTTCAAAATTGTATTTAGATAAAAAAAAAATTATGTTTTGTAAATAAGTAAAAATATAAAAAAAAATTAAAATATTTAATTTGATACTTTTTTAAAAATAAAAACTATATATTTACTATGATATTTTATTTTTATTTTTAAATACTTTTATTAATGAATTATCGAAATTTGCAACAATATTTATATAAATAGAGCTTAATATTCTCACCGAAAGAATTCTTAGTTATCTATAAATCCTAACAACATTAAAAAAGAAAAAAAAAAAAAAAAAAAAAAGCAAATATATTATTAGAATTAATATATTGACCAATACCAATTTTATTTTATTTTTGTTTTTTCAATATAAACTTGTAAGCAATAAATTGGATGTAACGCATAACTCTGTCTTTGCTTCTCAATACTTGTAAGCTAGTTAGATATGTTTGTTTGGGTATTTATTTTGAGTTGAAATTTGAATAGTTGTACGATGTGATATAAATAGGTATTGATGTGATATTTTGAATGTAAAACTGATTTTAAAAAAAAAAAAAAAAAAAAAAAAAAAATTTAAAATCCAATCCCCTAAACATACACACCCTTAGTAAACATTTCAAACTTTTGAACTTATGCCGCAAAACACATTGCAGTGTAGTCAAACAAACGTACAAGGTATAAAAGCTCCCTTTTAACGTTATACATCATATTATATTATTGTAAACTGAAAATTCAATTACATCATGCGTGACATTTTAATTTGCAAACAGCCAATAATTTAAAAAATATAATACTACTTTATTTGAAACTTAATTATTACTTTTCCCACATTGGACGACTTTACAACAGTAAACCAAACATGGCAAAAAAAAAATGACATTTAGGCGGCAATAATGACGACTAAAGTGGGGAAGGCCGACAGGCTAATGCATATATTCATACATTATTAAGGAAACTGTCGTTAGCTGCTTCAAATTTGGGGGAATGTATCCTTAATCAAAACTATATAAAAACACATAATATATAATACTTTAATACAATAATTATATGAATACAATACTCTATAATATATAAATTGTATTTCACTTACTTTTATTATCACTTGTTTAACATTATTTCACAAACGTAACTATTCTTTACATCCTTGATTAGAATAATATCCATAATACAATATATTACATTAGTTTCACATTTATTATTTTATTTTATTATATTATTTTATCAGTCCAAAATCAATTATTTTATTACCATAATAGCTATATCACCATAAACTTGTCATCATCTTATTATTATTATTATTATATAAATATTGGTACTACTTTTTAACATAAATCATAATACGCATTCACATTCACAACGACGAAAAGAAAATCCATCCTAACTTTCAAGATCTGTGTGCTATTTAAAATTAATATTATAAAGGTGTTCGTAGTGGGCTGAAAGGTACATTATTGGGCTCTATGGATGGGCTAGGCCCAATTTAAAATACTGTCGGGTACAACCTCTTGCAATCCTGCCACGACTTCTGATTTCCGCCTCGACAAAAGTAGAAGGAATTTGGGCACATATACAAACAATTATCTGCCAGACTCATATTAATGGAACCGGGCTTTAGGGCCAAAAATTGGCCCGGAATAAGCCCGTATAGGTAATTCCCGCCCAACAATAATCGCTGAAACGACGCCGTACCTGGCTGGGGGAACGCCGCCTTCTTCGCGTACGGATTTGGAATTATCCCCGTCAGTTTGTTCTGCTCCAACGACAGAGACGACAGCTTCGGTATCGCCGCCATGAATGGCGGCAGCAGCCCGTGGAGGTCATTGTAACTCAAGTCCACGGCGACGAGCCTGCTGGCGGTGGAGCCACCGCCGTGCGGCGGCGATTCGATGGAGGTGAAGTTGTTGTGCGAAATCGTGAGTTGCTGGAGAGAAGGATGATGGAACAGCGATGACGGAATTGCTCCGGTCAATTGATTGTGACTCAGATCCAAAACCTGCAACAATTTGAGCTCCGATAATCTCAATCGAAAATTCAAATGACCTCGTAGGGAGTTGTTTCTGAGCGAGATTTCGATTACGGAAGGCGGAAACGTGGTCGGAGCTCCGCCGGAGATGCGGTTGTCGCTTACATCCAGGTAATAGAGGTTTCTGAGTTGACTCAGATCCGGCAACTCGCCGGTCAGAATATTCCGTTGAAGCTCCAGTCTTTCTAAGCTCGCAAGACGCCGGAAACTCGCCGGGATCGAACCGGTGAACCGGTTGTCGTCGAGGTAGAGTTCTCGGAGCCTTGAGAGCGAGCCGAGCGAGAAGGGTATCGAACCGGCGAATAAATTCCCGGAGAGGATGAGCCGGTGGAGGAGGGTGAGGTTTGACAGGGAAACCGGGATCGAACCGGAGAGAGAGTTGTAAGAGAGGTCTAGGGTTTGAAGATACGGCAAGGTGAAGACGGCGGCGGAGAGCGAACCGGAGTAGCCGGCTTGATCGAGGGCGATTTCTGTCACTCGGTAAGAACCGAAGACGATGAGATCGCAGCGGAAGCCGCAGGTGAACTGGTCGGAGAAGATGTGGTCGCAGGGATCGAAGGAGAAGTTCCAGGAGATCAGGCAGGATCCGGCCCGAATGGATACCGGGTCGAACCCGTTTTTGAGGTGCTGAAGGCCGCTTATGTCATCCGGGTGGGTCCTGGAAGTTGCCATTATTATCATGTGTAATCCGAGGAACTTGTCGGAGAGGAAGATAAGGAGAAGCGGGAGAGAGTAGCACCAGTGGAAGCGATCCATTTGTGTCTTTCTTTGAAATCGAAGAAACATTAATAATGATCACAATTGCATTGTACATACAGACATTAATACATCCATGTAATGAATGAATGGATGAATGGAATTTCTAATCTATATATGTTTGCTTTCATTCACGATTAGATTCCCAATTTTCGAATTCTGAATCAAAGTTAAAGCCGGGTTCTGATTTTGATGAAGGGTACACGTGACATTGAATTTTTAAATCTTTCTTGCAAGTCATATGTCGACCTAGGGTATTGAGGAAGAAGCAGATCTGATCTAACGAATAAAAAAAAAAAAAAAAAAACGTTTACTTTCTAACTAATTTGTTGTAAAAAAAAATAAATATGTTTTCATTCCATAAAAAATAATACTCCTACTACTTTACTTACTAAAATTTGTGTCCTCTTTACATTCCCTAGTAAGTATTTTCGTATCCGTTGGGCCAAAATAAACAGAACAGAAGCCCTCGTACGTTGTAGGATTTTAAAAATATACAAAATTTAAATACAAATATATGTTTAATTATTTAATGTATATATTAGTAGTATAATATAATATTTCTAATATTAAATTGATAAACAAAAGATATGATGATCTAGGAAGGAGGAAGGAGGAAGTAGCTGAAATGGTCGTGTATATCAAAATTAGATCATACTCATATATTAGGGCTTCTTATGAGACTGTGAATCCTTAATTCAGACCCGAATCAGTGCTATAATAAATAATCCCCCATCTTCAAGACAACACAGGGATGACTGCTACATAGCCTCTAGATAAATTCATACATAATTATCCTATTACACCATTACACACAGCCTACTCAAGTAAAGGAAATGTGATGAGATCCGATGCAGAAGCTCCTCCACATTGATGAAGAAAGTTGGAATGATGATTATTGTGGTTGTGGTGGTGGTGGTGGTTGTAATGATTAGGCGGCGGGGGGCGCAAGGCGACGATGCATGGACCCCCGTTGGGGTAGCCAAGAACCGAGTCATAATTGCCGTTATTTCCGACTAATCTGTAATGCTGATCATCTTCTTTGGCATCCTTTCAAATCCAATTTGTGAACTAATTAATTACTACAGCCTATGCATGTGTATATATATATAGCTATTGTATTATGTATATGCTCATTCATGGAGAAAAGATATTCTTACAAATTCGAGCATAAGGTTCTTGTGTATTTCTTCCACATTCCTCAACTGCAAATATATACACACGTTAGAAGAAGCATGGAAATTTTTTCTAGAAATATTGTCCAGACAATGTATGTTATGTATATACCTTTTTCCTGCCAGTTTCAATCTGATTGCTAATAACCTTGTACTGTAGCGAAGGCAAAGGTTTTAGACACAGTTAGTTATTAAAACAAAGATATGTTTATGAAACAATATCAAATTAATAAAAGTATGTCATTACATAATTCGATTTTTGACTATAGTAAAAAATTTTGAATTGGGTTTGGCTATCGTCCTAATTGATTATTTAATTTTGAAACTAAAATTCGTATACCATATATGTAATCTAGGACTCAAATAAAATTGGCTCATGCTCGTAGGTTGCAGGCTTTAATTCTGAATTTCCTTTGGACAAAACTCAGCCTCTTCTTAAGCCCTCTCAATTAACTGATAGTCAGACCACGTTCAGTTCAATAAATTCTACTGCCCTAATTTAATAAAAGGAAAATTTAATAATGTTGATGTTCAAAAACCCTAAAAAAGATTAGGTGCCAAGAAAAGGGTACGTAGATGAAGATTAAACCTTCCTTTCTCGAATAAGCCTCAAAGAAGTATCAATGTCTTCAATAAGATTAACGATCTGTTCATATCCCATATCCGTGAGGCTTTCTCCCATTCTTTGCCTGATCGATCCATTCGGACAAGAAAAGTGAAGAACACATTTAAAACATTAGGGGAAAATAAGAATACATTATATATAAATAAAACCTAATCTCCATCCTAAGGTTCCTGTTAACCTCCTTCAATTTCTTCAGGTGCTCTTGCATTTTCTGCACAGATTTCGACCACCCAAATCATCAGATTCTCTTTCAGATTCAATTTAATCGAAAATAATCAGTGGCTAATTAATCAATCTCGTATATAAATAAACACATAAATAAAGAAAAATGAAACCAAAAAAAAAAAAAAAAAACCTCATAGTGTGTGTTCCAAAGATCAACTCCAACGACTTTCTGATACTGATCGATCACCTGCTTTGTCCTACAATAGAAATATCAAATTATGAGTAATAAAATAATAATAAAAATCATCGTCTATAGAGAGAGAGAGATTAATTATTATACGTGACGGTGGGGGTGATGTACTCATGGAGCTTGTGAGTGGTGGAGATCATGATAATGGAAACCTTTGCATCACAAAGAACACTGAGTTCGTGTGCTTTCTTGAACAGCCCATTTCTCCTCTTAGAATACGTCACCTGCCTGTTCGTCTGGTTCTCTATCCTCTTTATCTGAATCTTACCACGAGCCATATATCCTTAATTTCTCAAAATATATGCAGGCAGCTGCTGGAAACACACCTTTTTTTTTTCTCTAAAATGGCAACTCACATATTCTTACAAGGGGGGGGGGGGGGGGGGGGGGGGAGAGGAATGGATTATTTTTCACCTCTAGTTTTTTTTTTCAATTAATTTGATCCATTTACATGTCGACAGGTGTCCTAAAATAATTGAAGTCTTGTTTCATAAATTAGGGGTAGTTGAGGGACTATAATATAAGCTTCCAAAAATGGAAAGAATTGCCAAACAGGCGTAAGAGAGGTGCAGTAGTCGATAAAGCAATTCAAGAATCAATCGATTGTTGTTATCTGTCAGTGTCAGTGTCAGTTACTCACCAAATAAAACTGTGTGTAAACAGATGTGTTCTTAATAGCACAACAGATCCAATGTGGATGTCATTCATTTTCATGGTTGGATTGGATTTGATTCGATTTTTTGATATATTGGATGAGATGCTTTGATTGGATTGATATCTCTCAAGATTTTATTGGTCGGGAAATTTTGCTTCAATAAATTAAATTAAACTATTTTGTAAAAGGTATTTTTGTGTTAAAATGCTATGCTAAATTGATTTGGATTTTATTATATATTATTGATGTTTCTTTTCGTGCTATATATAGGTCTAATTGGTACAAAAAATTACTTATATCAGTCATTTTTATTTTTTTACAAAAATATATTATTTTCTATAGACATTAAAGGAACAAGTACACCTCATATATATATATATATATATAGTATTTAGTAGGCATGTAAGAAATATATTTTGGTATATATATATATATATATGTATGTATAAAATCACGATTTTATCTTGAATATGCAAGAATCGTTTTTTACTTTAGCTTTTTCATTTCTGAAATATTCTTAGGATGTATAGTTAGATTATAAAAATATATATGATTAATTACAGATATTAATTTGATTATATCTTTTCCATGTACGGGCCAAGTACAAGCAAAAGGTATACGAAGTCTCTTATTATCTATCTGAAAACAATTATGGTAATAAATTCTTATCCAAGTATTAGCCAATGGAGATTGCTTTTAGTCTTAATTTGGTATAATCTTAGGACATGGTCGGCCAGTATTCCCCTACTTTCACTGTAATTAAGTGCGTTACGAATTATAATAATAATGTATAAATATATATATATATATTCTAGTTCAAAAATTAATTTTATATTGGTATAACTCTATTGTATCCGTACTTATATATATCTAATCAACGTGCTTATCGCGTCAGATTCTATTTAAAGCGAATAATTAAATATTAATTACATGCCATAAAAAGAAGTGGACTCATGTTTAACTAACCCTACTTTTTTTTGGTGCTGCCATCCACAACCCACCATTAAATAAATAAATAATTATTATAGTCCGGTAAAATGTGACGAGTAAACTTGTGACCGTAACATGACGAATTTAAAATATATTCACGATTTCTTAATACTACGACTTTTTTTTTTAGCATAGTTTGGAGATTATTGTGTTTTGTCTAAAATTTATTTGGTATAACATCTGAAAATAAATAAATAAATCTATAAATATAGTAAGTTACGAAATTCAATTTGGCAACTGGATTAATTCATGTATAGCTAAAAGACAAAACCCGTAAATAAATTTCAAAAAAGAATAGGGTCGTGGATTTGTAAAAGTTTCCAGCCCATAAAGTGTAAAAACACGTACAAGTTGTAACCACAAAATTTGACTTGCTAGTATTTTGTTTATAATGTTTTAATATTTTTTAAAAAAATGAATAACAATACGCAGGTGTAATAATTTTGTAGATTTAAGTCGTGAAAATGCTTTTTATAGAATTATAATATAATAGTTTCATTATAAAAATAAATAAATTAGTGGATCATGAACTTTTGAAAAATACAACAGTATATACTCATCACTCTACAGGTTCTGCCACTTAATCTGTATATAATATTCATAATGGGTTTACAAAATCGTGCATATTAATTACCTCAGTTAATTAGGTATGCTACAGTTGTATATATTATACTTTTCATTATTGATATGATATTAATATGTTAGTATATATGTGCATTATTTTCCTTTTTAATAAAACCTATATAATTTAATTAATTCGTGCGCACACATTCCTTTAAATCTTTTATATATATATATATATATATATATATAGAGAGAGAGAGAGAGAGAGAGAGAGAGAGAATAGGATTTGCCGTTTTTAATTTTAAAATATTTTCATTTTCATACATTTTTTTTTTAAAAATAGACACATGCCTAAACGAAAATGACATGTAGATGAGAAGAGTCACTATATATTTTTGTTAAAAAAGTGTATATATAAACAAAACTTATAAAGCTTAACTATAATTTTGTGCATTCTTATAAGCAAAACGAGAAAATAAATAAATAGATAAGTAAATGTCTCATATGCATTTTTACTTTTTAAACCAATAGATCGATTAAATTTGTTGTTTATTTATTGGTCATTATATTCTACATACACATAAATATGCAAAATTATAATAATTATTTTTTAGAAAAAGAAATAATAAATTAATTTTATTTCTTGTACTGACCTCTTTTGTTACTATGGGATCCATAATTCTAATTTAAAACTAATTATTTTGTAAATAGAGTAGTCTTTCATCCCTTATACAACAAGGGAATCTCAACACTTTTTCGTACTGGTCCTTGTTCATCTTATTAATTGAAAATATTTAAATTATGATCATATTTTATCGAGTCTTACAAAGTGAATAGGGGTAAACAAAAATTATCATCAGAGTATAAAAAAAATTATAAATATACTACAATATTAATTTACAATCTCATCTCTTGTACGTACGTTGCTCAGTAAACTAATACTACAAAATGGAGGGATGGATGGATGGAGTGTATATATATATATATATATATAATTAAATAAATTTAAGATGCAGGCGCAGACATTTATGTGCCTTCGACGTTTGTGTCTTTTTGGAGCGCAGTAGCAGTAGCAGTAGGAGTAGGAGTAGGAGTAGGTTTCGGACAGTGGGTAATTGGCAGACGGCGCAGGTTGTCGTGGTCATGGTGGTGGTCGGGCAACAGCAACTTGGGATTAGCTGCCGTAAAAATTAGGAGAGTGATGAGGACCAGGACCGAGAGGATAGAGAGCGCGAGTCGTATGGCGCGAGGGACGCCTCCTTTGACTTGCTCCTCGTATCTCGTCGAAGCCAAAGCCAACATCGTTATCGGGTACGAGTACGCCCACCACGCCACGTTGTACCTCTCCATCGCCTTCTTGAACATAAACGGTCTGCAAATCTGTAGATCCAATTCTATTCATTATCAATAACTATTAATGAATTAATTAATTGATTAATTGATTGATTGATTGATTTTTTATTACCAGAGATGCGAACATGAAGAGGGACAGGAAAAAGAGCATCTTGGAGGCAGTGTCGAAGCTGCCGGAGATGGAGAACCAGGCGAGGCTGGCGACGCCAGGGGCGGCGAAGAAGAGGAAGAACACCGGCCGGAGCATCGCCGGGAGGACGTGGCCGCCGGCGACGCGCTGGTAGAGGGTGACGAAGAGGACGAGATAATGCACCATTCCTAGCGAGAACAGGAAGAGCGCCACCTCCTGCCACCGCATCTTGGCGGCGGCTCTGGCGCCGACGAGGTTTCCGACCACCGACAGCTGGCTGGTCGGGTTGGCCACCGCCGTGAGGAACCGCTTACCCTTGGTGAACCACTGGCCGTAGATCTTGACGTCCAGGACCACGACCGGGACCGCGAAGACCCACCAGAACACCACGAAGCAGATGTGGTTGGGAGTGACGAACGGCGCAGATTCGAGGATGAAGAGCCACGATATCCACGGGGCAAAAAGGTAATTTACCCCCACGTGGTGCATGAACTCGGCCTTTATGGTGTTGAAGCAGAGGAAGCACTTGAGCGCGTAGAGAAGGGACAGGACCACCTGGACCACCACCGAGAACCACCACAGGACCGCCACAATGGTGGCGTACAACGCCTTGGGCTTCGTCCCGGACCCCTGAAATGCGGCGTCCTTGGAGTGCAACTGCAGGAGGACTTTCCATAGCAGGGCCTGGAGCCCTAGGGACAGGGAAATCCTGAAGTATCCTGCATGAAACCTCGTCAATATCGACATCGAGATCCACGAAGAAAGTTCAGGTCCTTGTAATTTCTTGCACTTTCCGGGCTCGGGCGGATTCATTTTCACTTGATGTATGTATATTTACAAAACTGACGGATATTTATACTGACCGAGAGGAGCTGAGAGATCGAGACAACGTAAAAAATAATCTTTTAATAGCAATAAAGTTATTGCCACCTTTTTTCCAAAACCTAAACTCAGTCTCTCATCATCCATCCACCGTTAGATAAAAGTGTGTGTTTAGGATGTGCTTTACAGCAAATATTTTAATTTAAATTATAAAATAAAGAAAGTGAACAAATACACAGCCAAATACACTTTTTTTCATTCATATTATAATTAATATATGTATATAGTACTAATCAAGAATTTCATTAGCCCACTAGCAAGGTATTATATATTGTTGGGTCAAATTGGGTCCAATTTGTTGTGTAATTGGGCTTGGTAGTAATCCATTCATGGGAACCCATCTCGAGCGATATAAGTTTTATAGATTTAAAAAGAAAAATAAAAAGTATGAAAGCGCAGATTTTGGATATAAATTTATATCGAATTAAAAATGTATATTTTTATATCTAGTTGAAAACACATATAAGTATTCAAACTACATGTATAAAAATTATATATATATATATCGATAAAAAAAATAAAATAGTACAATAAATAGTTATTTTTATTTAAAAGTTTATAGTCAAATTTTTATTTTTTTAATACAAAATATAACATCTAGATTTCACAATTTGCAAAACTCAAAACTTGTAAATAAATGTGTGTAAAGGAAGCGCATCCAAACCCATATGAAATAAGTTGACTTGTGGGCAGCCTAGTCTAGCCTAGACTTAATGGTACCAGCCATTACTAATACAAGTATGTTCCTAATATCAAATAGGGTATACTAAATTTGAATGATATAAAGTTGATTTAAACATGTATTTTTGAAAATTTTGATATTATATTTATATATTATTTTTTTTTTCAAAATATTACATTAAATAATAATTTTTTACTATTTTCCTTTTTTTTAAAACTCTTATAATGCTTAATTATTTTGTTCTCAAATTATTCCAATTCAATTCAATATTATTTTGTTCTTAAATATAAATTACATGTATATTATTAATCTAATATTTTATTTCTTAACGTTTCCAAATGTAAAATTTAGTGAAATAGCTGTGTGATACAATATATTTACTTTTTAAATGAAGTTGTAATTCTTAATTCGAAAAAAGAAAAAATAGCTGCTAGTGCTACAAATTGGTTTTATTAATTGTTTTAATTTTAAAATAAATATATATATATATGTAATTAGAATTAAAATATTAAAATATTAAATCTAATATCAATAATAATAATAATAATAATAATAATGACTTCAAATGCAGATTTAAAAGGTAAACGGCCCTAAAGTGACGTCGTTTTGGTCAATTGAGGGGTGAAAAATGTGAAGGAGAAACCGAGTTTCACATTTAAAAAACATTGGATGAAAAAGTTTACACTGGAGTAGATCCACACCGGCAGGCGTACAGCAGCAATGACCAGCTCTTAAACGCAGGTTGTGCTGGATCCAATGCGATTTGCGACCCACACCACACTCGATCGACGCTGCTTTATATTGGGGAACCCCAATTCTTGTCGGATCTCAATCTGGTGGGGAGCGGAATTGTGAATTAGGGCTTTGATCCGTCCATTCGATTGGATTCAGATCTCACTGCTTTTCATTTGTGATTTTGGGTGGTGGGAAAGAATTGAGGAAAATGCTGACCAAGTTTGAGACGAAGAGTAATAGAGTGAAAGGTTTGAGTTTCCACAGCAAGAGGCCATGGATCTTGGCGAGTCTCCACAGCGGCGTGATCCAGCTCTGGGATTATCGCATGGGCACACTCATTGATCGCTTCGACGAGCACGATGGACCCGTTCGTGGAGTTCATTTCCACAAATCGCAGCCGCTTTTTGTATCTGGAGGTCTGATTTAGTTTTGCTGAGTTTGTTTTTTCTTTCTCTATCGTCGATTTTGCTTGCTGCATTGTGATATTCGTGGATTTCGGAAAATTGTGTATTTCGTGCTGTATATGAAGTGTTCTATTCGGATCTCTGTCGATTTGCGTTAATTGATTGGTTTTTAATTTTTGTCTACCAGATCAGAGCGTTTTGCAGATTGGATTTGTCGTTTGGATGTGTCACACAGTTGTTTACTGAAATTAGTGATGTGATTATGATATGCCGTTTAGTTTGCATTTACAGGCATATAACCTTTCTTTAGTTCCTGTTGCTATTATTTTATGTCCTGCATTTGAACTAAACTTTTGTGATTACATATTGATCTTAAGATTTGGGTATCCTATGGTCGATGATCTAAAAGGGACGTGTATGCCCAATGTTCTTATGATCTTTGATTCAATTTGAAGCATGAAAATGAGTTTTTCTTTAACCAATTGGGATGATGTCCTTAAGATGTAGAGGTGGTGTATGAGCAGGTGAAATATGTTGCCTATTATTACAGTTGTAGAAATATACGTCTTGTTAGTATTTGATATTGTGTCAACCTGAGACCATGACAAATTAGTTACACTGGACCTGGAGATTTTCAAGTGCATAATTTTACATCATTACAGCTGATGATATTAAAGTACATTGTGCTGCTAAACATATGTCCACTACTTCACAATTGCTTAACTATTATCTAATAACGTTTCTGATGCTATTACTTCCTGACGTAGATCTGTTAGTTATTCAAAACTCTTGTTGATTCACTAGAGGCATGTAGTTAATTTGACTGATAAGGTTATTTATGGCTTTTTGTTGCCATCATGTCTGTTAAATCTGTAGCTGAAGATTTTTTCCCCCTATTACTTTAGCTTCATAATGCTTCATAAGTGCACACTCTCTTATGTAGGTGATGATTACAAAATCAAGGTGTGGAATTACAAATTGCATAGGTGTCTTTTTACACTTCTTGGCCATCTTGATTACATCCGGACAGTCCAATTTCACCATGAGTACCCATGGATTGTAAGTGCAAGTGATGATCAGACAATCAGAATATGGAATTGGCAATCTCGAACTTGCATTTCTGTTTTGACTGGCCACAACCATTATGTCATGTGTGCTTCATTCCACCCCAAAGAGGACCTTGTTGTTTCAGCCTCTTTGGACCAGACTGTTCGTGTTTGGGATATTGGTGCCTTGAGGAAGAAAACAGTATCTCCTGCTGATGATATTCTGCGACTTTCTCAAATGAACTCAGACTTCTTTGGTGGTGTCGATGCTGTTGTAAAGTATGTCTTGGAAGGCCACGATCGAGGGGTTAACTGGGCTTCCTTCCATCCCACTCTCCCCCTGATTGTTTCAGGAGCAGATGATCGCCAAGTTAAAATCTGGCGCATGAATGGTATGCTCTTGTGATATTGATATCGTTTACTATTATTTAAGTGTTGTTTATTTTCTTGGTAATAAGTGTTGGTATTGATGAAGATCAGACAATAAATGCGGTGCACCTAATGTTTTAACTTCAATGCTAAAAAGTACTGTCATGGTTGAATGTTGCTCTCCAGTTCTTCTATAAGAAAAGTAAATGTTATATTCTAGAGCTCAACATGTGTTTGATCATTTATCCGTGTCATGCATGCCCTTTGATATTTGATGTGGTAATCAGTGTACCATCTATAGCTTATTTTGTTGCGGGAAACTTATAATTATCAATTGAACATATGGGTTTTCTTTCATTCTTTGACAGATACTAAGGCTTGGGAGGTGGATACCTTGAGAGGTCACATGAATAATGTGTCATGTGTTTTGTTCCATGCAAAGCAGGACATTATTGTGTCTAATTCCGAAGACAAAAGTATTCGAGTTTGGGATGCTACTAAAAGAACTGGCCTGCAGACTTTCCGTAGGGAGCACGACAGGTTCTGGATCCTTTCAGCTCATCCTGAGATGAATCTTCTGGCTGCTGGTCATGATAGTGGAATGATTGTATTTAAGTTGGAGAGAGAGCGCCCTGCCTTCTCTGTTTCTGGTGATTCACTTTTATATGTGAAGGACAGATTTCTCCGTTCTTTTGAGTACTCAAGTCAGAAAGACATCCAGCTAATACCTATCCGACGTCCTGGCTCTAATAATTTGAATCAAGGGCCTCGAACTCTCTCTTACAGTCCTACGGAGAATGCTGTCTTGATTTGCTCTGATGTAGATGGTGGTTCATATGAACTCTACATTATTCCAAAAGATAGCCATGGCAGAGGTGACACGGCTCAAGAGGCAAAGAGAGGTACTGGGGGTTCTGCAGTCTTCATTGCAAGAAATAGGTTTGCTGTGCTTGAGAAGAGCACAAACCAGGTCCTTGTAAAGAATCTGAAAAATGAAATGGTGAAGAAGAGTGCTCTTCCTATTGCTACTGATGCTATATTCTATGCTGGCACTGGAAATCTTCTTTGCAGATCTGAGGACAAAGTTGTTATTTTTGATCTCCAACAAAGGATTACCCTTGGGGATCTTCAGACACCATTTGTAAGATATGTGGTTTGGTCTTCTGACATGGAAAGTGTTGCTTTACTGAGCAAACACTCCATTGTTATCGCTGATAAAAAGCTTGTGCACCGTTGCACTCTTCATGAGACAATTCGTGTCAAGAGTGGAGCCTGGGATGACAATGGTGTCTTTATATATACTACTTTGACACATATCAAATACTGCCTTCCTAATGGAGATAGTGGCATTATCAAGACACTGGATGTCCCATTGTATATCACTAAGATATATGGAAACACCATCTTTTGCTTGGACAGGGATGGGAAAAGCCGTCCAGTCATTGTGGATTGTACGGAGTATGTTTTCAAGCTGTCCTTGCTGAAGAAGCGTTATGACCAAGTTATGAACATGATAAAAAATGCTGATTTGTGTGGGCAAGCCATGATTGCGTATCTGCAGCAGAAGGGCTTTCCCCAAGTTGCCCTTTATTTTGTGAAAGATGAGAGAACTCGCTTCAACTTAGCTCTTGAAAGTGGTAATATTGAGAAGGCTCTGGAATCGGCTAAAAATATTGATGAGAAAGATTACTGGTACAGGCTAGGTGTGGAGGCACTTCGGCAGGGAAATGCTGGCATTGTTGAATATGCTTACCAAAAGACGAAAAACTTTGAGAGGCTATCCTTCCATTACCTGATCACTGGTAATCTAGACAAGTTGTCCAAAATGATGAAAATTGCTGAAGTCAAGAATGATGTTATGGGTCAGTTTCATGATGCTCTATATCTAGGCGATGTGCGGGAGCGTGTTAAGATTCTGGAAAATGCAGGTCATTTGCCACTTGCATATATTACAGCCTCAACCCATGGACTGCATGATGTTGCAGAGCGCCTTGCTGCGGAACTGGGTGATAATATTCCTTCTCTCCCCGAAGGAAAGAAAGCTTCACTTCTGATGCCCCCAACCCCAGTGTTATGTGCTGGTGACTGGCCTTTGTTAATGGTAAGTAAAGGAATTTTTGAGGGTGGTCTAGATGATACAGGCAGAGGTGTAGACGAGGATTTGGAAGAGGCAGCAGATGCCGACTGGGGTGAGGGCTTGGATATCAGTGAGGTGACCGACTTGCAGAATGGTGACATTAATATATCACTGGAGGCAGATGATATTCACGAGGAGAATGATGAGGAGGGAGGATGGGATCTTGAGGATTTGGATTTGCCTGCTGATGCCGAGACACCAAAGACCGGTGCTAATGCACGATGTGCTGTATTCGTCGCCCCCACCCCTGGCATGCCGGTAAGCCAAATTTGGGTACAGAGATCATCTCTGGCAGCAGAACATGCAGCTGCAGGCAACTTCGACACGGCAATGCGCCTGTTGAACCGGCAACTGGGAATAAAGAATTTCTCTCCACTTAAGTCGCAGTTTGTTGACCTTCACTTGGGCAGTCATACTTACTTGGATGCCTTCACCTCAGCGCCTGTGATCTCGATTGCACTGGAGAGGGGCTGGAGTGAATCGACGAGTCCCAATGTCCGTGGCCCCCCTTCGCTCATTTACAATTTCTCTCAATTGGAAGAAAAGCTCAAGGCTGGTTACAAAGCTACAACTACCGGAAAGTTTTCTGAAGCACTTCGGCTCTTCCTCTTTATTCTTCACACAATTCCACTGATCATAGTCGAGACAAGGCGGGAGGTGGATGAAGTCAAGGAGCTGGTTATCATTGCAAAAGAGTATGTTCTGGGACTGAAGATGGAGCTCAAAAGGAGAGAATTGAAAAACGACCCTGTTCGCCAGCAGGAACTCGCGGCCTATTTTACCCATTGTAACCTCCAGCTTCCGCACACGCGGCTCGCATTGATGAACGCAATGACGGTATGCTACAAGGCGCAGAATCTGAGCACTGCAGCCAACTTCGCTCGCCGACTTCTGGAGACCAATCCGAGCAACGAGAACCAGGCCAAAACAGCCCGCCAGGTTCTTCAGGCGGCGGAGAGGAACATGAAAGATACAGCTGAGTTGAACTACGACTTCAGAAACCCATTTGTCGTATGCGGCGCCACGTATGTCCCGATCTACCGAGGCCAGAAAGACGTAACCTGCCCTTACTGCACCACGCATTACGTTCTGTCCCAACAAGGGGAGCTCTGCGCCGTCTGTGATCTTTCGGTGATCGGAGCCGATGCTTCCGGGTTGCTCTGTTCCCCTTCGCAGATTCGATGAATGAATCGGCAGCCGCCTGCTGGGTCAGCATTTAGAGAAATTGCAACTGGGCAAGACATGTCCAGAGGATTGGGTAAGCAACAGAGCAGCAATCAAACAGGTATGAGTTTCCTAAACCAAAATATTTCGTTTTGTTCTATATGTTTTTTTGTTCACTATTTTTGTTTCTCATCGTCGTTACATTACATGTTTCTCTGTAATAAACCCCATGTATGATTTTTTCATTTTTCTTTTTTTTTTTTGTTATGTTACAACCATTCTTATTATGGTGTGTGGAATTTAGAGCATTGCTAGTTTAGACGTGGCAATGTATATTGGTGTTCTTAAATGGCCCCCCAAACTTGTGTTTTTTTGCAGAATATGTAATAGACAACTACTTCACCTACTCAACTTCACTTTTTATATATCAAATTATAGTATTGTGTTAATCTGATCAAGTCAGCATATATAATCAAGGCAGAGATTACGTGCGAAATACAATGTTGTCATGTATAAGCATGTACTACAATAATATGTTGTCTTATGTCGAATTATGTCATGTATTGTCGGAATATGCATTGTGTTATATTATTACATGCTATATCGTTAATTCCTACGTTGGCCTGAGAGTTATTTCACAAGGAAATTTCATTGAGTTCAAAATGCAAAATAATATGTAATGTTTGGGTGTTTATCACAAAAGAAAAGAATTTATTATTATGTTACTTTCCCGTAGAGGATTATTTTAAATAAATGAATGATGCATGTATATATATATATATATATATATTTATTCTTTTCTTAGTCCAATTTCACTGGTTTTGAAGCGTTATTTTGTTATTATTATTATTATTGATACTTTTCTTTTCCTTTTTCTTGATTAGCTTTTCCATCTGGTCATATGTATATATGTCTATTGGGGTGAAATTTAAAATGATGGTAGGGTTGAGAAAAGTTGATGAAACCCATGTGGTGTGTAGCATACTATGATTAACTGCGCCACAATAAAAACAATTTTGAGATATCAAGGAGAGAATGCATATATTAAATTATGCTGCCTTGCTTGTTTCTTTATGTTTAGTACTTCTCAATTGAAAATATAGTATTTATATATATATATATATAATTAATTTATTATTTCATTTAAACATATAGTAAAAATCTAACACTTACAATATACTACAAACCAAATGTATCACCCTAGATTGCAAATTATTATGTTGACATTAACATATACATAGATATAGGACCTAAAATGTCATGTTACATTCCCCAACCTTAAATATATAGATATATAAACCTTAAATCTATAAAGCTAAGTTCGACTTTATCTGCTTGCATAATTATTGCTTTTTTTTGAAAAACTATTATATATATATATATATATATATTAAAAGTACATTATAAACACTTACTTCATTCAAGAAAATAATCAAACTTTAAACAGCAAACAGTGTGCTACTTATCCATGTCTTAGTGGCATCATTTCATGTGCTTAATGGTATATTTTAATTTTAATTTAGTGCACACATTATATTCTTCGAAACATTTGATATGATCACTGACACCACAAACACTTCACTTCCATAATGTGACTGCAACCATTTTTAATGCCTACATCTCTATACATTACTCTTTACACCATTTTTTAAATTTTTTTTTATTAATATATAAATATTTAGCCTTGTGACATTAGCTTTTTATGAAATAGTAAATACAATACATAACATATACACGATCGACATATAACACAAATACATAAAGAACACAAAATTTATGCTAATATTATACAATGGAACATATAAAATCGATTATATATAATAATAGTTCATCGATCATGACATTATTGAATTCAATACACATCACATAGTATAACACAGACATAACCTGGCGGACACATAGTCTCCGGCGAGCCATGTAGGCGTTTCCGGCGACGGAAGACTAAAACAGCGAAATTTTTTCACTTATGAGACTAATTTGCGACAGACTCCACTTACGGAACTAAAATGATAAATAGATCAAGTTACGAGATTAAAAAAATAGTTTACTCTAATATCAATAAAATAAATAATAGATAACTAATAGTACATGCTAATAGTACGAGATTAACTTCAATCAGCAGCGTAACTATGCATTGTCTACAACTTCGCCACTTCAATTTTGATGTAGTAAAGTTAATTACGCCTTACTATATATATAAAAATTAATACTCTCTCCGTCCCGCCGTAAGATTGTGACTTTTTTTATGTTGATTTTTTAATATTAATTATTATATCAAAACGTAGTATAAATCGAGAAAAAAAAAAGAAGACAAAAATATGTTTATTAGTCTAGAATAAATTATTAAAATATAAAGATATTTTTAATGTGAAGTACGATGATGTAAAAATCAAATGACAACCTTGCAGCGGGACGGAGAGATTATTATTGTTATTGTGGCTGTCCTAATAATTATCGTTATTTACGTGGATGTTGCAAATGACTTGCGGCCCCCTCCCCCACCTCAGAAAAAAGAAAAATAGAAAAATTACTTGCCATAAATAATATCAAAACATCAATTTAATAAATCGAAGCTAACTTGTAGTAATAAATAATTCCAGTGGCTGCTTTGTAATAAGAAAAAGTTGATTAATTCGTCCGATTGGTTAAACAAAATGGAGAGAAGAGTCAACGTCATCCCCACCGTTGAAAAAAGGCTATCCGACGTTGGGCTCGAGATCGGATCGCGGCCGTCTGTCACCCACACCCCTATAATTATTTATTTTTGTACCTTGGCCCCCACTTTTTCCGCAATCTTTATTTTTATCACAATTTTTTTGAATTCAACAATTTTCATATCCTTAACGTTATTAATTAACAGACAACCTTTTATTCCAATCATGGAGTACTGTTCTCACTAGACACAATAATTTTTATAAATAATAATATTAATAATTGTTATTAGTAATTCATTGTTTTGATTAAATATGATTGGAAAGATCGGGTGGCAGCTAGCGTACAGAGAAAATGATGACCGCAGGCAATAATAAAAAGTGAGGGGGTCAAACAGTAAAAAAGTAGATCCTCGGGCCCCTAAAAACAAATATAAACAAGTCCAACATCGGCCCCAGAATTATTCCCGTTTCGCAGAATTAGTCCGCCCCCAAAATTAATTAATTCGAGTTGGCACCCACTTTAGTCGACCGTATCCGTATGTATGTATATATATATATATACCAATTATTATTAATAAGGGATTATATTAAACTGATTAATTGTGGGCACTTATTAAGGAAATGAGTCACAGCACAGTCACGTGCTTAGTTCCTTGAAATGGAAAGTAAAAATAATCATAGTAGTATTTGAATATACATATATATATATATATGTAATTATAAATTGTTTTATTTAATTTAATTTTATTTTTGGTAGGGCTTCCTTTCTTTCCCGTGACTGTAACAAGAGTAGAAGAGTTGAGTATGCAGAAGTAGTATGTATGTAATGTAGTCCTTTTATTGCATTATTATTATTATTATAACTTTAAGGATGGTCCGAGGAGAAAGCACTGTGCCTCTGTGTGTGTATTGCTACTGTGTCTGTTAATAATGTCATTTCATTTCATTTTGGATTTTTTGCAAATTTTCATTTCCCAAGGAATTGTCTTATCAGCCGCTGCAAGAATTGTTGCCCTTTTTCCTCACACGTTTCATTCTTATTTCTATTTTATTTATTTATTTTCATCAGTTATATTTGATTTTAAAGGTGTGTTTCTTTATGAGTTTGAAAAAAATAAATAAATAATTTTGATTTAATATAAAAATAATATTTAATAATATAAAAAAAACCCTTTTCAATTTGATAATCAAACTTATATAATTTGCCTCCTTAAGACTTCCTTTAAGTCTCTTGAGTATCGATCAAACACTGTAGTTTTGCTTCAGATTATAGAAAGTGAAATTAAAAAATAAAAAATAAAATCATGTAACCTGTGCTTTGGAATAAATATGGTATATTATTATTTTTACGTAAAACAAAGTAAATATATTCTCAAAGAAAATAGTACTATATATTATATATATTCCAGGGCAATCAATAATTTGCTAGGTTTATTCATTTATATATATGTCTTCCATATATACATAGTGAATGTGAATGTAAGTTTATCCATATCAAAAGGTGACAAAATTATAGTATTCATGATTGTTCAAGTTGTATAATTAATTGTACATTATTTTATATCAAATTTAAAAGTAAACACTACAAAAAATAATATATATATATATATGTCTGGAAATTTAATATACACTAATACACAGATTATAAGCCAATATAATCATATAAATATATGCGACAATAGATTCGATACTGATACAATATTTATCATCATTGTAATGATGTGTATAATTCAATCATATATATATATATATATATTATATCAACTGGTCACATGCATGTCCTCAGAAAAATCCACACTTTTAGAAGAATAAAACTTTGCATATGATCATGTCTTTCTACCCAATTTCATATTCCCAAATCTTCAATAATGACCAACAAACATCCAAAAACAATATAGAATTTACGAACAATACAAACAAAACAGTACTCATTGACAATATTCAGCCAAAGATAGACAAAATAGAATTAACAAAAAGGAAAATAATAATAATAATCAAATAAAAAATAATTAATGTAAATCAAGAAAGCTCCCAAGTTCCATAGTTACTGAGGTGGGAATACAATACAAAGGCATTTGTCATTCAATTAATTTAATTATTTCAAGAATTCACATACAAAAGGCTCTCTTGTTTTATATTTTCAAAATTAATTTTACATTATATATCAAAATTTCTCTCTAAAAAATTATATACTGTTGCAAAAAATTGTATATAACATCTAACATCGGTATTCATTAATAGTATCTTAAAAATAAAATAAAATAAAATCATATAACTATTTACTCTCACACAGAAAATATCACATTAAATATTTATATTTTTACCAATTTTTTAAAAAAACCCTAAATCTGCAAAAGCTTCTGTGGAAACGAAGCCCAAATCATATATAAACAAGCACAAAAATAATTTGGATCCTGTCTCTATATGTGTCTCCCTTTTGGGGCAACTGTTCTTCTGATCATTTTCTGCTCCTTACAACATTTCAAAACAAAATATTACATGCATATCTGATACAGATCATATATAAATTGTTAAATAAATACAAGTAGAGAAGATAAATTGTTAAATAAATATTGTAGTAATATTCACGATACACATCACTTCTGGTATTGCTATTTCAAAGGGGGTTGACCTCTAAATAGAGACTCTATGAATATTAAATTTAACTATGTATGTGACGTAGAGTCATATTTAATTTGATTTTGTTAATGTTGTAAGTAATAGTAATAGTAATAATAATTAGTGTGACAGAAGAAAGATGTGAGCAGTTAATTTGTTAAGTCGAAAATGATTGGGGAAAGAATTAGAGTGGAATACGAGGCGGTTTTTATTAATTAATTAATTAAATAATAATAACAATAACAATTAGTTAGGGGGCTCTAATTTCACCGGCTGTGACGTTTGTGACGGTGAGAATTACAATTATCGCATTCCTGATTTGTCAGTGATCAAATATTTTGGTGTGTTTCCTTATTTGGGTAAACGAAATTTATCGGTGGGGAAAAAATAAAAGGAAAAAAAAGACGAAGGGGTGGCAGTAAAATTTATTATGGGAATGGTCAGACTGAATGAAGGGGCGAAAAAGTAGAGCGTGTTTTCCGGTGCAAGGACGAATAAGCAAAAGCTGACGCCGCACCACGTGGACGATTTATGGACGTTGGATCGGCATGCAACGGCTGCGATTTAGTCTTTCTCGATGAGGTTTTTATTGCAAACTGCCAGACAACTGTAGAGGAGTGGCAAGATTTTCTGCTGGAAAACCAGTCCCCCCTCTCACACAGTAGCTGTTGGAGAGAGAGAGAGAGAGTTTGTGTGTGTGTGAGAGAGAGAGAGAGAGAGAGAGAGAGAGAGAGAGAGGGGGGGGGGGGGGGGGGGGGGGGGGGAACGGTGGTGGAGAGAGAAAGAGAGAGAGAGAGAGCGAAAGTGGGTACTTTGGGATGTCTTAAATTGAGGTTGCAGAGGAGTGGTTGCCAGTAGCTGATGGCGGCGTTTGCAGGGCTGTGACTTTAATGCATCAAAATCAAAGACAAGGAATTCAATTCAAGTGATCACAATCAAGAGATACATACATACAGAAAGCAGAGAGAGAAAGGGTGAATTAGAGAGAGATAGAGATAGATATAGAGAGAGAGAGAGCCGTTTATCATCATCATCTCCAGCACCCTTTTGCTCCTGCCCTAGAAAATTCCAAATTTTAGTTTCTGAGAAAAGCTGCAGACAGAGAATTAGAATTACAAAAACCACAAAGCTTTTGATTAGTAGCCAAAAACAAAATCCTGTCCCGAGTTAGACAGCATAATCCCAGAACTTAATTAGATTACACACACATATATAGTGATAATAAACTAATGATCCCACAAATAAAAGTAATAATAATAAATTAATAATAACAATAATTATAAACTCACTCGCTCACTCACGCACTGACTGACACAGACACAGACAGAGACACAGAGAGACAGCCACGGATCTTTCAAAGCACTACAACTTTATAATTGTCTTCTTCCCCTCTCCGCCACCCTTTTTCTTCTCTAGCCTGGAGGGGTGGCTTCTTCCCTGTTTGCTATGGATTTTCGCTCACAATCGAGCTTAGACGACAGTATTATAATAGCTTCTAGGGGTCGAAAATGTCTGGGTTTTTCTCACTAGGCGGTAAAGATCACCAAGATCAGCAACAACCCGACGCCACTAATAATAATAATAGTAATAATAATAATAGCCTCTTCCTGTTCAAGAACGAGGAGATCTATAACAAGGGTTTCGAGCTATGGCAGCAGTACTACCAGTTGCATCAACAAAGACTCCACTCTCACTCCAACTCCCACTCCCAGTCTCAAAATCCCCACCACCATCACCACCACAGTACCATTCTAGATGTCGATTTCTCTGTCGGCCCCAGCAGTAGAAGGACCAGCAATAACTTCAACGCCGCCACCAGCAGCATCTTCGGCACCGATCTTGGTGATGATTCTTCCAATTACAGTTTCAGATCAGCAGCAGGGTTTAGGATGATGAGGCAAGGCAGAGGCAGTAGCAGTGGAGCTGAAGGAATTAACTGTCAGGACTGCGGCAACCAAGCCAAGAAAGATTGTGCCCACATGAGGTGCCGTACTTGCTGTAAGAGCCGCGGCTTTCACTGCCAGACCCACGTCAAGAGCACCTGGGTTCCGGCGGCCAAACGCCGTGAACGGCAGCAGCAGCTCGCATCTTTGCAGCAGGAGCAACAGCTAAGTATCAGAGGACCGGAAAACACTAAAAGGATGAGAGAGAATCCCGGCGCCGGCGCCGCCGTCGCCTGCACTACTTCCTCACGATTGGCCGCTACCACGTCGGGTGAGGTCTAATTTGAAATTGGAATTATGCAGCCGCGATCATTAAAATTCAAGAATTAGGGCAAATAATGCGGGGTGAATTGAAGAAGATTTAATTATGCTTCTGCTGCATTTCAATTGTGGGCTTTTATTATTTATAAATGTTTTTTTTTTTTTTTTTTTTTTTTTTTTATGAATGATCTGCTGCTATTACCCCCGCCTCTCACTTTCCTTTTTCTCTTTCTCCTTCCTCCTCGAAGTTGCAGAGTAAATCAAACCTGACGAAAATGGATTAAAGTTTAAGGGATTTAGTAAAGAAGACTGCTTTAGTGTTCTTGCTTGGGGTGAAAACCCAATTTTGGTGAATTGATTTTGTAATTTTCTAATTCTTTTCCCTCCGGCTGTGGCTAGGGTTTGAGTCGGTGCACTTTCCGTCAGAAGTGAGTTCGTCGGCGGTTTTCCGGTGCGTGCGTGTGAGTGCAGTGGATGATGCGGAGGAGCATTTGGCATATCAGACGGCGGTGAACATCGGCGGCCATGTTTTCAGAGGAATTCTCTACGATCAAGGCCCTGAAAGCCGCGGGTATCATGGCGGCGGAGGCGGTGGCGGAGAGGGTTCCTCAGCTGCCGTAGGATCATCTCAACAGCAACCGCTTGATCTTATCGCCGCCGCTGCAGCGTCATCTCCGGCGGGCGCCACTTCCAGCCACGCGAATGTTTCGATGATGGATCCTTCTTCTTCGATCAATTATCCGACTCCGCTCAGCGCATTCATGGCGGGTACGCAATTCTTCCCACCTCCAAGGCCTTAATAGTAGTTATAATAATAATCATAATTTCTTGGGGATCTATGGCGTTATCGATCGATCGAATCTTTTCTTCTTCTCTAACACGAGATCAAACGCATGATGTCGGAAGCCCTTTAAAAAGGCCTGCATTTGCAGCTAGGCAGCCATTGTAGGAGCAAAGAGAGCATCGCAGGCAGGTGCTGGATTCAAAAAACGCATTGGGATGTTTGTTTGTTGTTTTTAGTAATATCTTTTCTATCTATTAAATCGAATCGATTTTCAATTCAGATTTCGTGCATCGATTAACTTAAACTAGTACTAATTTATGGCACTTGATGACGACGATCTTCTCGATAAAACCCTTTAATTAATTTCTTATTATTATTCCATTGGAAGATTTTTAAAGCTTCTACTAGCTACTATTTGGATATGTGCACTTTGCCTAACTACATCTTTTATGGGATTTTCAAATTTTCTCATCATCTTAATTCTCCATGTCCATAGCTTTATTTTATATTTTTATTTTCTTTCTAATTGCCCCTTCAGAGTACGATAACAAATGATTCTGGCATGGGTTTTGGTGCCTGTAATAATCTGCAGCAGCAGCATTGTCTCATCTCAGAAGCATTAATTAGTAATACGAAAAATATGGGGAAGTAACTTTGATCACTGACCCATTTATGTCCCCAAAATAGAAAACCTCAGGCAAGTATCCTCCGGAAGACACGCCTACCCACCCCCCACCCCCCAACCCTTACCCCCTCTCACATGTGCGTACACAGAAAAACACCCCGGGGAAGAAGGGTTATCAAATATAGATACAGATTTGTGTATGCATATGATGACTAGCTTGTTAAGAGATGTTATTAATGATGGTGTTGCCTAAGGTACATATGATATGGGTAAGAAGATTAAAGGTGGTTTACATATATATAGATATAGATATATATACAGTAGGGTTATAGATATGGTACCATGCTTAGGAAACAAAGATAAAATACTAGAGAAATTTCTGTACCCTACTTAGGGAAGAACCAGTGATCTTTGAGAGACAAAGACGTGTCAATTCTTGTGGGATCATACATATATATAGGCTTGATTGATTTCTTGTGATCATCAGTTGGAGGTTTTCTGTTTGTCTATATTATTTTTTTATTTTTATTTTTAAAAACCCTGGTTTTAATTTAGGGTTGTTCTTACGTTTTCAGAGTGGGGGGTATTGGTCGTTTTTTGATAGATTCTGTGTTGAAAAGAAAATATTTTGATGAGTGATTTGGGATTTTGTCTTGGCATTGAATTTGAAACTGTGGGTTGGAATCGAAGTAGTGTAGTTGATTATGTTTGTTCCATAAGTTTTGTAATTAAAGTTGGAAACTTTTCAGCTGGAGAAATGTTGACAGCACAAAGACTTGACTGATTGAATCAGGACTTAGCCATGCATATATATTATTACACCTACACATGATGTGTCTTCTTGATCATATTGCTCACATACTCACATTAGTTATTACATATGGTAAAACCATTTAATCACTTATCATCACACAATGATTTTTTGATTTAGTGTGTGTGTATATATATATATATATATACATAAAAGAAGGGATGAATGACACCTTCAAATTATTAGTATTATTTTTAAAAAGTTAATTAAATAGTTCTTTGTCTTGTGGCATTAATTTCAATTTATGTTGATTAAATTCATTCGTCTGTGTATCCATATAATGCACAACTTTTATTTAATATATAAACATGTGGCACCAGTAAATGTTAGCATTTGATTTATTGGTAATTCGTAAAATTGGACTCATTAATTTCATGCTCATAATTAGTACACACATTATATTTTATATTATATATGTGTATATATTTAACTATCCAAATGGAAAAGTTGAAAGCTTTAGTGATGTTTAAACTAATCATAATAATTAGAAAATTGAAACTTGGTTGATCGATCGATAATAATACTAATAATAATCCATTATGTCTTCCCCAAGCCATGGTACGTATTCAATAAAATAATAATAATAATAAAAACTATATAGTAAAAGAAAACCCACCTTCTTTTCAGGTATAATAATTTGACTGGTGGAATAAAACCTTAAACCGTGGCTTTATGAGATATATTTCTTACATAGGTAAACACATTTCTGTCATCTTCACCAAAAGCTGGAACCAAATGCGTACATATATATATATATATATAGTTGCATACACGACACGATCTAATTAATACTTGCGTACATTACAAATATTACACCTATATTTTTTAAATTATTTTCATATTGTTTATACAAAAATTTGATATTTAAAAATATTATATTCAAATCCTATTTTTTTTTTTATATATAATATATCATATTAATACTTATTTATTTCATATCAAATATTTGCTTTTTCTTTTTCTTTTTTTTCACTTTCTTTCAAAACATTTGAACTTTAAAACTAGTTTATTTGGTTATATTTTCATGGAATTAATCCTAGGCTATCTTTAGATATAAGTTTTTAAATTTAGAGAGTTTTTAAAGATAATAAAAAATTTAATAAGATTACGTATTCAATGTAATATTATATGAAAATGTGTGTCGTAAAAATGTGGTGGAGATTGATTGAGGTATGAAAATATTAATGGCGATTTTAAAATATTTAGTTGTGAATGAAAAGAGAGGGAAATGAAGACGACGACGAGAGAGGAAAGCAGCTATAGGCTGTAGGCAGGGCTAGGTAGGTAGCTAGCTAGGGTTGTAGCCGTAGCCGTAGCCGTAGCCGTAGGTAGGGTGGGTGGGTGGGTGGGTGAGGGGGCGTGCTGTTGTTCATGAATTATTATGCAAATTGGGCTGCAATTTTGTGGTCCAAATACTATCCATCCCACCTTGTCTTAACTTAAGTTTCCCATTTATTTATTATTATTTCGAAATTTAATAAATCAAAGCGGTGGATCCTTTTTTCATGCACAACATATGTTCTATGCGTTTATGTCTATGTATAGATGTGGGTCAAGACACGAGCATGTGGTGTGCATATTACACACTCACAAAAATAATAATACGTATATTTATATTTATTTATAATAATTACTTTTTATATTATTATTAAAATGCACATAAATGATAAACCAGTTTACCAGTTCAGTTCGACCACCAACAGGTCTACGAATAGAATCGAGATTCCTACTTAACCAACTCAACAATACAATACATTGTACTTCATCCGTCCCAAAATTAAATATTATACGTAGTTTTAGAAATATTAGTATTATATTTAACATTACAAATACTCTTGCAACTTACAATATATTACATAAATGGATACTTTGTTAGAATTACTAAAAAAAATGAATACTTTGTTATGGGATGGAGGGAGTATTATAAAACCCTAAATAATTACAGTAGTATTTCAAAATCTCAACTTCCATGATTGTCCGTTGAATGGATCATAAATGAAAAGAGGGGAGAACATATACTAAGGGTGTGTTTGTTTGGGGGTTTGGATTTTGAGTTGGGATTTGAATAGTAAAAATTTTGAATTTGAATAGTTGTATGATGTGATATAAATAGGGTTTGATGTGATGTTTTGAATGTAAAATTGATTTTTAGTATAATATAAAAAATGAAAAATAGGTGTTTGATTTGATATTTTTGAGGGGAAAAAATTGGATGAATAGTGGAAATCCACCAAAATTCTTCAAACAAACACACCCTTAAATAACTTTATATATGATCTTTGAAAATTTCGAAGTTTATTTGTGAAATAATAATAATAATATAAGCATTTGATTTAATAGTTTTGTAAGAGGATACAAATATTTGATACAACATTTTTAATTTTTTATATAAATAAATAATGAAAAAAATGTATATAAAAACAGCCTAAAACTATAAAATATTCTAATATTTTACACGTGTTGACGTAATAAAATAACATACACGTGTTTTGATTAATAATACAAAAAACATAATATATGTGCTCTATTTATTAAAAAAAATAAATTGATATAAAATACTTTTTATTGTATTATCGATACATTTTTGTAGAGGGATATAAAAATTATTTCAAATTAAAAATATTAAACAAATTGAAAGAATGTGTTATCAGTGAGGCCCATCGCAAGTAAGTGGGCTCAACACGAATTGGGCTGTGCTTCTTCACTAGAGTTAGAATTTATATACGGGGTCCTCTTTTCCAGGAATTTTATTTAAGACCATGAAATTCTTATATGTAAATTAATAATAATAATTTTTTTAAAAAATAAAAAACCACAGTTTAAGTTATTTAAATACTGAGGATGCTATTGAAAATAATAGATGTGTTTGTTTCACTGTTATTAATTTTTCTTACAAAATAGTATTAAATTTAAATTATATTGTAAATTCAAATTAGTGCACATTTTGATGTAGCGATTATGGATTCCGACTCAAATTAGTGCACATTTTGATGTAGCGAATTCCGACGTTATAAAAAAAATAAAAAAATATATATATATATATTAGTAATCCCATTTTGTTATGCTTATTTATGAGGATAAGTGTGCATTTATGTATTTTGGCGTTTGTTACCTTTCTTTAAGATAGAAAATTATAAAAGGAATACGTGCTTGTGCTTATCTCTATTTTATAACGTTTTAAGTATTTTAAATTTAAACTTAAATATATTAATAGAATTTATAGTTTCACTGTTGAAAGTAATATTGTTAACAGTAGAAAATCACGAAGTTGGTGCCGCCGGAATGGAGGCGAAGCTGCAGCTCCAGCCTACACTGTGAAGTGCATTCAATTCTTCAGCGCTCCCCTCAGGTCCTCATTTACTCTTTTCTTTAGATATGTTGTTTGTTTGTTTTTTAAAATGTTGAGATTTGGAATAACAAACAGTATTCCGTGAGATTCTGCTGCCAATCTTGGCTGGATCGCAAAGTATCGCGCCGCGCACGAGGTTGACGAAGCTTAGAATGGAAGAATGGTAAGCGCACTCAGCGTTTCTGAGTGTACGTGAAGCCTGGAAGCTTCCGCATTCTGGCTGATAAATTGTAACTGCCATCCGTAATTTCAAAATCGCGGAACTCTTACAAGGTTTGGGGAAAAAAGAGTTTCCTTACTTCAGGAGCAATTGTATTTCTATCTGTGCATTGTTTCTTTGCTTCACGTAAAATTGACTAATTTCGGTAGATGGATCTGATGGTATTAATTGTTGTGCTTAAGCGTGGTATTTTCTGCCTTTTTGTTTAACATTAGTTTACGGTTTCTTGATGAGCTACTGTGTATAATTGTTACATTTTTCTAGCCAGATGGCCAACCGTTTATGGATAATCTGCTTCCTGGTTCAATCTTGCATTGTTAAAATGTGCGTAGCTAGCGCAGGTGATTCTGATCCAAATTACAGGTATCATTTTCAATCTTTTTTTTATATCTATATTCAACGTGTTTTTGCCTAGTTTGATTTTTTTGTAGTTTTCTTTTGTTTCATGAATGGTGGAATATATTTGGCGACATCCTTTTCATTTTGTTATGATGATTTTCAGTTGAATCTACGACATCTTGCTCTCTCTATATTAGCTAGCCCGACGGGCTTCTTCACTGTATGCTCACAATAAGCAACTCATTTTGAATCATCTCAATTTATGGTGGATGGAAAGTTTGCTGAAAATAATCTTTTGACAGTGGAACAATAAAACAATTGGAAAGTGGTTTAGTTATTTATTGGTTTTCTAATTCAAAACATGACAAGATTATTTTGGTTATTTCTTCTGTGGATTGTAGGGCTTGCACTGAACTATGTGAAAAGATTGGCTGTGTTGGGGATAGATGCTTCTCACAATGCAAGTTTCCATTACATGTTTCTTCTATTCACAACCGTTTGCATCCGAAAAAGCCTCTTTACATGCAATGGAAACAATTGGATTGCCAGAGTAACTGTCGTTACCATTGTATGTGGGCCAAAGAAAATGAAAGAGAGGTACTTGGCCTAGAACCTGTTAAATATCATGGGAAATGGCCATTTAAACGTATATATGGCTTCCAGGTTCGTGTTCTTCTCTACAAATATAATTGATAACTCAGTTTAATGTGCATCTGAGTAGTTTGCTATGGATTTATTCAGGAGCCTGCATCAGTGGTCTTTTCATTTTTGAACCTTGCAATGCATATCCATGGCTGGGTTTCTTTCTTTGTGCTTCTTCATTATAAGTTGCCAATGAAATCAGATAAGAGACCTCTTTATGATTATGCTGGCCTATGGAGTATTTATGGGCTTATGTCTATGAATGCTTGGCTGTGGAGTGCAGTTTTTCATAGTTGGTAAGATTCCTGATCTTCTCTTCTCATCTATGAACTATGATATGATATTTTGCTTCCTAATTATGGGAAAGTAGTATTTTTCTCAAATTATTATTTCTGCTGGCCCATTTTCTTACAAGAGTTGTGTTTCCCCTTGTCTGGGCAATTTTTTGCTCGATGTTTCTTTAACAATGTTGACGGTTATCCTCCTTAAATGTAGGGATATGGACCTTACAGAAAAGCTCGATTATCTGTCTGCAGTGGCCTTGCTTGGGTATTCATTGATTTTGGCTATAATCAGATGCTTCAGCTTAAGGAACAACACTACCAGAGTCATTGTAGCCGCTCCATTGATTTCATTTACAACTACACACATTTTATATCTCAACAACTATGAGATGGACTATGGTATTGTCATTGCTTCTCTTATCTTTAATTGAAATTGTTGTCCTCTGGCTGAATGAGCATGTGCCTGTGTTGTTACCTTGTTAAAAGTTTATGGCTTGGTCCTATCTGAAGTCGCCATGAACATTATAGTGACACTAGGGGAATCATAATCAGAAGTGAGAAATAAATGAAGCAGACATTGTTAAGGTCAAGTTTTCAATCTTTCTGGATTTAACCAGCAGTGATTTAAATCTTAAGTCAAGCTTTTCGATCTCTAGCTTACTAGGCTTGGATTCATGTTAATGCAGCTATTTGTGTTTAACATTTTAATACATCAGTCCTTTGCATCATCAAAGTTTTATTACATGCTCACATTTTTGCAATGTCATTGCTCATAATGTTATAAATTCTTGTTCCTACATTTACATTAGGATGAAGATATATACCAACAAGAGTCTCCTAATAACATGTAACATTCCATATACTTTTGACAGGGTGGAATATGAAGGTGTGCATAGTGATGGGTGCAACACAGCTTCTCATTTGGTCAATCTGGGCCGGCGTCACTCGCCATCCTTCTCGATGGAAGCTGTGGATCGTGGTTGTGGGTGGCGGCTTGGCGATGCTTCTCGAAATCTTCGATTTCCCTCCTTACTTAGGCTTGGTGGATGCTCACGCCCTCTTGCATGCCTCCACAGTCCCTCTTACATACATCTGGTGGAACTTCGTCAAGGATGATGCAGAACACAGAACATCCAAGCTCTTGAGAAAATCAAAATAGCTTATGTTGTTGTTGTGCTGTGTTACTCAAGAACAAGAACACACATGACTTACTGCTTCTGCTTGGCCTCTTTTGGGAGCATTTCAATTTCCATCTCAGATTATTTAATATATTTTAATACAATTATTTATTAAAAAAATCTGACTTGGATCCTTAACGAAAAGATATAAAAGATAGAAAACATTCTGACTAAGAGTTTGAGTATTGAAAATGCCGGCCAATTTCCGGCGATCCTTCGCCGCCGCTGCAGGCTCCTTGAATCAGTTGCGACGGTTCCACGAATTCGCCCCTACCGCCCGTCGTCGACTCAACCTCCCCGGCCATGGAGATCATCCCAGTTTCCCCGATCTCGCCGCTCATAGAGACTGGCTGAGCACGCCTCAAGTAATCCGAATTTTCCAGACTCTCGAAAACCCTAACCACGCGCTGCCGCTGTTGGATCAGCTCTCCCGCCGCCGCGACTACCGCCCCAATGAGTCGCTCTACTCCACCGTCATCCACAAGCTCGAACTCGCCGGGGACTTCGACGGAATCGACGCAGTCATGGCACGGATCAAGGCCGAGCGGAACTGCCGCCTCTCCGACGCCTTCTTCCGGAACGTGATCAAAATCTACGGCCACACCGCCGGCAGAATCAACCGCGCAATCGCCACACTATTCGCCATGCCGAGCTACAAGTGCTGGCCTTCCACCGCGACCTTCAATTTCGTGATGAATCTGCTGGTGAATTCCAAGCAATACGACGTCGTCCACCAGGTGTACGCAGCGGCGCCGGAGTTGGGGGTCGAGATCGACGCTTGCTGCCTCAACATAATCATCAAAGGTTTATGCAATTGCGGCAAAATCGAGGCCGCACGCAAGGTGTTCGACGAATTTCCCGACCAGAAATGCGCGCCGAATCTCCGAACCTTTTCAACACTAATCCACGGCCTCTGCCAACACGGCCGTGTTGACGAGGCCTTTGTGCTGATGGACCGTATGGAGGCCGACGGCGTAGAGGCGGATGCCGTCGTCTTCAACATACTGATTTCAGGGTTGAGGAAGCTCCGCAGAGTGGAGGAGGGGATCAAGCTTTTCGACCAGGCTATGATCAAGGGTTGTGAGCCGAACCCGGCGACGTACCAGGAGGTGGTGTATTGCTTGCTCGACGGCCGGAGGCTTGGCGAGGCGAAGAGTTTTGCGGCGAGGATGATCGACAAGGGGATGAAGCCGAGCTATGAGACGTACAAGCGCCTGATCATAGGTTTTTGTGAAGACAATGCTATGGAGGATGTGGAGTGGACGTTGAAATGGATGTCTGAGCACAGATTTGTGCCCAAGATGGGGATGTGGAAACAGATGGTTCGATGCGTAGTCACGTCGGATGAATTCGAATTCGGACACGAAGACATCATGGGTTCTTGAATTTCAATCAAATCCTATCTGGAATTTTTACTGGTACAATTTCAATTTTGCAAGAATCATCAAATTTTACTGGTAAAATAAATTAATATTGAGTGGAATAGCTTTTTATTCTTATATAAAAAAAAGAAATATATATTTATGTGAAACGATATTCAACCTAAATATATAATCGGGCCCGGTCCTTCCAAAGTAATCCGTTCATTGTTTCTTTGCAAAAGGGCGGGACTTATGGGCCCGAATTTCAAATTTAAACATGGGCCGAGGCAAAACACTGTGAAGCCCAATAAAGAAGACGAGACTGTAGACAGAGTCCGCCAGAGTCAATCAATACTCACTACGAATCGACTTCGCTCGTTGACGTTGTACTTCCCCTCTCCCTTCGGGCAAAAGCCACGGGTCTATTGAAGCGACGGTACAACGGTGCCCCAGAAGACTCGGCGAAGAAGGAGACATCAGCCATGGACGATGACCACAGCTACGACAACAACACCGTCGACACTTCAAAGTCCGAGCGATCCATCTGGCTTATGAAGTGCCCTCCGGTGGTCGCGAAGGCCTGGCAATCCTCTGCCGCCTCATCTTCCTCTTCTGCCGCCACATCTGAGTTGCCGTCGGTGGCGAAAGTTGTCGTCTCTCTCGATCCCCTCCGCGCGGAAGACCCTTCAGCCCTTCATGTTAGTATCTTTGCCTTTTCTTATAATTTTCGCTGTATTTATTTTATATTATTTTATTGAAGATATTGTGATGCTTCGATTTCGTGGGGGTTTTGGATTGGTCGGCTGGAATTGACCTAATTGATTTGGTTCAGTTTACGATGGAGATGGCTGGTGGTGACGTTGTACAGATGCCCAAAAGCTACTCTCTAAACATGTTTAAGGATTTCGTTCCCATGTGTGTATTTTCCGAGGCGAACCAGGGTGAGTTTATTTGACTTACATTAATCTCTTTTGGTTTCTCTTCTTAATTTTTCCTGTCATTGAATTTGAATGTGGAAATTTGCTTTCTTGAAAACCTAAACTTGCATGTTATATACATTTCTGTCTTCTGAAACTCATCTGATTAGAATTTATATTTATGTAAGTAAAATCCGAGTTATTTCTCTCAAATTTAGATGGCGATTCAATGCACTTAAAATATTGAATTAAAGTGCAGCTTATCAGGGTTTAGTCCAGATGTTTTAATTGAAGAAAACTCTGATGATCTTTTTCTTTTTCTTTTTTTTTTTTAAAAAAATTGGGACTACCTATGGCATTAAATGATCTCTGTCTGTTTCGATTTTGTGTGCTGGTTTTGCTCATATGATCATAACCAATTATGTTAGGATTTAAGTTTGAGATGGTTTTGGTTTGTGAAATTAGTAAGTAATTATTATTTTTAGTTCACTAGTAAAGTAAATTTTAGAACTTGTAATTATGTAGTTGGCTGGATTTTTTTTAAGTAGAGATTTCTATATGATAATTGAATGATTTGATAGGATATATAAGTGAACATTTTGTTTCTGGGTGTGGTGTGTTAGAGTTTTTCAATGTGGATAAATTTAAAATTGACTATATATAGGGGGATCTTTGAGAAAAATGCTGATGAAGAAGGCATCCAAACAATTCTTGATTTCTAGATCAAATTGATCTCTAAACTAACATGTCTACAATTTTGTGCTTGCAACGTGTCGATGTCTTGTGCTGAATCACAATATCAATCAATAGCCACGTGCATTATAGCCGAAATTGGGATGGGCCCACAGTGCCCGAAACTGTGAATGAAGAAGTTGTGGATATTTTGGGATCGTCTATTTGTGTTTTTTAACCTGTATTTTACTATTTAATCTCTCAATTTCCTCCAAAAAAATCACATAAAAATTGATTTTTCATTCAAAATATCGCATCCAATAACTATTTCACTTAAACTTAAAATAAATAAAAAACAGTGAAAAAAAGGGACACAACTGAAAAAACCCTTTTGTGCTTTAGGTGTAATTGTACTTCCGTATTAAATCACTTTGTTTTGTTCAACTAATTCTAACACTGGGTTTAATTTGCATTACATCATGCTACTCAAATCATTGATGAGTTTCTCTCTTGAGTTCAGTGTGGATGTGATTACATTGATGAATGATATTATTTCTATTTATGCATTCTCAATTCTACCTTTTAGGAAGAGTTGCATTGGAAGGCAAGGTAGAACACAAGTTTGACATGAAACCGCATCATAAGAACATCGAAGAATATAGGAAAATGTGTCGGGAAAGAACAAACAAGTCGATGGTGAAGAACAGACAAATTCAGGTCATCTACTCTTCTTTCCATGAATTTCACTTCTTATCGGATGCATGCATACTAAATCTATCGTCCATTATTTTTGCTATATGTCAGGTGATCAATAATGACCGTGGTGTGCACATGAGGCCTATGCCTGGAATGATGGGGTTAATTTCTTCTACTTCTAAGGTATTATTTTGGAATTCATAATAAATGTATCTTTACGATATTTTAATTGCTTTGGTAAGGGTTACTAATAGAAGGATAAGAAAACAATACCATTAAGGGACTGAGAATAATTGAATATTTGGTTGTTTATTTCTAATTACAGGAATAACCTGAGTTCTTGTTTTACTGTGCAGGATAAGAAAAAGGCAGCACCAGTTAAGGGACCAGATGTTAAAAGAACTAGAAGGGACCGTGGAGAGTTGGAAGATATTATGTTTAAACTTTTTGAGAGACAACCAAACTGGACATTGAAGCAGCTTGTTCAAGAGACTGATCAACCTGCTGTAAGTCATTACTATGATTTGATTATATAAATGTACATCACTTTACTTTAGTATCCATTTAATTTCTATTACCTGGTGTATCTTATTTTTATTTGATTTCTTTATATGCAGCAATTTTTAAAAGAGATATTGAATGAGCTCTGTGTATACAATAAAAGGGGAACAAACCAAGGGACATATGAGCTCAAACCAGAGTACAAGAAATCTGTTGATGATACAGGTGGTGACTAGTGATTCCATAACTTTCCTGCACATTAGATCTGCTTATGCAGAGTAGTAAGGAGCTCTAATTATAATTCCATACATACTCATTGATTGTTGTTTTGTGAGATAGCCGTTTTCCTATACTCAGCCGATCTGAGAAAAGAACAAGGTTACTTGTAAGAAGCTTGTTGTTACTCTGTAATAGACTGCCGTATCTTTTCCCGGATTAGATTTCCATACAACTTGATTTCATATATAATATCATCAAAGATAAGCTATTGGTTATTTTCTTTCATATATGTTCCTTCTTTTATGAATATGGAAGAAGATTTAGAAATCTCGGTGGTTGTGACAACATGCTAAGATTTATCTTTTACAGTTCGTTTTCCTTTTGCATCATTCGTTGTGTTTATATCAGTTTAAATGTCGATGAGATATCCACTTTAATGGTGAAGAGTTATGCCTTGTGCTTTATGCTATGAGTTTTTAAGCTCTCTTTGGACCTGCATACTGCAGATTAAATACTAAAATACCAATAACAAATAGGATTGAAGAAACTGAGAATAGATCCAAAACAACTAATGTAAGAACCAAAGGCATCATAGACAGCTCATAATGGTATATTTTCCTTCTTGATAGTATCATCTTAAGTAATTTTTTGGACAAACTACAAAATTCTGCCACCTGTTTTCATATTCACTGGTATAATTAACAAATTCACACCAAGAGAAAAAGTGGTAAGAATTGTGAGTTACTAGGCACTGTGATAAGTCAATTGATGTCATCCACTATAGGAACAGCAAACTTTCTGAGTTTAGAGTTCTATAGGTAAATCTGTCTGCTATTGGTGTATAATAATAACTCAGGTGAGCTATACCATCAAGTATTGGCTTTGCATGAGTTGTGAAATGTTGTTGCACACCTTAGTGCTATACAAATCAAACCTTAAACTTTCCAAAAGTATGAAATAAGGAACCCCTAACCGAGTTAGGTTAATTTGAAGTTACTGTAAAGCAATTAAATGTATGTTATGCAAATAGCTTCACTTGGTAATTGTTTCCAAAGGGCTTTCAGAAAAGACAGTGCAGTGCACATTGTTGATATTCATAACCCTGTCAATCTTTGTGAATTCTTCTCGATTTTTTATTAGAACACATCGTGGTATGGCATTTGTAAAAGACAACCATTAATGTCCTTGAGTTGCCTTCTATTCTACTGAGTCATTATTTTGGTAGAATAATTTCCTGTGTGCGCTTTCTTTTCAAGTTAGTGATGTATTCACGTCAGTCCGATTATTGGATTAGCTCTAGATTCCAGTATTATGCACTTAGTGATCAATTCTGTTATGATCAATAGTATTGAAAATCACCTCAATAAGCATGCTCCATGAGTTGCCTATCATGTCAGATACTGTTGGCTGTCTTGTCTTATCATCAGATTTTATTCTCGTTTGAGGTAATAACTAACAGGATTTGGTGCGAGGAGGATTTAACAATAGTGTCCATACTCTAGCAGCGCAAAATAGTTCAATAAGACATAGGTTCGGATGTGTAATAGGTTTACTTGAAATTAGACCAGGAAATTACTTTATACAGGATATGACTTATGAGTATTGGCAAAAGATTTAAACTGAAAAATAGGGGGTTGGAACGCAGCCCTGCAGGTCTGTATATCAAGAACTAAGATAAGAAATAAATTGGTATGATAAAAATTCTAGAGACATCATAAATATTACAAACTATCGTATTCTAATAGAAACTTTAGCAAGTCGACTCTTGCAATGAGCCAAGGAAGTGTTCATGATGAACTGACATTTCACCGTAGGTTCTACCTGTAACGAGCCATGTAATAAAGTTTGTTCTAGTAGGCATCTTTTAGTTTTTCTTATGCATCTTAAATTTGTTGTTCAGAACATCACCTCTGGATGAGAGTGGGATATATGGAGTGCAGAATGAGCTCTTGTTCAATGTGAAAGGCCACTGGTGTGTATCCCACTAAGCGAAAAGAGTGTTGGGTGCATGCGAGTCACAATTGAGTATTATGAAAATGACCAACTAGGAATCTAATTTGTCGTCTTTGTAAGATTTTTAGAGCATCTTTGGTCCGGGTATACTTTGGCCATCTTCTCCAATTAGGTGTTAGTGGTTAGTAGGATCCACTCGACTTGAACTATAATACTATATTCAATCATGGAGCCATGGGGCTGCCAGTGGGACCTCTTATTGCCATATGTTGCATCCTCAAAGGACTGTTAATGGAGACTTCGTCACTCCCATGAGCGTGGATGTCAAAAATGGAAAATCGAGAGAGAAAAAAAAAAAAAAGCAAGGGGATGAGTTAAGTGGCGGCCCTACCTGCAAATGGCTTCTTGAAAGATTCCGTTATTTAAGGTAATATATGATGCATGTTTCTGTCATTTTTTGTTCCTTCTCCGGGCATTGGTATTTTGTTACTGAGTGATTTCTCTAGCTGCTGATTCTTTGGTTGATGCATATGGGATTATCCCGATGTTTACTTTTCAATAAGAAAATGGGAAATCAAATGATGAATGGATTTGGTTAGGTCAATCTTTAATCAAATCTCTAGTGCCGTAATTATCAGGAATGCTGGTTGGTCTGTCTTGAAAGAGATATGTTTGATATTGTCCCATGATAGCATATGGAATCGATGTTGATTAAAGTATCATTTTGGTGTTTATAGAAAAATAAAACAAGATGAGCTCGAGCTGCAATATAGTCAAGAATAGCGGACTACAGGTATTTAATTAAGTGGTTATTGTGCATGCATCTTTTCTGTGAAGCCTCATCAGGATCATGATCAAAATTGAACTGATATAAAGTTGTCCATTTGAGCAGCCAATTGGTCTGTCTGTGGCTTTGCTTTAATTGATTTCCGGTAGTGTGTTTTGGGGTGGGTGGAATAACTTTCCATTCCAAAAGCTCCAAATATATAAACAATTAAAAAATATTATATATACTGTTTGCATCTATCCTCCTTGTATTGTATTGTCTTTTTTTTTTTGCCTGAAATTGACCCAAGGGCCAAGTGATATCCCCCTTTTATCAGATGGGAATGCTTGAATGTTAATGGGAATGTTTAACTAAAGCCTAATAGTTCAAAATTTATGTCCCAAGACAAGTGAAGAATTAAGACATGGGCAGGCCTCTGCTTTGTTGATGCTCTAGTACAGAAAAAGACAAATGATGTGTGTAACTGCCCCACCCACCCCCACCCCCAACCCCCTTTGGTTTCTTTTACCTGATGAAGGGCAGGAAACAAGAAGTGGTGGTGGTGTATGATGGGTGCTTCACAAAACCTGTGAAACATTCCATCATGTCTGTGTTTCTGCATTAGTTTCAAACTTAGTATCAAAACCTGTGAAACATTCCATCATGTCTGTGTTTCTGCATTAGTTTCAAACTTAGTATCAAAACCTTGCAAGATTATTATAAGGGATATATTTTCTGGGAAACTAATGATGTGTGACTAAGGAAGAGTCTCTGAGTGGGAGAATGAGGGAATCTCCCACAGGGAGGGAGGAAGGGGGAGTTCTCACTCAAGCCCAATATACATACACATCTATACATACATACATAGATACATACATACATTTCATTGCCAGCAGTCAGGTAATGTCCTTAGGATTTAAACCTTGGAATAATGGGCTAATCCAGTACTTGCTTTCATTGTGTTTTGAGACTCAGGAGCAGTGGGAGTGTCTGTGTGTTTGCAGGGGGGGGGGGGGGGGGGGGGTTAGAGGACTGAAGCTTTGATGAATTCTTGGTTACTTAAAGAATTAAAATTAATGAGCAAAGGAGAACAAGAGTATGTGTGTAGTTATGTTATTGTCCAAAAGCTTTGAAATGGGTAGGTATTGAGTGAATTATTTGTGGTGCCCCATTTGAAACCAGCTGATAGATTTATGAATGTTTGTTCTTCTTTGATGTTTTATTTGTTGTCCTGAATTGCTGACTCGATATTCGTCTGTCCATGTTATTTCAGTCCAGATTGAAGTTGGATTATTTCATTGTAAAGCTACAAGCATACAACACTTGAGGTTTAATACTTGGTTTGTTTGTTTGTGTTTGGTATTTTTGCAATAATCTTTGAGAATTTTCCTGTGGGAGAAATTGCCCAATAAATATAAATTGGGGAAGGCAACAAATGCTAGATTTCATTGCTTCCCATTAGGGCCACACTTCATTTTGCAGACTGTTGGGATGTCACGTCGCCTCTCTGCACATGCCCTGTTTGTAATTGTATGATACTAATAAAGATTTGATTTTTCTTGAATTTGATTATATACCCATTTGAATATGAACAATTTAGAGGACTAACTAATGTAATGAAGACGTCCTTATTACAAGATTAGTGTCAGTTGAGGTTTCATGTATCAGACATGACACCAGGCAGTGAAAAAGCAGTGGAAACTATGAACTGCAAAATATAATGGTGATCGATTTTGAAGCACGCCTTCCTGGAAATTTTGAATCCATTGATTAATTATAATAGTGAAAATGAAAGCACTTTATTATTATTATTTTTATTTTTTATTTTTCACCCTGGATGGGATGGAATGGAATCTTGTTTTTATATTTGACCTTGAATTCCAATTTTCCATGTGTGTCTGCTACAGAATCTGAAGCAGGCATGATTGAATATGCTTTAGTGGTGTGGAGAAGGAGAAGAATTCAAAGTCACGCCTCCCTTTTAACAATTCCCACGTCTGTACTGTTCTTCTCTCTGTCTTTCTGTAATTGATGTTTCCTCTTCTGATTAGTTGTCAATAATTCTCATAATTGCAATTTACACGTCTCTAATATTTACTTCCTTCCTTCCTTCCTTCAACTTCACAATTAACCCTTAATTAATTATCATCGTAACTAATTCATTGACACAACCTCTTCTGTAATAATTGACAGATATTTCAATTTTCAAGTTTTGTGCTGGGCCGTGGGCGTGCTCCTCTCTCTCTCTCTCTCTCTAGAAATACACAAACACAAACACAACATGTATGTGTGAGATGAAAAAAAAAAAATGGTGTGGTTATGATATATGCAAATAGTAAATTATAATGATGATATATATATATATATATTATGTAAATGAGTTGAGTCCACTAAACTGTAGGTATTGGCGAGAAGATTCTCTCGTGCAAAAGAAATCTGAGAAGTAAAATTGCTGTCAGGCATGCATGCATGCAAGAATGTGTGTATTTTGTGTAACCCTAAAGAGGGAGCTAGAAGTCTCTGCAGATTGCATTGCAGTCGATGAAACTCATTTCCAACAGGCAGCAGCACCTGCTGCTGAATACCTCCAAAATAAATTAAACCCTAATTAATTAATACTATTCCATCCAATTATATATCCAAAATTTTATTGTTTGTGTCTGATTAAGGACACAGCATAGAATCCAGAGTTGTTCGCCTCTCAACATCACATGGTAAGGCTGTCAGAGAAAGATGAACTTTGCTTTTGCATTGTACAAAACAACCATAGCCATGTACTCATAATAATAATAATAATAATAATAATAATAATAAAATTCTTATTTTTCTTAATTCAACCTTTTAATTAAATTACTAGCTCCCACCTGTGAATGAATTAATTGAAATTAGAAATTAATTAGATTGCAGGAATGATACATGATGATGGTGTGGTCTCGATTGAAAGGGGACACCATGTTTCTTATAAAGCTAAAAAGAACTGCACTGCACTGCTGAATATATATATATATATATATATAACGGCAGTACGTACAATTCATGATGACTGTGAGGTTTGGAGGGATTGGGAGTGGGCTGTTACTGTTACTGGAAACACTTAAATTATTGAATTTTCTTTTTATTTTTTTATGCTACTTAAGAAAGAAAAAGAAACATTTATATATGTTATTGCTGACAATTTGAAGTGCTTGGATACTTTTTCATAAATTCAGGAGGAAAAGAGATTTATTTCTCCCTGTTTTTGGCGATACCGATCGTTCTTGAATTATAACTATAATGCTATGCTGACGGGGTGGGCATAAATATACATATTCATTTCGTGAACTAATAATAATAATAATCTTCCTTTACATAAATAGTGAATTGAATCAGATGCAAAATGCCTGGAGCACAATCGATCTTCGATGAATTATGTGCAGCAAATTAATATATATATATATATTTATATATAAAAATACAAACACATAATAATAAAATAAATTAAAACACAAACCAAGCACATCCTGGAGATACATATATAGTTATGTTTAAATAATTACAGGTCATAGGTTAAGGTCATGGATCTATTTCTGAAGAAATCAATTCTCTATTAATCTGTTAATCAGACCATGATGCAGGAGTGTAGAAAGAAGCCTTAATGTGTTTTTGAATATTTTTATATTTAATAATAAATATAATGGGAAAGTAAAGTTAATGGGATCTTTTTCTATAACGGTGTGGGGTTTCGTTAGGGTTTGATATATGAATTGAAAGAGAAGAGATTAGATGGTGAAGCAAACTTGGTCTAGGGCTCCCCAACGCCAGATTAATCTGCTCTACACCATCCACTCATCAACGGTGCAGATCCATCGGGAGTTGAACACCAGGGACCTCCAACAAAAAAATCAATCACCCTCCTGCAGCATCTGCATCACTGCCACCTCTCCCCTCGTGCGCGCTATCTCTCGATGGCGGCTCACCACCGCAACCCCGCCCCACCCCACCCCCGCCCACCCATCCTTTCTTTCTCCTCAATTATCACAATCATTATAATGGCATGCTTCCAAATAGATTACAGAAATTAAAGGTCACAGACACACAAACAGACCTGTGTGCGTGTATATTATATATATATATATATCTCAACATCTTCTTTAAGTGATCACACCTTTTTCGTTTAATTCGGTAGTGCGATGAGGGGCTGTCCTGTCAGCCCAAGGGAGAGAAAAAAGGGGTCGTAGAAACACTAGAGGGAAGAATGTGGGAGACAACCAGAAACATCGATCATATATCTAACCCCTCATGCTTTGTTTAATTTCATTTACTTTAATATAATTCTCTCAATCACAATCACACTCGTCTTTAATTTTTTGTGGGGTCATATATATCTCTGTATGTATACTTATATATATATATATATCTCCCCTAAACTCTACCCTAGAATCACCACAACCTCTTCTTCTTTCTTTCTTTCTTTCTCTCTTTATCTATCTATATATCTCTACACTGATTAAATTAGGATTGTGCTGCGTTGTGTTGATTAATACATCTGATCGAAAATGGCGGACTCGGGCGGTGGTTCATCGTCGATATCGAGCAGAATATGTTCGATATCCATCCCGGAGAAGTTTCAGCTGCACATGGCCATGTTGGCCTTGCAGTTTGGGTATGCAGGTTTCCATGTCGTTTCCCGGGCAGCCCTTAACATGGGGATCAGTAAGATTGTGTTCCCAGTTTACAGGAATATTCTCGCTCTGCTTCTTCTCCTGCCATTCGCCTACTTTCTTGAGAAGTACGTCATCAAGAACCCTAGCTACCTATATATATTCAGATTTAATTTGTTAATCTTTTATTTCTTGGTCTCTGATTTGATGAATATATATATATATATATAATGATCAGGAAAGAGAGGCCTCCTGTCACTTGGAAACTCCTCCTCCAGTTCTTCTTCCTAGCAATTGTAGGGTATGGTTTTCTGCAAAATTATATATAATGAGCAATTCATTATAAATTAATTATGTTACGATCGATTCTCAACAAATTAATTAATTAATTAATGTAAGTGCAGGATCACTGCAAACCAAGGATTCTACTTGGTGGGGCTGGACAACACATCACCCACCTTCGCTTCCGCCATACAAAACTCAGTCCCTGCAATAACATTTCTAATGGCAGCCATTCTCAGGATCGAAAAGGTGAGGTTTAACAGAAAGGACGGGATCTCAAAGGTTGCCGGAACACTCCTCTGCGTCATGGGAGCTTCCGTCATCACCCTCTACAAAGGCCCCACCATCTACACCCCCTCCCCGCCCCTTCATTCCACAGCACCACTCCATCCGGGTCCGGGTCCGGGTCGGGGTCTGGGCCTGGGCGATGCCCAGGGCAAGAACTGGACCCTGGGCTGCATATACCTCATCGGCCACTGCCTCTCCTGGTCCGCCTGGCTCGTCCTGCAATCGCCGGTGGTCAAGAAGTTCCCGGCGCGGCTCACCTTTACTTCTTACCAGTGCTTCTTTGGCATAATTCAGTTCCTCGTCATCGCCGCCTTTGTCGAGAGGAACCCCCAGGCTTGGCTCATCCACTCCGGCGGCGAGCTCTTCAGCGTTTTCTACGCTGTAAGTAATTATAAATTTATAATTTATCAATTGCATGGATTCGGGGGCAAAACGGTCATTTCATTGCTGTAACGGTGCAGGGAATTGTGGCTTCAGGGATCGCCTTCGCCGTCCAGATATGGTGCATTGACAGAGGCGGCCCCGTTTTCGTCGCCGTTTATCAGCCCGTACAGACACTGGTCGTCGCCATTGTCGCCTCCGTCGTTCTCGGCGAGGAGTTTTACTTGGGAGGGTATGTATGTAATTTTATATGTGATATATTAAATATATATATATATAAAGGAATGGAAGGTTTAAACAACGATGCGATGCACAGGATCATTGGTGCGGTGCTGATTATAACGGGGTTGTACCTTGTGCTTTGGGGGAAGAACGAGGAGGGCAAATTCGCGAAGAAGGCGGCGATCCAGTGTCCTCAGGAGCACGGAAGCAGCGGTGCACCTTCCCACGTCATCAAGTCGTCGTCGATCACTCAGCCACTCCTCCCTCAGTCAACGGAGACTACTGCTTGACCGCCACTGCCCTAACTTTGACTCTTGCAATATTTTGTTCCAATCGTTTGTTTGGTGGCACACAAAATTTTCAGTCACTATTCACCTATGCTATATATGTTTATTGTCTTTTATTTTATTTTTTTTTTTGGAAAAAAAAAAAAAAAAATGGCTTGGTGTGTGTATTATCCATCTATCTGTTTTAAATTTTGGTTTGTAGGGCTTTCTTTTAAATTTGTGTATTTAGCTATTAGAAGAGTGGTTTCATATTTAATATATATATATATATATATGTATGTTGAGGTGGGGGTTTGAGGGGAAGAATGTGATGATTGTAATCTTGTGGCATGGGTTAAGAATGGATATCCCATATGTCTTTTTATATTTTATAAATCTATATATATATATATATATATTGTTGATTACCATCAAATTGCCACTTGCATTTACATCCATTTATTCTACTAATATATAATTTATGTTGATCAATTATGATGGTGTTTGGTTGTATAACATAAATAACAAATTGATGTTGGTTATCAATTCAACTAAAATCAATCTCTATTGTAAATTCTACATTTACATTTTTGCATACTTAGGGTTTATTAGTAATTAATCATATTGAATTGAATTGAATTTAATGCAAAACAAGAGTTGTTATTTGGTGGGAATATCGATATTTTTATATTCGTATTAAAATAAATTTTTACGTCGGTCAGTTATAAATAGCAATGCCGTGAGCTAGCAAAGCTAATGCAATTTCTATTCATTAACGCCAACCGACACCCACTCTCGGTTCAACCACCGTGAATTCACCAAGCTTTATTCATAAATTAAGAAAATACACAAGATATTTCAATTTTTTAAAATCCAATCTTGATTAAGAAATAAAGATGAAGCCATGGGGATTTGATAATTTGGCATAGGCTTTAAATAACTCAATCTCCTTTCATTGTTGTAGTAATTGGGATGATCATCACTTATTGTTATATGTACTATTGCTTTTTGTCTTAGATCCAAGTTATATTCACAACAAGTGAATTGATTACAAAATTTTAATTTAATATTAGTTATATGTCAAAAGCTATTTCGGAATTTTCTAGGGCTATTGAATATGACTCAAAATATTCGAATCCATCCGAATAACAATGAGCTTTTCTATGTAGGTGGTTTTCCGATGCAAAATTCAATGCTATTTAAATATCGTGACGAATATGTTTAATATTCGAACCTACTTTTGTAGACATACTGTAAATTTTCTTGTAGTGTTACTCTATATATTTACATTCTTCCCAAATGAAAAATTTCACCTTGTTATAGCACTTTTTGAAAGTTTTGCATAAGATAGCTCATAACACTTTAATTTATTTACTTGGGTATGTTGTTGATGGCATGTATTTGATTACTGAAGGCTGTGTTTCTTTAAAATTATCTCTTAAATTTTACTATCTAACTTATGTATTTTTCAGAAAATATAATTTATTTTTCTTTTACAAAAAAATAAAAAAAATAAAAAAAATCCTATCAAATATTATTTAAATACAGATAAAATCCTATCTAATCTGCTTTCTGCTCCATCTTTTTTCTGCAGAAACTAAGAAAAACATGGAGCAGAAAGCAGCTAACTTTCCAGTTTTAAGTGATTTACACAAAACAATTTAATGTCCAATTTTGATTCTAATAAAGAAAATGGAATGTGAATAGAATCCAATGTGGTTTTTGTACAGGACGAAAAAGCAATAAAAAAAAAAAAAGGGTAACCATTTTTATTATTAGTTAATTAAAATTGCATGTTCTAATGAATTCAATTAAGCCGGATTTTGAGAAAAAGTTGGATTAGCAGATCCCCAGACAACGTAATCATAACATCACTGCATTAATTATTATTACGATTATTTATTACTATTATATTTTTGCATGCTCAGTGCTTTGCCCTTTAATCATACATGTCTTCTACCTTTTTATTTATTCTCTTTTTTCTTTTTTTTGTTTTTAAAAAAAAAACACTAATATCACTATATTGACACTCATAATTTTCATATATATAATCAAGGTTTACTTTTTAATTATTTCAATGATTTTTTTTTATTATGATTAATTTTATGTATTGGCCCAGAGTTGGTGCGGGCTTAATCCATAGTGCGTCGAAATATATTGGGCTCAATTGAACCATATATAACAATTGAATTTGGCCCAATATTAATTTTTAGGCCGAAACACTGAAACAATCGATTCATTACTGATTTGGATTGGAGTTGCAGAAAGCAATGCAATGCAGGAGATGAAATGGTTGCAGAAATAACAAGAACAGTAGCAATACTACTAATACTAATTTATTGACTACATTAATCGCCTGGATCAAGATCCAGGCAATAATCAATTAATAATACTACTTATTTACAACTACTGTACAGAGGATTACATTACAGAGAATGACATACATAAACAATACATACACACACAGTTATCTATATACACCCATACATACATATATATATGTATATATACACAGAGAGGATTATATTTACAATGTACAGTTAGGTATGCAGAAGAGAAAAAAAGAGAAAAGAAGGGAAGAGTTGTTAACAATGGCGGATAGAATTAATTAATTAATAAATTAATAGAACCAGGAGAAGGGGAGGCCATTGCCATCGTCTTTGGCAAAGTCGCAGACGTCGAGGCTGCTTGCAAAAATGGCGGGATCATGGGCTGTGTCTCTGGCCGCCTCCGCCCACATGGACGAGTCGTCCACTTCCGGCAGGTCCTTATTCATCTCCTTCAGTATTTCACTTGCATTCAAACACGCACCAGTTCTCTCATCATACGTCTCCTCAATCCCAATCCCAATCCCAATCCCATTACCCCCCACCATGCTCTCTTCATCAATCCTGCTCCTGCTGCTGCAGTCAAAAACCGAGAAATTACAATTATAATAGTTATCATTATTATTACTGCCATTATTGGAGTTCATAATGATCTCCGGAGTATCCAGTTTGATCGAGGTCGAGGATGAGGATGATGACGATGACGATGATGAATTGGAATTGGAATTGGAAATGATATTGATATCGATATAGTCAGAATCGGAATTGGAATTGGAATTGGAATTATTTCCAGTTGGAAGGTGCAGGTGGTGAGGTGGAGGAGGAGGAGGTTGGTGGTAGAGATGGGGGAGATTGACCTTAGCTTGGGGGCCGTAGAGGTCACGTGCGGCGGCGTCGTAGGCTAGGGCAGCGTCGTAGGAAGTATCGAATGTGCCGAGCCAGACACGTGCCCCCCGGTTGGGCTCACGTATCTCGGCCACCCACTTCCCCCAGGTCCGCTGCCGTACACCCTTGTAGGTGCACGCCGCGTTCTCCGGGCCCCCCTTCCCCCTCATGCACCCCTTCCTCGAACTCGCCTGAGCCACCCCCATGGATTTCAGCATTCCTTCCTTCCCCCTCTTTCCAATTAATTAATTAATAGTATGTACAGTACAGTACAGTGATGGATGAGAAACGAGAGGGAGGGAGTCCATATTTATAAGCAGATCCAGTAGCGGAGGATGCATGTGTAGAGAAGAACTGTACACGTGTCTTCCCCACAGAATATCCATTGCTACTTGTCAACACACTCTGCTTCTACATTTTGATTTTTAGTTTTCACCCCACAAAATATCAGTGCAACCTAAAACCAGAAGAAGCTCCATGGAGGTCAGAGACCTGCTTCATCCATCTAACTAGCTCACGTCACCACACTTTTTTTTTTTTTTTTCACTGCTTTTATATATATATATATATATGTATGTATATTCTTAGTATATTACAGTATGAATGAGAATCAAGGGGCTTACTGCCCACAAGAAGACATGAATGGATACGTGTGGCTTTGGCTGTCCGTTGCGATATATGCGATGAACTCATTCATCATCCATGCCAGCCATGGTGGTTGAGAATAATTAATTATCTGAGTTGGGCTTACGTTGGACATTTATATATATATATATATATACATAGCATGCATGCATGCATGCATGTATCATGTATGTATGTATATATGTGTGTATGTAATAAACTCAAATACGAATGCAATTCTGCTGCGCACCAGGTCAATGACTTGGGGATCACTATTCCTACTTTCCGCGATTGCCCTTCTTTATCTTTCATGTTTAGCGGAAACTTCGGGGGTATATTGGGCATTTCACGGCTCTGATTTGTAACAATATGCATATATCATCATTCTTATTTTAGTAAATTAATAAAGTGCAATATCGCATCTTTCTAACTATTTTTTTTAATGAATATTAATGTCTTTTCTTCGCTGTATAACAATATATATATTTATCATCCTCATCCTCCACCATCCATTTATACCACGTGCATAATAAATAGGGATGATATAACCTTAAAATTAATGTAAAGTCAGGAAGGAGGGGACACGTGGAAGTATATTTTCAGCATTACTTGCTTCTTTTTTAAAATAAATATAGTAATTTTTTTTATCTTTTTATTTTTAACCAGACGGATGAGCAGTGTTACAGTGGTGGTCGATCTACAATATATATATTTTTTTTCATCTCTTTAAAAAATAAAATCATATTAAATATTTATTTTACTTAAAAAAAAATTATAATATTGAAATCATGAACTAAAATACAACAATCACATACCAAGATTAATTTGTTTAATTATATATAGTTTTATTTATTTACATTATTCAATCTACTATTCTAAAAAATTGCATTTTATATCATTTCTATATATATAAAAAATATTATATTGTAATATCAATGTTTTTACTGAAAACAATTACTATATTTGTTGTTCCTAAATTAACTTTTACCTTGAGTAAATTTAATATTCAAACATGATCATAGTTTCAGACAACATATTGAACAGACATCATATTGAACTAATATTTTGTGTAATTCAAGTATTTACACAATGCAAACATGCAAGTAAATATCTACAATGGCTAATTCAAAGATAGTTTTACTAAGTGATAAAATCATTCACTCATTTAAACATAATCTCCAATCAGATGAATTTTTCTGGTAATAAAATTATTAATTCATTTAGACATATTCTCTAATTAGATGAACTTTTCTGATGATGAAATAATTCACTCATTCGGACTTACTTTTCAATTGAATGAATTTTTCTTATGAACTCTTTTGGTGATAAAATTATTCACTTATTCAGATATACTCTCCAATTAAATAAACTTTTTTTTTTTAATGATGAAATCATTCACTCATTCAGTCATACATTCCAATCAAATGAATTTTCCTGACAAACTTTTCTATGTGATGAAATCATTCATTCATCCAGACATACTCTCCAATCAGATGAGTTTTTTGCTGATGAAATCATTAGCTCATTCAGTCATATCTTACGATCAAATGTTTTTCCTTATAAACTTTTCTGGTGATGAAATCATTCACTGGTTCAGTCATACTTTCCAATCAAATGTCTTTCCTCATAAACTTTTCTGGGTGATGAAATCATTCACTCATCAGACATACTCTCCAATCAGATAAACTTTTTGTTGATGAAATCATTCATTCATTCAAACATACTCTCCAATCAAGTGAACTTTCTTGGTGATGAAATCATCGGTGCACATTCCAAAAATCTGTCCTTTTCAAACTTACAGACAAAATAAATATAAAATTCTCTTTGTGTCTGTCCAATCAAAATTCGTGAGTATCAATTTGGGAAATAATTTTATCAAGGAATTAGGAGCTTCAACAAAAAGTAATTCCCAAGTATTTTATTTTTGGTCATCCACTAAATTTAACTTTTGACTTTTAACTCTTGAATTTGAATATGTCGTCAGATGCTCACTATATGAATATTTTGATCCAATCATTAGATCTTTGAAATAGATTTAAGCAAGTCTATAGGTCTGTCATTTGACTGACATTATGACCACATTAACTAATTTTTATTTTATTTTTTTGTATTTTTTTATATATAAAAGATACAAAAATATATGTAAGGTAATCCACCCTACAATCAAATAATGTGATTAGATAGTGATTATTAGGACATACTCTCTGATCAGATGAATTTTCTTAATAATAAAATTTTTCACTCAAAATCTATTGAGTAAAATTTAGTGACTCAATTTTGTATTGTTCATCGATACAGGCTCCAAAAACTTTTCATTCTCAAAACTATATACAAAATACAATTTCAATTTTCTTTATATGTTTTTCTTATCAAAACTTTTCAAATGTCAATCTAAGAGAGTTTGTCGAGGATAGGACCATCAACAACAAACAATTTCCAAATATTTTAGTTTTGATTTCCACTGTAAAACTTTAAATTTTGTTATTTCACTTTCACTTTGAATTTTAATTTGAATTTAGTATGTCAAGTGTTCATCTACATATCTACATAGTGATTTTGATTTCAAATTTTAAATACATATAAGTTTATTTGTCAATCATACTAACCTTCTGAAAACATTGACCAAAATTTTGTTATGTCAACAACATCTAATGAGAAATTACTATTAAATGTAATGTTAAAGTAAATCATACAAAAAGAAAAAAGAAAAAAAATTGTTTATTATTCAGTTTGTTCACTTTTGATACAAAAATTTAAAAAATATTAGTACTTACTTCATCGTTCAATTTTATTCAATTTTTCTTTTGCATTGTCATTAAAAAAAATATTTTTATTTTTATGTTCTTTTAAGTAAAAAAGCATCATTTTTGTACTTCTTTGATATAAATAATAAAAAGTAACTATCAATTAATCAACTTTGCAATCGGATAATATGATTAGATCGTCGTTATGCAGACATACTTTCTGATCAAATGAACTTTTTCACTCAAAATTTACCGAGTAAGATTGTCACAACTTTGTGTTGTTCATTAATACACCTCCCAACAATTTATCTTTCTAAAAAATTACATATAAACTTTGCTTTATATATTTGTTAATCAATTTTTTCTTAGTGTCAATCTAGTAGAGTTTGTCTAGAGATGTGGACCATCGACAACAAACAATTCTCAAATTTTTTAATTTTGGTCCCTCGCTAAAAATTTAATTTTTGTTCTTTTAACATTGAATTTTAATATACTGTGTGAAGTGTTCTTCATCTAATATGACTAACTCCTTCTGATAACATTAACCAGGTATTCTTAGTTTTGGTCTTCTATTACAAAATTTTAATTTTATCTTTTAACATTAAATATGAATTTATTTTCAAGTGTTTCTCATCTAATCTAATTGACCATTCTGACAACATTAACCATATATTTTAGTTTTGGTCTTTCATTACAAATGCGTCTAATCCGACTAACCCATCCTGACAACATTATCAGGTATTGCAGTTTTGGTCCCCTGCTATACAATTTTAATTTTGTCCTCTAACATTAAATGTGAATTATTGTTAGGTGTTCGTCATCTCAACTAACTGACATTTCTGACAATATTAACCAAATATTTTAGTTTTGGTCCCCCACTATAAAATTTAAATTTTTTCCTTTAAGAATCAACTTTCGGGGGTTAGTCATATAATCTGGGGTTAGTCATATAATCTAACTGATCCTTCTGACAACATTAATCAGGTTTCTAGTTTTGGTCTCCCATTATAATATTTTAATTTTGTTCTTTACATTGAATTTGAATCCCTGTGTCATCATCTTGAACTGATCCGTTCTGAAAACATTAATGAGGTATTCTAATTTTGATCCCTCATTAAAAATTTAATTTTGTCATTTAACATTGAATTTTAATATACCATGTTCGTCATATAATATAACTTACAACATTAAACAGATATTTTAGTTTTGGTCCCATATTATAAAATTTTAGTTTTGTCTTTTAACATTGAATTTGAATCTACTATGTCATCATCTAACTGATCCCTTCTGACAACATTAATCAGGTATTGTGTCAGGTGTTCGTCATCTAATCTGACTAACCCTCTTGACAACATTAACCAAGTATTCTAGTTTTGATCATTCATTACAAAATTTTAATTTTATCTTTTAACATTGAATGTGAATTTATTGTCAGGTGTTCGTCATCTAATCTAACCGACTATTCTGACAACATTAAGCATATTTTCTAGTTTTGATCTCCCATTACAAAATTTTAATTTTGTCTTTTAACATTGAATTTGAATTTATTATGTCAGGTATTCGTCATCTAATATGACTGACCCATCATGACAACATTAACCAATATTCTAGTCTTTGTATCATACTATCAAATTTTAATTTTGTCTTTTAACATTAAATGTGAATCTACTGTCAGATGTTCGTCATCTAATCTACCTAACTTTTCTGACAATATTAACCAGATATTCTAGTTATGGTACTCCACTATAAAATTTAATCTTGTCAAATAACATTAAATGTGAATCTACTGTCAGATTTTCGTCATCTAATCTAACTGACCCTTTTGACAATATTAGCCAGGTATTTTAGTTTTGGTCCCCCATTACAAAATTTTAATTTTGTCCTTTAACATTGAATTTGAATCTACTGTGTCATCATCTAATTTAACTGATCTCAATCAGGTATTCTAGTTTTGGTCCCCTACCGTAAAATTTTAATTTTATCCTTTAACAATAAATGTGAATCTACTGTCAGGTGTTTGTCATATCATCTAACTGACCATTTTGACAACGTTAACCGTGTATTCTAGTTTTGGTCCTTCATTATAAAATTTTAATTTTATCTTTTAACATTGAATGTGAATTTATTGGCAGGTTTTCGCCATCCAATCTAACTGACTATTCTGACAACATTAAGCATATTTTCTAGTTTTGATCTCTAATTACAAAATTTTAATTTTGTCTTTTAACATTGAATTTGAATTTATTATGTGTATTCGTCATCTAATATGACTGACCCATCCTGACAACATTAACCAGTACTCTAGTCTTGGTATCCTACTATAAAATTTTAATTTTGTCCTTTTAACATTAATTGTGAATTTACGGTCACATGTTCGTCATCTAATCTAACTAATTTTTCTAACAATATTAACCAGGTGTTCTAGTTATGGTACTCCACTATAAAATTTTAATCTTGTCCTTTAACATTAAATGTGAATCTACTGTCAGATTTTCGTTATCTAATCTAACTGACCTTTCTGACAATATTAGCCAGGTATTTTAGTTTTGGTCCACCGTTAATTTTGTCCTTTAACATTGGATTTGAATCTACTGTGTCATCATCTAATTTAACTGATCCCAATTAGGCATTCTAGTTTTGGTCCCCTACCGTAAAATTTTAATTTTATCCTTTAACAATAAATGTGAATCTACTATCAGGTGTTTGTCATCTCATCTAACTGACCATTTTGACAACGTTAACCGTGTATTCTAGTTTTGATCCTTCATTACAAAATTTTAATTTTATCTTTTAACATTGAATGTAAATTATTGTCAGGTGTTCGTCATCCAATCTAACTGACTATTCTGACAACATTAAGCATATTTTTAGTTTTGATCTCCCATGAATTTGAATTTATTATGTCAGGTATTCGTCATCTAATTTGACTGACCCATCCTGACAACATTAACCAGTATTCTAGTCTTGGTATTCTACTATAAAATTTTAATTTTGTCCTTTTAACATTAAATGTGAATCTACGGTCACATGTTCGTCATCTAATCTAACTTTTCTGACAATATTAACCAAATATTCTAGTTTTGGCACTCCACTATAAAATTTTAATTTTGTCCTTTAACATTAAATGTGAATTTACTATCAGATTTTCGTCATCTAATCTAACTGACACTTCTGACAATATTAGCCAGGTATTTTAGTTTTGGTCCCCCGTTACAAACTTTTAATTTTGTCCTTTAACATTGAATTTGAATCTACTATGTCATCATCTAATTTAATTGATCCCAATCACCGTAAAATTTTAATTTTAAATTTTATCCTTTAACAATAAATGTGAATCTACTGTCAGGTGTTTGTCATCTCCTATAACTGACCATTTTGACAACGTTGACTGTGTATTCTACTTATGGTCCCCTTCTATAAAATTTAAATTTTGTCTTTTAACATTGAATTCGAGTATACTGTATCATCATCTAATTTAACTGATCTTTGTTGTCAATGGTATTGATCCTTTAACATTGAATGCGAATCTATTATGTCAGTTTTCGTCATCCAATATGACTGATCCTTCTGACAACATTAATCAGATATTCTAGTTTTAATCTCCACTATAAAATTTAAATTTTGTCTTTTTTAACATTAAATTTTAATCTAGTATTAGTGGTCTAATCTGACTTATCCATTCTAACAATATAGAATATACACTGCATTAAAATCACTTAAGAAAATATAACAATATTTAAATAGCAGTTGGTAATATGTGTATATATAAAGATATTTATACTCTTACTAAAAAAAAATAATAGTAATGTAATGGATTGTAAATAAATATAAAAATATAAATATTTATAATTGTGATAATGTTTACTACTAAAGAAAATAGTACTGTATTTTAATTAAACTCAAAAAATGAAAATATGTATATATATATATGCTTAAAGATGAACGGAACAAGTATTAGTTAATGTATAATGATGTCCCATAACTATTATAATATTTTTTTTAAATAATATTTTTTCTCATTTGTCGTTTTAAATGCAACGTGTAAATTTATTTTAAATAAAAAATAATATTGAAATTAAAATAATAAAAAGACTATCAAAATTATGTCATATAACAAAACTATAACAAACAAAAGTAATATGACAAAAAAATTATTTTTCAGAAAAATAATATATGTTAAAAAGTTACTAAAACAATAGTAGTAATAAATAAACAAACTGTGTTTCTTCAAAGTTTAGTCCCACAGAGAACTTCATACAAACAATTGCAATATTTTCTACTTAGAACCTTTTTCTATTCGATTACAATAATGTATTAATGGAACTAAGCATGAAAATATAATAAACGATATATGAAAATAGAACAAACAAAATATACTGTTGATTTATATATAATATATTGTCAGATTAATTCTAATCAACACACTCATAACCGATATATATATATATATATATGTATATGAATATACGTGTGTGTGTGTGAATACGAGAACTGATACAAAATCATCAATCTAATAAAGTAATCATATATGATAAGAAAGTCTGGCCTTTTTTTCTCTGGTCAACATGGATATCGGCTGGACAAGAAAAAGAGAATGCGATGAGATAGAGGAGCTAAAAACAGGCATGACATATGATTATTGTCCAAATATTACCCTTCAGCAGCGACACACAACTCATATATATAATATAATGCAATTAATTTATAGGAGGAGGGACTGAGTGATATGGATACAATGTAGTATTCTTGTAATAAAAAAGAAAAAACAAAACACAGAAAAAAACAGATCATCCAAAAGGGTAGAGCTACATACATGTTCAATTCACAAAGCATGTCTATCATCCTCATCATCATCTTCAACGCCGTAACCATATCCCGGAGCTCGCTTTTTGTGCTCTCTGGATTAGCATGGATTTGCAGTGGAAATGTGCATCCAAAATCGAGCTTTTGGACTACAACAATCCGGCGCAGCCACCATCGATATACTATGTCATTGTTTTGTAGAAAATTGTTGCTGCCAAATGCCATATGTATTATGATGGACACACTTCAAAATATAGCACAACAGAATATATATGCCCAAGAAATGATATATATATCTTATAGATAACATGATCAAGTCATAATTCAAATTTGGTACACAGAAACCATAGGCAACCATCTAAACTGGCAATCATAAAAGCAAGAAAAAGGGTGTATATGCCCAATTGTGTAAGTAAGATACCAATCCTTTGCAGCATGTAAAAGTAAAAATGCTCGTGGTTGTTCTAACCTATCACAACAAACATATATGAGGTCAGATCTGATATGGTGTTGAGCCTCAAACAATCAACTACTAGTAAACAGGCTCGAGTTACCACCTCAACTATCACAATTTGGCTAGTTGAGGATAAGAGACAACACAACAATATTCACATTTTTAACAGAAGAAATACAGGCCGGCTGTGACGATGGAGCAACTCAACAAAGTACAATATTAGGCATTTGTAATCAACAAGCCACAATCACCTCCAGCCAGCGGAGCAGTGTGCAATATGTATCTCCAGAATTTCCTAGGAGGCAACATCACTCTCTGTCGGGAACTCGACTAGCTCTTAAGAAATTCCTCCAGAGAGAAAGTTTGGTGTCCATCCTGAAAATACAGGATACAAAAAGTGATTTAATCAAGGATTCATCTGTACTTTACAGAGTAAATGTTGCAATAACAAGCAGCAAGGCCATAGGCTTTGTATCTTATTGGAAGAACAACCAACAATATCAACATGTAGTCCCAAATCATAGCAGGAATGTATGCAAACAACACTCTAAAGCAGAAGAGGGCGTTAGAAATTCAAAATACGGATGGATAAAACAGAAAAGGCAAGGAATCAAGAACAGTGATTACTTTGTAATAGAATACGGATAGATAAAACAGAAAAGGCAAGGAATCAAGAACAGTGATTACTTTGTAATAGATTAACAGCAAACTTCACACCTTGCCAGATTCTTGACTCAAGCATTGTCTAACAACTGTTGTCTGTTGTACTAGTCTTTCAATTGCGGAACAGCTGGGCAGGTTAGCATGTGCTGCAATGCATATCCTCCAGTTAGAAAGATTGAACCCAAGGAGAAGATAAAGTGTTGCAGCAATCAGTGAACAACTATAGTCCATCGAGAGAAAAGAAAACAAAATAACACTCCACACTTTAACTTCACAAAACGAGTACCAAGAATTGCCCGGTTTAAGCTCTCTGCAACATGCTGTCTGTGTTCCGAGCTTAACAGATGGAACATCGGGGATTTCTCTGGTTCCTCATAAGCAAGAAGGGCCATGAAATCCTACACAGATACCATTTTCAGAAACACTAAAAAGCAACAAGGACAGTAGATGAAGCATCACATATCAACATCTGAGATACGTACTTCAAGCTTTGCAACATACTTCTCCTCTTTACCAAATGAGGTGAACTCAGATTGGGCAAATCCCAGAGCTTCAGCACTGACACAGATGTATGTTTATGAAATATCAAATCAGCTAGAAAAAAATTAAAAATTGAGTAAACCAACTCACTTACATTTTTCTAGAGCACACAAGTTCAACAAAGTGAAGGCTTAAGAGATCAAAATGCAAATCCTTATTTTCCTCTAGCAGGCCCGGTGCAAATTCTTGCGTTAACGCAATGGCCTTGGATGCATTCCCATCCAATGCTAAATGAAAGATTCCTGCAAGTGACTCTGAAATCAGTGCCACAATTACTTTTTCTTAATGGTTGATCCCATACTAAAATAATCAACAATTTGTATACACAATGAAATCACTACAATAAAACTTATGTGAAGTTCTGCAGACAAGCCTCAACATAATGTAAGGTTTCTATGTATTTCTTATCGCTCTTTCTCCAACAACCCATGTTTGCTTCTTTCTTCATGGAAACTTCCTGCTCAATTAAATATCCTAAATTTATGAATCTGTTAACACAGGCACTGTCACAGTTACATAAAATTCTTATGATGAAGAACAATTCATTTGGGTTCTTCTTCATAAACCTTGCTTAGCAATAAGTTTTCATGTTAATGACACATAACATTCTCAGAGCCATATATACAGGAAAAATGGGTTTCCACAAAGCAAGAAAGCCCATTTTATTCCCAACTATCATTCAAGTGAGTCAGATAAAGTACTTGGTATTGCTGTTACCACCTTCTCTTCTTTAATGTAACATCATGGAACTTCTCATGAGCATTCATGCCTTTCATCACACAATATGCAAATTCAAGCTACACTTACATCTAAGAGACCACTTGATCAATATGAAAGATCAACCGCAGCACATTCCATAATTTGAAGGTATAATAACTACCCAAGCTATCCTCCCAAAAGTTGTCGTAGATAAAATGCACAAGTTTATTCACTTTTTCATCATCCATAATCTTTAATACCCATGTGATTACCATCCCACATAGTTATGCCTCACCATGTTGTGTACAATAGTGCAGTTTCCAAACTAGCATCGTTAAATAGAGCAAAAAATATTTACTTTTTCCATACCATCCCACATAGTTATACTACAAAACAGTTTGTGCTTGGATATGTTTCGGAAGTGTTTTGAAATTTTGGAGAATTTTTGGAATTGTATTGAATGAAAAATAGGTATTTGATATTGATGTATATAGGTATTGAATATGACGTTTTGTATAGAAAGTAAATTTTTATTTAATATTTTAATTGAAAATTAGGTATTTGATATAACAATAATAATAATATTATTATTATTTGAAAAAATTTATGTTGATAAATAGTTACAAAAATGTTTTGAAAACATATGTAAACAAATTTAAATACAATCATATCTCAGTCAATTTAATGGATCCATTTTCCTTATAATAAGCAGAAATAATGAATAGAGCAACCCTTTCTATTTCTATCACCAACCCAAACTTTCTTAACATAGATTAGCAACAACATATTAGTGCTTCATGTTATCAATATTCAGAAAAATAAAATGCATCGTCAAAACACAACCTAAGAGAATAAAAGGTTTGCAGACATTCTAAAAGATGAAGCAACTGACCCGTCAAAACTATATATTGGCATGTGCACTGACGTAATTCAAGATTCTTTCACCGGCCAATTGGCAAAGTCAAAATTTCAGCATCAACTTTTAAAAAATCTTATTTTCAAATTTCTATCAACCAAATTAACTGAGATATGAACCCATTCATATATTTTCCAACACCAAGCAAAACTTACCATTGGCATGAAATATAATGTCTAGTTCATAAACTAGGTGTAGCCTTGAGAGTGAAAGTGTTTCTTAGAAGGAAAATAATTGATACATGAGCAACAATTTCGCTTAAGCAAGTAATGTAATAGAAAGGAGTGTGCAGAGGGAGCTTCCTTACTTTTCCTTTTCTCCATGTTCTCGGGGTGATCATCTGGTTGCTTGACCCCTGTACAAGCAACAAATGATTCCAGTGTATCTTTGAAGCAATTGTGTGCAAGATAAGAAAGGACAATCTTGTGGGTGTCATTTTCATTAATTCCCTGCGGCGAAAAAAGAATAATCACAATGTTCTCAAATATCAAAGAAATATACAGATAAAAGATTCCAACAAAAGAGCATCAACTCAAACCACAAGAGATGAATAAAATCTTCAATAATAGTTCAATAAAACTCTAGCTAGTTGGCTAATTTACCTATCAAGCCCTTGCTGCCATGGACACGACAACGTCCAATCCTTTTTTACAAACATACAAAAAATAGTTATGACAGTCGAATATAGCAATCTGGAATCTGTATTAAATAGAGCATCTTCTATTTGATAGTGTTGAAAAGGGAAGACTCTCCCACCTATAAAATGACAGTTCATACTAATTCTTAAATAGCAAACAGGGCTAAATTTTACACATAAGATTAGCAAATTGAAATGTTTCTGCGCATTGAGACTTGTAAGAAATTACAGCACACTTCAATTAAAGATAAGTCAAGAAACACAATTTGCATCCATGAACCATTACCCTAACAAATTTCCACAAAATTTCAATCCAACATAAAGTATTTCAATGAATTACATCGAGTAATGCGAATAATGCATCGAGAGGAACAGGGCCAAATTTAAATAAAGTCAAAAAGGGTAACGAGTTCAATCACGAAAGTTGGATAATCGCACAAAAAAGAATGAAAACTTATTGAGGCTTACAATGTTCTCGTACTGCCGCGGATCAGCATCCATTTCTCCGAAAAGAAAATAATCCCTCAATTTTTGTGGGGGTAAAAAATTCCAAAACTGCAGCTCAGAAAACCCCGACACCCGAAAATCTTGAAACAACCTTTAGCAACTACGAATTCGCTGCTCGTCCATAATGGTTTATGCTCAGACTACCGCCTCGATTTCATTCGATAATGCCTCGCCATGGGTGTCGTGTGCCGAGAGAAGATTGATATCAGGAAAACCGTGCGCATTCCAGAAGCCAACGGGGAAGGAATCTAATGGTAAATGGGTTCGGCGTCAGGGGCAAAATAGTAAATCCATCCAAGCTCCTCCGGTTCGCAATTATTGCCAGGAACCGATCTGGCCCAATTATAAGTGGGCTATATGCAGGCCCATTAATTAACTATAACTATTTTACTGGGCTATATCCAATAATTAAGGCCCATTATAATTTATTTCAATTTAATTCTTTATATATAATAAGATAATATAAATAGTAATGTAGTAGTAATAAAATATGTTTTTGAGGTCACGATGGTACCCATATGTTTTGATATGATTACAAGATCCTTTGCATCGTTCCCTAATAATGTGAATTTTCTATTTTCCTATCAATTTCAGACAAGAGCTACTATGCTAAATTAAATGGTCGAGATTTTGTGCTTGATTTTGTTCCACCATATATATTAAATTTCTTGAATGGGCATAAATCAATAAATAATTATTTATTTTTTTAAGAAAAAAACACATACACACACACACACACACCACATTTTAGCTGTTCCATCACGTTTAATTATACTTCACAATTTCACATGCATGGTTCCCAAACAAAAATTAAAATCATTAATTTATTTATTACATTGATCTCGATTTATCTAAATTATTATTGATCTAATGATCAAATCATGGGTGTCAGATCAATGACACAAATCTAATGTATGTGGATACAGTGCTGTGAGTAGTCTTGTGTCTTGTGGGGTGAGCAATTTTAGATTAGTGGCATTAGAAATTTGGGATTATGTGAAAAGAACAAAAATAAAAAAATCCCATGCATGCACAACGTAGAAAAATTAAAACGAAGCATGATCACGATGTTTAGTTGTGGATTTATTGATGAATTGTTACATCAAGAATTGCAATCGTGTCCTCTAAATAGGGTTACATTCTTATTACAGGTCAAGCATTATGTTCGACAGCAGCTTCTCTTTAATTATATTCCACTGACTGCCTGCCTGCCCTTAACACATTAATTCATTTTCTTGATTCGACACATCAAAGGTTATTTTTTATTAAAGCAAAATAAAATTAATAAACTTTGTTGTGCTTTAACCCAACTGATTAAGACTAATTATTGCTTTGTGGAATCTACCTAACTTTATCACATAATATTCTTAGGGGATATTATTTCTTGATTAGAATTAAAATAATTATCATGTTTGCTTATATATATATATATATCATGTGTGTGTAGGTGTGATCCATACAGCTAGCAATTAATATAAAATATATCAGCTAATTAAATTTTGGGACCAGTAATAATTACTGTCTACTTTGTTTTGCACATTGTATTAATAATTAGGGTCACTCATCCACACAATATACATATGTATGCATGTCTCACATTGTTCTTTATTACAATAATATTAATATATAAAGACATCAGAGAAATAAAAACCCTAATGAGATTGAATACATATGGTATATGTTTATTTGTGGTGATGGTTACGGTATTGATTTTGTCTAACATAATATATATTGTATTTAAATAAAAATATATGTTGTCGATTCATACTTATAGATGTCTTATAAGAATATATTTTTTCGTGTTGTGTATTGCGTTGGATTCACCGGTAATAAGTTATGTTGGACAGAAATAAAAGTACATGATGAGATAATGTAATAAAGCTAGTGGTATTTGTTGTAAATAAATGTTGAGTAAAGTGTAATAATTGATTGTTTGATTTGTTGACTTTGCCAAAATTAGTAATGTAATAAATTTAACGGACGGACTAAAAAGAAAAATGGGAATAAATTTGGCAGACGGAGGATGTATTTCATTATATTATACTTAATATATATTACGGTATTATTAAAACTATGCTAAATTATGAAATTAGGGTGTGTTTCTTTAGCCTTAAACTTTCAATTTTTTACTATTTGATCTTTGCGTTTTCTAATTTATTCAAATGAAATTTTTTCTCAAGCAATCAAAAGAACACACCTTAATAACTAGTGCATTAACTTCCTATATATATTTTGTTATAGAAAATAATATATTTATTAATTAGTAGAGGCATGTCGTCAAGAATGGGTTCATTATTCGTTGATATCTACGTCGGGCCCTCTAATGGATCTTCTGAATTCATCATCTATACCCCATTTAGATGTATATGTATTTATTTATGTATAATAATTATTAATCGAATTTAATTAAATAATTTTATTTTCCTCATCAAATAATTGCACCCAAAATAATATAATAATGAATAAAATCAAATTAATTCAATGCAATCATTGTGGTTTTGAAACACCAAATACTAATTTCCCCACTTGTTGTGCATATGGAGTATATGATAATTTAAAGGAATTAATTTATTTTTTTTATCCAGGAATAATTAATTATAATATTGCTGGTGTAACTGCAGTCGTTATATAAATTAAATGAGTACATAAACTGTATACTGCTGGAGGTAGTCTCTCGAAGAGGGTTAGGTGAAGCAGAATTATTTTATTTTTATATTAAAATTGTTGTATAATATTGAATGTTTAGATTTATTTTACTGAATAAATTTATTCTTAAAAATCTTCTGGGTACGATTTTCCCTTTCCAATTTGACGAACCAACTACAATATGAATAAAATAAATCTAAAGATATTATCTAACCCCAAGTAATTAAATTTTATATAAATGTAGGTGACAAATATACTTACAAGGATACAATTAATAATCTCATTACCACATAGGTTGGTAGTGACATTGGAATCAAATCTTAATATGTAATTGTATTTTGATTTATTTAATCATAGATCTTATTTGCTTGTTGATGATGATTATTATTATTAATTTATTTATTTTTGGCAGCATTCTCATATAGGCAAGTATATATAACTAGGAACTGAAAGCAAACAAAAATAGATCCAAGGTGGGCTAGACAGCGTTTGTAACAACCATACATTTATTGGTTGTAATGAATTTTTAAAAATGGAATCAAGACATAAAGCCAGGACAGATACACTGTCTGCTAAAAAAAACACACCCACAGCCACAATGATGTGAAGAACAACATACATCAATCAATCCAATTCGGATTAATTAATCAAGGTTGTAGTAAAATTTAATCAAAAGTTAAAATAATAATAATAATAATAATAATAATAATAATAATAATAATGGGAGACAAGGTACTGTGTTTCTTCTTTCAAATCCCATGATTTTTGAAAACATATATATATATATATATATATATACATGCATTACCAATTAGATAGATATACCATTTGAAGTGTCTCTAATTACATGATGGCCATTTATTTATATTGTCTCATTCATTAGGGACATTTATATAAAATCCGTCACATAATTATGTTTGTTACAATTTATTTTATTTATATATTTATAATTGCCACAAGGGACCCTCCTCTGATTGGCTGGAAACATGGAGTTCCCTTTGACCACCTGACAAATCCTTATCCTAACCATGGAAAACATTTATCTATCTCATTAATCAATTAATTAATTATTTATTAAAAGACTAATTGCATGTAATTTTAAATAAATTAGCTGAAATAAAATAAACCGAACAACGTCAAATCTCGGTCCGTTGTGGGGCATCTTTAGTAGTTATAAAAACACATGGGATGCTTTAACATCAATTGTTTAATGTTTAGAAATTTCGTTACTTGAAATTAAACTGTTTTTATTTTATTTTATTTTGGTATTAAATTATATATATATATAATTTTGGTAAACGAAATGGTGAATCTAATAATTTTGTTTTAAATAATGCAAATTATTATATGAAGAAATGAAGGCTTACAGTTACAGTTACAGTAGCAGTCACAGTCAGAGTCACGAGCCAAACAAATGCGATGATACTGCAAGAAAAATCTATTAGACTGTACACATCCACATCGTAACAACCAAACCAAATCAAATGCTGCTCATAAATGTGCAATCTAGGCAACCTCTCGCATCATTTCCACAATTATTATTATTATTATTATTATTTTATTAATAAATATGAATTGATATCTAGATGAATATTAATACTAACTATTATGTTTATTAAAAATGACCTGGATACATATATATATATTTATATTTATAGCCTTCAATATTGTTACAGTGACACTGACACTGACATTAGGATGGATATCAATATAGTACTATATCATATTTAAAAATAAAATAATATTGAGGAATTAAAAGGAAATGAAAATGATGGATGCTAAAGGGGAAGGAAACAGTGGGAATGGGTTTGAAGGAGAAGAGAAGGGGTCGTCCAAAACGTCGTCGTCTTGGGGGTGTGCGCCCACGTGAACTTTCAAAGGGCGTCGGCGTCCCCACAGAGATCTCCGTATCCGTGGGTGGGGTCAGGCCACACGTGTCCCCCTCATGCCTCGCACGTGATCCCTCTTCATCCTCTGTCCTATAAATTCTCAACCTGTGTCTAATATCCTCGACACTTTCTCCTTTTTCCCTCAGTCAAAAAACCCATGATATAATTGATACCCCCTCGCCCATTGGAAACACCACCACAAAACCAGACAAAAGTTTCTGGGACACAAAATCTCCCGCTGACACGCACACAAACATCCCATAACCTGCTTCGTTAATTTGCTTATCATCACACCTCAGACCTCCGACCTCAGACCTACCCACCCCGGCACACAGAATTCAGATTCAGCAGATGCACGTATATATACGATACTGATCCTCCCTCAATCGTCCCATAACGTGAGGTTTTTCTTATATATATATATATATTCCACTAGTATTATTTATTTTGTATGTTTGAAAAAGGGATTGGACGAATCTGTGCATGTTGTGTGCAAAATCTTTAAAGTGCAATCCGGGCTTACGTTAGCGCCACGACTCCCCACGCTGGCAGCAGCAGCTGCCACCAGATTTTGTTCTCTTCCCCATAATAACTGCTCTGCTCCGCTGCATCCATCCATTCTCTTTCTCTCTCTCTCTCTCTCTCTCTCTCTCTCTATCTATATATATATATAGGGGGTGTTGTTTTCTCTCGAGTCGATTGAATTTGACTATGGCTACGAATAAGTTCTTGCTGACGCTAGCAATCTGCCGCCTGATCGTGACCGTCGGATTGACTCTGGACCCGACCGACCTGCTGCGGCTCGAGGTGGAAGGGCATCTCAGCCGGGAGCCGTGCGACTTGGGCTCGGCTTCCCGCGACTTCGGGGGGATGCGGAGCGCCGAGCCGATGGCCGTCCTACACCCGGCGTCGGCGGAGGACGTGGCTCGGCTCGTGAAAGCTGCGTACGAATCGGCTAATGGGTTCGGCGTCTCGGCTAGGGGCCACGGGCACTCCATAAACGGGCAGGCGATGACCCCCAACGGGATAGTCATCCAAATGAGCAGCGGCGGCCCACGGCTGGGGTCCACAAAGCCGGCGCCGCCACTAGTTTCGGAGAATTCCATGTACGTGGATGTCTGGGGAGGCGAATTATGGATAGATGTCCTGATGTCCACCCTGGAACACGGCCTGGCGCCCAGATCCTGGACCGACTACTTGTACCTTTCAGTCGGTGGTACACTCTCTAATGCAGGGATCAGTGGCCAAGCCTTCAACCATGGCCCCCAGATCAGCAACGTCTACGAGCTCGACGTCGTTACAGGTTCCAATAAATTTTTATTTTTAAAAATTAAATTACATTTTTTGGAAAAGAATTCATAGTAATGATGCAGCGGGGAATCAATAATGCTGCTGTTGCTTTGCATGTGCTTTGGGGGGTAGACCGAACTTTGATGAAACTAAAATAATACTAGTAATAAATTAAGGGTGGAAGATTCGTTAATTAGTTGTAAATCAAAAACTAAAGCATCGCTTTAGAATAATTTATAGCACAGTCTATTAGGATGATTTTGTCCATTAGTACCCTTTTCCAGATTGGTTTCGTGATGAGCATTATTCTTGTTTGTCTGATATCCAATTACGATTTCTGTTGCATAATAATTTCACATGGATTCGCTATGGCCTGTGCTTATTTATATGATGCCATGATGTTTTGTTGAAATTAACAACAGTACTTATATAGTATTTCTTGACTTTGGAATTTTTCAATCAATGTTATTAATAAATATCTCTTGTGTAATAAACAGGCAAGGGTGAGGTAGTGACATGTTCGAAGGAACACAACTCAGAATTGTACCACAGTGTTCTTGGTGGGCTGGGACAATTTGGGATCATCACTAGGGCAAGAATTGCACTCGAAAAAGCACCCACAAGGGTAATTAATTAATTAATTAATAATTGCATGCATTCGATCCCAACATTATTAAATAATTAATACCCTGGCTTGCTCGCTCCCTTTCAACATTTTGGCCTAGTTTTGGGTGGTGGGGGCTATCTTTATGTTGTTGTCTTGTAGCACAAAGTTTACCTAGTACCACCAGCTAATGATATGACCTAGCTAGCTAAAAGCCAGACCAAACAAATTCCTCTATCCAATTAACTAGCTTGAATATACATATTTCAGTATCACTCGATTGGGTCTTGTCTACTGTCTGTCTGTCCGTTGCTTTTCATATCCCTAATTTATTCAACCTGCTGTCCTAAAGCTGGCAATTTGTTTCCATCACTTTCGATTCACAATACATTAATTGAATCGATCCCCATTCTCATCTTAAAAGTAATTACTTTTTTTAAAAATAATAATAATAATAATAATTATTATTATTATTATTATAATTAATTAAGTGATGGATGATGATGATGATGATGATGTAGGTGAGGTGGATCCGAGTGCTGTATTCTAATTTTACGGCGTTCACGGGAGACCAGGAGTACCTGATCTCATTGCATGGTCAAACCCAGAAGTTTGACTATGTCGAAGGTTTCGTGATCGTCGACGAAGGGCTTATCAACAATTGGCGATCCTCGTTCTTCTCTCCACGTAATCCTGTCAAGATTTCTTCTCTCAACGCTCATGGAGGTGGTGTTCTCTACTGCCTCGAGATTACCAAGAATTACCATCAATCAAATGCTGCCTCCATTGATCAGGTATCTTATACTCATATTACAATGTTGAATTTTTTATTACTATAGTATAATTTTGGTACGTTCTTCATGTGAGAATCACTAATGATTAGGTTAATATTCGGTGCCATGCAGCTTCTCATAGCTAGGTTGGAATTTCGATATATATATATATTATATGTAATAATAATGCTAATGATAAATTTATGTAGACAAAACCCAATAGTTGCTGCATGGTAAAAGCCACTTTATAGATTCGTTGCAACTCCTGGACTTCAATTTCTGTAATAAAAATTAAAAAATTAAAAGAATGGCAGAATATATTATATTACTTATAGTCGCCATTAGTAGCCATATCTATACTTAATTCTCTTTATATATTTGTTTATGGGCTCTACGAAAGACAGGTTCCCTTAAAAGAAGGGAAAAATATATAAGAATGTGGCATTATTAGTACAAGAAAGGAAAATCTGGAAGAGATTTCAGTAATAACATAGTATTATTAATTAAAAACCCAAGATTCTTCTGACACCAAAATCTTTCCAAGTTTATTTGTCCCTGTCCCTGAAAGTACGTGTATATTTATATTTATATAAATAAAGATAGATAGATAGATACATCCATATATATATATATATATATTCCTTCATATCATTAGATTGCTACAGACAGACACGTCTGCAAATTATAGTAAAATAATGTGTAATCTGCTTTGCAGTCATTTTCCTGAGTCGAGTTTATGTAAGTGCTTCCGAAAGCACAATACATTAAAAAACACGAAATCATTAAACATATATCAAAAGACAGCACAGCAGATTTCTTGCAATCTCTTTACGTGAACTCTTGCCCCTCACACCATAATCTTTGTTGTACTTGACTCAAATCCATTATTGTGTTATTATAATATCATCATTTTTAAGTAGTATTATATTATTGTGGCAGGAAGTGGATGAGCTGTTGAAGAGACTGGACTTCATACCAGCTTCAGAGTTCACTACTGATCTTCCCTACGTGGACTTCCTGGACCGGGTGCACAAGGCCGAGCTGAAGCTCCGTGCCAAGAACCTTTGGGAAGTCCCTCATCCATGGCTCAACCTCTTTGTCCCTAAATCAAGAATAGCCGAATTCGACACGGGCGTGTTCAAAGGCATTTTGGGAAACAACACCAGTGGCCCTATTCTCATCTACCCCATGAACAAAAACAAGTAATTATTATTATTATTATTATTATTATTATTATTATTATTTATTAATTAAAAACATTTTATTTATTTAATTAATATATCTATATCTATGTATAGGTGGGATGAGAAGAGCTCTGTAGCGACACCAAACGAAGACGTGTTTTACCTAGTAGCGCTTCTTAGATCTGCTTTGGATAACGGAGACGAGGCGCAGTCGCTGGAGTATCTGAGCAATCAGAACCGTCGGATCTTGCGGTTCTGTGAGGAGTCCGGGATCGACGTCAAGCAGTATCTGCCGCATTACACCGCGCAGCAGGAATGGGCCCACCATTTTGGGGACAAATGGTCGTTATTTTCGAGGAGAAAATTGGAATTTGACCCCAGGAATATTCTTGCCACGGGACAACATATATTTACACCTCCTCCTCCTCCTCCCAAATCTTCTACTTCGTCTTGGTAATTATTAAATGGAAAAAAAAAAAAAAAATTGTATGCCTCTTTCATCATTTTATATAGGTCACATATCGATGAATTGAATTAATGTATTCATGTAAATAGTTAGATGCCAAGTGTATACATATTGAAATACTATTAATGATTTATATTCGACTATGGGCCCAATGTGAATGTGGGCCTTTCGATCCATTTAGCCCAAAACACTCTGGCCCGCTACAGTAGATTTTGGCATTTTTAATTATTCCAGAAAGGAAAAAGCAGGTCAAAATTGTCAGCGAATGATGGGTCGGGTGGGTCGATGGTCACGTGAACCGTGTTGACACGTGTTATTAATCTGACCGTCCAATATGTTGTTCATATGAAACGCTGGCCGTAGATGAGCTTCGTCTTTTGATCTACGCACTCCTTTTTTTCACCTGTGAATTCATCAGAACCTTCCGTTTCTTGAATAGTGGAAAATATTTGATTTCAATATCTCCAAACCCACTCAATTCCTGAAATTAACCCCAGCAATCGGCATTAAATCATTGTATAAAGAATCGTGGCACACTTCCAATTTCATACCTTTCTCTCTCTCTTCGTATTCCGTACGCGATGACCTCCCCGTCCGCTTCCTCACGCAAGGTACTCTTGTTTCATATTTAATTGTCAAATTCGAATTCGAGTTTAAGTTTTTATCCATGTTTGTTGCGTTCTTGTGTGTATGCGTCAGTGTTTTTGGATTTATTTATTTTTGTTAATTCTCCCCTCCCGCTGAAAGTAACTGGCTTTCTTTGTTTGGCTTTTTCTGGAACGAAATGTTTCGGGGAAAGACATTGAGCAAGATCGCGTGCAATCGGCTGCAGAAAGAGCTAGTGGAGTGGCAGGTGAACCCCCCCGTGGGTTTCAAGCACAAAGTTACTGATAATCTTCAAAGGTAGCTTTTCGTTCGCGTCCTTTTTATTTTTACGAGTAATTTTCTTCCACTCTGTGATTCCAAACTCACTGATTCGCGATTTAGATGGATCATTGATGTCAACGGTGCACCGGGGACGCTCTATGCGGGCGAGACCTACCAGCTTCAGGTTGATTTCCCGGAGCATTACCCTATGGAAGCACCTCAGGTCTTGATATTTAGTTTCGGTTGATTACTAGGGCTTGATTGACACTGACATAAGTTGTTATTTTGATTCAGTAAGTAATAGTCGGTTATTTATCTGAACTGAGTTTCTTGACTCGCAGGTGATATTTGTTCCTCCGGCTCCTCTGCATCCTCACATATATAGCAATGGCCATATATGCTTAGGTGTGTTTCTTCATGCTGATTTACTGAAGTTTTGCTTTTCATTGCTCCTTGCTCGAAGATGTTGTGTTGTAATGTGTCATTGATGCCGTGGCTGTCATATAATGTGTATCTTTTGCTCTTGGCTTTTTGGTTTGCTGCACTTATTCATGCATTTCTTTTTAGATGGGATTGTTGTGGAGTTTTTGATGTAGAATGATGCATGCTTTTTGTGATTAGTTGATGATGTCAAAGATGGCTACTTGCTGCTGCCGTTCCTGTGTAGAAATTATTTTGGTTTGTTTCATAATTTGTAAAGCATTGCTTTTTGATGGATTCTGTATGCTGATTTGTGTGGCGACTTATGAATCAAATAAGCCTTTTTATTGCATTATATGGCCCTTTATTGAGATGAGTTGTGAACCCGTTCAAAGTTAGGTGAATTGTTTACGTGATTGGACTTTGTTGCCAATAAGTTTTACTCGTTTTCTTGCAGAGTGATAAATTTCAGTGAAATTTGAAAGGCTTTTTTGGATGAAATATGTGTGGAAGAGTGCATATATCTGTGTGTGTTGGGGGGGGGGGGATTGCATGTGTTCTGTGTTATATACATAATTGTTTATAGCCATTATTATGGCCAGATAAAGATAAGGAACGAAGGTTGGTTTGGTCCTAACTTTAGGTTCTAAAATAAATTGTAGCTCATGAAAGGATCAATCATTATTTTGGTTGCTTGGTTGGAATGTTTGGGGACATGCAACTTGCTTGCTATATTACCTTAATTGTGATTTATTTGAGTCTATGTATAACGTATTGTATATGTTTGAATGATTGATAGCTTATACTTCATATGTGTGGTTGTACGAGGTTGTACGGCATAAGATTTTCATTACTAATACATAACATGATTAAAAATAGTTATTGAATTACTGATTCATTCTTTATTTTCCCATGGACAGGTGTATGGGTGAATTCGCTTATGAAAACATTTGTGCATGTTTTTAAAATTCTTTTTGTATGATGTAAACACATCTCGTGAATTTTTAGCTTAATTTTGTGTAGAAGTGAGGAATGAGCTTGGAAATTTTTAATGAGATAGTTCTACAGTTTATTAGTCTAATAACTGATTTAATACTTGAAATAATCAGTACCGAATAGCTAGATCAATTTGCATCCGGAAATTTCCTCTAATGGTGGACTTGAATTTACTGTTTATTAGCGTGGAGCTGCTGGTTAATCCTGTTTGTCATCTTCCCATTTTATGTTCTCTGATGCTTAACCATGGTTATGAGCTTAAAGATTAGTCTTACAGGCTGAAAAGTGTTATTGTTGATTTTATTTAAAAATATCAATTAATCCCACTGTTCATATGTATTTCGAAATTTGGAACTCGTTGAATTTTCTAGCTTACATGTTTATTTATAATATTTACTTGCTCTGTTTCTTGCACCCAGATATTTTGTATGATTCATGGTCTCCAGCTATGACTGTAAGTTCGATCTGCATCAGCATTCTGTCTATGTTATCAAGCTCGACAGCAAAGGTTTGCTTAATATTTCCACGCTTCATTTTCATTTGCAAAACAGTCACGCTTTTAAGCTTATGATCATATAAAATTCGGTGACCTTGCAGCAACGGCCAGCCGACAATGATCGCTATGTCAAGAACTGTAAGAACGGAAGATCTCCCAAGGAGACTAGGTGGTGGTTCCATGATGATAAAGTGTAATTACTGAAACCAGAGAAACTTGTAATCCAGCCTTGCTTGCAAGTTAGGTTGGGTGACGATGATATCTTCATTCCTCTTAAAACCGGGGAACATACCAACGAATATTTCGAAAGAGAAAAAAACCGTCATTCACTTCGACCGTGTTGATACTGAGAAACACATTCTGTAGTTGCTGTCCCAGTGTTAATGTATTTACAATGTCACTCGTATTTATTTCAGGTCCGTGTGAAGCCAAATATTGCAGTAACTATCGACTTACTGCACAGGAGGAGGTGTACATGGCTAGCCTTAATTTGTTTTCTCTTTCGTACTGCGATTACGCATAATCTATAGATTGTGTTATATATGTGCCAATTTGTGAAGACAAAAGTTACTTGTTTAACGAATCGAGGATGTGCCCGGATTGCAGCTTGACGTGAATATATTGCGCAAATGCGGTAATCATTCCTTCCCCTAATTAACGGTATATTTGCTGCTAGGGAACTGCCGGCTAATGGCGTATTTTATGATGATCATGTGTATGTGTGAGGATGATGATACAGTCGATTAAGCCGTATAAGATCGAGTATGTGGTGATCTACACAACTTAGGTAAAATTGTTGACTTGTGTCACTAAAAATGAAAACTTTTAAGGGTGTGCTTAGTGTGCAGAAATGGTTTAGGAGAGCTAAAGGGCTATCTGAAATTTTATTTCATACGTTTGAAAGAGCAGGGATTTAATTTATTTATGATGTGGTGAAATTTTCTAATGTTTTGGGGTAGCATGTCCTAGTTGTATGTTTTTCTGTGAAATTTCATTCAATCAGGTGTAGTAGATGTATGTAAGATTCTTCTTTGTCAACTCTAATAGGTTAGAAATAATGAAAAGCCTAGACCCAAATATTATATATATATATATGTACATATGTATGTATGGAAAAGGCAATCTATCAGCTGCAATAATTTAATTAAGTAGGCTATGCAGAGAGAAACATGAAAAATGAATGAAGATTTTCACTTTTTTTTTTTTTTTATGACGAAGATTTTCACATTTTGTTTTATCTTGAGGTGGGTGTCTTTATTTTGCACCTAATACTGAATACCTAAAATAGTTGCAGTACCATAAAGACAGCGAGCAGGACGACGATGACGACATCAAGAAAGGTTTATTATTTATTTATTTTTATTGTAAAGGGTATCCCACCTCACCTGTATACTTGACACCTAACTGTGAAATATATATATATACACACAGATTCATTGAAGAGTGAGTGTATGTATCTGTATATATGTATATGTATGTGTGTATATATAATATAATACAGAAATTCAACCGACTTGCCAAACTGTAGTTATGGCAACAACTACTCCAAATAGGCATAGGTATGCATTTAATGGCACAGTTTAGGTCCAACAACTGGTGGTTATATGTTTCCCAAACCCTAAGATACAAACAACCATGGCTGATGCCCCCAACCACCCTCTCTCAGTTTTGGCTCTTGAACAATTTTTAATTTTAATTTTGATTTTAATTTTAATTTTCTTGTTGGATAATTATATATAGAGAAGCTTCCACACACAATCTTTTGGCTATTCTAACTTGTCCCCACGTGAGAAAGGTGGCAGAAGAATACATCGATTCATAGCAATTGTTTAATATTGGTATTGGAGGTGGGGTGGGGCATCATACAATATCATTCCCTTCTCTTTTTGTTTAATTATCATATCCTCCTTTTCTTTTCTTTTTTTCTGTACAATATTTTTGTGGTTGGTGTCATTGTTCAATGATAAGAAGGGGTTGGTGTGTGTGCAGCTTCCTTGTTTGTTTGTTTGTTTCTTTGCTCCTTTGGGATCTTCTTTGGGATCAATCTTGTCTCCTTTATTTGTTAATTAAGACACTAATCGGCACCCTTTTCTGATTTCCTCCTTCCTGCTTCTTTGGGTTCTCTCTACTTGAGGTTGGCTACCAGGAATACTTACATATACATACATATATATATATATTTTTTTTTTAATTCTGCAATTCTTGTTGATTCTGTCTGTATTTATGTTAGTAGTCAACAGATTGTTTGTAAGAAAACAATTTGTGTAGTTATCCTTCACATGGCGATTTGGGTCAATGGAGTTTTTGATTGTCTGAAGATGATGGATTGATTGACTTTGTTCATGTAAGTTTCATCTACATCGAAGATGATGATCATACTCATCCTTCTGGGGATTATTTTTCGATTTTATTTCGTTTTTTGGGGGTAGATGAATGGATTATTATACGTTGATTTCGTTTGTTTTGAGGAATCCCCACTTTCCCAGTAGTGGGATTTTGAAAAAACTCATACTTGACAAGATCATCATCATCATCATCATCATCATCATCATCATAGGTTTAATTCTCTGCAATTTGAAGTTCCCTCTTTTTGTCCACTGATTCCATTTCTGTTTGTTTGTTTGTTTTTTTTTTTTTTCTTACACAGCACATCCAAAAAAGTCGAATGTTCAATTGAAAGCCAGTTGTGATGGTTTGTCTCCCACTCGCCAATTTCCGCACGAGCCTTACTGTTCTTCTGCTGCTATCCAAAACCTAACAGCCATGGCTGAATACTATCCAAGCGAAGGAGATATGCTTCCAACTCCACCATATCTGCTGAATCACAAACCTCCATCTTCTTACCCATCATCCGATCTCCAAGACAACAACAGCAGCAACAAATCCCTTCTACTATCCTACTCAAATTTGCTGTCCGGTCATGATCTTGTCGTAACTGATCAATCCCCTGCAGTCACCAGAGATGAGATGCTGTTCATGCCTCCACCCGGCGTCGGAATGCTGCCGGACAAGATCGACAATCCAATAACCTTCGACAACACACTTGTCCCAGACAACACCTTATTGCAACATTCGAATCATGGATTGTCTCTCACCCTCGGATCACAAGATTCATCCCTCCTCCATTTAAATTCCGATTCGGAACAGTTCGCCGCCTCTGCTTTCCATCAGTTATTACATCCCAATGTCCCATCAGAGCTCCATCTTTCTCCCAACAATGGCTTCAAGAACACACAGTACTTATCCTTCGACTTCTCAGCCCCAACTCAAGATGCCGGCAGCCTTTGCAGCTCGAGATACCTCAAGGCGGCGCAAGATTTGCTCGACGAAATAGTAACTGTCCATAGAGCTCCTAAAATGTCTGAGAAAGTACGTAACCAATCCAACGACGCCAATTCGAAACGGGATTCGCTCAATGTCGATGCTAACGATCCGAGCACCGATCGAATCCCCCGCAATCTCTCCCCTGCAGACCGCCATGATCTGCAGAACAAGATCACCAAACTTTTAGGCATGTTGGATGAGGTAATTAACACATTGTTCATGTCTTAGCTTCATAAACATTAATGTTGTTAAAATCTTATGTTTTGTATTGTCCATGTAGGTCGATAGAAGATACAAACAATACTGCCATCAAATGCAAGTCGTGTCATCATCCTTCGAAATGGCGGCAGGTCGCGGCGCGGCGCATCCGTACACGTCGCTTGCGCAACGAACGATTTCGCGGCAATTTCGATGCCTTTGCGACGCGATCAAGAAGCAAATTCAATCTGCACAAAGGAGCTTAGGGGAAGAGGATTCTAGCCCGAACGGCGTAGGCGTGTTATCGCGTCTACGCTACGTCGATCAGCAGCTCAGACAGCAAAAGGCGATCCAGCAGTTTGGTGTAATGAGACAACCTTGGAGGCCTCAAAGAGGCTTGCCCGAAACTGCGGTGTCAATCCTCCGAGCTTGGCTATTCGAGCATTTTCTCCATCCGTATGCATTTTTCGATACTTCTTCATTACACAATCAATGTATATGCGTTTGAACATGGGTTAATGATCACGAGCTCTTTCGATGACAGCTATCCGAAAGACTCGGAAAAAATTGTTCTTGGGAGGCAGACAGGGCTAACGAGGAATCAAGTGGCGAATTGGTTCATAAATGCGCGTGTACGCCTCTGGAAGCCGATGATCGAGGAGATGTACAAGGAGGAGTTTGGAGGATCCGAGGTTGAGCCAAAATCTTCGGAAGAGAATGCAGGATCAAGCCAAGAGATGTCTGCTTTGGACAACCAATCGCCAATGCAGTCGAGCAACATTGATGTAATAATTTCGAATACAGAGACTAATGGAAACAGAGCAGGATTGGTCTGCGACGATGGAACTTTCCGAGGCGACCAAGTTAGTTTCGGGCTAATGCAAACGCAGGTGTCGGGCGAACAAACGGCGAATAATTCGGGCAGGTTTGCGAATGCTCATCTCTTGTCTGATTTTGTTGCATGATCATCTATCACAAATAATTGTTTGTAAGTAAGTGAGAAATTCATGAAGTCGTCAATCATCTTGGGATGCATTGATGGTCCATTTTGTATAGAATTTGGATTTGTTCATTGTCTGTAAAATTATTAGGTTATACAATAAGAGTGAATAATTCCAATTTTATTGCAAGAAATTGAAATTGTGTGAATGAATGAATGAATGGATGGATACAGAAGGCAGTGTCCTTTCAACATCTAAAGATTAATCATAGATAGATATTACATATATTTTACTGATCCAAAATCAGACAATGTTAAAACTGGGAGTGTGCAAAAGACACCACACTTTTTTGTTTGCTTTAATCAGATGGACAGAAAATCCCATTTTCAGCAGGCACAAAATTTATCAGAAAATTTTCTTCTTTTTCCCTGCTATCCAAACAGTGTATGTGTTTGTGTCTGTGATGAGTGAGAAAGAGAGAGAGAGAGGGTTAGATTGAAAGTGCTTTTTGAGTGTCCCAAAGAAATGCAAGAGCAGCCATTAAAGCTGATGCTTCACCTTGTTGTTTTGTAGTCAGGGAAAAAAGGGGACCATTGCCATTTGCCATTGCCATTGCCATTATCATTACGAGTTTACAATTACAATTACTATTACCCTTTTCCCACCATTTTTCTATTTTTTTTTTACTTTGGTAATAAATGCTAGGTTATGGAGAGGGTTCTTTATAGAAGTTTGCAGAGGTCTGTATCTATAGCTTTTGTAGCTCTCAGCTTGCTGACAATGGAGACAGTAGTAGTAGCAGTGTAGTGGTACTCTACAGTAGAGAAATTAGGCGAAAGAGAGAATCTTTGCTTTCCTCCTTGATTGAAGTTCTGTCAAATTTTACAAAGCATGTTTGTCTCAACACTGTGTGGATGTATCTGTGTCTGTCTGCAACTTCTTTAATTATCTTCATCAGAAGGGCCTGTTTACTGTCATGGAGACAACTCTGCCTGTTCACTTGTTTCCAAATTTCTGATTCAAAATCCAGATGAATGAATGCTTTTTTTTTTTTATTATTTTCATATTTAATAATAAAATTAAAAAAGATGACATTTTTCTGAATCATTTCGTACTTCGATTCTTTTCTTCCTCACCCAATCAATCCGCATGTTGTATAAAAACCCTTTGTTTGTAGTCTTCCCTACGACATTAATTTATGAAGTTATGTTAAGTAGTAAAGCTATGGTCTCAGAAGATCCTCCCTGCAACTCAAATTCAAGCATTAATGTCCACCAATTCAACCTCTCAAACTCCATAGCTGATGATCACACCCAGATTTATAATAACCCTTCTTATCCTCTCCCTGTAAGCATCCAATGTTGTCTTGGAGATCGAATTTCTGCTTCTGTTGACCTCGTTCGTGCCACTGACGAATCGGGCTTGATGGATCTTCTCGGCGCGTCGAATGAGGCCTCGCCGGCGCCGGCGCCGGCGAGGCTTTCACTGTCCTTAGGCGGCGCCGGTCAACGACCTCCGCTGACTTCCTGCAGCCTCGTCAATCCGGGATACCTGATTTCAAGAGAATCTTGCAATGTAGGACCTGACAATCATGTAATGAATGATTATTCCTTCACCGGGAGCGGTTTTCCCTCGTCGACACCTCCCTGGAACCCTAATTCCGCCGGAACGGCGGCGGACACATTCGCCGCCGCCGTGGGAGCCTCCAAGTACTTGAAGTCTGCGCAGTCTCTTCTCCTAGAAATGGTCAGCGTCGCCGGGAAGGACATCGACGCAAGCAATCAGAAATACGTCGACAAATTATCCTGTAAGAAAGGCTCCCACAGGCTTTCGTCGGAGATCAAAGCCGACATTTCCAACAACAATGGCGGATTGCTGTCCGAAAGGCATTCTACCTACGTTAATCTTCTCAAGCTTCTTGCCTTGCTGGACGAGGTTTTTCTTTTCCTCAACACCATATATTAATTTGATCGATCTTTAATTTGGATCCCTCATTAATTGTTTATTAATGATTTAGGTGGAGAAACGATACGATGATTATTATGGGCACATCGAAGAACTTGTGGGATCATTCGAAATGATAGCTGGTTGGGGGGCTGGGAAATCTTACACTGCTCTTGCCCTACAGGCAATGTCGAAACATTTTTCCACGTTGAGAGACGCCATCGTGTCTCAAATTCGTGTGACGAAGCAGAAGATCGAGCGAGACATGCCTCGAATCAGTTCAGGATTGTCCCAATTAAGCCTCGTGGATCAGGATGGAAGACAGCCAAGAATTTCCCTCCACCAGCTTTGGCCGTTGCACGGCGGCGGCGGCGGCGGCGGCGGTGGCCGCCAAATATGGCGGCCGATCAGAGGACTGCCGGAGACTTCCGTCACTCTTCTTCGTGCTTGGCTTTTCGAGCACTTTCTGCATCCGTACGTTATTTTTTTCCTTAATCTTTCCACCATTAATCTTGTCTGTAAGATTTATGCTGTTCTTACCATTGCAGTTATCCAAATGAGTCTGAAAAGCTGATGTTGGCATCGCAGACAGGCTTATCAAAAAACCAAGTAAATTAAATACTGATTAAGTACTTTGATCATTCATCGATCAAATCAATCTGGTTTTTGTGTCGTCTCATATGTCATATACAGGTTTCGAATTGGTTCATAAATGCACGAGTTCGACTGTGGAAGCCGATGATCGAGGAGATGTACAAAGAAGAATTCGGAGAAGGGGTTGGCGATTCTGCAGATGACTGATCACTAATTAAATATCGTTCCTTGTTAATTTCCATCATCATCATCATCGTGTTCATCAATCAATCGATCCCTTTTTAAGCCTTTTCACTGTGGGTTAAATAAAATTCACAGATTAGTTTGTTGGAATCAAATGAAGTGAGTCCATACCTGCATGCCTGTCCAATTTCAACCAAAGATCCGTGAGTGATCGATGTATGTCTGCAACTGACAATATATACATACATACATACATACAAAACATAAATAGCAAGGATGAATCAATGAGTGAAGAAAACCATGGCAACAAAAATGGTAAAAAAGGCATCAACTCACGCAACTCTATCTTCACCCACTTACTGCTTCCAATCTCCAAATTCTTACAAGATGGGCCCATACCAGAAAAGCTTTCTTAACTATGTACCTTGTAATGGTAACCAGGAAAAAGAGAATAAATTTCTATTATAGGGTACAAGAAATTTGCAAACTAAATGGGCTGGGTTTAGTAAGCCCAGCCCAAATATGCCTTGCGAAGATCCATTCTAGGTAGAATAATATATATATAGATAGATAACTTTAATTATTGCCAAATGTAGAATTAAATAAATACTTATATTGTAGTATATGTAAGCATTTCTGGTTAACGAAAAAATCCAAATCAGTGGGCACGTAGCATGATGTTAAAATGCATCCAAAATTTTATAAGTAGGACACAATGCGTGGACAAATTGTCAGACCACACGTGTCTCCTGGAACATTATTAGTGACTCTGATTGTGTCTCGAATACATTATAAAATAATTTGTCTATTAAAAAATACCACATACTTTAATCTATTGAATTAATAATAACAATAATCAAATAACACATCTATGTTATGAAAGGCCATCAGAAGGCAAATTAAAGCACCAACCTGTCAACCATCAAATTTGGACTACCCTTTCTTACAAAAATAATATTCTACAGTCAAATGGAACATATATTGCTATTTAATTACTTAAAAGTCGGTGTTGAAAATGATGAGATTAATTAAAGATATTAATAAAAGACAACAAAATCATTTAAATAAATAGTACAAAGTAGATACATGGTGACCCCCTTACACAACCAAGAAGACAGACAGCTGAGGTCAGTACACCATTTGGCGAATTAATTAATTAATAATTTAATACCAAATCAAGCCATAAAATAATGACCAATAATTCTACATAGTTCACCCCTGACCTGATTGAACTAAATAATTATTTTTTAATTTTTATTTTTTTCAAATAACAGCAATTCCACTAAAATAAGAAGATATTGACGATTGAGGAACCCTAAATTCCCAAATCTCTCAAAAATCAAACATCTCAGCTGAGGCGGTGATCGGATGCTGATTAATCCCCATCAAGTTCCATTGATTTCCGTTCAGGAAGCCATCGGCGAAGCCCTGGTGGTGCTGAAACTCCTCCGCCTCGAACATACAGCCTCCGGCGGCGGTGGAGGAATTGATGAAATTGAGGATTTCGTTGAGCGATTGGAGTCGGTGAGAGAGCTCCATCATCTGCGCCTTGAGGACTGAATTCTCAGCCTCGACATTGACGTAGTGCTGCGTGGTGAGGTTCACAGATGTCAGAATCTGTTGATTCTCGTCCCTGAGCTGCGCGACCTGAGCTGCCAGATCGTCCAGATGCTTCTGCTTCCTCAGCCTCGACCGCCTCGCAGATTCGCGATTCGATTGCATACGCTTCCTCTTCCTCTGGTCCATCAGACTCTGCAGATCTTCGTCGGAACCGGAGTTCTGGACCGGCGCCGGAGAGCCGGACGAGTAATTGCCGCTCGATGAAGCCATTGCTAATTTCTCCGGTGAGATTTCTTATTAATTTATTACAGATACGTGTATAAATATATAAGTTGCAGTTATTTAAGGCTCTGTTTGGTTGAGTTGATTATGAAAAAACGTAAAACCAGTAGAGGAAGACGACTGAGAAGGATTGAACAAGATGAGCCCCACGCCGGAGAGATGATCCAATCATAAAACCAGATCTGAGAATTTCACTGAGCACAGGAGACATGAATTTCATACATCAAGAACATTAATTTCCGCAGCATGAATCTATTCCACAAACAAACAAAAAAGCTTCTTTAAAGGAAATTCGAAATTAAGCCCAGAAACAGGCAAAAGATCAGAAAGAAGAAAACAAGAATTGGAGCAACAGCAGAGAGCTAAAGAAGAACTACACCCAAATCCTATAGGGAGGCAAGAAGGGAGAAGAGAAAGAGGTTTATGAGGTAGGAGAAAGGTCTGATTTATAGCAGGAAATGGTGGGCAAGAAAGTGAGAAAATATTAAAAAAAAAAACAGAGGAATCAGCAATATTTTAATGGGGGCAAACTATTTTTTCAAGAAAAATCAAAGTAGGAAAATGGTGGGGAAGGTGAGGAGGCATAGGGGAATCTGAGCTAGGGTTTGGTGGGTAGAGACTAGAGAGAGTCATCAGTCATGTGGTCTGAAAAGACCAGCCAGCTGTAGGTTTTGTTCTTGGAGAGTCCCTGGACCTCAGATCCTGATGTAGACTCGCTACACTTTTATCAATGTTTTACTGAACTCAATGCGTACGAATATATTCATTCTGACATATACCCTTTATTATATCATTATTATTTATTTTTTTTACCTTGATCGTACAGAACTAATTACAAGTGTCTTCATTAACCGTGTTTTTATTTAAATATTACAGATTTGTAATGACACAAAAAAAAAAAAAAAAAAAAGAGTGAAGATTCCATTAGATTTTTCGTACTTTTACTAATCTTTTGGTCATTTTCTTGAAAATTGAAAATATCATTAAACCATTCCTTCGATTCTTTCACCAACAAAGAAACCCACACAAGAAAATTAGATATGTGCTGTACATTTTTATTAAAATCTCAGAACAAAATGACCCAAAGTAGTAGAAAAATTGGTGGCTGAACGTGCAGGGTATGGTCAATATCAATTAATTAATGCCCAACGCTTGTGATTGCAAACCAACAAACTTTATTATTTTGTGAATAAATAGATTCAATGTACCGTCACAAACCTCTTAGAAATTATCTGAATTTTTATTTACAGCTCTGGTGGCTATTTCTGTCATTTTCTTGAATTTTGGTATTTATTTAAATAATCAATTAGCTATATCTTATTAAACCTTAATTAATTACTAATTAACCGCATTAACTTCCATTTACCGTAAAGTAACTCGTACAACTTGAAGCATATCTAAGAATATGCCTAATTAAATTAATAATTAAAAAAAAAATACTTATAATTTTATTTTAAATATTATATAAAATAATATTAGTATCGATCCTATTTTGGCTGCTGATTTTTTATTTTTTATTTTTTTCTCGAAAGCGTCGTGATTAGTCAAAGACGTAATTAGGGTTGGATTATTTAAATATTGTCGTTTTTATACTTCTAGAAGCATTTTGCGATATTAATAATATTCACAATTAGGGGGTGAATTAATGTGTTGGTTTGGTTAATATAATTAATTAATTACTGCACAAATCTTTTCTTGAATAAATAAATAAAATAAAAATGCATGCAGCCCACAATGAAGAATTACGTGAATCCAACTCATAACAGTGAAATATTAGTTGTCAAAGATCATGGTTTGTCCCAAGCATGTCCCAAATTAAATCTCCAACTTTACACATATACATATGTATATAATATTTAATTAGGATTTCTTTCGTACATTAAATTTTTATCAATTCTTGGATGTAAGAGCAGATTTTTGTCTATAATTTTTTAACCATTGAAATGCCACATGTTGAAACATGGTCAGATTCAATAAAGTGCACTTGACAGCTGATTTAATTGATCACACAGAGATCTTGAGAGAGAGGAGATCAGTAAAGGATGTAATTACGATTTTACTATAGACAATTTCATTTTTATTTAAATAATAATAATAATAATAATAATAATAATAATAAATATATATATATATATATAAACATGTATATATAGGCGTAGAGTGGTCCATCACTAGACAACATTACTAAAGGGGAAAAAAATTAATCAGATATTGTAGTAAAAGCTCATAATAATATGGTGCCCCACCCCATTTTGTAATTTCATGTTGGCAAAAGCTATTTTAATAAATTAATAAAGATATATATATATATATATTGAGATTTGTTTCGCTTTACAGGATCCCATAAAAATCATTTCTATTTGATATATGTATATTATTGATATATATATATATATATCATGTCCCAATTTAAATATTTCTTTTTATTCCATTATATTTTAAAGCAAGTGATGGATCCATGATCACCTCATCATAATTAAATTCATATTTTTGATGTGTCTGATTACAATCTGTACGTAGTTAATTAAGAAAAATGACTGATTAGAGGTGTGACTGATGATGTAATTAGGTAATTAATTACAATTAATATGATTAGTGTAGTAAGTAGGTGGGCTGTCAATTTAATTACTGAATTTTTATTTTTATTTTTATTTTATTTTTATTTTTTTTTATTTCTTAAGTTGTACATTTTCATATATTCAGTGTTCATTGGTATCATTATTACGAAATGATTTTATTATATTTACAATTTCACTCCTAAAAGAAACACGTGTATGTACATATATCAAGATTTAAAGAGCATTGTTTTATAACATACTATGCCGGAAAAATAAATAAAATATATATATATATATATGTTGCAATTTTTATTATTCAATTCAATTTTATTTTTTTCTAAAAACATCATGCATTTTCGATCATAAAAAATATCTATCTTTCACTTAAATTATCAAAATATACACATATATGTATATTCGTCGTAGTAGTAAAACACGGTGTGTTTTGATATTAAAGTAGTATTAATTAAAAAATAAATTATTTGATTTCTTCAGTAATTAATAATAATGACACAGCTGCAATGATATTAATTAATGTTGTGGTCATAATTAAGAGAAAAAGGTAATGGTCGGTTTGTAGGGCCAGATACGAATAGGCCTAACTGATGAAGAATAAGGTGCGTGGGTGGGTGGGTGCATGGGCTAGCTCTAGCCTCTAGCTGCTACCTTTTCTTTTATTTTTTTATTATATGGTTTATTTATTACAAGTGAATTATATACCATTGATTGTGGTAAAGCAATCTTGTTTACAGACTGAATCTTTGCTTGCAGCTTTATTTTCTTTAAAGAAACAACTTGTTCATATTATATATATATATATATATATATGTCACTTTGAAAAAAGCCCAACCTGTATATTGTTTACTTTGGACTGGTAAAAAATAAAAAAAATCTTTTAGAGAGGGCGAATCTTGTCTGATTATTTCTAAGACATCCAGGTTTAATTATGTGATGATGTTTGGTCCAAAAGTTGAAAATATCTGATAGCTGCAACATCTTATAAACTGTAATTTTAATTTTTCTTTTTTTAACTTATACATACAAACACAAATTTATTATATATATGTTTTTATGGTTGATTTTAATATTGGGCTTTTGCAGCTTTTAGAAAGCTGGGGGTGGGGTGGGGTGGGGTGGGGTGGTGAAGAATAAGTGCTCTACTACGTTGGACGTTGTTGCAGGTTCTATCTTATCCACAGCCTGCTCTGCACCTATGACGACGAATTATACGATGTAGTCTCTATATCCCTACCTATATTATATTAATTGCTTCACTCCAAAGGCACAAACACACATTCATTTATACATACATATATGATCTATAGATTAGATATTATGTAGATAAATAGCACATATGATAAAATATGTTACGTCACTTTCTAACCTTTACAAATAGCTACCATATTTGTGCATGTTTTGATCATCCCCATAATTGATAATCCTGTCTCGTCATTTCAGAGTCTTGTAGGTTTTACAAAAATTTATAATAATAATAACCATGATAATGTAGTGAGGACTGAGCTAGGATTGCAGACATGTTTGGTCCACACACATAATTACTTATATAAACAAAAAATGAATTGTTTTCTTTCCATCACTTGTAAAAAAATAAAACGATAAATGAAAAGTAACTACTGCAGCAACGTAAGATTAGTATATTTTTATTTAATCTTTTTCTTGTTGAAATTATATTTTGGGGTTTAAAATTGACATGGGTTTAGAATTTCTGGTTCTATAGAAAGTAATCAATTTGGGTTGAATAAAAGTTTTTGAGACATAAAAAATTTGCATGTTGTGAATAATTAAGCACATCATACTGTAGATATGAAGAGAAAAGGGGCCTCACCTAAGCCGCCGCGCCGACAATGTTGGCTTGGCGGCTGGCTGAAGCTGCCATCGTGGACTTTAATGGAGGCGAACTGTGATAATCAATCAATTAATTAATTAATTAATGTACTATTTCATAATGGATAAATATTGAACATTTGAGTACTCAAGAACCAACATAAATTAATAATAAGTGACAAAATAACATGTGTGTATATATATATATATATATATAAATAATTCAATACATGATGTGATGTATCTCGTCAAGATTATCATTGGGCCCACTTGCCTTTTAATAGATTTTGGGCTTTTGTTGGAAACTCAATGGGCCTTATATTTTATTGGGCTTTAATATTCCATTCTTTTTCTATTATTCGGAAAGCCTGTTTATATTTCTATGCAAAATATCGATTTCAAAATTTCAATCCAACAAAAATAATATATTTCCTCCCATGTCTATCTATCAATTTATCTCTTTGAACAGAATTTTAAAAATATTAGTATTATATTTTAATATAGTAGAAATAAAGATAAAAAGACTAAGATACTCGTATGATTCAAAGGTAATGACATTTGTGTAATATATTGTAAATTGAAAAGATATTTGTAATATTAGGTATATAGTACAGTTACTTAAAAAAAAATTGATACTTTGTTATGGAACAAACTAAAATGAAAAAATAAATTGATTGTTAAGGTACGAAGTACAAGAACAAAATATAACACACCTTCACGTCACTTGCTACACATGGTTCACCCAGTGTGATTGGTCTTGTTGAATTTAGTTTATAAAATATTAAGTTCGATTGAGATTTACCCGGTGCATACTTTTGTTCAATGTATATAGGCAGGGGCAGATCTATTAAAGTGCAGCCCACCCTTTCCCCCCATCCCACCCCCTTCGGTTTAGTTACTTATTTTTATATATATTTAAATATATATATATATATATATATATATAAAAGTATAGAAAAAATGATTGGATCAAATAATAATATTAATAATAATTTCAATTATAGATTTTTTTTTTTCTAATAAAAATGTGTTACTATTTTTTATTTCATAAAAATTCAAAAATGAATTTTCACAATATATAGTAAATAATACTAGTGTGATTGTTATTTTATAATATTTTTAAAATATAACAATTAGAAAGATAAAATTAGTTGGACAATAAATAGACATATAAAATATATTTCTTCCATCTTAAAATAATAATTTATTTTTTTATTTTTTTTGTCTCAAAATAATAATTCCATTTTCATAAATAATCATATCATAATAAAATAATTTATATATTTTTATATAAATATCATTACTTTATAAGCAAATACACTATTAATCATTATTTAGTTCTTTTTACTATCTATTTTATATTCATTTTAAACATAATATTATTATTTCTTAAATTTTGAGCTGAACTTAAATGTCCTTATTGTTTCAAGACAGAAAAAGGATTTTGTTAGTTTACGAAAATAGCCCGCAGCTAACTTATCTTAGTTCCGCTCACTGTATATAAGTAAAGGCGGTGAGTGAGTGAGCGAGCGAGCATTGGTGTTACATTTACTAGCTCTAAGACCTACAATTATGTTTTCTTTGGTAAAATTAAAAGAATCTAATCCTCTTCAACCCTTTTGGACAATAAAGACAGACAAGAAAGATTTGGACCACGGAAACAAGAAAATATTCATATCTTCATTTTTGATTTAATGGGCAGAATGAATTGAAGGAAGGATATATGAAGAAGATATGCTGTTCGATCGTCTTGTGGTTTTTTTGCAAAACTAACTAGTAACTAGTCTACCTACCTCTGCAGCTTCGATCGATCGATCCATCAAGTATTATTTTAGATATTATTCCTTGGATCTTTTCTTTTCTTTTCTTTAATTGCATGATACCAACTAAATTTGAGGACACAGAAATCATATATAGTCTGATCAATCTAGGCTTGCTTGGACATGACAACATTCGATATATATCATCCCCTTCATCAATTAATCTCTCAAGTGCCCGCATGCACACACCCATATCTATCTATATATATATATAGATTATATTGTGAGCGATGAGAATCTTGCAAGTTGAAATTATGACATGATATGATACTAGTAGGTATGCAATGCAGATGAACGGCCACGATTAACTCGGCGCAAGTGCTGTTTGATTCATCTGGTGGTACACCTCGGAAACTAACCAAACTCGATCATTCTAGCTAAATGTACTATATATAATAATCAATGTGCACCAGATGTAAAAGGTATTTAACATTATTACAGGTGAAACTAATAAAGTAATAAAAGATTGAAGAATTGCACAATATATATATATATATATATATGGTTACAAAGTAATTAGGGTTTCTTCCTTACTTCTTTTTAATTCCTTTAATTTGGGCATTGATAAGTTCTATTTTGAGAGTGGCCCAAATGGAATTTGGGCTATAAATACAAGTGTCTTATTCCATTCCATTCTTGCATTTACAAAAATTATACTTTACATATATTGACATACAAAGGGAAATAACCAACAAAGTTCACGAGAGAGAGCTTTACTAACTGAAACTTGTTGGCGATGATGGAGGGGAGGAATCAATTAGTCTAAACAATATAATAATAATAATAATAATAATAATAATAATAATAATAATAAAAATAATAATGGTACGTACGCCACACCACCTTCCTCACTCACTAATAATCAAATCAATCGAACCGACGGTAGATATTCAGTCCGTACCATTGTTCCATCTCATGCTTTTCTAGCTGTAGATCGAAATTAATAAATATGCCTAAATAAATTTACAATCGAAAATATTGAGAGTAATGAATGATACAAGAGTTTTTGAAGGAAAAATCATTATTTATTCCATGAAAAGTTATAGCATACAAATAAACTATTGTAAATAGAAATACCATAAAAATAAAATAAAATATAGTAGAAACTACCATACCTAAAAACTTATAACTAGCTATATCTAATTAGGAAAAATATATAAAAAAATTACTATATTAAAATAATACCAAAATTTTATTATTATTTAGAATCGGGATTATTTCCAACGACTACGTACTACTGGGTGGCTACAAATTAAATTCCTCTCTTCTTCTTCTTCATCCATCAATCATTCACCGACCGGCAACCATGTTCAAATCCGGCGATGACCACCGCCTCCCGGACTGCGTCTACGTCGAGCCGCCGGCATCAGTCCGGCCGGCCGGCGACACTCCAAAGCACGTCCTCTATCTCTCTAACCTCGATCATCAAAAGTTCCTCAGATTCCAAATCAGATATCTCTACGTTTTCAAACGCGCCGTCACCGCCGCCGCCCTCAAGGACTCCCTCTCCCGGATTCTCGTCCCCTACTATCCGCTCGCTGGCCGCCTCCGGAGATGCGCCCCAACGGAAACACACCATGCTGAAGACGCCGCCGACGACGACGATAAGCTTGAAATCGACTGCAATGGCGAAGGCGCCATTTTCTCGGCGGCGAAAATGGACATCACGGCGGAGGAGTTTCTGCAACTGGCGGTGAAGCCCAACAGGTCGTTGAGGAAGTTATTGTGCAGTGCTGCTGTCGAACCTCAGAGCTTCCTCGACATTCCTCCTCTCGTCGTTCAGGTTATTCATTTCTTTTTATTATTAATTCTGTTCTAAACTGCTGCCGATTATATATTGTCAGATTCCGACACCTAGTTATATAGTACGTGTTTTTAAGGTTTCAGAATCAGACTTGAGCTTAGCAGCGTAGGTCTCTTCCATCAATTTGTTGTTGTCCAGAACAAACCCAAAAAGAAAAAGAAAAAGAAAAGAAAAATCTTTTATTTTAGTTTTTGTTTTCAGTTCAGTTCAGTTCAGTTCGTTAGTGCATACATTAATTAAAATAGGAAATATTTTGTTCCTAAAATACCAATTACACGTGTTGATTTTAAATTGGTGAATATGAGATAGAATCTCTCAACACTATTGAGTAGTGCTCCTTTAATTTAATTTACTATATTCATTAATTATAAAAATATATATATAGAATTTGAATACTCTTCTTCAAGAATCAAATGCATTGTTTATCGCATACAAGGAAATTTGATGTAAAAATTAACCCAATCTCTCTGCACTCGATCTACTTTTTATTTATATTGCAAGATTTTACTAATGTCTGAAAAATAGAAGATAATATTATTTATATAGGCAAAGTTTACGTTCAATGTTTAAAACAGACAGCAGCAGCAACTTGTCTATCTGTAATTTGTTCTTTTCTACGCCTTGTTTGGGTCAGCCTTATTTTCCCTTTCCCATTTACTTTTATTTTTCGGGTATTATGTTTTACCACCAAACGCGCACCTTGACTGTTTTTATTATTATTACAGGTGACGAATCTCCGATGTGGAGGAATGATCCTCTGCACCGCAATCAGTCACTGTTTCTGCGACGGGATTGGCACGTCACAGTTCCTGCACGCGTGGGCCCACGAGACCGCCCAATTAGGAGGCGCCAGCTCAGCACTAATCCAACCATTCCACTCGCGCCACGTGTTGAAACCCCGCAGCCCACCGCGTGTGAGTTTCCCGCATCCAGGATTTACCAACATTACCCCTGACTCCTCCAGCATCCACCACGTGCTGCAATCTCAGCCCTTGATCCCTTCGTCCCTAACGTTCTCAACGGCCCAGATCCTCCGCCTGAAGCGGCGGCTCCCGCCGTCGATCAAATGCACAACCTTCGAGGTCCTCGCGTGCCACACGTGGCGGTGCTGGGTCAGATCCCTGGGGCTGCACCTCCACTCTTCCATGGCCGTCAAGCTTCTCTTCTCCGTCAACGTCCGGAAGGTGTTCGACGAAATGCCCCAAGGGTACTACGGCAACGGGTTCGTGCTGGCCTCCGCGGAGGCCGACGCTAACGAGCTGGTTGCGCCGGCAGGGCTGCACGACGGGGTGAAGCTCGTGCAGCAGGCGAAGTCGAGGATCACGGCGGAGTACGTCCGGTCGATGATCGATCTGATGGAGGAAGATCCGACGGTCAGGGTCGACCAATCTTCCAGCCTGGTGATATCACAGTGGTCCAGATTAGGGTTACACGAATTGGATTTCGGACAAGGGAAGCCACTCCATATGGGACCTTTAAGCAGCTACATTTACTGCGTCTTCTTGCCGGTGATCGGCGAATCCGATGCTGTCAGAGTGCTCCTGTCAATGCCAGAAAGCGTCGTCTACAAGTTCGAGTTTTACATGACTGAATTATCTTCTGGAATGTTTGGGGAATCAGCAGATCAAGAGGAAGAAGAAGAAGATGCCAACAAACAGTATGGAGTTGGTAATCTGAAAATGGTTTCAGTTTGATGATCATTACTTCGTTAATTTTTGCATTCCAATGTTAATTATTAATTAATTAATTAAGGGTTTGTGTGAAAGTCGAGAAGAATTGAATTAAGTATATTATATATGTAAATAAAATTCTTCGAGAGTGTATTTGTGACTACTATCTACTTGCTTATATCATTGTCATGTATGATCATGATCTTGATCTCGATCTTGATCTTAATTAATATATTACTTCTGCTTGGTTAATGAAAAATTTAAACATATATACTCATGTGGTGATTTATAATATAATATAAAATAATTGTAGTGCAATAAAAAGAGGCCAAGTTGGGGAACTTATCCTAAGCATCAAATAAATATTAAATCAAGTTAAATGATTAAGAAGCATTATTAGGAAGTGGTTGATAACATTGTTATTATGGTTAGTGCCCTTTAATTTTATTTAATTAACTGCCCACAATTAATTTTTATAATGCAGTGCTCATCCACACTCACTTTTCAATATCTCATTAATAGATTTATATTTATTTTATTAGTCAAGGAATTCAAGAATCCACACAAATCCTTACACATTAATTTATTACCATACATACTATCTTATGTACCATATTTTAGACTTAGTATACAATAATTAAAAATTATAATGTTATCCACACACTGGTAGGGCACTAGGGAGTCGTAATAGATCACTTTATAGATCCACATGAAGAATAAATTAATTAATTTGAAATTTTCATAACAAAGGACTTTCTTGGTGGCCCAATAATTGCATGCGCATGCCAGCCGACATTCTTTTCATCAATTTAATCATCACACTATATGTTACTTCACTAATATAATTGTGTTACTTCAAATATGCTGAATAATACAAATTTTAAAATAAAAAATAATAATAATAACTATCATACATCCATACATAATATAAAAAATAAAAATAAAATAAAACTCAATCCCTAAATCACTGTAGAATTTTAATGATAAAAATTAGCTAGTGTACGTGACTAAGTGCTTTAATCACTATATTCCCATTTGTCTTTACAATATATATATTAATTTAATTATTGGGGTATGGTGGTTCAATCTTCATATCTATAATTTGCTAAGATATTGTCGCTGACTTGAAATTGATTCCAAAGAGGAAAAGAAGTCAAAATGGAATGTGTTATTTAGCTTTGAATAATACTATTATTATTTATTTATAATATTATTGATGCGAAACATATGTCATTGTGGAGAAGTCATATATTCAGAATATATATGAGTGTGAAATTTCAAGAAACTATTTATTATCCATCAATTTTGAAAAAAATAAAATAATAAATAATGCATATATTCTAATCTGGAATCTCAAGTTGGAAATATTTTAATCTTATATCATTAATGGTACACGATCAATTTTCAAAAATTAGAATTGAAATTCTGATTTTGAATACAAAATATATTATATGTACAGATTAATACAATCTTGAGCAGAAATAAAGATAGATTTAATTGAAATTTTTACATTTTTTTTTTTATCTTTTCAAATTGAAATCGGAAGCAAATTATCAAATTCAATATCTAAATTGGATTTGCTAACTTAGAGATTTTTTTTATTATTATTCATTCTTTTAATTTTCTTTCAACACACTATGTCCAATATTTATTTCTAATGTAATAAGTATATCATTTTCGACAACCATTCCACTTCAAAAAATATAAAAACCCTATACAAATAAACCCATCAGTTCGATCTATTGGGCCAGGCTTTTTTGAAGGCTAATCATCGAAAATATTGGGCCTAATTTTATTCAACTCAAAACCCATTATATTAAAAAAAAAAAAAAGACACATCCCAAACACCACTCTTAGGTTAGTTTAAAGATGGTTAAAGCTCAACTTCAGCATCAAAAGAAAAAAAAAATAAAATAAAATAAAAAAATATCGAAATAAAAGCAAATTTAGAATACAATAAATGTTTCTAATACACTGCTGTATATAACTATCAATGATCAAATAGAGTGATAAAAAGAAGTTATAAACAGTAGCTTAATGAGAGGCACAGGAAACATTTCATGAAATAATGAAAAATGTTGTCTAAGGTTTTTTGTAATGGAAGAACATGGCAAGAAGGCAAATGGTCCGAATATCCGGACGACACGAAATGACAACTTTAATATTCAAAAAAGAGGTCGTCGTCTAGGGATTCAAAGTGTTTGCTCGATTTCTAGGCACACACGCGCGCGCGCACACAACTTATCATCTTCCCCTTTATGTAAGAAGCAATCACTTTACTATAATTCAAAATTTTCTTTTTCACTTTCCCCCTTTAAGCTTTACCCTACAACCGGCTACCCCGCGATTATTATGATCATCATCGTCATCGTCATTGTTATTTTTTATTGTAATTTACGTGTGATCTTGGACAACCCTCGATCTCTAGGTTTCTTTAACAGTCAGAAGACAAGTATGCCTATCCATCTAAAAAAAGATATTTGTTGCTTTGTTTTTTAGCTTCACTTTAATCTTTCTTTTTCTTTAATTAAAATTTTTTCCACCCTATGATATGTCGTAAATTGTTGGGGTTTCTTTAAGAGCATGGATATGACAATAATTTTGATGGGAGAATAAATTAAAAGCCCTTTTCTTGTAAGGCAACTAAATTAAAATTAGGACACATCATATTGTCAAAATTAAAAACCCTAGCTACCTTTTGTCTTTGCTTCGAGGCTTTGAACTCTATAAAGTTTAAATTAATCAATGAGTTAAAAAGCGATTTTAACTTGAAAAAATTAAATAAGTATGTATACATATATATATATATCACAATGACACTATGCATTATTTCATAGTGATCATACTAAACCCTCATTTGTAAAATGTTTATTTAGCTAGGGTTATATATACACACATTTATTTATTATTATTATTATTTTACAATTGAATATAGATATAGGGGTGGGGGGCTTGTGGGGTGTCCCTAGGGTTGGATTTCTTGGTCTAATAGATTGAGGGGAAAGCATATATTCTCCTACACCATATGGGTTTGTCTTGTTCTCAGAATACCTTTTAACTCTCCTAAACTTTATACCTTCTTTTAAGGGTTTTGCTAATTTCATGTCATGTTGGCTACTTTTTTACAATATATATTTATAAATACTGTAGTATAAATATTTTATATATATATGTCCCATTTCATTAAACATTTAATTATTTTTATTTTATATGTGATTAATTTGAATTGATTTACTTGATATAATAATATAAATCAGTAAGTGGATTTTGTCGCCCTCCTTGATTTAAGTGACGCAGAGCAAACAGAAATTGGGAATGATTTTTAGTCAGAAAATTATTTCTTTTCACCTGAATAAATGAAAAGTTACTTTTCACCTATATAAAAATTATTAATATATATTGATTTGAATCTTACCTAGATCGACGACAGGCAATGATGGGTAAGATTAGAGATTAAGGTTGCAGAGCATTTACATAACCTATGAACAATTTTATCTTAATATTTTGGTAATAATCATTTTGCATTATTGGATGCAAACGTGTTGATAATTGATAAATTATTAAATCGACTAATATGATTATGAAGTATTTAAAAAAAGTAATGTTACTTAGAGATTGGAAACTCAACATTAATATTTAATTATCATTATTAATTTTATTGATGTAAAATGTAGATGTGTCCACATTTCTTAATTACATCAAAATTACTTTCTAGGGTTTGGTTCTGTCAACAAAGCATATTCTCTCCCGACAGCTCCTTTTTGGTTATAAATAAAATTAATAGGATATACTAATCAATTTTTATTTTATTTTATTTTTTTAAATTTTTATTTGATCTAGTATATAGTATTATTATATATGTATTATATCTTGAGTTGAACTGTTTTTGAGGATAAAATTGTGACCCCTTTTTGTTATTATATTATTAGTAATGACTGTTATGGGTAATCCAATGCACATTATTGATTCTTTTTAGGTGGGTCTATAATTCTTCCATGATTAAATGCTTTTGTAATTAATATTAAATTGTCCTAAAAAGTAATCAAATTGAAATTGAATCTTTTGCCAGCATTTTATTTCATTTATCGATTGGCCAATTTTTATTCATTATAAGACACGTGTATAATAACATGGTCAGTGATAAATTTCTACTACTTTTCAATAACGAGGCATACGTACGAAATATTTATACAAATTATTGAAATAATTATGCATGGTAATTTAATTAAGTTCTTCTTAGCTAGTTGGCTAGGTTTAATTAAATAATTTAGGGTTTTTGTATATCCATTTTGGGAAAGTTGTGTTCACTAATCAAGATAAATTAATGTAGAAGAAGAATATTAACAAAAGGCCAAATTTAAAGAAGCAAACAAAAGAATAATGATTTGTATGTTGTTGTGAGACATGATGATTTCAAGATTTGTTTCCTTAATTTATTTATTAATTTAATTGTAATAATGTAAGGATACGTTGCTTTCAGGTTTAGGCTTACCATTGGAATTATAGTTTTGTTCTAAAATATCAAAGCATATACTTATATCAAGGGTTCTTCTATTCCATGTATCTATTAATTGCACATTTTAAAAATAAAGCTTAACAAAATAAATAAATAAACATATAAAAAAAATAGTTCGTTTATTGTTATTTTAAATATATACGTATATATCTCAAATAATTCAGAGACATTGATGTTTCTTTTGAATAAAGTTGATTTTTCTATTTTAATAAAGTTATGTACATAAATAAAGAACATGTGCTTTTGTGCCTGTGATTTTTTTATTTGGACCTTTTCAAATTTAATTTGAAAAAAAAAAAAAATTACTCATTCTTTGGTTTTATATTTTAGTTTTTTGTAACTTTATGTGAAGTCGGGGTTGGAGAATTCATTTAAATTTCGTAATTTATTTTTTACTCTTTACGCGTCACTTTTTATGTATATCTTTAGTAAGTGAAGTCGAATAATCGAATATTTGTACTGTTCAATTTAACTTACACTTGTTAAATGAGTTAAATAAATCTCTTGTTTTTTGTATGTTGTAATTTTTCTTACAAAAAAGCCCACAATCCGAATTCAATCAAACCAGAGCAAATTATAATATTTTTTTATATTTCAAGTGACTTTATGATCTTGCTCCTATAATGGTTCCCTCAAACATACATGTTCAAATTATCTAAAATATAATAAAAATACCTTTTATTATTCACCAGAAATTTACACCATTAATTTTAATTATTGTAATTATGGTTTTTCTTTTTTTTTTTTTCATATATGCTATATATTTTTATATAATTAATTAATATACATAATTTCCATAAGATTGATTTATATGATCCCCACTTTTGAGATTTGTGTAGTAAAAAGACATGATGCATGCCTGTAGATGGCCACATGTGTGTTTGTGTTTGTGTTGTGTTGTGTATATACATGGAAATATTCAAAACCAACTTTAATCCTTTTTGAACGAATCTTAAAGCATTCTCGAAAATGCAAACACACACCTCTCACCTCTCACCTCTCCCCTATATATATAACCATGGTTAAATAATAATAATAATAATAATAATAATAATAATAATAATAATAATAATAATGTTGAATTTATTGTCTAATCTCGAAATTTTTGTGGTAATAGACATAATTAGGTAATTGGTTTTTTTTTTTTCAAAAAATAAAAATAAAAATACATAATTCTCATGTAATAATTAAGCAATTATATATATATATATATGTTGCCCATACTTTGATATTTTAAGTTATTATTTAATTTCACATTCTTCGATCCCATCTCTGATGAGATGAAGCCATTAGCCATGGGGATGGTCACCTGCTTTTCTTCTGATTTGATATCTCCTCCCTGCCTCTGTCTCCCAATTTCACTATATACATAATATAAATATATATATATATATATCCATTATTTTATAATTAATATTTAATACGAATTGATTAATTAATTATGAGAGCATGTCGAGACAAAATTCTACAGAGATTCAGTACATAATAAATTAATTAAATAAATACTCATTTTCGAATCGCATTAATTTAATCAGTTAGGTAGGGGCAGTCTTAATAGTACTGTATTATTTAATTTTAGTTACAGGTGTATGTCACAAAGTGTGTACAGGGAATGTCTGCGTGGTCTGTGCCTAAGCTTAGCTTTTCTTGCTTCCCACTACGTTATTTTTTTAAAATAAAAAAATTACAATTATAATATATACTATATATATATATATGTGTGTGTGTGTGTGTGCCAACTCGATGGATAATTAATTTGTAGGCTTGGCCTATGATCTAAATAAATTAGTACTCAATTAATTTTATTTTAGTATTATTGTTTGCACAATTATTTTTGCCGTGTATATATATATATAATTAGTAATTGTTTTGAATTAAAATAGTGATTGATATATGATGTCATGGAAAGGTCAATTTGACATCATTACGAGGATATATCCAAATATAAGAAGGTGTCTATATAGCTAGAGGGCATGGGGCATTGTTTCTTGCTTGTCCTTTCTCCAATCATTCACCTTATAAATTATTTATTTTGTATTTGTAATAAAATTAAAATTAACAAATAAAAATAAAGAAAGAAAGAAACAAGAGATAGTACAAATACAAGGGTTTCTAGATCTATAAAAAGTATTTATATAATGATTAATCTTTTGTTGGTGTTGAATGTTGATGAATACATTTTGGTTTATTGTCCTTGTATTTATTATGTCTGCTGTTCTCTCTACAATATATTCTTGCAGCAGAGATATATATATATATATATATATAAATACACACACACACACACGTAGTTTTCATAAATTTCCTCAAATTGTCAGAACTCTGAAATGTTCGCACGCTTGACCCAAACTCCAGGGCATGCATGACATCATTAATATTTAACACCTTTTTGTATGTATGCATATGGACATGTTTCTTTTTTTTTTTTTTAATGATTTTGAAAATAATTTATTTTAAATTTGATATTAAAATAATGTATAAGAAAAAAATATATTCTTTTAAAAAATCCAAATAATAAAAGCCTAGATTTTCAAAAGAAACAAAGCATAATAGTTTGAATACTATGGATTTGTTCACTTATGTTTTTAGGTAACACGATTTTTTATAAATATTATTCGAATAAGTATTTAGATTTTTTATAAAGATATCAAATCAAATATATTTTTGTTCTAATAGAAAATAAGACATATATATATATATTCAAATTTATATACTTAGATTGAATAATATATATGGACCTCATATTAAATTTAGTAGCTCCTACCACAAAACTAAATAAAATTTCTATCAAATTATTATTTGAATTTGAATGTAATACTCCCTCCTAGGTAATTTGGGTGTGTTATTGTAGACACGGTAAAATATGATTAATAAATAATTAAGAAGTGTATTAGTAAAAATAATTATTGTATAATAATAATTATTATAAATTAAGATTAACATAACTAAATACTTTAATTTAGATTAAAAAAATTATAAAATTTAAAATGTAATTAAAGTGTATAAATATATTTCCAAAAAACGAAAGAACAAGTTATGTGTAACGGATGAAAATAGAAAATAGAGATAAATTATGTGGAATAGAGAGAATAGAACATTACTCCTTCCTTATATTTTGTCTATGAACTTAAATAGAAGGATTTTCGATACTTATAGGCCATCTTTATTATTATTATTATTATTATCATTATTATTATTTATATGATCTCTATTATTATTATTATTATTATTATTATTATTATTATTATTATTATTATTATTATTATTATTATTATTATTATTATTATTAATAATATTGAGGTAAATAGTGATTAAGTTACTTAAATACAATATTTTAAATAAAAGAATCAATGTTGCATGTGATATTTTCATAAAAATAAAATAAAATAAAATTGAGTTTTAAGAACTTAATTATTTGGAGAATTATTATATTTAAAAGATTAAATTTAAATAAAAAAAATGGAACAGTAACACAGAGATGTTTTCATCTATTACCAGCAAGCTGGATTATTTGAGCTAAGACTATCTCATTTATTTGATTATTGCCATTTCCATATATTTCCTGTTTATAAGTTTCACTTTTCAGTTTTCTGCACTGTTCATATAATGGCATGTCAAGAACATCTTTTTATCTCTTTTTTGGCCCATACAGTATAATTCATTATATCAATTTAATTTTAAAACCATATTATCAGTTTCTTTTAAATACATCTCAATGATAATTTTAGAAAAAAAAATATTAAAATAAAAAATATATTTCATCTAAAAAAATAATAATAAATACTCTATTTTTATTATTTAAAAAAAAAAGTTCCAAAACTTCAAAATTCCAAACATGTGTTTGGCTGTGGATTTTGGATATATCAAAATATATGCCAAAAATAAAATAAGCAAACAAAATGAGGCAAGGGAAATATTAATCAATGAATCAACTATATAGAGTAATTATGATTATTTCTGAGAGGACACCCCTGGGTTGATGATTATGCCTTAATCCATCTTGTTTACATACACATGGCAACAAATATTAAAAAATTAAAAATTGAAAAGGTGTAAGAATAATCATACATGAATGGACCACTCCACAAGGAGTGAATTGATGTGGGGAAGAACACAAACATACACATTATATATATAGATACATATATAGATATAGATACATAGATGCATACATAGCCTGCAGGCAGAAGGGGCAATGTTTTGGGGGCTCCCTCATCTCATCTTAGCTTGTTCCACTTGCTGTGAAGATAGCCCATTGCCCATATACAAAAATATAAAGACTGCCAACATGTGGGCATTCTAGAGAGAGAGAGAGAGAGAGAGAGAGAGAGAGAAAGAGAGAGAGAGGGAGAGAGAAGGGGAGCGCATGGCTGCTATGATTTCTTTGCACAGGCTTTTGTTGAAAGCCTTGGGATTGAAGGCAGGGATATTAATCATGGCATAAAGGAAAAACCAACACTGTATTTATTAATTATTGTTATTGTTATGGTTTTTGTCATTCATCTTCGATCACTCATGTGTTTGCAGCAGTAGTACTTTGGAACGAATTTGTTTAGTTTTCTTTTTCTGAGGTTTGATGATCAGATGAGATCTAGAGAGGGTCTGATCTGCTATTCATTCATTTTAATTTTCTTTGCATTCATGGCTGTCTAGCTAGCTAGCTACCTTTCTTTTCAAGGCTGCTTTATGATGACACATTGAAAGAGTTGTTGTGTGTAATATTAAAGCAGAGATAGAGAGAGAGAGAGAGAGAGAAAGAAGACTATATGTAAAGTAGCTAAAAGCAAGCCAAGAGAGAGAGAGAGAGAGGTAAATTGGCTGTCACCTGAGCAACTTCTAGAGAGAGAGAGAGAGAGAGAGAGAGAGAGAGAGAGAGAGGTTAATTAGCTTTGCTATGAATCTTTAAAAATTACTATCAGTCTTGGGATTTTCAAGGGCTTTTAAAACATTAATAGGCGACTTGATGATGGAGTCTGTAAACAGCCACCGCCATCACCACCACCATCATCAGTTGCAGGAACAGCCTGTTGGTTCTTCTTCTTCATCTTCTTCTTCCTCATCTTCTTTAGATACTGCTCCTTGCTATGGCGTAGGAGCCACTGCACCCAATGCTTGGAATCCCATAACCTTCTTGTAAGCTCTCTCTCACTCTCTCTGTAAATAATGGAAATTGGTTTATTAGATATAAATATATGGAAACACCAATGATGATTCTGTGACTTTGAAAATGTCATTATGAGTCTATGACCATTTTTATTCCTTCTGACTTGAACAACCTTTCCCTTTTCCTGTTCATATTCTTGGCTGATTTGATGTTCACTTCGTTGATACTCTCCAACATACTTTTAATTAAATACACACCATTTATTAATTTTATTACTTCTGTTCATATCTTATTCCAGTTTTGATCAGCAGGTCATGATCTCACAAGGGTTTCTTCATATTGAATTTTCCCCCAAAAATTAGGGTTGTGTTTCTGTACACAAACTTCATCAATGTCCTTCAAAATCTTTTCTTTTACAGGAACACAGCTGGATTCAGCAATCCATACACCTGCAGCAGTGATGGCATATTGAATTCGAGGCAAGACAGCACATCTCAGCTCTTATCTAATTCACAGTACATGATGACTCCCATGGCGTCAGACTTGGGCTTCAACTGGGGGGCCAACAACACCCCCGCTGCAAACTTCATCTTCCCCAACCCCAACCAGTCGGCACAAGATCTACAGCTTTCGAGGATTAAAGAAGAGTTCTCAGATCACTATCTCAGAAAATACAGTGAGATATTGAGCAGCAGCAGCAGCTCATCGTCCGGCACCGACGAATCAGGCCTAATCATTAGAAGCTCTACTGATGAACACCAGAGGAATTTGCACAAGTCTTTCTCGTCTGGAAATCTTATGGACAAGATTCAGCTTTCACCTGGAGATCAATTGTATCCCAGCAATGGCGGTGCTGCAAGGGTAGGGCTCAGCCAGATTTTTCCTAGCATCAATATTTCGAATTTGAATCAGACAGGATTAGCCTGCAATCCGGGCTCGTTGGATATGAACCTGGAGGCTCTCGATCTTCTTGCTTCTTCAAGATATAATGGCAACTTTGGACCTTCTCCACAGAATCATCAAATTGGGATGTTAAGGGATGGATTCCCTAATTTTGGATTTGATCTTATGCAGCAACAACAGCAACATCAAATCCCACTGTTTAGCCCCAATAAGGTCAGCTCACAGATTCACAAACTCTTGAGCTTACATTTCGTCATGATCCAGTGATGGATTCGATTTAAGAAAGAATCATAATCTTAACCAAGTTAGCAGCAGTAATTGCAAAAAAATCAAAGCCCTTTCTTGAATTTTTTATTTTATTTCTTTACAAAAAAGAGAAAGCCCTCTCTTTTCTGTGTTCAAAGGCTCCTTCAGCCTTTTGCATTATGCACACACACATCTCTCTCTTCCTCTCTCTCTCTAGATATATATATATATATATTAATTTTTTTTTTTTTTTTGAGAAATTGATGAGTCCTTTTTTTGGGTTTTCTGATATGGACATTGACAAGAGAGGGCCATATGCGCCTCGTTTTTAATCATTGTTCTTCAGCTCAGCTTTACTCTTTTGAACTTTGAAGGTATCATCAGTCTCAAGTAATGGTTCAGCAGCTGCAGACACAAAACGAAGCTGTAAAATGGAGACGAAACCCCCACTTGAAAACGCACCAAAGAAATCGCGATTGGAAGCACGCGCTTCTTGCCCACCCTTCAAGGTATCGCCATATCTATCCATGATCATCCATTATCGATTATAAACAAATTCACATCTTCATACATCATCAATTTTATCGCATTGATTCAATTTCTTCAGGTTAGAAAAGAGAAATTGGGAGATAGAATTGCAGCCCTTCAACAGCTCGTTGCTCCTTTTGGAAAGGTACTTAGACAGACTATCTATATCTAATCAAAATTGTTAATGAAATTAGGGTTCTTGAAGCTGTGTAAATATTTTATAGATCATTCTCAGCACAAGAAATCACACAATTAGTCAAAAGTTGCTGCAGCATGCTCATGGAAATTCATCACTGTTCTGTTAATTGTTTATAAATTCATTAATTATTTAATCAGTTATATATATATATATCTATATGTATATATGTATGCATGTGTGGAGAACACTGCAGACAGACACAGCATCCGTACTGATGGAGGCCATTGGATATATCAAATTCCTTCAGAACCAAGTTGAGGTACATGTATATACATATATAGAGAGGCTATAGCCTGCTAGAAATTCAAGACATTCTTCTTGGTATTTGTTCCATCTGTGCTCAAAATTCAAATTGGAATTATTCAGGTCACAAATTATTTTAGAACCTATATATAAAAGAAGGGTTTTCCAATTTCCAAATTTGTAATAAGACACACCATGCATATATACGAGGTAGGATATAAATTTTCTTTATCATTAAAAAAATGGAAGTTACTGTTATGTTGCAAAATTTACTTTTTCTTTAGACAAAATTTTGTAGAATTTGAATTTTTTAAAAACTTAAGTATATAATGTATATATAATTTTAAATTACTGTCTATAAATAATATCAAAAACTTTTAATACTTATATGTAAACCAAATCTTTGTACTAATATGGCCTAGCACCGCGTAACGTTCATTAGCGGCGCGATAATAAATTTTTTTCTCTTGCAGACTCTAAGCGTTCCTTACATGAAGGCATCGCGCAACAAATCCTCCCGACAAATCAAAGGGGTATTGTATTTAAGTTGTTGTTATTTGATACGATACTTTATATAGAAAATGAATCTATCTATCTATCTTTATCTAAAACTGTGATTGTAATAAATTTTCGAACCAAATGGTGCAGGGAAGTGTTGGAGAAATGGAAAACCACCAAGAAGAGTCGACAAAGCGCGACTTGAAAAGCCGGGGCCTGTGCTTGGTTCCATTGTCGTGCTTGTCTTACATCGCGGATGGCGGCAGCGCGGTTGTGTGGCCGCCGTCGCACTTGGGCGGCGCCACCTAATGACCGATCGTGACTACGTATGAATTAATCGATGCATGCATGCACCAGCCAGTGTATGAGTTTATTACTATATATATATAGGGATGGCTGATTGGGGATTTAATTACCTATGCTTAATGGAGCAACCTTGGTCATATTCCTACTAGCAAAAAAAAAAAAAAGGAAAAAAGTAATTTATTAAGGACCAAACTTAATTTTTGTTTGGAATGGACCAAGTTTGATCCATTGCTGACATTTAATTTCCCAATACTGTTGCTACATTGTTTGTGTAACCTAATTTTACTCTTCCATTTATGTTCTTGTTATGTTATATTACTATTGTTGAGTAATTTAATTCAACTTTTTTTTTTTTTTGGTGTGTGTGTTTCATTGTTGAGAAATTTAACAACTGTTTTGGGGTTATTATTGTCCCGAAATAAAAATAATAAAATTGAAACGCATTTCATGATATACTTGCAATAATTTAATTTTATTATAATTAGGATTAATAATTGAACAAAATTAAGTATATAGTGAATTGGGTTAGTAGAATATATATATATATATATATAATTGAGAAACCATCATGATATATTCTAATATTGAGTAAATTAATATTATATTAGATTGAGATGTGTAAATGAGTTTGGATTATCCATGTTAAATAACTTCACATAAAATATAGACATGCTAACTATCTATAAAACAGATGTTATCGATTAAAGTATTGTATTTGCATTATATTACATATATTGTGTTTTCAGCTTGTCTTTCATGTATTGTGAGCATTAAGCTGTTAATATTTAGGCATCCAAATATATATATATATATATATTTTATATACACTAAATTAGTACCCAAAACCCAATCCAAGTAATATTTGATTGCTCAAAACTCGAATTCAATTTTTTTTTTTAATTTTTTTTTTCAAAATATCCTAATCCAAAAATTTGGATAAAATATCCGAACTATTCGATCTAAATAGGCTGGCCCAAACATAAGCCCAGTTTTGGTGAGAGGCTCTTGAGCTCCGGACACCAAATAAGATGGCCCAAATATAAAGCCCAGTCTTGGTTAGGCCCACTGGAATTGCTCCTCCGTTTTACGCTAAAGTGAATGAGGAACGGAAGTAGAACCCGGAAATCGACGGCGACGAAGAGAACACTCGAATGATGGCTGACGTGCAAAGAAGACCGGGAAGGCCGCTACCTCCGCCGGGGAGGGGTCCACCACCGCCTCCGGCTGCAAAGCCTGCAATACCACGCCTTGAACCTGTTGACCGGGAGAAGGTTCTTTTTACACCTAATTCTCTCTTGGCGTAATGTGTGTGAATGGAAGTTCCTTTTATTCGATTATTTTGTTTTTGCTGTGCATCTGAGATTGTGTTGAGCCTCTATTTTCTATTTAAATATTTTCTGTCTCTCCTTATCTAAGAAAATTTAGGAAAAGTGTCGAAAGTGCCTGTTAAGAAGGCATCCGTTTTTTTGGTGAATTAGGGTTTAGGATTTAAATGCTATAATGTGCATTTTCTCGATGATAAAGAAAGCTCGTGATTGATATATAGAATTTATAGAAGTTTATGGATAGCTATTTGTTGTATGCTGAATTTGTGGAAATCTCCTTGGATAACCAAGAAGCACAGAAGACCTTAAAGTTAAACTTGGAAGAACTTCCCCTTTTTTTTCAACAATCATTATAATGGAAAAATAGCCGCGTTGTTGATTGGTAAATTTTTTCAGTAACATGATTAAGACTCTCTGATAAGAATTACTTCCAGTGACTTTCTTATCTCTTCAAATCGATTCATGTAGTGATGTATTCGTTGATCTTATTTTCAGTACTTTTTTTCCATGACTTCTACTGATTGATCATTTACTCTTGGAAATTTTGAGGAAAGGAAAATTTTGTTAATGTATCCGTTGCCTTGTGAATACCTGCAGGATCTTTGTTCCATGTGTGTTTTCTTTTATAGAACTTGTTTATCCCACTCTTTCAAATCAAGATATGGTTTAGAACTAACATCATTTTTCTGGACACTGTTTGGTTACTCATTTTTGTGCAGACCTGTCCCTTGTTGCTTAGAGTTTTCACCAAGGTATGGAATCCCCTAGGGAAATTTTAATTTCCAAGAAAACGTTTTGCAGAAGTTTTGATTTCATTTAAACATTGACAGGTTGGAGGGCATCACACTGATGATGATTTTGCAGTGAGAGGCAAAGAACCCAAAGATGAGGTCCAAATTTATACATGGATGGATGCTACATTGCGTGAATTAACTGATCTGGTATGGAATATAATCTCCAAGTTATTCATGGTTTCATTTATGGGGTTGCACTCCAGCTTGCTTTGTTCCATGGATGGTTTTTGTAGAATCATTGCATCAGTTGGAAGAAGGAACTAAAAATGGTTGGCATACACTTTTTTTTGGGCAACATTTTAAAATATGTTCATTCTTGCTTTTGATCTATTGGTCTGTTATTTTTCCCAACTTAAGATTGCAGCTGCTTCGCAAATATGAAATAAGTTACTATATCACAGTACACCGGAAATGTTTCCACCATTTTTTTTCCTAGTTTGTATGTGATCGAAATATCTCAATGGAAGTTTGTTCTTGATTTTTAAGGTCAAAGAGGTAGCTCCCGAAGCAAGAAGAAGAGATGCCATCCTGTCCTTTGCTTTTGTCTATCCTGATAAGCGCGGGAGATTTGTGGTCAGAGAGGTCAGCAATTCCTTTGCATATCTCTACATGCTTTGCTTCGAAAACACCAGCAAGCATAGATTTGTGCATGAATGTATAAAAATGTTTACACTTACATTCGTTGCCAAACAGAATTATACAACATCCTTACACAAATGTCATACTTTCTTATGAAGGTGGGGCGAACTTTTTCTTATCCGAACGGGAGGCGCCCTGACAGTGGAAGCAAAGCCTTGGGTGAACTCAGCTTTCAGGTACTCCCATGTTTATAAATGGAATTATGGAATCCCTCCTGTGTTAACTCTGTGACACAAGTCATCTTGACTCGAATTTTGCGCATACAGATCGGTGATTACTTGGATGTTGCCATTCTTACCCAGTAATCCAGCAGGGGGTTTGTGTATTCGCAGCATACAACATTTTAGCGACGGAGCCAACGTGTCTTCAGTTGTGCCAAATTTGTGCTTGTGGAAGTTGCTATGTAGGATTTACTGAAACATTGGCCAGTGCTTGTACTGAATATTAGTCGTGTATTTTTATTTTCTGTTTTTGCATTGTGTTCTTAGAAGCATTTTGCTGGTTGAACCATATTGCCTAGAACTTGAATATTATGAAATTTAAAAAAACATTTCATTTAGAAGTTTTTTTTTTTTTTAATGCTTCTATAAACTGGATTACGTAATACATGACGTGGGCGCATTAAATACGACGTCGTCACGGATCGGGTCACCCGACCCGGGAAAATTACAGATTTCTGTTCAATGTGTATACACATACATACATACATACATTTCCCAGAATGGGCAACGGAAGGCAGGCAGATAGAAAGGTGGAGATTCAAGAAGCAGGTGTTCGTACGTGCAAATCCACATTGTTCCCTTCCATACAAGTTATGAACTGAGAGGATCCGATATCCCCTTCAATATTCTGCGGGTGCGCCGCTGTTTCTTCTCTCTCGAAAGTTGTTTCGCATCAATGTTTTCGAAATTGCGTCGCTGTCGCTTTGTTGAATTTGTGATGGTTTGTGACAGGCCATGGCGAATAAGAGGGGATTATTAGCTCGAGCAGGCATCCACAGGAGTAGAGGCATTGGATCTCGCTTCTATATTGCTTTCATAGTTGTCGTCGTCTTCGCATTCATCGCATTCTCCTTTTTCTCAGGCGGCCGCGGCCGCGGCCGCAGCCGCTTTACCGGTACTTCCTCCATTTAATTCTGATCTTGATGTTTTATGTAGTTGATTTTGGTTTCTTTATATTTATTGTTTAATCACTCCGGATTCTGGTGTTATGTGAGAGATTTAAGAATTAGGGCATGCTAGTTTCTTTTGTTCGATTTCGGAAGTTTGGCTTTGATTGCTGTAATGCAAGTCGAGTGTACTTTGAAGTTGATTGTGATAGTCTCTATATAAATGAATTTAAAATTACATATTTAGTGGACGGCTTCTTTTGATTACGACAATTTTTGCTTGTTGGATTTAACGATGTGATCCATACAGCAACTGGTGTCTATAATGGATTTTTCTTGATATTTTTTTCTTGTTTATCAATATGCTTTGTGCTTAAAAAGACGATCAAACAATTCCCAATCATGGTCCTTGCGGATCGACTTAAAAACAACTGTTGCCTGATTAGTCAAAGGTGGCATTTGTTGTTTTTACTGGTTGGTGTAGTTAACTGTTTGTTAGGAAGGAAAGTAGTGAATGGTAGATTTGTTTCTATTGTAGTTTATTTTCTCGTGAAATTTTAGTGGATGGAGATGATGTAATACTAGGAGTCACATATCAAAGTAGAGTTGTAGACAGTTAAATTTGTTACCAGTTCACTCATTTTTTTATATATTTGGGAAATATTAACTTAGTTCTGTCATAGTATTGAGTCATTTGTAGGTCTGTAACCTTGTGCTTTGGGTTCTTCTAGTCAAAACACACTCGACTTGAATGATAGACTTCTGGTTTAATTTGTTTGGCTTTTTGGGTGAAAGTGTTAATTCTAGTTAAAGTTAGGGTAGGTACTTGGAGATGATGAGAAGAGGTGTTATGCAATGATCTAAAGTGATTTGAACAAAATATTTTTAGAGTTGTATCTCATTGGTACTATTTAGAGAATCTTTCGAAGATATTGTTTCTTTGGAGAGTGCACTGAATATGGTGATTCTTGGATGGAAAAGGGCTTTGCTACCCTTTTCTAATTTCATGTGCTTCTGAGTAGGGGATACGAGGCACTGATGAACAAATAGGATGGAAGCGTGCAGTTGAAAATGGAAATTGTTTGTATTCATTGCTAGATTTACAAATGAATTCAATGGTTAACTATCTACAATTCATTTTGATTGCGATACAGCAAGATTTCAGCACTTTCAGCAACTATTTGTGTCTAATTGTCATTTTTGCACTTTCAGCAATTGGATGTCTTCATTCACAATTACATTGACTCTCTATATTGAAATTGATTTTGTCAGGTCCAAATGAGTTAAATGTTGTTTCTGGCGGGCAGGTATCTTTCTAAGTCATGTCAATCATTTTGGTTATGGTTTTGGGCCTTCGGCATGTTTTATGCTACAAGAATTGTACTTTTTTTATGCAGGATTTAAATTGGAGAGGAAGACTAGTGTTGCAGTATCTTAAGCCTTTATTTTCTAAGGAGGTTGTTATTCAACTGATAATCGTCCTTTTAAAATGGTCGTAAATGTGTTATTTGTTGAAGTTGTTTTTGCTAATTTGTAGATTCTATCAGGTAATTGATGTCATTAACGCCAACACTCATGATTTGGGGCCCTTAAGTGTCAATTTTTTACGGAATCATCTGTCTCCATCTTGGAAAGATACTGCACTTAGAGTGGATACTAATAATGAAACATCATTTGAGGTCAGCATGATTTTCTTTTTGCAGTGGAAAAAACTGTAGTATAATTTGAAATATCCTGAATTATTTGTTCTTCTGTTACAATTCATTTTAAGTTTATTGGAGAAGCTTCAGAGACAAAACAAGATTCTGTAGACAAAGAAAAATACAATTCAACAGGTATGTGCTCAGAAATCCTTGCTACACTTGTTTTCATTTAAAGGTAATAATTCATTGGGTTATTTGTTCTACAGATGGAGCCTCTGCATTTCTTGATTCACCAACTAAAGTGGCCAGAAGGGTAAGTAGCAGTCTTCATGTTTCTATTTGATATGATGTACTTGTTACGTTAGATACTTTTGTGACAAGGATCTAGATTGATCCTTCTACGAAATGGGGAGAAACCATATCACTTCAAGTTTGAAGTTTGTCTGCAAATATGCTGCTCTACCCTTGAGATTCATGAATATATGAAAATTGTTGTATACTCTGCAGCAATTGAGGGAACAGTTACGTGAAAAGCGTGCTGCTGAGTTGTTGAAGCAAGACGATGAAGTGACCATCAAGCTTGAAAACGCAGCAATTCAACGATCAAAATCAGTTGACTCTTCTGTTTTGGGGAAGTATAGTATTTGGAGGAAAGAAATTGAGAATGAAAATGCTGATTCAACTGTGCGCTTGATACGGGATCAAATGATCATGGCCAGGGTGTATATTAGCCTTGCCAAGATGAAAAACAAGCTTGATTTGGCCAATGAGCTAAAGATCCGGCTCAAAGAAAGTCAGCATTCTTTAGGAGAGGCAATTGCTGATTCCGATTTACATTCAAGGTATTGAATGTATAACATTAGCCATATGAATTAGCATTAGAGTAACTTACAAAGATCAATTTTTTAAGTATGTAATATTCTTTTGACAGTGCACCAGAAAAAATTAAATTGATGGGGCAAGTGTTATCTAAAGCAAAAGGACAATTGTATGACTGCAACCTGGTCACTGGGAAGCTAAGATCCATGCTACAATCTGCAGATGAGCAAGTGAGAACTTTGAAAAAGCAGAGCATGTTCCTTAGCCAACTAGCTGCAAAGACAATTCCGAATGGGCTTCATTGTTTATCCATGCGCTTAACCATAGACTATTACCTCCTTCCATTAGAGAAAAGGAAGTTCCCTCGAAGGAAGAATCTAGAAGATCCTAGTCTTTACCACTATGCTCTCTTTTCTGACAATGTTCTTGCTGCTTCAGTTGTTGTCAACTCAACCATAATGAATGCAAAGGTGTGTAATTCACCTTCCTGTTTTCAATATGTGTTTGTTGTTTTATTATAATTATTCTGGCAAAGCATGTCCAGAAATTTGAGTTAATGGAATATAATATTGGCACTTATATTTGGCAATATCTGCTGATCGGTGTGATCTATGCATATAAATTAATAAAGTCATGCTTTTGAGAGCTTTGACCCTTTCAGAAGTTACTTTATCACACTATAAACAGAGTGTGATTACATACATAAATAAAAACACTTTGATTTATAGGCATGTAGCAAGTCTGATCCTTATGGATAGAATTAACTAGGTGCCATGTGTGCCTTTGGTATGTATAGGCATTTTAAATTTTGAGAACTATAATTTTAAGTATTTTCGTATGAATAGAGACTTTCAATTTATGCACACTTCTGCATGTATGTCCTGCATGCTCATTAATTCTTCTTTCATTCTTTCATGGATTAACTATTTTGTGTAGTTAAGCCCGCATATTTTTCAATGATTTTGCATGATCAATGCATGTCACTTGATTACTGAATTTGGTCTTTGACTGATGCAGGAACCTGAGAAACATGTTTTCCATCTTGTTACTGATAAGTTGAACTTTGGTGCGATGAATATGTGGTTTCTTTTGAACCCTCCTGGTAAAGCCACAATTCACGTAGAGAATGTTGATGAATTCAAGTGGCTCAACTCATCGTATTGTCCTGTTCTCCGTCAGCTGGAGTCTGCTGCCATGAAAGAATACTATTTCAAGGCAGATCATCCATCCACTTCTGGTTCTTCTAACCTGAAATATAGGAACCCGAAGTATCTTTCAATGTTAAACCATCTGAGGTTTTACCTACCTCAGGTTTACCCAAAGTTAGATAAAATTCTCTTCCTCGATGATGACATAGTTGTCCAGAAAGACTTAACTGGCTTATGGGAAGTAGATCTTCATGGAAAAGTAAATGGTGCAGTAGAAACCTGTGGCGAAAGTTTTCACCGGTTTGACAAATACCTGAACTTCTCCAATCCTCACATTGCCAAGAACTTTGATCCGAACGCCTGTGGGTGGGCATATGGAATGAACATCTTCGACCTTAAGGTGTGGAAGAAGAAGGATATAACTGGTATCTACCATAAATGGCAGAATATGGTATGTTTTCATTTAGCCTCTATCTGGTTATAACTTTCACATTGTCTTCTCTGTCTTCCTCTCTCTCTCTCTCTCTCTCTCTTTCTTAACATTGTTTTGTTACTTTTGCTGTGGACATTAGAATGAAGACAGGGCTCTCTGGAAACTTGGGACACTACCTCCAGGTCTGATTACCTTCTATGGGCTCACACACCCTCTAGAGAAAACATGGCATGTGCTCGGCTTGGGCTACAATCCTAGCATCGACAAATCTGAAATCGAGAATGCAGCAGTTATACATTACAACGGAAACATGAAGCCCTGGCTAGAGCTGGCAATGACCAAGTACAAGTCATACTGGACGAAGTATATAAAATACGGCCACCCCTACATCCGCAACTGTAAAATAACCGAACCTTAGAATGACCAAAAGCTTAAGGGGCCGACAGCCATTCTAACTCACGGCTTCCCCTTACAACGAGGAATGAGGTGATGACAGTCGCACGTAAAACTTCCAGCAAAGGCAAGTTTGTCCTCCCCCCATCGTTACATCTTATTCTTTGATTCGGTTCTATTCATCAAATGTAGGTCATTGAGAAAAACCTTGGATGAGCAAAAATGGCTAGCCTGATTGGCAATGTGTTTGTTGTTTAGTCGAAGAAGCTTCTCTACTAACTCTAAATTCTTTGGACACCCCACTTGGTATACAAAATGTAGTAGCTCTACTTCCCATTTTCTTACAAGATTTGTGTCAATGCTGAACATTAGAAAAAAAAAAAAAGGGTTCTGTTTTTTTCTGTCCCATTGGCAACAAGGCTACATCAATGCCCTTGTACAGGTTTCATTTTCTTGCATTCAAAATATCTGTAATGGGCCCCCCCATTTGGCTATCTTTCCCTACACTTTATCGAATAAAAATCTAATCCCCGGTGGCAAAAACTTTCAAATTTTGAACTGCATTCATACATTGATTATGTAGTTTTGTAAAGACGAAAGGTTTCTTCATCCAGACAGTGAAAGTCTCGAAATAAACAAAACTGGGGTCTGACTTTACCTTGTCATTACAAAAATGGGACAGTAGAAAATAAAAAAATATCTGCGTTTCCATGAGATATTAATTTATTTATTATCCAAAAAAAATGAAAAAAGCAAAAAAGCAATGCACTACTATCTTGAATAAGACAGCTTATGGGGTAATAAATGAAGTAAGATTATTTGTGTAGGTTGTCCCGACCCATCATAATTACATAACACCAGTAAACTGATGCCACTGCACTGTACTGTCCTAATCCTATTCCTATTCCTATTCCTGTTCCTCTCTCTATCTAACTTGAATTAGCGATCAATTGATTTATTAAAATATGTATCACTTAAATTTAAAAATACAACTATTTATAAAAGATAAATATTTGATAATGCAATTTTGCTGAGATATTTTTATTAATTAATTCGGCGCGGGAGCCGAACTTTCTTTTGGCTTAAGCCGACTCACACCACCATTTCCTGCATTCACTCTCGGCTTGCCATTGCCAATTTGCCAGTCAGTCACTGAACATCCATCGTCGTTCTCCCCACCCTTAGCTTCCGTTTTCTTCAATTCACCACTTTTCTACAATTCCATAAGTCCTTAATTATTCAGATCCGCTGAGCGATTAAAAGCTTTTTATTGGAATTATTAAGTTGCATATTCTGACGGGTTTCTGCACTGGTGGCTGCAGTTTCTTGAGGCAGAAGAAGACAGGTTTCCTTCAGGTGTAGTACTTGTATGCTTGAAAATCACGAGTATCACTCTTCTCGTTGTAATTTGTGGCTTTGTACATATTATTGGATGATGAACATTGACCTCTAATTTAGGAAATAGTAAGTGTTAATCATGAAAAAAAAAAAAAAAAAAGGAGAAAATATAGTTTGCGTATTATAAAGGGGTTATCTGATTCGTGAATCGCTGGTTGACTTTCATAATTTGATTGTATCGGTGAATTTGTGGTGTTTTCCGATTCGAGTCTGTTGGAATTTCTAATTGATACTACTCAGTGCGATCAGAGTGACCAAATTGGATCTCAATTGCTAATCTCTTTGTGATTTTTTAGTATGCACAATTCGGCTCGTGATTTTCATTTAATCAATTTCTTGATGTTCGTTTCAGAAGGATTGGATATGGCTTCACTACAAGGCCTTGTTTTTAGTCCTGTTGTCCGTGTAAAACAAGTTGACTCACCCCTGTTGAGAGCTGAACTTGTAAGAACTGGATTTTCTGGCGTGAAAGGGCTTAGAAAGCACAGGGCAACTGTGGGCTTCAGACAGAATTGGAAACAATGCCGAACAGTTCGAAGTTGTTTCAGTTCATCCTCAAATGGTAATGGCAGAATGGCAGGAAATTCGAGCGAGAACGATTCAAATTATGTCAACTCAAGTGTGCTTGAAGCAGGTATATTTATTTCCACTGAATTGCTTAGTACACTACAAGAAATTATTGTTCATGGTCACATAGAATTTTGATCTTCGTTATGTTGTTTAAATTAGTTGAGGTGCGAAGTGGGCCGGATGGTTTCATGGTCAAGATGAGAGACGGAAGGTATTTGAGATGTGTCCATAATAACCCTCAAGGAGGACACCTACCCGATTATGCTCCTCATCCAGCTATCGTCTTGAAGATGGAAGATGGGACAGGGATTCTTCTTCCGATAATAGTTTGTAAGTGAATGATCATATATGTCACGACAAGTTGAAAGTTTACTTAGATACCCATACGTTTATCTACTGATTTAAAGATTTCATGGGAGGTTGAATAAGTTTACTCATTGTCATTGTGGTTTTCATGGCAGTGGAGATGCCGAGTGTGCTGCTCATGGCGGCTGTGCGCAATGTCCAAATTGTAGGTTCACCTTTCCGGGTTCTGATTCCGCTGCCAAATCTTGGAATTGAAATGTTTTTGCATCTTACTATCTTTAATTTGTGCTCGTCATTTAGGCTAGACCAACCATGTATCAAGTTGTGAAGGATATGATTGAGAAGATGGGATATTCGGTGAAACATGTACGAGTGACCAAGAGGGTGCACGAAGCATATTTTGCCGAGCTACATCTAGAAAAGGTAAAGCTGCGTGGATGGAAGTCTGAAATACTGTAGAGGTATAGCTTAATGAAAAATGCAGAATTAATGATGCAAGGAAAATCATTTTTTGTTTTCGTAGTTGGGGAATGAACCCGAGAGCATAAGCTTTGATCTTCGACCCTCGGATGCTATTAATATTGCAGTGAGATGCAAGGTAAATTATTCACGCTTCTGTATACTTGAATTCTCTTTATTGCATCTGATGAAGCTGTGACTAATTGAAGCGCGCTACCACACGTTGTTTCATATTGCCTGCAGGCGCCGATACAAGTTAACAAATTCTTGGCATATAATGACGGCATGAAGGTTATTGAATCTGCCAAGCCGTCGGTCCAGAGCCCCTCATCAGGCAGCGTATTTTTCACTGAACTGGACAGGTAGCAATCCTGCTATGTTAGATCATTATATATTTATATTTTAAGCTAATTATAGAAATGGAAGGCTCTTCATCTTCTCTGTTACTAATGCAGGCCTACCGGGCATCCGTGCATTGAGACAAAAGAATTCGATCTAATGCGAAACATGCTAATTGCTGCCGTTGAAGAACGATACACAGATGCAGGTATTTTTTGTCTATTCTTGAATATCGATTTACTTTAATCCCTAGTTATTTCCCATAGCATTAAGCCCATAAAACTTCTATTAACTGTCCTCTTCTTGCAGCTTTGTGGAGGGACAAGCTCACCCAACTCCGGTCCAAGAAGAACTGGACATAATCTGCATCAACGGTATTTACTGCTCCCTGTGATTTCACCGATTTGAATTCATCCAATTTACTTGACAACAGTGAAGCAGTTCGTCCAGATGATTGGCAAATGGCTTGCATTATGTATATAAGAATTATTGCCCTGGCTTCCCCCAATTTCATCCATTGCGTATTTGTATGTATGTATAGTGATACAGTAATGAAACATTTTTATGTATGAACCCAGTTTGGTAAACGAAAAAACCCATCAAATACTAGTTAAAATTTGAATCTTGTGTTGTGAGGTTGATGATTGATTGAATAAAATCAAACCAGATGGAATTAGGAATAGTTGAAGGTGGGGAAGATCAATCAATGGAACAAATTGTCCTTGCCTGTGTGTTGCCTGTTTGTTTGGATCGCTCTCTACATTCGCATATTCGTGTCCTGTCTGCACATTAGACGTCAATTGCAAGAAATCATTAAACAACTGGCAGCACATATAACTATTATATATATATAGATATAGATAGATAGATAGATACAATTATGTGTGTGATCAAAATGCATCTGAAATTTAGTTCTGTAATTTAGCAGTAATTAGGTTCGTCATTCATGGAATTGCATGGGAATTGGGAAATCATCTCAATAGTGGAGTGAACATTACTCGTGATTGGTGATTAGTGTTGGTATTCAACGAGAGGCGTGTCGACGAAGTAAAGGAAAGTGGGAGCGGCAAACATGATCAAAAACGCATAAATCGCCCGCGGCATATTCCGGAATATTGAAACGCCGAATGCACACGCTGCCGACACCGCACAATTTCAGTATTTTGTGTGGCCACTGGCCAGCCTTCAGTCCTATTCCCATTTTTCGTCTTCCCAGGATTTTCTCTGGCTTGCTCACCATGTCCAAGGCACTTGGTCGGATTTCAAGCTCCTGTAAGTAATCAATCCAATGCGAACTTCATTTCGATGAGCAATTTAGGGTTACGCAGAGTGTGGGAGGAAGTGCATGCAGTAGTGGGGAAGTGCGTTGCGTTTCAATTTTTGGATTCAATTTCAAATTTCCATTCCGGCTTCGGATCTCTGCGATTGGCTTTTGTCCTTTGGTATTGATTTCAGAGGTTAAGATCTAGATTCCTGATTCTAGTTCTCGTTGTTAGGGTTAGATCTTCTAGTTTCCAGTGTCCTTCTAATGAACGAACATCTTTAGGCTATTTCGGTTGGTGATCTGTAACTGAATTGTTTGTAGATCCAGTTTTATCTGCTACGCTCCAAATGATTCTGTTTTTTGTTCATCTGTGTTCTTCAAAACCACCATGACTGATTTTTGTTACAGAACTAACTATTTTAACTTAGCTCTGCATTGGCAATCTGTTTCTTAAGGTTGTAGTAAAGATGAAAGGCACAAACAGAAATTGGGGACCGAAAACTCGGAAGAAACTGCAAAGTATGAAATTATGAAGAAAGCTAAAAGTGCATCCTCTAAGCTCAGACATTCCTTAAGAAACAAGACGAGAAAACGAAACGATGTCGGAGTTTGTGAAGCCGAACACATTGGTGACATCGAGGAGCAAAATGTTGTAGATGCTTTCAGGCAAACACTGGCCATGGACAATTTGCTTCCTGCAAAATTCGACAATTATCATATAATGTTACGGTAAGCGTCTATCATCTACAATCCTTCAGCATCGATCGATTGAAATAATGACATTAATCATATATGCAGATTTCTGAAAGCAAGGAAGTTTAATATCGAAAAAGCAAAGGTCATGTGGAAGAACATGCTTCAATGGAGGAAAAATTTTGGCTCTGATACAATCATGGAGGTGATCTTACATTTTTCTTATGTGCTGGATGAGTAACATGTTCATTAACTTAATCAAAATTTCAGGACTTCGACTTCAAAGAAATTGAAGAAGTGCAGAAATATTACCCTCATGGTTATCACGGCGTTGACAAGGCTGGAAGACCTGTGTACATAGAAAGATTGGGGATGATTGATGTCGAAAGGCTGCTGCAAATCACAACATTGGAGCGATTTGTGAAATACCAAGTTAAGGAGTTTGAGAAAACTCTTGCTACAAGGTTCCCGGCATGTTCTGTTGCAGCCAACCGGCATATAGACACGAGCACAACTATTTTGGATGTCCAAGGATTGGTACTGTTTTTCTCGATCTAATTTTTCAAGAATGGAGCAGTGATGATTAGATTAGCCGTTGTCGACTGTGTTTTGATCTGATCTCCTTGTCCGTCTCCGTTCATCCAGGGTTTTAAGAATTTAACCGGCCCTGTTATGGATTTCATTAAGATGGTTCAGAAGATCGATAATGACAATTATCCTGAAGTACGTCTCCCCGACTATTCCTCTCTGTTATTTCTTGATTCCTGGAGCTGCATCTGCAACATAAGCATTTTTTTTGTTTTTCTGGAATGTCTTGCAGACACTTCACCGTATGTTCATCATCAATGCCGGTTCTGGCTTCCGGGTTATCTGGAATTTCATCAAGCCTTTACTTGATCCCGATTCGACTTCAAAAATTCAGGTGCTTGGCAGCAAATACCAAGACAAATTGCTTGAAGCGATCGATGAAAGGTGACTGTTTATTAAAGCACATCTGTCTGCACACACACACACACACTTGTAGTTATGTAAGAACTCACATTAGCTTTGTTGACAGTGTGCTCCCAGAATTTCTCGGCGGTAGCTGTACCTGCGCGAACGAGGGTGGCTGTCTGCGATCAGATAAAGGTCCATGGAAAGATGACAACATTTTATCGAAGGTAATTAATTTAATTAGAATTCTCATGCTATGGGTTTATGATCTACCACTGTAACTTGTGAAAATAACATATGAAATGGATTGTAAAGATGAAAATAGACACAACAGTGCAGCAATTCCAGGAAGCAACAATCTCAGAGGAGAGTTAATCATCAAGGTAGCTAAGAATCACTCCTAGTCTGCCATCTTTGTTTTTGTAATGTTCATCAAACACTACCATGACTAACATTTTGATGTACCAGTGTACAGAATAGCATATATGTATACATATGTGAGCTGAGCTGAAGAAGAATGAAGATTTATATGAAGCAGATAAAGCTGGATTACCATGGCGGATTGCTTCAAATACGTTGGCACTTCAAACCAGTGGATTCATCAGCTTCAATTTGATTCGATTCTTCTATATATGATTCAGAGAAATATTTACCAGAATTGTTCCGCTGTATGTCTGACTGATTTGCATCTTTGAAAATTGCCATTTCCATTCATCAGCATTGGCAACGATTCGAATCATGGTATGGTTTTATCTAAATTGGATTTTTTCTTCTCCTCGAGGAATACAATTAGGCTCTGCAACGCAACGCCTGCGTCGTCGCTCTTGATTAACTCTCCGGCGACTTCTGCTGGCGTTGCTTCGACTTTTCTCAACAAATCCTCGACCTCCACATATAGTGGATGCTCCTCTACATTCAGGTAATTGCAAGCAAGAATCTTGAACCCGCTGAATGTGCAGTAGGACATCTCCAACTGCACATCTATTCGACCCGGCCGGAGCAGCGCCGGATCAAGCCGATCCTTGTGATTCGTGGTGAACACAATGATCTTCTCGTCCCCGCAGCTCGACCACAGCCCATCAATGAAGTTCAGAAGCCCAGACAATGTTATCTGCACTAAACAACGTAGATGTAGGAAATATTCTCAGACAAGAAAAAACAGACAAATAGACATTGGAACACATGATCATCCATGTCAATGCAACATAGCACAAACCTTGTCCTCCTCGGCCACCGCCGGATTATCCGTTTCCCGGTTATGCAACCCGAAATTGCAATCGATGTCTTCGATCACGAGTATCGACCGGTTTCCGGAGCCGATCAGCAGCCTTCTCAAGTCGGAGTTGCACTGAACTTCTCGCAAGTCCAAATCATAGACGTCGAATTTGAGGTAATTGGCAATGGCGGCGATCAAGCTGGATTTTCCGGTCCCCGGTGGCCCGTAAAACAGGTAGCCACGTTTCCATGCCCGGCCAACTCTCCGGTAAAAATCTTTCCTCCTCACGAACCTGTCAAGATCCTCAATCAGATCGGCTTTAACGTCGGGATTCATCGCCATTGTATCGAACGTCGCGGGATGGTTCATCGCTACAGAGCCCCAATAATCAGTGCCATTGTAATCTACCGTGTGCAATCTCACGGTTCTGTTCTCTTCCTCCATCTCCTTCGCTGTCCTCAGGATATGCAGCAGGTAAACCTTCAGTGCGAAATCCTTGTGTTTTTTGGGGAAAGTTAATTCGAAGTGTCGGACTTCGGTTCTAGGGTTGCTATTCTTGCCGGAATGAGGCGGCGACGTCTTGACAGCGGAGGATTGCAGAATCCAATTGAATTTAACTCCAGAGTAGGAATCGATGATCTCCTGATCCTTGTCGACAGCGACCGCCATTTCCTGCTCTTTCTCGAGCTTGTTCACTCTAATCCTTTGCGTGGAGGAGGAGATTTTGGTGCCTAGATACAAATTCGCAGCGTGAAACATGTGATTCGAAGTTAACCCTTCGTATTCGTGTATGACGACGGTGAGGTGGAAGGAGAAGCGGCGGGAGAGTTTGAGGAAGGAGGAGGAGAAATAGTCGTGGAGTGCGTCCGGAATGAGATCATTGGCGATGGACTTGAGGAGAATGACGGAGGCGGCGATGGAAGCGGCGGCGGTCAGGTATGCGTTGCAAGCAGAAGGCAGAGATTGCGATTGAGTCACCATTGCAATTGAAAGCAGTAGAGAGAGGCAGGAGGTGACGATGAAGACGAAGATGAAGATGATTGTGTTCTGCCATTTTTCTTGGGAGAGGGGGCAAGTTTGGAGTTGGGCTCTATGGGCTTACTCTATAAAACGGTCCTGTTATGGGCCTATAATTGGGCCCATTATATTATTGGCCTGAAAAATAAGACAATAGTGTTTCTTTGAAAAAAAAAAAAAAAAAAACTCTTATTTACTCTTTTAGATTTTGTATTTCTCAAAAAAATAAATAAATAGATTATTTTATTTTTTTAAAAAAATATTATATCAAAAATATTATTTTAATATAAAATTTCAATCAAATTTTTTCAATTTTTTACCAAAGAAACACCCAAATAATCAAACCCAGATATAAAATTTCAATTAAATTTTTTCAATTTTCTACCAAAGAAACACACCCAAATAATCAAACCCAAAAAATAAAATTTCAATCAAATCTTTTCAATTTTCTACGAAAGAAACACACCCAAATAATCAAACCCAACAAATAAAATATCAATTAAATCTTTCCAATTTTCTACCAAAGAAACACACCCAAATAATCAAACCCAAGAAATAAAATTTCGATCGAATCTTTTCAATTTTCTACCAAAGAAACACCCAAATAATCAAACCCAAGAAATAAAATTTCAATAAAATGTTTTGAATTTTCTACAAAAGAAACACACCCAAATAATCAAACCCAACAAATAAAATTTCAATCAAATTTTTTCAATTTTGTACCAAAGAAACACACCCTATAATCAAACCCAAGAAATCATTAGAATTTAGAAACTTTGTCAGCTATTGCGTGCTAACTTGTGACATTTTTATTTTTTTATATATATAGTATAGAAATATAAATTTGGTACTTGAATATTGTTGGGAAATTGTTAAAAGTTTTTTTTTTTTTTTTTTTTTACCCCACGATGAAATCCTTGAAGAAGTGGGATGGGTGTATAAATGAACACCCAACTTCAACTTCCCTTTTTTGAATGAGCAAGTAAAGAAGGAAAAATATAGGTGTATTTGTTTAATATTTTAATAAATTATATTGATAATATAAATATATATATATTTGAATTAAATATTGATTTTTATTAAAAAAAATAATTGAATAAACAAAGTCCTTGAAAATAAATCTATTATAAATATTCAACATTCAATTAAAAAATTTTACCCTCCCCTATGACCCTATCCATATCCAATAGAACATTCGAGCCACCATAACGTCAACATAGCTACATCCTCATTGATCAGGTGTGCAGTATTTAAGCTATTATTAGCCCGTTTGGATTGGCTTAAAAAATAAATAGAAGTAAAAAACAGAAGCAATTCGATTTTGTATTTGGATAAATCATTATAAAAGCAGTTTTTTTACTTTGTACGTTGTATAGTTAAAAGTGCTTAAAATTACTTAAAAGGATATGCGGTTAATATAATACTAGTTTTTTTATAACACTTTTATAATTTAATTTAAATTTTATAAATTATATTTAAAGATTTTAAATTAAAGTATAAAAAATATACTTTTAAATTTTGATTATTTATATTTTAAAATTTTAATTTAAGGATAATATATCAATTAAACATAAAATTACAGTATAATATTATATAATTTGTATTTTATAATTTATTTTAAAATTTTATAGTTTATATTTAGTAATTTAAGTATAATTAAAAAATTTATATACTCCTATTTACTTTTGGTATTTAAATTTTAAATTTTAATCCAAATATAGTACATAAATTAATTATATTTTTTAATTTGTATTAAAATATAATATATAAGTTATTTATTTTTATATTATATTATATTATTGCTTTTATTATTATTATTATTATTATTATTATTATTATTATTATTAAGGATAAAACATTAATTTTCAAATATACTTTTGTTTGTTTCAAAAGTTACCTCCAATGTACTTTTGAAAAAAACACTTTTCAACTTCAAAGGCTGCTTCTGCTTTTAGACAGAAGCCAATGCAAACAGGTGCAAACTGCTTTTTTTTAGAAGCAGAAACCAAAAGCTCATGCCATAAGCCAATTCAAATGGGGCTTACTTTTTTTCTTTTTTATTTTTTTGAAAAAATATATATATTATATCAGATTTTTTTCATTTCAATTATTTTTTAAAAAGAATTTATTTATTTAATTTTTTTATTTTCAAACAAATAAAAAATTAAAAAACACTTTCAATATGTAAAAACTCGATGAAATAAAATGATGGCGAACACTTATTGACATTTGAAAATAGATTTGTGAATGAATGAAGTATGTTGAACAAATAATTGAAGGCCACGCTCCTGTCTCCAGCTCCAGTCTCCACCCATCTCATTTCATGCCGTTATTAGGCACGTGTCTAAATGAATTATTAAACCTACATTTATTTATTATTATTATTATTTTATTTTACGTGGGAACTGTAATCACTACCCGAAACTCCGCACTAGGTAAACCTACATTTACTTTCAAGTAACAAATTAGGGTGTGTGAATTTGTGTGCCATTATTATTATTACTGTTGTTATTTTTATTTTTATTTAAGTTATATTTTTAAAATGAATATAGATAATAAATGTTATATTTTTACTCAACTCAGCGTTTCTTTGGATTTGAATTAAGAAGATTTAATTTAAATCTTGTATTTATATAATATTTTGTAAAGAAAAAGAAATATAATTTAAAAAAAAAAAGAATCTAAGGGTGTGTTTGTTTGAGAGTTTGGATTTTGATGTTTTTGGAGAGAAAAATTTGTAGGAATAGTAAAAATTCCACAAAATCCCTCAAACAAAACACACCCTAAATTAATTATAAAGTTTGGAAACACAAAAGTTATACTTCATGAGTCCTAATATGTGTGGATATTGTAGATATGAAAATTAAGAATAATTATAAATTAAAATAACTAATTAATTTAATTAAGATTAAAAAAATTATAGATTATAAATTTAAAATAGAATTAAAATATATAATATTTTTATTTTTTTAAAAAAAAATTATATGAAACGATTGAAAATAAAAATACTAATACCGGTACAGAGTAAATATAATTGAGAATATTTACAAGTATTTATTTATCAATAAATCTAGTTTACAAATATAATAAAAGACAGTTAGGGTGTGTTTCAATTTACTATTCATCTCATTTTTTTTTCTTCAGAAATATCAAATCAAACACTTATTTTTTATTTTTTATATTATATTAAAAATCAATTTTACATTCAAAATATCACATCAACACCTATTTATATCACATCATACAACTATTCAAATTCAAAATTTTTCCCATTCAAATCCCAACTCAAAATTCAAACCCCCAAACAAACACACCCTTATTGTATCTTCATTAAAATTTAAATATATAGTATAATTTGTTAAAAATTAAATTAAGTTGAATGGTCCGTAGCTAGCTATAATTAGATATTTATTAATCTATGCATTCATAGACGTCATTTCATTGACAACAAAGGGTGCTACGTCACCTCGTTGATACTTCTAACATTGCAACTACTAAATATTGGCAAAAATCTTTAGTTTTCGTTACATGGGATTTAGTTATGTATTTTGATGATATATTCTATGTTCACCTTTTTTTTTTTTTTTTTTTTTTTGTCATCCAAAAATATTTTTATTTTTTTAAATAAAAAATTATTTTATTTTTATACTGTTTTTATTATAAAAAAAATCATTATTATTCACTTTTATTAAAATTCGTGCCCGGTCAAATGAGCACATATTTGCATGAAGTATTACTCCCTCCGTCCCATTGAAAAGTTACCATTTTTCATTTTTGTTCGTCCTAAAACAAGGTTACCATTTCCTAATTTAGTAATTATACTACATACTTAACATAATAAATACCCTTTCAACTTAAAATATATTACACAAATATCATTACTTTTATATTACACCATACTAATAAGGATATTTTTATCTTTTTTTACTACAATCTAATATAATACTAATATTAAAAAATCTATGTGCAAAAAGCAAACGTCATCCTTCCAACGGGACGGAGGGAGTATTATTTTTCGAAGCAAGTCAACAAGTATCATTCTATATCCACTACTACTGAATTTTAAATATGATTAAATCCTAGATTAAGTCGAGGCAAAGTATTATGATTCAGTTACGTCGATCACACAAATTTTACAAAAACTAAAAATAAAATAATAATAATAAATAATAATAATAATAATAATAATAAAACATGTGGCACAGATTAGCACGTTACTGCGTCACTGTTGCATTCAAGGTCCAAAAGGCCAAAGATGCCTGAAACTCGAAATTATGTATCACGTGTTACATAATGTAAACATATATAATATATACGCACGTGTATGTACCACCATGCATGTGTGTTTATTTTAGATTTAATAATGTTAAAAATAAAAATAAAAATAAAAATATTTTAAACAAAGTTTTGAATGAATGCAAATAAATATATATATATATATATCTTTGTTCACATAAATAGTCTTAAAATAAATTTTTAGAATATTAAAAATAAGAGTATTATATCTGTGAATGAGTTTGTATAAGGTAGAAAAGTCAATAGTATCATTGAATTTAATTATAATGTGATTGTATAATTTGTGTTTTGGTAAATAAAAATAGTGAGAATTAAAAAAAAAAAAAAAGGGATGGAAATCATATTAATTATAAATAAAAATGAATTATTTTAGTGTGACAATTAAAATGAAAAGTAAAACTATTTTAGATGAAAAAGACCTGGTATAAAAAAATTGAATAAAATATTGCATTTTGAATATAAAATATGCGTTTGAATTTGCATTTTTAAATATAAATGAAGTACTATTTTTTCAATATTTTTTACTTTGTAAAATCAAGAATCAATTTTGAATAAAAAAATACAAAATATTTTGAGCTGTGGAAAATAATTTTATTATAATTTATAAACAAATATATTATGTAAAACCCTAAATTAAGCATTTAACTCTCTCTCTCTAGACATACATACACACCAACTATATATATATAGATGGATAGATCACTGAAAGTAATATCATCACTTATATTCATTCATTGCTCTGAAGAAGATATATATCTTCAATTCGTTCTTCAGAAATTAAGTCGGAAATTATTAATAAAAATGGAATATATTCACATGAAGGGAGGCGATGAGGACACCAGCTACGCTAGAAACTCCACTTTCCAGGTATCATCCAATTATCCAAAACTTGATCAATTCATTACACCAATACTTAGGTTTTTTCACTCTGAATCAAACCTTTATTTTAGTTTTATGACATGGATTTCACAGAGGAATCTAATGTCAAAGTCCAGTTCAAAACTGGAAGAAGCTGTCAGAAAAGTAGTCTTATTATGTCTGAACCAGAAAACCCTAATTTCCAGCAGCATAGGCGTGGCTGATCTTGGCTGCGCTTCAGGCCCCAACGCTTTCATCCTTCTCTCCGACATTATCCACGCCATAAATAAAATTTGTTCATCTGATGAGATCGAATTACTGCCCGAACTCAGGTTGTCGCTCAACGACCTCCCCGGCAACGATTTCAACAGCATCTTCGCTTCGTTGCCCGATTTTTACAGTACAATCAAACCCGACAATGGCGGAATTGGCGGCTGCTTCGTTTCTTGTGTCGCCGGAACTTTTTACGGCCGGCTGTTCCCCCGACGTAGCCTCCATCTTGTCCACTCTTCCACCAGCCTCCATTGGCTTTCTCAGGTAATTAATCAAAATAAAAATAAAAAATTGAATAATTAAAATGAATCTGATGATATATATATCTTCGCATCGCAGGTTCCGCCGGAGTTGCAGAACTCCGGCGAACATTTGAACAAAGGAAATACTTACATAAGCAAGAGTAGTGCGGAGTGCGTAAGGGAAGCTTATCTCCGGCAGTTTCAGAAAGACTTCTTCTCATTTCTCCGATGCCGCGCCGACGAGATGGTGCCCGGCGGGCAGATGGTGCTCTCGTTCATCGGGCGGGTCTCACCCGACCCGGCTGCCCCGGAGGCTGCCCAGGCGTGGGAAATCCTCGCCCAGGCACTCATCACCATGGCTTCACGGGGGAAACTCGAAGAGGAGAAAATCGACGCATTTAATGCGCCGTACTACGCGGCGTCCGCGGCGGAAGTGGAAGCTGTGATCCTACAGGAAGGTTCCTTCGCGGCGGACTGCCTGCAAGAATACGAGGTTCGTTGGGATCAAGGTTTCCATGACGATGGCGATCAGTCAAGAGTGTTGATGACGAAGGGGCAAAGATTTGGGAGAATGGCGAGGGCAGTAGCGGAGCCCATGATCGAATGGAGCTTTGGATTTGGAGAAGACGATATGGATGAATTGTTTCAGGTGTATGATAACCTCGTCGATGATCACTTCGCCGGCGCCGGCGCCGCCGCGCCCTACTTCATCAATTTGCATCTGTCTCTTACGAGGAAGGATAATTAATTAATTGAGGTATTAGATAAAATTAGGTAATAACAATGGACGCAGTGAAATTTTCTTAAAAATAGTAAATAATATGGCCCAGGTCTCGAACCTGCGACCTTCGCGTTATTAGCACGACGCTCTAACCAGCTGAGCTAATAGGCCAAGTTGTTACTAAGATCTGTGTAATATTTAAATAAATGTTATTCTGTTTATTGTTAAAGTGAATAATTTATATTGTTTCATAGGAAGAAATTATTGAAGAGACAACAAAATCAAAATAATATTAATAAGGGATTGAAAGTTATTATAATTGATTAAGTCATATGGCTAGCATGAAGACATTGGAAGTTTCTTTTATAAATAATTTATAATATAATTATATTGAAAATGTGTGTTCGTTTGATGGATTTGGACAAAATCCCACTGTTGATCCAAAATTTTCTCCCTAAAAAATCAAATCAAACACCTATTTTTTATTTTTTATATTATACTAAAAATCAATTTTACGTTCAAAATATCACATTATCACCTATTTATATCACATAATACAACTATTCAAATTTAAAATTTTTAATATTTAAATCCTAACTCAAAATCCAAACCCCTAAACAAACACACCCTTGGTATTGGACCATTGGACTTTTTTATTCCACTGTTATTGGACAACCGGTACAAAATGAATTCATTATTTATTTCAAAATTGGCATACATAATCTCAGAAATCAACAAGGGTGAGTATTCTATACATTTTTATTCTTAACATTAATCATTCAATTTATAATTTAAATTTTCTTCTTTTTTATATGAAGATCTATTTTATTTTATTTTATTTTATTTATTTTTTGTATCGTTAATGTTCAAACTATTTAATAATTGTAAATTTGTGTGTCTCATAAAGATGGTATACATGCATGCATTGTAATAACTTAACTGAAACAATTTTAAGATAACACATCACATACATATTTTGATATTTTACTTTCTATCCTACCTATATTTCATATATAGCTTTTAGTATAGATATAATGTAAATTTAATGATAAATGATGATATCAAAAGTATAAATGTAAATTTGTTATACAAATAATTTCAATTTATCTTTCGTCGTGAAACATTACGTATGAAAATATTAAAATATCGGGTATTTTATACATATATATACATATATTAATGTATGTCTATTTATTTTAGCATGCTAGCAAGTTATTTATATGTTAGGACAGAAAATTGATAAATCATTAATACGTGAGTACGTTGAATCCTTTAGAAAATGCTATTATATATATTTTATACTATTAATATAAATAAATATATATTTTACTATTAACTTGTATTTTACAATAATGAATGACCAAAAAATTGTTAAATAGTAAATTTTATATTAATTGTTAATTTATCTTAAGAGTATTTTGTATCATTCTACAAAATAGTAATAATTTTTATTATGTTAAAAAAACTGAAACAATATGTGCAATGACGGGTAGCACACTGATTGCCCATATGTATTGAGTCATTTTCATTCGCCTCAAATTAATTGTCTTAGTAAAAAATAGTCCCTAAATCACTGTAAATTTACTCACTTTTCCAGTATTATAGGGACATTATTGTTGTTACATTTAAATTAACATATATAATTATTAATTTAACAAGGACAAAGTGGTCTATTTATTATTACAAAACCGTTATGATACTTTGTTCTAGATAGAGCCGGCAACGGGTCGATTCGTGTTGGGTTAATTACTTTAAACGGGTTAAATTACTCAACCCCTAACCCGACCCTTTTATTATCGTGTCGGGTTCGGGTTGACTCGTGTTGACCCGTATACATAATTAAGTCTAATTTCTTGATTCAAATTAAATAATTTTTTGTTTTGTTGTCGTGTTATATTAGTTTTTATTGGTTTGAGCGTATTGAATTATTTAAAATTGAACTTAGTTTATATTAATTTATGAAAAAATTATTAAATTATGATTATTATATATATAATAAATATATTAATCAATATTAATGCATTATAATTGGGTTGTCGTGTCGGGTTCGAGTTGAGAGTCTCAACCCTAACCCGACCCGTTTATTATCATGTCGGATTCGTGTCAACCCGTATACATAATCGGGTTGAAATATTTGACCCAAACTCAATTATTTCGTATTGGATCAGTTTTTGCCGGCTTTAGTTGTAGATATTGATTGTAAATTTGTAACAAAAATTTGTCTATTCTTATCCATACTATTTAATATATACACACATAGAAACTTATTTTTATATAGCCATTAGTAGTTTTCAAAATTTGATTGAATTAGGGGTATTTTAATATTTTTAGTCCCCCTATTATTTCTAGTTATTCCAATAAAAGAACAGTTTACTCATTCCAATATTCAATTCAATTATTATGTTCTTTCCTTTTTTAAACAAAAAAAGATATTAAACCAAAAAATAATAATAAACAAAAATTTTATTAAATAATTTGTCCTTAGCATGCATGATTAATTAATAAAGTGATCAAATAAAATGATAATCAATGGAACTATGATTGGATTAAATATGGTCTGCCTATGCATGTCTTTGGGTCACCATAAAATAATCATATGGATATTTATCGCAAATTATATATATATATATATATATATTTAAACTGTAATTATTTATTTATTTATTTTATATTTATTATTATTATTATTATTTTTACCATGGATCTACACCAATTTTCTGATAGTGGTTTATTCGGGTCATATCCCAATTTCAGTTTCTGGAAATGCCCAATGGTCTGATAGGACATTCCCATGTGTGTTTGTAATAACATTTCATTTAGGTACAACTCTAATTTATTGTCATTATACATTTTCAGCAAACAAAATAATTAAATCCATGATTATGATTGTGCTTTCTTTTCATGATAACTTATAATTGATGAATGATTAGTTCACTAACAGTGTGTGTGTATATTATCGTTTCATAAAATTAAAATTACTTTTTAAATATATATATATATATACACACACAGTAACACTACAGATAAAATATCTAGAATAGCTTAGCTGTCATGTTATAAAAAAAAGAAAAAGGGCATTGGGTTTAATTTAGCTACGAATATAAAGTCCTTATCAGTTTGGTTTTTGTCTGTACGTAATTAAAATTATTGCCTGAAAATTACTTTATGATTGTTGAGATATTTATTTTGTGCACATAATTCATTCCATAAATAGTAAACTACTAAAATAACTTGACAGAAGTGGATCACACCACCTCAATTTTGTAATTCGAGGCTAAAGAAGTCATTTCCACGTACCCTTTTTTACAAATTAATCAATCAATAAGAAAGAAAAAAAATATGATTTTCATTTTTTTTGACATTATCACGATCATATATTAATATCAACAAATTTTTTTCATGTGGGTTTCATCTTTATCACAATTAGGGTTTACCACTTTAAAGATAAATAAAGAAATCAACAGGGTTATGTATATTTAAAATTATATGGCATTTTAGGTAGCAATGATACATCATTTAATTAAATTTATTTATTTTTAATATATCTTGCTAGATTCTGGCTGGGGCAATGTTGTTGAGGTTGACCCAAATAAATCATGATGCCATTAATTAATTAATTGATTATTCTGTCAATCTTTTTATATTTTAACAGTTCAAATATATTGTAGAATTCCAAATTAAGGTGACAGTGCACCATAATATTCTTACAAGACAAATTCCTGTTATTGCTTTATATAAATATGGCCCCTCATATCATTATTAGTATTATAATATGAAAATTCAGTATTACAAATAAATATTTTTCTTGTGGTATAGGAAGTTGGCATCTTAATAAATACAAGACAAAGTGCTTAACAGCAGCAATATACCTAATTGCATGCAAGTTTTGAGGCAGAAAGAAACCATTTGGAGTCACACTGGCAACACCATTTCTAGCTACAATTTGTTTTTTTTCATATGTATATATATATATATATTAATTAATAATTTATTGCACATATCTTGAATTATGAAAATTTTTTGGAATCAGACACGTTTCCATATATATATTTTTTCAATTTCATAAATGCTTTGTGCATAAATTGTGCATGCCCTAACAATGTGCTTTTTTAAAAAATATATATATATATTGTATTATTAAAATCAATTATGCATAAAGCAAATTATAGGTAAGTGATCTACTATCATTATTACAAATGTGCACATGAACTGGTGGATTATTAAATTGTGGTAAGACAGCAAATGTTAAAGATTCTTCCAAGAACTCCCCACTATCTAACATCCATTCCTTTTGGATGAGTGATCATCATTACTTCCAGCATTAGGGCAAAAAAATTAATATACAATAATAATAATAATAATATACAGATGAAATTTTATTGCAAACCCATTGTCAGTAATGCAAATTAAAGTGGCTTTTTTAGTTTTACAAATTGATATTTAAAGGATAAATTAGTGTTACTTCGTAACTTAGGAAAAGGGCCTAAAATATTTGCTTGTGAAAGCCACTAATTCCGGGAGACCCATGTTTGCAATTTGAAATTTAAATTACATTTCATTTAATTAGAGCCATTTAAATTTAGACACAGCAACCAAATGGAGCCAAAAGTGGGAAGGGTCAGTAAAGCAACTATGGTGCAGAATATTTTGCATGTTTCTTTGTGCCTACAAATATGATGATGATGATGTTTGATGTTTGAAGTTTGGATTTAATAATTCTATTTTTATATATCCAAATGGGGCCAGAGTTTGTACTTTGGGAAATGAAGGGTAGATGACAAACTAACATTGAAGATTGGAATTAAACAGGGGATGGATTTTATTGCAGAAAGAAAGACAGAGGATATAAGGAATATTGAAAATACTAATTACATATATAAATATCATCATTAGTATCGAGATTAGGTTTAATTAATTAACAGTAATTACGCCATTTGCAGCAATCGGCGATGCCCATATTGTTGTTCGAACTGATGATTCTTCTCCTCGGAATTCTTTCTGCACCAGTGAGTGTCTATGAAAGCGTCGACTGTCCGCCGGAACTCTTCGCTGCTTAGCCTCTCCAGCCGGTCGGTGGAAACCGCCGTCTCGCGGCGGTTCTGGGACTCAGATCGGCGGAGCTCCGCCGCCGCCGTCACCGGAATCGATCGCCTGGGTTTCTCCGACTGTGTCCTCTGGAACCTCCTGATTTGCTTCGTCGCCTTCGCTATGGCTTCCGAAACGTCGTCGCATTGTGGGGTCTGTTCTTTTGATGATTCCGTGCACACTATTATCTGCTTCTCTTCGTCGGCGCCGGCGACGGCGGAGGGGGAATTAATTTCTGCCGTTTTGGGGATAGGGCAGGGCGGGGGAGGGAGAGAGGGGTCGCGTTGATGATGGGCCGCCGCCTCGCTGTGCTTGATGTACTCGTCGTAAAAGTCGCCGGCGGCGGAGAGCGCCGTCGCGGTGTCGCTCCGGCGGCAGAGGACGACGAGGAGCGCGATGATGGCGTTCCCGAGGAGGAAGACGACGTGGTGGTTGCAGAAATAAGCGGAGGCCTGAATAAAACAGGAAACCGCCGTTCTCATAACCGCCGGCACACGCGCCGTCGACCACGACACCATTCCGACAACCACTACCACCTCAAAAACCTGGCGCAGTTTCGCCGCCCTCCGGAAACGGTTGAATCTCGCAACCGCCCTCTCCTTCTCCGACATGACCGCATCAAAAACCTGCGACTCCATTCTCAAATTTTCCCCAAATTCAAAACTCCGACGGCGGCGGCGGCTGCAAGAAGGGGAATAGGTGGAAGAAATCAGGAGAGGAGAAGGCAGACAAATGAGGGGAAATCGAAAGCAGCAGGCATGCGGGACGATATAAATGGCAATCGAAGGAGATCATGTACGTAAGGGAAGAAGAAGACTAGACACAGAGTGTGTGTGTGTGTGCGCGTGTCTGTAATGGGGAATGGCGGTTTTCAAACGTTAATGGCGTGTAAGGATTTTTGGGCTTCTGTAAGATTCTGCTTCTGCAACTTCAATTGAATGGGTCTTCTTGGGCACCAATTTAAATAGGCACCATCTACGACTACGAATCATTGCCTTTATTTTATTCGAATAATAATAGTACAAAAGATTTTATTTTATTTTTTAAATATGGTGACAATCATTGAATCTATAATTAGCCGCTTGTTTCTAAAAAGAATTTAAATTAAATTAAACGGATTATTGAAATTTGAATGTCCTAAAGTCGTGCTACTCAGAATAGCGACTATAGTGTTTCATCATCGTATTAGATTTGCCGTGTATCGTACGGATTAGCGGTTTTTACTTTTTCTTGTGTAAGGTATTGAACCATTCAAATTTGCTTATAGCTGATATTTTGTTAAATTTATTTATCTACATTTTATTGATGTAGTTTTGGATAATAAATTTAGGTCCTGAGTGTGTCCAATTTTTTAATATTCAAGTTACAATTTATCCCTAAAAAATATCAAAACATTATTTTTCTCAACTTTGAATGTATACTCATAAAATTCAAATTCGATTGGTTCTTGGTCCTAAGGTCGGCCAAAAGTCAGCTTTTCACGCAACTGGCATGAAACTGGTTGTCACATTTTCAGAAATTAACCCCAAATTAATCTGGCCTCATTTTAAATTTTATTGCATTACACCAAGAAATACCAACGAAACCGAATTTTTATCAATTTGTTGACTTTGACTTTTACTTTGACTTGTAGTTGACTTCATTTCAATGGGAACAATTCTTGGGACTTGCCTTGTTTATATGCTCTTCCATGTTTTCACATGCAATAATTTAACAAGATTAATTAATTAGTATAATTAACGTAAGTTGATAAATGTAATGATGATTGTGAATTTTTATTTGTGATATGTATATATCATGTGAAGGAAAAATAAATAAAAAGGTCTTTTTAATCTGCCCCAACTTGACCCCTCAATTATTATTGCAAAATAAAAGTAACGATCTTCGGCTGAAAAGACCAGCAAGTGAAATCGAAATTAAGGGTTGGCACACTCTCTCTCTCTTTTAATTTTTAATTTTTAATTTTTAAAAGAGAGAGAATAAAAAAAGACTGTAATAATAATAATAATAATAATAATCATATTAAAGTGAAAAGGCACGAAGGAAGACCGTGAACTCAACTGCTAGCCTTTTTCTTGCCCCGTCAAACGGGGCGTGCTTGTCACGTGCATTGGCCCCTTGCCACCAACTCCTGCTCTGTCTCGAATTATCACACTATATTATATATTAAATTTTGTATCACAATTTAATCAAATTTCCAGAAAAACTATACATTAAAATTATTTTTGGGACCCATTTGGACACGCGTAGGGGGTAAAAAAGTTTTTTTTTTTTTTTTTTTTTTTTTTTTTTTTTTCAAATCGATAAGAAAAAATTAAAGTACCCAAAAGGGATTATTTTGGATAACTCACAGTATTTGCTTTTGCCTCCAGCAGCTTCATATTGGTTGAGCTCATCTGCATTGGACAAAAATAATAATAATAACAATAATTTTGTTTGTTTATATTCACGCAGAAAGATCTACTGGAGAAAAAAAAAATGGCATTATTTGGCCAGAAAGTGACATTTCTATATAATTTTTTGTTACAATTTTAAGTTGATCGAAATAAAAGATTTGTGTCCTGCAATCAAGCTTCTATCAAGAAATGGATTTTCTAAAACAGCAGATTCCATGTTTTAAGGAGGTAATAATATGAATATTGCAATAATAGTGCAATAATCAAGGAGGATTAGTGGATAAGTCTATTCTTTCGGCCAAAATGATGAAAGAGGGATCGAGATTAGGTGTAAAGATGAATTAAAGGAAATAAAAGTTATCTCTGGGGTTTATATTTTGGATTAATAATTAACCTTTTTCATCTTCTAATGGTGCTTCTTCAAATCATGATGCTACCCACTTCAGTCACCCCTTTTTTTCATAAATTTAAATTAAATTAAATTAAATTAATTAAAGCCCCCGTGGCCCTCTATAAGTTTTTATGATCAAATAATTGTGTAGATTAATTGGGCATTGATTATTGTTATCATTATTTTTCCATGATGACAATTGATGTTGCACCAAATAAGCACAAACTACTAATTCCCAAAAGTAATTAATAGTTTAATTACATCAAGAAAATGGCATAACATTAAACATTAATAGTTTAGTGAATTGAGTGACATCTTAGGATTCTTTGTCCAAATATTAAATCATATATATATATGCTTTAATATTTTGTAAAGATTGATGGATTTTCTTGGTTTGGAGAATAATCCACATCTTATGTCATGGGTAATGAATTATGGATCACTTTTTGACTTGGGAACCATTTTTTCAAGTAAATAATTACAATTTAGGTTATTTATTTATTTATTTGTTTGTTTCGATTTTGTGTAGATTGATTAAACTCTCTGCATGGTAAGACACACATGAAAAAATTGAAATTATTTACATAAATCCTTTGCAGCTAAGGAAGAGAAGAAATTCTGGTCCTGAATTTCCTTTTTTAACTTTACCCTTAAAGTCGCCCATGAATATATTCTGATTTTAGGTATTGTTCAAACTTTTTTTAAATATTCCCACTTTTGACACATACTCCCAATTGTCACATTCCCAAATTTAACTTCCTACACAGGCCATATTTTATTTTTTTTAAATGTCCAAGATTCCATTTACAGTTGAACTCTAAGCATAAACAATCAAATAAATAGACGATAATGTTTACTGAAAAATAAAAAAATAAAAAATAAATAAAATGGTTTGCCCTGTGGCACGTGTCATTAGGGGTCACGTTTAAGGAAGATATACTAGAAGCATCCAAAACCTTCGGTAGAATATTTTTTATATTGGGCCGGCCCGGCCCAATTCGTCTGGGCTGGCCCATAATTCCATCTCCTATTTCTAATTAAGTTCCATTTTAATGGCGGATGCTTTCAAGCTTCTGCGACTGCGCAGAAATCAGAGCAGCGGTCGAAGGGCTCTCGCTGAACAGAATCTCATAGCCGTCGCGGAAGGTATCCATTCCCGGGGCTAGTAGCTGCCAGAACAACCCTCCGGCGGCCGCTCCTCCGGCGGCGGCGGACGAGTAAATCGCCGAGTAGATTCTGTCAAACAGCTCGTCTCTCTGATCCGTACGGTATCCCAAGTCTTTCGACGATTTTCCAAACTCGGCGAAAAGCAGCGGCTTTCGAAGAACATTCTGGGCGTCGTGAATGTGGCTGTCGAGCCAATCGTTTAGGAACGAGATCTGGGCTTCGTCACTTCGATTCGTCAGCCTGCGTTAGAAAATCAATTTTTAAATAAAAGATCAAATTTTTATTTTTAGGTTTTGTTTGTGGGTTACCATTGGTCTGGATATGAGTGGACGGTTGCGAAGTCTATCTCTGGAATCTGATTGTTAGTTAAGAAATCGGTTCCGACATGAATTTCTTGTGGATTGAACTGCTGCTTTTGTGCATTTGATTGGCCGTAGAAGCCTTCGAGTCCTGCTTCGAGGAGGTGGTTGCTGTCTATGGATTTTAGGTAGGTAGCCATTTCTGAAAGCCAGGCCTGACGGAAGAAGAAGAAGAGGTTAGAAAAAAAAATTCCCAAATTTGATGGGGCAGAAGAAAGAACAGCCATTGAACAAGAAGAAGGACCTGTATGGTGGTTCCAGAAGGATCAATGGTGCATCTAGGTTCATTCATGAGCTCCCAAGCCATAATAGTGGGATCATCCTTGTAGGGAATTCCAGTGAAGGTGTTATGTCTTGTGAGAACAGCCTAGTATCATCGTCATCATTCATGATTCGGACAAACCTAAGTTTATATTAATTCAGACAGTTTTAAGTACCAGGAAGAACAAGAAAAACAAACCCTTTACTTTAATGTGGTTTTTGTAGAATTGTTTCACAACTGAATTGGTGTAGAATTCATCATCAGACAGCAAATTCTGCCCCTGATTTCTTGCCCAATTCACGTACTGTCTCTTTCCCCCGTCATCCTCATAATTGTTCACCAGGCTCAGTATCAGCTTCACCCCATATTTCTTAGCTTCACAAACCACAAAATCCAAACCCTAAAAAAAATTAAAAATTCAGAACCTGAACCATTCAATATATAAAAACAACACAAATGATGAATCTGAATTAGTCACCTGAAACATCTGCTCATTGTAAGAGCCAGGATTGTACTGCAGAGGGGCATATCCGCCATCGCTGAAAGCCCAAGCTCGAGCAATTCTGAGGCCATGCTTAGCACCCTCTACAAATGCCGATGAGATTTTGCTTCTCTGAGATGGATCGGAGGCCACATACATCAGCCAGTAGGCATTAAATCCATTGGCATAAAATCGGGACCCGTTAAGACAGAAATGCACTCCTTCAACTGTGACGAACCCATTATCCTTTGCAGCACACACCCCCTGAAGTTTCTGCTGATCGATCAAGATAACAAAAAAGAATAATATCGTCACACCACAATATCCCTTCATTCTCTCATCAATTCTCAGTCTGTAAGAAAATGGTGGAAGTTTTGTGGTCTGTATTAGTATTTGCTTTGAACAACCACAAGTGATCATTTGTCCAACCTTCCATTATTGCAATTTCTCTCAGCCTTTCTTTACTTATTTTCCCCGCTACTTAAAATTCGAGCAAGAAATTTATGAATCTGAATAATTTATTTTCTGAGGCTGTGGGATGGCACAGATGCTGCTGAGGTGGGCGGTCTTTATTAGTTTGCAGATGCTCACGGGTTGGGCTGCTCCAATGGCAGACATTCATAGCCATATGCAGACATGTATACATTATAGTAGTAATTATTGCAGTCTCGGAGTATGTACTTCTTACGATAATGTTTGATGGAGTGTGTGCAATTTTGAGGACAAGGGAAATTATTGTTGCGTAAAGACGAGGATGAATGCAAGCCGTTGATTTTAAGTGGGGTGCGAGATCAACGATTGTCATTGCTTGGGGCATTTGAGAAGCAAAATTATTTTATTTTTAAAAAATATTCGTGTTTATACCTTTTTACCACTTAAAAACATTAGGAAATTCGTTTTAATTCCAATTATAAATCTATAATAGCATTCATAATGATAAATTGAATTTATTTCTCAGCTATTGCAAATTGCATTTTCAGATTAGTACTAATACTGTTCAAAGGTTGAAGAACATGTTACTAACAATGTGCGAAAATTGAATTTTTAAGAACAAAAACCAATCCTTAGTCCCTCCCAAAAAACCAACGGCTACTTCCCCTCCCGCTCCCCCTCTTACACAAACTGATCTTCCGTCCAAGCCAAATAACCAAAAATAAATAAATAAATAAACAAATCTCGAGCTCGAAACTCCGACTGCCGCTGCCGCTGCTGCTACATCGCTATTCAGCGCTGATCCTCGAAGTTGAACTTGTTCCATGCAGCCTGAGAAATAGAAATAGATCGAGCAATAAACACATGAGAATATGAGACTCAGCTCGATTAACCAATTTACGACAACGGTTTATTTCGATCTACAATAGGTACTATTTTCGTGGAAAAAGATGTACCTTAAGGAGATCGAAGACCTTCTCGCATATGTACTTCTGCCGAATGCTGGCTCCCCGTTGCTGCAGCTTGTCGGGATGTACATACAGCGTCGCCTTCCTGTAGGCTTTCTTGACAGCAGCAGGCGTTAGCATCTCTGTAAGGGGAATAGGCTGCCAACCGCTGTCTCGCCCAAGGATCTGCGACGAAAATGAACTAATTAAGCACAGAATCGACGAGAACCAGGCAGAAAATCTTTATCTGCTGTTATAAATGCTAGTAGTTAGTTTATCTCAAAGGCTTACATATTGCAAAGTCGAGAGAAGCGCGCGCAAGTTTCCCTCCTTCCCTGCAGCCCATCTCTTAATGTCAGCGTCGAGAGATTCCGACAGTCGCTGCAATGTAAAGACGACCGTCCTCAAAACAACATAAACGACATTTTTAGCTGTTAGGTAAAAAGTTAAATCGTTCGTAATAGCTTACATTTCTCTCCACCTGCTCTTTTTGGGCAAGGAGATCGCGCTTGTTCTTCTCAGCCAAGGCTTTTGCCTATAAAGAGTAAAAGTTAAATATATGTCAAAATTTTATTTGGTGTAGTTCTTATATGTAACGGAGAAGTGCATACCGCTCGCTCCATAATCCTCTGGTGCCTCTCCAATCTCGCCTTCCGTCTCTGCGCCGATTCTGCACCAGCTGTACTCTCCAAGTCCTGCAAGAAAGCTCATTACGTCATCGACTGAAGTACAAACGATCTTCGAGGAGGTAATGAAAGAGAAATACTTACCGTGGAAGAAACACCGGGCTTCGCTCCATTATTTCTGTCAGCCACTGCTCTCGGCTTCGTAGGTGTCTTTTGAGACATTACCTTCTCCAAAGCACGTCCACGAGCTTCTGCGGTGGCCCTTTCTACTGCGGCGCGCTCTGCCCTGAGCTTCTCCTGAGCTCCCGTCATGAGCCGTTGTTGAGCTTCGGCTTTCTCTGCAGCAGCTTTTTCGGCCCTTTCTCGAGCTTCGGCAAACGCTCTTTCACGAGCTTCCCGGATGGCTCTTTCTACGGCCAATCTTTCCCTTTCCCGCTCTCTTGCCCTCTTGATGGCCTCGATTCTTTGCTGCACATCTTCAGCTGCTTCTTGCCCTTTAGCTTCGACGGCCTTGTTTGATTCTTCGGGCTTGGTTGGTAACTGAGAGGACAACCTTTCACTTTCTTCCTCGGCGAATATTCTTTCGTTTGAAACCTCGGGTTCGTGCACTGTTTCTTCCTTGCACGAACCATCGTCCTTCACTATTTCTGCACGCTCTGCATTTTCAGGGCTATGAGCTGATGCAGATCCTTCATCACTCTCGGAAGTTTGTTCTGACACTGGTCTTTCGTCGGTGAGCTCAATTTCTTCATCTCTACTGTCGGAGGAAATCTCATCAGATAAATTGTTGTCACTGTCTGCCTTGGACGGATGCGCATCTTCAGGAGAACTTTCTTCGATCCCAACAGTTTCGGTCTTGAAACCTTCTTCAGATGCATTTTTCTGTCCGATTTCAACGAAGTCTCCCTCATCGCCACTACTTTGTCGCAAGCTGTCCTGTCCCAGCATTGCATTCTCCTCCAGATGGGAAAATTGTTCGGCCTCGACGTTCTTATCGTTTTGTGGATCGTCATTCACCGTTCTCTGAAATTGTTCCGAGGCTTGGTCGAAGTCAACCTCAGAGGCTTCTCGAGTCGCATCAGTATGCTCTTCATAAGCAGGCTCCTGAAGATCGAAAACATCTCTATGTTCTTCAGTTCTTTCTGTTGCTCTTGTTTCTTCGATATCCCATATTGGTTCATTCTCCTGAACCTCGGCAAACTTGCTTGCCTCCATTCCTGCGCTCTCGTCCGCTCCATGTTCAAAAGTACCCTTAGGTGTTTCCTCGTGGCGATCTTCACTTCTCCCGGCTACGTTCAGAGGGATCTTCGTCCCATCCACATACCAAAATGTGTCACTCTTCTGACCTTCGGCGAAACTGTCTGCCTCCACCTGCTCAGAAGCATTCTCGGACGTCTCCTCATTACGATATCTACGAATATGATTTGTTTCATCGACATCCCAAAATGATTCATTCTTTTTAACTTCATAAACATAGTCTGTCTCCGCTGGTCTCTCGTCTGCTTCATGCTCAGAAGTACTGGCGTGTCCCTTCCCGTCGCAAGCTTCTTCACTTCTAACAGCTTCTTCAAGAGCGCGATTAGCTTCCAGCACATCCCAAAATAAATCATTTTTCACCGAAACACTTGCCTCCATAAATCGACTCTCGGTTGCTTTACTCTGGGAAGTATCCTCATGTCTCTCTACAAATCCATCCTGTTCAGCTTTCCCAACTACTATTTCTCGCTCGTCTCCATCACAAGAACAGTCCTGTTTCTCGTCAATTTCTGGGTCGAAAGCTATATCCGTATTTATACTCACCTCCATTGCATCGACTTCATCCTCCAATGCCTTCCCCAGATGCTCTTTCCTTTCCAGAGATAACTGCGCCTCCTCTTTCCATCTCATTTCATTCGCTCCAACATCATTTGCTCCAATGTTATCTTGTCCATTATCCATCATATTACACGATTGATACAGAAAAGCATCGAATGCTGACTCATCCAGTGTGGTCGAGACTCCAACATGTTCTTCAGACAAGTTCTCATGCCTTTGGACATCATCTTCTTCTACCACCATTTCCTGCTCCAGAGCTCCTCGAGAAGTATCAACCGCCCTCGCCAAAGGCTCAACACTAACTTCAGGTACTTTCGAATGATTAAAAGTAGCCTGATGCGTCTCCAGCCCCGGCTCCTCCACAATTTTGTCCAGATCTTGCATCCTTGGCGATGTATTCACATCACTTTCTGCAAATTCCTCAAGAACTTTAGGTCCAGCACGATTAAAAACCATGTCTGTTTGTTCTGAGGTCTCTTCGCCATTTTCCATCCCCGGAAGTTCAGGGGAAACTTTATCCAGAGAGAGCTTCGAAACATCTTCACTGCCTGACTCCAGAATTGCAGTCCGACTATCGCTCTGACTGGAACCAAATGTAAACAACATACCTCCCCGAGCAAGCTCTTCTCCACGTTCTTCGGCTGCTTCAGCATTCCCTTCAGATTTACCAGTATCAGGAGATGAAACATTTTCCCCAACAGATGGACTGCATTTTCCAGCAGCCCCTGTAAAGTTAGCATCTAAATCTTCATTCTCCTTCCCATAAATGTTCTCTTTCGAGCCATAAACCTCACGATCAATCTTAGTTTCCTTATCCAAATCTTTAAGGCGACTACCACGCGATCTTGTCTTAGATGTGTCTTTGTGACCGGCTTTCTTCCTTTCCATTATCAGTTTAGCCAATCGTATGCTTTCTTGCGCCTGCTCTATGGCTTTCTTCAAGGCCGCAGCAGATGCAGCTGCATCAGAATTTCCATCAAATTCCTCGTCAAGCAGAGGCGGGGAATACTCGGCAGGAATCTTCTTAGAAGCATCTGCCCGGGCGCGTTTGGAATCATTGCCACTGGTCGGATTTGGCGCATGGTTCGAAGACGACGGCAGTTTTGTTTTGGCATTAGCTTCATTATTATTGTGTAGAACATCAGGCAGGCGAGACTTCTCGACATTCACTCCACGCTTACCTTTGATATCTTCGACTTCTGCACTGAAACTCCATGTGCGACTGACGTCACGCTTCAATGGAGGCACCGGCTTGCGATCTTCATTCTTATGGTGACAAGGAGTTTCATTAACAACGTACGTATACCCTGGAACTGAATGGAGCTGGGCGACGTGTGTCTTCATATTCGATGCTTCGGTATCCCATTGATTACTTTTGTTAAAAGATACATTAAACTGTTGCTTCACTCCATCCGCTGATTGATCGGATGCCTTTTCAGGCGACTTTCTAGTGTTTCCTGAAGAATGTGAAGTACCTGGCTGGCGCAACGGTGGCTGAGAATCCGCAGGGGACCTGCGCCGAAATAAAGTGAATTTAGAACAAGGAGAATTGGTTGTAATAAAGACCAGCGAATTCCAAAAATTTCCACATAATCTACACCTTGCAACTTCATGTATAGTCATCACTCATGTAACAAAACACAGACAAGCCGCAAAACAACTACGGATATGAATTATATCGACAATCCAATCAATACGACAAGCCGCAAAACAACTACAGATAGGAATCATATTGGCAAAATCCAATCAACATGAAAAGCCGGAAAACAACTACAGATACGAATCATATCGACAAAATCCAATCAACACGACAAGCCGCAAAACAACGGCAGATAAAAATCATATTGACAAAATCCAACTAACAAACTCCCATAACTCACAAAAGATAACATCAAATTCCTCCTTTTTCTACCCGTTTCCGCATCGATACTTTTACACGTGGAACAAATCGAATAAAGAAGATCATCCTAAAATCCAGGCACGATCATAGAAGAATCTCTGCTTTTGTTTTATCACCAAATCTAAGAAACATTGGATGCACTGTGATCAAATAGTCCTAGCTCACAAAAGACACCAAACATACAGGCTAAATACATCAATCCATTCATTTCCTGTAAGAACAAATAACTACAAACTAACAATCTGTTACAATTACACTAGTTGACAAAGAAGCCTGCCAGTTCATCAAACTCGTCTCCTAACTCTTGATCAATTGACGAACACAAAATAAACTAAACGACAGAAAGTTTACCCTCAAAACCAAAGCCATGATTTTTATTCATTTATTCTTAATTAAGTCTATCAAAGAACATCAATCCATTAATACCGATCAGAAGCATTTTCAAGAAACTGCAGTCAAAACGCTAACGGCAACCAAACCAAGACAGGTAAACATCGTTCGAATATCAACAAGAAATGACAGAAAATTACAAAAAACATAACCAAAAATATCTAAAAAAGGCAAAGCTACGATTTTTCTTGCGAAAGGGAGACAACGTCAACTCACCGAGGTTTAGCTCTCTTGACAGAAGTACTCAACAGCTCCTCGTAAGGGACCGCCAAATCATCGTTTCTGAAGGCACCAAAAATGTTGGAGTAATCAAGGTCCGAGAGGCGGTCATAGCCCGACCCGACCCACCCACCCGTGCCCGGAAGATCAAGCACCGGAATGGAGGTCGGAGACCCGGCGAAAATCTCGGTGTAGTCGTGAGTTTCCAGCTCCCGCCGTCTCCCACCTAGGGAAATCAAAACGTCGTCGTAAGGGTTCTTTCCGGCGAAGGAAAGCCCATCCGTCGCCGCCGCGGAATGCCTCCGCCGCTGCGGAGGTCTCGACTCCATCGAAAATGGATGCAAAGCTCGACGCCCTGTCCGTTCGTCTATCTGAAGAAAGCAAGGGTTTTTCGTCCGATTGGGATTTCTTTATTTCTAAATCTTTTCTTCTTCGGTGAGGTTTTTGTCTGCAGAGAAAAGAATTCTGCAGAATCAGACAACACCAGGAAGAAAAAAGGAAAATTATAAAAAACAAAGAGGGAAGGAGATGAAAATGAAATCAGGGCTGTTTTCAGAGAAATTAAATAAATCAATTAAATAAAATCGAATTACACATATCTCGTAAATATAAATGAATAAAAATAATAATCAGATTACAAACTGCATGTTACAAAATTAATATTTAAAAAATGTCTTATTATGTCAGACAGACAATTGGGCCCACCTGAGGAATTACGCGCTACGTCAGGTTTATCTGGTCCTTTTCTTCAAACAATAATGCACATCTCAGCTTGTGGACTGTCCAATCATATTACTCTGGCGCACTGCACCCGGGCGCACCGGATCGCAGCCCCCAAAAGCAAGGTCAACTTGCGTTCCTCTATTATTATTTCTTTTATGCTTTAATTTTATTTTCAATAATGGTTTATTTGACCGGTAATCGGAGACAAGAAATGAGGAAATAATATTTAATTGATAAATAAATATTTTTCTCCTTAAAAAAAAATGAATTCGAAATTTCCATCGAATTATTACTACACATTTAATTAATTAATAATTATCTACGTTACTCGATGCTCTAATCACAGTTCCAGAATGGCAAATTTTAATAATTAACTGTGATGAGATTCAGATTTAATAAAGACAAAACGACATTTAAATTTGTCTCTCTTAGAAACACGGAAAAAAATAAAATAAAATAAATAAATGTCCCGGCATTTAATTTTTGTTTCACCTAATTTTATTGGAAAATAAGTGTCAAATTAATTGCACCAGATTTCATTACAAAAAATAAGAAATACAAATAAAAGATATATATATATATATATAGATAATCCGCAATAATTTATTTGTAATAAAATTGGTGGGCATTTCCATTCCATAAAAAGAAAGGTGTCTTTCTAGGGACATTATTGGCAAACAAAAAACATGGTCTGAATGAATGGGCATGTTGACCACATGCATTTATTTTAAGTCCCAAATTTTTTTTGTTATTTATTTCAAATTTAATTTCTTCAAAAGCCAATAGTATTAATCACATCATTAGGGAGATCAAATATTTTGTCACAATGGGTTTTGAGACAGAATGAAGTGTGTGAGAGTTGATGTAACGTAAATGGATATTTAGATTTTTAAAAATAATCATTAAAGTAATCAAACATTTTTCTTTATTTCGAGGAATCCAATAGTGAAGCAATTATGTTTTGAAAGAATTGAAGAGATTTAAAGCATTTAAAAGTGGATATGGGATGGCCCATAATGTAAGGCTTTTACATGTGTGGTGTGGTTTTTGTTTTTGTACAAGAATGTTTTTGTTTTCGAAAATTTCAATTAATTAGGTAAATAAAGGGAAGTGGGGTCGACTCATTTTGGGGGGTTTTACATAATATTATTATGTAACGCATTTTTTAAAGTGTAATATATAATATTGTAACAAAATATTAATTTTGAAATTGAAATACTGCATTTAGGGTATATAAAATATGATGTCATTGAATTAAATTTATAAATAAGTGATATATTTAATTGATTTATTTTACTTTAGCAGGCGTTTCAATTTCCAATGGCATGCTTATTACACGAGTAGTGTAACAATTGCAGCCATGGATTATGCAATTTTAATATTTTTTGATAAAATGTATAAAGCTAGCTTTATATCATGTGACCTCTGTAGTGGTGACTATATATTTTTTAATTAATATAAATTTCATAAATTATATATATAATTGTGTACAATATTACAAATTATTTAATGAGTAATTTTAGAGTTTTAGAAAATAGATTGTAAGGGACAGCGTGTAAAATATATATATATAATATATATTATATTGCTCTCCACCAATAATTGATTAGCTTTTGCAGCCACATATGTAATTATGCTATTTGAATGTAATATTGCTTTTGCTTTTCCTCTTTATATTGTTTATTTTTCTTTATATTCACCACTTTTTAAAAATAAATATTCCTTTTCTCCGTTTCCTCCCTCCCTTTTATTAGAGTAGAGCAGGGCATTTTGGTCAATTCAGGGAATAAGAATTGTAGTTTATTTAATTATTTAAATGATAATTTAAGTTATGCGGCACAGTGTGAAGCCCATCACACAATCGTCATATATTATTATTGGGCTTTAAAGGCCCAGTATTTTAATGGACCGAGCCCGTAAATAAATGTGGCCTGGATTCATTCAGTGGCTTTTTCTGTTCTGCCTTGAAGAAAAAGAAATGCAAAATTCAAAGGATCTATAAGCCAAATTCTGCCGGTGAGGAACGGAGGTGCGAGGGAGATTCAGTGAGTAATTCAGGTTTGCATTTTCTTCGTTTGTGGAGGCGAGGATGTTTCGGAACCAGTACGATACGGATGTGACGACGTGGTCGCCGGCGGGGCGGCTGTTCCAAGTGGAGTATGCGATGGAGGCGGTAAAGCAGGGTTCGGCGGCGATAGGTCTGAGATCGAAGACTCATGTAGTGCTTGCGTGCGTTAACAAGGCGAGCTCCGAGCTTTCATCGCACCAGAAGAAGATCTTCAAGGTTGATGATCACATAGGCGTAGCTATTGCCGGACTCACCGCCGATGGCCGAGTGCTCTCCCGATATATGCGCAACGAGTGCATTAATTATTCGTATACGTACGAGTCGCCGCTCCCCGTTGGACGTCTCGTTGTTCAGCTTGCTGACAAGGCTCAGGTTTAATTTTATGTTCTTATTTGAACCTAAATGTTTCAGTTTTCAATCTCTAATTAGTGTGATCGTTTGTTTATTGGAACATTGCGTGATTGAGAATTAGGTTTTAGGGTTGAGGCTTGCTGATGTGGGAAATTCACTCTGAAGATAAATTGATGGATGTTTATCAACACTCCAATTCACCTTTTTGGCGAAACTGCTATTTCTTCTATTTTACATTTCGATTGCTCATTAGGTGGTATATTCTCTGAGAGATTGGAGGCTTTCCTAATTAAGGCTTTAAGTAATATTTTTGTATTAGGTGGATAAGGTCCAAGTATATGATGAAATTTACTTATAGGCATTACAAAATTTCGATTAGATGAACTTAAGAAATGAACTTTTGCAATATTTGCCAGCTTAGAAGATTCTTTGTGTTTATAGACAATAGCATAGTGAGAACTGTACCTTTCAAGTTGCCTTGATGATTGGCTGCATGCTTACAAGTTATCTACTGTTGTGTCACATTTGAGGGAGTGGCCATTGTGCTGGAAAGCAAATAACCCCACCCCCACAGAAAGGATATGGATGATTGGAGATTATGTTTTGTTTGGGAAATCTAACTTAATGTATATAGCATATCTTTTGCGAGATATAAAGTATGATCTATGGAAATTTGTCCGCATGTTGGCAACAGAGCTGCAATGAAACCCCCACCATCAAATGTGGTGCAGACTGTTATCCTTGAGCTGATTCTCAGCTTGATGATGACTGAAACTACCTCCTTGATTGTCCATGGACCGGTGTTTATGTAAAGCTCTACTTTATGTTTAGACATCAAATTTGTTTATATATTAGTAGTAAAATCCATTTATCTTTAGAATATTTCTGTTTCTTGATGAATTGCTCATACATGTTTGATGTTAAGAATATTGTCGCCATAATATCTTGTGTTTCTTCTCCTCTTGATTTCTAAATGTAACTTGCAAGTTGTTGCGGACTATAGATTTCTGTGTGCAGGCATTTTCTAAATGTCTTATTTCTTGTTTAAAGTAGTAGATTAACCACAGTCCCAGTACTGAATTATGACAGGAATCTGTTTAGGGGGCTTTCTTCCATACGGTCCGTGGTAACACTTTCTTTTATTTCTGCTTCATCATTATATTTATGCAGGTCTGTACACAGCGGTCATGGAAGCGACCATATGGTGTTGGCTTGCTAGTTGGTGGCTTAGATGAATCCGGAGCTCACTTATATTACAACTGCCCCAGTGGTAACTACTTCGAATATCAGGCCTTTGCAATTGGATCTCGCTCACAGGCTGCAAAGACATACTTGGAACGCAAGTTTGAGAGCTTCACAGAGTCTTCACGAGAAAATCTAATCAAGGATGCACTCTTCGCATTGAGGGAGACCTTACAGGGTGAAAAACTAACCGGCTCAGCTTGCACAATTGCAATACTTGGAGTAGACGAAGCATTTCATATATTAGATCGAGACACCATGCAACAACTGATCAATGAATTTGAAGTAGTTACTGACGAACCCCCACAACCCCCTTCTGATGAAGCTGCTCCTCCCGACCATGGCAGCAGTGCCACCGATTCTGGTCCTTCCACCGCTGATCCCGCCACCACATCAGACCAAGGTGCGGCTCCTATGGACATTTGATGATCTTCTTCTTTATGTGGTGTTAACAACATATTGCACTTGAATTGCAGCTATTTATGCTTATCCTTGCCTTGCTTTAGAACATCCATTAAAGCATGATGCAGGATATAAACTTCAATTGGCTTTTCTGTGTTTACTTCTATTTAGTTTGCATACAATTTAGATCTTGAAAATAATATCCGCAAATGGCAATGATCCTTGTGCATATAGGTAAAGTCAAAAGTCACAAATTTTAAATACAGCAGCTGTAGGCATCAATAAAATCAGAGAGGCCTATGATTCAGCTTCAAACAATGTCTCCAACAATCTTTGTCCTTCACAAGACAAACTCACCACCACCCTCTGGAATTGGGAGCCCTTGTGCCTCCATTTGTCTGTACATCCACTGCCAGTTCTCCGGCGTCACCTCGCCGCCGAGCGATCTGATGACCGCCCCGCCGCTGCAAACACTGATCTTACAGCAATCCTCCAGTGATAATCCCTTCACCAAACCATACAGAAATCCGCCGGCGAAGAGATCCCCGGCACCAGTGGTATCGGCCACCTTAGCTTCTCCAATTGCCGGTACACGGACAACCTAGAAATCAAAATTTTTCTTACGTTGTTAAGATGACGTATATGCTCGAATAGACCGAGTTACACAGACCTCTTTTCCGTGCTTTGCGATGCATCCTTTGGGCCCTAATGTCACCACAGCCCATCGGCAGTGTTTCGACAGAAATTCAAGAGCAGACTCGGGATCTCCACAGTCTTCGGCTCTGCGTTTTAAATAGCCCCGAGATCGACAGAATCAGAAAATAAGCAAGTGCTCGAAACTACTCTGTTACAATAAAGATAGCAATGCACTTCACCTAAGCAGTTCTGTAGCTTCATCCTCATTGGCAAAACAGAGGTCTATATTTCCCGATTCCAATAATTCGACAAGGGGCGCCCTGAACTTCCGAACCATCTGAAGAAGCTTAGATCGTTAATTCAACGAACAATATTTCCAAATCAGACCACATGAGAATGCTTTGATGTCCTTTAAATATGATTACCTCAAAACTTGCGAGATCTAGCGAAACAGAGACCCCCTGCTGCTTTGCTATCTTAATTGCTGCTCGAATAATTTCGATATTGAAGATCGAATATCTTAGCACAAGCCACTGCACCGCGAAAAAAGACATTGGTAACTGAGACATACATTATCACTCAATATACGACATTTATGCAATAAAGGGCTCACCTTGGAAGCTGTAAAATCTTCTGCAGTCAATTCATTTGCCTGGTTGACGATGACAAAGATCATGAGGCAAATAGAGAGCAGACTAGCAATGTTGCTAATAAAAATTCAAGTTGCATGCACCTGAATTTTGACAGCGCTAGAGAGACAAGGCCGCATAGTTCGATTACCAAACTCATCAACTAAGCAAACACACTGCATCAAAAACTTCAAGTCAGGATTGTTTGATTTTTGTACGTTAATTAGCACAGAAAGATTAAGCAACTCTCCAGAATCGAACTTAGAAAACATCATGTAGAGGCAGAAGAATGTTCACCTGTGCAGTTGGCCCTGTTTTCGGCCTCAATCTTGAGAGATCAACTTTAGAAGATTTCATTTTGTCTGTAAAGAAGGTTCCTTGATCATCGTCTCCACACGCCCCAATTATACCACAAGTAACCCCAAAACCTGCGGCGAGACCTCTGATAGTGTTGGCAACACTTCCCCCTGCAATCGTCTTTAATGGCGACGAAACTCCGGGATATGCAACAATGTGATGATTAACCTCACTCAAGATGAACTCCAGCTCTGCAGATTCAACCTAAGGAGATGACCAAGGCAAGACAGAATGATCATTGTAGCCTGCCTAATCACAAAAATTCAATTGAATACACTCTCCACATCGAACCAGGAAACTTCAGTGCCCACAGATGCTTCAATAGCATGTAAGAAAGACCATCAATATGAAGAATATGGACTCATTTAATCACATAAGCATTGAGACGCTCGGCTGGCAGACAAGAAACAATTTTGTTGTCGATAACATGAAGCATCTGACTAACAGATTCTTAAAATCAGATACCCCCTGAAGAAGTAATAAAAACTTCAACTATTTCATTAATTGAAGCACAGCTTTTGATAGAACAATAGTTTCTGATTCTAAAACTTAAATGGTATCCAGAAACACCATTGGTAACCCAATATGCAGCAAGAACAGACCAAAAATCAGAAAAACATCACAAGCAGGAATTAAGAGGAGTACAGGAAAAGAGCCGCCGGGCTCGCCTGGGATCCGGGAGAGGAGGGAGCCATCGACCCTTGCGACGTGGTCCACCAAAGCTGAGGGCTGTAGCCCCATTACCATCGGCGGCGGCGCCGCATCGGCATCAACCTCAGCTGCTCCTCCATTCTCGTTTATTTTCAAATGAATCTCGATACCCATTCTTCTGATAAATTCTCGTGCTTTCAGTCTAGATTTACAGGGTTCTTGTTGGAAGACAGAACACAGATGTATTCTGATTTATAGAGCACCTTATTATAGACACAGATGTATTCTGATTTCCGCAGAGTAGGTGGGGCTTAATAAATTAACCACAGATTAATTTGAGAAAACCTCTTGGGGTTCTTTTCTTATTCATTTTTTAAAATTTTATTTTTTTTGATATTTTTGCCAGTCAACTGCAGTCCTAATTAAAATAAGTAATACTCCTAGTTGAGTACCAAAGTCTAGTCTTGGCCGACATATTTATGCAACAATTAACAAAAGGGAAGAAATGACTGAGTAGATCATCAGCAATTACTACACATTACAATGTACCAGGTTTTCTACAGTCTCACGTTTGTTGGTTTTCAGTGGTCCATCTTCCAAGAAACTTCGTGGAATTTAATATAGCCGGCAGCCTGACATGGTGGTGTTGTCTCTTGTTGGAGTTCACGGTCAACAAGGTTGGATCGGATTTTGCATAGTGTTTGATGTTCATGTCTGGTCGGGATCATCTTGGTAGGGCTCCATCCTGGCTTGAGATCACTGAGTATCAAACAACTTAACTGCATTCTGCAACAACCACATCGTATTCCCAAACAATACAAATGTCAGAAAAATTAAAAACGTAGCTGCCAAACTAACCAAAAAGATATATAGATATATGTGCCAATGATCGGGCTTTTGAGTTTTATCTGGGAGGATGTAATAAGGGCGAATTCTGCTGGAGTCTCTTCCATCTTCCAAGCACCAATCTTGAATCATATGAACTCCTCGTACAGAGTCATCCTCGGTGTACTATTGCCTTAAAATTTCTGACCCAGATTAGAGAATTTAATAGAAGTGTTCATCCTTATCTTTTTAAAGGATCTGAAAATTGTTGCATTAGATTTGTTTATTTCTTGATCTTGGGAATCTTGATTAGTTTTGATGGCGAATAGTCAATGAGGTTTCCACTTTCCCGAGTTCCTACTGCACCCAAGGGGTGTATTTGGGATTTCCTTTCTGACCGTCCGTTCCTGGAAAAAAGAAAAAGTAAAAATAAAGAAAACCCAGAGGGGAAAGGAAAAATTGGTGTTCCAAACAGGGCGTATACGAGGAGAAGTTTCCGGCTTAAAACCCTAAAAAATTAGCCGATAACCGTTTCTTTTCTTGATCATTCCTCACGCGGAAGCGAGGTTAGATTGCGAATTAGGTCATCTCCTGTTGAATCATTATTATTTGTGCTAATTACGATTAGGCTGATAATCTTGGCGCATGCGGAATACGTTTCGCGCCCCCACAATGATTTGTACAGAGGGTTTCTGTTCGTGACTTCATATGAACTCCTGTTCTTTGTTTCGATTCTTTGTACATATGGTTATGAGGTTAGTTAGGCGTGTCTTAAAGTTCTAATCTTGTCTGAGTTGATTGAAAGCCGAATCATTTTCTTGACCTGGTTATGGTAATTGCAGTAGTGGTTCAACGTATTTATTCAGAATTTGGTGCAACTAATTAGAGCGCCTCGAATTTTCTAGCATTTGATTTTCTGTGCTATTGGGCAGTCAAAGAATGAGCTTTAATTTGCTTTTATCTCACTGCAATTTTGTTTGCTTATTGTCATATTGTGGAATCTTAGAATGTTTTAACACTGACATTGTTCTAGCCTTTTCTGTTCTGTTGGTAAGTTGATGGCATAGCCTTTAATGATGTATGCTGCTTTTCATTACAGAAATTTGAACTGGTGAAGAAAATTAATGGAAGAGCCTGGAAGTCATGGTGCCTCTCCGGCATCGCCGTTAGCTAAGTGGAAAAATGACTTTTCGAGGCTGTTTAGATATTATTTGGATAGATCTGCTCCTCACATAGTCAACAGGTGGCTTGGAACACTTGTTGCTGCTGCAATCTATATCTTGCGTGTTTATTATGTCCGTGGGTTCTATGTTATCTCATATGGCTTGGGAATCTATATGTTGAATTTGTTGATCGGGTTTATGTCTCCAAAGGTTGATCCTGAGCTAGAAATGTTGGATGGGGCATCTTTACCTAGTAGGGAATCTGATGAGTTTAGACCTTTTGTTCGTCGCCTACCTGAATTCAAGTTCTGGTAAGATGCATATCTGGATAATTTTGTGTAATAGTTCTTTCGGAGATTAGACCTTTTGTTCACCGCCAAATTGTTGGATTTGATGCTGTATATTAAGTTTAGTTCTTGATGTTTAGTAGTGCCTTTTCTTCTAATGTTAATATGTCTTCTTTTGTTGTTTACTTTCATGATAGATGTTGAGCCTCATCTAGTCATTGGGTCACTATTTTATGTTCTTTAGCAGATGGTTTTAGATATATTTTGGAAATAGATTACCCACATTGTCATGGCAGGCTTCATTTTCTGCCTTTTCTCGTTTATTCTCAATTTAGTCGATGGAAGTCTGTTAGAAGTAAGTCGTGCTGCGCTTCATCAGGAAATTTGTTTTTGTGGGAACGAGGAACTACAATTTATTGAATTTTAATCTTTCTTGAGCGATTAATCTCAACCCTGAAAACAACATATAAAAGATTTTATTTTTTTCAAGCTAATAAGTGTTTGTTGTTCTATCTTCTTTGAAATGGCCTCGTTGCTTTATCGATTATTGCAGGTATGCCACTACGAAAGCTTTTTGTGTTGCCTTCCTAATGACCTTCTTGTCCATATTCGATGTCCCGGTATTCTGGCCTATATTATTCTTCTACTGGGCTTTCCTGTTCTTCCTCACCATGAAGAGGCAAATCACCCATATGTTCAGATATAGATACATACCGTTCACCTTTGGGAAGAAGGTAACTTTTTGTTTTTCCTACTTACCTAAATACTTTCTTCCTTACTTTGGAGATTTTGAGACAATGACTTTCTTAACATTCATGTACGTTTAAACAGCGGTATACTGGGAAGAGGCCTGCAGGAAATACCCGAGATTCACACAGAGACTGAGTTGGACTTTGGATGCGAGAAGCAGGCTGTTCATCCATCAAGAAATGCTTTCGTGAACATTTGATTCTAACCCGTGTTATATATATGTTTGTACTAAGCTGAACCAAATAATTTACACGACTTGATAGTATTCTCCGTAGATTTTTATGCTAGAGAGAATGCTTGGTGCTGCTCATTTTTTGGAGTCTTGATGGATGAACATTGTGTGTTACTTAAAATATAAAAATGGATACTGACATAATCACTCCGTAATCTGACTCTGCAATGTAGATATCTCTGTTCTTAGATATTACAGAAAGATTCAGACAATACATTGGAAAATGACAGCGGATCCCCCTGAGAACTTGCACGGCAACTCACACAAGCGTGTGTATGCCTTCTAGTTCATACGTGTTCTTGTTCAATTTATGCATCGAAGATTTGCCTGTCTTTGATTCTGAGTTCCATCCTTTGTGTTTATGCTTCTTTGTCTGTTTATTGTCTTCTACTCTTTGTCTAGGCAAGAATAACAGAGAGAGAGAGAGATATACAGAGGAGAGAGAGCAGATACAACTAGTGCATTAGAACTTGACTATGTCATATGATATACAATCATTTGGTGCAACAACCTCCAACAACCAAAATAATAAGCCACAAGTTTTGTGCATATTTTGTTTGGTTGGGAATGAATGCAGACATGTTTTCGATCTTTATTTTAATTCATAAATGAGATTAGATAGCTACTTCTCCGACGAGAAGTATGATTAGGTATTTTCTTTAGGACACCATGTTGTGATTGGTCTATTAGACATGGCCAGCTAAGTCATAACAGGCATAGACATTGGCTTCCCACAACTTATAAAACCCCCCCTTTCTTCCACCTTCCAATGGCTGCCAAACTTGCCACAAATGAATGGGAGAATCTATGTTCTCATCCTCTTCTTCTGGGCTCTTCTTACCATCGTCACCCCCATGCTTATCCGCCTCTCAGCCTCTGCCAATCTTTATCCTAGATTAGATGGTATGCAATTCATCTCGCATCATATGACTATGTCTCATCGTCAGTTTCATTAATTAAGCTATCGATTTGTATGTATGTCTGTTTTTTGCAGGGGAGCAAGGAGAAGTGCCGAAGGTATTATTGCCGAGAAGGGCGCTAATTCAATTGATATTATCTCCAGTTTCGGCGCCAGCACCAGAGCCGGTATTACCAAGTTTGAAGCCGGGGTATATCCAGGTTAGCTGAGCAATGGTTTTGATTAATCTGATGATCGACAAAAGCTCCGGTGGCCGGAGCAAACCAGAGTTTCTGCTGTAGAGGATGACTTTAATTTATTCTTGGAAAAGAAATTATTCCTTCTTTGAAACCTATCAAGATATTCATTTGTATAGATATTGGTATGATCAGAAAATGGCTTGATTTGTAACAGGGATTGTAGGATTTGCAGGAACAGATTCATGGTGAATTATAGGCACAAGAAATAATAATGTTATTTCAATTATATTATTGATTGATCGACAATAAGCCCAAATATATTCTCCTGTCTGCAACTTGTGGAGAAAAAGACAATATATCCATGGGGCCAATTCAAACTTGCCTGATGAAGAACAGCTAAGCACATGGATGTTCCATCCTCATTATTAATCAGTTGACTTCAACAATGATGTCATATATTTATATGAGTTCTATTCAATGGATGCTTTAAAGGGAAGCAAATTTAAATGCTTTATATATATGCAGACCTGGTCCTATGTTTTCTCCAGTAAGAAAGTGACATGTATTTAAGGTACTTGTCGTGCTGTCTGTAGGAGTGGATGTGAAGAAATTGTAGTATGAGTTAGTGCCACTTGTCTTATTGTCCCTGTTTTTTTTTTTGATCGAAAAAAAATAAATGAGGTACAAATTTACATGTAAAAAGATATGCCCATCTCCAAAGCAAAGCAAATTAAAGGTGGTGTTGATTCTGGAAGTGACACTGAAATTATTGTTGTTGTTGTTGATTGATTAGAACAGATTGTCTCAATTCTCATCTACTTTTTATTAATTTTTTCCAACACAATCATGAATTAGGCAAGAAAATTGTTGGAATTATAGTACTATAAGATGGAGAAAAGTGACTTTTCGCAGCTGAAAAAGGAACACACACACACAAAAAAAGGGAAATTCTTGATCGTAATTTGATCCAAATTCATTCAGCACGATGTTGAAGTTTTCAGAAGGTTAATGATTTTCTACCAGAAGCTTTTCCACAACAGGAGTTGGAAGCAGGCTGTATGCATCCTCACAAAAGTTGTCTGTAAGAACAGTACATGCCGATCCAACCTGGTGATAAAAAGTCATAAAGAGCAATGTAAATGCATCGTTCAAGATACGCAGGCTTGTTATGGGTTCAGAATACTTAAGAAGAACGTAGAAAGACAACCTTGTAGTTGGTTTTAAGGATATCCTCCCCAACTTCAACTATACTCAACTGCTTAGCCATCATTAGAGTCTCCAATTCAACCTGATTGAATATGTATTACGGAATTAAAATCGACTCGCATTGTGTTGAAAAAACCAACCAATAGAAAAGACTACAACATCCATCACAGTATCAAATATAGTTCTTCGAGTCCTAGATTTGACTCGAGCTACGTCTACTACTTTCCAGATTTACCTCAAGGATTGTTCATACATTTAGACTTCCTTCATTGCAATAATTTCATAAAATTATTTCGACAATGCTCCATTCGTAGGATGGGGCTAATTGTTCCATAATTTAGTTCATCAAGGGCTTTTATCGAAAACACTACACAAGTAAACCTAATCAGATAAAAAACATGGCCTTAAAATTTTTATTTTCTTTGTAAATCTAGAGGTCGCGCTTACGATGTAGCATCAAGCACAGTGTGTCTGTCACAGTCACTTACAACAAGCCAAAGATCCAATTTATGAAACTTGATTTTCAGACTTTTGCACGAAATAATTGTACAATGGAACTATTTAACATAATATTCAAACCTACAAGATTATGAGTTCCAAATACGACTATCACCTTTGCGCGAAAATGCATTCCACAATGCAAATATTTACAAGAAGTAAAACACTAACAGCAAACTAGACAATGCATTCGAACAAGTAAGAACAGAACATAAAACAACACATCACTACCAAAATTAGCTGTGATCGTCATATCATCATCTATAACACATTAATGCTAGAGACCGACAGCAAAGTGTAGCACATTACTAAAAGCTCTACTAATGCAAAACGGCATAACAATGGAGGCATTTGATCAAGAAATCAACAAGTAACTTACTTTCCAATATATATTTGAGCTTAAACAAATTGGATACCTCATTAGAAAAGAGCAGAGAAGCAGCATCAAGGCCGGCGTCGTGGAACAGCCAAGCTGCTTGGCGCTGCTTCCACATTTTCCCTCTCCTTATGATCATCACAGGCACAACAAACTCCATAAATCTCCCATTTTGTGCCCTCTTTTTATCAGCTCTCATTTTGTAGTCCAACAAACAAGCATAGCATGTTGCTGCCACCATTGAACTTGTACCTATGCATAAACACAAGAAATTTTCTGAAATTTGTGCAATTTTTTACAGGAAACGGAAGGATTCTGAATTTGAAGAAAACAGTAAACGTTTGGAGGAAGAAACTCAACTGTTTGATGGACCAGAGAGGACGACCTTGGCCTTGCTATCGATTTCGCCGCTCATCAGCTGGAGAATCTTAATCCTCTGCTCCTTCAGGAAGGCATTCAAGCTCCGATTGTCGACCAAATTATCATGGTCCTTTTTCACAACCTTATGATCAGTTCTGCACGTGGAAGAAGATATTGACCGTCGGTGAGCAGACTCCACCAGGTTCCGCGGCGGGGACAGCACTCTGACCTCCGGCACCGAGCACGAACTCGGCGACCTCCGATGCGTCGATTCCACCGCAGGACTTTTCGACAGCGAGAGAATTCGAGCGTCTGCATTTGCACCGTCTCCATTGCCATTGCTATTGCTTGAGGCAGGTTGGAAATTCCTTCTCAAAGGAGAAAAGGCGGGAAGGTTGATTGGAGTCGACGGGGCACAATTAATATCATATTAATTGTATTTGAATATCATATTAAATCACACAAAATCAAATATATAGTATTTGTACGTAAAATGGAACTTTCTTAATTAATTAAAAGTTAGATTCTATCAATTGATTTGGCAATTCAAAAGTTCAATTCCCCCTGCCCCTAACAATGATTATGTATAACATAAACGTTATTATTGATGTAAAACTTATAGTATAAATTATAACATGTTAAAAGTAACTATGTTATACTCACTATATATTGATTGCTATAAAAGCATGCTAAACCATATTATTCATAATCTTTTAATTTAATTTTAATTTCAAATGTCAAGTTTATTAGATAATATTTTCACTAATAATTTTAAATTTCGTATATAATTTACATACATAAATACATACGATTCTATCCATTCACTCTAATTACTTATATATATATATATAAGTAGCATGTAATTTTAATGAACAAACATATATTGAATTAGTTAAAACTACGTGCTGATTATTCATATATTGATCAAAAATAAAATTTCTTATAAGAATATATAGAACGATAAAAATATATATATACATAAATAAAATATAAAAGATATACGATAATTTTTCAGGTGGAAAACCTTCACCTCCTTAGTTGATTTGACATTGATTATGTTAAAATCAAGATTGAAAGATTGATGTTATAAACTTGATTGACTATGTGTCAAGATGAGATGAATGATTAAAAATATTTTCGTAACTTTTGAGTTATGATTTGTTGCATTTTTCAAATGTATGTATGTATATATATATATGTATTAGTACCTTTTAGCGGATCTTGAGAGCGGATCCATTTTTTCAAGAGTCGCCGACCCCGAAGATCTTCCCTTAGTCATGCCAAATCTCGAAGATGCAACGAGTCGCGACGGCGAATTTTGCCTAACCGGCGACAAAGCCACCATGCACTTTGCTTCTTCGAGCCACTCTTGAGTTTGCCGGCAAACTATATTATTGCTTTTTGTTGGAGCAATGTGCCTTAAAGGTTTGGAATATGAGCTTGTTTATATCTGTGGTTGTGTATTTATTTTAATTGTGTGCTTATTAATTGAGTAATAAGATTAGCTGTGTACTTATTGTATGTTTTGATGACAAGTGTACTATTGATCCCAACAAAAAAAAAAAAAAAAATTACATACCAATTTTTGTCGAATTTGGCTTCTAATCCTTCCCTCTACTCACGATGTTGTTTTTCTTGATTCAACCTCAATGGAGAAAAAATACATCAGTTTGATCACAACAAAATGAAAAAATTATAATACTATTGAGTCTCAAGAAAGAAAGTTACGTACCAATTCTTATCATGATTGGTCTGTATGTCTTGCCCCTTTTAACATCACATGTTGTTCTTGATTCAATCTCGATAGAGAGAAAACAAAATGAAAAATCTGGCACTATTGAACCAAACAAAAAGAAAGAAAATTACGTACCAATTCTGGTCGGATTTGGCCTCTAATGCTTCCCTCTACTCACAATGTTGTTCTTGATTCAACCTTAATAGAGAGAAAACACATCAGTTTGATCCCCAACAAAATAAAAAAATTATAATATTATTGAGTCTCGACAAAATGAAAGAAAGTTACGTACCAATTCTCATCATGATTGGTCTGCATGCCTTGCCCCTTTACATCACATTGTTGTTCTTGATTCAACCACAATAGAGAGAAAACAAAATGAAAAAAATCTTGCACTATTGATCCCAACAAAAAGAAAGAAAATTACATACCAATTCTTGTCGGATTTGGCCTCTAATCCTTCCCTCTACTCACGATGTTGTTCTTGAATCAACCTCAATAGAAAGAAAACACATAGTTTGATCCCAACAAAATGAAAAAAATTATAATAATAGAGTCTCAACAAATTGAAAGAAATTTACGTACCAATTCTCATCATGATTGGTCTGCACGTCTTGCCCCTTTACATCACATTGTTGTTCTTGATTCAACCTCAATAGAGAGAAAACAAAATGAAAAAAATCTTGCACTATTGATCCCAAACAAAAAGAAAGAAAATTACATACCAATTCTTGTCGGATTTGGCCTCTAATCCTTCCCTCTACTCACGATGTTGTTCTTGAATCAACCTCAATAGAAAGAAAACACATAGTTTGATCCCAACAAAATAAAAAAAATTATAATAATAGAGTCTAAACAAATTGAAAGAAATTTACGTACTAATTCTTATCATGATTGGTCTGTATGCCTTCCCCTTTAACATCACAATGTTGTTCTTGATTCAACCACAATAGAGAGAAAAACACATCAGTTTGATCCCAACAAAATGAAAAAATTATAACACTATTTAGTCTCAACAAAATAAAAGAAAGTTACGTACTAATTCTTATCGTGATTGTTCTGTATGCCTTACCCCTTAACATCACAATGTTGTTCTTGATTCAACCTCAATAGAGAAAAAACAAAATGTAAAATCTAGCACTACTGATCCCAACAAAAAGAAAGAAAATTACGTACCAATTCTTGCCGGATTTGGCCTCTAATCCTTCCCTCTACTCATGATGTTGTTCTTGATTCAACCTCAATAGAGAGAAAACACATCAGTTTAATCCCAACAAAATGAAAAAATTATAATACTATTGAGTCTCAACAAAATAAAAGAAAGTTACGTACCAATTCTTATCATGATTGGTCCGTATGCCTTGCCCCTTTAACATCACAATGTTGTTCTTGATTCAACCTCAATAGAGAGAAAGCAAAATGAAAAATCTGGCACTATTGATCCTAACAAAAAGAAAGAAAATTACGTACCAATTCTTGTCGGATTTGGCCTCTAATCCTTCCCTCTACTCACGATGATGTTCTTGATTCAACCTCAATAGAGAGAAAACACATTAGTTTGATCCAAACAAAATGAAAAAATTATAATACTATTGAGTCTCAACAAAATAAGAAAAGTTACGTACCAATTCTTATCATGATTGTTCTTGATTCAACCTCAACAGAGTGAAAACACATCAATTTGATATTAGGCATCAATTTAATCTCAACAAAATGAAAGAAAATTGCATACCAATTCTCATCCGGTTTGGTTTATTTGCCTTGCCCCTCACGATGTTGTTCTTGATTCAACCTCAATAGAGAGAAAACACATAAATTGAGCCCAACAAAATGAAAAAGCTATAATACTATTGAGCATCAATTTAATCTCGACAATTAAAGAAAGTTACATACCAATTCTCATGAGTTTTATCGTAAAAGTGTGAGCATCTTCAGCTGTAGGATTGCAGCTTTAAGAAGGATCGATCACAGAAGATCGTCACTGCTGAAAGATTCAAGAACCTCACTTTCATTATCATCATCGTCTTCCTCGCCTTAAGTGTATGTTCGAATCCACCTGCAGACCACTTCTACAAGCAGAATTCGGTGTTGAAAAACCAGGTAGTCTGAGTGTATGTTCACCAGTTTTACCGATGATCCAAACCCATTTTCTTTCATGTCTGTTTTTCCGTTTCATTGGCAACACTATTGGAGTTCTTCTCGGATTGTCTGGATCGCAACTTGATTTCCCAGTAGACACTGATGGTGTTCCTGAAAAGTTGCTCGTTCAGATGGCCATTGCATTTGTACTGATGACAACTCTTGCCCAGATGTGTGTTGTGCTAAATGATGGAGCAGCCAATGGTGATAACTTAGCAAAGATGCACTCTCAGCTAATCCAGATGCTTGAAGGTGCTCATGGATAAGCCCTGAAGTAAGTACGGATAAGGCGGTGTTGATCAATAGAAAATTAAACAAAAACCATGATCCATATATCTAGGCAAGAAGGTATAAGAGACTGGAGTAGCAGCAGCTATGCCCTTTCAATGCGTCATAATGGAACAAAATATAATCTCAAAAAGAGCATGCACAAATCCGACAAGACTAAGGTCACGTATGAACATTATGCCTGTATTATCCAATGTTATAACTTGTATTTCCAGATTGGATCACAATATATATAATCGAGGTAGATAGTCAAGAGGTTATTCAGCCAAATATATATATATCGAGGGTAAGGTTTGTCAGGAGTAATACTAGCTAAAGTGTGCACATATTTAGGCCAAGTTTCCTCTTGAAATCTAATAATAACATGAAGAAATTAGAGCGCATACCAATAAGCTCACTTGAGTTAATTCGGCCTGCCATCTATTTTGGTCACCACTGGCAGTTTGGCTCCCACTCGGATGAGCTCTGATAACTTTTCCCAACCTAAAAAAATAAAATAATATTAGAATGCTTATAGCTATGGGTCCCCGTCAATTTTACAATTGATTAATAAACCAAAAAAATAGCAGCACCAAGCTACACCAACCTGAAGTTCGGTCAATATATGTGCAATAGCATCAACCTAAAAGCACTCGGCATGTAAGAGCACGAAGACAATCAAGAGCTGCAGGGGATGTCACCATTCGAGGTTGGAGAAGCTGAAGAACCATTATACCATGCCTTGAACGAACAGCTTCTCTAGCTTTACGATATCCTTGTCCAAGCACGAAATCCTGCGATCTCCAACTAAACCAGAAGCAACTAATGAAGCAGACGCCTGTGATGATGAAGTGTTACCTGTGATGATGAAGTGTTACCAACAGATGATGGCATAGGTGTCAGTTCCCCAGTTAGATCCCTTGATTCATTCTGATTTGGACCACGCTCTGGGACATTCCTCTCTGAATTTCTATCCCTGGAGTTTATAGCAGATTGATTTCCAGCTTGGGTAGAAGAAGCTTGCTGACCTTGCATGAGACTTGGCTTATTGCTTATTCATGAAGGAGGGCACACAATAACAAATTCAACGCTGGTTCAACAATCTACAATTTTGACAATGAAAATTTTCAAAGTTAATTGAGGCATGCAATTAAAATAAATACGCAAAAACACAAATTCCAAACAAATGCAACCAACAACACTTGCCCTAATATAAAATAAGCAACACGTGGGGTTAGAGCCGCAATATTTAGAGGCTAACTATGAAAGGAGTTGATAAGATTGGTTTCTGAAAATCTATGCAAATAATGAATTGACCTAGCTATTACAATAATTTTAGGTGATTTACTTTATCCTCTACAAGTGGATGCAGCAGCAAAATGTGAAGTCATATCACCCGAATTGCAGGATCCATTCAGACTTCTCCCAAAACTATAAAAATATTTAAATATATGACTCTACTATTTTGACCACAAAAATCTACTATTTTGACCACAAAATGTATGAATATGCTCATATAGTAAAACGAAAAACTCAAAGCACATTCTCATCATGCTTAACGAAAAAATGTAAGCATCTACTCAAAGCTTAAGGCCTTCACACGGAGTGTGTTGAATGCTGAAGTGCCATCCTATAGAGGAAAAATAATCGAACTTAAGCATAAGCTAATATCAAAATTCTTTGTTCATATCAAGGAATTTATTACAAGTTTATATTTAAAACTTTAAATCATAATATAATTAACATTACAAATACCTCATTCCCAGCAGAATGGTAGCCCCCACCATCACAGGCAGTAAATTGATAAAATTGATGAATTGGTCTTGCGATCCCACAAAACTCCATTCCAAAGCAGCATTGAGTCAATATGCATAATCACATCCATGATCATGTCCAGACGGGTTATTAGAAGTATCAGTCAGTGTCAGATCCAATTGACAAGACTGGATATCATCATACACAAGGATTTAACACCGGGATGAATCTGATGGCAGTGATGCAAACATTGAATGCTTGGCTCAGGGCAGACATGAGGATAAATACGTCGACTGGTTAGCAGAACTCTCAACAGATGGTGTGCATAACAAGTTCGAATCCATATGGTCTGAGTGTATGTTCACCAATTTGGTCTATCCAACAAGAATCCACAAGTTGCTCATTCAGATGGCCATTGGATTTGTATTGATGACAACTCCTGCCCAGATGCGTGTTGCGCTAAAGATGATGGAGCAGCCAATGGTGATAACTTAGCAAAGATGCAGTCTCACCTAATCCAGATGCTAATGGATAAGCTTCTCAAGCTAGAATGGCCATTGCATTTGTACTGATGACAACTCCTGCCCAGATGCGTGTTGTGCTAAAGATGATGGAGCAGCCAAGGATGGCATTGGTGATAACCTAATCCAGATAATTGAAGGTGCTCATGGATAAGCCCTGAAGTTGGTGTTGATCAGAAGAAAATTAAACAAAAAACCATGATCCATATATCTAGGAAGGAATGATTATCAAATACCTAGAATGATAAGAAACTGGAGTAGCAGCAGCAATGGCTGCTCCTCTTTCAATGGTCTCAAAGTGGGAGTCGCTGCATCACTAGCTGCTAAAGTACTCAGGATGTAAGAGCATGAAAACAATCAAGAGCTGCAGGGGATGTCACCATTCGAACCAGCCCAGCACAACCTGCTCGAGCACCTAAATCTCCAACTAAACCAGAAGCAACTAGCAGATGCCTGTGATGATGAGCAACAGAAGATGGAATCAGTTCCCCAGTTCGGTCCCTTGATTCAATCTGATTCGGACCACGCTCGCAGGCACCAATTCTATTCAATGCAAAGTGATATAACTTCACAATTTGCTGCTGCATCCACATGTAGAGGATATTCGTAATCATGAGTCTATGAATAATATATTTGTCTTCTTGTTTCTGCTGCAGAGAGTCTAGGAATAATTTAGCAACTACACCAGGGATCCACGGGAACTTTCGCAATATCCGAAATAGTTGACAGCATCCACAATGCAAAAAGCAAAAGAGAGAGGGTGCTTCACATGGCGTGCATTGAATGCTGAAGTGACATCCTCTAGATTTCGCCTGAGGATTGCATATATAACATCACCACTGGCATTAAATGTTATCACCGACCGTCTGATCTAATGATGGCTCCGGAGATCCCACACCTCAGAGTTTATGATTACCTATTTCAAAGTAGAGGAAAAATAATCGAACTAAGCATAAGCTAATATCGAAAATCTTTGTTCATATCAAGGAATTTCTTACCAGTTTAAATTTAAAACTTATTATCCAATGTTATAATTTCTATTTCCAGTTTGGATCACATTATATATAATCGAGGTAGATAGCCAAGAGGTTATTCAGCCAAAGGCTTGTCAGGAGTAATACTTGCTAAAGTGTGCACATATTTAGGCCAAGTTTCCTCTTGAGTGCATACCAATAAGGCTTGTCATGAAGAAATTAGAGCGCATACCAATAAGCTCACTTGAGTTAATTCGGCCAGTCACCTATTTTGGTCACCACTGGCAGTTTGGCTCCCACTCGGATGAGCTCTGATAACTTTTCCCAACCTAAAAAAATAAAATAATAAAATAATATTAGAAAGCTTATAGCTATGGGTGTGCACTTGCCATTTCATCATTTGAAAAGGAAAAGTAGTTCATTCCCCGTCAATTTTACAATTGATTAATAAACCAAAAAAATAGCAGCACCAAGCTACACCAACCTGAAGTTCGGTCAATATTGAAATAGCATCAACCTAAAAGCACTCGGCATGTAAGAGCACGAAGACAATCAAGAGCTGCAGGGGATGTCACCATTCGAGGTTGGAGAAACTGAAGAAGCATGCTTTACACGAACAGCTTCTCTAGCTTGATGATATCCTTGTTCAAGCTGAGCACCAAGCCAAGCACGAAATTCTGCGGTCTCCAACTAAACCAGAAGCAACTAATGAAGCAGATGCCTGTGATGATGAAGTGTTACCAACAGATGATGGCATAGGTGTCAGTTCCCCAGTTCCTGGGAAATTCCTCTCTGAATTTCTGTCCCTGGAGTTTATAGCAGATTGATTTCCGTATTGCTGACCTTGCATGAGACTTGGCTTATTGCTTATTGATGAAGGATGGCACACAAGCTTTATTAAAAAACTCAATGCTGGTTCAACAATCTACAATTTTGACAATAAAAAATTTTCAAAGTTAATTGAGGCACAAATAACTTTAAAATAAACCATACGGTTGATGTGCAACATTACCTCAGGTTCATCATAACCATCACCATTTGCAGCATCCAAAATGACAGCTATACCAACCCGATCATTGGTCAATGTAGCATTCACAGAAGGTTTGCGACTATAAGGAATCAAAGTTACAATGTGCAATACAGCAAGTGCGTATGGAAGTAAATCATGCAAATAGCGCTCGACTTCAGGAGCCTGCAATACATACAAATAGATTAATACTAAGACAGACGGTATAGGTGCAAAATAATAATAATAATAATAATAATAACAACAACAACAACAACAAAACAATATAAAATGCAAAGTGACACCTGGCACAGCTCCAACATAGTGATATGACTATCTGAAGATAAAAATTTATCAACAACAGGCCAAGGAGCCTGGAAAAGAGCAAGACCAAGCTTCCGATCCTTCTGTATTTGACAAAATACAGCATCCATTGCTCATTACTGATGTCAATTGGCATGTAAGCTGCCCTTGAAGCATTGCAGGGTGCACTGCCAACGTTTTCGTTAGGTCGAATAGAATCCACAAGCAAGAGGAGATGTGCCCTGAATTATTGTCGCAGTTCCAGCCAACTCAACAATCTGATGGACAATATTTGGCGGAAGAGAACAAACACGCTCCATTATCATCTGCAAAAGTATGGAATGAATCAATAACCATCCTCAACAAATGATACAAAGCAGCAAGAAAATAAAGAGTAAACAACCAAATCATACCAAAATGTGTTGAAAGAATTTAGTGCAAGTAGAAACAACAAAAAATATGGATATTAGAAAACCAAGCAAGCAAGTTTTTACCTCCACAATGTTCTTATTCTCTTCAATCAATGTAGCTCACCGTTTGTTCGAGTAGATGAAGACCTGACATAGGATGTTTTGGCTTTAATATGTCCTTTTCCTTCCTATCTATGTAAAGGAACCATATATGATTATTAAACAAACTAAAAACTAATGAGATTTAGTAAAACAAAACAAATTAATGTATACTTACATAGTTTTCTTGTTTTCTTGTTTTCTTTCACGACTTCACTAATTGTCTTCCATTTTGCCCCCAACAAGTTCGAAATCTCTTTGAAGTGAGCATTTGGAATGGCTTTCTTTTCTGTTTCATCTTTTTTTCTCTTTTTTTTTTCTCTCTGTTTTTTTTCATCTGTTTTTTTTTAAACCGTTTTTTTCAGATTTTTTTTTTCTTTTTTCTTTTCATTTTTTTGGGTAGGCACAACATGTCCATTATGGTGCTGCATTAAAAAGAAAACATTAATGAGAGGTAATTAAGCCAATGATAAACTATCTCCTTCTCAAACACTTACCTTTTCAGCTTTGGCATCCAAAAGAGGATGAATATCTCTTCTCAACTTCAAAAAAGTAGTCAAACCGTACTTTTGAAACACATTCTTCATGTCCATCCCTCACCGGCAGTCTTCACAATCTGTTTTAGACAATTCAAATGTTAGTTTTATCTAACTCCAAATCAACCCATTTTAAAGATATAGATATTAGAAAACCAAGCAAGCAAGTTTTTACCTCAACAATGTTCTAATTCTCTTCAATCAATGTAGCTCAATGCTTGTTCGAGTAGATGGAGGCCTGACATAGAATGTTTTGGCTTTAATATGTCCTTTTCCTTCCTATCTATGTAAAGGAACCATATATGATTATTAAACAAACTAACAACCAATGAGATTTACTAAAACAAAACAAATTAATGTATACTTACTTTGTTTTCTTGTTTTCTTTCACGACATCACTAATTGTCTTCTAATTTGCCCCCAACAAGTTCGACACCTCTTTGAAGTCACATTTAGATTGGCCTTCTTTTCTGTTTCATCTTTTCTTCTTTTTTTCTGTTTTATTTATTTTACTTTCCTTGGGTAAGTATTGCATGTCCACCCCTCCCTGCCGGTCTTCAAAACCTGGTTTTAGACAATTCAAATGTTAGTTTGATTCAACTTCAAATCAAACCACTTAAAGAAGTAGAAATGAGAAAACCAAGCAAGCTAATTTACCTCCACAATGTTCTTATTCTCTAAAATCAACGTAGCTCAGCACTTGTTCGAGTAGATTTAGGCCGACATAGGATGTTTCGGCCGTAATGGGTTCTCCTTCCTATCTACGTAGAAGAACCATATATGATTATTTAACAAACTAACAACCAATAGGATTTAGAAAAAGTAAACAAATTCATATATACTCTTGTTTTCTTTCACAGCCTTTTTTTTTTCAATTATTTTGCTTTTTTCTGTTTATGTTTCTTCAATTTTTTTGCTTTTTTCTTTTGTTTTTCCTTTTTCTTTTTTTCTGTTTCTTTTCATTTCTTTTTTTTTTAACTGTTTTTTTTTCAGATATTTTTTTCTTTCTTTTTATTTTTCTTTTCATTTTTTGGGTACGCACTGTATGTCCATTATGGTGCTGCATTATAAAGAAAACATTAATAAGATGTAATTAAGCCAATGCTATATCATCTCCTGCCCAAAAAGCTTTGGCATCCAAAAAAGGATAAGTATCTCTTCTCAACTTCAAAAAAATAGCGAGACCGTACTTTTAAGCACATTCTTCATGTCCTTTCCTCACCGGCACAATCTGGTTTTGGACAATTCAAATGTTAGTTTTAGTTAACTCCAAATCAAACCACTATATTAGAAAACCAAGCAAGCAAGTTTTTACCTCAACAATGTTCTTATTCTCTTCAATCAATGTAGCTCACCGCTTGTTCGAGTAGATGGAGTCCTAACATAGGATGTTTTGGCTTTAATATGTCCTTTTCCTTCCTATCTATGTAAAGGAACCATATATGATTATTAAACAAACTAACAACCAATGAGATTTACTAAAACAAAACAAATTAATGTATACTTACTTTTGTTTTCTTGTTTTCTTTCACGACTTCACTAATTGTCTTCCATTTTGCCCCCAACAAGTTCGACACCTCTTTGAAGTCACATTTAGATTGGCCTTCTTTACTGTTTCATCTCTTCTTCTTTTTTTGTTTTCATTTTTATTTATTTTACTTTCCTTGGGTAAGTATTGCATGTCCACCCCTCCCTGCCGGTCTTCAAAACCTGGTTTTAGACAATTCAAATGTCAGTTTGATTCAACTTCAAATCAATCCACTTAAAGAAGTAGAAATGAGAAAACCAAGCAAGCTAATTTACCTCCACAATGTTCTTATTCTCTAAAATCAATGTAGCTCGGCACTTGTCCGAGTAGATTAAGGCCGACATAGGATGTTTCGGCCGTAATGGGTTCTCCTCCTTCCTATCCACGTAGAAGAACCATATATGATTATTAAACAAACTAACAACCAATAGGATTTAATAAAACTAAAGAAATTTGTATATACTTACTTTTTTTCTTGTTTTCTTTCACAGCCCTCAACAGGTTCGATGTTTGTCGATTGACTTTCTTTTTTTTTTTCAATTTTTTTGCTTTTTTCTCTTTCTTTTTATTTTTTCTCTGTTTTTTTTTTCATTTCTTTTAACTTTTTTTGTTCAGACTTTTTTTTCTTTTTTTTTTCTTTTCATATTTTTGGGTTGGTACGCATGTCCATTGTAGTGCTGCATTATAAAGAAAACATTAATGAGAACCAATGCATACTTATAATCAAAATACAGTTAACTTACTTAAAATATGCAGAACATTTAGCTTCAGCATAAACAACTCTATTTCCAGTGGAATCTGAAGCATCCTTGTTACGATGTTCTGTGAATATAAATAAAGCACAAATAATTAGATACTTAAAAGATATTAGAAAACCAAGAAATCCAGTTTTTACCTCAAAAATGTTCTTATTCTCTTCAACCAATGTAGCTCACCGCTTGTTCGATTAGATGGAGGCCTGACATAGGATGTTTTGGCTTTAATATGTCCTTTTCTTTCATATCTATGTAAAGGAACCATATATGATAATTAAACAAACTAACAACCAATGAGATTTAATAAAACTAAACAAATTAATGTATACTTACTTAGTTTTCTTGTTTTCCTTCGCGACTTCATTAATTGTCTTCCATTTTGCCCCCAACAAGTTCGACAAGCATTTGGATTGCATTTCTTTTTTTTTTTTTTCATTTTTTTTCTCTTTTTCTTTTATTTATTTAACTTTCTTTGGGTAAGTATTGCATATCCAACCCTCACCGACGGTCTTCAAAACCTGGTTTTAGACAATTCAAATGTTAGTTTGTCAACTCCAAATTAACCCACTTAAAAGAAGTAAAAATTAGAAAACAAACCAAGCCAGTTTACCTCCACAATGTTCTTATTTTTTACAGGTAATGCAGCTTGGCACTTGTGTGAGTAGATGAAGGCCGACATAGGATGTTTTGACCTAATGAGTTCCTTTGCTTCCTGTTGATGTAAAAGAACATATGTTATTACTAAAAAACTAACCAATAGAATTTAGTAAACTAAACAAATTTATATATACCTACATCGTTTTCATGTTTTCTTTCACAGCCACCCACAAGTTCGACATTTGCACTTTGATTGACTTTTTTTTTTCTCTTTCTTTTTCTTTTTTCTGTTTTTTTTTTTTTTTTTTTTTTTTTTACTTTTTCCTTTTTCTCATTTTTTTTTTATCTGTTATTTTTTTTCTGATTTTTTTTCTCTTTATTTTGTTCATTTCTTTGAGTAGGCACTGCATTTCCATTGTGGTACTGCATTATAAAGAAAACATTAAATGAGAACCATGCATACTTATAAATGGATTATCTGAGTTGCAATGCATAAAAGACATGAAAAATATATATTCGTAGAAAGTATTTCAATTAAAATATAGTTAACTTACCTTGAACAATGCACTCCAATCTTTCACCCGGAATCACAGCTAAATGGATAATAATAATGAGTGAACCAAGCTGAGCTCAACAAACCTCACCATGGGTAAGTGTATGCACTCAAGTTAAATCATAAAAATGACAATCCCATAGGCTTGCATGTCAATCATATCTCCCTCACTTAAGGGACCTAATGACAAGTATCAGGGGGTCTTTAAACAGGTGTAATGGGGCTCGGGGTATAGGTAGAAAAAAGATAATGAACGGCTAAAAAGTGTCGAAACAACAATGGAAAGAATTAAAGCATATCACTTGTAAAAACTGAAATCAACATTACATTGGTAACCGTAACTCCACTCATTTTTGTTTCTTTTTGGTTTTTTTGTACTTTTTTGTGCTGCTTCTTTTTGCTTTCTTGTTTCAGTATTTTTTTGGTTTTTTTTTTTTTTTGTTTTGTTGGGGTCTAGCCCCTTTGTTTTATTTTCTTTTTTGTAAACATCAACAACACTAAAATTTCCTTTTCTACATTGTATACAAGAATAATATAAATGATAGCCATAAAATTTCCACTCTTCCTTCGACACAAGGATCAATATAAGGTATAAATCCAAAAAATGGTATATGGCTAAAGGATTAATGATTAATTAAAGAATGAAAAGGTTATAAAAAGGCTCAACAATGTTAACTAGTGGATAAAATTTTGGGTAGGATAATTTAAGCCAAGTAGGTATACCTAATGCCCCCATCATCTTACTTATATCAAGTCCTTATGTGTGTTCAACATGCATTTCGAGGCAAGTTCTACAATGCCAATTTAGATCTAACATCACACATAGGAAGGAAATAAAATATTAAGCTCAGCAAGGTTCAAACAGTAATGGATGGCAAGTGAAATAACAATGTATCGACATAGTTGATATCCTGGAAGGGGGAAATATAAAGTCCATGAGCCCCAAACAAGAAATTGCAAAAGCAGACCAATCTAATCCAAGATGAACAGAAAATCCAACTTACAGGGTCCGGTGGACAGAGCAGAGCAGAACGAACGAAGGCCGGGCAAACCGTTGGTTTTTCTCCTTTCTCTCGATCTTCTTCTGCAATCAAACGAAGAAACTTGTAAAATCGAACCGATTCGATTAAAGAAAAATGAAAAAATCGAATGAAGAAGCAGATTGAATTTAAAATGGAAAACATAAAACGGATGATTAGGGACGACGGACTTTCTTATGGCCGCCGGCCGACGACCGGGGTAGACGACGGAAGACAGTCTCTTCCACGATCGATTTCTTCTCTCTGGACTTTCTCTTCTCTCCAGTTCCATCCCTCTCTCTCTCTCTCTCTCTCTCTCTCGTGCTTCTTTCTAGTTTCTTCCTTCCCGTTATCAAGTTTGGTTTAAGTATGGTAATAATTTTTCTTTCTAGTTTCTTCCTTGCCGTTATGAAGTTCGGTTCAAGTATGGTAATAATTCCAAATTTTTTTGGTAATAATTTTTTAAATTTTTATAACTAATATATTATTATTTTTTATATAAAAAAATATTAAATCAAATTATCTTTCCTCCTCATAATTAAATATTTCAAAATAGCTGAGATATTTTATTTATTTAATATTTTATTAATAAAATAGATAATTAATTTTAGCATAAATTATCTTTATATTTTATTTTCGGAGTGATTATTTGTAACTATATAAAAACTCTAAAAGTAGAAATTTAAATTTAGATTTTTTTTATAGTAACAAATTATTAATGTAGTTATGTAAAATATAAATTAAAATTTTAGATCAACGGATGTCATTTAATTAACATTATATGGTCTGTACAAGTTACTTTCTTTTGATAATTAGTAGTATTAATTAAGAAAAGTTATCAAATCAAATTTATTTATTTAATGCAATAGTTGGAAATTTTAAACTTTAAAAATGTATGCTATGTATTAGTTAGTTTCTTTCGGTAATTAGGAAAAGTAATTAAGCGAAGTGATCAAATCAAATTTTTTTTATTTGATGCAATTGTTAGGAATTTTAAATTTTAAAAATGTATAGTCAGTTAATTTTTGGTAATTGATAGTATTAACTAAGAAAAGTGATCAAATCATAAATTGATTGATCGGACCATTTTGGATTAATCGAAAATCCTTTAAAGTTGGTAAGATTCTTGAAAATTGATTAGAAAACTTATAGCCATGGATCCCATCACAATTGATTAATAAACCAAAAAAATAGCAGCACCAAGCTACACCAACCTGAAGTTCGGTCAATATATGTGCAATAGCATCAACCTAAATGCACTCGGCATGTAAGAGCACGAAGACAATCAAGAGCTGCAGGGGATGTCACTATTCGAGGTTGGAGAAGCTGAAGAAGCATGCTTTACACTATCCAAAATGTTCATCTTTTTATTGGAAAAATGCAACTTAATTTAAACCGAAGAAATAACTCTTTAATATGGTTGTCAAATTTGAATTCTGAGAGATTTTATATAGAAATTTATTAAATTTAATTTGAAAATTATATTTAGACGGCGTTACAATATTTTGAAAATTATTTAATACTTTTTTAACTATTTAGATTCCAATAATTTTTTTAGCCATGGTTGTGACTAATGAAGCGTGGCATTACTAAAATTTTCAAAAAGTATGATAAATTATAAAATAGCTCATCCTATGTGATTCTTCCTAAAAAAATACTTCAATACAACATCTTTTATTTTTGAATGAATCCAACATATAACAACAAAATAAGTAAGAAATATTTGTGTTTAGAAAATTTTATTCTTGGGATAAAAATCCACATGCATTTCACACACATACACCTCTCTCACTCATTCTCACACATACATACATACATATAATAATTCATAGAAATTTAACACAAGGAGCATGCAAATACATTAATTCAGACAAACTGGTCGAGGTAGCTCTCCACAGTTGTGTACTTAACATCAGGATAAAGCTCAGATGCTTCAACCCCAAATGATGGCTCAATCTCGAAATAAGTTTGGTCGCCGTTCACTAACACCGAATGATTGATCGCCAAGATTATGTTCCCCGGCACTGGAGACTCTGCAAAAAAAAAGAAAAAAAGTCCATTTCGATTCATAATTAATAACGCATATTCCTAACAGTTTAAATTTTTAGGTTTCGTACCTGCAATTTGTTTCAGCAGTTGTTCCTCAGGAACATAAACTTTATCCACCTTCTTCCCTATCTTCTTCTCCCACAAGGCCGCGAGTTCATTCACGGAGTACACATTCAAGCTAGGCTTTATATAAAGCGTTTTGTTCAACGTCCTCGGATCATCCACCGCCCTCATTGTGTACATGGCAATGTCCCGTTCATCGTTGAACACGGCTACACAATACCCAAATAAAAAATAAAAAAAACTTCTTTGTTACAATTCAACAAAAACAAATTAATGAATGTATGTAAAATACCTTTAGCATTGCCATCTCCTAAAATGACGAGTTTGTCCTTAGGCGGGGGTGGAGCAAACTGACCAGGCTGCAGCAGAGTGGGCAACGAATAGCCGGCAAAGTAATTACAACACACATAGGTGTAAGGAATGCCTTGAGCCTCTATGGCTCGTCTGATCCCAACCTTCACGGACCATACTGACTTGGCCGGCTCCACTGCCCGGGCTCGCTCCACATCCGACCCGAACTCAGACGGCAAGAACCTCTACATCATCCAATTCATCAATTAATTAATACGCATCATATATACTATTACCTCCGTCCGATTTAAGAGCAATATTTACTTTTTGCGTATTGATCTTTAAATATTAATTATTATATCAAAATTCAGTACAAATCAAGGAGAAAAAGACAAAAATACTTTATTACTGTACAGTAGTAGTAGAAGAACATTTATACAAAAGATTATACCAATATAATGATATTTTTAATATTAAATATAATGACGCGTAAGGTAAATGTAACATTAACGGACAAAAGGAGTACAATTTATTACATGTATATATTTAGACAATTACCTTAATAGGGTTTCCAGCTTGTTTGATGGCTGCAATGATGTTGGCTTGATCGGGCAACTGCATCTGCCCGACGGCGGAGATCACAACATCCACCTGCTTCACTGCCTCCACCAGGCTCTTTTCATCATTCAGATCGCCCTAATTGATTAATTTATCACAACAAATTAAATTAAATCGATCCTTGTAATATATATAGATAGGATGATGGGGTAATTGATTGATACCTGTAATATTTGGACACCAGAATTCTTGAAGGTCTGAATAAGGTTGTTCTTGGCAGGATCAGCAATGGTTGCCTCCCTTACTAAAGCAAAGGTGGGGTGCCCACACTTTGCACTGGCTTCCACTATGAACTTGCCAATGTACCCAGTCCCTCCTATGATCAAAACCTTGCTCTTCTCCATAGCTATAGATCTGATCAAGAATTGATGAATGAATGAATGAATGCCAGTTCTGTCTGTCTGTCTGTCTCTCTCTCTCTATATATATATGCATTTTTATTACATCCTTCGAATCGATCTCATCATGAACGCATGTAGTTTGGTATCGATTGGGTTAGGGTTTGTTGGAATGTAGTGCTCAAATATCAGTAATGGGTGGACATCCCCATCATTCGAATTAATGATTCTGCCATTTTTAGTGTCTGTTGAGTTCAATCCACTCAACTTGACAGTCATGATGATGGACCAGTACTACTGATCATTCATTGTCTTAATACTATTATCCTCACCATCATCGTTCTACACGTTCCATTTAAAAATAGTAAATATTTAATAATAATAATAATAATAATAATATCTTCTTTTAATACAATATTTAAAAATATGATTTGGTTGGTTAAGTCTTCCAACAGTCAACTTATGGGGCTTATGCCTTATGTATATATGTATGTCATTTTCATCATTGATAACACACAAGATGAGCCCATTGAGGGCCCAACTTTACATTTCTAATTTGGGCTCAAATTGGGCCTTTGGCCCTATAAGTACTACCCAACTTTGAAAGTTAAGACAAATTGAAATTAATATTGAAAAAAAAAAAAAACCCAATAATATATAATTTTTATTTTAATTTTTTAAATGAAATTCCATCCCATCCTCCAATCTTAAAAAAAGGGAAAAAGCATGGGGACTGACATTAGGTACATGTCCTATAACAACCTCTACATGGAGGGTCCCAAAAATTCAGTCTTGATCATTCAAAATTCTTGAAATATCATCCACTTTGTACCCAAACTCTACTGTTTATCTGTTTTGTTCAATCAATTCCAGCAATAATTTGACAAAGCAAATAATAGAGCTATAGCCATTATTATTATTATTATTATTATTATTATTATTATTATTATTATTATTATTATTATTATTATTATTGTAATCAAATTATTTTTGGAAATTGGAAATTCCATTCATGTCAAAGAAGCCAGCTTGCTTTCACCAATATATATTATGTACGTTCATTCATTGTCCCCTCTTCATATTTCTATATATATAATCTAAATAAATCAAATTTTAAAATATCCCAATTGTTTTGCTTTGTGGATGCTATACGGTGTCGTTTTGCGATGGAGGATATTGTGCCTGTCTTTTAATTTGTGGTATTAAGTTTTTGGGGATTTTTTTGTTACCGAATGATTAAGGGAATGAGAAGAGATTTGGGTATATTTTTCAAGTTTTAGAATTTTTCAAAAAAAATATATATACATTTGAAAATAGTGATAAGTCTAATGTTTTTAGTTTAAAAGATGTTCATTGTAAATTGTGCATGGCAAGTAGAATCGATCTAGTCCGTACGATTGTTCGTTGCAAAATGGACGGTGAAGATTGGGCTGGCGTTGGGATCCCGGAACTTCCAAGAACAACTTGTATAGCTGACCGTTAATTTAACGGCCATGAATATGAAATGGAGCGGTTATTAGATAAATATATCCAATAAATAATAAGCCTAATAAAAAATAATCAAACAAACGCCAAAACTACTTTCGATTCATCGAAACGCAGAACAAAGTTTTTATTTTTTTCCCAGAATCCGAGAAGCTTCTGCTGCCGTCCTGCTATTGTAGCGGTGGCGGTGGCGGTGGCGCGGCGGCGTCTTTCTGATTGAGTCTCCCATCGTTCCTTCCCGATTCGTAACCCTAATTTCAATTTCTGTTCATAATCACGATTTAATTCGACAGAGAATACAGATTTCTAGAAAAGAGAGATATAAGAGATCTGATCTACGTTGCTAGGGCGTAGTATAGTGGGGGACATGATGGGATTCTTGACGTCTTCGTTGGGCTTCTGATCCACTGGTTTCATTATTCTTTAATCTTCTCGAGACATAGGGGCCCCTTTTCATTGAAGAAATTACACACACACACAGACACAGAGGGAGATTAATATATGCTTAATATTTGTACGTGGGCGTGGTTGTGTTTTGTACAAGGGAGACATCGAAACGTGAAAAAGGGCTTATTAAACTTGGGATCTGGCTCGTCAAATTTGGGATTAGGTAGCGATGAACTCCCCCTAGATTTATGCTTTATTAGTAGTTAATTACATTCAAAGTATCTGCCTATATTTCTATCGATTTTGATTCAAATATTTGAGGAAAAAAGAAAAAGAGGGAGGAGAGGTCAAACAGTCACTCGCCTCTTGTCAAGAACTTTCCTTATCTGCAATTGGGAATTTTCTTGAACCCTAATTTAATCTTCCTCTGTTTTCCAGATTGAGGTACCAGAAGAGTTTGGGGCATTCAATTATTACACGTATGTTGTTCTTTGGTTTAAACCCTTTTCGAATTGTTGTTTCCTGGGAAAAAAATTAGCTAGTTTGTATGTATTTTCTTTTCTACAGTGTTGGTGGGAGGGAAATGTCATTTGCCTCTATTTTGAGAGATCTTAAGGGGAAGAGAGGCAAAGATAGCAAACTAAAGCAGCCAATTGAGCATCGAAAATGTGAGGTAGACGATAGAAATTCTGATGCTACTTGTGAGGAATATTCGTCGTCATCGTCTTCATATTCATCAGTGCAAGATAGTCCATGGGCGGGGTTGCCCCCGGAGTTACTTCTTGATATTATTAGTCGAATAGAGGCGAGTGAGACTACATGGCCAGCCCGGAGGGCTGCAGTTTTTTGTGCAGCAGTTTGCAAGTCATGGAGAGAAATTACTAAAGATGTCATTAGGACACCGGAGGAATGCGGTTTATTGACTTTTCCTTCGTCGTTGAAGCAGGTTTATTTATAACAAATGGCTCTGCTTGGAATAATGTTATGTTCTTATCATTATTGTTTCTTGGCTTTGTTTTGAAATCTTGATTATATGTGCATCAGCCAGGGCCGAGGGATTCGTCAATTCAGTGTTTTATCCGTAGGGATAGAGCCACATCGACGTACAGATTATATCTTGGATTAAGCCCCTGTAAGTGATGAACACTACATTTCTTTTGGTTCATTCTTGTTTCCTGATTTCTCCTGCAGCTTCTCCTTTGATTCACAAATTTGCACCAAACCAACTTCTTGATTAGATTAAACTCTCCATTTTATCAACAGCTCTTTCAGGAGAGGCAAGTAAATTGCTGTTAGCGGCGAAGAGGATCCGAAGAACTACAAGAACAGAATTCTCGATATCTTTTGCAGCAAACGATTTTTCTCAATCCAGCTACAACTATGCTGGAAAATTGAGGTCCCTCTGTTTGAATCTTGGTTTCCATTTTCATCTATCTGATGCATTTTGTTCTCATCAAATCATGTGGGGTGAATTTCTACCAGGTCGAATTTCTTCGGATCCAAGTTCTACATTCACGACTGTCAGCCTCCGCCAAGCTCCGCCATTCAATCCCATGACTGCTCGCGGAACAGAATTTCATCAAAGAAAGTGTCGCCAAGACTGCCTATTTGCAACTACAAAGTGGCGAGTATAGCCTACGAACTCAACGTTCTTCGCACAAGAGGTCCAAGAAGAATGCAATGCACTATGCACACAGTTCCTGCTTCGGCAATTGAAGAAGGCGGAACAGCTCCTACTCCTCCAACATTCAGCTATGGATTTGATGAAATTCTTTACCCCGCGACAGATCCTGGAGCTACACCAAAGGAATCTCCATTCAGTTCAATGCTTCAATCCAGATCAAAAGAACCATCTCCCAATGTGGCGAGCGAACCATTGATTTTGAAAAATAAAACTCCAAGATGGCACGAGCAGCTGCAGTGCTGGTGCCTAAACTTCAGAGGCCGAGTTACGGTTGCATCTGTCAAGAACTTTCAGCTTGTGGCTGCAGTCAATCCCTCGCAGAATGTTCCAGCTTCAGAACAAGATAAAGTGATCTTACAATTCGGGAAGATTGGGAAAGACATATTTACCATGGACTATCGATATCCACTTTCAGCTTTCCAGGCATTCGCTATCTGTTTGAGCAGCTTCGATACAAAGCCTGCTTGCGAATAATCGGCCGTTTTGATTCTCTCCATGGGAAGTGTTCTGTAATCTTAAACAAGAAGTTGTGTGCATACATTTTTCCTTTTGTGACTTTTTCCTATTTCTCAGGTGGAATATAATCTGTACTACCATCACTCTTGAGAAAGTTAAGTTCTATTAATAAGATGCAATGTTTATATACAGATACATATAGATTTGGTTCTTACAGTACCATGACAAGAGCATCTATGTGATTCTGTTTATTCTTCATTCCGGAACATGAATGAATCCGGACATGCGAACTCCTGGATTCCTTTCAGTGATGGAAACATCAAACACAACAGAGTTATTGATTCCCTGTGCATTATTGTTCACATATGTCTCAGGTTGATCTTCTGTAGCCTTCGCATCGTCGCCTGTCCTTTTCTCCGCAGAATTTCCATCCCTATCGATGGCTGCATCATCAATTTCATCAGAGAAAAATGGAGCTTCTGTTTCTGATGAATCAGACCCTATTTCCATCGATGCCCCTTTGTTTTTTCCTACAAGGTTTATCATCACACTTCCATGTTTGTTGTAAACAGGCTCTTTGGGATCTGCAACCGTCATTTTTTCGATGAATTTTGAGATGAAATTCTTGATGCCATTTTGCAGGGGGGAGTGATCTCCTCCTGCAGGAAGGGTAGCTTTCTTCTGAGCATCAGAAACTGCACTTCTTTCTTCTGTATCTGATTTCAAAATTTTCGACGTCTCATCCATCTGCGCTCCATCGAATGATTTGGGAAGATCGAAAGGCTTGTGGGCTTCTTCTTCATCAGCTTCAGAAATCTTCTCTTGCAGTTCTTGCTTAACTTCATCATCAGGCTTCTCTTCTGATCCAATTTGAGATTTATGTTCTCCTTGAACAGGATCTTCAGCATTAGTAAGCATGGCTTCCATCGAATCGGATTTGTTAGGCTCATCGGTAGCTTGAGCTTTGATGGAATTATTACCATCATTTTTAGTGTCGGGCTTCACCCGAGATTCTTGACTTGAGATTCTCTGTTCCTTTCGTGGAGAAGTCTCCGGCGCAGGCGTACTCTTCGGGGAGTCATTGGATGTTTGCGTAGGAGAGCCAGGAGTTATCTGCGACGGGGTCTTAGGTTGTGAGGCCATTTGTGGTGTGTTAGAAGCCATTTGAGATGGAGATAGGGGCTGAGAAGGTGATCGAGATTCGCGTGTCCGATGAGAGGACGATATGTCGATTTGCACATTGCCTGAAATTGACCTTTTTGGGGAGTGAGCTGTAGAAACCGGTTTGTCAGGCACTCGATGTTCTATTGGAGGTGGGAGGATGAACGAGGGATGGTTTCCGATAGAGATTTCCATGGATGGAAATCGGGAGGGGCCTTTGGCAATGGTAGTGTGAGATTCGTCGGCATTTTGGGATGCCGCCGATGTGGCTGCTGAAGACCAAAACCGGAAGGGAAACAGCGGCATTCGCAGTCGATGATTCGCCATAAATATTTGAGAACAATGATGGAAGAAAAGAAAAGGATGGCTCTATGTGTTTTGGTATGTAATAAACTTGTGTTGTGTAGTTTTCTTGTGTGATTCACATTCTTGTTTCATTACCTTTTTGTTGAATCAAGCTTCCTTCTGAACTCATGGCTATGATCTTACTTCTTGTCTTGGACTTAGAAGTGATTCTTTCTTCTAGTTTTTGATCAAACTGGTTCCTGAATCCTTATGGGAAGTTTAGGACAATTATAAAAAATGTATGAATTATGCCCTGAAAAGTACAGAAAGGAACCATTTTTAGCAAAACGACCTCTCTTTCTTCTCATTCAAGGAAAGAATTAATCTTAGGGAAGACAAGCAATGGATTAAGGCAAAAGCATCAACCTTCTGTTGCATTTTAAGAGACTAAATCCTCTTCTTCAATCTTCTGCAAGTTCCAAATTTGAGCATCGTTTCTCCGCACAAGGTACTCCGACAAACTTCGCTTTATTATTGACATAAAAAAGCATTCATGTATTGCTGTTAAGAAATGAAAGAATCTTTCTGTCCCAAGGTTTAGCAAGAACAAACTAGTCGTAAATTATACTTACAGGATTTGAAGATGCAAGGCTTCCTTCAAGCAATCCGAAAATGCCATGAGCAGTACATCAAGAAGCTCGGTGATCCTAGTATAACAACAATGGAGCTGATAAAAACATTTTCAGCACAAGGGCACAACGTATCCTTCCCACCTGCAACAAAGTCTCGAGATGGTCTCAATGATGCTGTGGTGGAGAATGGCCACAGCTTACCACATAAGGGGTTGCAGAATACAACAGTAGCTGAGGTGTTAATGACAAAGGGAGAAGAAAAGGTGGGATCTTGGCTATGGTGTTACACAAATGACACTGTCTATGATGCTGTGAAACAAGTGAGTCTCTAAGCAATTCGACAAACATAAACACATTCAGATATAACTTATACCAGAACTATGAAATAAGTTCATCTGGAAAAATGCAGATGGCGCACAGCAATATAGGATCATTAGTGGTTCTCAAGCCTGGAGAACAACAGCTAATAGCAGGAATTCTCACAGAAAGAGGTATTCCTTCAATGCACTATTTATTACATGAATTCACGATGCGAACAAAGAATGCCACTAAAATATGACAAATAAGTAAACCAGTAAGTTCTCTTTAGTATGTATATGTGTTAACATGTTTAAACAGACTATTTGCGGAAGGTGATCGTACAAGATAGGTCCTCCAAGTACACAAAAGTAGCGGAGATAATGACTAATCAGGTTGGTATTGTTTATACTCAAGGCTCTTGTTTTGGTCACATGCATTTCGTAATATCTCTTCTAACTTTGTTTCATCTCTTATAACAAGTTAATAACAGTGACATCAGATACAAACATTCTTAGGGCAATGCAGCTTATGACAGGCAAGAAAATAAAGCAAGCAATACATAATATCGTGGCGTGATTTGCAGCAAAATAATAGAATATTTATACTTTTGTAGAGAATCACATTCGGCACGCCCCAGTTATAGATGGGAGGATAGTGGGCATGATCTCCATTGTGGATGTTGTTCGGGCGGTATTGGAACAGCAACAGGGAGAAGTGAAGCAGTTAAACGAGTTCATTCAAGGAGATTACCGTTAGAATAGTCTATAAACAATCAAGAGATCAAATTGAAAGTCTCCAGAAGCCCTTCAAACTGACACATGATATATATAATTTTCTTCCAGAAACTATCATTCTATCAAAAGCAAAGAAATGATCCTGAGAATGGAAGATAGAGAAAGATGTATGTCCTGTGACATCAACCATGTACTAAATAAACATTAATCCCAGCAATGCCAATGAGAAAAGGTTCGCTTGCTTAGTAGTGATCAAAATGGTGCGGCATAAAGCCATATTGATCAGAGACAAATCCATTTTATATGAATGACAGCCTTAGAATATATAATATAAATCAATAAACCAAAAACGATATGGGACATTCATATGGAATCCCATAAATCAGACAGGGTGAATACCTTGTAAAGTATGGCTCTGATGATAAATAAAACATCAAACTCCAAACTAGAAAGGAAAAATGAACATTAATTATTTCCTGAAGTGCAATGCATCATTTTCAAACTGACTTGATACATTAAAGATGTCCACAGAAACAACATAAAGTTCAATCTTCAACAAAAAATGAGGTCAAGCATGTCACCATCTTTGTAACGGACCTGCATCAAGTATAACATAGGCACCACAGTCCATTTTATTGAAGGACCAGTGATCTATCTGTCTGAGATGATTCCACTGTTGATTGTTTGGCTTGAAAAGTGAACACATAAAACACGTTTAAATTTTCTGCAGATACTTGATTAGGTTCCGGTAGACTAAAGCTTCAGAACATCAAATCAGAATATTCCTCCTCCAAGCAACAAGGCATTATCCTAGGTGATAATAGAATTCTCTGTTCATTTGTTGCTTGATTGTGAGGCCTTGGCCTTGGTGCTTTTATTGCTCTTTCCCATTGTTTGAGATGCCATCAACTTCACCTTTAGAGCATTGGATAATTCAAATCCTTGACCTTCCATCAATCCTTGTATTCTTTGAGCATCTTGCATAAAGCCACCATCTATAAGTGAATTGATAATTCTTTCAAATTCCACAGGCTCCAGTTGCTCAAACTTTGATTCTAGAACTCCTAAAGATTGAAGTGCCTTCTTCTCGGACCCAGCCTTAATGTACATGTCACAAAGGCTTACGTGGAGCTTAACTGGTGGAGCCTCACCCAGTTCAGCAATCTTACCCAATATCTGCTCAGCTTCATCATAGAGCCCCAACTTACTCAACCAATCAACCATAACTGTATAAGTAGCAACACCAGGCTCCAAGCCATCCTTCTCAAGCTCAATAAGAAGACTCAAGGCATCATCCAAAAAGTTCTTCTTTTCATAAGCGCCAATCATATGAGCCATGCATCGGTCATCTGGCTTGAAACCAAGCTTCCTCATCTGATCAAAATTTTGTTGAGCACGGTCAAGGTTACCTGCTCGAGCACATGCTTCAACCATTAATGTACAGGATTCAAGACTTGGTTGGACACCCAGAATTTCCATAGCAGTGGAAGTTCGGTTGGCTCCTTCAAAATCTCCACGCTGAGCAAAGGACTGAAGCAAAGCCATGTATATCTCCTTTGTTTGTTTTATGTCCCTATTTTCCATCTCTCTCACTAAAGATTCACCAAGTCTGGGTTGACCAGCATTCACATAGGCCATTATCAAGGAATTATAGACCTTTGTGTCCGGTTGAAATCCATGCGCTCTTAATCCATCGAATGCCTCTTTTGCTTGATCAAGATTTCCTGATTTACAGTACATGTGAACTAAAATGCTGGACATGATAACATCAGGCACAATACCATTCTCATTCATCTTTTTCAGAATTCTTTCAGCATCTTCCAAGCAATTCTTTTTGGCAAGAGAATCAATCACCTGAGAATAGTCACGGATGTTTGGTTGGAAGGACTTCTCACCAAGTGCAAATTCTGCAACCTAGAACAGATTCAAATAATAAAGAATAATTAAAGAACATTAGATAGAAACACTATAGAAATCATAAGAATCCGAGACTAACTTTGAGAAAAAAAAAAAAAAAAAAAAAAAGATTTCTAGAAAAATCTAATTGCAATATTGAATATGCTTTCACCACCCATGAAAATGCGATAGGAAGCCTCATTATAACTTAGGAATGACAAGAACTATAGAAATGTTTAAATTCACCAAAATGTGTTCCTACTGATAAAACCAACAGATAATCTTAAATACCAGATTCTTCAGTAAAGAGGGAAAAAACATACCTTAAAGTAAGTATGAGAATTATGATCTTTCAATCTGTCAAGAAGAGAAATCCAGTCAACCCTTTTAGGTTGGACAAGCTCTATCCATTCACCTAAAATGGGTGCAGGATCATCCCTTTCTTGTAAAGAGAGGATCTTATCAGTAACCAATTTGGACCGACCAGATAATGGCTTTGGCTCCTGGGGCCACAAAATTTCACCACTCTCTTGAATTTTATCAGCCACCTCAGCCCACTTTGCATCAGAAAGATCAAGTCCATAAATCTTGTATTTAATCCTCCCGTGTCTCTGGGGAAGCGAGACAGTCTTCTGTTTACTCCCTTCATCTGCGTTATCAGTGTCTCCCATTCCTTCTACTCTACTAACAGTACTGTTTACTGATTGCTCTTTCTCTTTAGTTTCTCTTTGGGCTTCTTCCTTCCGAAATCGCTCCAAACTCTCGTAAAACTCACTTTCCTCCATCTTTTCCCGTGCCCACTTGAACCTGAGCTCTCTTAGCATCTCCCCACGAATGCCCACTTCACCAGCAAACCTGTACATCTCCTTAACTTCCTCAGACTGAAGAAAACTCTTCATTTTCTCCTTTTTCTTTTCTTTCTCCATGTCTTGAAGAACAACATTGCTGACATCCCACACTGTTCTCCATAAATCCGGACTGAAATCTTGCGAGGACGCTGATGCAGACGCCCCCATCATTTGCTCAAGACCACCCTTTTGCAACTCTGAAACAACTTTCCCGACAATAATCACAAGCATCCCATCAATTGTATTCTTGTCGCATCCAGGATAAGCTTCATTGAGCTTTTTAGTCATTATCCAAACAAACCGGGACAAGAACTCGTTCATGGTAGCATCCTCTTCGGATTCACATTCCAAATCGCTCGAAGAATCTTCTAAACTAACTCCTTGTAAACTGTGCATGTATCTACCTTGAGGCAAATAAAACTTGGGATTATTAGGCCCACTATTGGAAGATGCACTGAAATCTCCTGATGTGTAAAATAAGGGGCGTGTGTTCATGGTAGCCGTAGCAACACATCTGTAACCAGACGATTGTGATGACCACATCCTGCCATTGCTTTTTGATAGATAACCAGCATGTCTGCTAAACAACTGCCTTAACGTCATGTTTATCTTTCTCCGTTGCATTACGCCTACAAAGAGAGCCAACTAATATATGGTTCCAATTATTACAGCTTGGATTCACTGCAGCAAAAGTTCAAACCAAGAGTAGAAGTTACCAAGAAATCAAAGTGAAACAACAGGGATGATGATTCCCTGCACGTTTGGAAGACACCAACAATACAATTGGAAAGCTAAGAAAGTACAAGTGCATTTTCAAGCCAATCCTTTAAGAAAACAATTGACGATTATATATTAAACTTGACACCATAAAAGCACTGAGCGAAATCAATTCTGTTACAAAAGCAATGCACAAATCAACAAAACGGCAAAACAAGAAGAACCCGTGCAATAAAAAAAATAAGAATAAATAACACCAACATTCAGATTCCCAAAAACAAAAATGAATCGGCGGAAAACAAGAATATCACAGCAAATGACAACAATAATACTATTCCATGCAATACTAGAAAATCAAGAGCCTAGAGAGAACCTGAAAGCTCAGCTGACTTAAAAATGGTAGAATCCAAGCGGACTGAGACCTGAGCAGTGAAACGATCTGGCAACGCCCAAAACCCTATCAGAACCCTTCTGCCGTTCCAGGGAGCTTGAACCGGGTTCAACCCGGACCCGAATTTATACCAGTCGGGCTCGATCTGAAGCTCCAACGACCTCTTTAATTTAATACTATAATTGTGCTTCCGCATAATTGTACTGGACCAGAGCCCTAATTAAATTGGGCTTTATTGTACAAATATAAATGGGCCTAGCCCAAGAATATATACGGGACAGATTCCACCATAATAGTTATGTCCATCAGTCAATGTCACAACTACTTTATAAATATTATTAAAAAGAATAATAATAATAAAAGTAGTCTATAAATTTAAGCCTTATTTCTTTATAAAAATATAGTAATAAAAATGAGATTAAATTTGTCGCCTGAAGGAGATAATAATTATGAGATCAATATAATATATATAATTAAAATAATAACAATAATAATAATAATAATAATATATAATTTATGAAATAGGTCAAATGTGATAAGCATATAAAGTGTTTGTGGATGCACACCTCATCACAAGTCTATCTCCTTATCTTTTGGAACATTTCTCATCTCATCTCATCTCATCTTCAAGGGATCTTTCAATATATCTCATTGCCCCGAGCCTGCATGCATGTATCTTTCTTTTTAGTTTTTACCCATCCCATGCCATGCCATGCCATGCATGTTGCTTCAGAAACACTGAACTGAAAGCATAATTAGATGATTCTCTACACAATTTCTGTTAATTAATTAATTAGGTCAGACATGTTACATATATACTATATCTATGGATTCTCAAGTATCGAAAGGGCTAGGGGGTGGGGTGTGCATGCAATTTAGTTATAATTGGTTATAGTTTAATCTGCCCATCATCAGCATGCAATTAGCTAATGGAAGTGCAACAAGATTTGATGTTGAAGTTGAAGTTGAAGTTGAAATTTTAATTTATCAAGGAAATTGAAGATTCCTGAGTCAAGCAAATTAGCTAAGAGGATCGGATGTGAAAGGACGAATTTCAAAAGAAGAAAGAACGTGGAATCTGGAATCTTATTTTAAGGTAGGACATGGCAGGCAGCAGTAACCTAGCTAGCACAGCATTAGTTGTATCTTTATATATGATCAATATATATATATATACAATGAAATCAAAGAAGATCTTGCAGGATTGGGAATCGATTCCAAGAATGCGATCGAAACTAGCACAGTGGTTTTAATCACATATATATATATATATCCTACTAGCTAGCTACAAATAATAATATTGATTCCATTCCAAACAAGTGGGTGCCATCGATTACCCTTTCAATTCGAATGCTCAAAAAATTAAATACCCATCTATATATGTATCTCCCAAATCAAAATAAATCCCTTGCAACTGTACCAATTACAATTAAAGTAAAGATTGGTTGTAAAGACATGATCATATATCCTAAGAAGAATATATATTGAAATGTAATGTAATGGGGAGAATTAAGGTACGTTTGTTCTCTTTAATTTGTTGGGGCATGCATTATATTGGCATCTAATCTTAAGAGGTGAAAGAAAGAAAGAAAAAAAGAATTGGGTTGAAGGGATCTAATCCCTAATCCTCTTCGTACCCACCACCAGCTTGTAATAATAAAAATTCCCCATGTAATCAGTCCACTTGCATATACATATATATATATATAACGTTATTATTCTTCGAACTGAACCATCCATCCATCCATCCATTGCCTGGTATATATAGGCTCAAGTCTCCCAAATTCATATAGCCTCTCACCAAGTGTGTAATATTATAATATTTAGGAATTAATTTAATTAGGTAGGATGGCATCGAGCTCCATGTCGACGTGGACTTCGAAGCAAAACAAGCAGTTCGAGGAGGCCCTGGCGAGGTACGACAAGGACACCCCCGACCGGTGGCACAACATCGCCCGCGCCGTCTCCGGCAAGTCCGCCGACGAAGTCCGACGGCATTACGAGGTTCTCGAGAAAGACATCATGCAGATCGAAACCGACCAGGTCCCAATCCCTAATTACGCTCACAGTCACAGACAAACCCACCTAATTAATGCCAGAGGATCATCAGCCTACGCCAAGACCACCAGAGGTATACATACATACACACACATATATATATACATACAACTCTCACTCTTTTGATCTGCAACTAATTTGTTAATTAACTAACTGCAGGTTTCTGAAGATCTACGTTCCACTCGTCACTCATCAAGAATTCACTTAAAAGAAACATACATATAATTATATATATGTGTGTGTATCAGAGAGAGAGAAGTAATTTGTTTCAGTACGTACTTGGTGTATGCTTGCAATCCGATAACTGAGTGCTGTTAGTCGTCGATTAGTCTGAACTGTTATTATTAATTTCTCCCCACAAGAAAAATAAAAAAATAATAAAAAATAGTGATGTGTCACATGTCAGCTACTTGTTGTTTTAATTATTCGTGCAATGTAAGTAAATTTTAGAATTCTTTTAATTATTCGTGCATGTATAAACTCTCGACCGAACGTAATATCCTACAAATTAGGCTTGATAGACAAATCCCACTAGGCCAACATGCATAGCAGGTGTGACGTGAAGCCATATATTTAATATGAAATGAAATTAAAGGGTCACTTAATCAAAATGGTTGTAAAAATACCATTAGTTGGTAGCTAATAAGCACGATAACAAAAATAAATAAATAAATAAAATAATAATAATAATAATAAATAAAAAATGGAATAACAGAGTCAAGCCATATAAGTGTAGTTGTAAAGAGATACATCTTACACTAGCATATAATTATATTAGTGAAGTTAATGTAATATATATATATATATTAATGAATGTATTTTAAATTCAATTTTAGTGACATAAATAAAATATTGACGACGTTATTACATTTGGGGTGTGTTTGTTTGAGAGATTTGTTTGGATTTCCATTATTCATCCTTTTTTTTTTTTTTTCAAAAATATCAAATCAAACACCTATTTTTTATTTTTTATATTATACTGAAAATCAATTTTACATTCAAAACATCACATCAACACCTATTTATATCACATTATACAACTATTCAAATTCAAAATTTTTATTATTCAAATTCCAATTTAAAATCCAAACCATCGAACAAACACACCCCAAGTGGCCGTGGTATTTAATTAATTCGAGTTGACCATTGCTAACTGGCAAATGGCAATGCCCACTTCTCTTGTCATCGAGAAAAGGATTGAAAGTCCACGGTCATCCTTTTGACACGTCACACATCATGTTATTCATTACAACTCCTGGGATCTCTATTCCTGCGACGAGCTACGATGGCGATAGCCGTGGCAATACCCCCACATTATGGTTTCCAGATCCCGGGACTCGCTACTTTCATTCTGCAAAAGCTACCGCCACGTCACCACATCCTCACTTTTTCTCTCAATTTCATTATTATTATTATTATTATTATTAATTAATTATTCAAATTTACTATAGACATTGGAAAATTCGGAGTGTTTTTTTTTTTTTTTTTATTGTTTATATGTAGTATAATTTTTAATTAAAAAGAAAAAAATGTAACTTGTAAGTTGGAACCTTTTTATATATGGTTCATAGGTATGTGCTAGTGCTACATTTAATTTTGTTCCATATGGTGCTACGCCTAACTCTTATTTTATTTCTATTAAATTATTTATCTATGTGAATTCTATTCTACGATGCATTATATAATGTGCTTTTAACCTGTACAATGTAATAACAATTGTTATTTATATATGCATGCATGTAGCGTTGCTGAATTAAATTAAATTAAATAATGGTGCAGAATTATTAAAATATACAGTGAGAGAGTTAGCTGGTCAAGCGCACTTGTAATTAAATTTTCACCTGTCATTCTTACCACTCAGCATAGGAAATTTAATCTCGTACAATAAATTTGGATTTAATTCTCAACTTCTATTGGTTAAAATTTATTGGGTCAAATAGATCATATAATACACTGCACTGCACATATAATTTGTTATTATTTGTACCTTAGTCTATATCCATCGAGAGAGAATTTTATTTAATGAAAATAACAATATGTATATAGTTGGTTAATCGTTAATAATCATAATTAATTGAAAATTTAAAATTCAAATAAATTATAACATAATATTACTCATCAGGACTAGGATTCGATGAAACTAAGGAATTGAACAATGAATCGATCAATTGGGGGACATGCCCTGTCTCCAATTTATTCACTTTAATTTTGCCCAATCTGCACTCAACTACATTAATGTTTGATTTAAATTAAATTACAATGATATCAATAATAATAATTAAATTCATCCTAATTACATGTTGTTTATCACATGTGATCACTAATTATGAAGCAATTAAATAAATAAACATATATAGGAAGATAATGATGATGATCAAAATCAGTAAGTAATATATGAATATGATAATAGTAATGAAACGTTGATTAATTCTACAGAAAGTAAGATAGAGGGATAGGGTTGTAATTGATAATTGGTTGATTTGAGGAGAAAGATGGGGAGAAAAGAATCCCCAAATTGGAAACCCTAATTTATCAATTACATGAGGAGTTGGGGATTTTTCTTGGAGGAAGAGGAAGAGGAAGAGTTCTTGTTGTTGTGCATCCAAACTTTGAAGACCTGTCTCTTCACCCCAACTTCGGCGCAGAATCTCTGAACTTCTGAATCATCCTCTCTCGGGATCCTCCATCCCAATTTCTCCGCGAATTCCAGCATTCGCTCCTTCTGCTCCGTCGTGAACTTGGTGCGGAACCGTTTTTTCGCGGCGAATTGCGGAGGAGGAGGCGGCGGCGGAGGGGCGGCGCTGGAATGGAAGGCGTTGAAATTGAGCTCCTCACTGGAGGAGTCCGTACCGCCGCCGCCTCCGCCGCCGGCGAAGGCCATTTTCATCGGGTGGACCATGGGGCCCCAGTGAGCGGACCGGTGCTGGCTCATGGACGGGGAGGGCAGCGGAGGGGGGAGCTGGAGGGGGTGCACGGCGGCGGACTCGCCGTGGTGCTCCTTCCGGTGGAAGTTCCGGTGGCAATTGCAGGCGGCGCACTTTAGAGCCTCGATTGTGCCTTCTTCCCCGCTGGGCATGAATTCGCCGCAGCCATCGGTAACGTGACCTCCGATGTTGGCGGCGTGGTTCTTTAGGCACTCCCGGTAGCTGATCCTCGGCTTCGATTTAGATCCGCCGCCGGAATTAGGGTCGGAGCCTCTGGGCTTCTCCGCCGTGGGGCTTACCGGATTTTCGAGGAGGGAATTAGCGTTGTAACCTAAAGAGGAAGCTGCTGCAGCTTGCATTCTCAAATCCTTACCGTCTTCTCCAGAAGCAGCAGTAGCAGCAGCAGGTAACGACGACGACATTATAATTTTCCCTTTGATAAACCCTAAAATTATCTCAGCCAAACAAAATTTTCCTTCTTAGCAGATTGAAATTAAATCAAACAAGTTTTTGTCGTATTGGAGAGCAGCAGGAGCAGAAGCAGAAGGCAGCTTAAGCTTAAGCAACAACTCAAAAAGCTTAAATCTTGATTTATCGACTGGTTCCCAAGTAAGTACCAATCACCTTTTTTCTTCTGCAAATCTCACCAACCCTCATTCCTAAATTTATGAAACCAATTAACACCCTAATTAAGTCGTTACCGATAACAAGACAAAATTCTAATCAACCAAATCACATACTAGTTTGTAAGTATATAATATATAGAAAACCCATTATTATATCCAACAATCGATACAGCAGAAAAAGAGGGCCACCTAAAGACCCCAAATCAAAAACCACCCCCCACAAAAGAACTCATAATAATAATTATTATGAAGACTAAACTTAAACCATATCTACTAAAGGTGGAGACGGAGATGATGAAGGAAGGAAGGGTAGAGATGAGAGAAAAGCTGTCTAAGTTTGGGACTAAACAGTGAGAAGAGAAGGAGAGATTAAGATGAAAAGCTGGGGGTGGGTGGGGCGGGGTGGGGTGCGGTGGGGTGGGGTGGTGGTGGGTTTTTGAGTGTATATGTTTCAGTGGTTCCAACAGCCAACTAAGTATCCAACAAGAGACAGGTTGGTTGCTTGTGATGAAGCTAAGAAGAGAGAGAGATGAGTGGGAAACAACTACTCGTGAAGTGATGAGAGAAGAGATTAAGAATCGATGATGATCTGATCTGAAGAGAGCACAAAAAACAACCGACAATGTCATGTTCGTCCTCTCCCACGCCCTGCCACTTGGTCCCATCCCACCCCACCCTCCATTATTGCCCCCCCCCCCCCCCCCCCCCCCCTCTTTTCCTTTTCGTCCCATCCTTATAATTAGCAGACAGTTCCCACGTACCCTCTTATATATACATACATATCAAAAGATGGATGCCAACCCTCTTACTGAATGAAGAATTACATTACATTCAATACAATGGAGATTTTGGTTTCTTGGCTTCCTACCTCCCATTCTCTCCTGCTCTCTCTCTCTCTCTCACCAGTTTGTTTTTTATAAACATTTTCTTGTTTTTATAATAATTAATTGCACAGCTAGTAGTAAGTAGTACGTAAAGAAAGTAAGCAGAATCAGCCCAAGCCATTAATGGAGAGCTTAATTAAATAAAGTGAAGAGGCCTTAATATAAGCCATTTGGGGCAAGTAGTACGGCCAAGTGCAGCAGGATTGAGTACATGCTATTTTAATTTGTGTGCAAGTATAAGTAGCAAAAAATATATATATATATATATGGTGGATGATTGTGTGTATGTGTATGTATATGTATATGCCATACACTATAGTATACTGTGGTGATGAGCTCTGCAATTTTGCAGCACTCCCATGCTTTCCCCCAAGCAACCTCTTTAACCTTTCTGTCATACACAACACCAACCCTTCATTGCTGCTACATTTCTCTACAGACACACACACATATAGATATATAGATATAGATATATACAACCCAAAAAAGAAAAAGGGAAAGCTTTGGGACTTGGTATCCATAGCAAGAATCTACCCTTCTATCCAATTGAGTTTCAACACTAGTCTGCAATATGCCATTCATTGGAATCAGTTCCTCTATCTTCACGGGCCACCATTTCAGAGAGAGAGTGATCAACTGTAAGTATTTACATAAAGCTAAATGATGCGACAATAAGACACACATATCTTATATGTATATATATGTGTGTGTGTGTATGTGTATGTGTGTGTAATCTGTTGGTAGTAGTAAAGTAGATTTTAGATTGTAAACGCATGAAAAACATAGGAAGGTCCCTCCATGGCTAGAGATCGAAGATATGCAAAAGGACCACTCTAGTAACCACTACCATATATGCTGATGATCCAAGAATATTATTTATATACATATATAGATACATAGATATGTGTTTGTGTGGTTGAGAGAGAGAGAGAGAGAGAGAGATTTGCAAAGTAGAAACTGGTCAGTTAATGAACTCAAAGTGGCTTGTATATGGTTGTTACCCAAGAAAACATATAAATGGGGTGAGTGTGAGAGAATGAGAGAGAGAGATTCAATGATAGAAGCTTTAATAACAAATTGACTAATTTGCCAATGCAAAGTCTAGTCCTTATCATCGTAGGGCCCAAACTCTTTTTTCGGGTTACAATGCCAGTAAAGTTTCAATATTAATTGTATTCTTCGTGCAGAATGGGCAGAATGATCCAGCTTTGTCTGAAAACGATGCTTATTCTTACTCACAAATTTTATTTTATTTTGTTTTAAAAAAAAAAAAAAAAGAAAAAAAAAAGAAAAGAAGAAGTTATTCTACTGGACACTCCAATATCATCTGTTGAATCAAATATTGATTGGGGCAAAATTTGGGCCTAATATCCATTCTTTTTTTCTTTTTTCTTTTTCCAATGTGATAAAATGGGCCTTTGTGAGTTCCTTTGTTCCCAGATTTTAGAAATGGCAGTGTACTTATTTGCACACACGATTTTTTTATAAAAGGGACAAAGTAAGAATAATACCTGTCATGTTCTTTCTGTTCAACGCCTGCAGCAGATGATAAATAACGTATTGCATTTTATTGTACAGAAAAATTATCAAATCAATCATTGACAGAACTCTCGAGAAACAATGCTACAACGTCACAGAAAATGACACTCTGTCGGATAATTAAATAGAATAATTGTGGCTGGTGTAGACTTTTTCAGTTAACAAAACTTGTACACTATAATTTTATAACAAAACTTGTTACAAGAAACCCACACAAGGTTTTAAGACAAGTTGCTGAACAGCTGTCGGGATACTGCTCGGATACAGCAGCAGCTTCACATGCTCAAAAAGGGTAACAGGAATCCAGAGAAATTATAACATATGAAACTGTTGATTACTTTTCTTTAAGTGTTAAAAGGGGTGATGAGTGATGACAGCTAAAATTTCACAATAATGTTTCCAAGAAGACAAGATCCAAAAGTGTAGGAATACAACCCAATACAATAAATACATATTAATACATAAGATTGAAACTTTTAGCATCTATGAAAATTACTAAAAGACAGGAAGAAGCCATGGAAGTGACGAGTGATCAGAAATTTACTACATCCTGGTTAAAGGACAGTTTCTAAAGATGATAAATATAGGAAGTATGTTGCAATATTACAACCCCCAAGATTGGATATTGCCTAATGTAACAGCTCTAGCAGATACAGAGAACATGAAAGAGATAATACAGTAGTACAACACCAAATCAATGATGGATGATGGTATCATGTGTTAAAAGATTCTATGTTCATGGGATACCTGTCGATGCAATCGTGCCAAGGGCTGTTTTTCGAAGGCTTGACATTGCGGAGCGCCTGCCACACAGCGCTGTTACATTTGAAGCCGCTGCCGAATGCAATCTGCCAGATTCTATGGCCTCGCCGGATCCTCCCTTTGCCCTCGATGTATGCCAGTTCGTACCAAATGGAGCTTGATGAAGTGTTGCCAAATCGATGGAGAGTCATTCTTGAAGCTTCAACGTGCACCGGTTGCAGCTGCAGATTCTTCTCCAGCTCATCGATCACAGCTCTTCCTCCGGCATGTATGCAGAAATGATCGAAAGCCAGCTTAAAATCCGGGATATAAGGCTTCACATTCTTCTTAAAGAACTTCTTGATCACCAGTGTAGCAAAGAATAAAAGCTGCTCGCTTATCGGCAAAACAATGGGACCCAAGGTCGTAATATTGGTCTTCAAAGCCCCACCTGCAATGGCCATGATATCTTTCGACAGAGAAACTCCTGTCTTCCCCGACCCATCCTCCTCCTGATACACACATCGATAAGCCTTCTCGTCCGCACCCTTATGCGTCCTCACCACATGAACAAGCTTGTACTTGGCCCTCCTCTTCTCCCCCGCCTTGTTCGACAGCAAAATCGCAGCACCCCCGACTCTGAAGAGACAATTCGGTATCAGCATGGCTTTCTTGTTCCCAAAATACCAATTCTGTGTAATATTCTCCATGCTAACAACAACAGCATAGGTATTCCTATGCACCTGCAGCATATCCTTAGCCAAATCAATTGCAATCACCCCTGCACTGCACCCCATACCCCCAAGATTGAAACTCCTGATATTCCCCCTCAATTTGTACTTGTTCACAATCATAGCAGTTAAAGAAGGTGTTGGATTAAATAAGCTGCAATTCACAACCAAAACCCCAATATCCTTAGGCTTGACCTTTGTAGTCTGGAACAGATTGTCCAGAGCCCCAAACATCACCTGCTGAGCTTCCTCCCGAGCAGCCTGCATCGACGGACTGGGTGGAAGATGATGCAAGGCTTCTGGAAAATAGGTCTCGTCGCCGAGCCCAGACCTTTCCAGAATCTTCCTCTGAAACTCGAGCGAGGATTCATCGAAATCCCCTGTCAACCGAGAATGCTTCATAAACTTGCTTAACGGCGCCTTGAGAGAATCCGGAGGACGATAACAGGAATATTCAACCAAGTAAACGGGACGGGGGCGAGTCATGATGTAAACGGTGGATCCGAAAACTACGAAAGCGGAGCAAATGATAACCGAAACGAGATTGTATTGCAAATGCAGCCACACTTGGCGTAAATCGTCGGGATTCATTTGAGAAGCTTCGATAATCACGATAGCCATGATCGGTACTAAACACAGAGTTAATAAATGAGAGATCAAGTAATGGTAACCCAATTTCACGTACTTTAAGTGGACACTCTGGAGGAAATCTGGAAGCCTCCGGCTCTGTTGGATCCGGACGCCGACCGCAGCGCCGTTCGCCGGCGTCCCTGCTCCTGTTCCTCCTCCCCCTTCCATGGCAGAAAAATCTTCCCTTCAACAATCAACCAATTTATGCAAAATATATAAATAGGGATTAGGGTTTAGCAATAATAATCTAGAGATTGGAGATTTGATTCGAGTAGAACAAGAAGGAGAGTAACAGTGGGAAGCGAGAGCAGCAGCAAAAGGAGATTGACTATGGCGATGGGCGTAGAATATGCTCTCGTCGACACTCGACACTGCTCTGCCTCCCCAATGCGTTTTACAGCTGTACGCCTCCCTGCATTTCCGTATTTTATATACACAATATATTCATACATAGGCTCCGCTAATTAATTAAAGCTATTTAATGAAATAAATAGTAAATATACTTATTTCATTAATAAATAAATAAATAAATAATTTATAATATAATATTTCAGATAAATAAATAAATCCAGGTACATAGGTTGCTATAGTTATCTTTTGAAGAAATAAAATTTGCTATTAAATCAATTTTTAATAATAAATCGTACTTTGAATGGTGTCATAATTATAAATTGATGTGAAATATATATTTATATTATTAAAGAATAAAAATACATACATACAAAATTATCTTTTAATTAGTTTTTATTTTTTTTTTCTAGTATATATAATTGCTGGTGTTATCATCAAACATTGCAAGTAGTAGTCAAAGGAAAAATGGTAATAATATTAAAATAAAACTATATATTTTTAATTAAGGTGGTTCATCAATGGACGACGGGGAAATAGTAAAAATATATATAATAATTACGTAAGTGTAGACAAGTCATTCATACATCTTTTATTAGTAAAAATATATTACGTTTTTGTACTTTTTCTATAAAAGATTAAAAAAAATATTACTCATTTGAAAGTTTCATATTAAATATTTTTCCAAATGAAGTATTATATGAAAAAGAATACTTAAATATAACATATTTTTTATTCAATTTAAAATTTTTTGATTATTTTTACAAAAATCCAAAATACAAGGAAAATATATCTCACTTTATAGAATATCAAACCACCCCAAAATATTTCACATCTTCAATTGAACTGTAAAAAGAAAATATTACTATTTTTTTCATTTAAAAATAAAATAAAATAAAATCGATTAATCGTATAATATATTAGGAAAAGACAGGTATTGAAATCGTGGGAGTTAATGGTAGAATCCAGATACGACTTCATGCGTGCAGTAGACACGCGTCGAAATCTGAACTACTCACCTCTGTAAAGACACCACTGCGGCACGGAAATAAATTGCCCAAGTTTAAGGAAATGGAGCTAGTGGATTTTAATTTGAATTTATAAGAAAAAAAATATTACTAATAAAATATTCATAAAAAAAATCAATTAAATCCAATAATAGTCATGTTTACATTTTTGTCCGTTTTAAAATAATAATATTATTTTTCATAAATAATCATATTACTATAAAATTATCTTATTATTATTATTAGTCACGGCTTTTTTACTGATACACTTGTAAGGGCAAAAAAAGTCTTTTAGTCGTACTTTTTATCTATTGCCAATATAATATCTATATTTTTTAAATCTCATGCAAAATACAACCGGAAAGCAAATATCATTTAACTATAAAAATACAAATTAAAGGTTTTCAGTTCAAATATAAAGAAATACAATTGATTCAATTTATTAATTACTAGAAATAAATAAATAAAAATTTGTGTCTCGGACATTCTTTGTATTTTAAATATAAATTTTTGTTGGGTGGTTGCAACAAGTCTTACATAAATAAAATGGGTAGTTTATTGCCATCGCGTGGTTGTAACCGCAAAGTGGAAATTCCGTCAAAATTAATGTGTAATTAATAATCATAAAGGCTATAATAATGATAATAATAATAATAATAATAATAATAATTAATAAGCTCCTAATATATTGGACCCATCATCATAAAATAAAAATTAATGCTGATTCACATTGGACGAAAATATTAAAGGCAGGCAGACCCGTTATAAATATTTCGACAATTGCAATGTCATTAATGTTTTTCCTATAGAATTTTGGGTTTCTTTAATTAATCATCATTTATTATATGTCACAATCTCTAAAATAGTCGAATAATCGTGTTTTGAAGTAATACAAAAATAATTATTAATTGTAATATAATAATTGTTTAACATATAATGTATGTATTATTTGACTAAAAATTCGTATTTTATTTAAAACTTCTATCACAATTTATTTTTATACAAACTATTATATAAAAATTATTGTTACTTTAATTTATTTTATTTTATTTTATTTTAAAACCCATTTTGAAAAGTCAAATTAAATATATGTTACAAACTTTTTATTTCTAATTGATGCTTGGTAAAAACACTTCTATTTCTAATTCCCGTGTCTAATTACACTGAAATTTATGGGTGTATTTCTTAATATATTTTTATATTTGTGTCTACACTATTATTATTATTATTATTATTATCATTATTATTATTATCATTATTATTATTATTATTATTATTATTATTATTATTATTATTATTATTATTAAATAACCTAACATTCAAACATCATCTAAATTTTATTAAGAAATACTTTTCTCAATATTTAAAAAATCAATTCAATACAAACAAGCACACTAGTGTCTATATATTTTTTAATATTACTAATTTGTATCAGGATTTTAGTAAAAATATTATTGTTACTTGTTGTCACAAAATAATAATAATAATAATAATAATAATAATAATAATAATAATAATAATAATAATAATAATAATAATAATAATAAGGACGCTATAATAAATTTGAGACAATATACATGGTTAGTTACATTGTCCCTTTGATTATAAACAGCCCAACTTTTAGTGGGCCTTATTTTTTTTAAAATTGGTTTCAAATGCAGACTGTGGCATTTTTTATTGGGCTGAATTTTGTGAGCTAAATAGATAGTCACTTTTTTTTTTTTATATATATATATATATATTTTATGAATTTGATTGTCAACAGTCAGCCAAAGTAAAAAATAATAATAATAATAATAAGCAAATCAGTTAAAATGAGAATAATTTAAAATTTAGAAAAATAGAATTATAGTAATTAGGAAATGGGACGTGAGGGTATTATTGTCTTTTTGCTCTTGCCAATCTCATCAAATAAATAAATTATTAATCACATTAAATGAGATATCATTTTAGGCACATTATTATCGAATTCTCCAAACCCATAAAATATTAATACTTGCGGAAATAGATGAAATTTTGAATGTCTCAACTACTCACATGATTCAATTATTAATATAAATATAAAAGTGTTATATATTATTATTATTAATTATTTTCAGATATATATATATATATATGAATCAATATTTTTCTCCTTTTGTTCAAACGGATGATTGCGATATATGTGGATGTTTAATTTAATAGCTTTCGAGTTTGGCAACAAATGATTCGAACACGGTGCAATATCTTCATGACCACTTTGTCATTTATAAGAGAATTAAATTGTCAAAAAATAACAGGTTGGAAGATATTTATTGATATGATTATAATATAAACACTTTTAAATCACAAAGAAACACTCTATCATACACAAAAGTTAGATATTGACTTTGTGTTCATTTAATTAACAATATGAATTATATATATATATATGCAAAACAAATTAACAGGAAATAATAATAATAATAATAATAATAATAATAATAATAATAATAGTGTACTTTTATGTCTATTTGTCCAAATGAAAATCATTGATATAATCTTCAATGCATTAAAAAATGTATTTTTCCCTACATTTATTTTTCGTTTAATATATATTTATAAAAATAGTTGTTGGATCAATTTAATAATATATATAATTTTTGAAAAAATTGTGAAAAAGACGTCTTTCTTTAAATGTATATAATTGTGGTGGTTTTAATATTATTTAATGATAATTTTTAAAAATATTATATAATATCATATCAAATGCATTAATTATTTACCATTAGCATAAATTTTCAGAACTTCGTGACACTCAAAAAGTTTATCTAAGCAAATTCATAATTGTGTTAAAAATAGATTTATTATTATTATTATTATTATTTTATTTTAATTACTTTTTTATAATATAAAAATATTTATTCTGAATAAATTTTTGACTGAAATGAAAGACGTGACGTGAGGTGTTCCTTAATAATTGCGTACCGGAATTCCTCAATCATGTAATAATAATGATAATAATACTCCCACCGTCCCAAGTTATTTGTCCCTATTTTCTATTTTCGTCCGTTCATATAAGTTGTCCTTTTTATTTTTTAAAATATAATTATGCACTTTAATTGCATTTTAAATTTTAAATTTTATAATTTTTTTAATTTTAATTAAACTATTTACTTATCTTAATCTTAATCTATAATTATTTTTACTAATACGCTTCTTAATTACTTACTAATTATATTTTACCTAAATTTCCGTGTCTACAGTAATAGACTCATGTTACATGGGACGGAGGGAGTAATAATATTAATAATAATGATAGTAATAATAATAATAATAATATTAATAATAATGATAGTAATAATAATAATAATAATAATAATACAAGCAAGCGTACGCTCAGACTCAGTCAAACCACTAAAGTCTTGAAGAGCTGTCTTTATCCGACGTGGACATTTTTGCCATGTGGGCCCTTCTGCGAACGTGTCGGGTACCACGTGGACTTTAGAGTAACGTTATCTTGCGTACGTCCAAACTGTTTTATTGATTGAAATTATTGCCACATTTTATTATTATTATTATTATTATTATTATTATTATTAAATAAAAGTGTTTTGTTTAACTCGTACATTATTGGATCGAGTTAAAATATTTGTTACCAAAAATTCAACACTTTTTATAGGTAAAATGTTACATTTACATTATATGGCTCCATTGACAGAAATTTTGAAAGTTTGAAAAAAAAAATAAAAAATTAGTAATAATTGATTTGATTATTTATGATAAAAAAAATATACTTAATTTAATATTTAATATTTATTTACAAACTATTATATTATATATGAAATTTTTTTCACACATTCAAATAATAATGATTGAAAATTCACACATCATATTAAAAAAAAGAAAAAAGGAAAATGTTAACAAAGACTATGGCTGACTAAGATATATCCAAATACCAATTGTAGCATTAACAATTGGATACTATCTAGTTGCAACATTATTTTCATTTTTATACTGATGGACCTGGTTTGCAGGATATTAGGTTCAATCAAAAGTTTACCCAATGCGCACTCTCGAGTAGCTGTTGCGGATTCCCACATCATAAAATAATAATAATAATAATAATAATAATAATAATAATAATTAGGGTAAACTGTTTTTTAGTTCAGTTCCGTAACTGACCCTTTATCATTTTAGTCATGCAAGTGGAGCATGTCGCAAACTAGTCCCATAAGTAAAATTTTTCGCTGTTTTAGTCCTACGACGCCAGAGACGCTCGCGTGGCTCTCCGGAGGTGACGTGTCCGCCAGGTTTCCCACCAGATCAGCTACACCTGGCGGACACGTGGATTTATTATTTTTTATTATTTATTATTTATTTTTTTTAAATTGGAACAAATAAAAAAAATAAAAAAATACAAAAAATTTAAAATAAGTTTTAAAAAATTAAAAAAAAAAAAATAAATCCACGTGTCCACCAGGTCAGCGATACCTGGCGGACACGTCACCTCCGGCGAGCCACGCGGGCATCTCCGGCGCCGGAAGACTAAAAACAGCAAAAATTTTTCACTTATAACACTAGTTTCCGACAGGTTCCACTTACGATACTAAAATGATACGGGATCCCAGTCACTGGACTAAAAAAATAGATTATCCTAATAATTATTATTATTATTATTATTATTATGGCGGCGTTAGAATTTCAGCGCACTGTTTCTAGTTGGTCTATGAAATGTGAACCTAATTGGACCCAACTAGGACATGGACGTCAACGTTGACTACTTACAAAACTTTTATCACAATTATTAATTCATTTATATTCAATTAACATCCTCTTATGTACGTATTTGATAAAATTTTGATACTGCCTCCGTCCCGGTTTGCTTTTTTCACGTATATTTTGAATATTAGTATTATATTGAATTATAGTAAAAAAAAACAAAAAATATCCTTATAAGTATGGTGTAATATAAAAATGACATTTATGTAATATATTGTAAGTTGAAAGGGTATTTAGCATCTTAAGTAGGTAGTACAATTACTAAATTAAAAAATGGTAACTTTGCTTTGGGACGAACGAAAATAAAAAATAGTAACATTTCAATGGACGGAGAAAGTATTATAAATTAATAATGGTATATATAACATATAAATATATTATATTTTATGAAATATTACATCAGAAACACCAATTTGTTTATTATGTTCAAATTTTTTTCAGTAAAATGATTCCCAATCCATAGATTATTATAAATTATTCAATTTGTTTATTAATTCATTCCATCCTTGATTGCTATCTAATTAGAGTTTCTTTTCTCAACAATGTTTAATTCTAACAATTTTGTTAGCTAATTTTCAAAAATAAAATAAAATGGTACATATCAATGTCGATCTACTTAAACTAAGCATAAAATGAAGTCTAGAAGGAAATCAACGCAATTTTTGTTAGGAAGCCAAACAAATTATACACTCAACCTTAAGGGTGGATAAAAAATCCGAACCGCTATATTTGATATTTTTTTAGTTTAGTTTCATTATAACTTTTAAAATTTGATTCGATTATCAAATATATGTATGTTTGTGTACAATCATTTTATTTTGTATATAATTTAATTCAACAGCATGGCAACAATTTATTCTTAAGACATTGAGAAAAATAAATAAAATAAAATTCAACGCTGACTCGACCAGCTAACAACGTAGACAAAAAGCGGATTGAAGACTTGGTCAGAACTGGAAATTAAAGGGCCGTATGTATATATTCTCATTCCCATTCCCATTCCCATCCTCGTGTAATAATAATAATAATAATAATAATAATAATAATAATAATAATAATAATATATGTCTCGACAAGTAGTAACAAGTAACAATTGGCAAGTCGGCTACGTACTTGTATTCAATAGTACTATCTTAATCTCAATATTTTATTTATTTTTGTGTTTTTGTGCAATATTTCACAGTAACATATTCAGAAAATGGATAATGAAAAACATCGTCAACACAATTTTATTAATTCATAAAATCGCAATTGATAATAATATAAATATTCATTTATATTGATTGTATAACTATGCAAAAAAAAAATTCATGAATAATAGTAATATTTGAAAAATCGAATAATTCAAGGATGTTGATATATTTGCATGGAATCGAACTGGCACAGTATTTTAAATAATTTATTGTAATAATATTGAGGAAAAAAATCAATTTTGATCCAAATATAATCAAAATTGATTAATTTTGGTCCCAATATAAAAAAAAATCATCAATTTTGGTTATATTGGAACCAAAATTGATAATATAAAAAATTCGGACCAAAATTGATACACGGCCATGTTATTGGGACCAAAATTGATGAATTTTTTATATTGGGACCAAAATTGATTAATTTTGATTATACTGGGATCAAAATTGATTTTTTTTTCTAATATTTATTTTCACATAAATGTTTTTCAACGTTTCATTTGGACGATTTTGTGGTGGGATCCATTGTTAGTTTTTTTTTTTTTTAAAAAAAAAAAAAATATTAAAATGATTTATTGAAATAATTAAAAATATTGGAAAAAAAGATGGATGGCTATTTTTTGTTTATTTAATATATATTGTTTATAGTTTGTAGGTAATAATATTATCCTTTACTATCCCTGTGATTCGAACCGTCGCCATTGGAGTTGAAGGTGAAAGCAGCACTGGAACTGCGAACTCCGTTCCGGCACGGGGAGAGTAGTCAAGCGCGGGTGGCCGGAGCCGCCGCGGATTGTCCCGGAAAAACCGCGTCGTTCATTAATAGCTGCCGTGTTTGTTATGATAGCAACATTAGCTCTGCACGTTTGAGGTCGTTGAAGAGCGTCGTTTTCGTCATTGAATACTTTACTCTGCTTTGAATACACACCACAAAGCATCTAGCTCGCACGCGAAAAGGTTCGTTCGAGCTCGCATTGATATGGAGAAAGGACGAAGCTCGTGATGATTGAGGTATGCGCATTTACACCGCCATGCGCCTCTGCGCTTCTTTTGTACTTACACTTGGCGTAGTGCAATCGCTAGCTCCGACATTCATTTTGTGCCCTAAATTTTCGATTTTTGTTTTGGTATTTGATGTAGAGGTGGCTATGGTGCTCGTAGAGTAAAATTCAGCAGAGGAAGTGGCTACAATCGGTTTCTGAATAGAAACAATGGAAGCTCGCTCGATGTTTCTCCTTTCGGTCATATACTTGTTTCTCAACTCAGCGGTATCCCAAACTGTGAACAATACCGAGTGGCGTGCTTTACTGGACCTCAGAGCATCACTCGGAATCAGAGCAAGAGATTGGCCGAGGAGAGTTAACCCCTGCACGCCATGGAAAGGAATCGATTGCAGAAATGATACAGTCATTGGAATAAACTTGTTCGGTTTAAGAAGAACTCGGAAAGGAAAGCAAAATCCACGGTTCTCTGTAGATTCTCTATCGAAACTTCCTTCGCTAATTACTTTCAACGCCTCAGGATTCGTGCTGAACGGATCAATTCCAGAATGGTTGGGCACGAGGCTAACTAATCTTCATGTTCTCGATCTCCGATCCAGTGCGATTTACGGCTCAATTCCTATGTCAATTGGAGGTTTGAGCAGGCTTAATTCTTTATATTTATCCAACAATTTCATTACTGGAGGTATGCCACCTGCATTGGGGAATTTATCTTCGTTGTTAGTTCTTGATGCTTCGCGGAATTTGTTGACAGGGCAGATTCCAACCGAGCTTTCATCTCTTCATAATCTTACTAGACTTGACCTGTCTTCAAATTATTTATCTGGTGGGATTGCTCTTAGTTTTACTTCACTTTCAAGGCTCAAGTTTCTAAACTTAAGTAGGAACAGCCTGAGTGCAGTCGTTCCACCTCAGCTTGGAGATCTTCCTCAGCTAATGGAACTTGATCTTGGATTCAATTCTTTGTCTGGTTCACTGCCTGAGGAGCTGAAAAGAATGAAAAATCTGAGAAAGATGTTGGTTGGCAATAATAAGCTGCAGGGTCCATTGTTAGATGGCTTATTTCAGAACCTTACACAGCTGGAAATTTTCGATGTCTCCAGGAATAATCTCACCGGTGGTTTCCCGAACCTCAATTCTTTCAATACCACTGGTAGGATCTTCAACTTATCTACCAATCAGTTTTATGGAAATTTGAGTTCTGTGATTGGAAATGGAAAGTTCCAAATCATTGATCTGTCCAACAATTATTTTGAAGGATCAGTTCCACATGGAGCTGCAGGAGTCACCATTATCTCTTCTAATAACTGCTTTACAGCTTCTGGTCAGAGAAATTCTGAGGTCTGTAGGAAATTTTACTCGGACAAAAATTTATCTTATGGTAATGATAAGAGCGGAGAGCCAATTCAGCCTCCAGTTTCAGAAAACAGTAAGAGCAGAAAGAGATTTTCATACATTATGATTGGAGTTTTTGGTGGTCTTGGCTTCATTGTAGCTGTAATATCAGGAACAGTGTTGCTTATGAGAGTTTGCAGCAGAGTAAGAACAGATAACAGTGGAGGAGAGAATCCAACTATGAGAGCTGTTCCAGGAGGTACTGATCAATCTCCCAAGCTTTTCATCGATCTTTCTAATTTGGGACAGGCATTTACATACAGCCAGATGCTCCAAGCAACAGGAAATTTCAGCAAAGCAAACCTGATTAAGTGCGGGCACTCGGGAGATCTGTTCCATGGCATACTGGAAGGAGAGCATCGAGTAGTTATTAAGAGAGTCGACCTGCATTCATCAAGAAATGAATCAGTCATGTCAGAGTTGGATTTCTTTGGCAAGGTGTCGCACCCGAGATTGGTCCCTCTTGTGGGACACTGCTTAGACGATGAACATGCCAAGATTTTGGTGTACAAATACATGCCGAATGGAGATCTTTCTAATGCTCTGTACAGGTTAACAAATCCAGAAGAAGACTTGCAGTCTTTGGATTGGATAACCAGACTGAAAATTGCGATAGGAGCAGCCGAGGCCTTATCCTACTTGCACCATGAATGCATTCCTCCAGTAGCCCATAGGTATATTGCATTAGTCATAGACAATATATAGATAAATCTGCTTCCAATCTGTTTCATGTTTTGCTAGTTAATCTTCTGTATTCTATGACTCAATTTTTAGCATAATTATCTTTTCCCATGTGCAGAGACATTCAAGCTAGCAGCATCCTTCTCGACGACAAATATGAGGTTCGACTTGGAAGTTTCAGCCAAGTATGTACTCCGGGAGCCAATAATAACAATCATCAAAATGTGATTTCAAAGCTGCTTCATGCCCCAGGGTGGGTTTTTCACATTAATATCTTGTTATCCAGTTTCAAGATAATTTATTTATGCTATGGTATTTATCACCTGTTCTATTTACGTCATCGATTCCAGGACTTCTGGAGAAAGAGACAGACCTTCTGGTAAGACAAGTCCCCACCAATGCAAGAAAACCAAGTTATAATTCAATTCTTGTTTGAACTATACCAACCATATTGTATCCCATATATTTCCAGGATCGTCGCCTATAACCTGCGCCTACGATGTGCACTGTTTCGGCAAAGTCTTGCTTGAACTTATAACAGGGAAGTTTGGAATCAGCAGATTAGACGACGACAAGACGAAGCAATGGCTGGACGGCAGTTTACCTTTCATAAGCATGCATGAAAAGGAACTGGTGATGAAGATTGTGGACCAGTCCCTCATAATAGACGATGATCTTCTTGAAGAGGTATGGGCAGTGGCAATAGTGGCAAAGTCATGTCTGAATCCCAAGTCTTCCAGACGCCCATCGGCGCGGCAAGTTCTTAAAGCATTGGAAAACCCCTTCAAAGTCGTGAGGGAAGAGACATTTAATTCTGGGGCTCTGAGATCAGCTTCATCCCGACAAGCTTGGACTGCTGCATTCCTTGGCAGTTGGCATCGCAGCTCGTCCGACAGCTCTAATAGATCAGGCCAAGCCAACAGGGCAGGATCCCGGAGCAGTGGCGCCAACGATCATTCATCTTCGCACAAGAGATCATCCAGCGACGTTTTTCCAGAACCTGGGCACGATTTAGAAAGACAGGATGGAAACAGCTAAAAGGTTTGGTGTGTGTTTAATTAATATAATGCAAGAATGTAAGCCTTTAGAGAGAGAGTTAATCTCCTCTTCGATTTTTGGGTGTGTGTGATTGTGTTTTCATTGCATTTGCAGAATCACATGTGTACAGAAGCTCTACTGTAAAGATTGGAGAATATTTGTGATTCATCATTTGCTTCGACTTGATAACAAAGATGATCGATCATATTATACATTTGCCAATTGCAAACAGCACAAGATCAGGTTTTCAGAAGAACATCAAGCTGTACATGTTTTTGACATAAAACCCCACACAAAAGCAATAAATATATGTATATATATTCATGGAGAAAGGATATCGAATTCATGGGGCATGAAATCTTCGCTCGGTCTGTAGTATTTGTCCGGCGAATAGAGGCTCAGGTTCGTCACTTGGCTGGTATAAAGGCAAGCGAATCTTTCAACCTGAAGATTATAGAAGAATAAAGATTGAACAATTCGATGTCGTGGAGTGCATTATATAATAATTATAGGGATGGGGATCTTGAAATGTTGTTTCACCTGATGTGCAAACCGCGAATTTTGATATCCCGTCTTCATCAGCTGTCCCCATACCTTGTGGAACTGAGAATACCACAGTCAGAAAAAGTGATTCAGTTATTATTCTAGATAATATCCATTGGTGTAATGATTTGTTTGTGTACCTTTTGATGGCATTCACGTTGCGCTTGTTGGTGACTCGATCGCACTTCCTCCAGCTGAGCCTGACACGACAACAGCATTTCAGTCCCCGAATCTTTAGATTCATTGAAAATTTAACACATCCCAACAAGTCAACACAGCACATGGAGTAAAGGATAATTTTAACAGATTACTTTTGGTAAGTAAATATCACACAGCAGGCTTTAGATTTCGAAGATCATTAACTTAGCCCCCATACTTGCCAATGATTATTAATATCTTCGGTGCATCACAAAATCAAACAATGCTTCCTCAATCAAATAATAATGGGGTAATGCAGTCTATTTTGTCGAGCATCTCAGCATGATATTCTAACCTGTAAGTAGTCAAGCTCTGCCTGTGGCTCTTCCTCATTCACAACATTCTTATCAGGCCTGTTATAGATAGAAAAAAATAATAATAAAAAAAAAGTGTACAATATAATTTTCTAATGCTGCAAGCATTTGGGAGCTTAAAGAAATGGTGAGGATTAACATAAAAAAAAAAAAAATTATGTACTTCTACTTGTATAAACCACCACGACTTAAAAGCGTATAGCATCACTTAAGCAAAAACTGAAAGAATTGAGTACATAATTACCTGAGAGACCACTTCAGATGATGATGTATCTTGTCTTCAATATGGTCACGCGTATTCCTCAATATTTGAAGTTTCTATGAGAAGTTAGACAAAGGAGTTGGCAATAGATGTAAATAACCAAATGAAGAATCCAACAGAAAGGATGTAGCAGAAACAGAGAGCATATCAGAACATTTCACTGTTAAATAGAGCCGCGTCAAACATCGAAAGAAAATCTGATAAATGTGGCAAGTTCCCAAAAGAAGCTTGGAAACCAAAGCATCCACCCAAATCATAATCCTCGTGGAAAAGAAAATCAATTGAAAGATAACGGGATTATCTCGAAGATCAATCCATAAACCTGCTTACAAAGGACTCCCTCCCAATTAAAAGTTTCTCAAATGCCAAAATGTAAATGTTGATTAAGCATTCCCTTGCACAAGGAAAATTCTGATGCACTTCATCAGAGCATTAATAATGAGCCAAGGACTTCTTGCTAGCTTACATGGCAATGTCAGCAAAGGAGAAGATTGATTATAATAATTATTGTTTACAATTCTTACAGATAGTAAATAAATTAAGAAAATCCAAGCTCTGATCTGACTGACAGTATTTGGCTCATCCTCATAAAAAACTGTGAGAATATAAAGTATTAAAACCAGTAGCAGTATTTATACCTTGCGGGAATCTCTTAATGTCCAGAGAAATTCAACCTCTTTCTCAAGCTCCGGAACAACAAGCATTGTTCTCCAACCTACAAAATGATGTCAAGACCAGATAAGTTTAACATGACACAAAACAAAATACTGTGATTATGAGGTCATCTGAGGATAGCAATGGTTTCCAAAATTCCTATAGCAGCATAGAGAGGCTTCATTGACACAAGGAAACGAATAAAGCACGCCAAGTTTTCATCATAAACTTTCTTAATGCTTACACACACCAGACACACACACACACACAAATATATATATATAAATATATATATAGAAGGATGATCGAGGATACATGAATGCCTCTAGAGAAAAACTGTAAACAACCGTAACAATACTTCTAGATTAATGACACCACTATAGTTGTATATACTATACTTTTGAAATTAATGTGCTTCCTGTAAATGAATATTCTGGATTTATATATAAGAAGGCAATGTAGCATATAGGATCATAAAATAAAACCAATTAGGCGTTACAATGATAAGCCATTGTGGGTACATACCAAGAACCTTCTTACTCCGCAAAATATCTCCATAGATGTGATCTCCAACATAAAGCACCTAAAGTCACATGTCAGTTGCATGATTCCAGAAACCAAAAACCATGGAAAAATAGATAAATACACGATAATGAAGTTATAGTACTTGACCACTGTATCATGTTTCTTGATATTTCTTATATTCTCAGTTACCAATAGAGATTCAAATTTTACAAATTTCACCTTCAAGAAGGATATTGAAGATGAGGTATAAATAGCACGCTACCTCCATTTGAAGGCATTGATGTTTTGAATAGCACGGTGGCACAATTGAACTAATGGAATATCTATAGAATTTAAAAAGTAGAAAGGAGGCATAGGAGTATGGAGTACCTGTGAGCTGGACTCAATAGACAGTAATTTATGCAAATGGCCAACATTTCCACCCTGAAAAGATAATTCCATATAGTTGGTTACAACAGTGAGCTGAAGAGATTGAAAAGTCAAAAGAAGATATGCAATAAACAATATGATTATTCTCTTCTTACACCAACACTGCAAATGTTGACAGAAGGTTATAAGCATACCTGAAACACTTGGCTATTTTTGTCTGACCTCTTCAAAGGCAACCTTAGAGAACTGTCTACCTGGCATATCACAAGAAAAATTGATTGGACCTAAGGAGAGAGAATCACGTTTCTGAAAAGACGACGAACATGGAAACTAACCTGAGGCATTGGCGTCCCATTATCTGTATTGAGAAGCATACCTGACTCTGGATCAACTTCGAAAAGACTAGAACGGATTTCATCATGGAAAAACCTTGGTTTTGCACTGTTCAATTGATGTATAATGTTACCAAATAATCACTCTACGCTGATTAGGCAGGAGAATGGCTAAGCATTGATAAGTTACTGGAGATTGGTCAGTGCTTAAAGGGCATAAGACAAGTACTACGATAAAAAGGACATATAGTATGCATCTCAACCGCACAGCTTTCAAACATGGAAAAATAAATAAATAAAATAATATAATGAAATAATTACTTCCATAAGACACAAAAGCAAGCCAGAAATATTGCCAGTCCACACATCAAGTGAGTATCAAGGATGAAAAAATTTCATTCCGAAGAATTGTGGGGTGGATCATGGCAGTAAATTAGAGACAGGAAGATCAAGACACTATATACAGAGTTTCATGTATCTAAAACCATTCCTTACAAATTTTGATAAGTGATGACTAAGAAAAGAAATCAACAAATCATCAGCTGTCAAAACCTTTCAATGTCAAGACACACTTACCTGCCAGTAATAACAACATCAAAGTACTTGAGCCAATCAAAATTCAAGGAAGATGCCCCATCCACTGCTCTTTGCCCGCAGAGGAAGTTCATCACGATATTTGTGTAATCCCACAGGCTGTACCAAAGGAAATCTTCTTAATCAGACAATAAGTTATAAAGAGAAATTGTATCGCATTTTCTTTGCAAAATGCATATTATGCATTTGAGGTTTAGGATTCCTAAACTTTAAAAGCATTGAGAAAGGTTATGGAACTAGAGGAAAAAACATATGGTAATAAATTGAAACTTCTTTTAATTAAGGAAATATGTTCATTTGCATAGAAATTCGGCAATAATTGAAAAACTTAAATTATTAAAGATCATCAGTTTAGTAAATCATTTTGGTTTCCACTTCACCCATTTCAAGATCAGAAGAATTGAGTACTCTGTCCATAGCTTCCACAGATCACACAAAAGAATCACAATCTACAGTGAAGGAGTTGACTACAAAGTTGTCCAACTTGGAGATAAAAAACATTCACCACACATTACAATTTAACATTGCCATGTAAATGCAAAGTCTTTCACACACAATAGTTTCAAAGTAGAGTGAAGCATATGAATCACAAAAGCTTCTCAATTGCCAGTTCAGAAAGAAACGGAAGCTCCCATGCTAAGCAAGCAACCTAGAAAAAGATACAATACTATTGACATGAATAAAGAACAACATAAAAACTGTCCGACAGTGGCAGAAGTGTTTGAACAACTAACAGAACGGCTTTTCTATAGCTTAAGATGAATCGCATTCAGCAAAAATTTCAATTACCGGAACCATCTATAGATTAGTATTTGTTCAGTGATTCTTTACCTGTTTGTCACTAGAAATGTAGATCGTCCAGAATCTCTAAGCATCTTTAGCATGGGAACAATGGAGGAGTTCTCATTGACGTACCTATGTTATGAACAATTAAAAATTAAGGATTCGTGGCTAAACAATCTAGATCCTCTGTAAATTAACTCAAGGCCAGTAAAAGACTAACTAGTTGACAATTGACATATTATTATTCATCATGGGAACTACAGTACATATACATGCAGTTAATCACATGAATACAAATTAGATTATTAACCAGTGAAAACTCCTTCCGAAAGAAGATAATAAGCCGCATGTGGTCTGATTATCAAGCTAACACCTCATTAAATGAAAACACTTCATACAATTAAAATGAGATGAAAGATGATTTATTTCTGCTGCGTGACAAGCTTCAAAAAAGTTACTGTGAACACCAAATGTGTAAAATAAAGTTATAAAATGACTTGTGCTATCTCGAATTATTAGATGAATTTGCAACTATGCATGCTGCCGTTCTAGCTTGTCTTAATTTGTCTATTTATATTAAAATATGTAATATCCATATCAACTAAATGAAGTTAGATGAGCAGAAATAGATGAGATATGCATGTGGAGTCATGAACCATGCTACCATTTCTAGCTCATCTTAATTTGTCCATTTACATTCAATATGTAATATCCATACCAACTAAATGACGTTAGATGAGCCCGAAATATATGAGATGTGACACGTGGAATGGAGTCGTGAACAATGCTACCATTCCAGCTCATCGTAATTTGTCCATTTGCATTAAATATGTAATGTAATATTCATATTAACTAAACGATATTAGATGAGCAGAAATAGATGCGATGTGACACGTGGAGTCGTGCACCAGTAAGTTACGTGGAAAAAGAGTCTAGTGACTCGATTATGTTCGTAATTTGGGCCAAATATAACGATAGTCCAATTGATATACTTAAGTTCCAGGTCCAGTCCAAGAAATGCAACCCAAACACTTATTTTGCATTTTGTAAGCAACAACAATTTTATATACCTTTTTGGATCTTTTGCAACCATCATTTTTAGTGTACCATCACGATGACACAAATCAACTGCAGCCCGAACATCTTTATACATACGAGAGTAGCTGCAATGAGAATGAGATTTTAATTAAATAAGAATGACTAACTTCATGAGAAGTCAAGATATGCTGTGCAGCATTTACAATAGCTGATTGCCATGAGACATATTATCTATTTTTATTGTTATTTTATTTTCTGTTAAAATTGTATTTCACTTATTATATTACAATAAATAGTATTAGAAAGTGGTACTGAAAAAAATAACTTGTCACACTAACACATTGTTCATGCAATCAGAGAAAAAAAAACATTCAGATTTCGGCACTACCCTTTTTTGCCTAATGGATATTATGCCATCTGACTCATATTGCAACATATGAAAATGTATTTGAGGCTAAACAGATTTACAAGACTTTCAGTGGATTTGGAAGGCCAATTGATAATCTATGATCTAAAGCGTTTTAGACTCCCCTATGAAATATGATACTGGAAAAAGTCAAGCTGAGCCTTTATATCTTTAAATTTAGGAAAATATATTATATTAACGATATGATCAAACTTTACATGGGTGGTCTTTCTTAGATATTCTAAATTCTACAACATAAAATATACCTTTAATTTGAGAACAATATTGAGACTCTGCAAGTAAATCTAGATCAGGAAAACTTACAGCAAAGCATACATCAAATAAGAAAAAATCATAATAATTATCTAGTTGAACCATGCATTGCTAGAGTCCCTAAATGTCATGATGGGAAATTTTCAAGTACTTTTAAAATTGTGAGTGTATTGTGACTATGAACTCTGTTATTTCAATTTTCCTTTTTCTTTTCTTTCCTTATTTTTGTTTTGCCAATTTCATATATTATACAGGGTGTAAATTACACAATTATACAGGAGTGGTAAGTAAAGTGAAGTGAAGTAAATTATTGAAAGGAAACATGCAATTTTTGGAATCAGTTTGAAAATTTGGCCTAATCATCCAGTCAAACAATCAGAATAACCAAAACAGTTTGACATTCTCTAGATTTAGCTAATCATGAGTCTATTTGCCATGGATGCCCCCGTCAAGCACAATATCCAGTGCTGACCATAAAGTAACTATGAACTGTTGGCCATAAATCAATTTACTACTAGGAGCTAATTCAAAATGTGATTGAATTTAGTGTCTTTTAGAAACAAGTTCAAAATAGTAGAATTAGAATGAGTACAAAATACCACAGCTTTCATGCAGAGGCAACTATGGCATGGTTAACCAAGAACCTCTATGAGTGAAGTGTAGGAATGCAAGATTAAGTCAAACAAACGAAATAACTTTTCCAAGTAAAGCTGGGTAATAATGGTTGATCACTTCTATAAAAGAAGACAGATACTTTTTCGAAATATGTGCCGCAGGTGATGCTGGCGGTAGTAATGATCAAAGTATCATGTGAATCACATTATGCAAATGATTAGTAATTATAAGGAAAAAAATGCAGCAGGACTAACTGCATCTACATAATGAACAAGTTTCTTGATAAACATAAAAATATAGCATTGCTCGTGCACAAGAAAAAAAAAAAAGTAAATAATGCTTGAAAGAAACTCCAAGGCCACTTTACTATGCTGGCATCTCCTGAACTTCACGGATGTTACTTCAATAAACTATGCAGTGAGAATATGACATATTACAGCAAATGAGACCAAATGAGTATGTCAGCAGCAATTCTCTTACTCTGCTGGGATTTTTCCGGGATTGTGATCCTTGAAGTTGACGAGTTGCGCAAACAAGTAGGCTTCAGCCAGAGAAAAGAGGGTATCAATTAGTGCATATTCCGGCTCGTCAAATGCATCCCGAATCAATGTATTTCCATATGCAGACATTTTCTCTTCCTTTGATAGTTCTCGGAATCCATGATACGCCACCTTTACATACTTGTGCCTGTCCATCTGTTATTCGCAGAACCGAATTGAGTTTATATATGCACGGAGCCAGAACCAAGAAGGTAACAAACCAATATTCGGGATTTTCTGTAATAAAAGTGAACACAATTCGACTAACAAAGCAGCACAAACCTTCAGAATGTTGCCTCTTTTCTTGTCCAGGACTAGTCCTCTAACCATGTATGTCCAATCAAATGACCACTCCAGCAACTACATGGAACAAGTGTTCAAACGCTAAGTAACCTCAATCACAATCAAATAAGATAAATCCAAATTCTAGAAAGTCATAAAAATAACAAGATTTGCAGAAATCACAAACAAGCATTCTGAATTCAACTTAGCATTTCCAGAGTGATGAAAGTAATAGTGCAGAGAGACCTATCAATAATAAACAAGACAAACCTCTGAAGGGTATCCCAAATTATTAACCAGCTTTTTCACTGTGCCATTATACGCAAGGGATTCAAACGTCTCTGGTTTGTACTGGGCTAAAGTATAATCCATGTCGAACCCAACAGCAACAATATTCCTCATGTTTAGTGATCTATTGCAGAAGATTTGCTTTCCTATATCAATCTTCCTTCCTCCTTCAGGGGACGACCATACAAAAGGACGCGTATCACTATCATCGAAGGTTCTCTCACTGTGTGCTACTTTGTCCATGATACTACAGGTATACAGATTATAATGACTGTGCCCTGTTCAACAAACAATAACAAAGTGTAATCAGAGTTGTGTTATTAGAACCATCAAGATAGAAATTGTTAAAAGCAACACCATGTATCGCAAATATTGACGCATGAGGTACATTACATGTTGTGTTCAATATGTGCACAAATGAATAGAATTTACCCAAAACGTACTCCGACTAGCATCTAGAAAGAAAATTTTTAAGCCAACAACATGCACCCCAAATGCCGGTGCATCTCAGGTACATTATATTGCACATATTCATTACAAAAGGTTCCATCGTATGTATTCAAAACTAATAAAACAATCCACAACCAAAAACCAAGTCATGTAATTCTCAAATAATGGACACATATGAGAATTCCAAATCAAAGAATATTCTACCTGAAATTGACAGGAATTTTCCAGCATTGACTACACAGCCTTGAAAAATACCAGTGAATATCACTAGTCCATTGCAGAAAAGTAAAAATAGAGCACATATATATATACATAACCGTAAAATTTCAAATCTAGCTCATAACCAAGGAAATCAACTTGTATAAAGAATCTTAACATTCACTAGTGCAGAACATCCAAAATAAAACATAATCTAGATAGGGCAAAGTATCACTGTAAAATTGTAAACAGTTTTGCAGTCTATTGGTATAAAAAGATTGTGTGCAATAAAAAGCCACCAAAACACAAAAGAAAAAACATAGTATTTTGCACTTCAACTATAGATAAAATCAACAAATCATGCACGATTAATATTGGGAAGCAACATAGCAGCAAAGCAAGACTAAACTACTACCCAAAAGTGAATGAAACAGAGCACTCTTCTCACTCCACTCAGTCGATGTAACAAACCCCGGAAAATCAAGTCAGGTAAGTAGTCCGCCTCATAAACGACCCACGAAATAACTATAGAAAATAAAGGTGGAGAAAACGAACCTGCGCTTGAGTTAGCCTTCCTTCTGATCGGAAAGTGATCGGAAGATGAAGAACATGAAGCTCGGGAATGAAACTGCAGCGTTCCTGAAGAGAATGACGAGGCGGAGGAAGGGCAGGGGGAGCTCGAAAACAAAGAGACGCAGAGAGAAAATGAACGGCCTTTGGCAACACGCATCATCATATTTAAATAGCCATTTTCTTCAACTAGGTGAAGAAGTTGAAGCACCAGAACCAGAACCAGCACCAACTGCCAACCAAGAATCGAACCCGATGCCCCTTGTTAATGCGGGAAACCATCTGACTACATTTAATAGAAAGGTTCACCTAAAAAATTTATGCTCGTCTGAACCAACGCCCACAAATTCGGGCTTTTTCGCGAAAGCAAGGAGTATTCCATTCTGGTTCCAAGGAATCGAATTTGGACACGCACACCAGCAGGTTGAATGGTTCCCGCCACGTGGCGGCGGAACTCTGCGCTGCCTGGTAATGGTGGTGCCTTCGAAAAACGTGAAAACTGCTGACGGATCAGAGGCCGTTGCTGACTTTTGGCTTTTCTTCGGGTTTCATTTCATTCACTGTTCAATACACATCATACCTACATAGATAATACATTCTCGGTTTCGCTTATCCTTCCTTCCTTCCCTTCCCGGGCTTGGCTTCGAAGGAATAACAGAAAAACTGACAGTTTGTGGATTGGGGAGAAGAAGAAGAAGACGGCGACTCCCCGGCGTATTTTAGTCTCCCCCCCCCCCCCCAATGGGGCAGTTGATGGCGACTGCAGACTGATTTTCTGCCGGGAAATATATATTATTATTATTGTTAATCTCTAAGGTCGCCGATCATTAACTTAAAATGGGTATCTATTTTCGTTACAACAGATGAGCCCAATAAAACTTCATCAAGCCCACTATATTTAGGCCCAGAATTTATAAACAGGCCCAGTAAGCTCAACCTAACAAGATAAGCCCATAATAATAGATATAACATACGGAAATACAAATATTTTTAAAATTTTATTTTTTGTCAAATTTTTGTATATATTGCATTTGCTGGCCAAAATATTTTGTAAGTGTATATATATTATGACGTTATAAAATTGAAAATATTATATATAAAATCAATTATAAAATATATAGGGCAGTTTTTATTAGATTTAAGTATATGATTTTGAATTATAAAATATAGAGGGCATGGATTGTATTAAAAAAAGTTGAAATGTTTGAGTGATAATAATAATTGAAAGGATACTATAGGGTTGGATTTTAGACTTGTGACCGTGAAATCTCTCAAATGATCTGAAGTATCGAGGGTTTGAACCCATGACCTCACAGTCATAACTTCATTCCTTCGCCACACAATTGAATTATTGATTTTAGTTTTGTTACTCTTTGAATTCAAATGTTGTTTTGTTCTCTGCATAATATGGAGTATGATAATATAATATTAATATGTATGTTATAGTAGAAGTTCCTTGAGGCCGTTACATGGCAATTAATGACGTGGCCCTTTTTCTGGCGTGCCGTGGACCGATGTACGCTATAATAACCCACACCTCTTTAAATTCAAATTACCCATACTTTAATTATGGAAATCAAATCAATCTAGGGTGTATTTGCTTGGGGTTTTGAATTTTAAATTGAAATTTGAATAGTAAAAATTTTAAATTTGAATAGTTGTATAATGTGATATAAATAGGAGTTGATATGATATTTTGAATATAAAATTGATTTTTAGTATAATATAAAAAATAAAAAATAGTTGTTTAATTTGATAATTTTTTGAAAAAAAAATAAAATAAATAGTAAAAATCTAATCCAATCCCCGTCACAAACACACCCCTAATAAATCAAAATAGTTTAATATCATTATATATTTATTATTTGTTCATATTTATATAAGGAAATATATATATTCATTTAAAAATGGTATCCTGTAACAGCTATAAATACCAGATACTACCTTCCTGAACCGTTCACCTCCGCTACCACTGTACCGTTACGCCTCACTCTCCAGCATTCGATCGGCAAATTTACCGTTCACCTCCACTACCACTGTTCTATTCATTCCGCCTTGCTCTTCAGCATTCGATCGGCAAATTTATGATGGTTCTTTCATCCACATCTGTTTAGTTGTTATTTGTCAATTGTCAATTTACTTGTCTATTATATATAAACGTGTATGTATAAATGTATTGATGGTTTTGGATGGCATGATAAACTGAATGCAGGGATCGGAACGCCCTTTCAACGGGGAAATCACTATAGGTCCGTTCGGTGGAACCGCCGGCGAGAAGTTTGATTTTAAGGCAAGCGTCGCAATTACACAAATTGTAATTGCATACAGCAGCGAAACCGTCGAATCCATCAGATTCAAAGGCGATGGCGAGGGGGAATACTCCAACAAACTCGGCGGCAGATCTCACCGCGTAGCTCGCACGGATAAGGTGATTCATTCAGTAAACTTATATGCAACTCAAATGTTAATTAATCAGCACGAACCCTATGTAGATTGCCTCTTCGGTGCATTAATACGTGCTTAATGTTGAACAGATAGTCATCGACTTTCCTACCGAGTATCTGACGGGAGTTTGCTGGACGGTTGGCTACCAGGACAACCGGGAAGTCGTGAAATCCTTACGTTTTTTCACAAATCTAAATGACTACGGGCCGTTTGGGTCAGAGACAGTTCAAAAGGCTTCCATCCGCCAGAAAGGTGCGGCTATAATCGGATTCCATGGAAGGAGCGAATTGTTGGTCGATTCAATTGGGTTCTATTTGAAGCCTCTTTGCTGGGTTTTTGCCGTTGTTCCGAGAATCGGTGCCCCTTATTCTACTTGGGCAGTGAGTGTAAACAATACGCGCTAATTCTTAAATACGTGAACTGTGCACATTCTGCATACAGTACATAACCTAGATTTGTTGATATTCGTCTTCGATGAACTGTACAGGAGACACTGAAGGGTTTATTCCTGAGCACATCTAAGAACCATCGAAGTCCCGGACCATGGGGGAGCAACCTTGGCAGAACCTTCGACGACGGCGTTTTCGTGAAAGTCAATAAGATCCAGCTCTATCTGTGCAATGAAAGCAAATCTCTCTCAGGTGTTCAATTCCAGTATCTGAAGAAGGATGGTAAGGCAGTTTGGTCTCCATTGCACGGCACCGGTGACAGGGAAGTCGTACAAAAGGTTTAGTTCTTCCACTTACAATTAGGGTTCAAATTCAATCACTAATTGGATTTTTGTGAGCAGATCGACCTGGGTGAGGAAGAGTATGTTGTTGGTGTCGAAGGATATTACGGAAAGAGTGATGCTGCTTCTGGATATGATGTGATTCGATCACTTACCTTCACCACAAGTAGCGGAAAGTATGGACCCGTTGGCAAAGAAATTGGAACCTTCTTCACTTCAATCAGTTGCAAAGCCAACGTTGTCGGATTTTTTGGAAGAAGTGGTCACTTTTTGGAAGCCATCGGCGTTCACGCCGAATACGAGTGATGGAAGCTTTCTGAATCATTTTCATTCCTGTTATGAATTTTAGGGTTTATTTGTTCATGAATAGCAGCGTCTGTTTTTCCAAACGTTTGTGGTTAAAAATACTTTCTCAGTTGTGATTTACAATCTATATGAAAAACAAATTTCGAATGTTCTCTCAGTTGGGGATGTAGCTCAAATGGTAGAGCGCTCGCTTTGCATGCGAGAGGCACGGGGTTCGATCCCCCGCATCTCCAGGTTATTTTTCCATTATCCGAAATTTTTTGTTGGTTTTTTGCTCTGCTGATTTCCGTCGTCCTATTTTGTGACAGTTAAGCCAACACGGCTATCATGTCGTCGTCTGCCCGTTCGGCGTTGTTGATTCCGTCTACCGTCGCTCCGCAGCTGTTGATGTCTCCGGTTGCACCATCGCCGCACCGGTATTCTCGTTCAGCATTTGATGCTAGCGTATTTTCAAGGCGGAATGTGGCCGTCTTGCTCTCGTCATTCGTGATTCCTCTCTTCCCTTCTCTCCTCCAACCGCGCGTTGCCTCCGCGTTCTCGATTGGCATTTGTAGTCACCCTTCTTCATCATTGCATTGAGTGCGGGATTAGCGTACTTTATTTATGCTTTTCAGTTGTTTATGTTTGGTGTGATTAGCAGGACCTAAAGAATGGCTGCAACAGCAAAAGAAGAAATCAGCCAAATTTATTTTAGCTCCAGTTGATGCCTCGCGCAATATCCTCCAGTCTGCATACCTCTTACTGAGTATCTCCTTCATTTCCCCCTCCTTTTCCCCATTATTACTTTTTGTTCACACACTTGACTGTTTGCGTATTATATAGTGAAAAATGAAGCAGAGTTTGATGAAAATGACTTACGTGAGATTCAAATGTTGTTAATCTCTGCTGCCAGAGACTGTGTTCCTCGGGATAGAAATTCTTTTGTTGAGTTCCAAGCCAATACCGGAGTTGAGGTAATCACCAAAATCTTCTATTACTTTGGATTTTTTTTATTTAAAAAAAGAATGGTATATGAATAACAACATCAGATGTCACTCATGCTGCTATTTGTACACACCAAATACACTTTATATCCTTTGAACATGTGCCTGTGACTATTTTTTAGGATTTATGTATTAGTACTTACTCATGCTGCTATTTGTACACACCAAATACACTTTATATCCTTTGAACATGTGCCTATGACTATTTTTTAGGATTTATGTATTAGTACTTACAACAATAAAAAGTTTAATTTAGGTCTCAATATGTATACTTAAACTCCATGACATGATGAGCTAATTTTGTTAGAATTCTAGGTATGTTATCATAGTGATGTATTGCATATTGATGTCTCTCTAACAAATTTCTAGTCACACTGTATACATGCTAAATAATGTTTGCAATTTTCTTTTTTGTCTTGAGTTCAAACTTAGGTCTGCACTTTCCGATTAATCGTGAAAAATGCATCGTCTTTGCTTGATGATAGAGATCCAATCAAGCTAGAAGCTGAAGCTAAGTTGAGTGATCTCATAAGGTTAGTTTATGTTGGTTACTCAGTGTATCTAGCTTGCAACTGATAATTGATTATCTAATTCTGTGCTTCCCATCCATAGGGTGGGATAGAAACCTTATGCCTGAAACAATGCTTAGAGTAAATTTATTGTCCTTGTTATTGCAGATCGTTTTCTTCTCTTAATGACATTGTTAGAGAGAAAGGGATGCAACTTACTTCTGACAGGTATAAAAGATACTGTGACCACAGTATGATCATGTTGTCCCAACGTAGCTTTATAATTATGTGAAAGCCAGTCAAGAGTTACTATTTTGAGTTTTGTCAATTTGAAAGTAGTCGAGATTTCCTAATTTGAATTTTGTTACATCCCATGTGCTATTATGACTCCATGATGGTTTTTTTCTTCTCTATACAGCAGGCAGAGAGTTGCAAGTGCGCTTAAAGATACAATATCTTCGTTAAACAATTTCGAGCAGGGAATAAATGATTGTCTTCAAGTCTGATGGCTTTGATTCTGGAAAAAAGCGTTTCAACTACAAACTTCTTTAGAGAAAGCCAGATATTGTCAAATAGGTGCTGTTTTTTTTTATTATAAGTTTCTCTAGAATGATAGTTTCCACTGTTATGTACTGTTTTGAAGATCAAACAAAATTGATAGTGGCCTTTTGTTTTCTCAGATAATGTGAGCTGTGGTTGCTGGCGAGCATTGTGGCTTTTTTATTTGGTTTATTCTAAATGCACCAATTTATCTATCTAATGATAAAGATGATTATATATATTTGTAACAGGGGTGCCCTAAGCCTCAACATTATTATGTACATCAAAGGATATTGAATGGCTGTTGTTATATGTAACTAGGATGATATTTACAGTGTTAGTAAGTCTGCACAGCTCTTGGTAAAATAGCTACAATCACAACAATCCAAAAATGTGAGTTAATGGATCCTCTATAGAGATGATTAGGCAATTTCTGAAAATAGGTTCACATTGATTCTTTTTGGTTCTGCCAATTTGATTCTTATTCCTCTTTTTAATGAAATTGCAAAATGGGTAGTAGGAACTGTCATTTAATCTATTTTCAACCCTGCATCAAGGGTTTAAGCTGGTATGTTGCCTGTGTAACTTGCATAGCTTTACTAAAGCTTTAATGATGCTAACAGAGATGGTGCCTATGTTATGATGTAAAATTCAAAGTATGGTATGCAATAACATATATCGCCTGCAACTTTGTCTCATGAACTAGTTTTACCTGGTGAACCCACAGCTTGCAACAAATACAAGCGACCGCATGGTGTTCCATCATCTGGAAGAGTTTGAATTGATCTTGGCAAGCTTCGAATCTTATTAAACAAATTTAGCGGGTCTTGCAACAATCCGAAATTGGCATCTGGATCGCCAATCTGTGAAAGCTTTACTTCTGAAAATCCTAGAGTCGGCAGCAGTTGATCTGGCCAGTCACAATGGAAAGGGTAAGTGTCTCTGGATAATGCTGTTGCTTGTTTGTTCATGAAATCTGCTAACAGCACTGTGTTGGTGAGACTGCAATTCTCTGCAATGATTTTAAGCACTTTCATGGCATCAGATTGTGACAGGTAGTAAATAATCCCCTCCAGAATCCAAACTGTATTCTTCTTTGATTCAAAGCCTGATATTTGGAGTTTTTCAAGCCAGTCATCCTCCGTCAGGTCAGCTGCCACTCTACTCAATGATTTTGCTGTCATGACAGGATGATGGTGTTCCTCCTTCGAATGAATAGCTGCCTCAAGAATTGTAGCTTTTGCTTCCAGAACCTCAGGAAAATCAACTTCAAACACACTGCTTTCTTTCAAGCAGTTTAGTCGGTACGATCTTGCATCCATACCTGCAGGTACAAGAAAGCTTAACAAAATTATCTTTGTAGTTACAACCTCAGCATTTTTGGTCCTTGGTTTGATTCACTCTTTTATTTCTAGTTGCATGCCCATCATTCTAACTAAAGAAGGTAGAATATTGGTGTTATTGTGTGGTGTATGGTTATATTTCTATTAACCATAATTAGATGTAGTCTATGTTGGGTCTGGTTCCTAAATCCTAATTAGATTGAACAGAAGTCCAGTAGAGATAATTTTCACGTTCTTTCCTGTAAAGTCTATATAAGTGTGGGTTTCATGAACTACTGGGAAGGCAGGCAAATCACAAATGTTAGAAAGAGTTTAGATGGCCGTAACAAATAACAACTTTTGATGTCAGTATAAGTATGAGGATGAATTTAACTACCATGAATGCCTTTCTTACAAGAGTTAACAGATAGAATGCTAGAAATGTTCTCACTACAGTTCCTTATGTTAGAAAGAAAGCAGAAGAATATTCAACCAATATTTATCAAAATGTCAACAAAGAGTATTTTCCCACTACAAGAATCCTCAAGATACCAGCAGACAAAGGATCTCAGTTTCACAATTCCTGATACTTGTACTTGGCTAAGCAGTACAGTTCTTTATTTTAAACCTATATGAATTATATTTCTAAAACTTGTATTCCCTTTTGAACAACTAGACTGAAATTAGTATCCAGATGCTGCTATACTAAAACAATCTTTCCTAGCAGATTTTTTTATCAGTTTGTATCTATGGTTATGTGACATTCAACGACGTGAAGGATCATTGAATGTGTATGATCATCTCAATCTATTTACTAAGAAGTGTTTACCCTTTTCAAGAAATTGTTTTGAATTGATAATCCATCTAACAAAGCAATAGCCAGTAACTAACCAAAGGATCAATGACACTCCACTATCATAGGTTAAGGACTGGTCTACTAATATTGTCTATATATTCTTAGTACTTTTCCCAGCAGGACTCAAGATCCCACTACATTTTTTATCTAACACAGATAAAGAAGGAACTGTCATACCTGCACCTAGCAGAACCACCTGTGCTCCTCCACCGGCAAAGGAATTCAGAACTGCTTCAAGTTTTGTATCGAACCAAAGGGTTCGAACAGCCAGAATCACCCCAGAAATCTCTCTAGCATTATTACGCTGGTCTTTCTTAATCTTTTCATAAATGCTCTTCAGGTACATCTCCCCTGCAAACAACTCAGCCAGAGGGTCATGGATCACCTGATTCCACAATGCTCTTCCTGCAGCCGTCTGGCACGCCGACCGCCGGATGCAATCCCAGTCGCTTTCAATGGATGCATGGAGAGCTCTGAGCGTGCCCCTCCTTAACAACTCAGGTAACTTGTATTCTGGCCAAGGTCTATCCACCGGAAGGCCATTTTCGTGATTTGACATATATATCACTCTGTGATTAATTATCATTCATATATGCTAATGACTAGCTGAGGGAAGGAAAACGAAGAGATAAATGCACCCATTATATAGGTATATCATTTGTAGGGATAAGAAAAGAGAGCCACACACAAAACCAACGCTTGTAAGTAAAGCTGATCAGGTGTATTATATCCATCCTTACATTTTCTTCAAGGGAAAGAGAAGGCAGTGGGATAGTCCACGATTGCCCACCAATTCATATCCTCTCCTTGTATGAATTTCCCTTTTTTGCAATTTCCCTCTCTAACATTCCCCTTTGAACAGTTTGCACTAATGTGGCATCATGTAGCTCCCACCTCTTATACTAAATGTGTGGTTCCCACTTTCAGTTTTTAAACTACAACCTTCAACTTGTACTACACTGGTCACTGTCTTCTTTTAGTTCATCCATCACATGGTATTATTCTTCTCCTGTTGGGGTTGGTCCCCAACCAATTTGAGTCACTGATTTAGCCTAGAGGTTAGATATCAAATCTGACCTCATTTGAATTCACCTAAGGGCTAATCAAAATAATGGGCTTAGATATGTTTTGGGATTGATTTCATTATAGTAAGATAAGTCTAGTTTGAGTAGTATTTGAAATAAAAAATAAATATACTTGGTTTTATTTCATCTCTGAATTTATGTCACTTTATTTGGCTTTTAAGGAGCTTAATGTTTGTGGATAAATTAAAGCTTATAAATGGTGACAAATGAGTAATAGGATCAAATGGTGCTGAGCATGGTCGTGCTAAAAAAAATTAAGATGGTAAATGTAAAACAATCTAATTTGGGCCGTCTTTAATTTTGTCTGTAGCTTCCATAAAAATGTGGTTAAATTTATTTTTAAAATAATATCAACAACAAATATAATAATGTACCCTCAAAAATAAATAATATATTGACTATTATAAAATTATTAATTTGGTAATAATAACAACAACAATACAGGTGCTTTGGGCCAAAGACAATTGTAGAAAAGAAAAATATTAACAAAAAGTGAAATTTAGTTATGATCAGATCATACTTGTAGATAATTTTAAAATTTGAGACCAGAAGCACTGAGTAATTACTCATTACAAGAGCCAGCCTTGAATCGACAGTTGATATTTAATTAATTGTTGGATAGTAATTTTGTATAAATTAAATAAGTTAATCTTAATTCTTTAATTGAAGAGATATATATTATAATAATTGAAAGGTATATATGAAATATTTCCGGTAGAAAATAATTTAGTATTGTGAGATAGACTCATAACTGTAAATTTAAAAAACACCATTTTCTTTTAACAATCACACAGTGAATAATGTTTTGATCTTATCCAGAAATTAATGAATAATAATATTTAATTGAGAATATATATAAAGTAAAATATAAAAGACTAAATTATCTTTATTTTTTAAACAAATTTAAAAACTATATTAGAATAATAATTAAGAGTAATTGTGGAAAAAGATGAGTAATTTTGTTGTAGAGTGAAGACCGAGAATAAACATGACAATTATTTTGGTACGAACAAAAATGAAAAAATAAAGAACTCTTTTGGACAGAGGAATATATTTCACGAGAATACCTTGTATTACAATTAGACATGAAAGTAAATTTGGAAATTAAAACAGTAAATTTGGAAATTTGTTAATGCTGTCTGAACGTTGAGCTGGTACATTTTACACAAAAGAAATTAATTATAGACCTAATTAAATAAATAAATGTTTTGACACTCTGATTAATAGCTAAATTGAATGTAGGGTGAGTGCTGAGTAGGCAATTATAATTATAGAAGAAAAACCTTTTGAAGAAATAAATAAATCTCATAGGGATAAGCTGAAACGGCCGTCTATATTAACTAACTATTTTTATATAATATAAATACTATTATAGATTGTGCCTAAATTAGAATTTGGTCAACTTATTGTCCTTATGATAAATAATTACTGCCGGACATCAGATATTAAGACAAAAGTTCTAATATAATCCAACGGCGAGGAACCACGCATCGATCCAATATGGACGATCCAGATTCTTCTTCCACTGTATAGGCACCAGCTCAGCGCCAACCATGTCCGAAGCAAACATTTCGATTCGCTAACAAAAAGGAGGGTTGCTGTAGTGATTCGATTGCCTAATTCGATTCGGCCTCATTATTCATGTTCTTTTTTTTTTTTTTTTTAAATTTTTACAGAGGAAAGTGAAATTACAGTACGATGAAAACAAGAAACGTGCAGTAGCAGCTCCAATCGAATTCCTGATTTCGCTGAAGCTCTCTGTGTCTTTGGGAATTAAAGAGTGAACTGAACTGCGAAACAAATACACACACAGAAAGCCCCTGCGATTGAGAAGATGGCCAAGTCGACGAGCGATGTCCCATGTTGTAAGGGCGAGTTTTTTCTGTTTCTTGTCATAATCGCAGGTCTGGTGTTGTTTGCTGGTCTGATGGCGGGTCTTACTCTTGGGTTGATGTCTCTCGGCCTCGTCGACCTCGAAGTTCTCAGCAAATCGGGTCGCCCACAAGATCGCTTACATGCCTGTCAGTAAATATATATATATATATATTTGCTTTGTGTGAATTGATCATATTTAGGTTTGCTGAAATTACCAATTTATTGAGGTTTATGATTGATTGCTTGGTGAAGTTCTTTATTATTCAATTAGGGTTTTAATTATGAACATCTTTTGCAAGCTATTACCATTGTGGTTAATTGTCTTTGTCTGCAACTTTTTATAATCTTGATTTGGACATAAGAACAAGTGAAGCTTTTTTTCTTATTACTTGCAGCTAAAATCCTTCCAGTTGTGAAAAATCAGCACCTCTTGCTTTGCACACTGTTGATTGGAAACTCTTTAGCAATGGAGGTCTGTTGAACATTATTATTCTTGGACAGTGAATATTACTAGTATATTACCAACCATGTTTTTATTGCTACTTGTAGTCACTTCCCATATTTTTGGACAAGCTCGTGCCTCCATGGGCGGCGATTCTGGTATCCGTTACCCTTATCCTCATGTTCGGTGAGGTGGTTATTCGGAAACTAAATTTAAACAAACCTCAACTTATTTAGTACTTATGTCGATAAACTTAACCATGGAATTGTCTCTGTAGATATTGCCTCAAGCAATTTGTACTCGTTACGGACTAACTGTAGGAGCGACTGCTGCGCCGTTGGTCCGTGTCCTTCTTTGGCTGTTCTTCCCGATTGCATATCCGATTAGTAAGGTACATGAAACGAGGAATTAATTGCTCTGTTAGGACAATGAATTGTTTTCTTAAATGTTCTATTTCTCTTGCAGTTTCTGGACTGGATGTTGGGTAAGGGTCATGCTGCACTACTGCGTAGGGCGGAGCTAAAAACCTTTGTCGATTTTCATGGCAATGAGGTAATTTTTTTCTATGGAAGTGGTGTAAATTGCAAAGCGCGTAATGTTGTTTTATGATCGACTGTTAATAGGCTGGGAAAGGTGGAGATTTAACTCACGACGAGACTACAATAATCGCCGGTGCTTTGGAATTGACTGAGAAAACTGCGAAAGATGCGATGACGCCTATAGCGAAAGCTTTTTCGCTCGACCTGGACGGCGCTCTAAATTTGTGAGCTGATATCGATGTTTGTTACACTTGCTGTTTATAAAATTATTCTGCTAATCGTCTCGAGGCTCGAGCAGGGAGACTCTAAATGCCATAATGACAATGGGACATAGTAGAGTTCCGGTTTATTACAAAGATCCAAAGAATATTATCGGACTTATATTGGTTAGTATGTTCTACTTCTTCGTTCAGTCGAAAGATTTTCGTAGTCTTCATATCTTGCTTTCCATTTTTTGCAGGTTAAAAATCTTCTGGCTGTTGATCCTGAAGATTCAGTCCCTCTACGAAAAATGTTGATAAGAAAAATACCCCGGTGAGGACAACTTATTCTCGTATTTTTTTGTCTGAAATGGTGTTGATTCTCTTGCATTGCCTGTCGAATTTGAATTCGAATTCTCAGGGTCTCGGAAAACATGCCCCTTTACGACATACTAAACGAGTTTCAGAAGGGTCATAGCCACATCGCTGTTGTGTACAGAGATTCGCAAGAAACGAAGGAGACATTGAAGAAAACCAAAGAAGGTACTAATCCATTACATAATCCTACCTAGTCAATAAGTATTTGCCACAATACAAATAAGTTTTCGACTTCCCTCCATAATTGCAGAGACCGAGAACTTTGCAATAAAATCCACCTCGAAAGAAGCTGATCATGTTTCCAATCATTACGGCGATCAAGCCAAGAAAAGCCCTCCATCTACCCCTGCTTTCAAGAAAAGACACAAGGGCTGTTCATTCTGCATTCTCGACTTAGATAACTATCCTATACCTGAGTTTCCATCGAATCAAGAAGTAGTTGGTGTCATCACCATGGAAGATGTCATTGAAGAGCTTCTTCAGGTACTCCCATTTTCGACTTTTTTCTTTACTTTCTTGTTCCTTTACTTGGACTTACCTTCGACAATGCTGCCAGGAGGAAATACTCGACGAAACAGATGAGTATGTCAACATACACAACAGGTAATACTCTCTTCAGCTTCTGTAAACACTAGAAAAATTAATCCCTTGTGAAACTTAGTTGCAAATGTTGGTCGAACATTGCAGGATAAAGATAAACATGAACGCCTCTCAGCAGTCGCTTCCCCCGGCTTCACCGCCTTCAGACGATCCTCCGGCTGCTCAATAGTTTCTTCAGATTTTGTTACAGCAACCACATTGGCACATACTGTTTTCTACGAGAACATCGTATCGGCGGAAGGTAGATTATTTAGGAGGCAATAGTATCTGTTGAAGAGTTTGCTCAAAGATACCTGTTTAAGTTATTACAGAGTATGTCTGCGTCTATGTATGTATGAACTCATCTGTCTGTTCCATAGTTATTGCATCAGCCATATTTATGAACATCTATCAATGTAAAGATGTGTGTACGTATATACGTGGGAATAAAAAATATTGCTTAAAGAAAATGGAATAAATTTGCAAATGAAATATAAATAAATGAAAGACATGGAAGCCGACAGATCCCCAACTCTTAGCTGTTCTTCAACTGGGCCAAACAAACGAGAATCTGGACATCACCGACTTGATGCTGGCTTTCTTCTTCGACTCCATTGCTTGGACCTTAAAAATTCTTGTGATTTTTGTATTCAAAGTTAGAAGAAATCAGGACCATTCTCGTTGATTTTCCAGGTTAGGTCAATGGGTCCGCCAATTACCAACCAATCTTCAGCAAAGATCAAATTTTTTATTTTTTATTTTCATCTTCTTCTTGGGAAAGCGATCTGGATTTGACATGAGTTAATTTTCTTTTTTGGAAAGGATTAAATCGGTGGGAGGGAGATTTATCCCAAATCTGCTTCCAGTGCTTCGGAATTCTGCTGCTGGATCTTACTTCACTTCACTTTACTTCTACTCAATCAATCGTTGCTCCATTTCTACTCCAGGTATTCTGATTTCAGTTGAGCTCATCATTCGATGCTTGTGGGTAATTTGAAGTCAGTTTTTTTAATCTCTGTGGGAAATCAAGAATGAAATTATGGCTATCGCAAAATTTGGGCGGCAAGTAAAGCGTTCGTATCATTCATACGGGTTTTGTGTGAAATTGTCGTCGGCTGTAGCTTTGGGTCTCTGTTTTGTATTAGTATGGTCTGTATTTTCGAAGTTTTCCGTGACTTCACAAAGGGAAACTTTCGATGATATTTCTGAGCCAGTATCTGCATCAAATTGGAAGCCCTCTGATTCCCAAGCTCGTGCTGACAAAATTGGATTGGGAAAGGAGCACCAAGATGATGGCCATGGATTGGATGAAAAAAACAACAAAATTGCCAATAGTACTGTGCCATTGGAAGCTGAGCAGAGGCCAAAACATTCCAAAGAAAATGATGATGGAGCTTCAAAAATGTCTACAAGGACTGATGTAAAGGGAAATCAAGAAATCAAGGGATCCGAGGCCGAAGAGGTGATAAAGGATAAAGGGGATGATGAAGGGAACGATGATAAAGAAGCCGAAGATGTTGATAATGAAGGCAATGCAAATGAGGATACCGAAGGAAATGCTGATTTGATTGATACTGAAGTGGATCAGGAGAGTGTTGATGAAGATAATGAAGGTTCACAGAATGTTAAAAAGAATAAGAAGAACTTGGTTCCATTATTCGATCCAAAAGCACAATATACTTGGAAATTATGCAACACAAGAAGCAAGCATAACTACATACCTTGCATTGACATGGAAATTACTTCAAAAAGGTTTCGGAGTCATCGGCATAGGGAGAGAATTTGCCCTAAATCATCTGTTATGTGTCTCGTTCCCCTTCCCCAAGATGGTTACGGAGATCCAGTGCACTGGCCAGATAGTAAGACCAAGGTATGGTCGATACATGGTTTTATCTCATAAATGTATTCATACATATATTGTATGCTAATTGACGGCGCCTTTGTAGATTTTATACAAAAATGTGGCACATTCAAAACTAGCTGCATATATTAAGACACAAGATTGGTTGATAGAATCGGGAGAGTATCTCACGTTCCCACAAGATCAATCTGTCTTCAAGGGTGGAACTCAGCACTACCTCGAATCTATAGAAGAGGTGAGTTATTGTAAAATTCAGTCACATTATTTGTTGAATTTGATTTAATGAATTTGGTAGAAGATAACTCTGTTTCATACTGTACATGTAAACCTTAGAGAGCCACACTATTTTGAGTTTCATTCTTTCAACCACGGAGCTTTGTATATCTGATATGTGTAAATTCAATGGCCTGTAGATGGCACCCGACATTGAATGGGGAAAGAACATTCATGTTGTTCTAGATATGGGATGTAAAGATTCAAGCTTTGTGTCGACTCTACTCGAAAAAGATGTGTTTGCTGTTACACTTGGCCTAAAAGATGACCTTGTGGACCTAGCACAAGTTGCCCTCGAGCGTGGTTTCCCCGCACTTGTTAGCCCTTTCGCGACTAGGAGGCTTCCATTTCCAAGTGGAGTATTTGATGCAATTCACTGTAGTGAATGTGGTATCTCTTGGCATCAAAATGGTCGGCGCCATCATCCTTCTCTTCATGATCATATTCATTTCTGTATTTTCACTGAGTTTGCTTATGCTCAGGAGGATATTAATTTTATTGATTTCAGATGGTAAGCTTATCATTGAGATGAATCGGATACTGAGGCCGGGAGGGTATTTCATTTTATCGACCAAGCGTAGTAGCCTTGAAGCTGAAGAAGGTTTGCTCCTTAATTTCCATTAACTTTCAGCTTAACATCCCTTTTTATTTTGTGACTTCTATGATTTTTTCCTTTTCTTCAGCTTTGTCGAAACTGACATCATCGATCTGTTGGAACATCCTGGCTGATAAAACCGATGAGGTCAGTGACATAGATGTCAAGATATATCAAAAGCCACAAGAGAATCAGATATACCAGCTCCGTAGGAAGAAAACACCACCGATATGTAAGGAAAATGAAAATCCAGATGCTGCCTGGTGAGGACTACAATCAAGTGTTTCAGTTGCAGCATCAGTATGAATTGATTCAATCTGCTCATAATTTCAGGCACACTCCAATAAAGACTTGCCTGCACAAAATTCCTGAAGCCATCGAACAGCGAGGGACTGAGTGGCCGGCAGAATGGCCTAAGAGGCTTCATACGTTTCCTGAATGGATGAACGACAGAGAGAAATTGGTTGCTGACAGTGAACACTGGAAAGCTATTGTAAGCAAGTCTTACTTGATAGGAATGGGGATCGACTGGTCAAGCATCCGGAATGTAATGGACATGAAAGCCATAAATGGAGGGTGAGCTACTAGAATTATGATCATAATATAATTCCACAACTCTATCTGCATCTTTAATCGAAGTTGCTAATGTTTTATTGTTGAAATGCTGTTAAGATTCGCTGCTGCACTTTCAGACCAGAAAGTTTGGGTGATGAATGTTGTCCCTGTACATGCCCCGGATACACTTCCAATACTTTTTGAGCGGGGGCTTGCCGGCGTTTATCATGACTGGTGTGAATCTTTTGGTTCATATCCAAGATCTTATGACCTTCTGCACGCAGATCATCTCTTCTCGAGGCTCAAGAACAGGTGTGTGAGAGAGACTTAAAATAACACTCTCTACACTTCCATATCCTTTACTAACAAGCATTTTTCATTCAGATGCAAGCAGGCAATTGTAATTGTTGTTGAGATGGATCGCCTACTAAGGCCCGGTGGCTGGGCAATTATACGCGATAAAGTAGAGATCCTAAATCCTATAGAAGACATTCTGAGAAGCCTACACTGGGAGATTCGAATGACTTTTGCACAAGACAAGGAAGGCATCCTCTGTGCCCGAAAGACCATGTGGCGGCCCTGATAGGCTTCCTTACACCGGCGCTGCGCATACGATCAATTTTGCATTCATTGTGAAAGGGTGAGTCTTGTTCTTTCATTGTAATGTTTCTCCACATTTTATTACTAACTTGAGAATCACTTGTTGGTAATATTATTCATCAAAGGGTGGACTGAAATTGATTAATGTATAGCAAATATGTTTTAATGTAATCTGGTTTTGTTTTCTCTTCTCACATGTTCATTTTGATATCATCAAAGGTAAATGTTAGGGTGGGAATATTCAGCTAAAGCTAAATCTTGTCCCAAAAATCAACAACTACATTTAAAACTTTATTAGGCTTCTCTGAAATCCATTCACCATTTTTGTTAGGTCTATTGTTCAAATGGAACTTTTAATTATCTCTAAACCAATCAGCAAACAAAAACACACACAAAAGTGTACAATGTCCTTATCTTATCCCTATCACTAGGCTAGCAACTTCTTATATATTACTATTAATATAATAATAATTTTGTTGGGGAAGTTGGGAGCAATCATTGATTTCAACCCCTTCAAGCCACATGAATAGAAATAGTATGAATTATATACACTTGACCAAAAACAGGGGAAATTGCACACCACAGTCCAACAAATAACAAGAAAAAAAGAAAAAAAAAAAAAGGTATGAATCAACCAGAACCATAACAGCATTACAAGAGCTACATCAGATTCATTCATCATATGATGGATCTTTCTTGATTCTCAGCTGCTCTTTCTGGGCTTCCCTTTCTTCCTTGCTCTGCTCTTCCTCTGCTGCTTCTTTGGTGATTCCTTTTGTTGTTCTTCTTCTTCTTTTATTGAGTTTGATGATGTCCCCACCACTTCTTTTATTTCCTCCAGTCTTTTTTCCTTGTCCCCCTTTTCTTCTTCTTCTTCTTCACTAATTTTTGCTTTCTTGGAAGCTCTAGTCCCTTCAAATTCCTGTGCTGTCTGCTGTTGTTTATCCTCCTTTTCCACATCCTTGTCCACAACTTTCCTTGGCCTCCCTCTTTTTCTTGGAGTCTGTGGCCCTGCTGCTGCTGCTGCTGCTGCTGATGATTCTGATATTGCAACTGATACCTCCTTTGTCTTCTTCAATCCCTTCTTCTTCCCCATCATCTATGATTATTCTAATAATTCATTTCCCCATCTATGAAGCTAAGTGCATTCAATAGCAAGAAAACTCCCAAAAGATTCGAACCTCCAATAAACACTGCAGGAACACATCCAAACTACATGAAAAAAAAAAAAAAAAGTCCTTGAAACACTAGCGCTAACCCAACAATCCTTACTGTGTTAATGAAACATCTAAAGCTTTTTTTCACATACCCAAAGAAAAATCATCAAACATGGGCAATAACAAATAGAAAAACAATCATTATTTAACCTCAGCTCAATAGAATCAAGAACAAAAACAACAGATTGATGTGAACCAACAAGCATAAGCTTTATTCCCTTTTCCTAACTCTATTTTCTCAGAAACACTTCATCCATGTATTCACAATAAATATTTCAGCTGAATGTTTACAGCAGAGAAAAAGACAGCTAAGGGGTGAGAGGAGGGGGGAGAGAAAGAAACTGGAATGAAGCCTGAAAGAGAGTGATAAAGATGAGGATGATGAAACATAAAAAATAAAATGAACCAGATAAAATAAACAAAGATATATAAAATATATGTGTGTGTGGCTGAGTTTCCATGTAACCATGGTTAAAAGACATACTACAAGCAATGAATTTGTGTTTGTGTGATCAATATATATTATATTATATGTATATGCATAATTTACATGGTATGTAGTGGTATAATATTGAAAAAGTGGTCAAAGCAAGGGCCCTGAGAGATTATGATCATGGATTGTAATTTCTTACTAGTTCGTGTACGTGTGGTGAGGTTTTATGAATGGTGAATGTGGGGTATGGATTTTTTAGCCCAATTCTGACCACTTCTCTCTCTCATCTCCTTCTCTGCTGCTCCTTTTCCTGAGTGTTTTGTTTGCAGCTTAATTCAGTTTCAATTCATAATAGCCTTCACTTCTTTACAAACTTGTATTATAAATTATCCAAGAATCACAATCTTATACTCCATCCTTTCTAATTTGTTTAACACTATTATTTTTATTTTGAGATATCTCAATATTTGCAATTTTATACTTTTCATTTTTTTCCTCTCTTTTACACTTGTCATACAAATTTTAAAATCACTGCAACCAAAAGAAAAACAAAAATATAATGGACGATATATATATATATATATGTATACATATTAAAAAATTATACCATTTATTAATAATATTCTTTAAAGAATATTATATTAAAGACATAATTTCTAAAAAATATTATATTAAATACTTGAATCTAAAAATTCATAGTACATAGACGAAGCCTAAATCTGGATTAAACTTTTGAATTATGCCTCAACTTTAATCTAAAATAACTTTTGCTGGATATCATATTCTAGAATCAAATTGGGCTAGATTGGATTTTGTGTAATAAATAATATGCACACATAAAGGATATTATTCAGACGATATTGTTTGAATAAATTATACACCTAGAAACTATTACAATCAAGTATATAAGACAAGTTTGAAATAATTTAGTAACATGTCATGATATTTCTTTGTATTTATCACTTTAAATTGATGTGGTGCAATTAGACTCACGAGTTTATTCATTATATAGAGAAATTTAAAAAAAAAAAAAAGTAAAATAAATGAGCAGAATTGGCATCAAATTTGCGTCTCAAAGCAATGCATCAAACAATTTAAAAATATTAATTTATAATAACTCTCTCAATCAACAAATGGGATTTTTATTTGTGAAATTTGTGGCCACATGTAACTAAAAACGCCAACCAGCCGTTTTTCATAAATTTGAGTATTCCTAAAGTCGTGTGACCAAAACATCATCGAACGCGCCGACCCACCTCGGATAAGGCCAGGCCTACGCTCATCAAAAGCGACACCCGGGTGCTCAACTCCCTGATAGGTTAGACTTAAACCAAACACCCTCAGACCTTAGTTACGGAAGGAGCTAGCTCCCGGGACCGTTCAAGAATAATCTGATCCACATCCACTAACCCAGGTCACTTCGTTTATGGAGGTCAAGAAGTAAAACCCATTGTTTGGGGCTTTGCTTTCACTTTCATGGGCAAGCATCAAGCATCCTTCGTTCTTGAATCTTGATTGATTGATTTAATTAATTAATTGATTGATTAATCGATCCGTGCACAAAGCATATGCCCTAATCCTCTGTCCCTGTTTTGTCTGGGAACAGTCCAATAATAATAAAAGGTTCAAAGGTGCAGCTAGATTTTTAGTTGGCTGGTGACGTAAATTTAAAACCCGAATCTGGAATTTTCTTCAGCGTTTCCATCGCTAATGAGCTGCTGAAGACAGAGACACGAACAGGGGAGCGGTTTCTTTGTTTTGTATCTACGCTCAATTGTGGACATAAACTCCGAGTAAAGAGGTCGCTGTATTTGATTTTGGGCCACAAGAAATTCTTGTGGGGAGAGCTTAAAATCCTTTACAGCTGTGTTGCTTTTATCGAAAAATTCCTATTTTGCTTGACGGGATTAACTGAAGGCGGTTGATGCACAAGTTCTTGGTAAGTCAGATAATCGATGAATTTTCTGGCTTTTCTTTCCCCCCCTTTCTCTCTCTCCACTCTTTTGGGTGTTGCTCATAGTTGATTCTTGATATGAGTTTTCTTTGATACTCTTGCAGAGTTATCGGTTTGTGTAATTTATTTTTATTGCATGATTGAAGCTTTGTGCTACTGAAGAAATATTCTTTGCTAACAATCTTATTATGCTCATAGTTTAGTGGGTGGGGAAAATCTTGTAGATTTGATGTGATTTTGACAAGTTGGGTTGGTAAAATAAATCCCTCATTTGGAACTAATTCCTTGGGTTTGAAAGAGGACATGGTGGTTCTGATCTGCTCTACTCTGTCCTTTTCTTGCAATTTGGCAACTGTTTCTCACGGGGATTCAATAGTTTGGGATTAATTCTTCAACAAGACTAGTGAGAAGTGGGTGGATTTTAGTTATTGCTTGCTTTTGTATAGTTCTTGTGTACAGTAATTGAACTAGGGCTTGAAGCATGTTTATCACTCTGCTCATTTCTTCATGGAATTTGATGGAATTCACCGTAATGTTTGGTCTGATTAGGTTTCCTCATCTTTTGTTGATCTGATTGGCTCATGCCGATGAAGGAATTCGGTGCAAAATAAGGTGAAGAGGATGGGGAACTCTTATGAATTTTATAACAATGGTGATGTGGCTGATCCAAGCCTACAAATCATAAGGCATCCTGCATACCAATCTTCTGGCAGGTTTTCGTTGCTTTGGTTCGATGTAAGAGTGTTCTATGTTAGAATCAGCAATTTCATGGTTGATGATTCGACCCCACAATTCCTCACCATCAACCACATCCCTTTGAGCCCCGACACAATTCTTGAGGTCAATGGAGTGAGGTGTTCGATGGATTCAGAAGGAATCTCTTGCACCCTTCGACGCGATAGGGTTGATAAGAAATCGGAAGAGGCTACTTTTGTCAGCACGGACAGTGTAAGATTATCAGGCAGCGTGAAATTTGAGGTATTTGATAAAGAGGACCTTGTCATCTCCGGGGACTTGGAAATGTCCAATGCCAATGGATGCGTGGGAGAGCCGTATAATACAAGCAGGAGATGGAGTATGAATTGTGAATCTGTGATTAATGCTGGTACGGGATTTCTAAAAGGGAAACAAATTGGAGGTGCCGAGTCTTCATCGCCTACACTTGAAGTTTATGTAGCAGGTTCCTTCTCCGGAACTCCGGTAATATTGACAAAGACGTTGCAACTTACTCACAGGAGAAAGCTTAGAAAAGGCATGCTGAATTCTATTCCCGAGTATGATGCTTCAGAAATGCATGAAGATGGTTTATCCAGGCATGACCTACAGGTAATGTATTCGGTATTTGAGTTATCTTTAGTTCCCAATCAAAGTTGAATTGGTTTCTGGTTAATATTATTATAGGATGCTGTCTTTATGAATCGATGCATAGGCTTAAAACTGAATATGACTTTCTAAATAAGTTTAAAGCTGAATTTTTTTTGCAAATTTAATAAAATCATAGCTATCGTATAACCATCTTCAGCTGGAGATAATCCATACAATATCTGAAAAGGAAGTTTTGGCGTAGCTTATAATATGTGCTGAGCTTCTCGAACCAACCTAAGATTACTTAGTCGAAATAAAAGTTAGTAAATGATCACCTCTAAAGTAAAATTATCAAAGTAAGGATGGCTGGAACAGATTATGGGCATCAAACATGTTCAGTTCATCTTATCCTTCCACGTTTCACCAGTGGTTTGGCAGCTTCCTATGTTGAGACATGTTTCACTGCAACATAAGGTTTTAGCTGTGATTGATCTTATGTTAAGGAATCTTATCTTGTAGATGTCGATGTCCTGAGCATGCCGAGGGGTATGGGGTGGCACATGTTTTAACGTGATGGGCTAATAATTTCCACGGGTTTTGTCTTGTAATATCCTTATCCTGCTTGCAATAGATTAGACATACACAGCCATGCTCATAGAATAGAAACAAGGTACATTAGATTGCAACTGTGGGGCTCACTGTGCCTTTTTGGCCCTCATCAAGAAACATTTGGTGGCCAAGCAACCCATTGTCACTACACGATAGTTTGCACCATAATTCGGGTTTATATAAAATTTCGAGGTAGTTTGTTGAGATCATATTGTCTGGCTAATGTAACTTTGTTTGAATGTAGCCGCATACAAATACTTTTAAAATCTTGATGCTGAATATCGTACTACTAGATTTCGAACTCTTGAAAATCCTAAACCTGCGTTCAAATACATTGTTTGTCACGATCTTTTCAGGTTGCAGAATACAGAAACTATAAATCGGAAAGTGAGGAGGACTATGATAATCTGTACTGGAGACAAACACAATATATGGATAGCGAGGAAGACGGGGAGCTTTCATGGTTCAATGCTGGGGTCAGAGTTGGTGTCGGGATTGGTCTTGGTGTTTGCTTGGGAGTCGGAATTGGAGTGGGCTTATTGGTCCGCACTTACCACACTACCACCCGAATCTTCAAGAGGCGCTGGTGAACCTATCATCGCTGTATAATCATCTGTTGTTCGGTTTGGATCCGTACTTCTCTTCGGTGTGTAAAATGAGTTGATTGCTGTTTGTTTACATTCTATCCTATCTGTTGAAGAGAAGAGAAGAGAAGAGAAGAGATGCAGCAGCAACAGCAGCCCATCATTTCCTGTGTAACTTGTTTATTTATTGCCTGTTTCTTTGATTTGGGAGAGTTTTGAATTTCTGTATATAGTTTTCTTTTTTCTTTTTTTTTTTCAAGAAGATCGAGTTCATAGGAAATAGCTGCATTTAGTGTAGATGTCTTTTTGACTGTCTCCTCTGTGTCATGGCATTGTTTTATCTGATCTTTTGAATACAAGTGTGTTTTATTTGCTGTGGATACATACACACATCAAGTAATGATGATTAAATCCAAAGAATCCTCATGTTTAAATTTGATCAAACACTGATCCAAGAACTTCCTTTTTGAAGGAAAGGTTCACCATTTTCAGCAAGAAGAGTACAAATATGCTGCAGCCAATATAGTCTAGAAAGCTTCTAAACTAAACTCGATAAAATGGTACAGTAACAGGCTAGAGCTCGGGAGGCACCTTGGGACATTGTTGCCTGTCGAAACCCCAGAATTTAGCAGTCTTGATATCGTCTAATGCCATAAGCCTAGAGAACTCCTCATGGTCGTAATGCAGAGTAGCTTTGCCTCCAAACTCGGTCGGGAGATTGTCCACATCAAAATATGAGCTCATGAGTTCCACACTATCCTTATTCTTTGGGTACACAAATTTCACTTTCTGGATGGTTTTGGGATCCATAAAGTACTTGACAATCTGCAAACAAACACGTTTTAGTAGATTGAAAGATTGCGATTGCTTGGCAAGTTATGTATTACACGGATTGGAAGAAATATGATGCAGAGAGACTATGAAACTCACCTTCCAAAAAGCTTCGAATATGCGTGGGGGGCTGTAGAGAAATGCTACAGCCAGTCTCTCTGGGTAATGATTTTGTAATATGTTGATGGTATCCCGTGCAGCTTTGATGGGAACACTACAGCTTAAAGACCAGCCAGTGAAATCTATCAACCATACCATTTCTTCCTGTCCATCTGGTAGATTGAGTATGGCATTCTCAAATAGATATACCAGATGTTTGATCTGGTTATCTACTGATGTTGTATTCTGGTTAGCATAAAGTAAATGTCACACTCTTGCCCCAAAGTGAATATATCTGAGAGATCAATATTAGAAACGAAAAGGCGCAACAGAAAAGCTTATACCTGCACTCCTGGTCTAAGTATAAGAACAGTTCTACCATGACGATCACGAAAATTTGCTCTGAATAGTTTCCCTGTCTCACCTTCAGCAGCAACTTCATGCTACAGTAAGGATCAATTTGAAAGCTATATCAATTCAAAGAAAACAGATGAATTTGGAAGGTGCAATGCATGTAGAAACAACCAACAACAGGCCAATTGCAAATGTCTTTGAACATATTATATCACCAGCCATACTCATCATACCCAACGGATTTCTTCAGGTTTATAGCTGGATCTCCATTTGAGTGTTTCCTCCAACATCTTCTTTGATTTTTCTACATTCCAGCTACGAGCTTCTAAATATCTTTTCAAACAAGCTTCAGTGCAGTATTGCAGACTCCGGCCAGACAATTGTCCAAGAGAAGCTTTAAGCTCTTCAATCTGCAAAATAATTATTTTCAGCTCATCTTCATTTACTTAATAGATGAACTATCCGACAATAACATAGGTCAGATTTAGGAACCAGCCAATCTATCATTACCTTGTGCTCAGCATGCTCATCTTCATGAGAGGAACTAATCTTACGAAGAAACATGGTATTGTCTAATAATCGAGCTTACCTATCATCAAAAGACATAACTGGATGTTACTGCCTGATAAACAATAGATCATTAAAATGGCCACACCATTTTTCGAATTTGCTGCAGGTATATGTACACAATGCTACCAATTCAAAGCTATGTTTAGATCTCATACTTGAAAGAAGATCAAGCGTAAGATCACATCAAAATATAAAAGCAGCTGACAAAGAAAAATAAATCAATAGCTCGTGATCCATCCGAATTTGGTTTACCCCCAATTCTCATTTCCAAAGAATGCCACGAAATTCTGGAGATGCAAAAGCTGAATTTCAATCCTAACCCAGTCGGAATGTCACTTCGTCCGTCTCGATCAATCAAGATCCAGAATCCAACAAACTAAATCGAAACAGATACATGACACGCAAACCCTAGCCGAGTAAGCGTAAAAAACAAATCACAATTCACAACCCCCATGAAAAAGTCGTACGCAATTGAAACATAAACCCCAGATTACAGGCGCACAAAAAGCACAGTAACGTGAAACAAACACAAACCACGCCACGGAGAAAACAAGACACTCGCTCGGGAACTTCACCTCAACGAGAAAAACGGCGACGGTAACTTCTCCAGGCAGACCAAAAACGCCTCTTTTTTTCTCGGCCCCCAGCGCGCGTACTCAGTGCATACGAGCATCCACTACTTGATAAACTGTCAATATAGAACATTCACTTCACATAAATGCGCGGATCGCATACGCCGATACGTACAGGTACAGCGACACCACATCACTGCAATGCAACGAAATCTGGTGGGTAACATGTGCGAATCGATTCAAGATACACGACGTCGACGAATGTGGGGGTGGGGTGGGCGGGGATATCTAAAACGACAGCTATACCAAATTCGCAAAGTCACAGTCAAATTCTAGCCTTTGGATTCGATCTTTTGTTGAAGAATACAGATCAGCCTTCTTGAATGGATAAATAAGTGAGCCGAGACTCCCGGATCTACTCACATACATATCACTTTTATTTTATTTTTTAAAATATATTAAAAAAAAAAATTGTCTTTATTGAAATAAGAATATAATTGAAAATTCATTAAATTTTGGCAAACTTAAGAGCACACACGATGACGAAATGAAAATTGGATTAAAGAACTATTCCCAATCCTTCAATACTCTCAATCCCTCTCCCTGATAAGTTTACTTGAATATGGAGATTTATTATTTTAATATTAAAAAAAAAATGAATATTATAAATTTTTTATTAAAATAAAAAATTTTAATTTTAATTCAAAATAGAATAGAATGAAAAAAATATATATATCTTTTATATTATAAGATTTGTAAAATGTAGATCAAAGAACACACATAAAAGAAAAAAGAAGACATATTTTCACGTGGAAATTGGGTTTGAAGTTAAAAAATAATAAAAATTTTAATTAAAATAATTATTTGATATAGTATAATCAAATTAAATATAAAATTAATTATTAATAGATGTATTTCTGTTATATTTTGAAGTTTGAATATTTTAGATGTATGATATAAAAAATTGTACAAATAAAGGAATTAATATATTTTGAGATGAGAGTTTGACTTTTTTTTAATATAATTAGAATATTTGTGCTTGTTTATATTTTTCTAATTTAAGATATTTTTTATATATATAATGTATAAAATTATATTAATAATAGAAAAAATAAATCATTTTTTTTTTTGTGAAAATATAAAATTCAGATCAAATGATATATGATATTAATGTATAATTATTTTTTCAAAAGTTTAAAATAGATACAAAATGGATATTTTAAAGTAAAGCAAAAAAAATGATATATATATATGTATATTAAAAATTATGATCAATAAAATTTTAATTGCATAAACAAACCCTTTGATTCCTTGAGTTTTTTTAAATTCTTGATGGTTGTTAATTGTTATAAAAAAATGTTGGGTATGTTTGTACTATGAAATAGTTTGAATAAATTTTTGTTTTATATAAAATATGGTATAAATAATATAAGAATAATAAATATATATAATATATTATTTTATTTTTTTTTAAAGTTGTGTACTATTATTTTTTAAAAAGGATCACACCCGTTCACTTCCATAACTATTCTAATAACTAAAATTTGTGTTTTATCCCACTATTTTTTCTTTTCCAACATGCTTCTTATAAGTATTATAAAAAGAAAAAATAAAGTCATATATTTAAACAAGATATATATGACATCCACTCAAGAAAATATTTTTTTATAATGAAATTTGTAAAAATGTAGGTCACATTTCCACAAGAAATGTTAGGACTACAAAATAACAAATAAAAAAAATTGTTGAGATTTCCGTTTGCGAATATATGAATAATGACTTAATTTCTTTAACAGCTCAAATTTTTAGATAAAACGATCGTTAGCATTCGAAATGGTATCAAAGCCTAGATTAGATTTCAATATACCTCCACTTTAGCATCCAGTCAGAAAATGAAGTAAAATAATTATTTGATATAAGTAGAATAAAATGTCAATATAATATTTTAATTATAAATTAATATTAATATAATATAAAAACAAAAAATAATAAATTTTGATTTAATATTTTTTAAAAGAAAAAAAAATATATGCAATGAAAACAAACCTTTCGAAATTCAGCTTGTAAATTCCAAGCTTATATTTGTTCATGAAATACTTTTCCATTGTATAATTAATTATTTTAAATGCAGTGTTTAAACTTTTTTTGCCTTTAATTAAATAATATATATATTTGTTAAATTTTGGCAAATTATCTAACTTAATTTATAGTCAAAAAGCAAAAAATGCGAAGCGGAAGTTTTAAAAATTTCAAGACTATATACAAAAATGATAGCAAAATAGCCAAGAGTGAGAATTATACAACCTTTAATGTTTGGATATTGGCATAGCTAACCAGACCTTCGTTCCAAAAAGCCAACATTCCTCATACAGAGAGGAGTTTGCGTACAAAACAAAAGACTCTTAACTTAACGATACAATACGGCCTTAGACAGCCATATTTCGGAGACCGTCGGTCAGATGAACTCCAGCAGAGCAGATCACGCGTAGGAAGCAACAGCCATATCTCTAATGTGGATCGACTTTGGTGTGAAGTATGAAATGGCTGATGCTAACTGCCTTTACAGAATAACCATCATCATCTCAACGTTACCATCAGCAATTTGGCTCGGGCCAAGTCGAAGCCCTAAGGGCAACAGATGGTTGAGACTTGAGAACTATCTCGAAACCCTAGCAACAGAGAGTTGGAAGTTTGGAACTATCTCGAAACCCCACGTGCAACGGATATTATTTTTTGGATATAATGTTAAAATTTAAAATAATACATCGAAGCCGTCTTAGCTCAGCCGGTAGAGCGCATGGCTTTTAACCATGTGGTCGTGGGTTCGATTCCCACAGACGGCGGCGGTAAATTTAAAAATTAATTTTTCTTGTTTAATTTAATTTTGCTTTTGTGATCTCATTTCTCACAATCGAACATAATCTGCTGTTTGCCCAGTAATCTCTACACAAACAGCTCACCAAAATGCATACAGAAACATCTGAATCAAGATTCAAGAACCAAACGAGTTTGCGCTAATATAGCCCAAGGAACTTAGCCATTTGCCAACAGAATGTTTACCAAACCCATCCAACATATTAACCCTAGATTCAAATGCCTGTGGATCCAAACCCTCCAGATCCCCTGGCAGTTGAATCTAGATCATCAACCTCGGTTACCTCAGGTGTCTCGATTTTCTCGAGGATCAATTGAGCGATCCTGTCGCCGACCTTCACTTCAAAGTCCACATCCGAATGGTTGAACAGAATCACCCCAATTTGGCCCCTGTAATCCGCGTCGATCACCCCTGCCCCCACGTCAATTGAGTGCTTCAAAGTCAATCCGGATCGAGGCGCTGCCAATTTCGAGACGAACACATAGGCGTGAAATTGATAAACCCTAATCCCCAAATAAATGAGATCGGGGAATTGAAGATGGAGAGAAACAGAAGAAATTTACCAACACGAGCGTAAGTTCCTTCGGGAATGGCGATGCTTAGATCAGTCGGTATCAGGATTTTGCCTCTAGCAGGCACTGTGGTCTCCGTCGCGCTGTCCAGAAGAATATGAAGCGAAAAATCACGGCATATCGACGGCAGAAGAAAACCTATCCATGGCTGGAAAAACGATAAATACCTGGAGAGATCGTAGCCTGCTGAAAGTGGAGATCCCCTCGAAGGCAGAGTGGCTTTCTCAGATAGCTTCTTCACCCTCAGAAACGAGGCGTGTTCGTGCGGTTTCTTCTCAGGAACACCATTGTGGTGTAGCTTCCGTACTTTTGTTGATGGTTCGCTGGTCTCGGAACTATGAGCTTGATTTTCAGCCGATTGTGCCATTTTCAGTTTGAGAACGCGGAACGGACGATGCGAACTTGCAGAAACCCTCGGTTGTGTAGGGTTTGGGCCCCGAGGGAAGCATTTGGTGGGGAAATATAAAGATGCGACCGCCATTGACAGCGAGCTAGGGTGAAAATGGCGCCAAGGATTCCCGCCATTTACATTCTTATACGAAACTGAGAATAAAAATCCTCCTACAAATCCATTATTCTTTAGATATGGCAAAAAGACCTGGGTATACGTGAGACTCAACGAGGATTAACTTATTTATATTATATCTAATTATTCTGATATCATGTCAGGTCAGCTATGGATCGTATGGTATGGTGTACCTTTGTCGGGTTTGGGTCATGTCTCGACGAAGCTGTTAAACAAATAGAGTCGTTCATGAACTTAGTTCAATTTAATTTGATTTGACTTTCATTTGCGAATTTTAACTAGCCAAATCAAATAATACAAATAGACTCGCTTGATTAACAAACGAGGTCGAACGCACGGTCACAAATATTTGTAAAATAATATATTTATTATTAATATTATATATATAATTATAATTTATAAACAACAAAATATTAATTTAAAATAAATAAATGAAATAATTTTAATTTTTTATAAATCGAACGGACTTAATTAAGCCGAACACGAATACGAGTTTAAACAATACAAATTCTTTAACGAGTCGAACTCGAAAGCTTAACGAACAAACACGAACACTTACTTCGCTCGACTAGTCAACAACTCTAGATTTCGAGTCTATGGGTGAATTTTATACCAATTCGATTAATATATTAATAATATACTTTGTCTGTACCAATCCGAAATAAACAGTTGAGATTTTGTAGTCGATTCAAAATAATAGTATTGTATCGAAGTGATAAAAGAAATTGACATTTTTATTTTTGACTTTGTTAAAAATTAATTGCATATAGAATGATATGTTTGTAATGCATATAAAAATTAATAGCACATTAATATTAGAAAAAAAAAATCACTTTTTGTCACAATATAATTAAAATCTATCAATTTTGGTCGTAATATAAAAAACTCATCAATTTTAGTTATATTATAAACAATTTTAATCAATTTTGGTTCCATTATAAATAATTTCAATCAATTTTAAAGGTAGAACCACAATTGATTGAAATTATTTATAATTAAACTAAAATTGATTGAAATTATTTATAATGAGACTAAAATTGATTATTGGGATCAAAAGTGATTTTTTCCTTAATATTAATAATAATATTTTTATTAGAGATACTTAATTGAAATGTTACAATTTCTTTAAATTGTACTATCTACTTAACATAATAAATATCATTTCAATTTACAATATATTACACAAATGTAATTACTTTTATATTACAACTACTAATAAGAGTATTTTTATTTGTTTTACTATAATCTAATATAATACTAATATTAAAAAATCTACCAAAAAAATAAACCCTATCGTTCCAAGAGAATATTAAGTTTTATTTATTTATTTATTATTATATTTTAATAAAATATATAAATTTTAATAATAATTTTTATTTTTTTATATATAAAATAATAAAAAAATAGTAATATAGAAAATCTACCATACGTCGAGAGCAGCGGTGCACTGCGCCTCCCGCACGCACATCCAGCCACGTACCCGTGGGCCCCAATACGATATCCACTCAATACTGGAATATTGGGGCATAAGCGTCATTTCAAGGAGACTGTGAACCGCACGACACGGCTCACGCGCGTGGAAGCAAACCGTCTCCACAGGAAAAAAATAAAAAAAAGGCAAAGAATAATAATAATAATATCGCAAGGGTTAAAGCTAACGTGAGCCGGAGGGCGACGCATCCTTAACCTGCACCACATCACAGACCTTTGGGTATCTGATATATTGCCCTTTGCCCTACATTTCGCCTCCCCCGCCTTTGGCTATTCCGCGCACCTTGAAGCAGTCGATCGAAAGTGTTTTCTCTCTCTAGCTCGCTATTCGCAATTTGCCGGCTCCTTCTTCGATCATCAATGGCCGACAACACCGTCTTTGATTCTCGCCCTAATCTGATATCGAAAGGTTTATCTATCCATCGCATTGGTGTATTTGGGATATTCGTTTCTTGTTTCTTTTGGATTGATTTCTGCTGTTGTGAAAAACCCTAAAATCGAACCTTCGCTTCTTCTTCTTCTTCTTCTTGTATTTTAGGGTTTTATTTTCTCTGTATCTGGAGCTTTTATCTCTGCTTTTATTAGTGTGACCGCCATGGCAATCGCTCTTTCTTTTGCGGCGTTTATGCGAAGTTCCCGAAAAAAAATCCAATGCAGGGGTAGCAGTTGAATCTACGACTATGTGGTTTTTGCGATGAAGTATCGAGTGTAGTTTTCCAGTGAAGGAAGCTTAAATAGACGAGTCGGTGTACTAAATTCGATTATGAAATTTCTAAATCTCGTTAACAATCTATATATGTCGGAAATATGTTTTGGAGTGTTGTGAATTACAGTATCTGCAATATAAGAGATTTATTCTCAGGTTTAATGGTAGACATTCATTTTGACATTGATGAAAGCTTCTTGTTTCAAGCTATCTAGTCGGGAACTCTTGTCTTTCACCTAACTTTGCTAGCCTGTTAAGGTTTTCCAGTTATATTAAAATTCAAAATGCCAAGGGTTTTGGCCTCTTTGTTGGTTATTGTCTCTGACTCTCCGTGCTTATTTGATCCTTGCCTTACAATATTCGGATAGTAATCTCTTGATATGATGTGCTTTGGTACTGTTGTTGATGTTAAGCTACAAGCATGCTGGCGGGAACTGTGGACATAACAAGACTTTTGCATATTTTTCCTAAGTGTCCAAATGTTGCATTTTCTTTGTTGCAACAAAAATATCTTCCATTGGTCTCATAGAACAATGACACTTGGGATTTGTTCTTCTTTGGATGGGTTGGAGGAGTGGGTTTGTTTTAGCTCTTTGTATACTAAATTTTCTTGCACTTATAGGTTAATTGTTGACTGATAGCACATTTTTGAGTGAATTGCAGATTTTACTTTCTTTTATTTTTTTAAAAAAATTATATATTTAAAAGCTCTGGTTCAATGTTTAACCCATTCTTAAGTATTAAACTTCTCATATATTTTTTTAAATATGTTTCAAAGATATCGATTTGAGGCTTCATCCACCTAGTACTTTCTGTCTGTGTGTGTATTGTATGCTTCCACATGTTTGTAATTAAGTCTGGATATACACTTTAGGAAACACCCCCCCTCTCTTTTTGGTACTAGTTTTTATTATCATGTAATATCGCAAATTTCCAGTAGTGTGGATCTAGTTATTTTATTTGTATTAGTATTATATTTGTGTATATGCTTATCATTTATGGGTGGTGGTTTGCTTGATAACACTTTTCTTTTTACAATTCCCTCAAAAGTTTTATTAATATATATATTTTTTTTATCCTTTTTCTAAATTGTGCAGATGTGCCAGGATCTGATAATTCCATTCCGCTCTCACCTCAGTGGCTTTTGACCAAACAAGTGGAAAATAAGTCTGGGGTAGTTGCTGGGGTTTGTTATGCTATACTTTGTTCTATGCTTGATGATTTATTTTGCTCCACTGACATGTGAAGTGAGATGATGGGGAGGATGCTGAGAAAGAAGGTTTTGCTCATTCTTCATTTTAGTGACTTCATTTTTGGTGCAGGACAACCATTTCAATCCACTTCCAGGTCATGCTAACCATCCTCTTACTACAAAAGTAACTGGAACAGGAGATGATTTGGCTGGAAACCATAAGAAGAAAGATGTTTTTCGTCCTTCTGTGCTGGATATTGAATCTGGTCGCCGTGCCTTCTGGCGTGATGAAGAAAGGGACACTAATGCCCCTGTCCGTAGGGACAGATGGAGAGAGGGGGAGAGGGAGCACAGCGACAATCACAGGGTGGATCGCAAGGTTGAGCCTTCTGGGAGACATCAAGGGGAAGTGCGCCGTGCCCCAGTAGAGCGGTGGACTGATTCAGGGAACAGAGACAATAACGATCAACGCCGTGAAAGCAAATGGAATACAAGGTGGGGGCCTGATGACAAGGAAATTGATGGAGGGCAGAAGTGGATGGACTCCAAGAAAGAAGATGATGTTCTTGATAAAGGGTCCTCTCAACTTTCTGAGCATGGAAAGGATGAAAGGGATGGAGATCATTATCGACCATGGAGATCTTACTCGTCCTACAGTCGTGGTAGGGCAGATGCACACCAACCACCATTGGCCCCAAACAAACATGTTCCTACATTTTCACTTGGCCGGGGACGTACTGAAAACCCTGCTCCTAACTTTTCCCTTGGAAGGGGAAGGACTAATTCTGGTGGAAGTTTGTCTACCCATAACTCCTCTAATTTGCAGCCTCATGGATCTCTATTAGAAAAAGGTGAAAGTGGGGATGGTGGGCCTTATTCTTTAAGCTATAGCCGGGCAAAGCTGATTAATATATACAGGACAACTGATGTGATAAGTCATGGGAAATATTTAGAAGGTGGTGTTCAAGTACCTTCACTAACACAAGATGAATTTATTGAACCACTGGCCTGTTCTGAGCCTTCCCCAGAGGAGTTGGTAATGCATTTATTTTACTATTTTGAGATTTGATAGTTAAGATGGTTATTATAGCTGGCTGTGTTATTCTGTTTTAGGTTGTTCTGAAGGGAATTGACAATGGAGAAATCATTAGCAGCGGTGCTCCACAGGTTAGTAAAGATGGCTCTGCTGGCCGAACCACTGGTGGCTTTATGCAGTCGAGACGGAACAGACTTGGTAATGTATTTTTATTTTTTGCATGGAATGTTACGTATGCAACTTGGTATTATTTCTGCTAACTTGGCTAGTTTATGGTGATGAACATGCTTGTTCTTCGGTTTTTCATTTTCAATTGTTTCAAGCAGATTCGAAAGATGATCTTCCCATGTATGACAACAAACATGAAGCATCAAACAACACTGAGGGTTATTTCAATTATTCCGAAGGCCTGTCCCATGAAAAGCAGCCCTACCATCGACCTGGCACTAAAGCTGAGCCAACACAGGAATATCAGACTCTTTCTAATAACAAGTTGACTGCTGGAGGTACTCATTGATTTCATTATGTTTGTGTGGATGTTGACTACACAGGATCACTGCATATGAGGTGGAAAGCTGTGGAAAATAGTTTGTTAGAAGTACTGCAATCTGTTTTTTTCACCTTTTTTGTACGGATGCAAATATTATTGAATAAAATCCAAGATAGATATGCTAGCTAAATTTGTATTTGGTCTCGTTTCCTCTTGGCCCTCCTTCGTTCTGGTGTAGTGGGTTGTTAATTTGATAAAATAATTAATAGTCTGCATTCTTTAGCTTTATCCTTTGTTATTTGATTGCCAGCTTATATTGTGTTTTTTGTTTTGTTGGCTTATGCAATATAATCATGTGTTCAGCATTGCGAGGGGATGCTGCTATTCAAAGGAAGAATGAGGATGTTACAGCTGCTAGGGAATCCAGTGCACCAGAAAAATCTTCTGTCCTTCGTGCCGGTTCATGGAGATCCTCATCATTTGCAGAACACACACGTGCTACTACTGATTGGCGGGAGACATCAACAGATGTTCAGAATAATTATAAGAATGTCTGGGGATCTGGCTTGATGGCTTCGCCTAACACTAAATTAGGAGGACCCAAGTGGCAGGTTAGTGATGATCTGATTATGAGACGACAGCAATCTATTCCAATTGATAGGGAGATGGAATCACTTAAGCTGTCTCAGACACCTCCGGAAGACCTAATTCTTCTCTATAAAGATCCCCAAGGTGAAATTCAAGGGCCCTTCTCAGGGAGTGATATCATGACATGGTTTGAGTCTGGATATTTTGGCTTAGAACTGCAAGTACGTTTGGCAAGTGCACCAGCTGACTCCCCCTTCTCCTTACTTGGAGATATGATGCCCCATTTACGTGCCAAGGCTCGTCCACCTCCTGGATTTACTGCACCAAAGGCAAACGAAATCCAGGACATGTCTGGTAGATTAAACTTCAGCAGTTTTGGAAAGCTTCATGGCATTTCAAGCGAGGCTGAGGTGTTAAAAAATGATCCAAGATACAGGCATGGTTCTACGACAGATGCTGAAAATAGGTTTTTGGAATCATTGATGGCTGGTGGTATGACTAATATGCCCCATGAGAAGTTTACTCTTTCAGAAGGTTTGTCTCTTCTGTTTTAATTCACAATAAAGTATTTTTTCTTTCTTTTCCCTGTCTTTTTATTTTTTGAGGGTCTTATGATATTGTGGCCTTTATAATATAAGCATGCTATTATCTTACAGGTTTGCAGGCTCAAGGTGGTGATAATACTTTTGCCTACCCTTCGATTGGATCCAACAGTGGAGATGACCCTTATTTATTGGCCCAGAAGTTAACTCTAGAGAGGCAGAGATCTCTACCAAATCCTTATGCCCTTTGGCCTGGAAAAAATGTTGTTTCTGTTGATGCAAAGGCGGATGTTGTGAATGAGGCATCACTGGCGCACTCAAAGCTGCTAGGATCTCTTACTGACTCTGCTCTGGCCCAGCATCATTCTCTGAGTGTGGATTCAATACCTAATCTCCAAGGTTTATCTGATCCTACTGCCTCCAAGGTTGGTCGCTTGAATTTACCCATTCAGCAGGGGTTGGGTCAACTTCAGGATAAGTTGGACATTCATAACATGCAAAACTTTGCTTCACAATCTGGAATGGGAATGCAGCAGCAGATGCTACCACCACAGAGTCCTTCAGTAACTAATCTATTAGGCCAAATGGACAATCCTTCCAATATTTTAACTCCAGAAAAGCTCATTCCATCTGCTATTGCTCAAGATCCACAGGTACTGAATCTGTTGCAACAGCAGTACTTATTGCAATTGCAATCCCAGGCCCCTGTTGCAGCACAGCAGCTCTCAGTTCTGGATAAGCTCCTGTTGCTTAAGCAGCAGCAAAAACAAGAACAGCAGCAGCAGCTATTACTCCAGCAGCAGCAATTGCTTTCACAAGTGCTGGCTGAGCATCATCACAACCAACAGCTGGGTGAGGCATCATTTTCTCAATTGCAAACTGGTGGTTTTCCCACAGGGAATATTAATCTTGATCAACCCCATTATCAAAGCCCGAATGAGTTTCGTGTTGGCTCACAGTCCCAAGCTCTCAGTGACAACACAAAGGCTGGTGATATTCTTTTGCCTCCTGGTGATTCTCAGGAATTCAGCTTAAAAGCTGGTTCAGGCGCTTCAATGCTGCTACCTCATCAATATTTTCCGGAAATTGCTCGTAATCAGAACTTGAATGTGACTCTTCCGGAGCAAATTATTGAGCAACATGAGAGTTTTAGCACAGAAGCTGGTGTGGATTTGTCATCAAATTTAGAGAAGGATAGTAATTATGGTTCACAACAAATGCCAAGTCATGGTGTATCTGTTAATGTGCCAACCCCTGACACTAGAAGCATAGCAATCACTGAACATATGAAAAAATCAAATTCGCTGCAGAAATTGGAAGCTGACCTTGGAAATGTGGGACCTGTTCAAGAAAAGATAGAGCCCTTGGTAGAGAAACCATTGAGAGAACTTGATGACGCACGAGATGGAGAAGAACATCACATTGTTGATTCACCTGTGACCAAAGATGTGAAAATTCCTGAATCAAGGGAAGTTAAAAAAATGTCAGAAAAGAAATCAAAGAAGCAGAAGGCTTCAAAGGTTTCTAATGACACAGCAAGGGGAGTTTCTAAGTCACAACTCTCGAAGGCATCAGAAATTGATGAAACAAGCTCTGGCAATGCCAAGTTGCAGACATTTTCTTCAGAGAAGGAGAAAAGTAAGGCCAATAAAGTTACTGATGATATTAGTTCTTTGACAAATCAAACTTCATTGCCTTCCCTTGTTCATGATGGTCATGTGGAAATTGAGGCAAAGGCACCGCCTGCGCAAGTTGCCCAAGTTTCACAGCTGAAAACAGACGCAAATGTTGGACGCGTATGGAATCCCGCCCCTGGTTTTAAGCCCAAATCATTACTGGAAATCCAGCAGGAAGAGCAGAGGAGAGCACGAGAAGAGATGGAAGCCTCTGCTGTCTCCACATCTGTGAGGTCCATGAGCAGCTCAACACCTTGGGCAGGTGTGTTTGCGAATGCAGAGAATAAGGCATCCAATGAAATTCGACAGGATGCTGCTGGCCTAGAGTTGAAAGTTTCCAAAGATAATTTGTCAATTCTGAAGAACAAGAAGAGCCAAGAAGATCTATTTTGGGATACTGATGTTTCCAAGTGTGGTGACCAAGTAGTGGACATTTCTGATGGTGTATCTGTAGCTCCTTTAAGCTCATCTTTGACTTCCCAAATTGATTCAGCTGCTGATGGTGAGTTTATTAGTGCTAAAGATGCTAAGAAGAGCCGCAAAAAGTCTGCCAAGGCTAAAAGTACAGGAGCCAAAGCTGCTCCTTCAGTTCCTGATGTGTCTATTGGATCTAGCTCTACAGATAAGTTAAAACATGCTCGCCAGCAGCAGCAGCAAGATGATGTCTTACCTGCTAGACCATCTGGCCCTTCCTTGGGGGATTTTGTCCCCTGGAAGGGAGAGTCTGCAAGTCCTCCCGCTGCTGCTTGGTCCATGGATTCTGGGAAACACAATAAACCAGCTTCATTGCGAGACATTCTTAAGGAGCAAGAAAAACGGGAGTCTTCATTGCTGATGCCAACTCCAAAGCCTTCAGTGAATCAAACTACACGTGGAACTGGTCCACACTCCTCATCTCCTGCAAAGGCGACAACAACCTTACCTGCCAACTCACAAGCTTCCACTCAATCAAAACATAAAGTTGAAGACGATCTTTTCTGGGGCCCAATTGAGCAACCAAAGCCTGAGGGCAATAAGTATGGCTCTTTTCTTTTGTTCTATATATATATTTTTTCCTTGCCCTTGACTGTGGCTTCAGAAATTCACTGTGTATTGAAAATTCTAAGTATGTTTGTGGCATTCTTCATCTAGGCAATACATCCCATTATGCCTTTGGTGTTTTTTATTGCTACTGCTATGAATTGGTGATAGAGTAGTTGAATAGTTTCTATCGCCAGATATTTGTAGGTATATGTGTGAGAGGATTGGGGTAGTGTTCTTGTTATATGCTTGTTGTCTCAGATATGAGTGGCTTTTCTTACTGTTGCCTGGGGTAACCTTTGCATTTGTTATTGTGGCAATTGTGAATTTGCTTTGGTCTGTTAAATGAGCTTCTAGGGAAGTAGCAGTATAACTTTTATTGTTGTTTTTTCGCACTCTTTGGTTGCTTTTTTGATTTAATGGAAAGAAAGAATTGTCTTTATTATGAATATGCTCTTCTATTTCTGCAGGTCAGGATTTCCTCAACTTGGATCACAGGGCAGCTGGGGAAGCAAAAGCGGCACTGCAAAAGGTACTCTTGGAGGGTCACTGAATCGGCAGAAGACTTCTGGTGTCAAGTCTGCAGATTACTCTCTTCCTGTTTCAGCTACCTCTGCTCAGTCATCCCAGAAAGAGAAAAAATCGGCCATAACGAAGAGTTCAGGTGAAATATTTTGGTTTTTATACTTGGAATACCACAACATGTATGCACTAAACCAAACATTGGGGGACATGCTAAAGAGGAGACTTGAGCGATGCTACATTGACTTATTTTTTGAATTGTTGCAGAGGCTATAGACTTCAGAGTGTGGTGTGAGAGTGAGTCCAACAGACTTCTTGGCTCTAAAGGTATTTTGTTGACCTTAGTGGTGTTACTAATTCAAGGTTGAAGTTCCCATAATTGGGCCTACAGTTATTGATACTCAAATTTATCTGAGCATGTGTTCTCTTTGTAGATACAAGCATCTTGGAATATTGTTTAAAGATATCAAGATCTGAGGCAGAGACACTCCTGGTAGAGAATCTTGGTTCCTTAGACCCTAACCGTGAGTTCATCGACAAGTTTCTGAATTACAAAGACTTTTTGCCTGCGGATGTTCTTGAAATTGCATTCAAGGATCGGAATGATCGAAAGGCCACAGCCTTGGGGATGGGAGATATGACTTCCGATCATGCAGATGCTGGTATCTCTGACCTTGCAGGCGCTGCTAGCGACAGTGCTACTAAAGGGGGGAAAAAGAAAGGGAAAAAAGGAAAGAAAGTGAGCCCATCAATTCTGGGATTCAATGTGGTTAGCAACCGCATCATGATGGGAGAGATTCAGACACTTGACGACTAAGCAGGTAATAGATGAACTGTAAATACAAGACTGTAAATGTTTTTGAGGCGGCCAGCTAGGATCTTCAACTCCTCTCTATAGAGAAGTCCCAGTAACCAGTATACCTGCTCAAGCAATTTTGTGAAGTTGTCTCCGACTGTAGGTTGGTTATAATTTATTTCAATAGTTCGGAGATTGAATCTGCTCTTGCCTTGGGGCTTAATCTATACTTCCCCATGACATATCATCAATTGATACCCTTTTCATCCAAGATTTTGAAAGTTGTTTCAGTTTTTCATGAAATGAAACCCTGGGATGGACATATTATAGAGCCAGTTCATAATCTGAAAGAGTTCTGTTGGTATTTCTTGAATTAGGGTTGTTATATGCTATTTTGTGGCAATTTGAAAAAATACTAGTCCTAGTGGGGCACAATATAATTGCATATATGCATGTGCTGTGGTGGTAGAGTAATGTGACATCTTCAGCCACTGTGACTGCCCTGGGAGTGTCAAAATATACCTGACAAAGTTTGTGGCGTGTACATAAAGCATCAAGAATTTCATGGGTAAAGTTAGAAACTTTTTATGCCTCAGTTGTTGTCATAGATTCCAACTGGTACCAATTTTATTTTTGTATGTTTTTCTTTGGAAGAGCATAGCTGGTCCAACTGGATATGCACAAACTTTTAGCTTTATAGAAAAGTTTCCCTATCTATTTATTGAGCTGGGGATGGAAGATAAGTAGCAAGCCCTGTAATGAAATACAAGGAAATTGATCAATTTTATTACACACATATATATCCCCACACTTGTGGGCATGGTATCTTATGGAACTTCTTGGAGGGTAGCATCTCATCACTTTGCAATGAAGATGCATAATAGGTAGGCTAATATAGTAAGTAAATTCCCTTCTATGGGGACTTAATAATGTGGTGTGGTATTGAAGATATTAGCCCTAGCCGGCTATCTTATCGTTGCTTCCCTGTCCTGGGTCTCGCTTGGTCCTCCGCTTTAGATCCTCTGCAACAACCAAAGTACATAAATGAATTGATCGTATAAACTTGCCGTAGAGAAATTACCAAGCAGTGATGCAGCTATTATCGACAATGCCCCTTCAACATAAAATCCCAACTAGTTTGGGAAGTCGATGGCATCAGCTGAGCAGCAAAAAAGTTGCTTACTCAGGTTTCTAGAATGAAACAAATGGAGATTCATAGCAACATGGATTCAATGGCTTTAGGCAATCAGTTGCTTTCAGCAAATAACCACTAGTTTCCCCTCCCTAGCTTTACCAATCACATGTTAATAATGTTCATCAAAAGCAAGCAATCCACTTTGGTTCTATAAAATAATTTGTGCAATAACCCTAAGCTCCAGTTTACCACTTACTTAGCAGTTGGCTCAACAACAGCAGGCAACTCGTATATGTCTATGTCTGGCGATCGTGATCGGAACGACATCTTGGCGATCTCGAGTAGGGCGTTGTTCCGAATGTTGGCAACCTCACTGGTTAGATCTTGGTATGCTGCACCAAATGCTTCTCTCCAGAAGCTTGGCAGCCTAACTATGCTGCTGTGTTTGTACACATCCCACATCTGCCTCACCATCTTCTCCCTTTCATCAACATCCTACACAAATCATATAAATCCACACTTATATGTAATTCAACAAAATCACCTCCAAGAACCATTGAATCCGTAAAGTGGTGATGGAAATAGGAAAATAAAACAGCTCTCTTAAGGGGGAAAACAAAAGTAACTGATGAACCAATTGGGTTTGCTGCTTCCTCTCAATTGTTAACTACAAATCACTGTGTAATAAAAACTTTTTCTTTTTTTTACCCATAAAAGGAAAAAGGTTCAGTTTTTATAACTTGATGAGTGGATATGGCAATAATATTCAACTTCGTTTCCATGATATCATCACCTCAGTGGATCTGACACAAAAGAGATGCAGGCAGAATAACTCAAAAAGATGAACAGAGAGAGAGAGAGAGAGAGAGAGAGAGAGAGAGGGAGGTAGGGAGAGAGTCGAGATCCATATCTGAAATAGAGATGAATATAGGATGATGAGATAAATAATAGTGAGAAGCGTACCAGAACATCAAGATCAGCATGGATTGAGGCATCGGAGTCATGGGAGGAGTGTTTGAGGTCAAGACCAGACCATTTTAGAGTGACAGTGCCAGTGAACATCGACCAAAGTGCCAGTAGAATTATGGCAGCCAAAGCCCACAGCTTGTACTTGCCTCTGCCAAACAGTCTCTCCAATCTAGAACAAGAAGAACCCAATTCTCTCTTGCTGCTGCTGCTGTTACTTAAGCCTGATGCTGAACTCGTACTGCTGCTGCTGCCCCCGCCGCCATTGGTGGTTGCTTGGGGCCTCTGGGCTTCTTCGTCTCTCATTTCTGCTACCTGGTCTGCGCTCAGAGCATTAATGAATCATCAATCAGCTCTTTATTTAAAGCTGAATTTTCTAGATTATAGTATTATTAAACTGTAGAGTTTCAGAAATGGTGGGGTGGGGTGGGGTTTTGGTGCAATTGGGTGGTTGGATTTCTAATTCCTTAACAGTAGTGTGTCGGTCCTCACTTCTCTCCCCTGCCTATGTATAAATAATAGAGGAATGGGGGTGGAGATGGAGATGGAGACATGGAATGCCAGAGAGTACAATCATGGCACTGCAGTCTGCAGTGATGGTTGTACCTTGAAAATACCTCTTCCACCGACGCCATTTGACTCTCACTTGCTGAATTGCATTTGCACCATGCTTTCTGGGTTTTGTCTATTTTATTTGTTCAGACAGCCCCTGTGATTAAAATAAAGAAGAAAGATCCAACGCGTACCTAGCTTGCCTTCATTAAGGTGGGGGTCGGGTTCACACTTGGTCTTGGTCTACTTTCAACCACATAGCATTCGACAAATTGGCAGCGTTACAGGATTTCGATTCCTACCCACTTTTAAACAACCTTGTTGACAATTCACCCTCCTGTCTTCTTGCATGTTGACTTCAAATTCCTGTGACAAACAAGTTGACAAAATAAATAAATATATATGCCCAACAAAGAAAGAAGGTAAAAAAAAGAAAAGGCACTAACCAATGTTGAAGCAAGTAAATTCCTGTAACTTCGAGTCCACTCAAAATGGCTTCCATAATCAAGAAAGCCCTTATATTTATATGCATATAAATCACCTGAAACCTGTGGCAAAACCATCAAATGGCGTCGTCCTCACGTTCGCTATCCTTCTTGCAAACCGAGGGAGGGTTGAAGTAATCGACAGAGAGGCCATCAATGTTGAAATCCACCTCTTCAATCTTCCATGTCTCCTCGAGCGTCCAGCTTCTTCTCATTTTCGTGCCATACCTCAACAGGGAGGCAGTGGTCTTCCCTTTGTGCGCAATGTTGATCCCATCCACGTAGCGGTAGTCTTCGAGCACAGACACCAAGCTTGTCTCGTAGAACACGGCCTGGTCGTCTGTAGCAGGCGTGTTCTTGATCTGGATTAGTTTGGAGTCTTCGAACTGGATGAGCAGGCCTGTCCTCTGGCTGAAATAGCCCCATATGGTGTGGTACACTATTTTGGTGTTGGCTGTGCTCTGTGCTTTCAGAATGTCGAGGCTCGTCTCCAGTTTCAGGATGAAGCAATTCTCGTTGTTGATGGTTGTCTCCCCGATGCAGACTGTGTTCCGGAATAGATTCGCTGTTGATCTTGGATCCAGGCCCTGCTGCAGAGATCGATTACAGATTAGATTAACGAGGAGATGATGAAAAATCTTATTTATTAGGGTTTTGTGTGTGCCTGCCTGGAATAATCTTCTGAGGGGCCTTGGAGGGAGTTTGGTGGGATTCAAATTGAGGGAAGAATGGCTCCAGGAGGTCTTGCCATCACTGCCTGCACTGATTTTGTATGTGGAGACGACGAGTTCCAGGTACCATAAGTCAGGGTTTTTTTGCCAGAGAACAAATCCGCCGGCCTCGCTGGCTTTCATGGCGGCTTGCGGTTGCGGATTGTGCGTCACATCTGATACTATCGCCAGTTTCATCTGCCCCACTGCGTACATGCTTTTTATGGCATTCAGCGCGCTCGATCCTCCCGTCGCTGCCAGGTACTGCTGCACGATGTAATTGGCCGTCGAAGCTTCCTGGTTATGGCACCACCATTAGCACCATTACAATTGAATTCAAATCAGTGGAGGGGGAGAGGAAAGGAATTGAGAGTACGTACCATGGACGGTGCTCTGACGGGGATGGGGATGGAGGCGTGACCTAATTTGGGGAGACAGGGCATGAGCGGAGAGCAGACGAGCTTGAGGAGGAGCATGAACTGGTCGTGGTTGGGAGAGGAAGCGGTTGCCAAAGGATTGGGATCGGCGGCGGACCACTTGTCGATGGAGAGGCGGTTGTGGTGGCCGCGCATCAGGTTGCGCATGTTGTGCCACCGGAGGGTAGCGTTGCTTCCCATCTTGTTGAACATTTCCTCCGGGATCGGAACCTCCAGCACCGTCTCCAGCCCATCCTCTTTGTCCAAATTAGGGCACAGCTTCCTCATCCGCCGCCGCCACCGGAAAACTGATTCCGACGATGAAATTCAGACTACAGTCAGAGATCAACAACAACAATAATTAATCAAGAGCTGAGCCTGAGCGAGGGAAGGTTGAATTCGGAGTGATTCCAACGGGGGGCTCCCTCTTCCCTCGGCCGACTCCGATTTGATGCCGATTCAGGTGACTTACCGATTGATGCAATCTTTTCCGGCTCATGGTTATGCCATGCCATGCCCTGTTCTAAGGTAGACCTTCGTTGTAGGAGGCGACCGTACTGCTGACGTCGAAATTTTAAGTATGGACATTTCTGGTTTTGGGCCGCGCTATTAGCCCAATAAGTTGGGCCCAATTCAAAGTAAAATGGTTATGAATTATCTAGGCCCATAATAGACACGGCCCACTTTTATGTTCAGAAAAAGAATTGGTTAGTGAAAGAGATGGATAGTGTGTTCAGATAAAGTAAGAATGTATTTGTTTGTCTTAACGAATAGAATAGCAAAGAAAAAAGTTGAATTTGACCATTTCCAGGAGAAAATACACACCTGTATATATGCAATGTTGCCAGAGAAGTAAGCAGCAGCAGAAGCAAACAGCAAAGACCTTTTCCTGCAAAACAAAAATGACATCAAAAAGGAATTCAAACTGCAGCTTTCAGGTTGCATCACTGGGATTTGATCAATTCCAAACTCCCATAATTCATATATATATATATATATATTCCCTGTTAACAGCTCAAGCCGGCTGATGATGGTCATTCAATCAATATTCCTGCATGTATAAATAGAAGAGCTTGGTCTTAAGATAGCATCCCATCACAAATATGGCCAAACCCAAAGGCTCTAAACTGAAGCTAAGTTATCTGCCTTCTTTCCAAATATGCCGTCCCAAAAAGCCTTCTTCAATGGCGAAAAGCCCCGTGCCTGCTGTTAAACTCATGTACTCTCCTGTTAACTGCAAGTCATTCGACATTTCTTACCTCAGTTTTCCGGATGCCCCACCATCCACACCGTCGATGATCTCCCCATTTGAATACACATCCCATCCATATTCTGAGCGAAGAAATAGAGAAAAACTTTCCAACTTAAGCAACTCTGATGAGACTTCCTCCCCAGTCACACCATCAAGAAATGGGAAAAAAAGTTATGTAAGTGCAGCAGAGAAATCAAAAGCTATGGCCAATTCATATGAGAATGATGACAACGTACTCTCTTCCCCACCTAGTTTCAACTCATCCTATGATCACTTAAAATATTCATTCAAGACAGGGAAGAAATCGATGCAGCAAACAAATATCAGACCACAAAGATTAAAGAATTTCCAGTCAAAAGAAAGGTATAGTAGAGACGAGCATCGTGAAATTAAATCAGCAATTCCAAGTAAGTTCATGCCATGTATAAGGAATGCAAAAGTGAATGAGAGCTTTGTTGTGGTGAAGAAGTCTGTTGATCCTTACGAGGATTTCAAGAATTCCATGTTGGAGATGGTCCTGGAGAAAGAGATGTTTGATCCCAAAGAGCTGGAACACCTCCTGATGAGCTTCCTATCACTCAATTCAAGAATTCATCACGAAGTCATAATAAAGGCTTTCACAGAGATCATGCAGCGTGTGTTCTGTGGATAAGCAAACAGATCTACAAACTCATTTGTTTTATTGTTTGATTCTTGGATCATGAGTAACTGATTACTTAATTCAAGAATGATTTCTTTTATTGTTTGATTCTTGGATCATGAGTAAATGATTATTTAATTCAAGAATGATCACACATACATATATATATGTATATATATATGACAGAATGATGTTTCATCAGGCTAATGCACAAATTATAATTGATTCAATACACGGCTCATGATTTAGTTCAATACAAACACCACGGTGGGGCTCAAATACATCGACTGCTCTAATGAACATACACGTGTCACAAACATCACTATGCATTGAGAAAAGAAAGCCATATTGGTCATTGGGATCGGAAATGCAACTTAGCCTCATTGGGTAGCACCATGGTAAAACCTAGAATCTACAAGCAAAATAATCACTAATTCCAGTTTCTCTACAAAAATTGCATAAAGAAAAGATGTGTAATGCATGCTATTTCATTGAGACAGTATTATGGCCTCACTGCTTTACTTCATCAGCACAAGGGATGTCATCATGTTCAAAAAATTTGATATGGCACAGCTTCTCACCAACCTCATCTGCAAATGTAATTTTCTTCCTCACTCTTGGGGTGGCATCTTTTGAAGCAGTACCATTGTTTGTAGTCATTTTCTGTGATAAAAATGATGAATCAGAGGGTCAATCAAGCATGAATTTTGCAGGCGTAGATGGGAAGAGTGAAAATAGAACACAGACCATTATTTTACAGAAACGATGGCAATCCCTTGACATCCCAGACAGCAACTTCCTAGCTGAGTTCTCAACTTTTGTGGCATTCTTGATGGCTGATTTCACCTGTAAAGATGTAAGAAGCACACGTAAGCTACAGAATATGCATCTGTAGTCTATTTACTTTTTGAGATCTAAAAGCATGCACAGTGCAAGAATTTCAAAGATATCATCCATCATGCTTTAACATCCTACTACAATACAACATGAAAATGAAAGAAAAGGAAATATATAAAGCTCACATACTAATATAACTTAAGTGGCCACCTCGCACCAGAATTGGAGTATTTTCAAATGGATTCAAAAGGTCACAAAAAGTTATTTGCTTGAATGAAAATTTCAAGTAATTCTCAGATAAAGGTATATATATATATATCATAAGAAAAGTGGATAAAACCTAACACTATATTTAAAACATTAATTTTTTTAATTTTGTAACCACATTCTACTAAATAGGAAAAAAAAAAACAGGAAAAAAAAGAAAGAAAAGAATGCAGTGAATAAAACCTAACGCCATATTTAACAAGCTAAACATGAAGTTTCACTTACCCCATCTGCATCATTTTTCAAGGAACTATTGCGATATGCCTCAAAAAGCAACTTTTGTTCTACAATGTCCTTCATAGACTTCAGCTCATTCATCAACCTCTCCGTAAGGGACTCCATATCATGCATCTGTCGCTGTGTGAAAGCAATAGCACTTTCGCAGCAACCTTGAATGGAAGCACACCCAGTACTGAAGGTAGGTAAGTGGCGGGAAACACGAGGCCCATCAAGATTACCTTTGGCAATCTTTGATCTCTTTTTGATAGTTCTAGGACCTGTGAAGACTTTTGGTGGGGTAGCCCTCTCAGGTGGAGTTTGACAAAGAGTTGGTCTGCAGTACTCGATATCTGATCTCGCAAATGAAGCCTCCTTCCTAGTTTGTTCTCCAAAGAATTTCCTTTTGTGATCTGAAGCAGCTGCATTCATTAAATATCATGAGTCGCAGAAATTGGAGACAAATACTAATGAATATAGAAGAAGAGGGAAACATGGTTTTCCAAAGAGCCTTTGGCAGGTCCTGATCAGATTACTAAAGAGAATTGAAATTGCTATTATATGAATTCATCCCCTCAGGGATTACATGAGAAAGGGACCATAAAATTAGTGGTGAAATGAATGATTGCAGGTGTAATACACTCAGATTCTACTGCTCAAAAATTAATGTCTTAAAATGATCTTTCAAAAGAAGGTTTTTCCACTGTAACAAATTGCAACATTTATTGTATTTCAATGTTCTTGTTAAGTGACTTGTCCTCGAAATGATCATAATCAATGCAAAAGGGTTGCTCAAGCCAAACGGTAGACATAAACATGCTAATTACATATAATAGGGGAAACTCCTGTAACATGACTTACTATACAGATCGCCATCACTACCAAGCTCGATAGAATTCATCACTATGCACAGCCGCTCTTGAGAAGATGGAGACATAGCCTGCCCGGTTTTTCCAATTAGATTTAAAATGTTTTCAACAACTATCATAAACCTAAAGTGCTATGCAGAAAACTAAAATTACCTTCCTCGTTGAAAAGAGCCTTTCAGGTGATGCATGTTGTTCTGGTGAAGAAAATGTTTCAGAACTGTCACAACATTGGGTCTTTATCGAAGAATGACTTTCTGAGTCAGAGATTGAAGATGCTGAAGTTGGCTTCTCCTCATCCTTGCCCAGGGCATTCTCAATATGAACTGTACAACTTGAGTCATTATTCATTGTGTTATCAACGCCATGAAGTTGCTCCTCGTTGGTTGTAGCATCTTCAGCAGACATTAAGTTCTCTCTCATCTGCAGCGAACTAATTAATTCTGGACAAGAGCCACAGACAGTCTCAGGGAAACACAGAAAACCGTCCATATTATTACATGAATAATCTGCTCCATTGGTCATGTCTGAAACACGGATCCCAGAACTGCTACATTGTTCTGATGCTGCACTCATGTTGGAAGCACATATAGAATTACTACATGCGTCATAATTTGTATGTGGAGACATTGAGCTTCTGAAGCAATTCTCCTCCATCTCTTTCCCATTCTCATTTACCAAAGGAGTTAGATCAACCAAATCCCTACAACCTGACTCCAGAGTTTTTAGCTTGGCAATCATCCCATCCCAAGGAACAAGCATAGAAATAGGCTCAGCATCCTCAATATGATTGTAAGGTATTTCACCAGAGACATATGTTTGGTATTTGGCTTGTTGGTCGCTGGAGGTTGACCCACCAGAATCTAATTCCTCATTGCAGCACATAAAAGATTCATCAGCAGAAGAGGTTTTACTTTGACCTTCTAATTGTTCAGTGTCCGGAACTTCAATTTGAAAGTTCTGGCATTTGCCTTGTTGATCACCGTTTTCATGCTGGACCATACCCTGATGCTCATTTGAAGCTGATCCACCAGAATCTAGTCTCTCATTACATCCCATAAAAGAGTCATCAGCAGAAGAGGTTTTATTTTGACCTTCTAATTGCTCAGTGTCCGCAACCTCAATTTGAAAGTTCTCGCATTTGCCTTGTTGGTCTCCTTCATGATGGACCATGCACTGATACTCATTTGAAGCTGATCCACCAGAATCTAGTCCCTCATTACATTCCATAAAAGAGTCATCAGCAGAAGAGGTTTTATTTTGACCTTCTAATTGCTCAGTGTCCGCAACCTCAACTTGAAAGTTCTCGCATTTGCCTTGTTGATCTTTGTTTTCATGATGGACCATGCACTGATACTCATTTGAAGCTGATCCACCGGAATCTAGTCCCTCATTACATTCCATAAAATAGTCATCAGCAGAAGAGTTTTTATTTTGACCTTCTAATTGCTCAGCGTCCAGAACCTCAATTTGAAAGTTCTGGCATATGCCTTGTTGGTCTCCGTTTTCATGCTGGACCATGCACTGATACTCATTTGAAGCTGACCCACCAGAATCTAGTCCCTCATTACATTCCACAAAAGAGTCATCAGCAGAAGAGGTTTGATTTTGCCATTCTGATTGCTTGATGTCCAGAACCTCAATTTGAAAGTTCTGGCATTTGCCTTGTTGATCTCCGTTTTCATGCTGGACCATGCACTGATACTCAGTTGAAGCTGATCCACCCGAATCTAGTCCCTCATTACATCCCATAAAAGAGACATCAGCAGAAGAGGTTTGATTTTGACATTCTGATTGCTCGATGTCAGGAACCTCAATTTTAACAGTCATAAGTTCTTTAAATTGCCCTGCATATTCCAAGAAACTGTCTTCTGGAAGCAAGTTCTTTTCAGCTTTAACAGTGAAATCAACATTTGAACTGGAAAGAACACTTGGATTATTAGACCTCCTTTTGGTCTTTGAGGTCTTTCGTTTCAATTTGATAAGGGGCTCACTAAAATCATCTTCCACGGTCTCTTCATTTACATTATCCAGAGGAGAATTCCCATCATTATGACTGCGTTTTCTCTTCTTTTTCGGGAACCGTTTCCTCAGCTGTTTCAGTGTGATGTTATCATCCAATTCATTGGAGCCACCACCCCCAGCATGGCAAACAAATTCATCAGGTTCCGGTTTTATTTCCTGTAAATTTCTATCCGCCACAGGAAAATCTTTAACTTCCATCTGTACACGGTTTAACATCAAATCTGGACCAGATCTCCGCAGCCTTGTTGCATTTTCATTGCCATAAACATCCTTTAAACTCTTGTATACAATTCCTGGCACTCCATTGGAATCCGAATTGCGTAGTTTTGTCACCAAACCCCTGCTGTTAATAGTTTTGATAAAAAATATACCATCACAACTCCTTAGGTTCATTTTTTATGGAAAAGACACAACTGTTTCCCTTGCTACCTCTCCCGCACTGAAAGAAGCTGCAAAAGTATGATCAACAATACAAATGAATTAATTTTAATATCTTTAAAATGATTTGATGCCTAAATCTGACAATAAAGCAAGTAAACACTAAGAATCTAAATATATACATACTTTGGAGTCGAGAAACTATTGAATTTCATTTCCGTGCTTCTAAATGATAAAAGCTAATACACAACCCACTGTTGACTTAACATAAATGCAAATCTTCAAGCAGATTTTAACACATACGATACAAATAGTATTGGTGAAAACACTAAAGTCTGAGCCAAGGCCAGAAACTCTTCACCAGCATTCAATTGAATGTGGCGCTAGCCATAATCTTAAGTAAAACAAGCGAACTAATAACAGTGGGGACAAATATATATATTTATATTAAAAAAAAAAAAAAAAAAAAACTGCATTAGGATTGAGGGTATTTTCCTTAGATCCAGAACCAACGTCGTCACAACCCAGTATCCTTTTTGCTCAAACAACTTCCAGTTCCAAGTGGCGCAACAAAATCCTAAGTTAAGCGATCTAGAACCTCTACTTTTTTAATTGCATTCATAAAATAGCGCCTAGAGATACATCTTGCAAACCATGGGCAAACCATTACGCATCGGATTCAAGCGCATACCTTACCAACATCACAATGGAATGCAAGCAAGAACAAATCTGAAATTAGTACCTAAAAACCCTAAGATCTTGGAAAGATCAACGGAGCATTACAAAAACATAAACAACGTCACTTAAAAACTGAATTCACATGCGTCGGCGCAAAATCAATTGCAAACAAACTAGTACCCTCGAGCAGTGCGGGCATCGAAAACTCACCTTACTATGCAGCTGCTGATGATGACAGATGTAGGCAATGTGAGAGCGAAGCAATAAGGTAGTCAATTGTCCGAACCCTTTCCCTTGCGTATCTGCAAGTGGCTTTGGCGGGAAGTAGGGATTCGCTATTATATCTATTTCCAAATGTTAGCGGAAAACCGAGAAAATTTGTTCGCGCGAGAGATTGTCACGGATATTTTGCAATATCCATATCCATATCAACTATGGAGGATTTGTTAAACCCAACAACAAATTAGTTGTTGGATTTTTCAAATTTGAAGTTAGACTAAAAAATAATCTATTTAATTAATGTTTTATTTATAATATATTATATACTATAATTAAAAATTAAAATTAAATATATATTTAAATATTTTAAAATATATAGTTTAATGAAAATATAAATATTATTTTATATATAATACATATAAATAAATAAAATATACATATTTATTAAACAATAATAAAATAATTTAGTGTTACTGACTCTGGTGTGATGTAATTTAAAAATAAAAATAAAATAAGTATATTACCTATTAAAATTGAAATAATAATCAAGACACACTTTTGTTTCTCTCAATTATCATAAAAGTGATAGTATAATAATACAATATATATAAGATGTATTATATTTTATTTATTTAAATTAATTAATATTTTAATATTAATAGTATATCTGTTTAATTGGAAGCTCTCATCAAATATATATTTGATGATTTTAGTATGTATTTGTTATAGCCATATCAAATTTATCCCTAATTTATTTGTTTTTTTTTATCGGGTTTGTTTTTATAATTTTAAATTAAAATTATTTATTTTATACAATTTTTATCTCATAAGATATTATTTCAACAAATTCAACTTAACAATTTATTTCAAATTCCAAACAAACCCCAAATATACTAACAAAACATTAGTAAATTACTCCCTCCGTCTGAGTAGTTAAAAGTAGTGTAATAATTTTTTTTAAAAAAAATAATGATGTGATGTAAAACAATGATATTTGTAGAAAAAAATAAAATATTTAATGAAATGTAAACTTTGTAATTGGACGTCCCAAAATAGAAACATATAAACTTTGTAAGCGGACGGATAGAGTATATTTTTAATAAAAAAATCAAGTTTCAATTTTTTATATGAAAAAAATTATATATATCCACCCTGGATGATTTTGATATGTATATAGTCTTGTGACTGTAAAATTATATATTGAAGGTCTGTCTATCATACATAATTTTTTGAATACACCTGAATAACTAAATGTATAAATATTGGAAGCAATAAATATATAATTGGTTTATTAACAAATATTTATATACATTCATACTTTTTATTTTTGTTATAAAAATAATGTATATTGATTATATACAAATATATTATTTATTTATGTATTTATATTACATAAGAAAAATATTGTATTCACATTAAATGTGGTTACTAAAACACAACTTCAACATTATAGTGCAACATTTATCGTAGTACAAATATGATTTAAAAAGTTTGTATAAGTACGGGTAAAATATTTTTTTTGCCATTTGAGTATATTATTGTAAAAAATAGTGATAATTGTGTAATAATAATGAAAAAGTAAATGTAGTTTTACAGTGATATGATTATTTATGAAAATGAAACTATTGTTTTGAGGCGGACAAAAATAGTAAATAAAATAATTGTATTGGAACTGAGAGAAAGTATAATTTTTTTAAAATATTATGAGAGTCCATTGTATTTTCAAAATACTGCATATAATTTTCTAAAAAGAATTTTGTGCCATATTTCAAGAACACAATGAAATTTCATACCATATTTATATTATAAAAAAAAACAATAGAGACTTTCCGAGCCATAAATCATAAATAATTTTCTTATATATCCTCTTACTTATAATCATGGGGTCATGAATTTAAACTCTAAATACCTGCATATCACTTGACACATATGATTCGTCTAGTAAGACAAAGAGCTAGTTCGCAGGTTGCGATTCGTAAGTTATAAAAAAAAAAAAATATTAATTAAAACTTCTTTAAGATTATTTATTTTTTAATATCTATATATGTACTTTTTATAACATTATTCTAATAGAGTATTGAAATTTCTTTTGACGGAAAACACACATTTTTATTATTTTCGAAAAAAAACAAAATTTAAATAATAAATATTGAAACTTAATTAAAGCAAAGAAATACACCCTTAAACTTATCTTCACTATATAGCTGGGCCTGGTCCTGGGACTGGGCCTGGGCCTGCACATATTTGTGCTCAACCCAATGGATCCAGCTGGCTTCTTTGACCGGTAGTGAATTGGTATAAATTTTAGATGGTCATAGTCATAGTCTGAATAAACTAGACTACAGTAGACTGGAGGAACAGGCAGCCGTCCATTTCGGCATTTCCTCCCCACCAACCCCATCGAATTCTCAGAGACGATGAAGGCGTCGTTGAGAGCTAGGTATGAGCCGGAGAAGGCCACCGCAGTTGCCACCGTAAGTGTAAACGCCGGAGACTTCAAGGTTCGCGCCTCCATGACAGATGCTACCTTCGCGAACGGACCTAGCTTGAACGGATTGGTCGTTGCTGTCGAGAAGCCGGGATTCTTCACTGTCGACTACAACGTTCCCAGTAAAGTAAGATTTAGTAGATTAAGCTCAATCTATGTATATTGCTTAGGGTTTACCAGTCAGATAAGTGTTTGTTGTCTCGCTTATTGGATAGGACTCTCGATTAATGGAAATAGCTCGGTGAGTAGATTTGTAATGTCACGCTACCATTCCGGATATTTTATGCTGCCTTTAGTCTGGATTATAGTTGAATTTTGTAGATTGCTGTTTGCCTTAACGATTGGTGCATTTTGATTTTGAATTCGTGTGGATTGGCGCTCAATTCGGTTGTTGATTGTTGTCTATCTTCAGGATTTTAAGTTTCAGTTTATGAACACGGTTACGGTAGCACAGAAACCGTTGAAATTGACTTATATTCACAACAAAGGGGACGGGCGCACGATGTTGGATGGGAATCTGGTGATTGATTCGGGGAATAAGGTTTCTGCAAATCATGTGCTTGGCACTAAGAATACAAAGCTGAAATACACTTATTTGCATGAAGGTCTGACAGCATTGGAGCCCTGCTATGACTTTGGGAAGAATGCTTGGGACTTTGCTATTTCACGCAAGGTCTATGGGGACGATGTATTGAAGGCTACATATCAGACGTCAAGCAAGAATTTAGGGCTTGAGTGGTCACGAAACTCGAAGCTGAATGGATCATTTAAGGTAAATACAACTATGCTTTTGATTTGCCTTTTTTATTTCTTGTGTACTGTGCAGTATGATCTTAAATTGAAGTGGCGCATCTATTGTGTTGAGCTGTGTTTTATCTTCTAGGTATTGGAACATGATTTTGATATGTTTTTTAGTAGTACAATGCCACTCCAACTTTTGATTACAAGAGATTCACTTGAACCTACCATGAGAAAAAGGGGATGATTTTTATTAGTTTGCAGAAAAAGCGATGTTCCACTGTTTATAAAGAAAATGAGTTCAAACATCAAGGTGTGATTCTATTTAATGGTTTTTGATGTTTAAGAGAGAAGCTTACCACAAATTAGAACAAAGATTCAGTATGTCTGTTCTTAAATTTGCAGTATTGACAATGATCCATTTCTCATCACAATCTTGTCTATCATTGCCTTGTATTCCAATGCACCTATTGATTCTGGTATCAATCTTTAACTTTTTGTTTCATTTTTCTCTTTTGCCCCTTTGTTTTGTGTTCAAATAGCATCCAATTGATACCCACATGATCAATTCCTTAAAGTTTGAGACCCTGCATTTGCATCCTACTTGGTTTGATCGTCACGGTCTAATATCATACTGTTTTATTTGATTAAATGCAGATTACAGCATCTGTCAATTTGGCAGAAGAGCGAAAGGTTCCAAAACTATGCGCGGAGAGTAGCTGGGACTTCGAAATGTAATCTCCTTTACTTGGATTCATCTGCTAAAATTGAAGGATCATGTAAGGCAAGGGCTGCCATAATTCTTGTTTACAGTTCAATTTACTTCAGTTTTCTGATGCTACTGAGAGCTGGTGAACAGTTTCTTGAAGTATTGGATCGTACACCATTAATAAATCTTTGTTTCCCATTTGGAAATGGTATGACAAGTTCCAAGGTTTTGTTTCCATACCTATGCCAAAGAATTTGGGTTGCATGTGAATATAAGCAAATACTAGTAGTCGAATTGGTATTCATGAAATAGTTTGTTATATAAGATTTGATATTTAGATTGTTTCGAATCTTAGGTAATATTTTGTTTTTATTTGAAATAGTTTTTGAATTATTATTCTATTTGATCTCTTAAAACATTAATTATAACAATATTTCAAATATTTTATAGGATAAATTATATAATATTTTCTTGTATTAAAGTTTGCACACTACAAAAAATAATATTTAGTTGTAAATAGAGAATTAAATTATGCAAGTTTATGCAATAGAAGAAGTAAAATATCTTAAATAATTTTGTTATAATAAAATAAATAAATAATCGATTGATTAATCTTTTATTCTTATAAATTCTGTAAAAATAAGATAATAAATTGTCTCAAAAAAATTATAAAATAAAGAATTATTCAATTATATATCTATTTATTTTATTAAAAAATACTATTTTATATATTTATTCGTCTTTATTTGTATATTATATACACAATTTTCTATATTTTATGTAAAAAAAACAAAATTATCTTCAAACAAAAACATAAAACAAACAAACATTTACATTTTTTTAGTAGGATGGATAAGATTAAAAAAGGTATTTTTAATATACTTATGTAATTTTAATTATATTATATATATTTTTAAAAGCATATTTAATATTTACAAATATTGAATTAAATATTATATTTTTATATTTGTATTTTATTCCTATTTCAATTTTAATTATAAATTTTAGAAAAATATATATTAAAATTTTGAATCTAGTTAATACAAACAAAATTATTTAATTTATCTACAATGAAAAAAAATGCTTGTCATTCACGGGTGTGTTTTGTTGGGTTTGGATTTTGAGTTGGGATTTGAATAGTAAAAATTTTGAATTTGAACAGTTGTATAATGTGATATAAATGGGTGTTGACGTGATGTTTTGAATGTAAAATTAATTTTTAGTATAATATAAAAAATAAAAAATAAGTGTTTGATTTGATGTTTTTTGGAAAAAAAAATTGGATGAATAGTAGAATTGTTAAAATTTTACAAAGGAACACACTAATTGCTTGTAACAAGAGCACTTTATCAAAAGACCCTCGAGGACCAGACTGAAACCCAATCCAATCTTTGGGGCAAATTTGAAAATTACGGAAATATTTGAGGGTGAAAAATAATAAAATCCCTGAAATGATTTTGGCGGTTATCTTTACCGCTACTTCCTCGAACATTTGAACCCTTTGCCGCCTAAAACCCTAGTCTTGATTTCGACAAGCTTCACCCACTCTGTCTCCTCTCAGATTCATCTCAGATCGCGCTGTAATTTCCTCGACGGAGTCGGTAATCGAGCGATCCGCGGATAATGGACAGCGACGACGATTACGGGTCATTTGCACCTTCGGTAGAAGCCTCGCCGCAGGCCCAGCACCGGACACTCAAGCGCTTGAAGAAAGCCGACTCAAAACCCTCGAAGGAATCGTTGCCCGTGCCAGACGATGATCCTCTTTTGTTTCCTCATGTAGATTTTGCGAGATTGGAAGCCTTAGAGAATGATTCTGAATTTCCAGAGTTAAACGACTTAAAGTCGACCGAAGAGGTAAATTTATCTCAAGAATCACTGTCTGAAGGCATCGACGATGAGAAAGAAGATAACGTGGTACCTAAATCCGTCGAGGAGGTTAAGAAAACAAAGAGAGTTTTGGAGTTTGATAGCGGTGAGGTGGGCGGAGAATACGGAGACGAAAATAGTGAGGGTTTTGAATCAAAAAAGAGCAATATTGATATGGATGCTGAGATAGATCTATTTGAGGAGAAAAAGGACACGAAAAAGATCAAGAAAAACAGATTGAAGAGTGATACAAGCGATTATCCAGAGAAGAATGCGCGGCGACCTAATAAACGGAGAGAGGAGAAAGTACGCCATAGTTACTGTAGTTTTTGTCTCAAGGTTTCTTGTTTTTGATGTGGTTATGCCTTAGATACTGCTTACATTCTGATGTGTTGTTCTGGCATTCTTATAGGAAAGAAAGGCTTACCTGGAGGAACTTCATGCTGAATCCCAGAGACTTCTACGAGGTCTGTGCCTGTCATTTTAGTCTGTCTGATATGCGTAATTTATTCATGTTTCTGAGCGACTGCTTTGCCAATCTTTGTCTTGTTAGAAACTAGAGATGCATCGTTTAAACCTACACCGGTGGTGCACAAGCCTATATCTTCAGTTCTAGAGAAAATTCGAAAGCGGAAGATAGAAGTATCGAAAAAGTGGGTATAATGATGTCTGCTTTTAGTTTTGTGTTTATGTTTGTTTTGATCATGTTCTGTGAACTTATATAATATTTATTGTTAATGGCAGAGCTATGGCCGTGGATGAGAGGAGTTATCTGGCTGAGGAAAGCAACAAATCAATTGATAATTTGATGGAAATTGATGAATCTGGTGAAGGGAAGAATGACAATAAGCTTGCAGCATTAGTGCAAAAAGGGATAGTTGGTATGTTCGCGGACAGAGAGATAACTGCTTCTGAAGGCGAATGCAAAGACTCTGCAAAACAGACAAATTCTGAAAATGATCAAGACCAAGAGGTTTGTGTATTCCTTTTCATAATTCCTTTGCAATTGCTGTTCTATGAATTGTTCTGTGGTTGCTCTTTTCGACCATCCAAATTAGAAAATGCTGTTATGAATAAGAATGAAGGGATGTTAGGAGCGATCTGACTTCCGTGAAAAATGCTTTACCTCTCAGTTTGATCAAATTTTTATTCTCCTAATTTGCTTCAGTTGCAGAAGGAAGAGCCTATATCTGCATTTCGAGCACCAGCGGATGATACTGAGGTTTCCTTTAAGGCATTTTGTTTTAATATCTTAGAGATTACTTTCGGTATTTTTGTCTAAAAAAATTTCATTGCTTACCTACAGGATCTTTTTGATGACACTGAACCAAACACCGCTACCTCCGGACCGGATATGGAACAAGCAAATGATGCTTTGGAAGAAGATTCTGCTCCATCTTTACTTCCTATTAACTTAAAGTTTGATTCTGTTCCTATGGATGATAGGTAAGCGGATTTTGGGACTTTTATGCATTTGACAATTTTGGGTTTGTTAGACCATTTGTTTGTTGTCAATGATTCTCTACCATGGCGAGCTTTGGTATTTTTATCTTCTCTTGGTCAACCCATTCATTGCAATATTAATATCAGTTATTGCCCTTTACTTTGTGAAATTGATCTCCATAGAAATTTCCAGCTCTTCAGATGAAGAAGATAATGATAAGGAAAATGTGGAGCCCCATCCCAGTGGCTCTTCCCCTAGAGGTGATCCTGTGAAAGACTTTGTTGATGATGAAGCTGAGGAGGAAGATGACAGTGATAATGATCTAAATTGCTTACAAGAAAACGGGGAAGATGAAGATATTGAAGATTTTGAGGAACTTAATGATATGATAGCAACTGGGTACGAAGAAAAACCCAGCGATAATGAAAGGCGCAATGAACTCCATCAGAAGTGGCTTGAGCAACAAGATGCTGCTGGAACTGATAAAATTATGCAGAGATTGGGCTGCGATTCTGGACTCCGAGATGCACTACTGAAAGAGAAGGAATCTGAAAGTGATGAGGAGAATGAGAACGACGAATCTGATAATGAAGCAAGAGAAGACTCCTTACCTCAGAATCCTGAGAGAATGAATATTAAGAAAGCCAAGCAGATAATTTTAAACCTTCTTTCTGAAAAGGAAGATGGTTATTATTCTGACGATGATCATGACAAACAAAGGAAGTATGGCCAGCACATCATCAGAAATGTGAGTATTTTGATGTATAATGATTAATCTGGTGAATGGCAGTTCGCATTCTAGCTTATGCATCCCAAATATCCTAAGAATTCTGCTTAGGATAAAGGTCGACCTTATTATAATTGGCTGATTAGTTGCGGTTCATTGATCTAAACAGGAAGAACGGCCTCAATTAACTACACCAGCTGATGATGAAAGCTCAAGGGAAGTGTTCGGTCTTATTAAGAAGATGAACATCGCCTCAGACCAAAAGAAAAAACCAAAACCGTTATGTAAGACCCCTTATAAGCCTACATTATAAAATGTCCTATATGCAGTTACTCATTGCTCAATCGTATGTTGCAGCATTCTTTGACTCAGTTCTTAAAGGGGGAAGTAGCAACAGCTCTTCAAAGGTAACTATTACAACAACAGATGGAATCAATGCTTTGATTTGGATCTATTTTTTCTAGTTATACACTTGTAAGTGCAATTGTTAGCTGCTCTCCCATTGGGCATTCCTACTTCATGTCGAGGAATAAACTTATTCTTTAGTTCAAATATGTTGCCACTCCCCATTTAACTGCTCATGTGAATTTTCCGACTATGCAATCAAGCAGTTTCCTTTGCACTGCCTGGTTTGTCGACATAGTAAATTTTCTTAGACATTACCAGTGACTGCATGCTGGTCAATATAAATGTTCCTCTTGGAGGCTAAGCACATGAAAATTCACAGCATCTAATTTGAATTGCAGTCTTCTTTCCTTGGAAGAATGTCAAATCAACAGGCTCCATCATCCCATAGGCAAGGGTCGGGAACAGGTCGACATTTTATTTTTGGGAGGGATGACAGCAATAGCAGGAGTTCCTTTTCACTGTCCGAGGATTCTTCTGATACTGTAAGTCCTTCCGCCATCGAATTCTACTAGTTATACAGTCGCAATACTTTTAAGTTTACAAAGTATTTAAAAACATTGGCAATGGCCATTAGACTAGATTGTTTACTTGCCATCATTCTCTTTTGAACTTCCACCATTACCATAATTTGTTTTGTAAACAAAACATGCAGGTATCTCAAGAAAATCGACAAACCAGGGCTAAATACAGCAGCACCAATTCTCAGCCGAGATTCAGCAGTCAAGCCACAAACTCTGCTGCCGGTACTTCATTGTTTGAGATACTGAAGCGGCCAGCGCCGCAACCCCAAGCCTACAATCAAGACACCACAATAGACCTGACGAAGAGCATCTTCACCTTTAGAGCTTCGAAAAGGCCGATGAAGATCGAGGGAAGAGGCTAAAACTACCCTGCAAACTTGCCTAGTGCTGGAACAAACTCAAATTGTTGCATACCAAGCTCTACACTCTTCTAAAGCCATTGTTGTGAGATCCCCCTGGCTCAACTGCACCACTGCTACTGTATTTATCCCTACCCAACATACTTATGAAGACATAGATGATGAAGTCAAGTTGATTGAACCCTGTATTAATTCCAATTCAGGTCTTTTTCTTTACGTCCGTTTATGCACGAGTTATCGTTTCCTTGCATCACTAGAATTTAAATAATATTTTATTATAAAATATAAAACTAGGAGTATTTTTTATTTTTTATTTATTTTTAATACTAAAAACGTGCTACGTCGACGATAACAATGGGCAATGATTAAATGCGACTTTAGTTTATTATATTCAAGTGTACAAATGTTAAATTTCTGTAGCCAATTGAGGTAGAGCGTACACGTGTGAGGCTGGGTCATTACGTGCGAGGGAAGATCACTGAGCATTTCGATGCAAGTAATAGAAAATTGGGAGGAGTGGAGGTAGCAGTTGCTGGAGTGTCTGTAGTGATCTCTCACGCTCATCCAGCTGATGCCACGGCGGCGGACTCTTCTCACCGCGTCCGTGACACGTTCCCTTTCGCTCGAATTTTTTGTGTTTCTTTAAGTTCCATCTCTCGCACTTGCTTCTTTCTTTCTGTGTCGGTTATCTGTAACCTGCCTAACTTGGCAATTGGGCGTAAATTGTGTGTTTTAAGTTCTTGTTGCTGCTGCTTGTGGAATTGTACCAATGGAGAACTCTGGTTAGTGTCATTCCGAACGATTTTCTGTTTTAATCTGTGTATTTGTTAGTTAGTGGGAATTTGATTGTTTTTTCTGCTGTATGTTCAAACCAATTTTCGAGTTTATAGCGTTTTTTTCCTAGTTGTCGCGAATCGACGGCATTTACTTAAAAAGGATCCCAAAGCAATATATATACCGATCATTTATTGATGCCATATGAAAAACGCAAAATCCTATTGAGGTGGAAAAGGAATGAAAATGAAGATGGATGTATTATCATGTTCATTGAGGGTTTGAGAAGTTTACTGTAGATTGTTGGGTATAACGATTATTAGGCTGTAGGTTAGTTCAGACTATGATGTTTAGACATAACCAACTTTATACTGGTTCTATATCGTAGGAATTTTTTTATTTTTTATTTTTTTAAGTAGGTGATGTGGTCAAACTGAACATTAGAGGTTTGTGTTGTAATCTGTGCAGGGAACCAGCAGGAGGCGGTGATGCCGCCAATTGAGGGTGTTGCAGGAGGCGGGACGGCATATGGATGGAGTGACACTGGGATTAGGGATCCATCTTTGCTCAGGGGTTCGATTGATCCCCAGAAAGTTCATTCATCAGAATTAGTACATGTTTGGTGCATGCCCAACACTGCCAATGTTGGACCTCAGGACATGCCTCACAAACTAGAGCCTGTGAGTTTTATACGAGCAATTTTTCCAGTGCTGCACATGTATTTCATTATGTTATTCATATTCCTCTAACTAAATCTTATTATTAGTTTTATGTGTCACTTCTATAGTTCTATTCCTACTGCTCAGTTCATGAAGCGACACTGCTATTATTTACTTACTATTCATTCATGACTTCTTCCAACTTTTCCTACAATATTTGGTGCAACTTCTTACTGCTATTTTCTTGAAGATTTCTCTTTTAGCTGCGAGAAATGAGAGGGAAAGCGTCCAGATAGCCATGCGCCCAGCAGTTTCTTGGGCTGGATCTAGTATTGCTGGGACAGTGCAGGTTCATTGTAGTGATCTGTGCTCCACTTCTGGTGATAGGTTGTCATTTACCATTTCAATTATGTTTTATGTGTGATAAAAGAATAGATGATGCTGAACATGTCTGGATGCATGCAGATTGATGGTTGGTGAATCAGTGAAGGTAAGGCAAGTAGTGCCTATTCTGGGTGTTCCAGATGCTCTTGTGCCGCTAGAAGTACCACTCTCTACAGTTGCACTTTTTCCTGGGTATGTACTTGTGTCATCTGAAAATAAAAACTTCTTGATTGATTCAAGGTTGCCCAGTTAACACATTATTATATCTTTATTGCAGAGAGACAACAGCAATATGGGTTTCAGTTGATGTCCCTAACACACAGCCGCCTGGTCAGTATGAAGGAGAAGTCACTATAATGGCTACCAAAGCTGACACAGGGTGATTTTCTCGTCTTCTTAACTTCAGTTAAATATTAGGTGTCTAGCAGTGGAGTTTAATATTATTGTTGTCCAGTGTACCTTCTGATTTTCACATTATTAGTTTAGTTAGATTAGTATGTTTTTATCTTCTTTTTTTCACGAGTTATCACTTGTCACAGGTCTGTAGCACAATGTGTGGGTAAAGCTGAGCGGAATGAACTATACAAAGAATTAAGGAGTTGTCTTGACACTATTGATCCTATTGATGGAAAACCTTTGGATGAAGTGGTGGGCTCTATGTTCATTCTGACTGAATTTCCTTACACTCTTTCCATTGAGCCTTAAATTTAGTTCAGATACCCCTAAAAGTCCTCTAATTTATCTTCTTATGTAGGTTGAAAGAGTGAAATCTGCATCTTCATCTTTGAGAAGAATGCTTTTATCCCCGTCATTTGCAGATCTCCATTTGGATAATGGATCAGTTCATGCTATGGACGAGGATGCCATTTCAAATCTTTCAATTCGGGTGAAGCTCAATTTAACTGTATGGGATTTCATTCTTCCGGCTACACCTTCTCTTCCAGCTGTCATCGGTGTATCCTGGAATTATGTTACATGCCAGCCAAAGTTAGCTCATCCTACCTTTGGGTTGTGGTTCAGTTTGTTGTTAATTAACTCATTGAGTTTGGCACAGATTTCTTGCTACTGTTCATCTGCTTTTGTTTGGTTTCTCATTCTTTTAAATAGCAGTATATATTAGAGGGATTAGCTTCAAACAATTTTGGTCAATTGTTAAGATACACGAACATGACATAAAATGATTCACCTATGACTTTGGGCATCTGTAGATATGATGCAAGTAACCTATATTCCGGCTAACATATTTGGCTGTTATCTTTTAATTTAACTCCTATCAGTGAGTGCTTATACTAATTATAAGTGTAAGGTGAAATGGCATGCCAGTTTGAATTTCCTTATAAAAGATAGATATCCGATACAGTGATTGAAGACCGATTTGGTGTTGAACATGGAACTAGCAAATGGTATGAGGCACTTGATGAGCATTTCAAGTGGTTGCTTCAGTATAAAATCAGTCCATATTTTTGCAGATGGCGTGAAAATATGCGTGTTCTAACCTACACTTGCCCATGGCCAGGTAATATACTGTCAGTGAGATCATTTTTATTAATAAGAAACAAGTGATCTATAGTTTGTGGATCTCTTTGACTTGTAATACGTGTACTATTTGAACTTTTTTTTATTAACTGTTCAGATTTGTATTATTCTGAAATCAGGTATTCTGTATTATGATGAAAACAAAATAAAATTATCCAACACCAGATCCAGCATTTGACAATGTATGTATGTATATTTTTACTTATGGATAACTGTAATTCCAATCAACCTTGATGCAGCTAATCATCCAAAGTCAGATGAATATTTTTCCAATCCCAGACTTGCAGCATATGCTGTACCATATGGTCCAGTCGGCACAGGGTACATGTTTAGCTACCTCTTTATTCACTTTTTCCTGGGAACATATTATCTGATTGCTTTTGATTCACTCTTAATATCTCTACCAGTGATTCAACAGAGGATTTTCTAAGAAAGGAGGTTCAGATATTAAGAAGAAAGGATCATTGGAAAAAAGCGTACTTCTATTTGTGGGATGAGGTTAGTACTAGATATAGATCTGATGTGCTTTGATAGAATATAAGGAAAATGACGGTACTTTCTTTTGATTAATTGGCTGCTGATATCTGATGGGTGATCTCAAATTTAAGCGATTTCTCTACTGGGCATGATAAATGAAACAACGTATAAAATGCAAAAGCAACATGTACCAGAAAACACTCTAGTTTCCGTTTTCAGTTTGTTACTAAAGATATCTTTTCATGAACTTGTGTTTCTTTGCTAATTCCATCAAATGATTTTGCGTAAGTGAAAGCTTAGATTCTCATCCATGTTTCTTGAATCATACGAATCTTTATGAGGACATCTGACACTTTTTTGATATGTTTGTTATGCCAGCCACTAAACCTCGAACATTATGAAGCTATTCGTGACATGGCAAGTGAAATTCATGCTTATGCTCCTGATGCTCGTATTATGACAACTTATTATTGTGGTGAGCATTTATATCTCTCCTTACTCGTAAAAATGCTATCTACAATTTCCTGCACTTTGAGGTATGGATTAAAAGTAGTCTACTTTTTATTTTTTTAAAAGAAATCTTCTCTTTGAAATTGATAATATATATATATATATATGCTTCATACTAACTCAACTTCAGTTCTAAAACCAACCAAGCACAACCCTGCAATTCATATTTGGCCTAGAATTACATTCTTGCTGAGTTGCTGAGATATTGGAAACACAAGATATTTACAGTAAATTATTTCAATCAAAAGAGATCAGTGATTGATTTGCCTTTTCTGAAGATCTTGTAACGCATCTTATTAAACAGTAGCCTGTCCTACATTACTTTGATATGGTTGATTAGTTGTTTGTGGGGATAAAATAGTGTTGATATTTTATTTGATTCTGTTAAGCTCACCTGATTTACAATTTTTACCCTTTCTTTATGTGGTGAATATTTGGTGCTAGGGTTCATTGAGCTATCTTTTCAAATGAGCCCACAAAAGAATATGTTTTCTGTGCCAATTGAGATGTTCATATCTCCCTAAGAATGCATATTTAGTTCTTTTTTTATTTATTCTGCACATGTCAGAGTTTTCTACTGTGATACATTTAGAGTACTCAGTTAAGGAATTCGGTGGTGATGGGGTGAGGCATCAAAGGTTGATATATTATGCTAGCCAACTTAGCTCTAGTTGCTCAAGTACCTGGTCAGTATAAACATTTTATTTCTGCTAATTATCCTGCCTGAAAAATCTCTATTCTAGAGCTACTATATCAAACAAATAATTATCCCGATGGGCGTCTACCTTAATGCAGGTCCAAATGATGCACCACTGGCTTCTAACAATTTTGAGTCTTTCCTAAAAGTTCCTGAGTTTCTTCGACCACATAATCAGATATATTGCACAAGGTATTGATCATTTAATGTTCTATACTTTCATATGTATGGCTGCTCCTGAAGCTGATAATTTATCTGAAGCTCAAAACCATTTTTTCTATGCATGCACTATATTGTCTTCATCCAAGTATTATATTTATGGTCTTTATTTTTCTTATAGAGATAAATACACTTTTGTTACTAAAATTGCTGAATTATATGATCCTAGTCCATAGAGCTAATAAGAATATCTGTGGTTTCTTCATAGAGTTATAATTAGGTGATATAATTTGTTGATTTCATTGCAGCGAATGGGTCATTGGAAACCGTGAAGAGTTGGCACGGGATATCATTGAAGAAATAAGGGCCGAAAGTGGTGAGGTAATGTTTTTCAATCTCCTTTTATTTGGGAAATTTTTGCTTGGAATTTCTATCTTGTCCAAATGGATGAACACCAACAAAACCTTCCTTTGTGATTTCCAAATTTTCTCACATCTTCCGTGGAGAGAAACATTCTGCGGGGATCTCAAAATGTCCATTGACTTGTGGTCTTATTATTTGCATCAAATGGTGTCTTGAAATTTACAAATATTAGCCCTGCCTTGCTAATAGGAAACAAAGAAGTGAAAAAAATAAAAAATTATAGTAATAAAATTGTTGATGAAATTGATCTTGACTGGACATGATACATCAAGATATCATATGGTGGCATTATATACCTGCCAGCAGGTTCCAACTTCTAGATCTCAGTGGAAAGGATTAAGTTGTTTCATGACATGCTTGTAAGTGGGTATAGTGGGAGTTGCAATCTTAAACCTGGTTCAAATAGAGATGATACTGTATTTAACAGTCATCTATTAGTGCTATGCCATGTATCATCTGGAGTCGCTTGACTTTGTGATGGTCAATCTGAGTTCCTATAAAGCTGGTGATCTGAAATTGTTTTCCAATTTTCTCGTTGTAGGAGTGGTGGACTTATGTATGCATGGGACCATCGGATCCTCATCCTAATTGGCACTTGGGGATGCGAGGCACACAACACCGTGCCGTAATGTGGCGTGTATGGAAAGAGGGGGGAACAGGCTTTCTATACTGGGGAGCCAACTGCTATGAGAAGGCAACAGTTCCTAGCGCAGAGGTTATTTGATACACTCATTGAACATTACAACGGGTATATTATGATTGGTCTTCTTATCTATCTTTGACATTGAGGTATATTCTATTCCAGATTAGGTTTAGGCGTGGTCTCCCTCCTGGTGATGGAGTCTTATATTACCCTGGTCAAGTCTTCTCATCTTCTCAGGAACCTGTTGCTTCTTTACGATTAGAGCGGCTTCTAAGTGGTTTACAGGTATTTTAACTGTTTCGGTTATCCATGGTCATGTTTTATTTGTAGTTGTTGCTAAGAACTAACACTTTGTAATTTTTGTGCATTGTATTGCTCTTCTTAAGAGTTCATCAAAACTTCAAAATTGATTAAAATAAAATTGGGAGGCTTGTGGATCACAAGGTTCCTCTTTGATATGATATGTTAAGGACTTTGTGGACATATATATATTTAAAAAACCATCAGTACTCTAATTAGGAGCATGTAGCAATGCAGCCTTGAGTATGAACACACTACGGCACTGTGTACTTTCGATGAATTGATAAATTACAGTTTGAACTCATACGTCCCCACAGCCTCACACCTCAATTACTTACAAGTCACATCTTGGATGGCTGTTGTTGATGCTAGTTTCTTGATTTTCCTTGTGCTATTGCCGTGTGTCGGTGATGCTGATCGATGGTTTTTCTATCCAGGACATTGAGTATCTCAAACTCTACTCTTCAAAATTCAGCCGAGAAGAAGCGCTTCACCTGTTGGAGAACACCGGCATGTACTCAGGTCCCGAGCGGTATACCCACGATCACATGCCCATCGACGTCATGCGGGGTGAAGTTTTCAGAAAATGCCAGGCCCAGAGTAACATCTAATCTGCACCTCACTACTCTTATGTAGAAACTTTATATGTCCCTTAGCAATATGGTCTCTATGTCTATGTATGGTTTGTCTATGTCACGATATGTTCCAGACTTCAGAAACCACCTCTTTAATGATATGTATCTAATAGGTAAAAACTCTTTACTCTTTGCACTTTGTGGCCAATGGAAAATAGATTGAATCTGAGATTTCATTCAATTGACCTCTGGTGAACCTAAGATCAGCAAAAATGATTACCAGATGAGTTAGTGGAGGCAGCGACCATATTTCACAAAAGCACGATTATAAAGTCCACAAAAGGTAGGCAGAGGCAGAGGCATCTGTCCAGCCCCATGCCCTCTTTTTTTTTTGTGATAAAAGACTTGGAAATAGGTAATGATGAGAAAAATATTTGCTCTACAGATTCAATGCTGCAGCTGCAGCCATAGTGGGAATCAGAAAAAGGGCAAGAAAAATGATGCAAAAGTTAGCAGCCCCAAAAGATAATCAAACTGGTGATGATTGATTCAGAGTCTTTGCCTCATTATTATGTCTTATTTATTACAGCTGTGTATGCTTTGCAACTAGACATGACATCCCTTTTCTTCCCAAGTATAGAGAGAGAGAGAGAGAGAGAGAGAGAGAGAGAGAGAGAGAGAGAGAGGATTGCAGATTTGTTTTATTTTATTGGGTTCTTCAGCATGTGTGTATGCACGAGATCAGGCTTGGTTTAGGATTAACTAATTATTAAGGTCGCCCTAACTTGTTTAAAAAATTGACTTAATTCAGGGAACTACTCCAAATACAATATAAAGTTTGTTGCATGAGTTCCCTCCAAGTGGACTGGATTCTGTGTTCTTTCTTTTACTATGATTTATTATTTGTCCAAGTTGTAGGGTATTTTATTGATTGATATTTGAATTGTTGTATTTTCCTACAGTAACTATACTGAATTGTAAGAGATGTTTGGCATTGGCATAATTGGGAGGAACGTTATTGGGAAATTGTTTTTTGTTATTTGTCCTGAGCAATAATAAATTAATGAGATGTTTGACTATTTGACCCATCTGCACCCGACAGTCACATTACGTGTAACTGCACTGCATCTCTTGTCCTTATCGTTTCAGCCACGAGGGCATTCTTGGTATTTCGCCCCCGCGACGCAATTCGTTTCGTAAACACTCTCACATGAATCTGTCCCTAAATCCATAATTAAATAAACAAAGACAGATTCAGAATGTGTGCTTGTTTGTGTTTTTTTCATTTCAATTTTGTAACATTTCAGTTTATAGAAAACGCACCCTTTTCTTTTAATTTAATAATTTTTGCCAAACATTTTTAAATTTCGTAAATATATATTTATTCACGAAATAAATAATATTCAAACTTGGCGGAAAACGACAAAACAGTGGCGGAGTAGCAGACTGAGTTCCTCCGACAAGTGTCCCAGGATCGCAGATGGCTCCACGTGGACGGTCCGATTTTAGCCAGTGGTTTCTTCACGATGAAGAAGATTAACCCTCCCTCGTGGCTTCGTCGCAGCTGAAATTGCTTACTCCATTGTTGTCGTCTCATCTCATCTCCCGCCGCTCCCCAAAACTAAAAACTTGAAAAAACAGCACAGTTCTTTGTTTAATCTCTTCTCATCTTCACTCTCGCAGTTATCGTAATCCAATCCTGTTGTTTTACGCAAGTTCGTACTGACTGACAGAAGAATCAGCAGCACAGAGACTCATTCGAGCAAATCAAAGCGCAATCGTCGCGTATCGAAGCTTACAGGTTTGGCAGGCAGCAGAGTTGAAACTGAGTCGACGCCGAGTTGAGGTTTCTGCTTAGTTCGCCCTAGCTCGAAATCGACGTCCATCTCCAGATATTCTCAGTTGAGCTTGATCGAGAAATAGGTTTAGCTGTTGAAGGATTGAATTACAATCTTCCGGATATGAGTATGGAAGATTATTGATTTTTAGCTAGCTCGATACCATGGTGAAAGTCGGGAATTCCTCTCCAGCTCCTGGAGAAGCTGATCTTCTCGCATCTGACAATCAAACGAAATCCGATGATCAAACAGCCGACGCCGTCCGGCCAGTTAAGAAGAAGCGGAATCTTCCCGGCATGCCTGGTAAATATTTAGGAATTAGGGTTTGCTAATTTTGATGGTAATTAGGTTTATTAATTAGGCAATGGTATTTGGCAGATCCGGATGCGGAAGTTATCGCCTTATCGCCGAAAACCTTACTGGCGACGAATCGATTCGTCTGCGAGATCTGCAACAAAGGGTTTCAGCGCGACCAGAATCTGCAGCTCCACCGGCGTGGCCACAACCTGCCATGGAAGCTCCGGCAGAGGACGGGGAAGGAAGTGAGGAAGCGCGTTTATGTGTGCCCCGAACCCTCCTGCGTCCACCACGACCCTTCCAGAGCCCTCGGCGACCTCACCGGAATCAAGAAGCACTTCAGCCGGAAGCACGGCGAGAAGAAGTACAAGTGCGAGCGGTGCTCCAAGAAGTACGCCGTCCCCTCCGACTGGAAAGCGCACATGAAAACCTGCGGCACTCGGGAGTACCGCTGCGATTGTGGCACTTTGTTTTCCAGGTGAATTTTTAAAGAAGAATCCAAGCTCCATTAATGGCTACTGAATCTGTGTATATATATATATATACAGGAGGGATAGTTTTATTACGCATAGAGCCTTTTGTGATGCGTTGGCGGAGGAAAGCGCGCGGTCTCAGCCTGCAGCGACGTCGACGGAGACGGCGGCGGCGGCCGCAGCTGCAACTCCGCCGCTTACTCCGTCTACTGGTGTGCTTTCTCCGGTCATCTCCATCCAAAGCTGCGGTATTTCTTTTCTTGTTTGTTTGACTGTGTTTTCTTTTAAATGTGAGTGTGGATATTAATGTTGTCATTTAGCTTCAAAATGGAACTGGCAGAGACAGACATTTCTTTTTTCAAGAATTAATTTTTGGGAAACAATGATGCAAGAATTGAATGCATACATACATACAAGGGTTGTTAATGAAAGCTCAAACATCGATGTCGAATTTGAAAGTTTGCATGATTTCATGGCCTTTTACTCGAAAGTGTCTTTCTTTTGAAATTGTTGCGCATTGGGATTCAGAATTTCATTTTTTTTTTTTTTTGGCTTTTTGCTTTTTCTGATTTCTATTTTCTGCAGAATTGCCGGAAAATCAGAACTGTAGTCTACAGCCACCGTCTCTAGTGAACTCCGGCGGCGGCGTGTCCACTCTCACAGCCACCTCTTCCACCGGCAGAGCTCTTCCTAATATATTCAATCCACCGTCAGCTGCATCAGAAGTACCCCTCCAATCATCTCCGCCACCGTCGTCATTCTCCGGCCTACTCTGCGCGACGGCGCCGCCGGTTGATCATATGGCGCTGTCGTTGTCTTCCTCGTTGTACAGCGCGACGTCGTCTTTGTTCCCGGTCGCCACGTCACCGCCGGCCTTCCTCCAGAGCCCCCCGTCGGCGGCATTGTCCGCCACCGCACTGCTTCAGAAAGCCGCTCAAATGGGCGCTACCTCCTCCAATTCGTCATTTCTCCGCGGCCTCGGACTCGCCGCGCCGTCGTCTCATCAATTCGATCAACACCGCATTGCTTCGACTACGGCGGCGGCGGCTTCGACCTCCGGATCCAGCCACGGCATGAAGCTTGAAAGCAGCTTCGGAATAGGGTTAGGTCAGCCGTCCGCCGCCGCCGCCGCCGCCGCAGGCGTGTCGGTGTTGAACGGAGTGATGATGACGAAATCGACGCTGCTCGGCGGCACGCCGGCGACCGTTGATTTCCTAGGTCTGGGCATGGGTGATCATGGGGAAGTGGCCGGCGCGGGTGGTTTCTCGGCCTTCCTGAACTCAATCGGCGGCGGATTAAATATCCCGACGACGACGACGGCGACGATGACCTCATTTCCCGGCGGAGAGACGACGTGGGACGAATCCTCAGATCGGAAGCCGCCGCCCTCCTCTATGCTATAGACAGTTATAGAGAGAGAGAGAGACCATAAAGCTTTTTGCTGGTATACAGAACGACGTCGTCGCCGCCGGCTGCTGGTTCTGGTACTTTTTATATTTTCTTTGTTTCCAATTACAAGAGTTATTTGTAAAAGCTCAACTGTTGTATTTTATTCTCTCTGTCTTCCTTCCTTAAAGTAATGTTTATTTAGATAGAACACATGTAGATGTGTTAGTCATAATAATCATGTGATTAAGGAGGCAATGGAAATAAGATTATTATTATTATTATTATTCTCTTTGGTCATGAAGTTTTAAGAGGGAATATGAATATATGATTAGATAGATAGATAGATAGATGGTAGATAAAGAGATGGAGTGAGAGAATGGTCAAATGAAAATCTCCTCTTCAATAAATTTATTAAATTGGCAAATAATTGCTCCAATAAATGCTCTTTTTCAATTCTCAATTCAGATCTACTTATACAACAATGTCCCCTTTCTGTCCTCTCCTACTCTCATCATTATTACTACTCTCTCTCTATTATCATTTGTGTCTGATTGATTCTACCTTGAATTTAAATTTTCTTATTATCATTCTGTGCTTCTAGGATGACAATACAAATATTATACTACTTATGGTAAGAGTTTAGGGTTTTATTCGTCATTGTTTGGACAAAAAAGAAAAAAAAAAAAAAAGTAGAGAACGTTTATTTCAATTCAACCCCAACCCAACTTACATCCAAAGCACATATTTGGGCTTATTTATTAGTCTCTCCACCAGGTCCAATTTATTTACTATCAGCCTGGCGGGCTATTCCATGAAGCCCAGCCAACAAATGAACCAATGCCTGCCTGAAATTTTGAGAAATTAAATTCGAAACAACACAAAACACAAAATAAATAAATAAACAAAATTTACATATAAACCAGCAGCGTAACGCACCTTAATTGTCATTTTGGAACTTATGGTGCTATTTATTTTTTTATAAATATCATATTAAATATATTTATTTTATAATTTTTAAATCCTAAAAGTTTTGTTCTAACGGAGCCTAATAATAAATCAATTTATTTATTTTAAACTCTAAATCATAATTTGGGGTTAAAAAAGGAAATTTTAGAGCGCGGTATTGACAATATCTTGCGCATTTGTAAAAGAAAAAGAAAAAGAAAATAAATATATTATCAAGAAATCAAGACAGAGGGAGCGAGATTAGTGATCCACTGATTTTTCCTTTGAATTCACTCCAACGAACGAACGAATTCAATTAAATTTTCCTCCTTTCCTTCAATCGGACATCATATTCGTTTCCAGACGTACAACAAAGCTACGCGCAAACAACTCGGATCTGAACTCCTCTTCTCAAAACACCCGTCTCTGTTGCCGGATACAACACAACAATTCGAGGCCTTGGATTGCGTATTAATGCTGTTGTGACAGGAATGTGATTCATTTCCCAGTGGCGGATATCTCTAATCCGGTACCGTTATTCAATTTTGTCTGGATTTTGAATGTTTTTCTCGTTAAACCCTGTCGATTTTTTTTTTTTTTTTGTTTTGTTTTGTGGATCTTTGATGCGCGGATCTTGAGACCCAGATGCGAAAAGTTGGAGCGATTCTATTGTGCGGGTGAAGAATAGACAATTGGCATTCTATTTATGTGCTTAAACTAGAGTTGTAAGAGGATTGCTTAGCGTTGCTTCTAGTGTTGATTATTCGGATAGATTAGAGCAGTTTAGAATGAGCATTCTCAGAAGCATGTCGCTGCTAGAAAGCTGCTTTATGTATATGCCATTCAAGCGGGCGTAGTTTGTCAAGGAGGAAATATTGGAAATTAAGTCAAGTGCTTGTGTAAGAAATCTAGGGAATGCTTCAAACCAGTTTAGATTCAACACAGCAGCATCAGTTTCCTTGAAATAACAAGTTACTGTGTGTCACTTATCAAATTGTCTCCTTTTTCTTTGGAGTCATTGTTACTTTTGGCGGATTCTTGTTTTGATCTAAGGCAACTTTGTTTATGCTAGAGATTCGAGATTTAGTAGACACTATTTGCAGCTCTCATTTTTGCATTAACAAAGCAATTGGACTTGAATTTGAAGTTATCACTGCTTAACAAGTTGCCTTTCTTCTGAATTCTGTAACCCGTATAGAATATTCAGGAGGCAATGGTGAGAAAATATCTATGTGCATAGGATTGAATTGTGATCTTGACGTGCGTAGAGAGATTATATTAAATATCTATGTGATCCATCTATTTCAAAGGCTCATCAATGTGCACTTTTTTTTTTACCTGCAGTTGTGGTGTTGGGATACATATTTTAAAGACTGTATCTCTTATCACCTCTATCTATGTTTGGAGGGCTTGGGTCTAACCTGAACAGTAGTCCTCATTTACGCAAGTCTGGAAGCCGACCTGTTGTATTTGATATTGGTAAGAGAATGTTTAGCTTCAAAAACCTTTTACATTTATTCCTGTTTGTGCATTGGATACATGACACATTTGTGATGATTATACCATCATCTGCAAGGTGGTTCTGAGCTTGGAAATAGTTCTGAAGAAGATCTTTTATCTTCTATAGAGTCCGATGAAATGAAGGGCGGGGCCGCACAATTAGGCAGTGCAGCAATTATGCCATCTCCTGTTCTGTTATGGAGATTTAAGGTATTGCTAGGAATTTATTTAAAAGTGCAATTATCCCTCCTATTATTCAGTTCATAGTATGCTTTTAATTATGTTTATCCTGTTTTGCATATGAAAATATTTAGCAGTATTTAGGTGGATTGGCCAAACATTTGTTCACTTTGATAACAATAAAAAAACTAGCAGTTCTTATCGTGATTTGAGAAGTGTTGGTTTATTTTAAGCTTTATTCCAAAACATGGAGTATTAGAATTTAGTGGACAAAGAGATAGGATTGTTGACTAATAACTAATTACAATGGCTAGTGCCTGAATATAGCAAACAAGTCTAAAATCTTTTCTAACTTTTTAACTATGGGATTGGTAATTTTCATTGATACACTCAATACCATTCTACATTACAATCTGATCTCTGCTGATTCAAATTCGATGAGTTGCTGTACTTTGAATCTTTGATTTTGTAGGGGTATAGTGTGATAGTTTAAAGCTTTGATGAATGATACAAGATACATTATTTAATACATGCAATCTCTGGTTGTTACATATGTTGGCTAGCTTGTCATTTTTAATGAATTTGATGTATAGGTATTGCTATTTTTCTTCTGGGGATTCAGTTGTTGCAAGGTCAGTTCTGGGTTTTTTATGCTATCCACTCCCTGGTACATCAATTTAACATTTCTCTATCCAGCTAACTAATGTTTTATGCAATTCTTGTTGCCTTGGTTTTTGGGTATGTGGAATCTTATAACCCAAGAATGTCTTCCTATTGAGAAAATACCTTGTTTTGTATCTGATTCACAGATTGGGTGGGATTCAGTCATGAGAATGAGTGTAGACCTGCGAGATTTATTCTTATACGAGGCTTTCTTGTATTATAATCCACTGCTTCTTGTGGTGAGTGAAATACTGTTACTGAGTTTGTTGTATATTCTGGATGCAAAGTATTGAAAATTACGCTAGCAACTATTTAAGCTCCAGTTTTTACAAGTATTTTGCTGTTATTACAGACCATGGCGGTTTGGCTTTGGGGAATAAATTTATGGGTTTTCGCTCAGTCTAATATTGGTTATGCTAAGATTTTTGACCTAGATCAGAGCCATCTCACTCACTGGGACATATGGAAGGTATGGGTAATATTTAACAATTCATATCTTGAGAGTTTAGCCTTAGGTCCCCCTTGGAAACTTCTTTCCCTTGCTATTTTTACATTGTTGTAAATGTTTGGATATGGGTGTATTTTTATGATGTTTGATATGTTTTACTTTAAAACCATTTGTTGTTTCAGTGTGCCACCTGGATGACCATCATTGTCCCAACGAGCATGACGGCCTATCTTTATCTTTATTCTCATGGGGAAGTAATGTTGGCTGCATCTCAACCAGTGTAATAGATACTTCCACTCAGACTTGATGCTTTAAGCAATAAATGATTTCACTCTTCAGATTTTAGAAGGAATCATATTATGCTGTATTTGTTTTGATAGATAGCACACAATGTTCCTAGCTTTTTATTAGCATGAAAGACGTCATTATGCTTTATTTGATTAAATTGTCTGAGAGACTTATGTTTACATACCTCATATCATCTGTGGTGAACTTCTATATTGATTTGTGTTGAAGCTGCAGTTATACTTTCTCTGGTAATGCCTGTTATTTCTCACTTCAACTTCATGAACAAATTTATTTTGTAAACTGCTACATATTTTCTCTGTACAGGAAACCTCTAACTTCGGATATGGATGATATTTTAGTTTTCTTACTATATTTGAAATACCATATTGAGTTCCATCGCTTAATTATTGCTGAAAAATCATTTTTCTTTTATTTTAGTAAATAATAAATGTGATGGCAAAGCTACAATAGCGGGCTATTTGAATTGTGCATATCTTGGAATGAGGTTTTTCATGGACACTGATACTAGCATAGGATACGCATCTTTGTTTCTGGACTTGCATGAATACCTGATTAATTTATGGTCTCTTTGTTGTTTTAAGCTCTGCACCATCTTGTCTTGTTTCATGATGCCTTTGTAAACATTAATTTGGAACTGCAGGTTCTTTTGTACGCTGCTGTTGCAATGACCCTCATATTTCCTTTTGATATCTTCTATCTGTCAACACGTTACTTTTTGTTGAGGACTGTCTGGCGAATAGTGTTACCATTACAGGCAAGTAATTATAGTCATGTTGAGGTGTGCAGTGTTTTGTTTTTCATCTGTATGTCCCTCGCCCTGCTTATGTACCCTAGAATTTTGCACATGAGATTTCCTCGTAACGCAATCAAGTTTAAAAATCTTTTATATATTTTCAGAACTATAGGGAAAATATTAAACTATAATAATAGTTAGAAGAAGATTGTGCGTTTTAATTGGTAAAGGAAGTAAGAAATTTGCCAGTCATCCTCTTTTGTATTGCCCAGCCCACTTTATAACACATTGCATCAGCCCTCTTTAGTCATGTCTTGTACGGCCTTGCTTCTACATTATTCTCTATATCTTTATATCTTATGAATACATTTTTTTGCTGTCTAATTTTGACAGCTTTATCTCATTTTTTATTGATGCCTACTTAGATGCATCTGTTATTTTTGCATCTCTTCCACTGAATATGAAGATAAATCAGTCATAATTTTATTTTATAATAATGCTATTATTCTCATATGTATTTCTTCCAAATGCAGGCCATATCATTTGCTGATTTCTTTTTGGCTGATATATTTACGTCTATGTCAAAGGTACATGCTCTGCTCCCTTGTATATTTTTTCTTGGCTATTCATACTGGTAAACTGCAGTTGATTATTATAAGTTTAGTAATCCTACTATTGTATGTTTGCAATAATTATATTTTGACAGCTGGACCTACCACTTGTTTTTACACGATAACCTAAATCCATTTGTAATGTTAGTAATAAGCCAAAGTCCAAACAAAATTTTCGAAGAGCTGAACAATGGAAACTCAATATCAAGAAACTCAGATGAATGGAAACTGAAAAATATGTCTAGGCATCCTTAATACTTTGCCAGGACCAATTCAATAACAGAAATAACATAGATGGTATCATGGTAGGCCCAACTGTTACTGTGAATGTAAAGCCTGGATTGGCATCTTCACCCCAGCCAGCAGGCCTGCCACCAGCCATGGCATGGTCAAGTCTGGCAGCCTTGTGTCATCTGCTATGGCTTCATAACATACACAGCCATGGTTTTTACTTGTCTGTTGTCTAGTAGAATTATTCTGGTGAACAAATTATTAAATTGCAAATATGAGCAGTTTTCTGAGGACTCTCACATTGACCACTTTGTGAATGTCTAAGCTTGATGAAAGGTGTTCTTCAGGGTTCAGGCCTTCATCAAAACCATGAAAATGAATCTTTGAAGTTTGGTACTTTCTAAGATTAGATGTCCTGACCGAAATAATATTGCGCACTTAAAATTTCAAGCAGAAGCAAGTTCAAAGTATTAGGTTTATGATTCTGAGGCAGCAATTTTACTATGGGATAATATATATGATATAATAGACTATTGAGTGATTATTGTTTTAAGCAGCCTAAATCAGCAACCTTACTGCTATCTGTTGGCTACATGAGCTATTGGAAATTTTTGGTTTTGTTAATTTTTTTCCTTCATTCTTTTTTTTTTTTTTTTGGTTTGCACTTATATGTTTTTTTGGTTATCACTGAGCATATGTGTTCAATTTTTGTCCTCCCATACAGGTTTTCTCAGATTTGGAGCGTTCAGTTTGTCGAATGGTCCATCGCCAGGTTATATTTGCATAGTTTTTATATTTGATCAAAGCTACAATTAATAGGATTTTTTCTTGTTTTACTTCACTTTGGGACTCGAATTTTGAAAAAATTATTATTTTGGTTGTGGAGTTTCTGATGACACTCGATTGGATCTTTATACTTCAACGGTTTTACCTATTTTTTTCCCTGTGGATTTACATTTTTCTTGGAGATGGGAAAGGTTCTAGTTGTAATGTTTTCTAAACATACTGTGTTTGCGAAGATATTGCTTTAAAATTGCCCTTCTCTTTCTGCCACAATCCACAATGTGCAGGTTGCCACCATTGCATGGTTTGAGGCAGATTCTATTTGTGGAAGTCATGCTGTTGCAATACCTATAGTTTTAGTCCTGCCATATTTTTTTCGCCTTTTCCAATGCCTTAGGCAATACAAGGATACAAAAGAAAAGACATCACTTTTTAATGGTAAGCAGTAAATTATTTGAAGTTATTTTCTAGGGTATTTAAATTTGTGAAGAAAACAGGTTTCTATCACTTTACTATATCACTTCAGGCATTTTTTGTGTGCTTAACCATGATTAATGTGAAGCTAGAGGTAAGAAGCTTGCATTAAATGACTTTGAATGAAATCATAAATGATTAAGAATGAAAGAACATCACATTATGGTTAATTCACAGTCCAGTGGCATGCATTCGTTTACTTCTTATCATACTTCAGTTTATTTTTCTTGTTCTTATCATAATCACTACTGTGTTCTGTTTTACTTGCATGCAGTACATATTTCAAACAAGAGCATTCATCTGATTACTGTTGCACTGTATAATAACTTTCATCTTCTTAATGTTTCAGCATTAAAGTATTCGACAGCAGTGCCAGTTATTTTTCTATCAGCCCTCAAGTATCACGTTTTTCCTGACAATTGGGTTAAAGTATACCGCCCATTGTGGCTCTTTTCCAGTGTAGTGAACTCCATGTACTCTTTCTACTGGGATCTTACGCGTGATTGGGACTTGAGGTTACATTTCCAAACATCCAGCCACTTGTTTCTGATATTTCAGTGAAGTTGAATGACCCAACACAGTACTTAATTTTTCAAACTTTCCACCTTTTCTTTAATTGCAGTGGCTTCACTCGAATTTTCAAGTTCACCAAACCGCATATAATATCAAACTTGCTGTATGGGCGAAAATGGGTAAAGTCGGATTTTCTCTTCTGCTCTTGTCATACATTCTCTTGCATATTCTGATTCTTTCCTCAAAAGTTAGTGTCTCCAGGATCAACATTGTTCAGTTAACTGTTACGTTAAATCCGACAGGTATATATTTGGGTTATTGGAAGCAATCTTATTCTACGATGCACATGGACATACAAGCTTTCAGCTCATCTTCGCCACAATTACCTCACCGTATTCACCATCACCGCGCTGGAAATCCTGCGTCGCTTCCAGTGGGTTTTCTTTCGAGTAGAGAAAGAATGGATCAAAATGAACGCAAAATCCGATATCCAGCTATCGATGATGGATGTTCCCAGGGAGGAAGAGAAATTGCTTAATTCCAATGGCCATAATGTATAGACAGACTCATGAAAAGATTCTGCGCACAAATTTTCTTAGGCTATGATCTACATTATTTCATTGGTTCAAATGTTGCACAATTATACCATTTCTGCCTTGGCTTTGATAGCAAGATATAAATTATAGTTATACATGATGAATCTACATCTCTTTTTGACCTTTTTCCATGTTCTTGAGGCTTGAGTCAAACTGTAATCCTTACTGTCAGCATTTACTGATCAGTTGTGGCACAAGAAGGCATTTTATATATGTGTGGTCCATTTCTATTTTATTATATTTGAAGAAATTGATGCAATCTTTCAAGACTGGTTTTTTAATTGTCACAGGAATTTCAGGTTAATCTGCGCCAGGGGAAATAATGGCTTGGCCTGATCTGATGGCTGCTTTTGTCGTTTGGCGTTCTTTTCTTCCGTTTCTTATCCTCATTCATTTGTTCATCGTCCATCATCTGTGGCTTCAGTTTGTTGCCACATTTTGATTCTTTCTTCCAATGCGCCTGCCTGGCCCCCCCATTTGACATGTCTCCTTCCTGCTCCACCAGATTCAAGCTTTCCTTCTTGTAGCAGAAACTTTTATTCGATTTCGTTCAGGGCCAACTCCAACTGAACGCTCCAACTCCTCCATTAATGGCCGTTTTCGAGCGCCATTCGCGTGAACTGTTTTGAGGGTTTCCCGCCAAACAGGGGGAGCAATTTTTGAACTGCAATCATCTATGGAGAAGTTTGTGCGGCGGGAGAATGGAAGCTCGGAGGACATGGATTTCAACGACGTTTTCGGGGGGCCGCCGAGGCGGTTTTCGAACCAGGAAGTGAAGTGGAGGTACAGTTTCGGTGAAGCGGAGGAATCCGCTGAGGAAACCGTCCTGTCAACGCCGCCATGGAGCTCGCTTAACGAGAAGCCGGTTTTCGGAGAGGACAACGTGCACAGAAGACGACATCAACAAGGCGATGACTTCTTCGACGACATATTCAGAGGTGAAGACTCCACATACGGTTCCCCAAGAAGGACCGATCGTGATCGGGACAGCGGATTCGGATCGAGCCCTGGTTCCAGGATCTTGAGCCCCGCCAAGCCTCTGCCTCCAAAAGCCGAACCATTCGGCACTTCAGTTCCTGCCCAATTCAGGTAAGAAATCTACACTTTGTTGTGAATTGTATCTCCTTTCTGTTTATTGACATTACTGGATTATATTTTCTTTTTAGTCTGCCTGCTAAGCTACACAAAGGCCTGGAGCTTCCTGCATTTGCTTCCAATGGCGAATGCAAGATGGATGGGAGCAGCCCAAATGGATTAGCCACTCTAAATTCATCAGTTTCTTTCCCTAGATTGGATGAGTATCCGATGTACCGTCAAAGCCCTTTGTCCCGTGGAGCTTCTCTTAGGCGCGAAGATTTGCTGTCCACGGAAGCTACTGTTGATCAGAAAGGAAATGTTGAAATTTTGAACAAGGATAAGAGAAATGTAGATGGCATAGGCAATCAGTTCCACTTCTCGATTTACAAATGGGCAGGCAGTGAAGTTTCTATGCTTTTGCCTCTTGTGGGCAGGGATTATATAAAACCAAGAGGCGATAGTAAGTGTGATCGGTCCGCAAGCTCCAATGGGCAGATAGAGAGTAAGATGTCGAGCCATGTTATGAAAAGTAGAGGGCTTTCAACTGTAATGTCTGAATCCTTGAGTGCAGAAGTGAAGAAGGAAGATTTGAGGAGAGTAGAAGATATGAAAGAAGTGCAAGATTCTGTTAAAGATAAAGTGCTTCATGAAACTTCTGAGGTGATGCCACGTGTCAATGGAAGAACGGAAAAGAAAGTCTTGGTGAAGAAAGAAGCATCGCTCCGGTTTGAGCTAAAGCCTCTTCATGCATTTCTTGGAGATGAAACTGTTCAATTAGAGAAGAAAACTGAGAAAGAAGCCCCTCTGAAGAAACAAGAATCTCTCCGGTTTGAGCTGAAGTCTCTTCATACATTTCTTAGTGATGAAGTTGACGCCATGGAGCAAACTGAAGAAAATGTGCCACTGAATAAGGAGGAACCTCCTCAGTCTGAGCTCAAGTCTCTTCACGCGTATCTCAACAATGCAGTTGAGCTACCAGGTGATATATATAATTTATATGTGATGGTACACCATTATGAATCCATTTGTTGATAACAAACTGCTGATTGTTTTCAGTAAACAACATGGAGATGAAAGAAAACAAGAACAGAACTCCTAATGGAATCCACAGTTCTAAAGCTGTGAATAAAAATGAAGGAACAAGAATTTCTTCAAATGGAGTAACGGACCAATCTAACTTGCAAGCTGCAGCAGCAAATTCAAGAGCGACTGGTGCTGGGGATAATGGTGTAAAGGGAAAGGTTAAGGAATTTGTTCAGATATTCAACAAGGAAGCCGATTCGAGACCTAAAGGCAGTTTTCAAAGAAGAAATCTAAATAATAAATGGACAGCTAACGATGGTGACCAGAAAGAGAATGGATCAGCCACAGATTCAGCGGACGTAAAAGAAAAGGTTAATTTGGACAATAAATATAGATATGAAGTGATTATATCAAAGTATTTCAATCCACTCACCAATTTGAATTCCGGCATACAGTCTGTTCAAATTAGTGAGGATGGATACAGCTTAATGTTATCTGATAATTAGCATTTTAGGTGGTTGAAAATCTCAACAATGATGAAGCTCATCCTCGCTCGCCTGCAACACCAACAAGTCATACAACTCATCGATCTTCTACTAATCAGAAGAATGGATTTGCATCAGGTTAGTTGCTTGCAGTATTCATTAGTTAAAACATCACACAAGAAGAATTGTAAACTATTTAGTTAAGTATTTATTGATGCAGTCTATAAGTGGCCTATAAATATATAAATGAAGGCAAGTTACATTTAAGATAACCTCAAAGATCTATCTGCAGATGGGGCGGTAGCATGGCATTTCATTTTTATGTCTAGTGTTTGTAATTTATCTTTTAGCACTCTTTTTTTCAATGATGAATAGTAACTGGAAAACTGTTTCATAAATATATTTATATATATATGTATTCTCAGAGATTATTTTGTTATTTTCTCAGAGAGGCTCCGCAGAGACTCAAAGATTTACATGGAAAATTTTGATGATCTTTTGGAAGACGATTTCCTGGTATATTATTCTTGATTATATGTTCCCTGATTAAACAGCTTATTAAATCTCCACTATATGTTATTAACTATACTGAACATTTTCTTCACAGTTCTTACTTGGCTTTAATGTATGCCATAAATATACTGGCATTGAGTTTGACCCGTAAACTTACTAAGCAGGTTCAAGAGTTACCTGACGAGCCTGTAAAGGTTACAGAGAGTGAAGATCTTGATGACACAAAAGTAAGTAATGTTGTTCAAAATTAGTTGGGAATCTATCTCTATTCAATGTAAGCCATTAATATGTGCATGACTGAGTATTATAATATCCTTCATTTTTAGGCATGTCTTCACTAAAATGAAATTTGAACAAAAATTGGTGGGCTTAGTAATGGTCTCTGACTCAATGCAGGCTATAGATGCTAAAATTCGTCAATGGTCATTTGGGAAGAAAGGAAACATCCGGTCTCTGCTATCAACACTGCAATTTGTATGTGATTTTTTGATCTTCCTATATCAATGCGAAATCTCTGGTATACTATGGTCTAGTCATTAACATGTAAGTCTGCAGGTTCTTTGGTCTGATAGTGGATGGAAACCGGTGCCCCTCGCCGATCTAATCGAGTCAAATTCTGTAAAGAGAGCCTATCAGAAAGCCTTACTACGCCTACATCCCGACAAGCTCCAGCAGAAAGGTGCAGCGTTTCATCAGAGATATGTAGCCGAAAAGGTTTTCGACATTCTTCAGGTACTCAAAATGTGTGGCAAGGAACATGTGCCATCTCAAGATTGATTATTCAATTAACTTCAAGGTTTTCAACTATTATCACCATGCATGGTAATGAACTCTTGATACCATTCTTTGATGCTGACAAGACTGATCAATTCACCCACACTCATTGTCTGGATAATGAAACTATTAGTGTGCCTTATTCATCTTAACATTATAAAATAGTAGAAGCTACTTAACCGAAAGGCAATAAACTCTTCTTCACAAAAAGAAACACCCTCCAAGATTTAACACTTCTTTTTTTCTGCTGCTAATTATTTTCCTCTTTTATCTGTTCAAACCTCCCTGGTATTTCCTGTTTTTAAATATTTTACTCTTGTCATAGATCTAAAGAGCTGTCCCTTTGAGTGCAGGATGCGTGGGACCAATTCAATACTCTTGTTCCTATCTGACCATCAAATTGAGGCTGTGGTATCAATTCTTACTGAGCAATTCAGGTACGAGTCAAAGATGCATACAGAAATGCGTGCATACATATTTGTATGTATATATTTTGACAGACAAATAATATATATATATATATGAAGTACATGTTTTTAGTTTGTAGGGAACATCTTTGAAAAGCTTTAATTATTTGCTTGTTCACTTTTTGATACAAATGTAGAAATTAAAAACAGGGAATTGGCAGATAGATAATGTTGTTGATTTTCAGGAAATATAAACTTCTTAGAAATCATCATAGCGTGTCTTGATATTGATATAGATATAAAACTATTGTGTTACTGATTCCATCCATTATTGATCTGCTCATATACACTGGTCTGAGAAGGCCCCTATATTTTTGCCCTTTTTTGGTACAATGTGGGCAGGATTTTCATCAAAGCTTTTTTAAGGACAAAGGGACACAAAAACACATTAGCTGTACTTAGTCATCACAGAGCTGGCACCAGAGTTTGGTCAACATATATTTAACCATAATAATAATTTTATTACTTATTATACAATAATTAGGCACTTGTATATTTGATGGGATTTTTCAACTCAGTCCTTGCAATAATTTATCAGTCCAACTGTCTTGCTAGTAGAATTCAAGAATTTTTTTTTTTTTTTTATGTGGTTACTTCTTGATTAAAGCAAGGATCAAGGCAAACCCCTCCACCCCTTTTAAAATATTAGTAAGAAATACCAAGATGGTGTATATACTAACACAACATGATCAGTGGTTATCATCCCATCAAATTAAAATAATCAATGAGTTGAGTTGAATGATGAGGGAGTGTCTGAACACATAAATAAACTAATGTGTGCACAAAAACATGCAATTCCTTGTCCTTTTTTCTGCAGAAAAGGCCAACAAGAAGATTTCATGAATAACCATGCATGATATGTGTCCAAAAGTACTACTTATTTTGAGAAGGGTGAAACAAGAAATGCAGCCCTCAAAACTCAAATATGTTCATTTATAGTTAGTGATGATGCTCATTGTAGAGAGAATATATATATATATATATATATAGAGAGAGAGAGAGAGAGAGAGAGAGAGAGAGAGAGAATATTAGGCAGGATGATATGGGCTATGAAACATCTGTATTCATTGCTATGATCAAGTGACTAGAGATAAGATAATAAGCATGAAATTAGGTAGGATGTTCACAGGTCAGGTGACACTTCATAGTCTAGAATAGTCTTTTGATTCTATAAACATGTGTGGTTTTAGAGCTTAAATTAATCAACAATTGTATTATAGCCGATTGCTTTTACTGTTCGAGATATATACGATTGACTTTGTAGGACTAGGCTATTATGTAATGGATATGGTTTGTCAATTAATGTTCAAGGATAAGGCTTTTTTCTTTTAACATATATAATATCTGTTCTTTTGTGGTCATATCTTTATGTGTATTTATTTATTATTTTAATAAAATTTTGTACAAACAGCAAGTACTGAATAAAATTTTAAAAATTTATATACTAAATAATTAAAAAAATAAAAAAAAATACAAAAGATCGTATTCATGATCTTTTGAAAGAATATGGACAAATACTAGTTGCCAAATGATAGGCTCCTCATTTAGATCCATTTCATTGAAAACGATTCATCATCAAATCATTTTGTTGAAGAATAAAAATAATGGGGTTGCCATGCATAAAAGACTTATCTGATTACTGATGTTAATTTGTCTTTTTATTATTGTTTGTTTGTTTTTAGAAATAACATTTAATATCAGATGTGTGGATTCGATCTGACGCAAAGGGAATAGATTCTGAATCCTAAAATCATAAAGAAAGCAATTGAAATAATTTCTTACGTTTGAATATTTCTAAATTAAACAATCAATTTTGGTAATTCTCCTTTACAGAATGTGATCATCAGTACGTTTCCCAGTAAATAAAGATTGAAACTTTGACCAGTTTCTATAAATTCTCCAAGTCAAAATTATTAGAAGAAAAAAGAAAAAAACTGAATCTGTGCACGACCGTACCTGCGGGTTGTGGCTCAGAAACATTAAAATTGGAATATATTCCATTACTGTTTATTGAGTTTAATCCAAACCACAAATAAAACAGAAAGGGAAAAAGGGAGAATAGAAAAGGATCCAATGGAGGAGGAAACGGCGCCGTTTTGGTTGTCACTGTCTGTCTGTCGCTGTAAATTTATTCTCATGGTCTTGGTCAAGGTCCAGTAAAACCCCAAAAGGAGTAATCCAGATACGAAGGGGGAAGGAAAGAACAAGGGCCAATTGCCCAGATGCCCGAATTGAGCTAATCCCTGTAGTCTGTAGATCCATTTTAAAAAAATAGAAAACGCTCAGAGGTGAGGTGAGGTGAGGTGAGGTGAGATAAAAATCTAAGAGGGAGGGGAGAGAGAAGGAATTGTTCTGCGTAGTGTCAGTGTCGCCATAACTTCCAAAACTGGGAGTGTCTCCATCTTTACCCTTTTCTTTACCTACCAGGACTAGGCTGGGGTGCAATAATTCTGCCTTTGCTCGAACGGGTTTTTTTTGTTTCAACTGGGTTTGACGCCTTTTTGCAGTGCCTCCCTCCTCTATTTTACCTACGATTGAATTGTCAGGAAGGAGGCAGCCCACCGTGCGTTTCTGCGGATAATTCAGGGGAGAAAGGGCCATTCGCTAGTTACCCATTTCCAGGTGCTTTCCAACGCTCCCACTGCCCTCGCCCTGCAATGTTGTGACGAAGCGGGAACTCGGGATCTCGAATCGGCTTATCCATCCGCACATGCTGTTATCCCCAAATTTTTGTGCTGTCTGCCTTCCTGTAACCGTAAGCTTTTTTACTGTTCTTCGATTTTTGTGGCTACTGTAACCGTCTTTTGTTTTGATTATAATAACGCGTGTTCTGTGTTTCGCCCTGATTGGGTGGAATTTTGTTCGAATTGGTTCTCTTAACAACTTTTCGAATGATTTCGTTACCCTTTCGGTGTTGACATTCCATTCCTGTTTAAAGACAAGATCTGAAAGTGAGTTTGGTGTTGTTTCTCAATCTGAAGCTTAATTCCTTAATTTTTGTGGTTCTATGTTGTTGTCTTCGATCTTCCCATGTTTAATTTTCTGCATATTATGAAATTTGATGGATGAAGCTTCTGCCAGTCAAGGTTTTAGATGTCTTGAGTTGGAAAGTGATTTAGGTTAAATGCAAAGAATTTCATTGTAGAAATGGCCAAAATTATACCCAAAGCTTCCTCAAATATGTTATCTCAATCCATATGTTCTACAGATCTTTTGGCAAGCTATTCCATTGTTGGTTGAAATTAACAATGATTCGTCTTCTTTCTGCCGATGCTTATCTTTTTGGCTGATGTTTGTTTCGAAAGCTTTTTATGTTCTTTGTTGCTTATGATTGAATTGGGACAATAGACGATATGAATGAGAAATTTCAAATTAGAGTAACCTGGTATGATCTATATTTCCAGATTTGAGTTTTAATTGAATTCGATTGTTACAAAAACAATTTGTTTAGTCAACAACCGAATGATTGGTGGCCTCCCACTACTATCAATTTGACTTTTGTGAATCGAACATTTGTTTAACTAAAGGTTCCGGTTCCGTGTTTCATTTCATTTTGAAGTTTATATACTTACTATTTATGCCAATTCCTTGTAAGATCCAGCTCACAAGAGTTTCTTGTCAACTTGTTCCTAGGTTGACAAGCAATGAAGAAAATTATTTGTCAATTCTATTTTAAAATGTCTTCTCAATAAAAGAGTCAGCCATGGACTGTGCCTATTAATATGCCGATCCCTCGACCTTCTTGAGAAAATCAAACACAAGTTTGTTGTTGTAAGCAATTGGTTTTGATTTTGCAGTTTTGACTTTCTTGTTTAGAGATATGATCATCTTGGATGCAATGATACTATGAGTTGAATATTATAGGTTTGATTTTATTTATGTTGTTGGATTCTTTAATCTGATTTTAACATAGACGAAGGTTCTTACAAATTCTTGTTTGATTAATCGAGCTGCATAATTGATTCCTGGTATTGTGGTTTTGTGGGTTGTCTAGTTTCCCTTTTCGTTCGAACTCTTTCAAGTTTATACTTCTGTACTCTCTTCTTAAATAACATCACATAATCAATCATCTGGATGTTTTAATGTCTTTTTTCTTAGCGATTTGCTCATTCGGTTTCTTCAGATGCACAAGGTTTTATTGGGGACTTGGCTGAAGTGAGTTTCCCCGAGTAAGCAGCATGAAAATAGCGGTGAAAAAAGGGTGGAAGTCCATAGCGCCAATCCGTCTAACAGAGAAATCTGCTCGACGTTTCTGTTTATTTTCAAAAGTGAAGTCAGATAGTGATGGAGCCAAGAAAACTCCAGTATATCTTAATGTGTACGACTTGACGCCAATGAATGGGTATGTTTATTGGGCTGGCCTCGGCATATTTCACTCTGGTGTCGAAGGTATGTTTTTGTTGTTACATTTGGAGGAATAATCTTTTGCGAGAAAAGCTTGGAGGAGGAATGTTTTCGTTTCTGATGAGATCGCATATTTGTATTCTCGCAGTCCATGGCGTAGAATACGCATTCGGAGCACATGACTATCCGTCCAGTGGTGTTTTTGAAGTTGAGCCACGCCAATGCCCTGGATTTAAGTTCAGGAAGTCGATATTCGTCGGCACCACATTGTTGGATGCTACACAGGTTCGGGAATTCATGGAACGCCAAGCTGCAAATTACAACGGCGACACTTACCACTTGATCGTGAAGAATTGCAACCATTTCTGCAAGGACATATGCTACAAGCTGACCGGCAAAAGGATTCCGAAATGGGTAAATCGACTGGCTAAACTAGGTGCGTTTTTCGTATGTTCTTTATCGAATCATTGTTACTTTACTGTAAGCGCCGGTCTCATATCCTCAACGTGCATATTTTTCCGAACTTTTAGGTTCAATCTTCAACTTTGTACTGCCCGAAGCACTTAAAATCACCGCAGTGCAGCACGACCCAAAATTCCAGGCGTTCGATGACAGCGATAAAAGGCGACTAAGAAGTACATTCAGCTGTCTATCCTCCATCTCGTCGAGGCAAAAGCAACTGTCGACTTCTTCTTTGTTGATACAATCTCCCCTCAAAGGATGCCTACCTCCATGGGAATTGAAAAGATCCGCCAACGGTTCGCTCAAAGAAAGGTAAGCGTAGTTGGGAATGAACGCTCTGTTGATGTTCTTGTTAGTATCAGATGCATCGCCGTCGTGCTGTGCTTGTATTTTGTCCGGCGACTGCTTCGTAAATACTGTGTGAGGGACTGATCTAGTTCATGGAAGTAGACGGGGCAACAAAGTTGTTATATATATTTATCGGTCATGATTATCTGAAAACGTCGAAACAGACTTTCAGCAAGAAACCCAATTCTTGTGTGTGCTGATAAGCGCCGACAGCAGTCCAGCGGAGGACACCAGCAATGGCGCCGACAGCCGGCCTCTGCCGTCTCTTATATCGGCCAACGCCATTAATCCGTCGGCCAAATCTTGGACGATGGACAGCCTTTTCATCGTCGTCGTCTTCCTCAATTTTCTCAGCTTCGCTTCCTCGTTGCCGCAGGCGATCCCGCGAAGCTTGGAAACCTCAATGGAGGACTTCAGGCATCTCTGGTCTTCGTCGATCTTCCTCAGCTCGATCATCTTCAACGCTATGCAGCCGAAGTAGCCGATGAATTCGAACCAGGCGCTGCACTTTTGCAGGGATAGCAAATAGCGTTTGTTAATCAATCCGGCTTTTCCCAACCACACGAACTGTTCGATAAAATAGTAAATTCCTTCGCCGCCGCCGGCGACGGCGGAGAGGGCGTGGCGCCGGTGGAAGTGGCCGGCGGCGAAATCGGTGGCGCGCAAGGCGTTCATGTTCTGAACGAATTTGCCCAAACGGAAGGCCTTCCGGCTGACTCCGACGCTCGATTCGAATGATTTGAGCCGGCCGGCGATCGGAAGGTCGCCGGCGAGAACGCCGGAGGAGAGGACGAACTTCGCGGCGTAGCGCGAGAGTTTCAGCAACTTATCTACGCCGTCGCGCTTGGCTAAGTAGAGTTCGAGGTGGGTCAGGAAATCCCTGTCCTTCGCCGTCGTCGATTTGTGAGGCTCCGGCCGATTTGCAGCGGCGGCGGCGGAAGCCATGGATAGGGGTTAGCGAGAAGGAAGGAGACGAAACGATAAAATGAATTTATCGAAGGGGCTGTGAGACTGTGACTACGAGTTGGAGGGAAATCGATGACTGGTCAGTTAGTGCAGCTCTGTTTGTCTAAACCAAGACATTATTAATTGACTAATGTTAAGATTGTCAGCAGTTCAAATCATTCTTACAACAAAATCATTCTCAAACACGATCGATGCCCAACAGATTAGTTTTTTGTTTTCTGTTTTTTTAAGAGTAGGAATAGAGATTAGAGAAATACTAGAATAAATGGTTTATTATTATTATTATTATTATTATTAATCAAAAGAACACCATGTTGACAGCAATATTGATTAATTGGATGGATCGATGATTGAGGAAGCAATACATGTGCAAGGATTGAGGCCCGCCCATGTACTGAGACACCATCAACATCAATATAGTTACGACACTTCCCCAGCATTTTATTAATTAATTTACAAAAACCAACAAAATATCTTCCATTTGATTAATACACATATATATATATATATTGTAAATGAAAAATCAAATCAAATCAAATCGTGTTCATTCCCAAATAATATTATCAAATTACTCGGAATTCTTTCCCTGTAAGAAATATGATACGGCCCATATGACATGACACATTTTGGTCCGCAAACAGCCGCCACTCTCAAAGAGCTCTGGTCTAAACTAAACAATTCGTTACTAATAAATAAATGCAGTCTTGTTAAAATATACACAATCAAATAAATAAATAAAATATTTATATGGAGTACATTTTCTGTCTGCCCTTTGTACTTAGAATCTGCAGCTGCTGCAGAAGATTTGCCTCAAACTCATAATTACCAAAATCAGTCGACTATCATTTCGACAAACTCCAATAAAAGAAAAACTTTAAGGAACTGTGCCAGAAGATGCCAATGAAGTCTTGTCTTTGAACGAGGTTGGATTGAATCCAATTCTTATTCCTGTAGACTACAATGGTGAATTAAAATCTAAATCTAGACCACTGTACAAGAAAGAAGAAGTTCCACTACTTTTGAAAATGGACCATTTCAATAACCTTAATAATGGCTAAAAGAAGAGAAGAGAAAAGGGAATGAAAGAAACCAACCAAGACAACAATTAATAAATTAATAATAACAGGAGGTTCTGATATACTTTATGTAACAGGCCCAAGTTTTTCATCTCTTCTCTACTAGTTTGGTACATACATTGGAGCTAATAATGTATCATCATCATCTATGGAGGCCTCGAGCTTCAACGACGATGATCGCGGGTGCTGCCATTGCCGAGGGTGAGCTCAAGATCATCACCTCCAACCTCATGGATCATCTCCCCTTCCCATGCCTTCACCGCCGCATTTTCGAATCCAGAATCGACACTTTTCCCTTTATCAACCATCACCACATCTTTGGGAGAAGAAGGCTTTACCTGTGTCATCAGATTAAACGTCGGCGAAGCCGGGACAGCATTGGCATTGGCAGCAGCAGCAGCAGCATTCATGGCATGGACTTGGAAGTTCAGCCACCTGCAAGAATCAACGGTGGATGAGTCTGACTCATCACATTCAGGTATAGTCGCCGGCGTGAAGCGATGATTGCGGATGGGGCTCGCCGGAGCAGAAGCAGCCATGAAAGGGAGGTTCAAAACAGACATGGATTCCTTGGCAAGCGCCTCCAGATTGAAGACCTGTTTAAGGACTCTATCTGGGGATGACATTGGCGGAGTGACAGGGGCGCTGTTTGAGATTCGGAGAGGCGGGAGAGCCGATGAAGGGACGCCATTGAAAAGGAAAGCAAAGTGGTGGGAAGAAGGATTGTTGGGATGATGATCATGGCGGTTGGGGCTGGGGAAGGAGGAGGAAGATGGACTTGGCTGATAGGAAGGAATGGGAGTTGCAAAGTAGGAAGATGGAGGGCTCGGATTCTTTGAAGAACTTGGTGTTATGTTGGCTGAAGTTCCCCCAATTTCCATGGGGCTTGGCTGGGAATCCTGCGTACCATTTGCACCATTAACCGATCATGGAAAGGTAGAAGATCAGATCCGCTAACAAATAATGATAATTAATTAAGAACCTTCAATTCAGTTCATGTTTGATCCCTTTCAAAAATCTCAAAGCCAAACAGATCTAAAGCCGAGAATTAAATTAGGAAGACAATGGAAATAGACCTTGCGATAAGTAGTGCCGTCCGGCTCGACGATCCAACCGGCTTCAGCGCAGAGGGCTTTGAGGACCTCATTATTGTCGCAGTGCTTGGGGAGATTGTAATTCCCCTGTGTTCTCAATCCGGAGTAAATCTTCGCGGCAACCGCTCTCCGGCGACGCTCTCTCCTCCTGTTGTTCTCCCTCTCTCTCCAGGACGGCTTCCTCCTTCCCGCCGCTCCTGCTCCACCTCCACCGCCAATGCCACCGCCACCGCTTCCTCCACCTCCACCGCCAATGCCACCGCCACCGCTTCCTCCTTCTGCAGGTGATGACGCTGCTGCTGATCCTCCAGGCTCCCACATCATTTCCTGCAAAGGTACTCTCTCTTTCTATCTCTCTCCTCTATTTCTCTCTCTGTTATTCACTGTAGAATCGTGTATATATATAGGGGGGTTGGGGTGTGGTGTGGTGCGTAGGTAATAGTAGCGGATATTGCGTTGCAGTGTCTGGAGTGCTCACGAGGATTTCGCTTCCATGCGAGCCAGCCAGCCAGCCTCGAACTTCACTTGGCACTCACTCTGCCGCTTGGGGTTTACTAATTCTGGAAGGAGGAGGAAGAAGGTGGAACGTACAACGCTCTCTCTCTCTCTCTGTTGTTTCTTTTTATTTAATTAATTAATTAATTTATTTCTCATATCATGATATCAGTAGTTATTTATGTTCTGTTCTGTTCTGTTTGCATCGATTAATGTGCATGCATCTCTTCTTCTGCCTGGGCCCCACCGACCGTTCCGCACCTGTCCAAAATAGCATACCAACAGGTTTTATGTATATTTCTTCTGCTACCTACGTATACATAATTTATTATTATTTTTTGCCGATTGAATTATTATAAGATTTAAACCCTTTTATTTTACTCTCGAAAGAAAGAGAAGAAAAGAAATATTAGCGATTGATTAATTAATCATCTCCCATCAAAGTTAGAGCCTCTTGATTTTGGGGTTTGAAGAAGCAAGAACAAGAACATGAAGATGAGAGGTTTCTTGGAAATCAATCTTTCTTGGCGTTGCTGAATCTAGAGCAAAAGGGGAAAGGAGGTTGGTTTTATTTACAATGTGGGTGGGGGGATTCTTCTTTGTGCTTCCTGGCAAGTAGAAGCAGTGATGGACCAGAGATGTCCACTCCATTATTGAACTGGTCGGAAGATTTGCTGTCCTGACACGTCTGCATTAGGAGGCCCCCCAACCCCATGAGGGAACTCTACTGAATTGAACTGAACTGAACTGAACTACCCTATCATCTATGGCCCTCATCTCCTCCTATCATCTACTACATAAACACACAGTTTCTTGCCCATTTCCATGCCACTGATGTGTTTTCTTGATTTTGAGGCATGTAAGACACCATTCATTGGGTTATCAAAGAGTGAGTTCCCTCTTTAAGTGGGGTTCCAATCTCACTTCAATTTGTTGGCATCATTATTCCCAAGAATCATGACATTAAATTATGCATGCAATTAGCAGCTTTGAAGGAGAAAAAGGGGTGAATCATTTGATATGAAGCACTAAGGAGGGGACATTAACTAAAAGGGATGTGATAAGTGACACTTGATCACCAACACACAACAGCCCATGTTATGACTACTGAATAGAAACAAAGCATACTGATGGGGTAAAGATGAACCAACAAAAGGTTTCAATTTCAAACATGGCTCACAATGCACATGCCAAAATAGAGCACAGAGTAATAATGCACAAATAGCCTGGAGGGTTTTTTTAGTTTACATCAACTTCTTTGATATTTGAATGCCCCCTCGATTTTTCGCTGCAGAAATCTGCAGATCGATGAGCATTGCAATGTACAGTGTTCTGAGTTTATATCAGTTTCAGTTTCAACCAAATTGGCAACTGACGATAAAAGCAGTGCTGCAAATCATTTGCAGCGAGGGAAGAAAGTCTGCCCGACATAACCGCCGGCCATTGCTCTCCTGACATTGGATTCAAACATTTTCGGGTTGTCTCTTAACACTGCAGCAGCATCATGGTTGAGAGGATCCTCATGATTTGGTTCCTGCGTTGAATGTTTTTTAGTGCATCATAAATCAATGCATTCATATCTTTGAACAAAGAGAGCGCAATATCAATACCGTGAAAAGGTGATACAGTCCATAAATGATGGTGTTTATGTTCAGCACCGGTTTCCAATCTTCTCGAAGAATGTTTAGGCAAACATTTCCTTCCAAGTCGATATTGGGATGGTAGACCTGTAACATACATCTCAACAGTAGGTGATACTCTTGATATCATGAAGAATGATGAGATTTCTGCAGTGCATTAATTGAAAAATGAGCTACTACACGAGTGCAAGTAATAGGCTTTCATTACCTTCGTCCTGCATTTAACCTTTGGCGCTTCATGAGGATAGACAGGAGAAATTTGGAATGTGAAAACAAATGTTCCACCCCTGAACACAATATGCTATATATCAACAGCTATGAAATAAATAAACCAATAGAGAAAAGGCCAATATGCGAGGCTACCCGATTGAGGGGAGTATTCGTTAATAAGTACTTACTGATAATAGCCTTCATCAGGGCTAATGGTAACTTCAAAGTTCATTAGGTCATCCTTTCCGTTGGGGAATCTTATGCTGCATGTTTTTGGCAAATTTAGCTCACTGATATCTGCGTCATCAGGTGTCCAACGAAAAAAGCAGTTAGCGTTAAGGTAATGGGATTGGTTAGATCCGAGGAACAAAGATAATGATGACAGAGATTGTAGCATGCTTAAAAACAATTCACAGATTTCTGTGGAAAATATTTGACATCACAGCAAGAAGATCTTCTTCATAGATTTGCCCAATAACATTGAACCCGTATCTCGTGCATGTCGTTAGTGGAAATAAAGGTAGAAAATGACCCTGGAAAGCATGCTGACAAAGCACAATTGTCACTTACGTGTTGCAAATGTGGAATGAAAAAAAGAACAATTTTGTCGATGATAATGTTCCACATGGACAGAATAATTACATGGAAAAAGAGTGATGAGAATTGGCATATTTAGCACATTATAATATTTAATATGATAAATTTGAGGGTGTAGTAAAACTAAAATGAAGAAAGGAACTACTCAACAATCTAAAGTCTTTTCTGAGCACCATATCATCAATGGAAATAAATACACATGGTAGAATGTAATTGCTTAAAATATGCAGACAGATTTGAGGAATATGGGTAGCTTTCCAGTTAAGTTTGTACTACTATACACACTGAGATCTTAAATGGAACAATGTGGGAAATAACCAGAAATAGAAACAAAGATGAAATCGTACAGATGGCTGCTCACAAATTATAATTGGTTAGTTTATCCATTTATCCAAATGAAACTGAAGGAAAAAATTTAGCTAGCACGGACTTGCATGAAAAAAGTTCAGAAATCCACTAATGGTTTGAAAAGATGTTTACATGCCATTACAGACCCCACCACCCCAACTACCACCAATTTTTTTGCTTATAGTTAAGGACTTTTACATTGAGAGTGTGTTTACTTTGTACAATGGTATTATAATCCATAATATTATTTTAATAGATTATATAATCATGAGAATAAATTAATATCAGGTTACTTGAGATAAATTGATACTATCCATCTAGGTAAGGTTTAATTATGATATATTATTATATCGGACTTTAATCAATTTCGGGTTTTAAGTTAAAGTAAACAAGTGGTTAGATGGTATATAAATAATACTATCCACCCTAATCACCCAAAGCAAAAACACCCTTAGAATACTATATCAGCAAGACAAGCCTTTCCACCCATGGAAACCTAGCCAAAAGTTCATCAACGTTTTACCCCATTTTTCCTCCATGCAGGAGTTCTGTAAAATCATTATGCATAAAAGAACACCAATTATAATGAAATGGGTAAAGAGGGCAATGCATTTGCTCAATTTGATATAGAAGAAACGTCTAAACACTATAAGAAACCTTTGTGAAGACGTAATTCTCCAGCACTCTGCTTCTTTCCAGCTGGCTTCCCGTTGGCACTCTCAGCCAATTCCCTCTGTTTTTCTTTCACTTTAAATAATCTAATCATGTTTCCTAAAATGAAGAAAAAAAGAAGAAAAAGAACCCATCAAATTACTTTAAAACACATACAGAGAGAGAAAATAATGGAAGCAGTATAGGAAATATCACAGCACCACCACACATACAGTGAACTGTAAACAGATCGATCACTCAATTAACATTAATTCCATTAATAAAAGTTCCATATGGAAGAATAAGATCACCTTTCATTCAAGTTAGCAACAACTTACACAAATATACAGATGGACACCTCCCTAAAAAGAAATACTCAATCTACTAACAAAATCAGTGAGAACAGCTAACACATTTAAAGATGGGAAAACACATTTTTGTGTCATTAATACATATGCAAAGCAATAAATAAGTTGAACCTAATAATATGTAACACGCGCACAAATTTTCAAAATCGAGCAGGAGCCCATGACAGCATATGCACATATGGTCTGTTTACACTGACTGCAACAATTTAATGTTGCAGTAAATCTTTCCAGACCAAGAGCATAAACAAAACAAAATAGAACACTCAACTTTAGGAGAAAGGATATGACTTTATAATAAAAAAATACAGAAGGCAACTCATGCTAATACAGTAAGAATTTATAATCCTATAAATTCTATTGAGAAGCATATATTAAACTTTATGAAAGAAGTGAAGATAATTGCCGAGCCAAACAAGAAATGACCTTAATCAAAATTCACAAAGGCCTATATAGCATAAAGCCTACCACATGTCTCGACTATTGCTTCCAAAGGCTAGAACTATTCATACATATGGCATAGCATATAACAAAGAGCTGGCAAAGAATTCTCAATCAGACACCGAAATGTTCTTTCCACTACAGAACATATATGGACTCATAGCTTTAGATGCACCAAGTCCATATACATACCAATCATCAATAAATCAGGATGTAGAAAAAAAACAAGAACCGAAGCCCAAAAATCAACAAGAACACCCGATTAATACCCAAGAGCTCACAGCCAAACCTCAAGGGCACAAAAACCTAACATACCAATCCACAATAAAGCAAACAAGGTGAAACAAAACTCCACCGCCCGCCCACGAGATTCACAAAATAACACAAAATTGATCCAGCACAGAAGGGGATGGAAAATACAAACAAAACAACAGAACACAAAACGCAGCAAGCAGTAAAAACGAAAATAATAATATCAATAAGAAGAAACAACAACAGATGTAAATCGCATAACAAGAAACTTAACGATCTATGCAATAACCTACGCGGCCTATTCACAGAAACTAAATCTAAACAGAAGCAGAGAACAAGACACACCACCCAGCCAAAAACCAAAACCAAAACCAAAAATATAGAAAAGTAGCAATCGGGACAGTGCCTGTTTGATGAAAAAAAGTCCCGCAAGGAAACAGCAAGCAAAGACAGCGTATGGGTTTGTGGGTTTCAGATTTCAGGGTATATATCACTCAGTCTTATCGAGAGAGAGAGAGAGAGAGAGAGAAATTATTGAAACAGAACACGCAGAATCTGAAAAAGGACAGTGAAAAGGCAACTTAATTTTTTTTCCTTATTATTTTAGATTTAATATTAATAATTGATTATTATGCTGCTGATGCCTTTTGATTTATTTATGCGACGAACAGTATTAATCCTACGTATTTATTTATTTACTTATTATTAAAATGACTACCTAAAATAATTGAGTGGCTATAATAGAATAGATCTAATCATTCAATTTTTCTATTTTTTTTACCATTTTTTAAAATAAAAAATGCTACTAATTTCTATTTATCTTAGAATCAGTAATTTCTATTTTTGAGATGAATCATAAGAAACACTACAGTAATTTTAAATTAAATTTAAATATAAATCTACATAATTTTTAAATTGAATATCTAAAATATTTCAATAATTATAATTGTTTAAGATGAATAATTATTCGGACTACTTAGCCTGCAATGTAGCATATCAAATATTTTAAGAAATGTATAAAAAAAAAAAAAAATCAAATAACATCGTAAAAATTGATTTACCTAAAGTTTTTGGTATGTCTAAAGAATAAAACAATATTAGCTATTTTAGTTACAATATATGAGATGTCACCATGTTTTAATTATGGTAGAAATATTGTTGATGCATAAGAATGAAAGGATAAATGTGATTATTGTAGTAATACTACAATAATTATTATTACCTTAGGTTATATTTTTCATGATAAACGTACAAGGTTCAATTTTTTCAAGCACTACTATATTTTGTTTTTTACCAAGGCTGGGTTGAATGGTAACTGAAAGTTGAAATTTTGAATAGTAATTGCTTACAACAACCTTTTAATCAATTTACTGTCATTAGTTGTCGATAAAATGGTCAATATTTTCATGAGAATTACCTTTTTACTTGCAAAATGGGAGTAAATAATGAAAATTAAAAAAAAAAAAAAGAAAAAAAAAAAAAAAAAAGAATAGGGAGAGTCAAAAAGAACAAGATCAATTTGTAACCTACTCAGTGAAAGAACTTCGCGTGACGCTAATTGAAATATTGTAAGAAATCTTTGCATGATCTTTTCATATATATAACAAATGGGAATTATAAACTAGTCGCATTATTTTAATTTAATTTAATTTTTGGCATCAGGTCAGTTTGGAAGAAGTGTTGCCTATGGGTCTGTACGGTCGCAACCACAGACTGTCACAATATTGCTTAACTTCCAAAGAAATAACAGAGGTATATCTGATTATAGTATTTTATGAAACATAATTTTATTTTTTTATGGAAATTAAGATCACGTAGCCACGGTCAAATTTAAGGTCGCAACACGTCCACAAGCGTGCTTTATTTAATTACAAAAAAAATAAAGAAAATTAGCAAGTGTGAAGAACCAAATTATCTTGTTTTCCTAATAAATAAAGGCTTCCCTGTTTTAACTTCGTTACAGCGATCGCTTAAATTGCAGTTTCTCACGATTTTGCAGAGTAGCCATGGCGGCTGAGTGGAGGAGGCCCTTCCTGTTCTTTGCCCTGTATTTCTTTTCAGGTGATGTTCTTGGGGTATATTTTTATTTTTATTTTTATTTCGATTGAGATTTTGGGTTTAATGTTTATGTTTGGATTTCTTTTCAGGGGTTTCGTGGAGGGTTTCAGCGACGATTTTCACGCTCCAAAACGGATGTAGTTTTACGATCTGGCCGGCGGTGACGTCCGGCAACAACGGGGAGGTTCTCGGTGGCGGCGGGTTTGCATTGGCGCCGGGGTCGGCGGTGGAGCTGCCGGCGACGGCGGGGTGGTCGGGGCGGTTTTGGGCGCGGACGGGGTGCGATTTTGACGGAAACGGAAATGGGAGCTGCACGACCGGCGATTGTGGAGGGAGGCTACAGTGCGCCGTCGGCGGAGCGCCGCCGGTGAGCCTGGTGGAGTTCACGATCGGGGACGGCGGCGAGGTGAAGGACTTCTACGACGTGAGCCTGGTGGATGGGTACAACGTGGGTTTGGGGGTCCGGGCGTCGGGGGGGTCAGGGGACTGTCAGTACGCGGGGTGCATGGCGGACGTGAACCGGAACTGCCCGGCGGAGCTGCAGGTGGTGGACGGCGACGGCGCGGTGGTGGCGTGCAAGAGCGCGTGCGAGGCGTTCGGGAAGGAGGAGTATTGCTGCACCGGCGAGTTCGCGTCGCCGGAGACATGCCCGCCGACGGACTACTCGCGCGTGTTCAAAACAGCCTGCCCGACGGCGTACAGTTACGCCTACGACGACCTGACCAGCACGTGCACTTGCACTGGTGCTGACTATGTTATTACATTCTGTCCTGCTGCTGACTCCTAATCTTGTTACTAAATTGGATTCTTGTTATTATTATTATTATTATTTGGATTTGGATTCGGATTCGAATTTTCAATCTCTTATTTGAATTGGGATTGCTCTAAATCGAAGTCAAATAACAAATCAATAAAATATCTCATTGCTAGCTCAAGCGTTACAATTTACAAGTTAGTTGTTGAATTTTAATTATTTTTGCTATATTTAGGGTAGAAGGCCTCGCAGAGCTGATGGTACCTTTGAACGTCGAAATTACGATTTTCCATAAGTTTTTTTTGCTTGACTTTAAATCTTCGCTGGAAATATCCTTCGAAGGAGGGCTCTTTGGAGGTCCTGAGGAAGAAAGCGTAGGCTATTGCGAAGTGGAGTGACGTGGCAAAGAAGCAAATGGGCTCCATTACATCCCAGCTCAGTTCCCAAAAGGTTAGCCTCATAAAGCCCAAAGTCTGAAGGCCCAAAAAGCCCAGCCCAAAGTATAGTTCTAACTGGACTTTGGACCGGGCCTCTTCGTCAATTAGGGCTTTCTCGCGCTGTAGGGTCTCCAGTTCTTGTTTTCTTGGATCTTCTGGGGTTGCTATCGAGTCGGTGATTAGTTTCTCCATTGATTTAGCAACCTATAAATAAATAAATACATAAATCGTGAAAATTATTATATTAATTTGACTCGGACTAAATTATGGAATTGAATTTCGAGTCAAGGGAAACGTGCCTGGTGTGGGCGGAGGAAAACGACGTTACCCAAAACGACGACGTTTCCGGATTCATCGAACGCCTTGGCGAATTGCAGAGCGGTTTCCGTATTCCCGCAGGCGTCGGCGCAGACGGCGACGAACTCATCGTACGGAATTGCGTTCGCCGGAATATTCCTCAGCCGTTCTCTAATCTCCTCCATCTTCACTAGCCTCAGCACTTTTTTCACATCCGCGGCGCCGATTCGAAACCCTACCTCCTTCGCCGGATTGAATACGTCAGGGCGGGGGCCGGACTGGTGGTCTCCGGCGTTGTTCATCGACTTGATCCTCTCCCTGAGACTTTCTCCGACGGGGAGTGAGAGGATGCCGGAGGGAAGTACAGAAGAGTGGTGGTTGATGGCGCGCCGCTGCAGGAAGCGGCGGAAGAAGCCGCCGCGTTGAAATTGCGATTTGGTGTCGGTAGATTGCGACGTCGGGGGATCGGTAGTCGCTGCGACGGTGGTGATCGGAGATGGAGAGTCCAATTTTGCGGGAAAAGAGAGGCGCTTGGAAAGTGCCCTGCGAAGCGCCATTATTGAAGGCAGGGTAGGGTTTGGAGCCAAATTATTGAAGCGAGGTGTACTTGGTGAAGGAGAAAGCGGGGGTGCCTATTTATAGGCATCAGATTTTAATATACTGTAAAATATTACTAGTATATAATCTAAGAAAAATGAATATAAACAGTTGGGAATAATTTAAGGCGAGGAATCTAAATCGAATCTGGAATCTTGCTGACGACCACTGGTAATAAACATGGAAATAAATATAGCATCTTTCAAATTATTTCATCCGTCGCACATTAAAATAGACAAAAGAGATTTTAGAATTAATATAATTAATAAATAATTATAATATAATACAAGTAATTATAAATTAGGATAAGTAATTTGTCTACCTAAGATTAATAAAATTTGTAGATGAGATAATTTAAAATATAATTAGAATGTATTTATTTTCTAAAAAAAAGAAAAAGAAATGAGATGTGTGATTATTTTCTATTTATTTTTAAATAAAAAAAGCTTTCAAATACTCATCGATCATTCAAATTTATACTCATTTTTTTTATTATTATAAAAGAAGAAAAAGTAATCATTATTATTTATTTTTCTAAAATACATGCTCGATCAAATGATTATACATTTGCATGACAGGAGGAAGTAACATTTTTCATATAATTCATAGTAAAAAATGGAGTATATTATATCTAATACCCCCTCCGTCCCACATACTATGTTTACGTTGCTGTTTCTATCTGTCCCACGTACCATGTCATTTTTTTTTTTTGAAAAATGATTATATACTTTAATCTCATTTTAAACTTTTTAAATTTTATTTTTTAAAAAATTTTAATTAAACTAATTAATTATCTTAATCTTAATTTATAATTATTTATATTATAGAATAATTATTTTCACTAATACATTCTTAATTATCTACTAATTACACCCCTCCTAAAATACAGTGTCTACAGTGTCGCAGACACGGTATGTGAGACGGAGATAGTAGTATTTATTTTTTATTTTAAATATTATATAAAATATTCATTTTTATACATAATTGTGTTTGCTTTTAGGTTGAGTTTTTTTAATTAGGTATGTGAAATATGTAGACTAACATGAAAAATATTATTTTATATTAATTTGTTGTCTTTTTTGTTAGTTAGTAGAATATATATTATATATATATATATTGTGTGAATAGGTATATATAATTTATTTTTTTAATAGTAATTTAAGTTAAATGTGTCAAAAATAATAAAAAAAAAAAATTGAAAATTTGTTGGGTAAATATGTCTATCATATCCCACACATACTTAATTGCTTCAAATGTCTAATTTTTATTATTTCTAATACTCTTGGAAACATAAATGAAATTTAAAAAAAAAGTTGGAATTTTTTAGACAGATCAAAACCACATCAAAACACAAGGAATATTATTGCTTGTGATTTATTTATATATATATATATATATATGTTTTTCCCACCTTTTCCTGAATTATGGGGAGAGATATCAGATATGCATAACAGTGGAATAATTAATGACATGCGAGAAATATTCTGAATTATTTGGAGAATTAATTCTGTCCCTTATATGTATATGTATATATGTAGCACCAACTTACCTGATGATGTCAGCATAATATATATATATATATATATATTCAGTGGCTGCTGATTCGACCTATAATTGAATGTTTCCATAGCCCTTGGATTAGGCTGATGATGATAAAGTTGTGATAAAGATTAAATCATTATTTTTCTAAAAATAAAATAAATAAATTCAATACATTATAAACTCTATCTAACAGATGCCCAAGGCAATACATAGGCATCTTCTGAGGAAAACAAACTTCACTCACGATAATTGAGAATCAAAGGGTTGACAATTTTGATCTTGTTTAATAATGAATATATATATTGTTTTATAAAATTAACATAAACGATGAAATGAATATTTGTGTTAGCTCAGCAACAGAATAGGATATGATCCCAGTTATTACATTTATTATTAATATATTTTAAAAAATGAGAATGGATGAGAATAATTATTATATATATATTGAGAATGAGAATGAGAATGAGAATGAGAATGAGAATGACGATAGGCAAGTGGTAGAATCAATAAATCCATTAGTGCATGGAATAATTCATATATATACATGTTGAGATATGGTAGAATATTTGATTTATCTATTAAATTATATTACTTGAATCTATATATATTCAATATATCTAGCAATTTTAGAAATTCTTCAAAATATAATACAATATCATAATTAAGAGCTGCATTTCTCTCAATATACTAAACTCATAATGCATCCGAAAACTTATTGAATCTAAGATTTGGTCGATGTTGGATTCCATTAGATTACTTACACTACACCCCATCCCCTCGATTCTCCTACTTTGATTCTCATCTCTCTCTCTCTCTCTCTCTCTCTCTCTCTCTAGATGTGTCTGTCTCTCTCTGAGACACAACCTAGTGGGATGTCTACCCACAAAAACATATGTGTATATATATTGTATGTCTATTTTTGTAGTAATCTTGAAATGACATATGGAATCACATGCACAGAGAGAAGGTAATACTAATTAATTAAGGGCATATATAGTGATGTCATTTAGGTTTAAGGGTATAGTTGATGATGATGATGATGATGATGATACAGAGTCCACTCTACTTTTATATAAACATATATAAATATATATATATATATATAAGCATATAATGGGACGACGTCGTTCCCACCGAAAACGACACGACTTCATTGTATTTCAATTAATTATGATCTTCCTGCTACAAATTCTAATTGGTGTGACGTGAATGTTTTTCTTTCTATAACTGTTGTTGTTGCAATAAACATAACTATTAGTTGTAATAATCATTATTACAAAGTAATGTTTTTTAAATAATTAAATATTATATATATACACACATATAAAGATGTGTGAATTAGTGCAATCCTATATAATGTTTCATTACTCGTAATCAGTAGTATTATTCGGTAATGGAATCATGAACAAGTTATCAAATGTGTCGATAATTACATATATAATATAATTATGTGTAATAATTAATTAAGTGGAGATGATGTAATATTAAATATTGTGTGTGGAAGATGATATATATCTATATTCTCTTTTTTTTTTTTTTTAATTATTTTTTATTCAAATCCCCAAATCTTCAAAGAGGAACAGTAAATTAGTGTACATAGCACTCAAATGCTTGGTGCACAAAATATACATATGAATATATATCAAATCATTCAATCAATTTAAAATGCATGCGTCACGGAATGTAGTACATTCCTAACAAATGTACAATGTTTATTTATTATGCTGTTAGTGAATTATTACCATTAACTTTATTTATTTTTTTTTTGGGTATATATGGTTAAGCCCATTGGACCATCAAGAGGCCCATATGATTGGGGGTTATGTATTTGAACGGCCCAAATTTGTATCAACGTCTAGGGCTCCAATACTGCGGCAAGTTGAAATCTATATATAGTGATTCCCCCAACCCTTTTGGAGAGCAGTTGTGTTTGCTAGGGTTCCTTATGGAAGTTCTTCATGCGGCAGATTTTGTGTGGCGATTTTGTATAGCTCTGTATTTTGGTTGCATTGTTGTTGTTTTTTGTTGTTCTACTTGTTGCGATGATTCACGCAAATTGGGGCGGGCTTTAACCGTGTTCGTATGACCCAAGTGTGGTTGGAATCGAATCGTCGCTACAGTAAGCCTCTGCCTTTGTCGAGATCCGATTTAGGGTTTCCGAAGCGATCAGGGGCGATCTCATATCCTATCGCCTTGTGGAGCGGTTTCCTGCAATTACCACTTGGGATTGGCCATGAGAATAACATTATTTCGCAATACTGTATTTTTTATTTTTTATTTTTATTCTTTTTAAATACATTGGGTGTTTTGATATTTTTTCTCTGGCTTTGTTTGCCTATGACGAAACCCTAGAAATATTACACCATCTTTCGGGGCTGAACAGCCTTCTTTCGAGGGCTCTGATGTATTTCTGCAATTCTGAGGCGATTGTCTTGGTTTTCCTTTTTTCTTATGATTTGATTCATGAGTGGTTTCTTGTAACATGATGTGATTTGGGAGTGAGCTATTGGAGCTGTTGCTTGTTTATTCCGATGGTATTTTCTTGTTGGCTTTGATGCGAAGCACAGCATATCAAATCAATAGCCCTTGAAATAAGCATCAGATGGCATCATTTTCCTTGGTTTTTTTTTTCTATTCCGTTTCATTCGCACATTCTGCTTCTGAACAATGATTTCTGTAGTTTGGTCAAGAGTTTGGATCATGATTTTTCCTCAAATGCATATATGGTAAATTTTTGGCCGAATTTGATTTCCTGCTAATTAGGTTAGAGAAATGTTTGCGCATATATGTGTTTGTTTTGGTTTGAAGCATGTGTCTTGTGTTTAATGAAAGGCCCAATCATGCGGCAGATAAAGATTTTTCATTCGTTGGAATGTATGATATAAAAGTTGGATTTTGTAAAAGATGTGGTCTGTGTTTGATTTCATATTTCTAAATAAATAATTATCCCTGTACATTTGTTGATAAACAAATCACATTATAAGTGTTCTGAATTTTACATCAAATCCGGCCTTGAATGTAGGTTGATTTTGTAATTGGAAATATTCGCTCAATGTACTATCATATGGGTTTTACAGCAAGTCACTTGTGTATACAGAAAGCTCCATTTTCCTGCAGTTTTGGACTCCAACGTGGAATTCCTAAGATTGTGTTCCAAGATGTTATCTGGAGTGATCTTTTTTTTTTCCATTAGGCTTTGTTTTGACCCTAATGGAGTATGGGGTTTTGTGAATGTAAACAATGATGGATCTTTTTTAACATTAGGCTTTGTTTTGTCCCCATTAGAATAAGGGGTTTTGTGAATGTAAATAATGGTTTTGCTTATTTTATTTGATTGATGTTGATATAATAAATCTTGAAATAAAAAATCGTGATTATACGTTTCTTTGTATACCCATATTAACCTGTGATCATTTTGTTTAAGCAGCAAATGTGTGCTAAATAGAAAATATAATTTATTTCGTTGACCATAGCTTTCTTTGTGGGCTCAATTTGTCTATGGGCTCAATATGTTTAAGCAGCAGATGTGAGGTAAATAGGCCCAGAGGGCCCTTTAGACTGAATGTAGAATTCCCCTTGAGGTCTCTGGAATTTGATAATTCCTGTATCTGTGTTTGCAATAATTGATTCACAGGCCATGACTTAAATGGAAGTTCAATTATTCGTACTCCGTGATATTAATAATCATATAAATTAATTAAATAAATAAATAAAATCGTCTTCGGCGGCTGCCTCACGTCCTTGACAATGTTGATGTTCAATACTTAAAAATACACGATATTTCACCATCATATGTTATCATTAATGCTGTCTTAATCTTTCATGTATTTGCCCAGTCTAGAATTCCCTTCGTCTGGCAATTGCTTTCTGCCTCAAAGAAACGGAATTCTCTCTGTTTTAACATGTGATATGTACTAATATACATTCATGTAAAATTATACCATGTCGAGATTTTGTATCGTAGAACTGACTTTTAGAGCTGCCAGCCTGGTGCCATTATACGTATTTACATTACAGATCTTCTGAAAATGCCAGCCCCTTCTCTTCGATCGACTTATTTGGAGGTATAATACAAGAATGTAATAAAATAAGAAACGGGTCAAACAATCATCGGAGCTTCGAACTGATCAGTTTCTTGCAATTGTCACTCATGTCTTCCTGATTAATTAGGGTTTTGTCTAATTGGAAATCCCTCTGATCTCCTAAGCTTCTTTTAACGTAGAAGTTGAGCAGAAGCAGGAGGACGAAGCTGTTGAGCAGCGTGTTGAAAAGCCAGGCCCCCATTCCATTGCAGCCGCCTTTCGAGAAATGGAGGACGAGGACTCCGATGTGCCAGGCCAAGGTTGTCACCGCCAGCATGATCCGGCAGGACACGACGAATAATGGGAAGGAGGACTTTTGTAAGATCCCGATTTCGGTGCAGTACCTGTAAGTGTAGACAAGGGCGAAGACGAGGGTCATGGACAGGATCGCCAGAACCTGGAAGGACTGCGAGAACTCGAGCCAGAGGAACGACATGACGATGAGGATGGAGTGGTTGAGCACCTGGAAGTGCGGAAACCTGTCGGGGCTTCCGAGGATGGCGAAGACTGTCCGGAAGATGTGGAGAAATCGGGAGAGGTAAAAAATGTAGGACCAGAAGAAAACCCTGCCGGAGGGGCGGGTGCCGAGCGGGAAGCAGAGGAGCCACTGGAAAGGGGTTTTCGACCGCCGCCAGAACCACCGTGTGTCGCGGATTTCCGCCACGGAGGACGACAGCATTCCGGCGAAGATCGTGGCGGAGAGGAGGGCCATAGCCAGGCTGTGAAGGGCGGGGACCGGCCCGAACCGGACCGGTTTAATCCGGCCCAGGAAGAGGAGGATTACACGCAGGACGCCGGCGACGGCGATGTAGGCGGAGATAGATGTGATGAGGAACGACCACGTGGCGCCCCATAATTGGGTGGGGCTCCACCGGAAGTAGACGACCGACGGATGCTCCGACAGCCAATAATTCAAGCCGTGTAAGAATTTTACCACTGCCATTTTGTTGTAAAGTGTCTTCCAAGTGAATAAATCTTCAACGTATATATATATATATAATATATATGTGGAAATTTCAAATAAATTAAATTAGATTGGTTCTTTGTACATATATACATATATGTATGCTTTGAAAAACGTTTGGAATGTCTGGAATTGAAAGTGGGGAAAATAATGCAATGGAAGCTTCAAAAGGATCTCTATTTTATCCGATTCATTACAAGACTTGTGCGCCTCAAGATTTTTTAATTTATTTAATAAATAAGTATTAGAGGTTAGTTAGTAGTATTATAATTGAATGTTTTCGTTTTACCATTCCACTTCACATTTTCAAATTGTAATGCTTGACTGAGGATATGAGTTGAGTTGAGTTGGGACTAGACTTATTACAATTTTATTTATATTTTTGGTTCTACAAGCAATTTTCTTTTGATTTTTTCTAGAATGTTTTTGTACGCTTAGTTTAATCCATATTTTTAGCATTTGGCCAAAACGGTCAACGGTGTTAATTTTCAACGCAATGATCCAATAAAATGCTGCCACGTGTTGTGGAGCCCAACGTTATAAATTTAAATTGCAATATTGATCGGACAAACACGATGAAAATTTTGGAAGCATTTGAATTCATGATCTTGGAGTACAGACAAAGCGGCTCTCTACAAAAACCTTGTCTTCTCTTCCAATGATAAATATTTTGTAAGACAAACTTTTTTTTTTTTTTTTTTTTATATATAAGCACATAATCTATAGTTGAATACATTTCAATTGACATTTTTCGATAAAAACAACAAACAAATTTTGAAATTATTGATTTTTATCTTATAACCTCATAGTCATAACATAAGACTATTTCTTGGCTCCAAATCATCTTTTACTGGACAATTAATGACATTTAATAACAGATATAATTTCAATATTGTCAAAATTAAATAATAAAAGATTTAATAATTAGTTTTAGACGACTAGTTTTCACAAAATAAAAAAAAAGAACGAAACAAAAACTTCCAACCATCCGTTTTAAGTTTATTCTCATCTAACGGTCAGTAATTAATTTCAGTATTCACGCCCATATAAGTCATTATTTACACAAAAATACAGTCTATTTTCCTTTTCCAAGAGGAAGCAGATACGACGTTACTTCACTCCCTGCTCGGAACCTTCCTTTCGAGTCTTCTTAAATCCTATTGACCTATAATTTTACCGCGTTCGCTATTTTCTGCTTCTCCATCATTCGGCTTCATTCGATCCTTTACTGGCGCGCCTTGGCTAGAATCTAGAGGTACGCTCTGTCTTTGTCTCCGTCTACTTTATATTTCTATGATTCCTTACTGGTTTACTTGATTTTTCTTGTTCTTGTTTTCAAGAAGTTGTTTTGGGCTATTTAATTTGTTTATAAATCGGGTCAAATTGGAGTACTATAAACTTCGTTTGTTTTTAGAATTGATTGCTCTGGACATTTGGTGGTTAATTATTTTGACTATGATCATAAAGAATAAGTTGGATCAGTCAAATTCGGTTGGTCTGCCTTTAGGGTTTTAGGACTTGAATGATCGGCTTTGAACTTTCTAGTTGAATGAAGGGATAATTCTAAAATTTTGTATTTGTTCTCGGAAAATCATTACTTTTGTCCTTGTGGAGATTCTTGTTCTTTGATAAATTTGAGTTATTTTGTCAGGGTGAGTTTGTTTCGGGTTTTGGATTTTGAGTTAGGATTTGAACAGTGAAAATTTTGAATTTGAATAGTTGTATGATGTGATATAAATAGGTGTTGATGTGGTGTTTTGAATGCAAAATTGATTTTTAGCTTAATATAAAAAATGAAAAAAAAAAAGTGTTTGATTTGATATTTTTGGGGGAAAAAATAGGATAAATAGTGGAAATCTAATAAATCCCCCAAACAAACACACCCTTAATATATATATCATTCTAGCTGGCTGATCGGTTCTTGTTTTGCATTTTATTTCATCTTTTCATTGATCAGTAATGCAAATTTTCTTGTAAGGTTTCAGAATGGCTAGTGGATTCGGGGAATCAGCCAGCAGGCAGCCCCCAAGTCCTTCTTGCTCAAGAAGCAACAATAACAATGGTGAAGCCGGAGATTTTGAGTGTAATATATGCTTTGAATTGGCGCAAGATCCTATCGTTACACTCTGTGGCCATCTCTTCTGTTGGCCTTGCCTTTACAAATGGCTCCATGGTCACTCTCGTTCCCAGGAATGCCCTGTATGTAAGGCTCTTATCGAAGAGGAAAAATTAGTTCCTTTATATGGCCGGGGAAAGAATTCAACAGACCCTCGCTCTAGGTCCATTCCAGGCATGGAAATTCCTCATCGCCCTACTGGACAGAGACCTGAGACAGCTCCTCCGCCAGATCCAAACGCTAATGCTTTTGCACAGCAAGGGTATGGATTCATGGGTGGATTTGCTCCCTTTGGGGGTGGTTTTACACCTATGGGTACTGCTAGGTTTGGGAACTTTACACTGTCCACAGCACTCGGGGGACTTTTTCCGTCATTCTTTAACATTCAAGTGCATGGATTTCACGATCCTAACATGTATGGACCTGGCCCTGGTACTGGTTTTCACTATGGTTATCCTAACACATTCCATGGCGGCCATGTTCATGGATACCGTCCACGTGGAAATCAGCAGCAGCAGGCTGATTCTACCCTTAAGTTCCTCCTACTGATAATTGCTCTTAGTGCAATTCTCACGGTGATTTGGAGTTAAACTTCAGTTGGAGCTCAAATTTTCGGCAGTGATTATACTACATGGCTCTTTGAGGGTATATTTTTAATGCACTAATTGCATGTTTACTCTCTGATGTTTATTTGCCTCCTTTGTTGGGTTGAGACTGTTTTTATGTTAAATGATCTGTAATTGCTGGTATTGTTTTTAATCTTTTTAGTACACTAGAATCAGAGTTCTTAGTCTATCCCATGAGTATCGATGTATTAGCAATGTGTACAAAATACTAATAATTTCTGCCGTTTGTGTTTTTATTACATGTTCTTCTTATGAAGGATGAATCTTACAGTGTTATGGTCACTGCTCCATAGACATTTTTTCGACAGTGTTTTAGATATATAGTTGGATTGAAATGGGGCTTATTCTGAATTGGGAAAGGTTGATTCTTGTTCATTATCTTGTATGTTTTACATTTGGGGCGTTTGGATGATTGTGTGAGTTTGCTTTTGCATTCTATTAGGCATCGAACTTATCCATTTTCATCTATGCAACTACTTGATGAATATTGTGAGACTTCTGTGGCATCATTTTAAATATTTAGGCAAGCCTGCAGTATTGCATTTTTGTCCATGTTCTTGCAGATTTGTTTGAATTATTTATTGCAACTTGGCCCACATAATTTAATGGCTGAATTCTGGTTGGATGGTGGCACATGTTCATCTCAGTCTTCGTATGCAGTGTACTGAGTGATTTATTTTATTTCATTTTCTATTTTTTTGTTAACCTGTCTTGACTGCATTTCTGTTCTGATACATGAAATTTATTTCTCGGTGTATTTATGTACTGGATAATTTATTTATTTAGCAAAAACTTCTTGGTCATTCATAAATGAAGTACGACTATGGAATGATTTTGATATAGACGCGTTGCTATCGTTCACTGCATCCTTTCGACATCGACCATATTAATTTGAATTTGGATAATCTATTTGTTTTGAAAAAATGTTGATTTTAAATATGTGGGACCAAAATTGGCAATTATACGTGCAGAAGTTTCTTCGACACTTCTTCAGCTTCATGCCACTCTGGCTTTGCTGTACTAATATTTAACCTCGAAAAAAGTTTATATATAAAAAACATGGTCCACATGAAATATGGAAACATGACGTCATATAAAAAAGCTAACAACTCATTGCTGCCATGCAAATTCTTTGATATTTTTCATAAGCTGTACCCCATTTTCATTTGCATGCACTTCTGTTCTTTCAATTTTATTTATTTATTTTTGTCTATTATTGAGTCCTTTAAAAAAGACCCCATTTCATAAAAAGGCAAAAAACATGCTAAATTCAAGTTTTCAATATTGAATATTCCATATATGTGTGTAAGTATGAAACTAAATAAATTCTCACTTGACGTCCAATCCAATGCCTCCCCACCCCACCCCACCCCACCCCACCCCCCATTTGAGTATTAAATCTCAGTTCCTCACTCGTTCCAAAATCTTGAGGACAAATTAATCCCCATGAAGCAAGAACAACTGCTGCTCCTGTTCATCCCTTTCTTTCTCATAATCCCAACTTCTTGTCTTGCACGAAATTACGACGATGTCGGAATCTTGATCGAGAACAAAAAATTCCGACAGGCCCCGGAATTCTACAATTCCCAAGAATGCCCTCGGGTTTTACCAAATTCTTTCGTTTGTTCCGGCGAGGTTGTCCATGTGGCAATGACGCTCGACGGCGCGTACCTCCGGGGATCCATGGCGGCGATTCTGTCGATCCTCCAGCACACCTCGTGTCCGCAGAATGTCTTTTTTCATTTCGTCGTCTCCGCGTCTGTCGACGCGTCGCTCCTACGCGCCTCCGTGGCCGCCTCCTTCCCGTACCTGAAATTCGGGGTTTACAAGTTCGATGACTCCGCCGTCGCCCGGCTCATCTCCACCTCCATCCGCTCCGCCCTCGACTGCCCGCTGAACTACGCCCGGAGCTACCTGGCGAGCCTCCTGCCGCCGTGCGTCCGCCGCGTGGTGTACCTCGACTCCGATCTAATCCTCGTCGACGACATTGCGAAGCTCGCCGCCACTCCCCTCGCCGGCGAGACCGTCCTCGCCGCGCCGGAGTACTGCACCGCCGATTTCGCCGCCTACTTCACCCCGACGTTCTGGTCCAGCCCTTCCCTCTCGGCGACGTTCGCCGACCGGAAAGCTTGCTACTTCAACACCGGCGTGATGGTCATCGATCTGCAGCGGTGGCGGGCGGGGGACTACACGACGAAGATCGAAGAATGGATGGAGTTGCAGAAGAGAATGAGGATCTACGAATTAGGATCCCTGCCGCCGTTCCTGCTGGTGTTCGCCGGCCGCATATCGCCGGTGGATCACCGGTGGAATCAGCACGGTTTGGGAGGAGATAATTTCCGGGGACTTTGCCGGAATCTGCATCCGGGGCCGGTGAGTCTGCTGCACTGGAGCGGCAAAGGGAAGCCATGGGCGCGGCTCGACGCCGGAAATCCGTGCCCGTTGGATACACTTTGGGCGCCATTCGATCTTTCGAAGCTTCAGTATTCCATTGATTCTTGAAACTGATCATAAATGCAGACCTGACCGCCATTGTTGGAACACAAAAGCAACCTTTTTTTTTTTGTACCTGGATTTCTTGAATCAGGGGTAAATGATATAATCATCATCGAATTGTAAATACCCTTTTTACAGCAGTTTCTATTGAAGAAGGGATTTTCGTTTTTGATCCAATTTTGTCTACCCTAATTGCAATTTTTGAGGTTCCAGTTTTCGTTAATATTAAGGTGAGGTAAGAATTAAAATTAATTAATTTACTTGTGGTATATAATATAAAACTCATATGGTTAATCAGATAGCTCAATTAACCCCACATATATCATTTACTAAGACATAAATAGACAAATTTGAGCTAGAGATTACAAGACAAAATGCAGAAGAATATATGCATGATGGTTGTTTATTAGTAGTATATTAGTTGAGGAATAAAGTAGGGCTGGTACCAAGTCATAGTACAACCTGTCCATGTTATATGAAATCTTTTTTCAAATAAATATTTCTCACTTATATCTTTGTTACTTAGCTTACACCCATAGATGAACATTAATAGTTCAACCCTAATATATTACTAGTGCTTCATCATGCTTGATAAAAGCTCTTTAGTTATATGTATATATAGTAATGATTGCATGCCCTAATTCCTAAGTTTTATTAATATATAACAAGTTGATTCCACCAAAATGAATTATTAAGTCTTCACATTTGAAAAAAAAAAAAAAAAAGAAAAGAAAAGGAAGCTAATGATTTAAATAATGTTGACCAATATCCATAAGATTTTTGAAGATCTTGGTTATATTTCTTTAATGAAATAATGGCAGAGAGGTTTGTCTTAGTTAGCTAATTAAATCTCTGATTAGCAACCCAAATTATTACATGTACATTATTAAACAGCTAAATACCAGTTGACCAAAGACTTCCGACAACTATTATTTTTATTATTATTATTATGGGCTTTCCACCAGCAATACAAGGAGGCCCAAGCCCAATATTATTTAAACGTGTAACAATTGAACTGAGTACCTACTAGATTTGATGTGGATTTTTTTAGCCTAGAAAAATTGTGGCTTCTTGTATTGTTGTGACTTATGTATAAATTCTTTTGCAGTATTCAGACTTTAAAATTAGAATAGTACATGTTTGTTTCTCATAAATATCACATTCACCCATATTAAAAAATATTTAAACAAAATTTGATGACTGGGTAGCCGGATTTTTATTGACCCTCTTGGTTCGAATCGGGTTAAAAAGGTTATATAAGATCCACCATCCACTAGGATTATTATTATTTTAAAATTTTAGGAGCTTGCACTATAAAGTAAAGAAAGTTTGGATGGACATGAGCGAAGAATTTTGGTTGCGTGAATCCCTACAAAAAGGATCTTTGTCTAATAATCCACTATCCATTTCCAGGTAATAAGTAATAGTGTAGTAATAGTAACCAGAGGCAAGAGTGAGTGTTGACCCATTCAATTCAATTAGGAATACAAGAAAGAAAGTTGCCCTCTCATTTTCCCAAATCACATCAAATCAAATCAAATCCATGCATTGACTGCCGTTTACTCAACTAATCTAATTCTAATCCATACAATACAATAACATCATACCATAAATGTCGTTTGTTTCTTGTCCCAATTCCAACAACTAAAGACAGCCATGTAACATTCAATGGAAGATCAATATCTATATAACCCTGCAACTGAAAGTGAAGAAACATACAGACCTCCACCATGGCTTGGATCTTTCTCCTCCTCCTGCTAATTCCCATTTCTTCTGTCGTCTCGCAGCAAAACTACACTCCAAATTCATGCACAACCCACGAAGAAAAAACACTCTACACGTGCAACGGCCATCATCCATCCTGCAAAGCTTTCCTGATGTTCACAGCAAAGACTCCCTACACCACTCTTCCCGCCATTGCAGCTCTTACGTCCTCGCCACAGTTCCAGATTATGGAAACCAACGGCATAAGAACCAGCCCAGCCTTTCCCGACGATCAAGAAATCGTTGTTCCAGTGAACTGTTCTTGTTCAGGGGAATACTATCAGGCCAATACCACTTACCACATCCGAGACGATTCCGAAACATACTCATCTCTAGCACTCAACACGTTCCAGGGATTATCGACCTGTGATGCCCTGAGACATTCAAACGTTAATAAGTCCGAGTACAATTTGCACCGCGGCGATGAGCTTAGCATTCCCCTACGATGCGCGTGTCCGACAAGGGAACAAGCTGCGTCGGGAACTAAGTTCTTGTTGACTTACCCAATCGGCGTTGGCGACACTCTCTATACGCTGAGTAAACAGTTCAACGTAAGCATGGAGACCGTAAAAGAAGCCAACAATCTCCTCGACGAGTATTCAATAATATATCCTTTCACGACACTCCTATTTCCCCTGTCGCACGAACCGTCACGATCACAGATAGTGAACCGGGGGCATCACATCGCTCGATCGACCTTACCTGCTACTTCAGCTGTTGGGAAAAACAAAACTTACAAACTTATTTTGGTCGCTGGCGGAGCTGCCGGAGCATTCTCTCTCGCTGTCCTTCTCTTCCTAGTCTTCGTATTTCTGCATCGCAAGAGAAATTCGAAGTTCACGTCTCCCGAACAAGGCTTGACTCTAGAGATTGCGAAACTTGACAGTAAACTGCACAGATTCGAATTCTATGAAGTAAAAAAGGCAACGGGCGATTTCACGAGCAGAAACAGAATAAACAACAGCGTGTACCGTGGGACGTTCAGAGGAGAAGCTGTGGCAGTGAAGAAGAGAAATCGAAACGCAGATAATGAGGTGAAGATGCTGCATCAGATTTATCACTTCAACATAGTGAAACTTCACGGCTTCTGCGAGCACAGGGATGAACTATACCTCATCTACGAGTACGTTGAAAATGGTACTCTTCAGGAATGGCTTGCCGGAACAAGATCTGAATCCCAAAAGAGCTGGAACCAACTGATTCGTATTGCGCTAGATGTGGCCAACGGGCTTCTCTATCTCCACAAATTCACAAACCCTGTGCGCATGCACAACAACTTAAGCACCAGAAACATTCTCCTCGATGGCAAACTGCGAGCAAAGATTGCAAAGTTCAGCCTTGCAAGAACATCAAACACCAGTTTCATATCAAGGGTAGTGGGGACTAAAGGCTACATTGCACCTGAGTGTCTTGATGCCGGTCCGGTAACTCCCAAGGTTGACATATTCGCCTTTGGAGTAGTATTGCTTGAATTGATAACCGGCAAAGGGCCAATATTCAAGCAGGATGGCAGGGAAAGACTACTCTCGGCTTCGGTAGCTGCTCTCATGGAAAGACAGAGTGCTGAGATTGAGCTGACCTGTTTCATTGAGCCGCGCCTCGCTGAAAATGGAGGAATGGAGTATGCCATCCAAATTGCCAAGCTAAGCTTAAGCTGCTCGGCACAGGATCCAGCAGAAAGACCAGACATGGTTGACGTCGTCTCGATTCTTCAGAAACTGCAGTTCAATATACAGAAAGCGAAATACACAGCTAACAAAGCTATGAGCATAGAAACTGGACCTACTTTCAGCTCTTCATCAGTACTTTCATCGATCTAATGACTTCATGCCGGAAAGTAAACATTGCTTCTTTAAACAAACTATCCGAACACAAAAAAATAGAGAATTCAATATGAATTTCATTATTTTTTCTGTTTTTTGCCAGTCAAGGACTTCAATATACGGTGGCTACATTCGATTCCCTAACCTGTTCTGGAGCTGGACAAATCCTTCTTCCTTTTTTTCTTTTAAACCGACATGTATTTCCTATGGAATGATGATCTTAACACTAATACATGAGAGAAGCCAATATATAATTTGGTAAGAAGTAAAGAAGCAAGCAATACATTCTTTAAACTCGGATACGAATTCAGAACGGAAAGTTTCCTGTCTCCCGCATATGATCCAGGGTCCTCTGTAACCCATACTTGAGCACTGCTTGATTACCAGCCCTAAAACCATCTCCATATACTACAGATGTATCTGAGGCAATCTGGTGTTTGAAGAAAACACTAAGCTTCTTCTCCAATGGAGATCTAGGCTGTTGTCTTGATGATGGAAAGGCCGGGGAAGAAGAGGTTGATGCATAGTCACTATCAGACATGTTTAGAATTTGTGATTCCAACCACATGCTAGCCATGACCTGACAGATGCCTTCTTCGACATCTTGTCTAAGAGTTCGGAAGCCTTTTAATAAAAGATAATAATGTCAGGCACAAAATATAAACAAAAGGAGAAAAATAAAACTTTAGAATTGGTAAAGGTAGAGTAAGCACCGTTCAGTCGAAGCCAAGCATGCATCATTTCATGAGCCAATATGGAACCAGTCAGTAACCTGAATGTATTAATCAAGTAATCGGGGAATTACTAAGCGGTGATTTAAATCGACTTATAATAAGCCAAAACATTAAAATTTTTATTACCTTGGTAGACCGTACAAGATGAGGATTGCTGTCACTTCGCAATGACGAGTTAGTCTATAAGGCTCTGTTCTCATTCCTGCAGCTCGATTTCTTCCTCCTGCCCTTGGTCGCCGCAATACCTGGTGATGATCCAAATAGTAATCAAGCCACAAGCATGTGACTTTCAAAGTTTGCATTTCACAATAAAGAAGATGAAAAATTTATAAATGGTAATGGAAGCACTCACAGTGCTGATTGTTTGTTCCTCGGAAAGACAGAGACCTCGAGTTTCTGGCATGTGATGATGCCCCTGGGAAGAAAAGAAAGATGTCCAAAGTACATACAGTCAGCAGACAATTTCGGGTTTTCTTTCTCAAGCGACTACATGAAGCATTTCTTACGTGTCTCTCTCCATCCATTGCCTCATTCAGTGCCTGTCTCTCGACCAAAAGTAGGGGGATTTGCTGCGTCACTTTCATGTTCAATCCTTCATAGAACTCTTGGATGTCAACAAAAAGGGGCTGACATTCATCAGTGTCCATAATTGCTGTGTCAAGGCACTCCAAGCAGAGCTTTCGACCATCATTAAGTGAAGCATATCTTGAATCCCATGACTACATCAAGATAAATATTTATATCAATAATCCAGGACAAAATAAAACGGTGTGTTTAATTTCTCTAGAAATAAAAACAAGACAGGTTAAACCTACTTCCATTCGCTCACAACTACAGCATCGAGGAGTTCCGTCGTGCTCATGGCACGGACAATATTTCTGTGCCCAAAAAGGGTGTTGCCTATACTCAATCAGACCAGCAGCGTTCATTGGAATCTGCAGGCATAGGCAAAACAAAACTTAGAACTTAGCAGAGAACAAACTAGCAAAGGTCACTCGTATCAAGCAGAACGAAATTCTGGTATGAGGTACTTACAAAGTGATTGCAGATGTCACATTTTGGATGGTATGATTCTCTGTAGCAAGACCTATGATAAGGATAGCTCCCGGACATCGAAAACTGCAGCAATACCCCATTTTTATATCAGTATATATATGTAGTTGTAATAAAAAATCCAATAAATACCAATCTTACCTCGTGATCAGATATTGGATTGCCACATCCATGGCATCTAAAACATTCAGGATGCCAGAAACCATTCATACAGCTCAAAAATCTCCCATGGCCAATCTCTGTGTTGCAACCAGAACAAAGCCTACAATGGCGGATGGAATGACATTGATGAATAAAAAAGTATGGGAAGTATTAATGGAAATGAAGGAAATGTGGAGACAATGACAGACTGTCACTAGCTACTATCAAACAATTTTAGTTTATTTGGGCCTCATTTTCGCCGGAAAGCTATCAAATTTGAAACTCATGACTGTACGTAGAACCCAATCCAAGACCTCATTCTCATGCACAAAGTTAAGCAATCACTGGAATTTAAGACCCAAATTTTGTTTACCTGAAGGTTGTATAATAGGGATAAGGTACGGGCTGGTAAAGAGCATCGTTTCCATATCCAGGAACATATCCGTTTCCATACACATTTCCAGCACCAGCGTCGCTACGACCTTCTGGCTCTGGTGGAGGCTCGATATTCAACCTCTCCTGTAGAGCCCTAGCAATCCGTTCATCTTCTTCCAATTGTTGTTCACTATCTGTTGCAATACAAAATTATATGCTTTAGTAAACTAATAAATTGCATAACAGTATGGATCAAGAAAATCACCCGTTTTTTTGTGAAGAAAGGAACAATTATATATAAGTGAATAAATACTAATTAAATTGTCGAAACAACGAAGCCAGAGATGATGCACTCACCAACAGCAGCATTTCTTCTTTGTTCTTCCTCTGCAAGAGATAATGCAATAGCATGGTCTATATCTTCATTCTCCGACACTGAATCCTATATCAATGTTTACCAAAAACAGCTCTTCAGTCAATGAAAATGAATATCATAGTCAACTAATAACTTCGCATTTGCATGATCAGGAGCACATACTCACCCATGAAGTATTAGATGGAGGATTCTCTGTTGCACTTGTATCGTCCCCATATCTCCAGTCATACCGCCCCTCCGAAAGTCTATGGTTTGAGCCCTTGAAAATCTTGCTAAACCAACTCATAGGCGAATTATTGTTGCTGCATTGCTGGGGAAGCCTTAATTTGGGTGAGACTTGTGGCTAAACAAAGAAAACATTTTGTAAGACATGGGGAAGGAACGGATGCAAGCTTGCATCATCGAAGATGAGCGAATGCACTAATCCTTTCGATAGTAAAAGCCGATAGAGATCATGATATTCCTTCCACAGAAAAATCACCAACTGGATATCCAAGCTAGATTCTCAAAGATTTTAGTTTTATGGAATCATATTATGTGGTGCTGATGGATTACAAAACAAAATGAAACAATTATCTAGCCTATTCGACGAACCAAGCACCTCCCTTCCATATTAGAAGCTACACTATTTGGAAAGCAGAAAATACAGAACAATGGGAAACCAAATACACTCAATTATCCAAATAGTTTGAATAGAATTTAGGAAAAGATCACAGAACATAATCTAACAACACCAATTCACAAATGCTTGAATTACCAACAGCAAAAATTCTCATAAACCCTTGCCACGAAAGCATAGCCCATTTGCAGCCAAAATTTCATACAACATTCAAAAGAACAATCGATCAATGTCCGGTCTGAATTCAAGAGAAACAGACAAGCTTTGATTTCCAACTAAAGAATGAAACTAACATCATACATTGGACTTTTTCCTCACCTAATTGCAGACCCCGGAATCAGCGGCGATGGTGGTAGCCGAAAAAGCACTCAGATCAAGAAAAGAATAATTTTGTAGAAAAGCAACGTCGCCAAGAAATGCCTCGGAGAACAACAACCCCCAACGCTTTCAATTCAAGGCTGAGCCTTTTGAAGAAAAAAAAAATTGAAAAAAAAGGGGGAAAAAGAAAATCACACCTTTTTTTTCGTGGGGGTTAAAAAAATCGATAGAAATCAAGAATCTTTCTCTCTTCCTCGAAACAAAAGCTATATACAGTGCTCCCAGACGATGGATTGATGCCGATAAATGAATATTACCCCCACCAAGAAACCAAAAACAAAATCCTGTGGGGGAACAGGGAAGTAATTGGGGCTCTCAACACATAAACATTAAAGATTCCCAAAGTCAATGACACAAATATATTCCTTTATTGCTGAATTAAACCCCAAAAACGTTTGACTCAAGAAACATCAAACGCAGTTGGGATGTTTTCTTGAATGGGAACGGGCCACACGTACAACAATATATATATATCACGTGGGTCTGCTTTGCCTTTTCTCCTTTCTTTCCTTCGTAAAAAAGTACACGCCAAAAGCTTTCGTCAAGGGAAGACCATAAAAACACGGGAAAATAAAAAAATTTGGGAAATAAAAATCTGATCTTTAATTAAATCTATCATCTGAATTTAAAGGATTATCAATATGAGAATATATTAGTAGGTCGTAAGCTGATTCACAATGTTAAAATAGTAATAAATTGAAGCCTTTATATATTACAACAAATTATTGAAACGTATATATTCAAAATCTTACAGATATAATAAATTAATATTCACAGCACATAACCAAGAAATGCAAAATATGAACAAAAAAGCACCCTTCTTTCTCTTTATTTATTTATTATTATTATTATTTTTTTAATACTTGGGTGAAAGTTAAATAATTCAGAACCAAACAGCCACTCTTTTTTCATTATGGTGCCTCTTTAATTATGGCATTGTAGACTATATGAAAAGATTGTATCCTCATTTGATTTGCAATAATTAGTACGTTATCTCAAAGTTAATCCAATTTGTGAGATGCTGGAATTATAAATCCATCTTAGTTTAAACTTTATATACTAATTATTAATTAATATTCCTATTGGGCCAAGGCTGTTGGGCCATATGGATTATGATTATTGGGCCTGGCTCTGGCCCATCGGCCCATTGAATATTGTCATATAAACGATAAAATATGATAATAAAATAAAACAGACGAGTGTAATCACATGTGTTGTTGTTCGATTGGTCCCTTTCATATTCCAATATTATGAAAATGATTTATTATTGAGAATTTGAAATGAAGATACGTAAAAGGTTTTTATTTTGAATATTTGGCGTGCCATCGGATATGTTATAAGTCGAAGTTTGTAATAATGATGGCAATACTAATTTATTTAATTATTTATTTTTCGAATGTTTAATAATTGTGCAGAATGTGTATTTAAAAAAAGTTCATGCGACCAAATGAATTAAAATTTTGTCACCATGCCTATGTCCATATTAATACACTGCTTTCTCTGATTCCTTTTTGATGCAATAATTTTAAAAGTGGCCAAGATTAATGGAGACAATACAAATTTCCATATTTTAAATAATAATCATAATTGCAGCCAGTTTTCTTACCTCTTCAATATAAGAAAATTAATATTTTTCGTAAAAAAGAGAGTAGATAATTAATCAATTATTTGTTTATTTATGTTTTGAGAGTCTATGAAAAAAAAAAAAAAAAAACTAAGCTATTTTTTCAATGGAGTCAATATTTATATATCTTTAATTACAATTTACAAACCAATGTCATGAATAATGTATATTATTGCTAATGTGATACAATCGTCATGGAAATTTGAAGCAATTAGAATAATTGAAGTTGTTACAATATATAAAGACAACATATATATATATATATATTTTAATTAATTGTCAAAAAAACCATATTCCATACTTATTTTGTATAACGATTGAGGTTGTTTGTTTTCAAACAATTTGTACTGGAATTTCTCTCTTGGTAGTGTATGAGACATGCAGGCTTACATGGGGGTTGGATAATTACTATGACAAGTTACTCAACTTTCAGATAATCCAAAGCTTTTTGGAGTTTGTTTGGTTTCCTTGAGTTTAAAATTTTTATTTGAATTTTGTTTATATAATATTTTGTAAATATATATATATATATTAATTAAAATGAATCGAATAACCAAATTCTATTAATTAAATTGCATATATAAATATATATATATATGTTGTTTAGAACAAAGAAAAAAAGTATAATAGAGATTGATTGAAGTGGTGATGGGTTCACATATGCATCACTCATAATGTTAATTATTAGTGTCCCATGCAAATTGAATTAATTATTAAATAGGAGGTAGGACCAAGGATGTTATTTTATTTTTTTTAATTATCATTTTGTCACATATATACTACAATAAATAAATATATATAGTGGAAAAACATGGGAAAGCAATTAAATGTAGGAATTGTGGTGGGGCATATACATTTGTTTGTAGCCATGCCCCTCTTACCAATCTTTTCCAAACTTAAATGTTAGAAAGCCCCCACTTGAACTATATATATATATATATATATATATTGCATTTGCACCATATCTTCATTACATGAATTAATCAACCCCAAGTAACAAATAATCATCAATCACCAATAATAACATATATATGATTGAATATAAACATCACCCCCAACGACCAACAAATAATTAAAAAATAAATAAATAAATAAAGAAGGTAGTTCTACATCATGTAATTTGAAATTTAAAGGTTTTTATTAATATATGTACATAAATATATTTCTATAATTTAAAATGTACTTTGAGAATATGCATACATGCAAATATGTATATTGCAATGTGCATACTCCCAATAAAAGAAGACTATTTTAAATCAAAACTAAACAAACCCTAAATAATTGATTGCATTTCAATATTTGATTATATATAAATTACAAGTTTCCAGAAGTGTCTAATTCAATTTAAATTGATCTCTAGATGTACTCTAGCTACAAACCCCTATCTTATGTATAACATATACAAACATGGTTTTGAACTAAACCAGCATTATTAACTAGTACAAATATATATGTGCATTTAGCTTTCACTATCCCAGCTGTCTGATTAATTAACTCATGGAAAATACAACCATAAGATAATTTTATTAATCTATCTCCAATTTTTAATACAGTGAGGAAGTTGTATGAAAGTGAAGTGAGAAACAGTGCATAGCAGGAGGGTGACCCTTTTGTTTTTAAAATCCCCATTTATCCTTTCATTATTCTCTACTCTCTCTCTCTCTCTCTCTCTCTCTCTCTGTGTTGCAGGCCTTTCTGTAAATATCATATTGTCTGATGGAAGACAGTCTCTAAGATTCCATGAGGGCAGAATTGAAGCGTACAGATCAACGTAACAATTCAAGGAGGAGAGAGTTAGATTTCTACATCACTAGAAAATGATGTCTCTTGGATTCGATTCATTCATATCCAGACCTTCTTGCTTTCGTCTCTAACAGCTGCTTAACCCACAATTTGGGAGCATTAGAATATATATTATTGTAAGGAAAAAAAAAAAAAAAAGTTGGGAGGGATTTACAGAAATTCGAAGATCTCGATCAGTTCTTGTAATAGCAGCAGCAGCTACGAGGAATTGAAATTCATTCATGTCCCAGAGTTTCCATCAAAGCAGCCGTATCACAACCTTCTCAAATGCCTACGAAAGATCCTTGGCAGAAAAGCCACCTGCCGACTGGATGCTGCGAGTGCAAAGCTTCGACCGGCTACCGCCACCGCACCCAGATTTAGGCGACGGCGGCGGCGGAGGGACGCTGATGGAGATTATGAACTTGCCATGGCAAAAAGATGATGTCTTGGAAGATCAGATCCAAACCAGTACTTACCGATGGCCTCAAAAGCTGCAGCATCTGTCGCCTGCAAACGAGGCGAGTTTTATAAGTTAATAAAGTAGCTGACCAGCGCAATATACAATACAATTAATCATCAAATTAAATGTTTATATATATATTGAGCATGGTAATTCTTGAAAATCGTTGCTCTTATAAATTTTCATGCAGCTTTCTTTGATGAATCATCATGTCAAAGCTTCTGCTCCACCTCCAAATTACCTCCCAAAATCTGCCCCCAATTCCTCCTCGTACTCTCATCTTCAAGGGTTTCAGTTACCAAATCCTACTGCAGGCTCTGAGTTAGCCTGGATCCCTGGAGCCAGCAGCAGCGGGAGCTACAATACCTTGAGAAATGGAAGAGCTATGGAGGGGCAAGGTCAAGGGCTTTCTTTGTCACTTTCCTCATCTTTAAGAAACTTGGAAGCTTCTAAATTGAGCATTGGGCATGGTGAATTGTACTTCCATGGCCAAGAAATAGAGCCCTCACATAACCCTTATGTGATGAAAGATTTTGGGGGTGCTAACCAGCAGCTGTTCCATGCTCAAACTCATCATGTGCTCCCTGCAGATCATCACAGTCAATTTCATTTTGGGCTTTTGGAGTCTGCAAGAAGCATGAATTTTCTGAGGAATTCACGATACCTGAGAGCTACCCAAGAGCTGTTGGAAGAATTCTGCTGTGTTGGGAGAGGCCATTTGGGGATTAATCACAGATTCAGGACTCAAGATAAAAACCCTAATTCAGTTTCGGATAACAGTGAAGACCATGCTGCTCATCCTTCTTCCTCCAAAGATCACCCTCCAATTTCGCCTGGCGAAAGGTCTGAGTACCAGAGACGGAAAATCAAGCTCTTATCAATGCTTGATGAGGTTTGTAAACTAAACTATCTTTACATATATCACCTCAATTAGCATCTTCTTCTTCCTTAGCTTGTTCTATTGATTTGTTTACTTTAATTTTAAGTTTCTTACTGTAAAGCAGCAGCAGCCTGGTGATGATTTGAATATCCACCAAACTTTGCACTTAGGATTCAATAATGCAGTGATATTCATATTATAGTTATTAAATTTCCAGATTCTTCTTCTTGTTCTTTAGATCAAGTAATATGTAATGTAAAAGTGTCCAATTAGGATGACAAACGTCGTCCACAGTTTGGGGCACATGTTTGTCAAATAATCATCATGCCTCCATTTTGTAGCTGGGAATCTAGCAGGAAGCTGGTTGCTGCTCATTCCTGCTTATTTTATTTTAATACTATCATTTAATTAATTGAGCTGCCTACCAAAACTGGTGCATAATTAATTTCAATCATTTCTCCAAAGTTAGGGACCATTCTTCAATTTCATCGAGTTAAATATACCTTGTTCATATTATAATCGATAGTGGTGAATTATTGAAGCAATTAAGCAAGATCAATGATCATTTATTTCTTTCCCCTAATTTCCTGAACCCATTAAATTCACACAGATATATATATATATATATATACACGTACATACACAGTTGTCTCTTAACTTTTTTAATTTCAGGTGGATGGAAGGTATGCAAGGTACTGCGAGGAAATGCAGGCGGTTGTGAAGTGGTTTGAGACGGTGGCGGGGCAAGGTGCGGCGGCGGCGTACACAAGGCTGGCGCAGAAGGCGATGTCGCGGCACTTCCGGTGCATAAAGGATGCGATAGCGGGGCAGGTGAGGCAGACGTGCGAGTGGCTGGGGGAGAAGGAGGTTGGGGTGGGGGGTGGGGGTGGGCTGACCAAGGGAGAAACGCCGCGGCTGAAGGCGGTGGAGCAGAAGTACAGGCAGCAAAAGGCGATGATGATGCAGCAGCAACATGTGGGGGGGATGATGATCATCGATTACGAATCCTGGAGGCCCCAGAGAGGCTTGCCTGACCGCTCTGTTAACATACTCAGAGCCTGGCTTTTCGAGCATTTCTTACATCCGTATGTCCACTCTCTCTCTCTCTCTCTCTCTCTCTCTCTCTCTCTCTCTCTCTCTCTCTCTCTCTCTCTCTCTCTCTCTATATCTATACAAAGAGTCAAGCACAAAGCATTACATATAAGCATGCATTGCATAAAACTCAAAAGGTAAGATTTCTGCTTCTGCATTAGGATCTTGATGTCTTATAGTATAAGGCTGCTTGCTATATATATATGTATATATGTATGTATTGTGGGGTATTTAAGTTCTTGATGTAGTAATATTTTAAATACTAAAAGTTATTCTTAGTGTAGTACAGAAAATGTGTAAAATTAGGTAGGTAGCTAGGTTCATATGACATGAGATTTCAGAGTAAATTAATATATTAATGTTATCGACTGACATTTGTAATTCCTTTTCCAACAAAGTTCAGTACTATTTAAGCCTCAGTGAGTAATATCGTGCACTACTTGAAAATCTAAGTACTAGATTCCCATCTAGTAGTAAAATATTGGTGAAATGATTTTTGTTCCATATATTATTTCTCATTATTTTATATAATAGTAACAAAATAATGCAATAAAATGCAGGTACCCGAGTGAAGCAGACAAACATTTGCTGTCTCGACAGACTGGTTTATCCAAAAACCAGGTACACTACACACTCATTACGCCTTTACGTATCAAAAATCGATGCCTGTCTTGAAAGGGAAATCTCATTCTTATTGTCATTGCTACCTGCTCTGACTGATGAATGAATTATTATTGTATGTGTGTATCCACCATGTCATGCCAAAATTATGGGCTGTCAAATTTATTTCGGTGGTTACATTCAGCTGTTAAAAATAAAAACAGAAGAACAAACATTCTTACTGATAGGAATCAGACAAGAAGACATTAATTGAGAAATATCACAATTCACAATCCACACTCCTCCTGCAACTGCCACATAATTTAATTGTTTCTGCTTCCTGCAGGTTTCAAATTGGTTCATTAATGCTAGGGTTCGGCTGTGGAAGCCCATGGTGGAAGAAATGTATCAGCAGGAGCTACAGGAGGAAGAAGACGATGAGCCACAACAGTACCACCATGCTGGAGATCCTCTGTCACACGGTCCAATGCACCCACCAGTGGCCAGCGAATTGGAAATCAATGCACCAGCTGATCATAATAAGGACTACTCCTCCTCCTCACACAGTCCAAATAGTACCACCGCAACCAGACCGGCGCCGCCGCCGCTCTCCACCGCCGATGGCAATTACGTAATTAGGGTTGGGAGCAGTACTGCACAGGGAGGTGACGTGTCTCTCACTTTGGGGCTTAGGCATTCTGAAAATAATGTGCCAGGAATGAGCCAACTCTCAATTAGAGACTTTCAGGCCTTAATTTAAATTACAAATTTTAATATATATATATATATATACACATACACAGATATTAGTAGTGGTTTATATATATTTATAAGTTGTGTGTTGGATTTTTGGTTTTTAATCTGTTTGTTGTGATTTATATGTATAAGTTTGAGTGGAAACATTTACTTGTATATATGTGAAGGAGAAAATTATGTATATATATATATATTATGTAATAATGTACGTAATTGAATTATATTTGATGGTGAGGTTGATGGTACAATTTATTGCAAAAATTTCAAATATTTGTCTTTCTTATTTGTCTGATGGAGCAGTCGATTTCGAATCACTGAAATCAGATTGTTGTTTTTACAAATTTATTATTATTGCTGCAGTTTCTTGTCATTGAATTCGATCATGAAATTGTCCTTGTTATTTGGTCCCTACAGTACTGATATATCTGGTCTGAACTTGTGTATATATGAATTGTTCTCATCCGATTATACAAACATATACATGTGCAAGCAATTATTACACACATCATTCAAAAGATTTAAATTGAAAAAGTAAATAAATCAGTAGGCGATATATATATATATATATAATTATCTGGTTTTGAGACAAGAATTATTGTTGAATTTTAAGCAAAGATGAGCTTTGACAGGCTTATGATCAGAGCCATGAATGGCGTCTAGAGATTCGTACAAATGCAAACTTGCATTTATTACGTCTTTGTCTTCTACTTTATACAGTATTCGATCTGTCCACGCTGGCACTCTTACCTGCGCTCATATATCATCATGTCAGCAAATCAAAAGATTTATTACTGTATTATTTGTTTAAATATAATTATCTTAATTAATTAATTAGATAACCTTGTAGCTGGTATCATAGTCACTGGTGCCAACGTTGTATTTATAAGTGGGTTTGAAGGACAGGTTGCCCTCGCAGTATCCATTAAAGACCTGTCCCTTATTGGCTTCTTGAAGGAGCTGGTCTTTGCAAGTCAGAAGCTGCAATATTTAAATTAATTATATATTTATAATATGATTAATTAGGGCGTGTTTGGGGGCGAACTTACACGATGAAGGTTGTTTCCAATGAGATTTCTGGCGGGAAAGGTTTGGATGCCTTGGAGCCTGTAATTGAGATCTCCCAACCAAACAGTGACTTGGGGATTCCAGTTCTTGGCGAATAAGGATTGGGATAAATGTCTGAATTCTGAATTCCTCTCTCCAACTTTGTGGCCATGTGCTGCAATGCGATTTAAATAATTAATTTAATTCACATGGCCTTTTATTTATTTAATCATATATAATAGTGTAGTAGTATATATATACCAGAAAGATGGCAGGAGATGAAGATCATGGGAATGCCTTTGTAGGTGATTTTGATTGCCACTGCTCCTTTTTTTCTCCCAATTAGTCCTCCGCAACCTCCAACTCCTTGTTTGTCTACTTTGATGTCTGATGAGGAGGATTAATCAATTTAATTTAATTAATTACATTGATGATTTATTTCTAGATTACATTAAATTAATACATATATTTGGATATTTGGAGTAATGAATATTCTATAGTTATAGTTTACCTTTGACATAGATGCTGCATTTCTTGGATCCAAACATGTATAGGTGTAAAGATTGCATCACTGCTTCTTCTAATAGCCTGACATGACATTGAAAGAAATGATTCTTACGTTTTAGAAATTATTAATTAGTTTCAATGTGAAATGTATTTATGGCTTGATTTTCCACACAATTTTTATTAATATTATAAAATAATACTATATACATAAAATATATATACACTTTTTTTTCAAGATAAATTACGAGTTCATTTTTTTAATTTTTTTTTTAAATACGGATGTTTATTTTACTGTATTAATTTAAAAAATTCAACAAGTCTCAGTTGAACCTAATAGGATTTAAACTTATGACTTCATATTCACAAGTGCATATATCACTATACTATATTTTACAGAAAAAAAAAAAAAAAATTTAGGTATGTTTTGTTTTGTTTATTTGTTTGTTGTTTTTATATTTTCATTATTAAATAATATAGAATTAAATATTTATTTTTATATTATACTAAAATTTATATTTTACATTTTAAATATCATAATTCAAATTTCTATTTAAATTCAAATTTCTATTTTTTAAAACTCAATCTCAAAATCCAATATCCAAACAATCAACTATTCCCACATGGTGCAAAATAGTCAAATAATATATGATTTTAGAAAATTCTAAGATGTATCGTGTAATAAAGAAGTTGGTTGGAATTCAAGAAAATGGATAGAATTAAACGAAAATTATATATATATATATATATGTATGAAATGTCATCAACTTGGCAATGATTAATGGAGAGACCAAAATGTCAGAAACTTAGATGGTAAGACACGGTAGGAAATCAAATTGTTACTAACACAATAAATTTTAGCCACATATATATTTCTTATTCGTTGATAATCAAATATATTAATAATGTATTATTATGATATTAATTCTTCTTACAAGTGAGAAGAATGGAGGGCATTCTCGAACATTTGCAGGACGTTGCGGGTCCTCGGGACCTCCTGCAATCCGATTACGAGGAGGTCGCAATTTCTGTCGTTTCCCACAAGCCTCTTTAACTCTTCGTACCTCACCTTCAACAATATAATTAATTAATTAATTAATTTACTTAATGCATGTAATTAATTAATTAAGTACCTGTCCATTCATGTTCCACGTGACTATGCAAATGCAGAGATGGCAGGTGGAATCAGACAAGTCGAGATCGACGGTTTTGATTCCATCGTACGACGAATCGGCGGCGGCGGCGGCAGCATTGTCGACGACTATCCCCGCCGCCGTTTGCTTAATCCTTTTTTTACTAAATCTGTTCCATTAATTAATTATCAATTACACGTACTAGGTAAGATCATCTTCTTACAGCAGCAAATTAAAATTCATTTCAGAAATGCTATGCTAATTACCTTTTGCCTGAAATTGGTGCACAGAATCCATCCATAATAATAATTCTCCCTTCTTCGTTACTTGGCGAGATGACACTTAATATATACTCAACTCAAGAACAATATAAGACAAATTTTCATTGCCTAGCTTTTAGGGATGGGTTAAGGAAGGAAGGAAGGAAGAACAAGTCAGATGATGGAAGAGAGAGAGAGAGAGAGTATATATAATATAATATATATATATGTGTATTGTGTATGTAATGTATATGTCGTCATGGTTTGTGTTGTGTGTGTGTGTAATGGTCATATGATAACCCACTTTTCTCAGCAAGTTAGGTTTAGGGGCATTGACATTATTATTTGTTATGGGATTCAACGAATCAAACTTCAAATCAACCTATGTTTCTTTAATTAAATTTCTCTAATTTACTATTTAAAAAAAACACTTTTTCATCTTCTAAAATATTCCATCCAACATTATTTTAATATCAAATTTAAATTAATTTTTTTTTTTTAAACTGAATCAAAAGAAACACACAATATTATCCAAATAGTATACTTATTATTGAGTTTGGGAAAAAGTTATTTTAATATTTGATATTGAAATAATATTTGATGAGATATTTTGTAAAAAAAAATATATATTTTTTTCGAAAAACGTAGAGTTCGAATAATAAATTACGGTAAAATTTGGTTTAAGAAAAAGACCTATTTCTTCCTATTTCTAAGATACATTTATAAAGATTTTGATATTCAAATTGTAAGACTTTTTTTTGTAAGTTTAGTCATAATCCTTGCCAAGTTAATATAAAATTAATATTGGTCCCGTAAGGGATGGTCTGGTGGTGTAGGAGTGGGACTTGTGACGGTGAGGTTATGAGTTCAAACCCTTGACGTCATTTGTCACACATGATTCGTCGGGCCTTTCGGGTGGCGAACGCAGATTCCCACGTCATAAAAAAAAAAATAAAAAATAAAAAATAAATTTAAATCTATAACAAATAGTGACATCAGTTACTTTCTAAAACATGTAAAGAAATGAAGTATATTGTGTATTATTCATAATGATAAATTGCGTCTCTATTACAACCTTATTTAACTTTTGATTTATGAGCCGAGTTAAGAGAACACTGCACATTTTAGTATTTCTGTCCTCATCGTATATATTATTATTTTAAGAAAGAATATTTGTTATCTAAAATATTTGAGGCGTTAATTACGAACTCTTAAGTAAAAATGATTTCACAATAATTGTTACAGCTGCTAATTGGGCCTTGATGGATAATTTATTGGAGTCCAATTAGATCCCCAATAATGCTAATGATTTATTTATTATTAATCGCTTACCGACAATTTGCGATGTGCTTAGTTGAACTGAAATGCGATTTTTGGTTACTTTATTCAGTAAGCGCGTTTTCTCACATGCTTCAATTGTATTTGGGAACACGATTTATCGGGGAGGAGAACCATCCTTCGTCTTCGTCTTTTTTACCAAAAACTTTGTCTTTTTGACTGCTGCAAGGCATTTCAAGGTTTTCTTGAACCTTCTGGTGTTTGTTCATTGCTTGGAGTAAGCTTCTGCTTTTTATCTCATTTCTTGCGTGCTCTTTTTTTTTTTTTTTTTTTTTTTTTTAAGAAATAATATTGATATCAACATTGATAAACCCTTTTTCGGGACTTCTGTTTCTTTAATAGTTTGGTAAATGAAGTCATCGAATTGATGCGAGCTGGCGGAGATTTTTGTTATTTTTGAAATGGGAAAGAATTCTGTAAATAATCAATCCTTATGCTGATTTAAACCTATTTTGATTGCTGATAATTGCGTCAGTGAATTAATTTCACAAATTTAGATACTTTTGTTTGCGATATGCGGCTCGGAATTAGATGCTACCATGAGATGAAATTCTTGGGTTTCGGTCTTAATTACTATTGAAATTATTGCCTGTGACTGTTTTCTTTTAGGAACGAAGGACTTAGACATGAATTTTTAATTTTCATTTCTGATACATGATAAGGTTTGTTCATTTCGCAATGTTAGTTACATGATCCTGTGCTTTAATGGAGCGGACAAGAAAACATAGCCGTCGAAAACAGGGATTCTGACTGAGGTTTTAACAATCTTTAGACTCTTTGCTGCACTCTTCCTTCCATTGTCATGAGTAATATGGTAAGTTTGAAGAAATCCAGTTAAATTTTACCTTTGCAAAACTTGAAAGTATTGAAGTTGTTTGTTTGCAATTTACAGAAGCAAAGAGAACCACCCGAGCCACCTTGCGACGTGGATAGAATTAGCAATTTGCCGGAGCATATTGTAGACAAAATTCTGTCGCATTTATCGCTAAGGGATGCTGTTCGGACAAGCGTGCTATCAACAAAGTGGAGATACAAATGGGCTACCCTTCCTTATCTTGTATTTGATAATCAAACTGTTTTGGTCCCTTGCCAAGATCAGACCCTTGCTAAAAATAAACTAGTGAGTATTGTTGATCATGTCCTATTACTTCACATGAGCCCCATACACAGATTTAAGCTCTCTCATCGCGATCTTCAAGGTGTATCCGACATTGATAGATGGATCTTATTCCTGTCGAGGGGTTCGTTGAAGGAATTTATACTTGAAATATGGAAAGGTCATCGGTACAAGCTTCCTTCTTGCGTGTACCTCTTCCAAAGCCTTAACCATTTGGAACTTTTTAACTGCCTCTTGAAGCCTCCGTCTAATTTCAAGGGCTTCAAAAACTTGAAGAGCCTTGATCTTCAGCATATCACCATGGACCAAACGTCCTTTGAACATATGATATCTAGCTGCCCATTACTTGAACGCCTTACCTTGATGAACTTTGAAGGTTTTGCCATTCTCAATATTCGATGTCCTAATCTCCTTTTCTTTGATGTTGGGGGTGTTTTTGAAGATGTTATTTTCCAAGACACCTTCCACCTGGCTGTCGTCTCTATTGGCCTGTACGTGAACACGGGCAATGAAAGAATCACTGCATTTGGTTGCACTGGTAATATGATCAACTTTTTTGCGTGTCTACCACACATTCAAAGGCTTGAGGTCCAGAGCTATTTCTTGAAGGTATGTATGCTTTTAATTATGTATTTGGAAAGATAGCCACCTATTGTTGCTTTTTATTGTAGCTGTTGCGTTTTTTATTAGATATATTTCTTGTCTGCTTCTAATGTTCACCACATTTTTCACTAGTATTTAGCTGCTGGATCGATACCTGGGAAGCTACCTAAACCTTGCAACGATCTTAGTTTTCTTTCCCTACGCATTAACTGCAATGACACAGATGAGAATCTGGCTGCTCTTTGTCTTCTCCGAAGTGCTCCCAACCTTCAGGAGCTTGAGCTGTTAGTAAGTTTTCTTACAACATATGGCTTGTGCCACACATTTTGTTATTCATCCTATGATGTCTGTTAGTATCATATTATTGATATCCTGAATTTAAGCAGGCTCGCACAGATGAACAAGCTAGCACCACTAGAACAGCTGCTAACACAGTGGAAAATTTTCATAGCATCACTTTCAGTCAACTGAGGCTTATTAAGATTGTCGGAATTACTGGAATGAGGCAAGAACTGAGCTTTATCGAATTCCTACTTGCAAGTACACCGATTCTTGAAAGGATGAGCATTCGACCAGCTTCAGCGGATGGAAGATGGGAACTGGTCAAGGATCTGCTCCGCTTTCGAAGAGCTTCCATGTTTGCAGAAATCATTTATCTTGATCCTTAGCTTGTTGAAAATTGCATAATTCCTCTTTAATCCACCAGATACCTGTTTATAGTTGGTATCTTGATGCCAGGGCTTGATGATGAAGGTAGAATAGAGGGAAATTATCCATCTGAAATCAATATTCTTTGGGAACAGATGCTTTTATTACATTTGTGCGTTTACATATATTTCATGTACATCAGAGAGGAGTATCAATGGTGTGTTCCTCATTTTCTCCTTAATGCTTCCACTAATTCAACTACATACATGCTAATGAGGTACCAGGTGACACCAGCTAAAGCAACCGGTGACCATGAGCTGTTAACAATGGCTAGTGCCATGGAACCACCGAGATGGTCCTCTAGGCCACCCGATGGTTCCCCAAGGTGCAACCTAACAACAGCTGCTGCTACCATGGCTGTTCCAATCGGTACGCCCCATCTTAAAGGGCTGTTAGAGCCCTTCTTGGGGCCTGATACTTCACCATCGCTTGATCGGTTCATCTTCCTATTTGGAATAGGGTTAGCTCCATGGTTTGGGGTAGAGACTGAATTGATAACCTCTGGTATTGCATTAGAGGTCGGCACCCAATACTCATGGCTGTTGCTCATCATTGATTCTGTTTGTTTTGCAGGGTTTGATCCTTGTTTTCGCGCATCCGCAGCAGCTTTCAGCCTTTTCATACTTTGTCCGTTATGTCCTCTTGATCTCACTTGTGAATAATTCTGTGTCGCTGCCAGTGGTGTAGCTTCTGTGTTGGGAGATTGCCAGTACAGCCAATTCGATATCATTTGAATCGCTTGAATAGCTGACATTCTCGACGCCATTTGATCCTCGGATTCCTTCAATGAAAAGTTCACTTCAAGAAGTTATAAAATGGATTCAAATAATAGACATCGATTGCTGGAAAAGCAATCCAACCTTGGAAGTAGCTCTGTAGTCTGCATATCTAGCCTGAAATTTCTCCATTTCATCGAAGACATCCGAGGTTCGCATACCTGCAGTGTTCCCTGCGCCGACTCTCACTCTACCCCGGGGTTGCTTCGACATCAGGTATTCCAGGGCAGCCAGGTTCGATCTTTCTACCATTCTATTGTTCCATGTGCAGCAGATGGAGAGAAAAAACAAACAAGACAATCAAATTGCACTACAGATGATGAGAGAAAAATGGACTGGAATTCTTACGAGATGCAGTTGACAGGACATGCTCCAATGGCTTCTTGAATTTTGCCCTCAGGATCAGCCCATTGCGCCACCACTCTGGCCCTTCCGTACACAGATTCGACGGCGAAAGTTTTGCTGGCAAATAAGGCACACTTCAAGCAACCTATACACTTGACTTCATCCACGAAGACAGCTCTCTCTTCTTGCTCCGATCCTAACCAGACAGAATACATCGGCCTCCCTGTGTAGCCGTGCAAATCTGCAACTTTTTCCAGCTCCTGAATCGATTGTCAAAGTTGCAATAACAAGACTCAGGTTCCACGGTCAGGTCTTTTAAGAATGGAAGTTTCAGTTTCAGACATTTCTGGGCTTCGAATTACCTTATCGTAAGCCAGACGGGCGTTGGGGTCGGAGAGCAGAGCATAAGCCTCGTTGAGAACGATGGCCATGTCATGGCCGGCGGGGCCGGCGATGTCAGGGTGGCACCGCTTCTGCAACGCCCTGTAGGCTTCCTTTATCTGGGCCTTGTCGGAAGACGCCTCCACACCAAGAAGTTCGTACAGATTGAATTCCGTGATCGTGGTCGGAGACGAGGCCCTGCATGATGCGACAGACCACCTACTACCTGGCGAGGAGGGATGCTTGTTTGCCCCAAACGTCGTCGTTTTGGGATTAGGGCTTGGCAAGATTGCACAAGGAGCGTAGTGAAGAAATGGTGCAGAGACAGCCTGCATTTTTCTTCTTCACTTTTGGTATTCGCCAATCAAAGCTCCAACATCATAATAATACTATTTGCTTTGCTCAGATTTCATTAGATATTTTCGACAGATATTTTTCTTTCCAAAAGGAAAATTTTCTTTTACATCACCATCCTGATATTTTGATGAGCAATAAAATTTAATCGATGAAAAGATAAACCCTGTCGTACAGTAATTTTGGAATTTGAAACGACGACGTTTCATGCTAGACTCAATCGTACTATTTGGGCGGTACGTGGACGGAAGCCCGCCGGGAAATAACGCTTTGACCTTTCCCTCTTCTTTGACTAATCGTTTTGGTCTATTCTTAAAATTTGCAAATTATGCATTTTGGTTGGTCGCAAGGAGTCAGCTCGGGCCAACTTTTCAACTCTTTGACCACACATTTTGCACTGCCTTGAATTAAAAAATTGATTAATAATAACACATTTTATTCTTGCATTAATCCACGTGTTGCCAACCTACTAATGTCGTCCAACACTTCCATTGTTCCATTTTGCAACTACAATCATCTTTCCCACTTGCAATAATAAATAAATATATTAATACTAGTATTATTCTGGTGTCCTCTGTTTTACTCACGTTCCACATTTTTTAATTATCTTCTCCGACCAGATATCTGATGTAGCTGTGCGTATCTATCTATATATATATATATGTATATCTATAGGCGCACTAAAACCAATCAGATTCAGACATCACGTTCACCACTGAACCCCTCGAAAGCTTCTCATCAATGGCTGTTTGCCCTTCTTTATCCTCTCCAGCTGCTTCCAACTTCCAATTCTCCTCCCATACTTGCTCGATGATTAAGCTACCAATTTCTTCAAAATCTCTGAAGCCATGTGGGCCTCCGGCGATCGGACGGCCTGTCATCACCGCTGCCCTATCTGAAAGGCCGGCCGTGACTCACCCCCCGCCGGCGCCGGGAAAATCCTCTCAGCTGACGATCCGGAAAGTTCCGGGAGAGTGGGGAATCCCTTTAATTGGGCCATGGAAAGACAGGCAGGACTACTTCTATAACCAGGGCAGAGACGAGTTCTTCAAATCGAGAATCCACAAATACCAATCCACCGTCTTCAGAACCAACATGCCGCCGGGACCCTGCATTTCCTTCAATCCAAACGTCGTCGTTTTGCTCGACGGCAAGAGTTTTCCCACTCTTTTCGACACCGACAAGGTCGAGAAGAAAGACCTCTTCACCGGAACTTACATGCCCTCCACCGACCTCACCGGCGGCTACAGAATGCTGTCCTACCTCGACCCCTCCGAGCCGAGCCACGCCAAGCTCAAGAAGCTCATGTTCTTCCTGTTATCCTACCGGCGGGATCACGTGATCCCGGAGTTTCAAAACACCTACTCGGAGCTTTTCGAGGGCCTGGAGAATGAACTCGCCACCACCGGGAAAGCCAGCTTCGGCGCCGCTAACGATCAGGCGGCGTTCAATTTCTTGGCCCGGTCGTTTTACGGCGTGAACCCGGTCGACACAAAGCTCGGGTCAGACGGGCCGGGCCTGGTGAGTAAATGGGTCCTGTTTCAGCTGCACCCATTGCTGAGTCTTGGCCTGCCCAGACCCATCGAAGATGGCCTTCTCCATACATTTCCTCTGCCGCCATTCTTGATCAAGAAAGACTACCAGCGTCTCTACGATTTCTTCTACCAAAACTCTTCTCCGATCCTCGATCAAGCCGAGAAGGTCGGCATTTCCAGAGACGAGGCGTGCCACAATCTCATATTCACCACGTGCTTCAATTCCTTCGGCGGGATGAAGATCTTCTTCACCAACATGCTCAAATGGGTCGGCCGGTGCGGCGCCAAGCTCCACGCCGACCTCGCCGGAGAAATCCGATCCGCCATCAAATCCAACGGCGGCAAGCTCACCATGGCCGGGATGGAGCACATGCCGTTGATGAAATCTGTCGTCTACGAGGCCCTCCGCATCGAGCCGCCGGTCCCCTCCCAGTACGGCAGAGCCAAACGCGATTTCCTGATCGAATCGCACGACGCCGCCTTCAAGATCAAGGAAGGCGAAATGCTCTACGGATTCCAGCCCTTCGCGACCAGAGACCCCAAGATCTTCGACCGCGCCGAGGAGTTCGTCCCCGGCCGGTTCATCGGCCCCGACGGGGAGAAGATGCTGAAGCACGTCCTCTGGTCCAACGGACCGCAGAACGAAAGCCCCACCGTCGACAACAAGCAGTGCGCCGGCAAGGACTTCGTCGTGCTCGTCTCCAGGCTGCTTCTGGTCGAGCTTTTCCGGCGCTACGACTCGTTTGACATCGAGGTCGCCGCGTCGCCGTTAGGCGCCTCCGTCACCATAACGTCACTGAAACGAGCTACTTTCTAGACATGGCCGATTTAGGGTTCTTCATTTTCTACTTTTAGTACCAAATAGGAGCTACTTTTCCCTGTAGAGGTTTGCTAAATTTAGTTCGACGACGGCCCCCACTGTCTGTATAATGACATCCTACAATCCCAAATACCATATATTGTCCAAAGTTTTATCACATTATATGTTACCTTCCATTTAATAAAAAGATAAGAATAAGGTGCGTGTCAAAATGGTCTTTACAAGAATTTCATCTTCATCACGCTTCTGATTGTTTCTTCTTTCTCTGCTAAAACCCGAGAAGTGTCTGTGTGTGTGTGTGTTTGAACAAGAGATTTCAATTTCAGATCACCGGATAACCCGACTCAACAGACTACTCGACGACGGCGAGCTCTGATCGCTCCGCCACGAGTTTTCGATGGAGGCCGGCGAAAAATTCGTCACTGTGTCCAACGAAGCCGTGCTGCTGAAAACACCTACACTGCTATCGAGCTCGTGCTTCTTATCCTTCACATTCAGAGGCTTCTCGCTTGAATTCGAGGATGAAGCGCATGAGGATGACAACCTCATTATGCTCATTTCTGAACTCTGCCACTTACTCAACCTAACTTGCTCCAATTCAACGGCGACTTCCATCATCGATGGCCTCATATCACGGTGAAAAGCAAGACATCTAAACGCCAACTCGGCGATCTTGTGCACCGACGTAATAGTCCAAGCATCCATCGCATAAGGTTTTAAAAACGGATCGATGATATCGCTCAAAGCCCCTCTCCCGATCCTGTCGACAGCCAGAGCCGCCAAATTGACTTCATTCTGAGGTCGATTGAAGTCGACAACCCTCAATGCCGTTATGATCTCAATCAGCACTACGCCGAAGCTGTACACGTCGCTCTTATCCGACAAATGGAAATGCTGGTGATACTGAGGGTCCAAATAGCCCGGCGTCCCCTGAGGCGCCGTCGAGATATGCGAAGACTCGACGAGCCCCAGCCGCGACAGTCCAAAATCGGCGACTTTAGACTTGTAGTCGTGATCGAGGAGTATGTTGCTCGATTTTATATCCCGGTGATATATCGGAGGGTGCATTGCGTTGTGGAGATAAGAAATCGCCTGCGCCGTTTCGCAAGCTATCGTGAGGCGAACCGGCCAGGTGAGTCCCGACCCCTTCTCGCATTGCAGGTGCTGCAACAAGGTTCCGTTCGGCATGAACTCGTATACGAGGATCTGTTCTTCGTTCTCGATCGAGCAACCTAGAAGGCGGACCAGGTTCGGGTGGCTAACAGAGGATAGGAGCTTGATCTCATTGATGACCTGATCGGTACCCCCGGCGTCCCTGTGCTTGATCCTCTTGACAGCGACCCATTCGTCGCTGCCGGAAAGCTTGCCGGAGTAGACGGTGCCGTATGCACCGTTGCCGAGCCGCCTTTTTTCGGAGAAGGAATCGGTGGCCTTATCGATGTCTTTGTAAGGGTAGACAGGGATTGTTATTCCTGCTGTCTTGTAGAGATTTCTTGTTCTTCTGCTTCTTGTCCTGAGTTTGGTTCTTCTTCGAATGAAGCAGATGATCAGACCTATGGTGATCATCAATGCAGCACCAGCTGCTATGCCTGTTCATTACAGTTAATTTTCCATATGAAAATTGACAAATTGTAATTAAGAAATTAACGTACCTCCAGCTAACACACCAACTCGTGTTGTTCCACCACATTTGCCTGATAAGTAGTTGGATGGATTGCAGAGTGGTTCTGCTGTGGAGTTGAAGACAAACAAATAAGATCACTTTTTAATCATGATTAGGTGACTGACTGACTATGGTTGTTAATTTACTGCAATTAATGTAAATGCGTTTAAATCCAATTTCAAAAGGTAGGTTTGAAAATTGAATTTGTTTGTAATAATTTGTGGAGCCTTTTCTTGATGTTGTAGGAGAGTGGACCTCACTCGTGTATTTATGGCCTCCAAGAAATCAAGATTGTGCCTCTTTTAGTAAAATTTTCAATTGGCTAATGGCACCATAATCTATAATTATTAGTCAAAACTTGCAATCTATTAGCAGAAAAATCAAAAGTTAATAAAAGAGACAGAAGAAGCGAAATGAACGGAAAAAGACAAAAGGGAGGAACACAAAATGCTATATACTTGTATAAGAAAATTACCTTTCCGGCAGCCGACGCCGGCGAGAAACCCGTCGCCGGCGAACCCCTCGGAGCACTGGCAGCGGTACGCGGTAGCATTAGGCTCGATCGGCGGCGCAATGGGGATGCACTTGGCGTTCTTGGAGCATCGGCAATCCCCCCGGAGCCACCATCCGATCCTGACGGTCTGAACATCCAGCGAGACGGAGGAGCTGTTGACGAAGGACTCCATGGAAATCGCCGAGAAAAGGGACCGGCAGCCCCTCGTCGTGAGATTCTGGTAATTGATAAACGACGACGTCGTGTTGTCGGCCTCGGAGTAGCAGCTGATGTTACCTTTTCCGGCGGGCTTGCAATCGAGCAGCTCGAAGTGGGTCTCCACCAACGTCGTCGGGATGAAGCAGCGGTCTCCGGCGATCTTACAGTTCTGCAGAAGGATCGCGTTGTGGGAGGTCGGGGCGAAATTGTCGGTGAAGAGGCGGCGCAGACTCTCCAGGGGACGGCCACACATCGCCGGAACGTTGACCAGAATGGTGTCGCCGCTGACCGACTGGACCGGGAAATCGGCGGCGAGAACTGTCCCGTTGGGGGTGCAGTTCAGCCGGATTTGGCAGCCGGCGGAGAATCCGAAAGGGAAAGGGAGTTTCTGATTGCCACATGTGCCGTTGCACGAGGTCTCCGGCGAGGCTGCAGCAAATCCGATCAGAAGAACGACGGCGGCGAGAAATCCGGCCAAATCAAGCAACCCTAATTTGGATTTGAATTTGAATTTCATTTTGATTTGCAGTCATCTGACGATGAGCGGAATTTGGATGGAAAAAATAAAAAAGAAATGGTAATGGTAATGGAGAAGAAGGAATGGAATATATGCTTATGTTATGTTATGTGTTACTTAATTGCTTCGACGGAAGGCTACTTGAGACATTATTTATTTTTTTAGTGTTGGCATATTATTTATTTGTCCTATTTTCAGACTTTGATGAGTGGGACATATATACAAATTAACAATTTTATTTATTTATTGGTTTGAAGTCAAGTTCACATGCATGCATACATACATATGAACAGAAACGTGTAGGATTGATAATGAGATAGAAATTCAATCATAATCATAATATGTTGATACTCTTAGTTGTTGAGTAATTGGACATTACCTGAATTAATGTTTTGCTTCATTTTTGTCTGAAATGGAAGAATCCAAGGATTATTCATTTATCTATCACATGATAAAACTTCTTGGTTTTCTGAATTTAATTTTAATTTAAATTTTGAATTATAAAGGTAATTCAAAAATAATTTTTAGATTTGTTTTGTATATAGTATAAAAATATAATTAAATTGAATAAACTTATATATATATATGTATATATATAGAGCTCAACGTTGCAAGACTAGGAAAATTTCGACTATTTGCAGTGTGGAAGGGTTGAAAAAAAGAAAAAAAAAAAGAGTTGTAATGAAGTTTCTTTTCTTAAAAAAATTCCACTGTTAAATTTCTCTTGCAATTTTGTAAATAATCCATAGAAAATCACTTAATAAGTCAGTCCTAAAGAAATAAAACTATTTTGTATGTATTTGGCATGTTCTTTTATTTTATAGAAAATATTTTGAAGTAATATTTGAAACTCTATTTAAATAAGAAATTGTTTTTTATTAAAAAACAATCATAGTATAATAAATAAATAAAGCAAAAAATATTTGTTTGTAGGGTTTGAGTTATAAGTGATAATTTTTAATAATAATTAAATTGAAAATGATATAAAATAATATTTTGAATATAAAAATAATTTAAAATTTAAAATAAATAAATACTAATTTAATTTAATTTTTTTTTTTTTAGATTTTTTGAAAATATATATATTAAAAATCTCTGAAAATCCCGGGAACAATACAAAGACACGCTAACACTGAAAGTCTATTTGTCGTGATATTAAATTAAGACTGAGAAAACTGAAAGTCGTTAAGGGTGGTGGAAAATGGGCCCTACCAACACAAAAGTTGATGTAGATAAATCCAACGGTCAGAGATAAACCACGCTCCCGAACTTTCTTTCCACTTTAATTGAATTGGGTCGGGTCGGGTCGCACGGGTAGGGCAGGGACTCGATGAATAATGGCTTGCACGTCTAACGTTCAACAATAAACAGATAAGGGACTTTCCATGCCAGCCTGCTTAAATTACTTAATTATAATACAATTAATAATAATATTATTGATTGTATACTTCAATATTTTAAAATTTGTTGATTATTATTATTGTCGAAAATTTGACCAGTCGTACGTTACGGTACACATAATAGTTAAATAGATTTGATTTGAAGATGATTCGCCGTCATGTTACCACGGCGTGTATTCTTCAGTCATTTTTTAAGATTTTATTTAGTTAAAAACAATTGCTGTCTATGTTTCCATAGTCCAGCGGATACAAGTAAAATTGGGCTTAATAAAATCAAAATGGGCCTACACATTGCTTGCGGAATCAATCGAATTGGGCGGAAAGTCTAAAATGCCAAAAATAGAAAGACAAGGAAGGGCCCACAGTCCGTCCAATCAAAGAAATGGCCCAATAAGAGAGGAAGTCTGGGCTATCATATCATCAGAGTGCTTTTTTCCTGCTTTAAAAGTTATAAGCGCGTGGGCTTCACCGACGGCTAGTAGAGTGGACAGCGTAGCAATGGCATTTCTCATTTCTCGTTCCAAGTGAATCTGCACCGTACGGTCCTCACATGGCTGTCAATCCAAAGGCGGACGTTTAACCAAAACGGGAACTAAGTGACTTGCGCCACGCGGCTCAATTCCTGCTGTCCGAATTTCTATTTTCAATCATCATCCAATGTATGTATGTATCTGTATGAATGAACTCACTCGTGCATGATCCGTAGCTGTTTGTTGGTCCTGATTAATTTATCTAACACAACGAAATGAAATTAATCATACGTATGAAATGATTGAATTATAGGAATATGTTTCGCGACGCGTGGCTTAATCCGAGGTTGTCTGAGCCCTGCGATGGATTGGCTACGCGTGTAGCCGAGCATGGACCGTGGGGCCCAGCAAGAAAATCCTTTGACAATTGTGGGCAGTTGAAAGACCGTTGATCAGGAAAGAATTTGGCCTCCACCAAATATTTCTGTAACAAGTAAAAATATACATACAATTAGGTTAGGGTATCTATAATGTCTTCTCGATCTTCATCTTCTCTCATATTAATATCCTTAATAACGTTGTTACGCATTTAAAAATAAATAAATAAAATAAAATAAATAAATCGATGGTTGTATCTATATAAACCAGCAATATGGAGAAGAACAGCTCCCATCGACGTTTTCCCTACAAAATCTCCCCTTGGTTCATTGCAAAGCCATTTCTTGAAAATTTTCAATTTCTATCTTCTATTACTGTAACTCGGGATCCAATCCAAATCAATCGTTTTTACAACAATGTTCTCGGAAACAGGCAACATTATCCACCCGGATCCCAACGGCTCGTCGTCGTCGAGCTCCATGGACGCCGACGACACGCGCAACACCAGCTTCTCCTCGTACGACCCGAATCGCCTGAGCGGCGACTGCTCCCCGATGATGATGTCGCCGTGGAACCAGCCGGCGGCGCCGTGCTCCGATTCGACAAAATCCATGTTCCAGAGCCAGGCCCAGGACAGCCTGATCGGATCCATCGTCCGGGAAGAAGGCCACATATATTCCCTGGCCGCCAGGGACAGCATTCTCTACACGGGCTCCGACAGCAAGAACATCCGCGTCTGGAAGAAAATGCAGGAGTTCTCCGCCTTCAAGTCCAACAGCGGCCTCGTCAAGGCCATCATCATCTCCGGCAACAAGATCTTCACCGGCCACCAGGACGGCAAGATTCGTGTCTGGAAGGTCAGCAGCAAAGATCCCAGCGTCCACCTCCGAGTCGGCAACATGCCCACTTTCTTCGACATTTTCAAAGCTTCCATGAAGCCCAGCAACTTCGTCGAGGTAAAGCGCAACCGCACCGCCGTCTGGATCAAGCACGCCGACGCCATTTCCTGCCTCAGCATCAACGAGGACAACAGGCTTCTCTACTCCGCCTCCTGGGACAAGACTTTTAAAGTCTGGAAGCTCGACAGCTCCAAATGCGTCGAGTCCGTCAAGGCGCACGACGACGCCGTCAACTCCGTCGTCGCCGGCGCCAACGGAATGGTCTACACAGCGTCCGCCGACGGGACCGTCAAGGCCTGGAAGAGGGAGAACAAGGGAAAGAGCGTGAAGCATACATTGAAGCGGACGTTGCTCAGCCAGGAGGTCGCCGTCACGGCGTTGGCGGTCAACAGTTCCGGCACCATGGTCTACTCCGGCTCGTCCGACGGGCTCGTCAACTTCTGGGAGGTGGAGAAGGAGCTCTCCCACGGCGGCATCATGAGGGGCCACAAGCTGGCGGTGCTCTGCCTCGCGGCCGCCGGAAACATGGTGTTCAGCGGCTCCGCCGATAAGACAATATGCATCTGGAGAAGAGATCACGGCGCAGCCCACACTTGCATTTCTGTCCTGACAGGGCACACCGGACCCGTCAAGTGCCTCGCGGTGGAGGAGGACAAATCCGCCGGCGACGGCGACACAAAGTGGGTGGTTTACAGCGGGAGTCTTGATAAATCAGTGAAGGTCTGGAGCGTGTCGGAAATGGCATCGCCGCTGTAGATCCATTGCAACGATGGGCTAGACACATTTTGTTATTTAGGATAACAGATAACTAGCGTTAAGCAGATCCTGCATCGACTTTTGTTAATATTAATTAAGCAATCGCAACTTTGGGAATCTGTCATTTCGGGCCAATTAGTTAAGTTTTTAGATCATTCAAATTTGCAACAAGGAGCCATAACACAGAGAAAAGAGTTTCCAGAAGCAATCTTAACCTCAACACACAAAATTAAGGCATAAAGAAGAGAGTTGCTAAGTTCTCAGTAAGAGAGCCTGCGGGAGTGTCGGCTTCTCGATTCATCCAAGTCCGATCCAACGAGGGCTACTGGATTTCCCCCTTCTAGCATTTTCACAACCTGTGTACCAAGAATACAGATACAATAAGCGGACAAGTAACTACATCAACGAGGTGTTCCAGTAAGAATGCACAGATTCTGAGACGAAAGACGAGTTAGTTTTAGAACCTTTGACATGGGGGGTCTCAGGTCAGGATCTTCTTGCAAACACAATGAAGCAGCGTATCCCATAGCATGAAGCTCGTAGGGTAAGCCTTTAGGTTGGTAGGAGGCCAAGCGGGGGTCTAATAGTTGGTGCTTATAAGCTAAGATAGGTGTTACGTACGAAATTTAGAATTAGGTTAAAAGCCCAAGGTAAAACGAGGAATGGGCCTGGCAATAGGGTTGATTGAACTGGCTGAAGGACACCGTGAGGAAATCAAGGAAAATAAATTTATTTATTTATTTCTAAGAAAATTCAGGACGGAAGGTCTTCAGGTCGAGAGGTCCGCAAGACGGAAAGACCTCAAGTCGGAAGGTCTTCAGGTCGGGAGGCCCTCAAGATGAAAGACCTCAAGTCGGATGGTCTTCAGGTCGGGAGGTCCGCAAGACGGAAAGACCTCAAGTCGGAAGGTCTTCAGGTCGAGAGGTCCGCAAGACGGAAAGACCTCAAGTCGGAAGGTCTTCAGGTCGGGAGGCCCTCAAGATGAAAGACCTCAAGTCGGACGGTCTTCAGGTCGGGAGATCCGCAAGACGGAAAGACCTCAAGTCGGAAGGTCTTCCGGTCGGGAGGTCCGCAAGACGGAAAGACCTCAAGTCGGAAGGTTTTCAGGTCGGGAGGTCCGCAAGACGGAAAGACGATGAGTCGGAAGGTTTTCAAGTCGGGAGGTCCTCGAGACGGAAAGTCGTTGAGATGGGATATCCGCAGGTCGGGTAAACTGTAGGTCGGATAGAAGGAGGAGTCGGACAAACACGGAGGCCTTTGATCAAAGACTGGGGGCGGTTGATATGGAGGTCGGCCCAAGTGGGGTCGGGCGAAGAAGTAGGTCGGACGAAGGACGAAGTCGGGCCAAAAGAGCGGAAGGTCTGTGGTCGGCTCAAGGAGTGAAATATAGGGAATTTTGGTCTGCTGGGGACACGTGTCAGCATAAGAAAGGTTGGAAGACGGTTGAGAAGGAGACGTTGTAACCGTTCGGGTGACGGTTTTCAGTACGGTTTCCCAGGGAATATTTAAGGATTTAGATCATCATTTGGCAAGGTATCTTCAATCAACTTCAACAAAGCAAAGTCAGATTTGGGGATCACCACTTTAAATTTCAGTCTTTTATTTTCCAGTTTATTTTCTGTACCATACAGTGTTTAGAGATTCCTAATCTCAGGCACTAAATAATCAAGTTTAAGGATATTTTCTATATCTTTGAATTTTACTTTATTTTTGTTGAAAAAATACATCAACAAATTGGCGACCACAGTGGGAGCAAGACAAAATTGCTCATTCCAATTCCGGCGATAATTTCATACGTCTTAGATCCGGCCGAATCATCGGAAGGGTCCATATGGCAGGGTCACAACCGCAAGCATCTTCGACACCGGTGGGAGAATCCGTTCCACCACCCATTGTGCCAAATGCCGGGGAAATCCCACAACCACCAACTGATTGGTGGTCTTATGTTCAACAAATGAACAACCAGCATACCTTGGTTATGCAGAATATGTTGCGTGAGCAACAAACGAACATGTTGCGTGAGCAACAGAGTCAGTTGCAGAACATGATAGATCAAGCATTGTCAAGGGTTAGTCTTCAACCCACTCAAACGCCACCAGGAGTGTCACCGTCCAGACCACAGGCAAATTTCGCAGGGCCATCATTCGTGGATAGTACATTCCCAAGTGCCACAAATCCCAACCGAATGGATCGGGGAAAAACTCCTTTGACTTTTCCCAACAATGTTCCACTGGGACCAAGGGTTACCAGTTCGCAGCCGAACAATACAAGGGAGGACAGGCCTGAAGGATATATACATGATCCGATTCATATTCCTGTGCAGGATCCGTTCCAGGTTCCTGATCATCAACGCTTTCATGTAGATCCTGATGAGATTGCACATATATTAAGGGATCAGTATGGATTAACTCCTCAGATGGCTAACCGCCCTGCATATCAAAGACCTTTCCCAGAAAGGATCATTCATGAACACCCTCTCCCAAGGAATTTTCGACCACCCGACTTTCATGCATTCTCAGGGGAGGACGGATCTTCCACCATAGAACATGTTGGTCGGTTCACAGCACAATTAGGAGAGGTTGGCAATAACCCTTTTTATAAGTTACAGCTGTTTGGTTTGTCTCTTACCAGAACGGCGTTTTCATGGTTTGTAAGTCTACCTCCTGGACAAATTCAGACATGGGAAGGATTGGAGATGGCATTTCACGCTAGATTCTTTAATCCTTTACCAGTTGTTTCTTTAACTGATTTACTTGAATTGAGACAGTATCCAGAAGAAACTGCTTCACAGTTTATAGAAAGGGTGCGATTGATGAAGGGACGATGTCCTACGGTAATCAGTGAGAAAGAGATGACCAATTTAGTGGTCCGGAATATGCATAATCGTTTAAGAAAGGCACTCACTGCCCTGGATGTTGAGGATTTGGCAAATCTTGCATCCAAGGCAGGACGTCTAGAGTCTTTGTTCAGAGAGGAAGATCAGCATAACAGGCGTAATAGAGGCCAACATATGGCGAGTATGGGAACAGAAACATGCGACTTTGATTTTAATCAGTCAGAAGAGATGGCAGCCGAAATCCTTTCTGGAAAACCGTATGTATGTCCTAAATTGAAGCCAGTACCAGGATCTGAAGGAAAGGAGCAACCGACCTTTGATAGTTCGAAAGCTGATGAAATCTTTGATATCCTACTGACTGATGGGCAGATCCGTATTCCAAAGGGCCAAAGACTTGCCACTAAAGAAGAAATCAAAGGGAGACCATATTGTAAGTGGCATAATTCTTTCACACACACTACAAGTCAGTGTACTCATTTTAGGAAGGAAATTCAAAAAGCCATCAAGACAGGTCGGCTCAAATACATCACTTTAGGTGTAGACCAGCAACCATTTCCGAAAGTAACAACTGCAATGGTTGACATCCAACCAAGTTCGAAAACAAGGAAAAGTTCGGTCAATAGTGGACAAACAGGGGAGCAAACTCAGGCAAGTCCCGGAAAAAAGAAAGGGAATCAGCCAAATAGCAGCCGACCGGAAGAACGACTCAAGGTTGTTGAAAGGCCAGTCGCTGAAAAATGGGACCGTCCAGACGGTTCTTTTAACGTGGAAGTGAAGGAAAAGGTTTTAGTGAGAGACCACCCGACCAGAAAAACGGGTTCAGTCGGGAACGATTGGGCTCGAAATAAAAAGCCTTTACCCGTTGATATAGATCCTCGTTTCCCAGGTATGAATCGTACACAGATTCGCAATGCCAAACGCAGGTATGCTGCAAAGTATGGGAAACGAGTTCCTGCAGTGCAACAAAGAACCGACGAACAAAATGCGGCCGACCACTTGACAGGAGATCAGTCCATTAGAGTCTTTACAGAACAAACGACCGACGAGCAGGGAGCGGCCATTCAGTCTCCAATAAGTCGGTCCAGTCGGGTCTGGTCAGGAAAGCAACCGAAGGACGGATTAGGAGCTTCCGACTATACCAAAAGAAGTTCGTCGGGACAGGGGAAAGGTAAAGGAATGGCAGATGAAATAATTAAAGGTTTTAGATGCCAACATTGTGAACGGATCAACATCAATCCATCTCTGGAAGAATTTCGTATTGAATCCTTGACGGTTCAATCTCGAAATGAGACGAAGGAAGAAGTGGTGCCTACAGAGGAAAATTCAAGATCTGTTAAATCTCGTCTGGGACCACGAATCCCTTGTCGAATGACAGAGGTTAACCAGATGAGTGATGAACCGACGTGGGCGAGTCTGGTAGATGATACTATGGACGAACCTTTATGGGCATTCTTGGCAGATGGCGAATTAGAGGAAACAGAGTGGGCAAAGATTACAGATTCTGAGCCTCAGTCGGAAGCACCTTCAATTGTGTTTCCTCCTATTCCAGAGGGTGCGAACTCCCATTTGAAACCCCTGTATGTTAATGCTCACATTTGTGGGAAACCAATCACAAAGGTTTTCGTGGATAATGGAGCAGTCTTTAATGTTATGCCATTGAAGACTCTCAAGAAGCTAGGGAAAGGAATTCATGATCTGTCCCCTGTGGAATTCGAAATGACAAGTTTTACAGGGCAGCCGACCAAGCCTGAAGGTATGATGGTTGCCACAATTGAGGTCGGACCAAAGAAAATTTCCACTGTTTTCTTTATTGTGGACGCAGATACTACATACTCTCTTTTGCTGGGACGAGATTGGATTCATGCCTCTCAATGTGTGCCATCAACCTTGCACCAACAGTTAATGTTCTGGGAAGGAAATCAGGTCTTTAAAATGGAAGCGAATGACAACCCATTCGACGTAACAGAACAAGTGGAAGAGTCAGTGTTTTATTCTAGTCATTTGGCTCCGATGTCTCAGTTGTATATGGCCAGGGAATACCCAAACAAGGGTTATAAAGTCACTGGCCAGAACTCGATGTTCTATTAAAAGAACACCTTTATTGTATGGCTCATGATAAAGCCACACCCATTTCTGTATAAGTTGTTTGTTATGGAAGATACAACTTTAGAAGTATGTAGTTCTCTTATTAATAAGTTCTATTTAAAACAGTTATTACATAAAGTAGAAAATAATAAAGAGATTCTGGATGTTCACCTCCAAGAAGATGAACAATTTCGTTGGCCCGACTTATTAGAAAAAACAGAACCAACAGCTTCATCACAAGACCCGTTATTGGAGTTTAATTTAGGAACCGAATTGGTTCCAAAAGTGATCAGGTTAAGTGGTTATTTGTCTAAAGAGCAACAAACAATGATGCTTGAAGTTATTAGAAACAACATTGATTGTTTAGCGTGGGATTATTCAGAGATGCCTGGTTTGACAAGAAGTCTAATAGAGCATCGATTGCCCATCAAAGAAGGTTGTAAACCTTACAAACAACCTCCAAGGCGAATGAGTCCAGATCTGATGCCTCAAATCAAGGAAGAAATCCAAAAACTTCTCAAAGTGGGTTTCATTCAACCTTGCCGTTATGCGGAGTGGCTGGCTAATATTGTGCCAGTGGTCAAGAAAAATGGTAAGATAAGGATATGCATCGACTTCAGGGATTTGAATCTAGCTACCCCTAAGGACGAATACGTGATGCCTATGGCCGACATGCTGATAGATGCAGCAGCAGGGCATAAAATCCTTAGTCTGATGGATGGCTATGCAGGTTATAACCAAATATTCTTGGCAGAAGAAGACATTCCTAAGACAGCATTCAGATGCCCAGGGGCTTTGGGTATTTATGAATGGACAGTCATGCCATTCGGGTTAAAGAATGCAGGGGCAACTTACCAAAGAGCCATGAATTCAATCTTTCATGATTTAATTGGCAGATCTATGGAAGTGTATATTGATGATGTTATAGTTAAATCTGCCAGTTTTGACGAACATTTGAGAGATCTTGAAGAGGCATTTGAAAGAATGAAGAAGTACAAGTTGAAGATGAATCCAACCAAATGTGCTTTTGGAATATCAGCCGGGAGCTTTCTAGGATTTTTAGTTCATGAGAGAGGAATTGAAATTGATGCCAACAAGGCTAAAGCCATTCTTGATAGTCGGCCACCCAAGACGGTTACAGAAATCCAATGTCTGTTGGGTAAGGTGAATTATTTGAGGCGTTTCATTTCTAATGCTGCTGGCAAGGTCAGACCCATTACTAAATTGTTGAAAGCTGGAAAAATGGCCTTTGAATGGGGTCCCGACCAACAAACGGCTTTAGATGCTATCAAGCAGGCATTGGTTCACCCTCCAGTCTTGATGCCTCCCAAACAAGGTCGGCCACTCAAACTTTATTTGGCAAATACATATGAAGTGGTTAGTTGTTTATTGGCGCAGGATGGTGATGACGGGAAGGAAAGGGCAATTTACTATCTCAGTAAAACCCTTACAGGACCAGAACTGAATTACACTATCCCAGAAAAAATGTGTTATTCATTGGTCTTCGCTTGCACTAAACTCGAGCATTATTTGCTGCCCAGAAGAGTTGAGGTCATATCAAAGGTGGATCTCATCAAATTGATTTTACAGAGACCTACTATGAAGGGCAGACTCATGAAATGGGCCATCAAATTGGCTCCTTTCGATCTTCACCATTCCCCTCTGAGGGCAATTAAGGGACAAGCAGTAGCCGACTTCTTGGCAGAATTCTCACAAGTCGGGTATTCTCTTTGTGATAGTGTCCGACCATTTAGTTGTGCATCATATCTGGATAATCTACAGGTCGGATGTGTGCCTTATATAAGTACCAGAACATGGTTGATGTTCTTTGATGGTTCTACCTCTGGAAACAAATCGGGGGCAGGGGTCTTTTTGCAAGGACCTGATGGTCAAAAGATCAACTTACAACTACGATTGGAATCCATGACCCATAATTCGGCAGAATATGAAGCTTTAATTTTGGGTTTGGAGGCTTTAATTGCCAGGAAGGTCCAGTCTGTAATCATAAGGGGGGATTCTCAATTAGTAGTCAACCAGGTAAACAATCAATATGTGTGCAATTACCCTCATCTTCGCAGATATAGGGACATTGTGAGTCGGTTACTGACAAAAATCTCAGAAGTAATAATTGAGTTCATTCCGAGGGAAGAAAACCAACGTGCTGATGAATTGGCTCAAAGGGCATGTAAAGGAATTCTGGAGGATATGTGGTCGGAGGTCAAGTCGGGCATAGAAGGAAAGACAGACCCGATCTGCAAAGTTACGGTCGGGCAAGAGGATATTGGACAGGAGCCCGACTGCGAAGTTACGGTCGGGCAAGAGGATATCGGTCAGGAGTCCGACTGCGAGGTTACGGTCGGGCAAGAGGATATTGGACAGGAGCCCGACTGCGAAGTTATGATCGGGCAGGAGAGTGTCGGACAGGAGCCCGACTGCGAGCCTGTCGGGCAGGAGACGGTCGGTCAGGAGCCCGATTGCGAAGTTTTTATCGGACAGAAGTCCGATGGCGAAACAGTGTCCGATTGGAGAACGGAGCTTATCCTGTATTTACAGAATCCTGGTGCGAGTGTTTCAATTGCGATACGATTGAAGGCTTTACGTTTTCAATTGATAAATGGAATTTTGTACAAGAGATCATTTGAAGGTTTACTTTTGAAATGCTTGGGATCTGAAGAAGCTCTAGAAGTGATGACAGAAGTACATGGTGGGATATGTGGAGCTCATCGGGCAGGTCTCAATATGAGATGGGCCATTCATCGCTTGGGTTTTTTCTGGCCTAAGATTTTTGAGGATTGCATACAATTTGCAAAAGGCTGCCAGGAATGTCAGAGACATGGAAACTTAAATCATTTGCCAGTAACCGAATTACAATTCTTGGCAAAACCATGGCCTTTTAAATCGTGGGCTATGGATATTATTGGTAAGATACATCCTGCTTCATCGAAACATCACTGTTTCATATTGGTCGCGACTGATTACTTTACCAAATGGGTGGAAGCGGTTGCTTTGAAAAATGTGGATCAGAAAGAAGTGATAGACTTCGTTTTGCACCAAATTATTTACAGATATGGTATCCCTCAGTCTATAACAACCGACCAAGGCTTGGTCTTTACAGGGGAAAGGTTCTCTAATTTCTTGGCAGAATTCGGTGTTCGGTTACATCATTCTTCACCTTATTATCCCCAAGCCAATGGACAGGCGGAAGCAGCAAATAAGATTATCATTGGGATTATAAAGAAGATGATTGAAGGGAACCCAAGAAAGTGGCATTTGTTATTGTCTCAGGCTTTATGGGCACATAGAAATACCAGAAATACGGCCACAGGGTTCTCACCGTACCAACTTACGTTTGGCCAAGATGCTGTTTTACCAGCCGAAATTCGAGTATCATCCGGCCGAACAGAATTTACTGATAGTGATCTTACAAAGGAATACCAACAACTTATGTTGCAGCAGTTAGAAGATTTGGATGTTAACCGTCTCCATGCAATAGATCGAAGTGTGAAACAGAGTGAAATCAGAGCAAGGAGTTACGGAAAGAAAGTTCTTCACAGGACATTCCAAAAAGGAGACCTAGTCTGGAAGACCATTCTTCCTACATATAAGAAAACTGATCAATTGGGAAAGTGGTCACCGAATTGGGAAGGACCATACATTGTTCAAAAAGATATTGGAAATGGCGTGTTCATTATTGTAAATCATGAAGGTAGAAGAGTACATGATTGTATTAATGCTAAATATCTGAAGAGGTATTATCCTGCCTTTTCAGATAACAAAACTGCCTGAAACAAAATATTATTCAGAACCCATTTATGGGGTTTGAACCTATTTAAAGGTTCATTTAGTCATCGTGTATTTGTGGGAAGTTTTCTGCCTCTGAATCAGACTTTTCATCCCAGTGAGTGGATATTAGCTCTGGTTCTTCTTCAATAAGATCTTCCAAATCTGGTCGGTACCTTTCCCATTGGCTTTGCAGTTCATCTAAATCTTGATGGGTACGTGCTTGCATGTCTGTTAGGGCTTGATGTTCACGATCAACGATGGTCCGCAATCTTGAAAAGACTTTTCGTTGATTGGAAAATATGTTATCCCAGCCAAGATCTGGAAGTATGGTTGCTGCGTGATTTTCGATCATTTCCATGTGATGATGAAGATCAGGAATGCGGCTAAGGATGTCATGAAGAGGTTCATACCCCTCAATGACTTTTTCCATCAGGCGGATGACGCGATGAATGGTTCTTCTTCCTCGTTGGGAGAATCGGAATTTGAAGTCTAGTTGCTTGAGTATATATAACAAGTCTTCTGCATGGCCTCCAATAGGGTGATTACCTACAAAGAAGGGTTGAAGAACACCCTCCCAGTTGCTTGATGGAACATGAGGTCGGTCATTCGCCATGTTTGTTCACACTTTCAGTGTTTTGATTTTTAAAATATGCCTGGGAATATGTTTCTTAAAATGTGAGAAACAGTGTGCTTTTAAAGAAGGAGTTTGGTTCGTTTCCTATAAAGCTGGGAATTGAAAGGTGATCCTTGTTTTGAGAGAAGAAAGAAAAAATGGATTACTAAGTCAGTTGTTGTTACAAAGGGGGAAATTTTACAACAGTGCCCCTAGGGCAGTTTTTATCTGTGTCCATTTGTTTTCATCCCTGGATAGCCTTCTGGTATTGGCAGCCGTCTGATATCTTCTGATGAATTGGGATCGGGCTTGGGTTTTCAGCTCTTGATCCAATTTAGCCTCATTTTTGGTATACTTCTCAAGCAGATGCTGTTCATTGGTAATTTGCTTATCCAGGGTAGACTGTTCTTTCCTCAGCTCCCGCAATTCTGCCTCCTTTTTCTGAATGGCATCATCAACCAGAGCTTTCGTGCTAAGGAGACCACCCAGTCTTCCAGTAGTATGCTGAAGGGATTCTCGAGTCTTGGCCAAAGTATTCTCCAGCGTTGTTTGATCGAAGTCGGGCTGGGGGGTTTCGGCTGACAGAAGGCCAATGACTACCACTTCAGTCTTGAGCTCTGTAAGTCTTTCCATCAGCCGATGCAGAATGGGGACGGCTGGTGATTCCGTTGGAGTGTAAAAAAGAAGGCCACCAACCGTCTGAATGAGTTTGTCCAATAAGTCGGACCTTAGTTCGGACAGGGGATGGTTAATGGCCTCAGTGAACACAGTCTGGGCCTCCGCTGGAACCGGAACAGTCGATAGGACGGCTAAGTCCGAAGGCCCCTGCAAGTCCTACAATGTCAATAAATATTCCAAGGGGGTTGCAAATTTGTTCAAAGAAGATATGTGATACCTCTGGGCGGACTGTTGTCAGTGAGGGGGGTAGCAATGAGGTCGGTCGAGCTGGGCAGACAGCTGGTATAACAGCAGCCGACTCGTCGGCTGCTGCGAATGGTCGCTGAGGTGCCGACCTGGGTCCCTATGGAAAGTAGTATTGGAAACAGTTAGTGTTTTTCGAAAGAAAAGTTATGACCTGGATTGGTTTAATCTTACCAAATTAACAGAAGTCTCCGAGTCGGATGAAGACATTTCTTCCATTTCTGGAGGTTGGGCTGCCACAGGTGGTTCTTCTGCCTGCCATTCGATGGCTAGGGGGGGCGCCGCTGCTGGTAGGGCGGCTACAGGTTGGACGGCTACATCTAGAGCCACTGCAGCCAGGATCTCTGGGGCACCTTCGATTTCGGGATCAGCAGCATCAGGGATGTCGTTTTGAGGGTCAGCTTCGGCGAGGGCGGCTGGTTCTTCCTTTGACATAGATGAGTCTGATGCCATGTATGGCGGCCGACCCATCTGGGAAGTAGTCCCCTCGCTGTCAGAAGAGACCCCTGCTGCTGATGGGATGGGTGAAGGTGTCTGTGGAAAAATCATGAAGATGTTTGTTGTTAAATATATTAAGGTTGCTCATCCGAATCCTAAGTCTTGCTGATAAAGGAACTTACTGGTTCTGTAGGCACTGTTGGTAAAGATTGTTTCCTGGTCGGGGGCCTGGCCCGACCACTCCTCGGTACGGGAGGAGGGGTTTGCCTCCGCGTCGGGTCCTCCGCCCGACTGCTCATTGGCAAATTGGTCTGGACCAAAGGCCCGATTGAATGGTCGGTTGGTGCTGGCGTCGGTTGCTTGGTCGGTGTCACCAAGGTCGGTTCTGGGGAATGAAATGAGTGAAATCAAAGTTATGATATAGTGAATTGGTTCACGGTGTTAAGAAACATTACCAATTCGGGGTCGGGTCCTTGCTGACGTCCTAGTTATTCCAAGGTCTGCTAGTGTTTGCTGGTCGGTCTCCGAGGTCGGGGGTGTTTGCAGCTGGGAAATTTTTCTTTTGCGCGTGGGACCCCCAGATCCGATTCCTGGGGCGGTTGTTTGTTTTTGGGTGTTAGTATGTATCGCCGCCCCTAGAACCAGTCATTGGGGAGGGAGGAGTACGTTCAGCAACCGACCCTCATCAGGGGATATCAGGGACCATACGACCGACCACCATTCATTGAAAGTATCTACAATCTCAGGGTTGGAGCGGAAAGGAATATAAGAATTGGAAATTATATACGTGGTGAGCTGGGAGATATAAGAAGGGATTGAATTAGGAAGGACTCGTCGGTCGGGACTTTGAAAAATTATTTGGGGACACGCGACGGGTCCAGGGATACCTTGGCAACAGCCGAACTGGCGCGCCATGAATTGAGGTTCATAGTTAAAAGTGTAAAAAGTTTTCTGCCCTTTTTTATCAAGTTTCTTGCTACTAAAAAGAGACCTGGGTTTGAGGGCGACGTCCCAGGCGAAAGGATAGGTGGGATGAGGACAAGGCTCCGGAGTCGGAAGCGGGTTTGGTACTGGAAAGGGCCAAAAATGGTCGGGAGCATAACCCGCATACTTTTTATACATAGAAAATCGAGAGTTACTGCGGGTATCTGTTAAAATGGCAGTTATTATTGGATCGGATGATTGGAGTTTATTGCGTCCTGAGCAGAGTCGGTTGAGGACTAATCCTAAATGTTTTTCAGATGTTGGCATAGTGGGCGGAGATCCTAAGTTAAACGCGTTGGGAAAGTAAAGACGGAACCAAAGTTCTAAAAACCAAAAAGGACCCGACGCGGCAGTGTCTAATTTCCTATTATCGTTATCTGTTAAACGAAGGCTAACCCGGGTGAGTCCTTCAAACAGATTGGCTAAAAATAGGGTACCAAGGGAGAAGAACCGACCTGACGCAATATGAATGGCCAGGTCGAGGTGAGAAGGAAGAACACTTTTGGAAGGAGAAACAATGATGTACCTACAAAGCCAGAACAGAATAAAGGCAGTATGCTCCCGGTCGGTTACAGGAGTCCCTGGAGCCCCTTGCTGGTCGGTTGCGAACTTTGTCCAACCCCATTCCTTCACACCTTGTAAAGACCATCCCGGATGGTCTTCTGATGGCTCCTGCCCATCTAGGGCTCCCATTACAGGGTCTTCACCCACGACTGGGAGATGTGCGATCATGGCCACGTCCATAAGGGTTGGGCCAAAGGGGGCCGAGGGCAAAAGGAAAGTCCCATTTTCCGCATTCCAGAAGGCGGACATGGCCAACAACACCTTCTCATGCAGGTTGATAGGCATGGTAGACAGTAGTATTGCTTGGTCGATCTTTTGGGATCGCCATTGGGTCTGGAAGTGTTCTGCTACTCGTCGATACCAAGCACGATACAGATCTTTTGGGTCTGTGAGATGGGTCTTGATGCTGTCTCGGATGCGAACTGCTTGGTAGTTGGGATTGTTGATAGCCAAGGCGTTGCGAGATTCCAAAACTTCCCTCATCCGATTTGAATCTTCGGGAGTAGTGCAATATGGACGGATCGTCGGAGTTAGTACTTTCGAGGCTGAAAATGGACCTTCTGGAAGGGTTCCGTCGAAAGGAAGGGCAGGAATGTATTGATTCGCCATAGTTAGAATGTTTTGGAATTGTGATTCACACAGGCTTGTATTGCGAAGAAGGAATAAACCAGGAGTGGTGCAGTAACTGGTGTAGTTGCTAAGGGAGTTTCTCGAGAAGGTAGTGCTTTATGAACTTCCAAACATTTATTGGCGTTTGAAAGTCCCTTGGCGGCGGGCAAGTTGTTACGTACGAAATTTAGAATTAGGTTAAAAGCCCAAGGTAAAACGAGGAATGGGCCTGGCAATAGGGTTGATTGAACTGGCTGAAGGACACCGTGAGGAAATCAAGGAAAATAAATTTATTTATTTATTTCTAAGAAAATTCAGGACGGAAGGTCTTCAGGTCGAGAGGTCCGCAAGACGGAAAGACCTCAAGTCGGAAGGTCTTCAGGTCGGGAGGCCCTCAAGATGAAAGACCTCAAGTCGGATGGTCTTCAGGTCGGGAGGTCCGCAAGACGGAAAGACCTCAAGTCGGAAGGTCTTCAGGTCGAGAGGTCCGCAAGACGGAAAGACCTCAAGTCGGAAGGTCTTCAGGTCGGGAGGCCCTCAAGATGAAAGACCTCAAGTCGGACGGTCTTCAGGTCGGGAGATCCGCAAGACGGAAAGACCTCAAGTCGGAAGGTCTTCCGGTCGGGAGGTCCGCAAGACGGAAAGACCTCAAGTCGGAAGGTTTTCAGGTCGGGAGGTCCGCAAGACGGAAAGACGATGAGTCGGAAGGTTTTCAAGTCGGGAGGTCCTCGAGACGGAAAGTCGTTGAGATGGGATATCCGCAGGTCGGGTAAACTGTAGGTCGGATAGAAGGAGGAGTCGGACAAACACGGAGGCCTTTGATCAAAGACTGGGGGCGGTTGATATGGAGGTCGGCCCAAGTGGGGTCGGGCGAAGAAGTAGGTCGGACGAAGGACGAAGTCGGGCCAAAAGAGCGGAAGGTCTGTGGTCGGCTCAAGGAGTGAAATATAGGGAATTTTGGTCTGCTGGGGACACGTGTCAGCATAAGAAAGGTTGGAAGACGGTTGAGAAGGAGACGTTGTAACCGTTCGGGTGACGGTTTTCAGTACGGTTTCCCAGGGAATATTTAAGGATTTAGATCATCATTTGGCAAGGTATCTTCAATCAACTTCAACAAAGCAAAGTCAAATTTGGGGATCACCACTTTAAATTTCAGTCTTTTATTTTCCAGTTTATTTTCTGTACCATACAGTGTTTAGAGATTCCTAATCTCAGGCACTAAATAATCAAGTTTAAGGATATTTTCTATATCTTTGAATTTTACTTTATTTTTGTTGAAAAAATACATCAACAATAGGTATTGGCTCAGTTGCAGCGAGCCTGTGGATATTATCTCGCAAAAATTGGTGTTCCATGCAGTATTGTAAATCCTGAGCTCTTTGCCCGGTGATTAGCTCCAACAGTACCAAGCCAAATGCGTATGTGTCGACCTTCTCTGTCAGTTTGCCACCATTGAAATATTCAGGTGCAAGATACCTGAGTGTAATAAGAGACACAAATCATACAAATCTTAAGAATTTCGGGGAGTTTCCTTGTCGAAACATACAATAGCTGGACAAAATAAACACAACTATAAGGTTATGAAGGTTTGAGTGCAATGTACCCTGATGTTCCAATGACTTGATCCCTTTCACAGAATTTCCACTCGCTGTGCAGTCTTGCAAGACCAAAATCAGCAACCTGAAAAACACAATGATGGAAGAAAATTTCTTAGAAAACATTTATCTACATATGTTGAATTTCTAGCAAACTTCAGAAAGTAGGGGTTCACCCAGCTTTATAAATAGAACTCGAAAACTTAAAAAAAAAAATATGAAAAAGAAAAAAAGATGCTTCAAGAAACTTATAGAGCCTACCAGAGGTTCAAAATCATGAGTTAGGAGAATGTTATTTGGCCTCAAATTTCGGTGACTTATAGATCCGACTCTGCAGTCTTCATGAAGATATCGCAATCCTCTCGCTGTCCCAATAGCTATCTTCAAACGGGCATGCCAATCCAATGTGGGCATCTCATCTCCTGCAAACGAAGGTTCACTTGGCATATGAACTCAAGGAACCGCAATTGTCGAGCCTAATGTAGTACAGATAGGAAGAGCGACGTTACCGTGCAAATGAAAGTCCAAGGAACCATAACATATGTATTCATAGACCAACAATCTCTTGGTTCCCTCAATGCAAAAACCAATTAGTAACACGACGTTTCTGTGCTGGGCACAGCTCAGTACATGCACTTCTCTGCAGAAATCGGCATCTGTTTGTGGCCCAACAAACTTTAGTTGCTTCACCGCAACAATCAACCCATTCCTCAGAACTCCTTTGTGAACCCAACCAAACAGACCTTCAGCAACAAAATTTGCATCTGAGAAACCAGCAGTAGCTTCTTCTAGGTCTTTGTACTGAAACTGCTTTGGAGGTTTGTCAAATGATGGAGCCGTGGACTGACAGAAGGAGCATAGAGGAGGGGGATTCAATGACGTTTTAATTAAAGAGACAGCTTCACGTATACTAGAGTTGAACGTGTAATCTCCACTATCATCTTCATTGAACTCAAGTCCTCTTATGCCCATATCTGGTATAAAATGATCTGAATTCATTCTGGCAGAAGTAAATGCTATTTTGGTTGTGGAACGTAAACCTTTAACAGCAGCTGGTCCTTTTTCATCAAAACTGTGATTCTGAGCAATCCAGAATACCTTTTGATTCCTGAAAGTTGCTGATTGTGTGGATGCTGAAACATCTATTGCTCTTCCCACAATATGCTGAAATGCATTTTGCGAAGCAAGTGTATTTCTACCTTTATTCAGTCCTTCATAGAGGGGATTCTTTTCGTACACAACATAAATGGAAGCTCCAGTCTCCGGGCTTGAAAGTGAATTTCCTCCAGAAGTTCTTGTGTTTGAAGTACTTGGATCCTCAGGGCTGCTAACTGGGGTGGTGTGTTTCATATTGTTGGTTTGCAATATTCCACAATCTTTAACAGGCGAAGAAGGGGCAGAATAAAAGGGTGTCTGTAGATCATTTGTGCTGGCTAGATTTAGGCGAAGTACTTTTGGATGGGAACCCTTCATGACAACAATGTTGCAATGCAGTTGATCCATGCAATGCTTCAACTCTTGTTTCAATTTCCTGTATTATGGAAATAACAACAATAAGATAGGCAATTTCACATTCACATAGATTCTTAATGAAAAGTTCTTGGAGTTGAGCAGGAAAAGTCTTCCCTTGATAGCATATATTTCAGTTGAAATCAACAAAGTTCATAATATTGGAGTGGTAATATAACAAGAATATCTCTGGTAATCAAACTCAATATTCAATTTCTCATGAGGTCCATGATGGGAATGTTATAAACATATATCAAATTTTATAAACCAGAGACATAAAGAGTCAGGCTATCAGCTATTCAATGTTTTTGAAACCACTGTCAAGAATTAACAAGCATAATTTCCAAGAAAAAACAAAAGAAAGCCTTTAGTGTAATGAAGTCGATATGCTGAACCTATAGACTATAGTCCAAACTTGCTTCTGTGCAAACAAGGCCTTGCCAACAAGAATATGTTTCAAAATTCTGAAAACAAAAGATGTCAAACAAGAGAAAACACGTAAGGTAAAAGTAAAAACATATTTACGTTTATTTACTTGTCCAATACGACCCAGTTGGCTGAGCTGCGTTTTGCTTCAGCCGCAATGACTCCAGCAGAGACTACCGATACAACTTTAATCTGCACTCTAACCTACAATCAACAACTAAGCTTCAGATACAAATATTTTCTGCATGCTCAAATTCACAAGTATGTTTGTCATCCTCCTTTGGAGCAGCCAGAGGCGAAAAGCTATAAAATAAACTGCAGTCACACATGATTTTGAGAGAAAAGAGATATATCATAGCTTTTCCAAGGGTAATGCTGAGCAAGAAATACTGGCAGGCATAACTCGTGGGCATGACCAATTTCCAAACGAAGTTTGTACAGAAGAAATCATCAATCTCAGTACTCAATTGCTACTGAAATTAGGGCTAGAAATTAATACAATACACTCAAACTAGTGTAGACGATAAACTAAGAACCAACTAAGTTAATATATATATTCCAGATGAATAAATAAACTCCATCAAATTCCGTAAATGGTTTGGGAAGATTCAATTATTGAATTGCATTGTTTGCTTATCATTTTGGGTATAATAACTCTAAAACGAGTACATATAATTTCAATTCATCACCTGATGATCCTGAACTTGAAGAACCATTTGCGAACATGACTCCGAGATCTGACAAACTCGATCGGGTAACCGCGTAGGGTCACCGCTCCGGCAGTCCCCTTTCAACCGCGGGAACACCCAGAATCTCCTCCCACCTTGTTTCACACACCAAAACAATTAACCACCGATAAGTTTTCTTTCTACAAACCCTCCTCACCATATAAAATTCCTTCAGAAAACATTTTCTAGAAGTTACCATTTTTTGCTCCGAAAAGGATCGCGAGGAGCGTTACACAGTCCCCGGCCCGGGTCGCGTGGGTGAGTGCCCAAGTCAAACCCGCCTTCGAGATCACTTTCTCTGCTTTCACAGCCACAATCACTCTCTCCGGCATCTCCCCGCACACTGCCCACCGGTGGTTTGGCGGGAAAATTGGATGACGTAAGAAACAGAGCAGCAGCAGAGGCGACGTAGCACGGCAGGGCGGTTTTATGTCACATTGCTTTTATGCATTTGTTTATATTTGTATCGTTTTTATCTTACGCTCCTTTCAAGATCTTAAATAAATCATAAATATATTAAAAAAGACATGATCAATTTTCAAATCCAATAATTATGGTCCTGAACTGGGTTTGTAGTAGTTTCATGGAAAAAGTAGGGATGTCTGTTTCAACATTTTCTGCAAAAATGGTACCACACTTGTCTGTGTGTCGAACCCAAAAAAATGCTGCCCTTTAAAAGAAGGTAAGTATCTGCACAAAAGGAGGACTCAACGGACGGTCCAGATTCGGCGTGAACGACGGCCAACGGACAAGATTTCCCGACGATGACCCGACGGCAAACTAGGACAAGTCATGGGTATGGCATGTGGTTGGAATAATTACGCCATAAATGCCCTACATAATTCTTACAATTCCATTTTTTCATTAGATCGATTGTTTTTAGTTCACGTTATTAGATGGGCCTCTGTCCAATTCTTGTTTGATCATAAATGGGCTAATTATAATTCACATCACACTTTCATTTACTTAAATCAAACACACAGGGTACATTTTACAGTCCATTCGACATTTCAATCAACAGACAGATGCATAAAGCTGACGTGGCAATCGGGGCCTGAGGCAGACTTCCAGGGGAGTGGCTTTGAGATTCGTGCTGCCAAAAGACCCTTCCATGTCGACATCTTCTTCACCTGACAGAGTTCTCAGATCAAACCCCTGGAGGAAGCTTCCCAATGCCAGCTGCATCGTCTTCATGGCGAACGAAATTGCAGGGCAGATCCGCCGTCCGCCGCCAAACGGCGTTAGCTCAAAGTGAAGCCCTTGCACATCCACATCCACATCATCCGTCAGAAACCTCTCAGGCCTGAATTCCAGGGAGTTTCTCCAAGCTTCAGGGTCGCGTTGGATCCTCCAGGTGTTGATGAACACCATCGTCCCCGCCGGAATGTGGTAGCCTCCCACCTCGCAAGCCTCCCCCGTCTGCCGTGGAATGACAGGCACCGCCGGCTGCACGCGCAGTGTTTCCTTGATTATTGCCCTGATGTACGGTAATTTTTCCAGGTCGGATTCGTTCACCAGCCTGTCTCTCCCGACGTGCTTGTCTAGCTCTTCCTGAGCCCTAATTAGGGTTTCCCGATTGTTCAGAAGTAGACATACTGCCCATATTAAAGTCACCGTCATCGTATCGACCCCTCCCACCATCATCGTCTGAAATTAGATAGATCTTTAGTTTCGAATTATCGTACTTGAAATTTTGATAGACGATTGATTAATTAATTACCTGACAGGTTGCTTTGTTTATGGTGTCAGCGTCGAAAAAGGGGAACTCTTCAGCAACACTATCTGAAGCCCTAAGCATTTCACTCATGAAGTCGTCGTCGTCTTCTCCTTGTTCTGCAACTTTTTTAAGCTTCTTATGCTCCGTCAGCCAGGTTTGAAGCATGGCGTCGAAGCTTTTCCCTGTCTTCCTGAAAGCCCTGTGCATCCCTCCAAAATAATCGACCCATTTGAACGCCGGAAGAACATCCGACACGGTGATAACATTCATCATTTCGAAAAATTCCCTGATTGTTTTCTTCCAATTCTCCATCTTCTTCGCATTGGTCTCCTTCTCCACGTTCCCCGCCACCGTTCTGATCATAAGACTCACCGTCACATCCCCGAAAAACTTCCTCATGTCCGGAACAACCACCATCTCCATCTCATCGCCGCCGCGGGAATAATATTCCTCATTCAGCGATTTCATCTGCTCCCGGATCTGAAGCTTCACCATGTTCCCCAGCGCAGCAACTTTTCTGTTAGACAGAAGCCTCAGGACAGAGATCTTGCGCATTTCCCGCCAGTACGGGCCGTGGTCGCTGAACCCTAGCATGGCAAAATCGTAGCCCATGAGCCTGACAGCCGCCGTCTTGGCGCGATTGGAGAAGGCCACGTCATTCGTTCTGTAGCAATCTCGAGCCGTTTCCCAGCTGTTCAGTACGACGGCGCGTCGTGCACCGACCCGAAGAGAGAAAATCGGGCCGTACTTGTCTGTCATTTTCGACAGGTTTATGTGCAGTGGCTCCGGGCCCGACAGCCGAAAGAGATGACCGATTAAGGGCCACCCACCTGAAGCCATTGGAGGTAATTTAGTCGAGGATTTATCGTTTGCATATGATTTTCTTGCAACAACAAGAAGATAGAAAGATGCTGCAACTGCCAATGAAATCAGGGCAGCAATCCAGGGCGAGTAGAAAAGGGGATTATTAACTTCCATGGGGATTAATTTCGAACATGAACTGAATTATTGGGTACACACCATTCTGCTGATATAAATATATAAATAAGATAACCTAAGTACCTATAGCTTGCAATAACGTGTGTTTTTCAGAATGATTTATTTGCCAAATAGGGTTTGTACCACGTGGAGTGTGTGGTTTTAGTAATTTTCAAAATTAGAAATTAATTTAGGCCATCTATAATGTTTTAGGATAAGAACATTTTGTAAAGCTGTGGATACAAAGATAGCCCTACCAAATATAATTTTCAAAATTGTTGAATATATTTGAGATGGTAGTACGTATTTATCAGCAATGAAAACTGTGGACACAAAGATAGCCCTACCAAGTCCAAATATAATAGTGACAGTTGGTAAGGCAATCAATAATGGCATAAATTCATGTTGTCGATTATAAGTTGTCTTCATAAATAATATAAAAGTGTAGCTTAATTATTGTTCAATGGAATTTTATAATGGTTAAAATGTGAACTCATCTAATTTCATCAAACCATTAAGCTAAACATAAATTCATTTGTGCAATTTATGCAAGTCATCAGGAACAAAAATGATGAGTAGGTCAGTGGAATTTCTGCGCCAATCATCAGGACAGAACTTCTTGCCTTGTAGCATGGACTAAGACTCGCATAGGAGCTTGGGATTGCTTAAATTAGTTGTTCATTCCGACCAAGTGATTTCTATGAAATTGATTCAGCAGGAGCCTGTTCAAATCCATCCCCTTGCTTTGATTATTTGCGGTATTCGTCAACTCCTCCTTAATCAAAACGATTATTGGCTCTGTCACATTCTTGCTTGACAGCAAACGCGGCTAACATTCCTATGGCTCGTTCGTGATTGAAGGCTTGGGTGCCTGGGATTCCCATGTTGGTTTTCTCTTGTAGTCTTGTTGTTTTCCCATTTTGCTTGGTCCTCTTTAGTCTTCCAGGCTTTGCCATTTCAATGATGAAATCAACACTTTATATAGGCCGGACATAAAATATTAATCTGTATCAACTAATAACATATGACAATAGTTGAAGCAATATATATTACATCTCAAATATATTCATATATAATTAAAGCACACCTTAAAGTGTTGAACTAATAATATATGATTTCATTCAACACATTATAAGTTGTAAAGGGTCTCTCTGTCTTTTTTATTTATTAATTACAATTAATTAGCACCGTAGGAATTAGCTCTAATCAGCATTGGAACCATCCCGGTAAAGTTGAGGAGAAAGTCTGGGCCTGAGACAAACTTCCAGAGGCGTGGCCTTCATATTGGTGGTACCAAAACTCCCTGTCATGTCGACAGCTTCCCCTGACGGGGTCTCAAGCTCAAATTCATGGAGGATGGTGGCAAGAACCAGCTGTGTGGTTCGAAGGGCTAAGTAAATTCCAGGGCAAGCCCTTCTGCCGCCGCCGAACGGAAGCAATTCATAGTGGAGTCCGGCAACATCCACCTCCTGCCACCGCCCTGTCAGAAACCTCTCCGGCCTGAATTCCAACGGATTGTCCCAAACCCGAGGATCCCGTTGGATCTTCCAGGCGTTTACAAACAGGCGGGTCCCTGCCGGGATGTGGTGGCCGGTCACCACGCAATCCTCGCCGGCCTCCCGGACGTTCACCGGCAGCGGCGGCTGCAGGCGCAGCGTCTCCTTCATTACAGCTTGGGTGTAAACTAGGTTTTCCATGTCCGATTCTTGCACGACCCTTTCCCTGCCGACATGCCTGTCGAGCTCTTCCTGAACCCTAATCATGGCGCCGCGGTTGTTGAGTAGTAATGAAATTGCCCACGTTAGAGTTACTGTCATCGTGTCCACTCCTCCCACCATCATTGTCTGACAAGTTGCTTTGTTTATTGTATCGGCGTCGAAGACAGGGAACTCCTGAGAAACACCGTCTGCAACATTTAACATTTCAGACATGAAATCGTCTTCTTCTTCTTCCTCCTCCATTTCCGTTCCTGATTCTTTCATCAGTTTCTTGTGCTCATCAAGCCAGGCTTGGAGCATGGCGTCGAGGTTCTTGCCGGTCCTCCGAAAGGCCTCGTGGGCGCCTGTTAAAGAATCCAGCCACTTCAGAGACGGGACAACGTCGGATACTGTAAAAACATTCATCATCCTGATGAATTCCCTGACGGCCTGCCGCCACTTCTCGCCCTGCTCCAAATCCATCTCCTTCTCCACGTTCCCCGCCACCGTCCGTACCATCAGGCCGATCGTCAGATCCCCGAAAATCTTGCTCAGGTCCACAACAGTCGCTTGTCTCGTTCCGACACGCCGCCAGTAATCCTCGTTCATGGATCTCATCAGGGCCTGGATTCTGGCCTGGATCATCGGCCCAAGTGCAGTTATCTTTCTGTTGGAGAGAAGCCTCAGCGTCGAAATCTTGCGCATCTCTCTCCAGTAAGGCCCGTAATTGCTGAATCCGAACATGGCGAAGTTATACCCCATGTGAGCAATGGCAGCCGTTCTGGGCCTGGTGGAGAAGGCTACGTCGTTGGTTTTGTAGCACTCTTTTGCCCCTTCCCAGGAGTTCACCACCAGGCCTCGCCGGGGCCCGACCCGGATAGTGAAGAGCGGGCCGTGCTTGTCTGCCATGTTTGACAGGCTTATGTGCAGTGGGTCGGGACCTGACAGCATAAACAGGTGCCCGAATAACGGCCACCCGCCGCCGGCCTCCGGCAGCAAATTTTGTTGAGCATGTTTTCCGGTGATCAGAGAGTGGAAACAATAACAGATTATTATGGTTGAAAGAGCAATGAGAGCTTGAATCCATGGCCACTGGAGCAAATCCATGCTAGCTGTCGAGATGAACCCTAGTTAAAGTCTATGGATTTTTGCAATGTATATAGATTATTAAATGATACTAGGTGTAATAATTTTGTTTAGGTGAGTAAGGTAAGGTATAATTATATATTATATTTGTTGGGAAAACACATGAATCACTAGAATCGTATTTGATCATAAGGTGTATCTTTTGTAAAATTTTAATGAGATAAATGATGTAACTATAGGCCAAAACGTGCCCAAGCATCATAGTGGAGCTATCATATATTTAGATTTCCCTTTTTTTCTTTTTCTTTTTTTCAAAGGACTAATTCATATAATCCCAAGCCAGTATATATGTTAATCAAATGCAAACAATAATTTCAATAAACACAACAGCTGTCCCAGGGAATCAAAATTAAATGCACACCGGAATTTCATTAAAAAAAAAAAAAATAGCCCACAAAAATAACTAGGTGCTTATTTGTATGATCATTTTCATTTTCAATCTATTTAATATATTATAATATTGTTGATGTATTTTTTCAACAAAAATAAAGTAAAATTCAAAGATATAGAAAATATCCTTAAACTTGATTATTTAGTGCCTGAGATTAGGAATCTCTAAACACTGTATGGTACAGAAAATAAACTGGAAAATAAAAGACTGAAATTTAAAGTGGTGATCCCCAAATCTGACTTTGCTTTGTTGAAGTTGATTGAAGATACCTTGCCAAATGATGATCTAAATCCTTAAATATTCCCTGGGAAACCGTACTGAAAACCGTCACCCGAACGGTTACAACGTCTCCTTCTCAACCGTCTTCCAACCTTTCTTATGCTGACACGTGTCCCCAGCAGACCAAAATTCCCTATATTTCACTCCTTGAGCCGACCACAGACCTTCCGCTCTTTTGGCCCGACTTCGTCCTTCGTCCGACCTACTTCTTCGCCCGACCCCACTTGGGCCGACCTCCATATCAACCGCCCCCAGTCTTTGATCAAAGGCCTCCGTGTTTGTCCGACTCCTCCTTCTATCCGACCTACAGTTTACCCGACCTGCGGATATCCCATCTCAACGACTTTCCGTCTCGAGGACCTCCCGACTTGAAAACCTTCCGACTCATCGTCTTTCCGTCTTGCGGACCTCCCGACCTGAAAACCTTCCGACTTGAGGTCTTTCCGTCTTGCGGACCTCCCGACCGGAAGACCTTCCGACTTGAGGTCTTTCCGTCTTGCGGATCTCCCGACCTGAAGACCGTCCGACTTGAGGTCTTTCATCTTGAGGGCCTCCCGACCTGAAGACCTTCCGACTTGAGGTCTTTCCGTCTTGCGGACCTCTCGACCTGAAGACCTTCCGACTTGAGGTCTTTCCGTCTTGCGGACCTCCCGACCTGAAGACCATCCGACTTGAGGTCTTTCATCTTGAGGGCCTCCCGACCTGAAGACCTTCCGACTTGAGGTCTTTCCGTCTTGCGGACCTCTCGACCTGAAGACCTTCCGTCCTGAATTTTCTTAGAAATAAATAAATAAATTTATTTTCCTTGATTTCCTCACGGTGTCCTTCAGCCAGTTCAATCAACCCTATTGCCAGGCCCATTCCTCGTTTTACCTTGGGCTTTTAACCTAATTCTAAATTTCGTACGTAACAACTTGCCCGCCGCCAAGGGACTTTCAAACGCCAATAAATGTTTGGAAGTTCATAAAGCACTACCTTCTCGAGAAACTCCCTTAGCAACTACACCAGTTACTGCACCACTCCTGGTTTATTCCTTCTTCGCAATACAAGCCTGTGTGAATCACAATTCCAAAACATTCTAACTATGGCGAATCAATACATTCCTGCCCTTCCTTTCGACGGAACCCTTCCAGAAGGTCCATTTTCAGCCTCGAAAGTACTAACTCCGACGATCCGTCCATATTGCACTACTCCCGAAGATTCAAATCGGATGAGGGAAGTTTTGGAATCTCGCAACGCCTTGGCTATCAACAATCCCAACTACCAAGCAGTTCGCATCCGAGACAGCATCAAGACCCATCTCACAGACCCAAAAGATCTGTATCGTGCTTGGTATCGACGAGTAGCAGAACACTTCCAGACCCAATGGCGATCCCAAAAGATCGACCAAGCAATACTACTGTCTACCATGCCTATCAACCTGCATGAGAAGGTGTTGTTGGCCATGTCCGCCTTCTGGAATGCGGAAAATGGGACTTTCCTTTTGCCCTCGGCCCCCTTTGGCCCAACCCTTATGGACGTGGCCATGATCGCACATCTCCCAGTCGTGGGTGAAGACCCTGTAATGGGAGCCCTAGATGGGCAGGAGCCATCAGAAGACCATCCGGGATGGTCTTTACAAGGTGTGAAGGAATGGGGTTGGACAAAGTTCGCAACCGACCAGCAAGGGGCTCCAGGGACTCCTGTAACCGACCGGGAGCATACTGCCTTTATTCTGTTCTGGCTTTGTAGGTACATCATTGTTTCTCCTTCCAAAAGTGTTCTTCCTTCTCACCTCGACCTGGCCATTCATATTGCGTCAGGTCGGTTCTTCTCCCTTGGTACCCTATTTTTAGCCAATCTGTTTGAAGGACTCACCCGGGTTAGCCTTCGTTTAACAGATAACGATAATAGGAAATTAGACACTGCCGCGTCGGGTCCTTTTTGGTTTTTAGAACTTTGGTTCCGTCTTTACTTTCCCAACGCGTTTAACTTAGGATCTCCGCCCACTATGCCAACATCTGAAAAACATTTAGGATTAGTCCTCAACCGACTCTGCTCAGGACGCAATAAACTCCAATCATCCGATCCAATAATAACTGCCATTTTAACAGATACCCGCAGTAACTCTCGATTTTCTATGTATAAAAAGTATGCGGGTTATGCTCCCGACCATTTTTGGCCCTTTCCAGTACCAAACCCGCTTCCGACTCCGGAGCCTTGTCCTCATCCCACCTATCCTTTCGCCTGGGACGTCGCCCTCAAACCCAGGTCTCTTTTTAGTAGCAAGAAACTTGATAAAAAAGGGCAGAAAACTTTTTACACTTTTAACTATGAACCTCAATTCATGGCGCGCCAGTTCGGCTGTTGCCAAGGTATCCCTGGACCCGTCGCGTGTCCCCAAATAATTTTTCAAAGTCCCGACCGACGAGTCCTTCCTAATTCAATCCCTTCTTATATCTCCCAGCTCACCACGTATATAATTTCCAATTCTTATATTCCTTTCCGCTCCAACCCTGAGATTGTAGATACTTTCAATGAATGGTGGTCGGTCGTATGGTCCCTGATATCCCCTGATGAGGGTCGGTTGCTGAACGTACTCCTCCCTCCCCAAGGACTGGTTCTAGGGGCGGCGATACATACTAACACCCAAAAACAAACAACCGCCCCAGGAATCGGATCTGGGGGTCCCACGCGCAAAAGAAAAATTTCCCAGCTGCAAACACCCCCGACCTCGGAGACCGACCAGCAAACACTAGCAGACCTTGGAATAACTAGGACGTCAGCAAGGACCCGACCCCGAATTGGTAATGTTTCTTAACACCGTGAACCAATTCACTATATCATAACTTTGATTTCACTCATTTCATTCCCCAGAACCGACCTTGGTGACACCGACCAAGCAACCGACGCCAGCACCAACCGACCATTCAATCGGGCCTTTGGTCCAGACCAATTTGCCAATGAGCAGTCGGGCGGAGGACCCGACGCGGAGGCAAACCCCTCCTCCCGTACCGAGGAGTGGTCGGGCCAGGCCCCCGACCAGGAAACAATCTTTACCAACAGTGCCTACAGAACCAGTAAGTTCCTTTATCAGCAAGACTTAGGATTCGGATGATCAACCTTAATATATTTAACAACAAACATCTTCATGATTTTTCCACAGACACCTTCACCCATCCCATCAGCAGCAGGGGTCTCTTCTGACAGCGAGGGGACTACTTCCCAGATGGGTCGGCCGCCATACATGGCATCAGACTCATCTATGTCAAAGGAAGAACCAGCCGCCCTCGCCGAAGCTGACCCTCAAAACGACATCCCTGATGCTGCTGATCCCGAAATCGAAGGTGCCCCAGAGATCCTGGCTGCAGTGGCTCTAGATGTAGCCGTCCAACCTGTAGCCGCCCTACCAGCAGCGGCGCCCCCCCTAGCCATCGAATGGCAGGCAGAAGAACCACCTGTGGCAGCCCAACCTCCAGAAATGGAAGAAATGTCTTCATCCGACTCGGAGACTTCTGTTAATTTGGTAAGATTAAACCAATCCAGGTCATAACTTTTCTTTCGAAAAACACTAACTGTTTCCAATACTACTTTCCATAGGGACCCAGGTCGGCACCTCAGCGACCATTCGCAGCAGCCGACGAGTCGGCTGCTGTTATACCAGCTGTCTGCCCAGCTCGACCGACCTCATTGCTACCCCCCTCACTGACAACAGTCCGCCCAGAGGTATCACATATCTTCTTTGAACAAATTTGCAACCCCCTTGGAATATTTATTGACATTGTAGGACTTGCAGGGGCCTTCGGACTTAGCCGTCCTATCGACTGTTCCGGTTCCAGCGGAGGCCCAGACTGTGTTCACTGAGGCCATTAACCATCCCCTGTCCGAACTAAGGTCCGACTTATTGGACAAACTCATTCAGACGGTTGGTGGCCTTCTTTTTTACACTCCAACGGAATCACCAGCCGTCCCCATTCTGCATCGGCTGATGGAAAGACTTACAGAGCTCAAGACTGAAGTGGTAGTCATTGGCCTTCTGTCAGCCGAAACCCCCCAGCCCGACTTCGATCAAACAACGCTGGAGAATTCTTTGGCCAAGACTCGAGAATCCCTTCAGCATACTACTGGAAGACTGGGTGGTCTCCTTAGCACGAAAGCTCTGGTTGATGATGCCATTCAGAAAAAGGAGGCAGAATTGCGGGAGCTGAGGAAAGAACAGTCTACCCTGGATAAGCAAATTACCAATGAACAGCATCTGCTTGAGAAGTATACCAAAAATGAGGCTGAATTGGATCAAGAGCTGAAAACCCAAGCCCGATCCCAATTCATCAGAAGATATCAGACGGCTGCCAATACCAGAAG